TCCGCATCCGCTGGCATTTCCGGGACTCCCCCTCTCAAGCGTCTAAATTCTACGTTCCCAAACGAGAATGGCAACCCCCTCTGCGCCATCGCGACCCAGTGATCGAGCGTGGTCTGGCCGCAGGCAAGGACTTATTGTTCTCACAAGTGGAGGCAACGGTCCTACACCTCGGACAGACCCCCAGGCCGAACCCAGGCCTGGCAAAGATCAACGATTTTCTCCGGCAGTCACAGTCCCCTGGTGAAAATCACTGACAAAAATCTGGGCGTGGCAGTACTTGCCAAAGACTGGTACCTCGAGCGATGCGGACGGCACCTCAGCGACCGAAGAACGTACGCTATCTTCGACGCTGCGAACCTGCCGGACCTCCGCGCCGAAGTCCTTGAGAACGTTGGCAACTTGCCCATCATGTTCGACCTGCCAAAACAGGTATCTGAATTTTATTGTCATCCCGGGAAGATGCGGGCATCCCGCAATTTCACTGCATCCCCAAGGTGCACAAGAAAGAGTGGAGCTTGCGACCTATCATTCCAAGTCATTCATGGGTGACGAAAAAATGTTCGCAAGTTGCGGATTTCCTCCTTCGTCAATGCCTCAAAGAGACCGTCCCGTGGTGCGTGGAAAGCACACGAGAGGTGATGCAGAGACTGGAGGCCCTCCCCCCTTCTTTATCGGATCAAGTCTGGCTCGTCACTGGTGACGTGGGAGCCTTCTACACAAATGTTCCGATCGACGAAACCATCGAGAACATCAGTCATGCTCTCGGAGATAAGTCGTTTGAAGGCATTCCGACTGACATGCTGAGCCAACTGCTTAACATCGTCATGAAGAATAACGTGTTCGAGTTCAATGGGACTTTTTATCATCAAGTGGAAGGCGTCGCGATGGGCACCTCTTGCGCGCCCGCATTCGCGAATCTTTCCCTTGGCTTCAAGGAAAGGATGTCCAACATGCTGGCGGTCGGGGACACCGGTCTCCGGTTCTACGTCCGCTACATGGACGACATCTTTATGATATGGTCCGGATCTCGTTCGTCCCTAGATGTCTGGCTGGAAGGGTTCACCCCCAACCTCGCGCCTTACCACATCACTTGGGATATTCGTTCCTCTTCGCAAGCGACTCCGTTCTTGGACGCAGAGTTCTTTTACAGAGCAGGCGCGGGACTCTGGTCGTTACACACCAGGGTCTATCGCAAGCGAATGAACAAGCATCAATACATTCCATGGTCCTCTGCTCACCCTGAGACGGTGAAGCGAGCTTTCGTTAAAGCAGAGTTGACCCGCTTCATGACCATCTGCTCCCATGAAGAATTCTTTGAGGAAAGGGTTCGGGAGTTTTATGAAGCGCTCGCTCGGAGAGGGTATCCAGCGAATACACTCAGAAAATGGAGAAGTCTGGTGACATACAAGGACCGGGCAATACAGCTCCTTAAGAAAAAGGACTCGAAGCCTGGGCTCCCTCTGATGTTGCCATCTTCATATGATGAGATTTGGGAATATGTTGATGTGAAGAGCGTCTTGACAAAGATGAAGACAGTTTGGCAGACACGCGGGCCAATCCCCGAGTCTCTCAACGGACCTCTCATCAAATCGTTAAGACGGACCGAGAACCTTTTTGATAAGATCTCGGCCTGGAACAAAGCCGTCTTGGCAGGCAATGAGACATGAGTTCCCCCTGGGGGGAACGCGTCGTCTTATGTTTGTTTCAAAACGTCCCTCTTCAAGACTAAAGGAAAGGAGTTTAAACGCTACGTCGGCCATGCGGTAAAATGCATACCCTTCGTACTGTCCTAACCCTAACCTTAACCGTAACCGCGCAGTTTTCGAACTGGCAATGTCGGTCTTTCTCTCGTTTCAATGTCGGTATCTCGCCGCTCTCGTATGGGAGGTTCTTTAGTGCTGCCGCAATACAGGCACGTCGTCGCCCCGACCGGCTGCTGCGAAGCAGTGTCGGGCCGACAATGACGGTGAACCCCCGGACCGATGAAGTGGGAACCGTGCACGTCGGCCCCGAGCCCCCCGCATGGGGGGCTTGGCGCCGTGGCGCGTGCACTTTGGACAGGCCCGGAATGGAAAAGACCGGCGGCAGGAGCAGGCCTGCGAATACGGTGTGGGCCCACTCACACCGCGCGGATTTTCAGTTCTCCAATGAAAATTGGAGGTGTCAATCTCTCTCGTCACCCCCCGCGTCAGCTGAACATTCGTCGCGTTTAGCCGGTGCGGGCACCAATGGGAGGAGGACAATTAATGCGCGAAGGCTTCGGCCTTCGCGTTTTAATTTACTCCGTCCCTCGGTACTCGGTGACTCTCAACAAGATAAATGTCCCTGAGGAGCCCTCAAGGGCGAAACTCCTCTGTCATCTCCCCAGATCAGAGCAGTCGGACTTCTTGTTGCTTCTCAGGTTTTCCTCACCAACACTTTTCAACATCATTATAACCCTAACCCTAACCCTAACCCTAACCCTAACCCTAACCCTAACCCTAACCCTAACCCTAACCCTAACCCTAACCCTAAGTAACCCTAAGTAACCCTAAGTAACCCTAAGTTATTCACTGCTATAACACTAATAATATATATGTGACGGTCACTGTGCCGGACGCACCAAGGTGGGGCGCGGGACGCCCCGAGCCAACCGCTAGGATAACCAATCAGTAAGAACCCAAGGAGGGGGTGCTCTGGGCTTGGCACGACAGAGCACTTGGCGCTCTGTGTGCTCTGACACAGAGCAGGGAGAGCACCACCAAAATGCAAGATGCTCTGGGTGCTCTGGGACGGAGTACCCAGAGCAGGTACAAGATACCTTTGGAATTAGATAGTATATAGTCACTCGCTCTGGAGAGCTCTGGGAGTTCTCCAGTTAGCAATCACAACTACAGTTCGCTACAAGCTCGAGAGCCTACTGTTGAGACAAGTCTTTGTTGTGCACCTTTTGGCTGCACCGAACCTAAGCACCCTTGAGAGAACACCTTCGACCGATACTGAACCCTAACAGGACGGGTCCAGAGACAGGTTCGTCACAATATAGTTATTGCTATCGCTTAAAATACAGTTGGATAGCCTGAATTAGGGTGTACGAGCAGCCTAGGGTCCTTTTATTGGTCCCTCTCAATCTCAGATGTAGATGTTACTAACGCTGCAACCGCGGGCACTTTCGTAGCCAGCTTTTAATAGCTATACGAGACCCAATCCCATTGATAGTAGAGAGAAAGATAGGGATACAGAGATAAAAGCTCTAGCCGCAAGGGTAAAAGCTTTCCAGAAACCATTACATCTTGTAATATACCATTGCCCTTCTAGTCTCCAGCTGTGACTATCACTAAGATTCGGATTAGGTGAGGCTCCTCCCTCGATTAATGTTCTCCTTTTCTTGTAGAACGCTAATACAGTTAGGGGGTATTATCGCCCAAACACAAGTTAACATAGCTTTTACGAAGGAGCCGGAAACGTACGGAATCCGTCGCGCTTATATTGATACTTTCGGCACCAACGGAGACCACTATGGAATCTTCTTTAAAGACGAGAATCTGGTCGGCGACTTTTTCAGTTTGAGGTGCCTCTCCGACAAACCCAAGACGTACCGCGAAACAAAGTGCCGCTATAATGTCTGCGATACAAAATGGGTTGGCCGTATAGCTACTGGGGTGAATGTGCTCCGGCACCTCCAGACCATTTGTATAGACAAAGACATTCCTGTGCCGGAGAAAGGCTCTGCACCCTCAACCCCCTACACGAAATGCCGTTGCCACACCTGGACGCGCGAAGTCCTTAACGCGATGAAGAGGGCTGCGATCCTACGAGGTGTCGAACAAGACCGGGCTTCCCCTTGTCGGGCGCCTCGTGTACCCCAGGGGACCAAAGTTTCACGCACAACCTCGAGGTCTTCGTCTCTGGAGTCCACAGTGTCCTCGAGCTCGAAGCATCCTTCGACATCCAAGGGGTCTTCCTCTCGACCCCCGCTTTCGGGTCCCCGAAGCAGGTCTTCATTCACGGAATCCAATTCGTCTACCGACACAGTCCTTACAGTCTTGGCGGACGGACAAACATGGGGGGATGGGTGGATCTTTAGCCGGGAGAAATTGGCGAGATACCGCATTGGCAAGGACGGAAAGAAGGTTTGGGCGGGGTGCGAGCCCTCTTGAAGGTTTGAAACCCTGGTAGTAGTGGGAAACCGGATAGTGTTCTTGAATTAGGAGTTTGTAGCAAGTGATCGGTTTTGAAACGTGCTTGGGAACCAGCGCGGGGGGATTCGCCAGCTTCCAATGCCCCGAGAATGTGAAGAATGTCTTGCTCATAGCGAACCAAATTCGGCGCGGTGAGGCTTTCGCGTACTGGCGTGCCGCGCTCGGAGGATTTGCGTCCCCGCTTGGCTATTCGAGGCGAACCTGGATCGGGTCAGCCGTGCCTCTCCGCGTGGCAGGGTCCGCCAGCCCGGCTGGATGATACCCGGCGGATTGGGCTCGGAAATGCGAGTGGTGCGGATGCCTTCGATTCTTCTATGGAACTCCGTCTTTCCGTTTCCAGCTGCGAGAGGTGACATTCAGGCCGGCCCGTGGGGCAGCCCCGGCACCGCAGCCGTTGGCGATCCGGCTAATACCACTCTCGATCCAAGGAACGCGGGGAGCGTTCCCTTTTAATTCCCGTTTGAGACTGATTGCTCAGCTCCACAGCATTCCTCTTCAGGGGTCACCAGTGTTTCTTCCGGCTAAAAGGGGCGGATCCGTCGTGCCCCTGACGATTTCCCATGGACGTCACCTCTTGTCATAAAAACCCCGAGGTCTCCGCCAAGAGAGTGGAAAGCAGGTCACAGCCCACGCTCACTTCACTATGTTACGATTTGTTCAACTCTTTGCCGCCATGGCCCTGGCGCCCGGCACCTTGGGCGCCACCCTGATCGCCTCTCATTTTGCCGGCGGCATCTACACGCTGTCCCTCGCGAGCTCCAACTCCAGCGGCACGCTTTCGATCACGTCGCAGACCACCGGTTGCGGTTCCACGCCGGGGTGGCTTCAGCTCTATGCCGACACCCGCACGCTGTACTGCTTCGATGAGTCGTGGCTCGGTTCCGGCAACTGTGCCGAATACAGCGTAGCGAACGATGGCCGCCTGACCTCGACCGGCCAGCTCACGACGACCGGCAACACCGTGCACGGCATTCTCTATGGCGGAGCCGACGGTAGGGGTTTTGTGGCCACCGCCGAGTAGTAAGTCGACTGGCCTAGGTGAGAGAACGAATACTAATCAGACAGTTCCCCGTCGACTATCACAACGTACAAGATGCCGTTCGAGGGTGGCCAGCAGCTGCAGCTAGAGAAGTTCGTCCTGGAACAGCCGGGTCCCGACCCAAGGCAGGACGTCCCGCACCCGCACGAGGTGCACCTCGACCCCACTGGGAAGTTCATCATTGTGCCGGACCTCGGTGCCGATCTCGTTCGCATCTTCAAGATCGACGCCTCCAGCGGCGAGCTCACAGCGTGCCCTGAGGGCAAGGCCGACCCCGGCGACGGACCCCGCCACATCAAATTCTGGGAGTCGGCCGACGGCGTACAGAAGGCTTACACCCTGAACGAGCTCGGCAACTCGGTATCGGCTTGGGACGTCGCATATCCGAGCGACGACGCTGGCTGCCTGACCCTCGAGAAGACGCAGACACTGTCAACGTTTGCCCCTGGGGAGGAGGGCGGGCCCACCACCAAGGCCGCTGAGGTCCGCGTGGTTGGCAACTTCCTGTACGCGTCCAACCGCGCCGACGAGACGTTTGGCTCTGAGCAGGATTCCATTGCCACCTACACAATCGACGCGTCCACGGGCGAAATCGCCTGGCTCGAGGCCGCCAACTCGTACTCGTACTACCCGCGTACCTTCGAATTCAACAAGGACGGTACCCTTGTTGCGGTTGGCGGGCAAACGTCTTCCAACGTCGCGATCATTGCCCGTGACACCGAGACCGGCAAGCTCGGCGAGCTGGTGGCCACCCTCCAGGTTGGCCAGAAGGGGCGAGCTGGAGAGGAGGACGGTCTCAGCGCAGTCGTCTGGGTGGAGTGAGTTGGTTAGTTCTACTGTTGACCGGATTAGTTCTAAAGTGTGTCTAGGTCGCCGGCTAGAGAGTGCAAGAGGTAATGGAATCGCCATTTTCTCAGTGCGGCATTTATTTCAATGCAACCACATTAAGGAGCGCCTCACCCCGACCGCTGCAAGATGGTGACGGATGTGCTGGGTTCCATTGATTCACGTAGATGGCGGGTACATTGTCCAGTGCCTCAATCATCAGGAAGGGGCCGGGGTTCAGGGCCCTCCTCGTGGGACACTTGCTACCAGCAGAATCATGTCAAGAAAGCGATGAGGCTCGAAACATTTGTCTTTATAACCGAGCTCTCTATAATTCAATCTAGTCTATTGCATCCCTCATAGAGGTACTTTTCTGGGGATGGCACTGCCGATCTCGGCACCTTCGGTTAGGTCCTTGACGACAACAGTGGTATCAAGCTTCGTAGCTGGCGTCGTCCCTTCCGCTTCTGTTAGCCTTTCTATCGTTCTTGGCCCGTTTCTTAGCCTCCTTTTCCTCTCGCCGTTCAGCCTTCTTCTCCAACTTCAGAGCTTTCTTCTCCTTTCGCGATAGCCGAGGGAACTCGCTTTGGAGACCCAGTAGGTAGCGGCCTGGGTGGACAACGGCAAGGACTGCGAGGGAGAGCAGCATCGGGAAACAATCGAGCGCGTAGGCGTACTCCTCGTGAAATGGTATGGGGTTGTCGGCACCAAGACCCCCGGAGAACTCGACGATCCTAAAAATGATGCGGACCTACGTTGTTAGCGAGAGGCAAATCGTCCGCCAGGAACTTAACTTACAGTGATGCAAACCAAGACAATATAAAGCGCAAACAGCAGCGGCCTCCAACTCGGCTTTTCGTCCAACGTCTTCGTCCGACTACACTGTCTTTGGAAAAGAACCATGAGGCCGAGAAATAGAAGGACAAATAATTCCTGGAGACCCAAGCCGCCCAGGTAAATATTCAACCCGATCCGGACAGCGTTGGCGCCCGCACTAGGTGTTGCCATGATGCCGCCAGCGCCCTGAACGAGGAAGCTCAGCACGTCGGCAATGACGAACCACCTGGCTATTACGGTCGCTTTCATGCCCGCAATCTTGCCCTCTGGGTGCCAGTACAGGACCATCCGCGCAAAGGTCATGTACACGAACGCGTTAATCCACAAGGGCGCGAGCAGAAACAAGAGTTGCCAACTCGTCGCATAACCTATGTTTTGTTGGTCTCTGGAACCGATCGAGTGCAATGTGAAGGCTAACGTCTCCCACAAAGCCCCCATGATGAGAACCCAAGCATAACGCTGTCAATGTTAGCCGAGGTGCCTATGAGTAGGATAGCTTCTTACCTTTTTGAAGATGATAGCTTCAAAGACGTGCATGGCGGATAGAACGCCGAATAGCACGGCCACAGCTACCGCAGAGGCAAACTGGGGATCGAAGTTGTAGTTGGCATTGCATGCCGTGTGGGGGACGTAGCCATTCGGACCTGGCGTAACATATAGACATTTTTCCTCTTCGTTCCATTCGTCTCGGCGCAATAGCCGGTTGGCTATCGTTGGGTTATTGAGCAACATCGGTACGGCAGTGTTAAGTGTATAATGGTGTGGTGACTGGGGACGATGGTCGGTCGAATGCCAGCCCAAATTATAACCTGACTTCACATCGTAGGCTTCGGCCCCTATAGACCTCGACGGGCATCATCTCTTCTCACCACGCGGAAAGGATCCCCGTGCCTGAAACGCCTTCCCAACAATAGCAAAGTTTCCGGTCGCCGCTGTGGTGCATGGGTGCGTGGCTCGTCGATTTGGCCAGGGGGCGGAGTCCCGCTGAATCCTCCCGAGTCGTCAGCCAACCATGTTGCATCCCGATAGTGGTTGTCAACGCAATGTCCACGCAAGCTCGGCCGCATTGGTTGGCTAGCCGAGCGGTGCGATTGTTCTGAGACGCGTGTTCTTAAGAATTGGCAAGTTTCGTAAGCAATGGCACCTTGACAGGATCCCTTGTTTGCAGACATGAATGCGCGGATTCACAAGCTGTGCAAACTAAAGTGTTTATAACTTACCCAAATTATAACACCGCCTGTCTGGCTCCATATTTACGGCGCGTTCTTGTAGTCGGGAAACTAGTAGCTGTATTATCTATCTGTCTACTAAAATGAAGCTCTCCTGGGCTTCTTAATATATAATGACATATAATCTGGAAATAGAAAAATAAAACTTCCTTCCTTTAGATAGGTATATCCCGGTCTATCTATAATAGAGGTAACATCGACTTCGAAACACCAAACACATTGCAGGCAAAACAACGATAGTGTGTAAAGGTAAGCTAAACAACCGCATAGACGGGAGCCAGTGGCATTGGCAAGGCCTATGAGAGCCATTCACGCTGCACGGTATAGGCCAAGTGTGTGAATTAAGCGAGACTTGACGGATACCTTTTACAGTCTCATAAACGGGGAACTAGGGGAAGGCCTTGTGGCGGAGCATAGGGGGTAAGCTAATCAAGCAGCCTAAGCCCCGAGTACTTGGACGTTAACAGTCCCAAGTCTCAATATGTACAATACCATGTCACCAGCGGGCACGACCAGGTGCGGCTCTCCGGGACGGCAGCCGATGTCCCCCTTGTAGGATCCAGACATTGTCGCCGACGCCGGCATCCGGTCTTGCTTTGGACAATATGTTCATCGTTGCGGGTATGAATGCAGACCCCCTGTGTCTAAAAGATAGCTTTACCCTGTTTCATTTCATTTACTATCTTCCTCTTAGTTACTTATTTATCTTTTCTTGAGTTCTTGGTCCTCTGGACTTCGACTTTCTTTTTGTTAGAAGGTATTCCCCGAGGGTCACGACTCAACCATCCTCTTAATCTCAAAATGTAGCTAGCTTCGAGTAAAGCACATGTCACCGACAAATGGTGAGTGGAGGCGACGGCCAAGTGCCTACACTACCTCTTACGTGTGTATAACGGAAGCTGGTGCTCGCCGGCCGCCCTCGGCATCCCCTGGGGAATCTTCACTAACCCTCTGCCAAACACGGCCGAATCCGGTAACGTGCCCCCCGTGGGAGAGGCTAGTACTACTAGAAGTTGCAAAGTGAAACACCCAGAAGGCCAGGATAACTGAACACGATAGAAGCCCAGTCATAGCTGCCCTGAAACTCAGATCCATAGCTTCTCTTGTCCAAAGTGGAGCAATTATCGCCGCCAGAATGCAGCAGCTGAAAATAATGATCAGGGGCCTGCCGCGAAGCTTCCATGCCACCCAAGTGAATATCTTCCGCGCCGGTATATCCCGACTCGTGATTTTCTGGTCAGTGCGAATCTGGCGCGCCGTTTTCAGGAGCAAGCCGCTGACCACCGTGCTACGCTGTATGAGACGGAGCCCGTAGGAGACGGACACGATGACAATTGCTGTAATAATAAAGGCGTAGACTGGAGGTGGACTTTCCACAAGCTCCCGTACCTGCATGCTGAAGAGACTGGCTGCAAATGTGGTCGGGATGAAGAGAAAAGCTAATTCGGTGAGGCGGGACACACTCTCGGCTTCTTCGATGCCTCGCTTGCTTTCAAGCAGTGACATCTCGGCCCGTAGTCCCTGTTGGGTTTCCTCGCACTTAGCAACGGTGCGTGTGAAGTCAACCCCTAGCGCGGCTAAACCCGTTATCAGTTCAGGAGGTGGTCCTCTGTCCTCGCTCGTGTAAGGAAAGCTGAAGAACCCGCGAATTGATTTGTCGAGTGCCGGTAATTGGTTCTGAAAACGGCCCAACAGGGCCCGCCAGTGTCCCAGTTGTTCCTGCACTAGTGTTTCGTCCATTGAACCGGCGCTGATTTGGTCAAGTACGCGGTCGACATGCTCTAGAAATATAATCGTATCCTGTCGAACTAGGTTAAAGACAGCGAGAAGCTGAAGATCGAGTGTTGTGCAGCCCGCGAGACCCGGATCACGAGCCAGCACTTCTAGCCAAGCCTCGACGTCAGAACACGCGTCCTCCGTAGCGTTCGAATACACACCGAGCTGCTGTAGTGTGGCAGGGTTGCTGTCAAGATGAAGAGTCGGAGGCCGCCTTGGAATCGGTCGTTTCAAAAATGGCGTTACTCCGGCCCCGGTCGGCTCGGTTCTCCCGGGCCCGTTGACCAGCTGTGGGAGCGGGTCAAAAAAGACGATGGCTGGGACTGCGAGTTAGCACTTTATATTTAGTCCAACGATGAACCTATTCAGAGCCTATCTTCCCCAAGGGGCTATGTGCGCTGCGTGTGGTCTCTGGGCTTGGGGTAGAGGCGGCGGCGTTTAACGTACGGCATCTTCTTTGCGAGCAACTCCCCCAGCAAAACGTGACTCGTTCTTCCCATGCAACGATATTCGATTCTTCCCTCTCGTCCTCGGTACTCGATGAGTTACTAGACGCGTCGTCTTCGCCAATCTCGACTAGGTCATAGACCGTGCCCTGGAGTTTGCGTTTTGGGGGCCGGAACGTTGAGGAAAGGGGCCACTCGCGGCGGAAGATATTTGTTGACGTGTGTAGCTCATGATTGTGTCTCATCAAAGTTACTTCTCCAGCTCGGCCGCGCCGCTTGCTCTCGCGGGACCATCTCAAACCGGTCTCGAGGAGCTGGTGGCGGGAGAATTCGTCACGAGGCTCCATGTCCTTCCTCAAAACCACGCTAAACCATTGCAGTGAAACATGGGCTCTGCACAGGAATCGGGTTGGCCACGTACTCGGGTCGGGGTCCGAGTACGAGGAGGCGGTATAACCGGATTGAACGAGGTGTGCCTCAAAGGTTTCGGGACTCAGATTAAATGTTGGCCCAAGGGTGTTTATGATCCCGCTCGAGATATCCCGCACAAACACTGCTTGAGGTAATGACCCTGTCCCGCTTGAATCGGGTGTGAATTTCTTGGCCAGGGATGCTGGATGAAGACTGCCCCGTAATTGTTGGCGATCCTGAATGCCCGTCCCGTGCCCGAACCACAGGAGCGAGATAGACGCACTTGAAGCAACGCGTGAGGGCGACAAAACGTTTCTCCAATGGGGCACCAGGTGTCGGCTCGGTCGAAATGAGTCGATATAATTCTGACCTCCCTCTACCGAGCTCGTGTCCATTTGTTCCTGGGGTTCGTTATTATTGGTTCCATCCGCTGGGCTGTTGCCCACGGTCCCGATGAAACTCGTGCTGCCGCTCCCAGGGCCGACAGCTTGGGCCCGGGCATCAGCCGGCGGTTCACCCCCTACAGGCATGAGCTCGGTGTCGGAACTCATATGGAAGGGACTTAACGGTGACGAAATGAAGACTTGGATAAAGTTCACAAAGTATCTGGTTGTGTGACTGCTTAGTGAGGAACGACCCCCGAAGGACTTGGGACGAGAAGGTGGCCGGGTCAAGCAGGGTTCAAGACCGAAAACGGAGTACGAAGTATTAATGACATGATTGGACACAGATTTCCAATGCTTTGACGCCACGGGGCCGCCAATCCAGGGCTTCTCGACGCTTGGCAGGGTTGTGTCCGCAGCTCACCGCTTTGTTGGGAATATTTGAGGGGGCTGGGAATGATGAACCCACGAGAAAGAGCTAATGCGGGGGTAACAACTCTCCAATCTACGAAGTGTTTGCCGGCCACACTTGAATTAGCCTTGGTTTATGCGTGACGAAGAGTCTTATTCCATGACCCTTCCTTGTATTTACTTGAAAGGCAAATCATCAAGATACACACCCCAGTGGATGGCAACTAAGAGATTTCTGGAATGGTGCGGAACGCCGTATCATACTTCAGTTTGGAGGTGCGACGACGCGTAGGTAGGTGGGCCATTTCTCCCTAAATATGATTATTTATAAAAACCTCAACTCACTGTGTGACGAACTTTAGTCTCCCTCCACAGGCCCGTACAGCTCCTAAGCTGTGCAGCCACTGTGCTTTCATGTCTACTCCTATCGGGTTGCACATCCGCTCCGCTATTAGCCAACATTTATGTTGTCTCCTTTGCGTCCACGGGCCCACCCACCGCCACTGCTAGTTGGACAACCTCGGAGCCATCAACTACGGAATTCTCACCCGTCGAGGTCCGCGTCGGCTACTTCTCTCTCTGTACCCGAGCCGAAAACCAGGTCCATTGGATTTGTGGTGACCAACTTGGGAACCCCTTTCGAGGAACGCCGGATCCATGGGATCTATACAAGAAAGCCGAAAATTATAGAACACAAGTCATCTCGCCTATCTTCCCGTAAGTGGTACTTCACTGTAATGTGTCTCTCATTCTCTTCTCGGGGCGGATAATTTCCTCCTCGTTTTACTCTTTCGTCCTCCTCTTTTTCTTTACTCACCGGGCCCTCTCTTCCATTCCTCGTTGTTTGCTAACAGCAATCTCAGAATTATTTCGCTCGCGCTCAATCTAGCATCCATTACTATCGTCTCATCCTTCCCCATTACCAGGACAAACGAGCCGCTATCCGTTCGAGAGCGAAAGACCCGAGCCATTGTGATCGCGCTCCCCATAACGGCGATCGTTACCGTTATTGTTACATTTGTAGCGGCCTTATGGCAGCACACTACAGCGGCAACGGCATCGCCGTTGGTGAGATATCTATCTTCAAGTGCACTTACGTGTGTGGTTGGGCCTGCTGGTACGACCTTTGTATGGTTGATCTTTGGTACCTCGCTAGTAACAGGCTCAATGCTATGTCGGGCAAGCCTTACAATCAGTTTAGACAATGTGGAGGATGATTCCACCCTTACGACGCAGTCTAGGATAAATTCGTGGCTTTCAGAGAGGGAAAGAGTATCTTCAAGTTGAGAAAGCGTACTGAAATATATAAACCTAGTCCCCCGGCGTCAATATAGATTTGTCGTCATTCTGTCATCCCACCCACTGTCTCACGTTAGGGGTTATCCTAGTTAGAACATTGTCATTCGTCATCCGTCATCCGTCTCATCTTCCTCGCCCGCTTCCCAGAATAGCGAGGAGACAATAATGACGACAACGATGAACGCTCAGACCAGGAAATTAGATACAAACGACTCACCAACGGCCCATCGGCTCCCGGGACTGGCATATAACGCACCACACCCGTTGTCTCGACTCCATCCTTCCTTTCTACCTCGCCCTCCGGCTTCTCAACCTTGTCCTTCGACTTCTCAATCTTAATTACCAAGGTATATAATAGCAATGGATACTCTAGGAAGCTTCTTCAATGGCCGCATTGCGCGGTCCCTGCTGGGTGTCAACAACTTTATCATCTTGGCCTCTTCAATCATCATCACCGGCATCCTGTCGTATTTCCTGCACTGGGGCTATCGAGGGACACATCTGGTATACAACGAGGTTATCGTAGGTTTGCAATCGGTCGATCTCCAGCGGGTGTAGCTAATTTGGATAGGCTGTCCTCACGCTCTTCTTTTACCTCATCGCCATGGTCCTCCCAGCACTGAAGTCGTACCGTGGATACCTGCTACCGCTCAATCTAGCGTTGACGTATCTGTGGCTCACCTCACTTATCTTCTCATCCCAAGAGTATAGTGGAAACCGATGCCGTTACTCCTACTACTCTTCGAGAGCAGTCAGTCGTTGCGGTTTAAAGCACACAGTTCAAGCTTTCTACATCATCGGATTGTGTGTCTTCTCTCCCCAATTCTTACCGGGTTCTAACATGGTGACAGCGCCTTCCTTCTGTTCAACACCATTCTCGAGGCTCTGATGTGGGCCAGCCATCGGCGCAACCGACAAACGGGCGTCGCCGATCCCGAGAAGGATCGTCCGTTGACGACCACCACTGGCAATACAACAGTTACGGGGGCGACGAATGGAGATCGCGTCGCGCAGGCCCCTGTTTGAAGGGCCAGTTGGCCGATAAAAGGTGACATCGGCAGTCGAGTTGGCACCAAGAGAAGCAGTACCCAGTGCGTTAAATGGGGAGCGTAACGCCTCCACGCTGTTCACTGTATGATTGATGCGGAAAGGTGGCGGTCGCTCGTGTGGGTGGTTGCGGCATTTCCTAGTAGGCTGTCGAAAAGTTGGCATTGTGTCATATTATATCCGGTATTGTTTCCAATGTTCGTTTGTATCTGGATAATCCATACTTTCAGTCGTACTTCAACTCAATGACTCGTACTGGTTGCTCTTCCAACAATTCCCTAACTGCGTGGGCACACCAACTCTGATCTACAATAATATCTACCTAGGTAGTTACTGCTATTCTCTTCGTACTTTATTACAGTCTCGGTTGCAGCTTCGGGTTAGGAAGCAACTAAAAGCAGAGTACTCTAAGTAATGGAAGACGTGTGTCATAGCCCCTTACAAGGGGCCAATTAGTGTGCCTTCTCTTTAGGTAGGTAGCTTCCTATTATTTTAGCCCCCCAACCCCCTCCCCCAGAGTCCGCAGTCCACACACTGGGACCGGAACCCGCTAACCTCTTATCTTTTTACCTCGTTTTGCATGTCTCCCTTGCTTATTTTGCCAGGGACGGTGTAACCGAAGATGGCAAACAGAACCTTGAGGAAGTGAGGACACCCGGTGAAGTAGAGAAACATGTATAGGCCGAGAGTATGGAAGCTTTTAAACTCACCTCCATCTCGCAGGTGCCTCAAGATGTCCCGCCTGTGGGCCTTCTACTTTGACCAACCACCCAGGGCACGCTGCTTTTACATTGATTGTGCATGATTTGCCCGCCTATCATATCTAGGTGATAGTGTACGCCAACCACGGACTGCGCTGTGATCATGACAGGGATTCCAGTGGTTAACACGACATCGAAACGATACAGTCATCGTGGGAGCAAGAACTGCGGGAGGTCGACACCTTGTGCCGGGCCACTGCCAAACTCGGGACCTTGTCACGTCGGTCCAAGGCTCCAAGCAATGCCGCGGTTCAACATAGTAGAAAACGAGGTCGTAGTGGTAGAGTCGCTCAAAGCCGCCAGGGCCGAGCTACGGTGGCGTGTCAGAGCCCTCCCATGACGGCCCAGGATCAAAGTCCAAGGGTAGCTTGAGACCTTGTGACCCTGGGTTGGCTTGGGTTCCGCCGCGTCCCTTCCGCGTAGGATACCAGCGCGAAAATCAGGAAACGTACGTTGTACCAGGTTTGTATGCTGCAATCTTTCCGGTTGGTCTCCGGTGCGCGCGGGTTCCGAGCAATATCCTGAAAGGCTGCTGATGGCCACGGTGGGATGGATGATTAGTCGAGGGGCCCGCTTCGCATTCTCGCACTCGCATGGACAGTTTACCAACAATGCGATTGGCCGGCTGCCGAGAGCTGTCACCAAGACACATAACAAGTTCCCGGTTCCGAAACGGGGTGGTGGCAGTCCTATAAAACGAGAACAAACTGTGCTTTTTGCACATTAATACTAGAAGTTCTCAAGCCCAACGAAAGTAAAACCATAATAATCTTCAACATCTCAACTTATTCTTCCTTCAAACGCGATAAAAAAACCCTCGACGTTTCGTCGACTCACTGGGTACAATACTCTTCTCCAAACCACTCCTAACTAAACATGCCGCCCGCTAGTTTCAAGGGGATCTTCGCTCCTACCGGGAAGCGCAGTTGGGAAAAGGCATCCGGACTCGCGGTAAGTGCCCAAGACTCTAGGATGGCCGCGGCACAATCTGTCTAACAGCCCAACAGAATTTCTTGAAGGACTCGTTTTCCCTCCCGACCCTCCTTGTGCTGGCTGGTTTCGTTCAGGGTGTTCTCTCGCTCATCCTCCCGTCCCGCTACGCCCTCCTCCCCACCGTCTTCGTGCTCCTACGCGCCGTGGTCTGCGCCATCCGCGACGTTACCTCCCTTGAACGGTTCGTCGCCGAGCGGGGTGTTATCAAGGGGCGCACCTCGGCCCAGCTTCCGAACGCAAGCTACGACCCCGTCCTCGCCGAAAAGGCCTCTCCGTTTGGTTCCGCCCCGGCGGAAAAAAGCATCGTAGTGCTCCACCTGGGCGCTCGCTTCAACCACCCGCTTGGCGGGTTGGCGCCTGGCAGCAAGGAAGTTACGGAGAAGTTCATGGCTTGCCACAAGGAGGTCCTAACGCGCGCAAAGGAGTTCGGCTGCCTCGGGGGGACGTCATACCGGGGGGACGAGACGGCGTCCAACAACACCGTCATGACCGTATACTACTTCCGGGACTTGGACGGGCTGAACAGCTTCGCGCACGACCGCGTACACCGGGAGGCGTGGGACTGGTATAAGAAGGAGTGCCTTAAGAAAGGGTACTCGCATATCGGCATCTTCCACGAGGCCTTCTGCGCGCCGGCGGGCGCCTACGAGACTATCTACGTCAACATGCAGCCCACGCTACTGGGGGCAGGCAGCGCGGATGTCAAAAACGAGGCAACCGGGACAGATGACTGGGTACGGACCGTCGTCGACGCCTCGAGCTCGGTGTGGCGGAGCCAACATTCGCGGATGGGCAGAGGCCAAGCGCGGGAGACCGACAACTGAGTCGGGCACGGAACAGTGAACCAGGGCAACGGAAGTAAGACGCGGGCATACAAGCAACATAGAGGGCATGATATAAACGATGACAATTAACATAGATGGTATCATAAAAACAATCGTGACAACGCCGCATGGCAACCCAGCGCCAGACTCCAAACCCACAAAAGCCCACTCACAGCGCCCGCCCCGGCAGCTCGTGGCGGTCGCGGTCCTCCATGGCGTATATGTCCTTTTGCACTTCGTGCATATCAATGTGGGCGACGGCGCCATCACCGTCAAAGATGCGTGCAATATCCTCGAGCGTCGGGCCCTTTGTCTCGACGTAGAAGAACCAAACGAAAACGAGCTCGCAAAGATCCCACAGGGTGTAGAAAAGCATAAAGTGCCAGTGCTTCGGCATGCGCTCCCACGCGATCTTGTTGGTTTGGCTTTGTCGGTCAGCATACGTACGGGGCCGGAGAGGCACACGGAAACATACTTGGAAATAGCTAGCATGGCCTGCACGGTGATGTTCATGATCATCATGCCCTTGGCGCGCAGGTGGAAGGGCAGGATCTCTAGCGCGTAGGCAACCAGCAGGCCCGAGAAGCCAATGTCGTAGAACACGCCAAAGATCCAGATGAAGACGAGCTGGGCATAGCCAGCCTGAACGTCGAGCTCCGCCGAGTTCTCATAGATGGCACCCGTGATGGTCCAGGCAACAAAGGACAGCACCATGCCGACCATGGAAACGAGGAATAGCGGCCGGCGGCCATAGCGGTCTACGTTGAGCGCGGCGGCAACGGTGACAATCAGGTCGAGAAGGGTCTTGCCCGTCGACATGGCCAACTTTTGGTTCTGGTTAGTGATTCCAGCGCCGAGGTAGATAGCGTTCATGTAGTTGGAGAAGAGCGCGTTGCCGCTGTACTGCGAGATGACGCCGAGGGACACGATGATGGCTAGTCGCCAGCGGTTGCCGCGAGTGCGCAAGAAGTCGCGGTATTTGGTGGAGCGCTCCGTCTCCTTCTGGATGCGGATGGTCTCGCGGATCTCGCGGAACTCGAACTGCACCGTCGCATTGTGCGGGTCACCGCCGGCGTGCCACTTGGTCAAGATGTGCAGCGCCTCCTGGTGGCGCTCTTTGTTGACGAGGTAACGGGGCGACTCGGGGATCCACCATATGCCGGCGAGCTGGATGAGGGACGGCACGACCTGAATGAGCGTGATGGACCGCCATGACCACGCGGTCTTCACGTTGGCGGTACCCCAGGCGATGCAGGATACCAACAGCGCGCCGGCGTTCCACAGGCAGTTGTAAATGGCCGTTACAGGGCCGCGATGTTGCGGGTGGCAGATCTCGGTCAACAAGAGCGGCGAGGCCATTTGGGCGAGCGAGTTGCCGAAGCCGAGGACGAAGCGGCCGCCCATATACACTGCAGCAGTTAGCCGACCCGGCCCCGGCGCCGGAGTTCGAACGCGGTGAACTCACTCCCATAGCCGTTGCAGAAGGCCGTCAGGAACCCGCCGGCAATCATGAAGAGGCAGCCACCGATGATAGCTGGCCGGCGGCCGTAGTTGTCGGCGACGTAGGGCGTAATGAAGAAAGACACGATCGAACCGATATTGAACATGTTGACTAGGATGGCGAGCTTGCTGTCGAGCACGGGGTCTTTGAGGTTCGGATTGTCCTTGAGCTCCGGGAAGAAGAACCAGTTCCAGGCGTCGATCTGCTGCGACGTGTTGACGAGCATGCCATCGTACCCGGTCGTCGCCGAAGCCACCATGAGAATGATGGCCATGCCGTAAAGCTTCCGGAGATGCGGTTCCTTCGTCCAGTACACCCTCTGGAACCGGGGCGTTTCGTGAACCACCTCGAACTCAGCCGAAGCCGAGTCCGGCCTGATTTTTGATGACGCCATCGCAACCTGCACCCTTTGCCCTCCTCGATGTGAAGCCTCTGTGGTGTCGGTTCGGATTCAGTTCGAGTTCGATGGGGTCCGGGCGGAATCGAAAAGCGGCAGAGGAGAGCCTCCCGGCTCTTGGGCGGCGTGAGGGGCATTCATAACGAACCGGCGAGGTCTGCTCCGGGAACCCACCTGTCCCGGCAACGTCCTGGTGCCTGCACCCGCGCAGCATGGTATCCGTTGGGGTCTGCGTTAGCGTTCTGTGATCCTTGCCTCCTTGGGTCTCGAACGACAAGGGCTGGATGGGAACAGTCAAGGTTGACAGGCCGTGGACTGAACGGGAAGGAGGGTGACATTGCAGGGTAAAGCCGGTTGATGGGACCAAACTGGATGAGTTCTGGCGGCCCAGTAGTGTCCAAAATAGTTGGACGACGGAGGGCTTGGCAAAGCGCCGAAACGGCCAGGCGGACAAACGGCCCCGAGCTCAGCTACGAGTACAGATTACCGTTCGTCACTTCGTTGATCGAGACGTATCCGAATCGTGGCCAGCATCCGAGTCAGGCCGGGGTGAGGGGACATGAGCGCAAGTATACGATCATTGGTGAGCTTCCCTCGTCTTCACGTTGGCCATGAGAACCTCGAAGGGGACATGACTTCTGTACCAGCCGTCGGCGGCGGAGACCTGGCCGGGAGTGGCGTGGCGCCTGGGCTTGTCTACACTAGAAGGCGGGAGAAGCACCCTTGGCGGAGAAGCAGAAGCGGATGCGGCAGGGGATTCGTCCCCGCAACGCTTGATCGATCACCTTGCACGCGACCAGGCCTCGCAGGCGTCACGGTCTCTCCTCTCCCTCTCCGTCATCGCATTTTGAAACCATGAAAATCTCAAGAACGTCCCGTCCCGCCTGGTGGCTATCCGTGCCATCCTGCCCAAGATGCTCCCGTCGTTCACTTTCGCTTGTGAAGCGAGGAGCAAGTCTGACGCGCAGATCGATCCCAACCCGAAGTCCGGGTGGTTAAAACGGCAAAATGCAAAGAACCTCCCAGTGCTCCCCCATTCAAGGCAACCAATTGACAGGAAACCTTGTTTCGGCCGCTGCAACGGCTCGGCGGGGAAGCCGGGCCACCTGACGGACATCGCTTGTGTTACGGAGGGGAAGTGTCGAAATTGCGCCGTCGAGTGGCGATCGAAAAGGATTCGTCGCGGACTCGGTGTGCTGTGAGGAGTGGTCTTGCAGCGCGACCGGGCTGAGACAAGAGAGGGAGACAGGAGGAGACACAAGGAGGGAACAATTTTGTCAGTGGCAACCAAAGTCTAGCAAGCATGGCCTGTCGGCCCCATGGATCCTGACAAGAAGCGTGTTCGTGGATTGGTCAATGCGGAGGAAGCCTGCTGTGCCCCATGCAGTCAGCACACGGCGCCGTCAATTCCTGCAGGGGAAAGCAAGGTGAAAGAAAGCTGCGACAGTCGCTTGCTTGGCCAGCACCGACACCGACTGCTAGACTTTTCTGAGGTTGGCTCCCACTAAGCCCGAGCCAGAGCTCAAATGCGGGGTTGGTTTCGCCGCGAGATGATTGCATCGCTCTTTCCGTCGCGGCCTCGGCATCCCGCCTCCCCAGGTCGGGAAGCAGGGACGTTGATCCGGGGTTGGGAGGAACCTCAGCAGGCCCACTTCGGCTGCCAGACCCCATCATGCGCGCACAGACTCAATTTCCCAAGGGCAAATACCACCAGCCAGATGTTCTCCCGTCAGCTTGTGAAAGCCAAATCGTTTCACTTCTTCAATAAAGAAGGTCCAAAAAGCAGACTGGGCTCGCTCGTTCAGAAATAGGTGCGTGCGACACATGTACATAGAAACACCGGCTTGGTCGACCTGTGTCGGTTGTTGTGTTGTGCCCGGCCCCGCCTCTGCATGAAATACCGGACCCCACCACAGGCATCCGAGCGCGAGAAATTCCTGGGGAAAAGGGCACTCTGCATCCATGTTGTGTTCCAGAAAAGGTGCTTTTGATGGCACAGTGACCGGGGCTCCTTGCCCCAATCAACCCCTCAACCCTGACTCCCGTCTGCCACAGGCGAGGGATGCCCAAACGCCACGCCAAAGTTCTGGACAAGGTTCTGAAAAATTGAGATGACATTTCCAGAAATCTGAAATTGCTCGAACAGCAAAACAACGGCCGCCAGACTGCTTGGAGAGTGCTCCCTTAAAACCAGGTTTGCAATTTCTCGCCGCGTCACACAACACCGGCAGGCGTGTGTCAGTGCTCTGCATTCGGGCGGCACGGGAAGCAACAGGGCGTAAACCTGGAAAAGCACGGATCGCGGCCCCTCACAGACGGCTCGACCACGCCGCTGGATTTCTCTCTCTCAGCTCGGACTCGGACTCGTTGGCTCGCATCAAAGTCAGGGGGCCACAAGACGTGGCGCCCAGACGTCAGTGATCAAAGGACTGGGGCCGAACAGCATCTCCATCCGCAGACTCGTCACACTATTCGTACACAGACAACAGCTACCCAAAAGACTCAGGCACGTGCCAGGGTGCCTTCTTGTCGCAAGGAACATCGACTCCCGGCATCGCGGGAGCTTGAGTAAACAGAATAACTCACACCAGCGTCCCCTCTAAAACAATGATTCTCATTAAAACTTCAAAAAGTACTCCCGACCGTCCACGACCTCCCTGTTACACCCTACTTTTCTGGTCCTGCTGGCACCAGCACGGCAAACCCCCAGTCGGGCATAGCCTCGTGCGGTCGAGTCAAGTTGGTCTTCATCCAGCAGGTGTGCGTCGCGCCCTTGTCGCCCTCGATGACGCCCCATCCTGCCCCCGTGCAGTTTGCCTCCGAGGCGCACGCGTCGATGCAAGCGTCCATGTTCCGCGTCTTGACGTTGCCAATGTCAACCGCCTCCCCCTCGCCACCGTAATCGACACCGCAGAGCCGCCGGAACTGTTTGCCTCCGGAACTCGCCGTATACATGGTGCCGTTGACCCGGGGGCATTGCACGTCAGCCGTCGTCGCTGTGGGGGATGCTGCCGCTGGTGCGGATATCGTAGTCGAGCTCGGCAACACAGCCTGACTCGTCCGCGCACTGAATCCGGTTAACCTTGGACAATGGCCCGGCCGAGGAATGTTCATACCTGCCCGCAGAGAGCGCATCCTGCGCTGCCCGCAAATCACCCTTCACCTGCCCCAAGTCCCGTTGACTAACCCCAAGGCCAGCGCTGAGCCCAATGACGGCGATCAACAGGAACACAACCACGCCCGTCACGCTCAGCGCAACGCCTCGTGTGACATTGAGCATAGTGGGGCTTGAGGCCGGCGGGTTGTGGTCATTGTGGTGCTGTTGCGGCTCGTATGCCTGCTGGTACTGGAACTGTCCGACCTTCTCCTGTTGGGCATCTGGCAACGGCTGGTACAGCGCAGGCTGCTGGACGTCTTGGTGGTGCTCCATTGTGATGCGCTATAGAGGTTGTCTAGTTCACGCGCAACTAGCGAAGAAAGCCAGACCTCCCGGGAGATGTCCTCTTTAATCCAGGCTGGCTCGGCCTGGACGTCGAGCTGAAGATTCCAGGTCTCACGTCAGCCCCTCAATGTGAACTTCACAAGTGAATGTCGTACACAGTATTCGTACATACGCCTAGAAGCACAGCAGGTGTGCAATGGTGGCAAGCGCGTTCATTTATCTCCGCCATCGCGACCACATTCGTCGAGTGCGAACGCCATGTTGACGGCAGGGGGAAATTCTGCATGGGGCCTGAGTAATCCCACAACCCAGGTTGACGATTCGACGGGTTCGATTGGCTGGCTTGTCAGGTCTCGTCGGACACGCTGCGGCACAGCAGGCGGCCCCTGCAACGGGACGGATGGGGGCAATGATACGAAGTACCTCCTTCCCAAATCACTCAACAAATCAGTGTCCCGTTCACGACTTCGTGGGTTGCAAGCAGCCGTGCTGCAGGCTTGTTTTCTCCCCAGGGACGTATTGTCTTGTCTTTTGTTGGTGTGCTTGGGCCGCCCTATGTGCTTTCGATTGCCGCGGTTAATTACGTGTGCATAGGTCCTTAGTATCCTTCAACTTGGTCGCATGTTTGTCTTTCCCGTCCCGGTCCCGATTGTACTTGTATCCATTGTCCCCAACAATGCAGTGATATCCGAAAGACCCAACCAAGGACTCAAACGGAGAACAATGGAGCAGACGATCACCACAACCAGGCATCCTCGCATAAATATGCGTGTCACAAAGTGGCTACGGCGTATTAGCCATGGGAAGGGGTTGCTCGGACACACAAGCCTGTCCTCGCTTCCCACCATGGCGCCGCCAATCGATTCTCACATACACCTCCCGGACGAAATTCTCGTACACATTGTCCAGCAACTTGACCCGATCACGCTCATCGCACTCTCCCAATGCTCAAAATCATGGAGGACGTTGATCAACCCCAACCACCACGACTATGTCCAGCGTCTCCTAGCTCTAGAGCTCACGCCCGAATACGGCGGCATCATACCGCTGTTCGACGAGGCCTCCCAAACGCTGTCACCGCCGTGGGAAAGCCCGGAGTGGAAGAAAACCAATTACGCCTGCTGCGGCTGCATGAAGCTGCTCCCGCACATGATGTTCGATAACCACGCCCTCCTCCGTCGGCCTTACCGCAAGCCGCCGCTTGGGAGCGTGGAGGCTAGCAAGGCCAGCATGACAGATTGGGAACCGTTGGAACCGAGCGCTAGATGGAGGCGGATCCATAAGAAAGCCGCGCTGTTGAAAGCTGAGCGGAAGAAATGGATCCGATTTGTTAAACGCAGCCGTAGCCGACAGCTGAGCTCGGAGCCAAGCCCAATGTTATGGGAATCGAGTCACTGCGACGTTAGTGAGAATATCGAGAAATATCTGGTCGGCATCGGGAGACAGTATCGCAGGTGCATTGAATGCCAGCGCCAAACCGGCGTCTTGTCCCGGAAGCTGTCTGGTTACTCCGATCTGGGCAACCAGATGATGCCGTTCACGGCCGTTGTAAGCCGACGGGTCAAGCTTACCTCTATTATTGAGAGGGAATTTCCTGGTCTTATGGAATCGTTGCCACCCGACCAAGTTCCAAGGCAACGACGGATGATGGGCGTCTCAACCAATGTCTTATCGTTCACCTTGTACGTCATCCATTGCCCCTCATGCGGAAAATGGCAGGAATCTAGCGCTTTTCGGCAGCCAGATCTATTTCAAGATGGATTCCTTCACCCGGCAAAGCTTAAAGGCCCTCTTCTTTGTAACCATTGCCACCTCAGTACCCATCAAGACCCGCGTTTACTCGCCCAGGAGCTCTCAGCCCACGCGCTCGCTATAGTGCAACACGCACGCACAGTCCTGGAAGAAGATTTTAAGTATGGCTGGGAGTCAATTAATCGGGAATTCAACTCCTGGTCACACTTTGAACCCCCTATACTCGGAAAGTATAAGGCCATGAACAAAGAAATCCTGGGTGGGCTGAAATTCCAAGGCCCGCTGCGTCGGAAGGATGACATTATTGTCGATCTTCCCTCAGCGCTCCCCGACCTCCATCGCCGATTTAAACAACTGCGCTATTTTCTTTACAACGAGGTCGAGCCCGGGATACGAGCCGAAGTCTTCAAGGACGAGTGGATGGAGATGTGGTTGGAGGACTATTCCTTGATGGAGGCTATGCTCCCTTGGCTAAACCAGCAGATCGCATGGGTCAAGAGCAATCCAAATGCCGTACTTAACCATGTGCTACACAATAACCCGTACCAGATCTAGGGTAACAGGTAGGTGTCGAGTGCTTTTGAGGTTTTGAATTGAGGCGGCCGACCACATCTATGGGCTGCTATTAAATAAAGTGCCTCGGTAGGAAGCCGGTCAAAACACCAACACAACCCTAAGCCGGCCAAATCCAGGAGTAACCAGCTGGCGCCGGCTGGGGCATCGCGCGGTCCGCCTGCCTACGAGGTACCCGGCACCCAGGTGCCCATCGACCAGTGACGTCCATCTGAACAAGACCATCCATCTGTCCCCTTCACTTTTCCACCCGCGCGTACACAGCAACTATCTGCTAGATTTCTTCATTCATGAACGTTATAAATGGCCAAGAGTATTATAGAATGCGCCCCCAACCTGGGCATCCCTTCCTCGCCACACACTGTTGACGTTTCCATCATTGACACAACCGCCACGGTCCGGGGAGTCTCTGCGGGACTGTTCCTATCCCCGCCTGTCGAAGGCTACGACTTACTAGCGGTTCCCGTCTTTTCCTTTCTCATCCAGCACCCTGGCCTCCAACGGTCCATCATCTTCGACTTGGGGGTCCGCAAGGACTGGAATAATCTCAGCCCGCCATTACGGTCCCAAATCGACCGCTTGGGCTGGACTCTGCAGGTGGAGAGGGACGTGAGCGAGATTTTGAACGATGCTGGCATTGACGTCACCAGCATCGAAGCTGTCATCTGGAGCCACCACCACTTCGACCACACCGGGAACCCCAACACCTTCCCTCCAAGCACCTCGCTCATTGTCGGGCCAGGGTTCAAGAGCATGCTCCCGGGATACCCAACGAACCCCAACTCTGTCATCCTCGAGAGCGACCTGGTCAACAGACAGCTGATCGAGCTGGACTTTAGCGTCGGGACGTCCGGCGCCCACACCTTTAAACCCCTGACTGTTGGCCGTTTCCGCGCGCTCGACTACTTCGGTGACGGCTCCTTCTACCTACTCGACACGCCCGGCCACGCGGTCGGCCACATTAGCGCGCTCGCCCGCGTCACACCTAGCCCGGAAGCGTCGTTCATCCTCCTCACCGGCGACGCCATCCACCACCCGGGCGAGATCCGCCCGAGCAAGTACCTCCCGCTGCCCGCGGACATCATCCCGGACCCGTTCGCGCCGGACCCACACCCGCTTGAATCGCACTACGGCTGCCCTGGCGCTACGTTCGACCCCCTTTTCGCCGGGCGTGGCCGGCCGGCCTGTGGGCCCGTGTACGAGCCGGCGCGGGCGGAAAGGTCTGTGGAGGCGTTTAGCCACGACATCGACGACCTACTGGAGACGGTGGCCAAGCTGCAGGAGGCCGACGCGCACGACAATGTGTTTGTCGCGGCCGCGCACGACGAGGCGCTATTAGATCACGTCGTCTTCTTTCCAGACGGCAAGATGAACGAGTTCGCACAGAAGCATTGGGTGAAGCGCGTGCGTTGGCGGTTTCTGAGGGACTTTGCCGGTGCCGTGGGCAAGCTGGACCATGAGGTTGGGAGGCGGCATTGGGGTTAGTCATAAAGGGTAGCGGGAATGAGAATGTCTCGGCGTGGGTGTTTGGGGCTTGAAAAGGGGGGCAGTACAAATTGGACCGAATGTGGTTTCTTTACAAAGCGCAGAACTAGTAACACCGCAAAGCACCCGCACACATAGGTGACCTGAGGGCAAACTCAACCTACCTGAGGCGCTGATGGATTATTTTACCGCTTAATTACTCCGGAATCTCTTCCAATGGCCGAATAAAGTACTTTGTGGGACGTGCTTGAAGACTACCTACCTAGGCAAACTCCTAGTTCGGATCTTGTTTTGATCGTAGCCATGATGCATCATTATTTGTTGAATTCGAGTTCTCACATAAATGGATCGTTAGGAATCGAGAACCTTGAACACCCTCTGTTAGGGACTCAGTCAGTCGAGTTTCTTTATTTTACCATCAAGACTCTGATTCAGATACGTTTCCCAAGTCAACCAACTGTGGTATGATCTGGCTGAGTTGATCCGGAAACCGCCAAAGGCGAGATTAGGATAATCCTAGTTAAATAAAGCGTGGAATTAGGGTAAATACGCGGATATCCCTTAACCACGCCGATATATCGCCCGAATTCCCAGAATGTCCAGACAAATTCCCCCGAATACGCCGTAAATAAACACGTAGAGCCTTGCGGGCCGCAGTAAATAGCACGAATGGAAAGACAACCCCGTCACGGTGCTCAGCGGTGCGGATTGTCGAGAATCAGCGCGCCGTCCAGGACCTTCTCCCGGTAGTCCTCGACGACGCCGGGCTGTTTGTAAGCCGACTGCACGAGGAGCGGAGTGAGGGCGGCCATGATGTTGTGGTTGAACTCGAGGTTCGTCAGGTTTTTGTCGGCCCAGTAATGACGGACGAACTGGCCGACGCAGCCGCTCTGGGCGACCTGGGGGTAGCCGTTGGCCTCGGTACACGGAATGGTGCGAATGTACTGCGGGTGCGAGTCGATACTATAGCCGTCGAGAAAGTCGTACCGGACGTGAGAGCTGAAGGCCGACTGCTCGTGAAACGGACGCTTTTTCCAGACCGCGCAACCCGGATACCGCGTCTCAGACGGGCACTCGGCCCAGTCCTTGAACAGGCGTTGCGTCTTCTCGCCGGCCTGTGCGATAATAAAGCCCGAGTTGACGTTGACCCTCCGGCGGACGTCGTAGTTGGGGTGGTCTAGAGGGTCCTCGGGCATGGCGACCAGGGCTTCGGGCCCGATCCTCCAGTAGTTCAGCAGCCACTCTAACGGTACCTGGGGCGTCGCAAACATGGCATCCGAGTCCATCATGACAACTACGTCGTACTGCTTGAGCATTTCCTTGGTGAAGATAACCTTGGACCAGTGCGGGGCGCGGTCAGGGTATTTGGGCGCGCGGATGAACTTGTATGAGTAGCCGTGGATCATGGCATACAAATAGTGGCTAATAAAGCCGGCGGCTGGACCCCTTAGGTTACCCCAGGTAGGTATCTGGTAGGAAAAGACATCGCCATGGTCGGCGAATTCGCGGTTGTCGAGATCGAGGATGCAAACCCGCTTCCCGAGCGGCTTGGTGTGGATCAGTTCGGGAAACGGCGGGAGGCGCTTCTTCTCGCCGTCGATTGTCGTGAAGGCCGGAGCCGTGATCGGCACGACAAGGGGCGCCCAAAGCGCGCGGATCACGTCGGGGATGCTGTCCAGCGCCGTCGGCTCGGCTCCGCATTTTTGATGGAAAGGGCCTGTTGAGGGATCGTCGAATACTACCTGAGGCCTGGTGTGTGGGACCGATGGTGAGCGAAGGAGATCCTGGGAAGTCATTTGCTAAACCCGATTCGCACTTACAGCAACGGTTTTGGAATCGACCCATTGTAGAGTCCAGTCGCGAGGACCAACGTGACGACGACAGCCGGCGCGAAAAAGACGAGTCTGCGCCAGGCCGGCGGCAGATTCTGGAGGGGCGTCATGCGAACGGCCAGGGGTCGGAATGTTCCCCGGTCAAGCGAGCCAACAGGAAGACGGGCAGCACTGGCGCGAATGCAGCGTGGTCCGGGCGGTGCGACTCGAGAAAGCTTAAAACGGTCAGGGATCGCGGGATTCACTGGCCCGGAGGGAGCTCGCGAGAAGAGAATGCGCGAATGAGAAAGTCGACGCTTGAACAGTCGGAATGAATTTCGATGGTTGAAGTCAAAAGAGGCCCTGTACCTAATCTGGAAGGAATTAGCGTGCATTGAGCCTGAGAGTGCAGTGACACGAGTTCTTGGACTGTGGGAAAGAACGAGTGACCAAACCAAGAACCATTCCCATCGGGTGCCTGGGGTCTCGGCTGTTGCCAGACGGCGTACGACACGGCACAGTGGCTTGAACTCCTGGCATCCTCATTGGAACAAGAACAAACAAACAAAACCTGAGAAACACGACCGCTATAGGTCACGATTTGTCTAATCGCAAATTTCCGTCCTCAGTTCTAAAAAAGCTAGCGTAGAGGAAGGTACTGTGTAGAGGCTTCTTCGATTGGCAACAAGGCGCATGTTTCCTCCCATAGGAAACTTATCGACGGCGGGAAAGGCGAAAACTGTTGAGAAAAAGCCGTCTTGTCTTGCGTGATTGTGTCCCCAAAATGTTTCACCGGCCAGAGACTTATTGAGATGCTAACAGAAAGGTCCCGAGTCACTGCGCGTCTTTCTACGGCCGAACAGCCCAATGCATAACGTCAAAGTCGCACACCACTCGGCCTGCCGCGGGTCTTGCGCCGATTTTATCATGAAATTTAAATGTTTTATTACTAGTAAACATTGTGGAGACGTTTCCGCAAACCTTTGATGGAAATTGAGATTCCATCGTTTGTTAAGGGATGGAATCGCTTAATTTGTGCACCCGGGACCTCGGGGTCTTGCCGAGCGTGGCTTCAACTGCCATGCAGGGCTGGCGTCGGGGAATCAGCGATAGAACTGCTGCGTCAAGTCATATGCAGTCTTCGAATTTTGGTGCTGCAGGTCGTGCATCCACAAGAGCAGGTGATGATGAAAGCTGCATGCAGCCGTGTCTCGCGCGATTATCTGGTGCGGAATCGCGGCGGTCATTTCATAGGCACGAAGTTATTTCACCCTTGTTGGGCAAACGCCAACCCCGAACCCCGTTGACAATGTCATCTCTTTGCTATCGACGAATGCCATATTCTGGCGGTTGAGGCTCGGAAAGGTCGAATAACGGAGGATCGCTAAGTTTTAACAATGCTCGATCACCTGATACTGCGGCACAGCCGCCAACAGGATTCCCCATCTCGTGCTGACGCCTGACGGCCTCGCTCGGCTCAACACGAGTGGGTGCACTGTTTTGCTTTATTCCATCGTTGTTATTTTTGCGAGCTGCTATGGACAAGTCACAAGTCGCTTACTCGCCGGACCGGCCCGGTTCCGACAGCCCGACGTCAACCACGCCGCTGCTTGAGCTCGAGTCTCGGAGTGGCGATGCGGAGATGACCCGGCGCGTCAACCGCAAGCTGGATTGGGCCCTCTTGCCGCTTCTCTCGCTCCTCTATCTGTTCAACGGGTTGGATCGGGGGAACATCGGAAATGCTCAAACTCAAGGTGATACCCCTGGCACGGCGGTCAGGAGTATGTTGTTGACAAGACCAGGGTTCACTGACGATATCGGCGCGCTCCCGGGGGATTTCAATCTCGCTGTCTCGTCTTTTTTCGTTACCTTCGTCCTCTTTCAGCCGCTGTCGGCTGCAGTTGGGTGGTGGCTGGGCCCGCGGCATTGGATCTCCATCATCATGGTGCGTCCACGACTCCAGGGGGAGCTGAGCTGAAGTAGACTGGGTCATGTGGGCCATTCCTGACGAGTTGTGGTTAGGTATGCTGGGGCGCCGTCACCGTCGCGCAGGCCTTCATCTGGGGACGAAGTATGTAGAGAACCCGGAGAAGTTGCCACCGCTAACTATCTTTAGCGGCCCTGATTATCACACGGTTGCTCATGGGGCTGCTCGAAGCGGGCTTTTACCCGACCGCGGTCATGTACTTGGCTTCGTTCTACTCCCCCTTCGACCTTGCCGTCCGGATCGGGCTGTTCTTCGGCCAGTACGCGATTGCCAGCGCGTTTTCCGGAGCACTATGTACGTTATACTCTCGGGCTTTGTCTCTGACCGGGCTAACGGGAGTAGCATACGGCATCTTCCTGATCCGCCATTCTACCCTGAGAAGTTGGCAGCTCCTCTTCATCTGCGAGGGCATCATCACTTGCTGCCTGGCCGTGACCGCGTGGTTCTGGCTCCCAGCAGGGCCTGACACGGCGTGGTTCTTGACGCGGAAGGAACGGGCCTTTGCCACACATCGGATGAGGCTCGAGCACCCCGGTCAGGGCGAGTTGGGTACGCTCACCAGGAGAGATGTCGTCGAGACAGCCAAGGACTGGAAGCTGTGGTTTGCGCTAGCCTTTAACATCTGCGTCAGCGTACCCGCGAGTGCCTTCTCCGTGTTTCTTCCTTTGGTGGTGCAGGGGATGGGGTACCGGGCCATCGAGGCCAACCTGGTAAGTCACCCTTGAAGCCGCCTCGGAGTCAGTCCCATTGCCCGCGGTGCAGTGCAGTGCATGGGCGATCGGCTAAGCACAGCCAACAGATGTCGGTCCCCCCAGCCGTGTGCGGCGCAATCGGCCTGTACCTGTTCGCATCAAGCTCGGATCGGCACAGGGAGCGGGGCTACCACATCGCCGCTGCCATCGTCATCACCCTGGCTGGGCTCGTCGGCGTGGTCACGGCACCCACCCATGCTGCCAAGTATGTGGCACTCTGCGTGTTCCTGTTCGGCAGCTACGTGCCGCCCCCGCTCACCGTGGCGTGGCTCAGCGGCAACACGCCCGCGCCGGGGAAGCGCGCCCTCGTCGTGGGCGTCAACGGCTGGGGGAACCTGGCGGGGGTCATCGGGTCACAATTGTACCGGCCCGAGTACGCGCCCGGGTATCGCGTGCCGTTTTTTGTGACACTGGGATTTGTGGCGGCGGCATTGGCGGGGTTCTTGGCGTTCCGGGCAACGCTGCAGGCGGTCAACCGGCGCAGGGCGGCCATTCTGGCGTCGAAATCGGTCGAGGAAATCGAGGTCGAGAGGAGCGGCGGTGTGCGGTATGCGGATAGGAAGTGGACGTTCGTGTATGGCTTGTAACGAACGGCGAGAGACAATTCCCATTCTTGTTTCGTAAAGCGCAAGTAGGTGACGCGTGCGTGCATGAGCGAGGGCTCGGTGAGGGAGAGTCGCTGACAATCCAGCGGCGTGCATGCAGCAACTTGCAGTCGACCCCCACTCTGCTGCCTTTTGGTTGCCCCGAAACCCTGCGACCGGTTTGATAACAGGCTGTTCGTCCGCAGTGGTGGTGGCAGCCTCGGCTCCATTGGTCAGGCGCCCCACCCAATCAGCAACCGTGAGCTGGGCGGTTGGGGCCCCGGAGTCGAGCCGGGTGGCATGGGTGCAGGGTTCAGGATGAGGTGCCGGGCAGTGTTGTCCAGGCGGCCCCACCGCCTAACCTCATTTCCCCCCCGCCAGACACCCGACCTCGCCCCGTTCCCTCCTCCACCACGGGTACAGACACCGAAAGCTTAAACTCATCTGCCGCGACGACATCGTGAAGTCGGTCGATCCGTTCGATAATCCCCTCCCCCAGCGAACCCGATGCCAGAACATGCCGAGGCCGCCGAATCCATCTGCGAACCTGGACCTCTCATCGACCTCGGCGGCGTCGCCGCTCCATCGCCTGCCCGTCAATCCCCGCAGGAAGAAGGTCGCGCCAGACGAGCGGAAGCGCGTGGCCACGGCGTGAGTGAGCAATCCGTTCCTGTCTTGCCGTCTCTCCGACTGACATTGTCCTACTTCCCCGCTCCCCAGCTGCAATAGCTGCAATGTGCGCCGCATCAAGTGTAGCGGCGAGCGCCCGTGCCGCCAGTGCACGAGCGCCCAGCGTGACTGCTTGTACCCGGAGCCCGTCGAGAGGGTAACCATCCCGCGGGCCGAGCTGGAGTCGCTGCGGCGTCGGTGCGCGTCGCTCGAGCGCCAAATGGCCGCGACGGAGCGCGGTGACCGCCGGCGGGAAGCCCCGCACCAGGTCGGCTCGCCCTCGGTCTCATCCCGCACGGACACAGCCGACTCGCTGTCTCTCGATGGCGATACGCAACACACCATCCGGCCCGGCGGCATCGACGGCCGAATGCTAGCTGACCCTGCCGGTACCACCCGCTATCTCGGGGAGACGTCTGGGGCGACCTTTCTCGACACGCTCAAGGAGCTGATCACGACGGCCACGCCCCTGGCGCAGGTGCTCGACGGCGACCCCGGAGAGACCCTCGCCGGCACCGCATTCCTCGGCTCCGTGGGCCAGTACCAGACGCACGATTCGCGCCCAATGGTGTTGCCTACCAACATTGACCCGCTCGCACTTCCTCCCGAGGATGACATGATCGTCGCCTTGAGGCAGGCCCGCTACTTCATCCAGGACGGCGATGGCGCTTTCCCCAGCGGCGGCATCATGTTCTGGCCGTTCGAGGACATCCAGAGCATCGTCGCGCTCGCGTCCCTCCCCGGAATGCAGGGTCCGGGTGGTCTGACGCGCCCCGGCCCTCACCACCGCGCCTTGGCCCTGTACCACACCGCCTTTGCCATGGCCCGCCTGCTGAACCTGCGAGACCCCGGCTCCGCCGTCGATGGCCAGCTGGGCGAAGACTCCTTTGCGAGGGCCCGCTCGCTTCAAGGCAACCTCCTGGACCGCACCACATACACCATAAGCGACATCGCCGTGCTAGCCCTGATGGCCTTGTATCTGATCGAGAACAACCGTCGAGACGCCGCCTACATGGCTATCAGCAATGCCATGGCCATCAGCGTCATGCACGGCCTCCACAAGGGTGGCTCTGGTAACGAGGTTGGCGTCCGGACATTCTGGACCGTCTACGTTCTCGATAGGTAAGCTCGTGTCATAGTCATTACGATATGATGTCGCCGTCGGAGTTGATAGCATGCTGACTCTCTTCAGGTGGCTGGGCTGTGTCATGGGCCGGCCGCCCACGACCCCAGACGACGCCATCACGCTTCCGCTTCCCCGTGAATGCCCGTACGTTTCTTCCTACCCTTACATCGAGTCCATGCCGTACTAACCGCTCCAAGCGGCCTTCCTTCTCCTGCCGGACTACGCGCTCACGTGGAGTTGTGCAAGATCTCGGATTACATCGTGTACAGCAGCTACCGCGAGGCCGGTTTGCCGGACCTGCTAACCAACGCCACCGTCCGCGTCGGCAAGGCGCTAGAGATGCTCCGGAAGTGGCGGGAGAGCCTACCCGCCTCGCTTCGGCTCCCGTCGGATCCTCTGACGCTCATACCTGTCGATCTGTTTACGCAGGCCGCTTCGTTCGGACAAGGTCCGGCCAGCCTGCTAACGGGCGCAGCTAGTTTCGGACAGGACCGAGCCTGCTGGGCGCTGCACATGAGCTACAACCAGGTAAGCCGCCAACACGTCTGCGGTGGGAGGAGTTGCTGACGATTAGCAGTTGGTTATCCTTGCGGTGCGTCCGGCGATGCTGATGGCGGTGTGGAAGGCTGTTGCCAGCATCGTATGCATCCACCAGCCCTTTGACATCGAGATTATGCACTCGCAGATTGAGCCGATCCGCGCCTGTAGCGATGCCGCCCGCCGCAACCTGCGGCTCGGTCGGCTCATGTGTCTACACAGTCCGCGACAGAAACTGTTACTGGGGGACCTTCATAATATCTTCAACGCCGCCATTGTGCTCACAATGCACCAGATGGTCTTTGTGAACCTCCGAACGCAGGACCTGGACGATGTTGGGTGGGCCAGCGAGGTGTTTGAGACGGAAGCCAAGACGGGCAATGAGTATGCCAAGGACTGTGCGCGCGTCTTACAGGACCTGAAATACCTCGCGCAGCAGCTGCGGAACCCGATCCACGACCCAGACACGAAGCATGTTCTTATGTCGGGCGAAGGTGCCCTCCGCGACCTGCTGGCCGACGACGTGGCGGGGGCGGACATGATGGACGAGGGTACCGAGAATGCAGCGGCCCCTAATGGGGACCGGGACTCGCCGAGGAACCAGGCAAACCGCGGCGGGCTGTACCAGGGGGTGGCAGACATCTACCAGACACTGTCGTGCTGGTGGCACGCGGACTACATGCAGTTCTACAATACCTTTCTTTCCTAGTTGGGCCCGGCTTGAGGCGGTCTTGGGGCGGTCTTGTTCAGTTGCGCAGGCTACCTAGATACCATGATGCTTTCTTTGCTGTATGAAACGGAATCGCTGTTTTTGGTCCACGGACACCCTACAAGGCCCCAAAGAAGCGCTTCTCCTCGATCTCGAGCTTCGCCGAGTGGTCTGCAATCTGCTGCACCGTCCACTCGCCAGATTCAGTGACGTACGTGTCAATTAGCCGTTCCGACACCCACTCAAAGAAGACATTGCGGATTTCTATCTTAATGGCGCGGTTGTGGTCAGGCGACTCAACATCTTTGACCGCCTCGCGGACTCGTGCTTTGTTGTGCTCTGCTTGCCAAGCTTGGCGGACTTGGGACGGGTCGTTGTCTTCGACGACGTGATCTTCGGGCCGTCCAGGGGGGGCGACTTTGCTGGACTCGGCTAGCACAACAACATGGGCTGTCGGAGAGACGTATTTTGCGCTCAGCACGGTTGGTAGCGAGCCCGTTTTATTGCTAACGGCCCCAGATGCGGCAATGCGGTCGGCTCCCAGCACAACTAAGTCGACGTCAGAAGACGCCAGGGCGGCGGAGGCGTCCGTGTAGAGTGTCATTTGGTGTGTTCGGGCTGTTCCGGAGGGCGCGGCGGACAAGTCCTCGGCCAGGTGCCCAGCCAATGACACGCCCTCGTACAGCGGGCGGGACTCGAGGATGTGGAAGTGGAGGGGAAATCCGGACTCGAGAGCCGCGTACCGCAGGGCCTGCCGAATCGTCGAACTCTCCGAGAGTGTCAGGATGGAAATAGGCTCGTGCGGGTCGCGTTTCGACCCAAAGGTCTTCTCAAGGTAAGCCGCAAAAGCCCGCGAGATCAACTCCGCCGATTCCCGCCTTGTCGCAACCTGGGCGTCTAGTTCGCGAAGAGCGGCATCCCGCCGCTGGTCCGCATGTTGATCTCTTTCAAGCACCCGCTCGATTCCCGCCAGGGCAGCCACCAGGGCGCTCATGATGGCTGCGCCCATGCTCTCCCTGCCGTTCTTCCATAGATGCCAGGCCACAAACCGCACCGCCACCCACCAGTCATCCTGCGCACGATCCTGTTCATTCATCCCAGAAATGACTCCTCTCAGCGTCTGCAGTGCTGCGTCCGCCAGTTGTCGAGCCCCGCTCTCGTGGTCGTGAGCCAGTGCTTCCAGCCCGTCCGAAAGCACTCGGCCCGCCGCCGGCCCGAGGTCAGCTTCGAACCACACGCGCCGCAGACTCTCAGCTAGCCGGGGCACCCCGTTCAGACCTCCCGACCCATCATCCTTGATGACGGCGCCGGGATCGTGCCAAGCCCACCCCTCGTGTTCCCAGTCGATGCGGATGCGCTGCTCGTCCGCGGGCGTCTGGAGACGGAAGAGGAACGGGTAGACGGTCCACTCCCGACGGACGGAGGCATCGCGGAAGGTATAGTCCTTTCCCTGGCGGAGGAGGGACAACGAGGCAGGCGTGAGAGTGGTCTCCTCGGCGAGCTCGCGCCACGCTGCGGCGAGCGGGGAGGCGTCGGCTGCGTCGACAGTGCCGGATATCGGGGCGAGGTGGTGGCTGTGTCGTCCACGTTAGTGTCGACGAATATTCGCATGTTGAATATGAGTAGAGTGAAGCGATGAACTTACCGGTACGTTGACACCTTCTCGCTGCGTTGAAACAGCGCAACCCGGGGCTGGCCGCCGTCGAGCTTCAGAAGGAAACAAGACACGACGGACCGTTTCTTCCATTCACCGGCATTGTTTGGCGTGGACATCATTGTTGCAGGATAGGTACGAATCTTCCACGACATGCGATGGCAAAGCAATAGTTGCCCTTTTTTTCGTTTGTTTGGGCGCGGTTTGGGCAGCACGGGCACCTTGACGGGCAGCTGCCCCCCACTCCGGATCATGACGCCACTGCAGCAACTGCAAAGTGCCGGAGGGGCCGATGAAAGCCGCCGGTTGTTAACCACTGCATGTTGTATGTAATTGTGCGTCTGAATTTTGAGGGGCGCAATAGTGGCAGCCTTTAGGCACAGGTTGCATTTCATCTTCCCACAATTTGAACCCCCAGATCACCGAGGCAGCAGGACATTGCCCAAGCGACAGGAGCTTCCCTGGCTCTACAAATAATTCCTCTTTTGATGGAGGGCTAGAACAACCGACCCAAAAGGTGAAGCTTGGAAGTTACCTATTTACGTGCGTAAGGTATCGGCACTGCATCTCGGGGAACAGAGTTAGCGTTCGTGAACCAAACTTCCGTCTCTTCCCATACCGTGACTCCCACGCTATCGCCTCGAGACCTGTTGAGGTCTGCCGCTCTACAACACGCACAGTGACGCACTTATAAGTAGGTCACGCTCAGGCCTAAGGGGGCTCCTATGTAGAAAGAGTCTGCGGTACCAGAATTCTTCTCTAGCTCGACTACAGGTTGGTTGCGTGTTGGACGACACCTAACCATACATATAATGAACACCCTTATTTTCATCCACGCTCCCAGGTCGCATCCGCCCTTGCCTCCCAATGAACACCTATCACCTGTCCCGAAACACCTACATCGAAAATTTAGAGGCTACCTAAGCTGACTATCTAATCGGGATGGAATTACGCACCTCAGTGTTACCATTCTCCTTGACCCATAATGGTGACGGCAGAGTCAATAGGAGGGTCGAAATTGCCCTCGATTTTAACACCATTGCTGAAAGCCAACGCAAACGTGGTCTTCCCAACATGACCGGAATACGGAATCGATTCACCACCAGATCTCAGCGAGTCGCGGTTTTCATAGGTAAGCGTTGCAGAGGCCGGGGCGAACTCTGGGACAGCAGCATCGGTTGTTGTTGCAAGGAGGGTGTATGCAACGCCGTCGATGTCAAAAGTCCCTGTGACCTGTTCGTCTTGGACGCGGAGGAACATTCCCTGGACGGTAGGCATTCTAACGATGGATTGAGGGTGTTTGTATAATCACCGAGTTTGATGAGTGATGAATCGGTCGACGCTTTGGCTTGAACAGGGTCCTTGATTCTTCCCAAACAATTTGGTGGAATCATGGTCCTTCTTATGTCCAGAGATTATCTTTGCGAGGCCCCATACGACCATGATGATAGGTTGCTGACTCGGGAATTAGCGGCGGAACTGGCGGCTAGATTAATTCTTTCCCCCCTCCCACGCTCGAGGCTCCACGCTAAGGTGTGTTGTGTTGTACGCCAGGGTACTCTGTATGCACCGGCACCAGAGCTTGCCCCGCACCTGCCCAACCAGCTCGCCACGCGCCTGCAGGTACTTTACCTACCTAGGTAGGTAGGTAGGTACCAGGTAGCTATGGACATTGGCGTCTCGCACTTCTGTGGCTTCAACTACGCGACCCACTCGGTGAAGCGAGGACCATGACATTAATTACATTTACGCGATCGGACGCGCCGTTTAGGCGATCATGCCACACTCGGACTACGACGCTGATCTCATGGGGCCATTGGAAGATGCAGGCAAGGCATTGGCGGCCCACCTTGACAACATCCCGCTGGATAGCTCAGCATCAAAGTCGATGCGGCCGGGAACCTCTTGTCTTTCCGCGCTAACCGGGCAGAGGCTTCAGGTTTACTGCCTTCTGGCTTCGACCACGGGCAAGACGGTGCTGCGCTCGGAACTCACCCAGGCCCGTCGCAAAGTTAATGTTTGGAGCCGACGAAGTGTGGTACATGTACACACCACGGTTGTCCTCTTCTGGCGGTGGTTCAAAAGGGGAACCCTTCCGTCTTCAAAGACTTGGCGGCGGCCAATGTTGGTGCCTGAGATTCATCTGCTTCCGAAACTTCCTCTCCTCTCCAGCCAATCTTCTGTATCTCGACTGCCTCGTGCTCCTTCCCTTATTCATCCATGTCGTCTTTATACATAGCTTAGCGTGGCTCTCGTTGCTTGTCGTGTCTGGGTTTCTTTGCTGTGCTTTTCCACAAATTGTTATGCTTCTAGTTTGCTTTTTTATTACTTTTGCTATTTGTCAACAAGATCAGAATATCATCCCAAGCTACCTACCCGGACCTCCGCAAGGTCCGCGAACCTCCGTGAGACATCTGGCCTTGGCATGTATGCTTGTCTGTCGGGCTTCACCGCCACCCTCTCTCTCGTCAGCCGGGGCAACCCGTCTAATTGTTTCCCTTCAACCAACACAACTCCGTCCACCAAACATCATCAAGGTACAATGCGACCGTCCCACGCTCTAGCAGCCTGCCTTTTAGGCCATGCCGCCGCGGAGGACGTGGCCCCGCCGCTCAACATCACGGCGCTTTCTTCCCGCAATGGCTATTCGGTGCTTGAGTGCTGGCAGCTGTCGACTGTCCCGGTGGGCTACATGTCGGCGGCCAACTACGCCATCGGCAACACTACCGCAGCCACGTGGTCCCGGATTGAACCGCGGACGACCGCCGGCGAGGCCTGGGCGCCACATGTCCAGTGAGCCCCCCCCCGCTCTTCTTTGGGAACAACGGCGAGGCTACCTACAAGTAGGCTGACTTGAGCCAGACTGTCGATCGTCTTGAATGGCTTGATAAGGATCACGGCCCCCTGCCCTGCCCGTGACCGTCCCGACAATTACTCGGTGGGCATTCCGGATGGCCCAGCCGGAGAGGGACGGCCGCCAACGGAGATGGCATACATGATGCCTGGGACGTTACAGTCGTCGCTGTTGATCGCAGCGGACCTCAAATCAGCCAGCACCCTCGCCGGCCATTTTACCGAATTCCCAAGCAATGAGCCCACGGTTCTCGTCCAGACCCCGTTCGAAGACAACAAGGTTCCGGAGTACACGGTACTTCACAGCGGGCCCTGCAGGGAATGACAAGCCGGGGTGCCACTATCGGGTGACAATGGGGTGCGTTCGTCAGGAGGTTGCCAATACATATTAATATATAATATTATTGCTCCAATACTTGGTAAATGTCATCGTGTTGCTGGAAGGTACTAATGACAAAGGAACCGACGCCAGACTCCCCCGAGTCCCCCCCAGACCCTGAAATCCTCCCCATCCGGGAAAGCAATGAGGAATCACCCAGTTTCTTGCACCGTGCAAACCGCTAAGAAAGCCCGTATTTCCCGCCTTCCTTGTGAACAGGCTTGGCGGTTGTGGCCCCGTAGTCGATCAGCCCGGAGGCCGAGTCGGCGCGGGGTTTGCGCATATCGGCGGCGACGCCGGGGCCATTCCGCTCCGTGTGGCCGGGGTTCTGAGCCTCCGCCGGGGGTGAGACTTGGGGCTGTCTGCTTCCCCCCGAGGCACTGTCGGGGTAGGGCCCCCTCTTGTGGGCGTCGTATGTCTCGACCGTGGCCTGTTCGCGCCGCTTGGGGTTAACGGCATCCTTGATGGCTTCGAGAATGTCTGACATGGTAAGGTCGGGGTGGTTGGTTCGGTGGCAGTTATTGTTTTATTCTCTGTCAGTGTTTTATGGTTTTCTCTCGAGAGGCAACCGCAGTCGAGCCGCTGGCGGTTCACGAGTTGCGATAACGACGGCGTCGTGACGTCATAGTTGCTTCGTCGTGATCCGGCCCCCTGATCTGATCCCTCTCACCTGCCCCACTTCCCGCCAAGCACGCTCGGTACTTTTTGGCAGGGAGGGATTTTTCGAGCTCTCTCAGGGGCTTTCGTTGCTCGTTTGTCAGGGCATTTTTCCGTTGAGCCATAAAGTGGTTATAACAAGGGGCGCCTACGGATTGACGTGTGTCAATTCGAGATGCAATTTCATCTCTTCACCAAATTTTCATCGATGGAGCAACACATCATAATGGTTACGCTTCGTCGCACAGCAAAGGCACCAACCACTCGAGATTGCGAGGCCCTGAAGGGCGCTTATGACAGTCTCCGAACGGCGAACGAGCAGCTTCAGACCTTTGAGCGCGAGATCTGTTTTTTGAAGACCGCCAAGATGCTTTACTTTCCCAGTCAATGTGAAACATCAGATCCGGATCATCTCCTTCGGCACAAACGAAGCGGTTTCGTAGACCAGCTTCTATCCGACTCTGAGTGGTTGCAACGGGTAACCTGTAATGGCCTTTTGGAGTCCGTCGACAATCTAGCCCGTGAACTAGAGAGGATTAGCGCCTCCAAGACAAAATTTGATTGTATCCAGGGTACTCTTCGACGCTGTATCAACGAGCTGTCGCGTCCGTACCCGAGGGACTTGAACATCCTGGACTTGCCCGGTGAGCTTCTCCTTGACATCTTTGAGATTGTGGAAGACTTTGACTTCAACGATCTGTTTGCCTACAAGACCCCAGGCAGGGCTGATATTCAAAACACTCGCCTGGTCTGTCGACGGTTTGTAACCTGAGCTCACAGCTGCTCGTCCGTCTTGTGCGCGTCAACTTCGACGAACCATCGCTTGAGCGCTTGGATGAGATTTCTCGCGCCCACAGTATCGCGAAGGCCGTTCGCGCTGTTCGAGTTATCCTTCATTTTCACAACTCTTCTTTTACCGACTTCGATCGGTTCATCTCATACCACGCCGACGAACTTGAACACCAAGGGGGAATGGGAAGTGTTTTTCTTTCGCGCTTTCATTTTCATTTTATACTGGAGCTTGCCGGTCAGACTTGCTAGTAGGACGAACGTCAGGCACCGTCTATAGTATCTACCGTGACCATCTGATGGAGGCGCTCATGTCCGTCAAACGCCACAGTCCCCGCCACGTCCTCGTAATGCTCCCATACCTCCTCTCTACCTTCCCACTTCACAAAAGGCTCGACGGGGCCGGTAGCCGGATTTCTCGCGTCACAAATCTCCTCGACGCCCCACTCTTCCTCGCCAGCATCGTCTCCCACCACTGAAGGCGTTGAGGAGTGATCACATGGTTGCCGAGCCCTACGTAGAAGGATGTTGGCAGTCCCGAGCCCGGTATGATGCCATACGCCAATGGCCCCAGGTGTACGTTCTGGGAAACGCTCTGCCATCTTAGACCAAGATACGCAGGGTTCAGTAAAAAGGGGCGGACTTGTAACTGCCACTTGCCTCGTCGTACCCCATAAAGGCATCCCATACATCCTATGCTTGTTAGCTGAAGCTTCCTCACACTTCACAGGCCATGGAACATACCGAGTCAAACTCAATACTAGATAGGTCCTTGTCCAAGGCGGAAAGCCCATTCGGTTCGCCGACCTGCGGGCTCAAGAGCTCGAAGAGCCCCTCCATTGGTACCATGGGGGCTTCCAAAGCACCAACATCCTCCCCAACCCCTTTCCCAGCCCCTGTCCGGAACCCCGCGAGCATGCTGACGAGGAGGCGATAGACCTTCCCCGCCTCCTCACACGTACCTATCGCCTCCGCCCAACGAGCACACGCCTGGTCCAACACCCCCAACAGCACGCCACTATCCGGAGACGTAGCTACATTCCCATCACTACCCCCCCTATCGGAAGGCTTCCGCCGCAGCTCCAGCTCGAGACACAAGACCATAGCTGCAAGCGTCATCATCTGCCTCGTCTGCCAGTACTTGTAAAACCCCGTCTCCAGAGTTTGCTGCATTTCGACCAGCGCCAGCGCAGACGCGATACACCTCTCTCTCGAAAGTCCAAACTGAGTATTGCCCCGCGCCTTGGCCATGAACCTGCGGTGTAGTGTGCACACGCCACTGTGGTACATGCCCAGCATACCGAAGTAGGGAAACATGTTGTCGGCCGAGGCCCCGGCCTTACGCCCATCCCCGTTCCCGACAGCGGCAGGGGCAGCGGTGGTGGACATCAGTTCCAGGCCCTGATATGCCTCCTGCAGGGCGCCGTCGACCTCTCGCAGGGTCTCGTACGACCCGAGCGTGGGGGCGCTGTTGAAGTCTGCTACACGACCCAGGGCGCGGAACAGGCGACCTTTGATGATTAGGTAGGTTGCTAGGGTGGATTCGGTTAGGGGGCGGGAAGGGGGCACTACGGATGTGTCTGGGGACAGTTCCCAGTCGTGAAGGTTGCGGGGCTCGGCCGTGTCCGCGGAGATGGCTGATGTCATGCGGGGAAAGCCGCCGAGGAAGGAGGCCATGTCGTCCATGCTGTTGACGGAGTACCAGACGCGGCGGCGGTATTCGGCTTGTAGGGCGGATATGCCTCGGATTCGGGAGGGGTCGCGGTGATAACCCATGTTGATGGCGGCGCGGACAACGACGGCAGACATGATCCAGAGACCGCGGCGGTTGTCGTCTTGGCGATTGAGCTCGGCCGTGGCATTGAAGCGTAGTGTCCCGACGGTGTAGGGGAGACACTTTGTTATGTCTCCGCTCAGCAGGCATTGCGATGTACGTATGCGATATAGCTGGAAGAGCGGCTCAGAAACCCCTTTGTACTTTGGTGGCTCCCCGTGCTGGTGGTACGCAAGCATAGTGATGCCGAGAATGGAGAATAGGAGGCCGAGCCAGATAAAGCTAGTCCGGGACTGGTTCTCCCAGTGCTCGTTGTACTAAGATGATATTAGATAAGGCCAGGCCAGTAGTTGAGTTGGCAGGTAATTATCCGTACCTCGCGCATGAAGGTCGGTTTATGGAGGATAGCTGACCTTCTGGTGAGCAATGTATAGGATATATTGAAGACACAGAACCGGAGGGACTTACGGGGAAGATGGATGGGAAACGCCAGGTCAAAGAAATAGGAGATGAGCTGATCAACCTCGAACCTGGATGGCAGGGTGGAAAGAATCTCCATCTTTTCCATTGGCTTAACTTGGTGAAAAAGCAGACTCGAACCATCAACAGTATATGAAAGCGCGGGAGCAATGCTATAGTCGCTCATGCTGTCATCCTCGTCCTCGTTACATGCTCTCTTGAGTTCCCTGATCTACATTTCGGACGAGTTAGGTCAAGTAAACGAGTGGAGAACATCAACGAGGTAGCAAAGAGTTGGACGCACCTCCTCAAGCACGACGTGCCAATCACTCCCGCTGACATAGACAGAATGCATACCATCCATGACTGTCTTTCCAGTCCCACTAGATAGGTCCGGTTCCGGCTCGGGGCTGGGGCGTTCAGCGGTAGGAACTGTGATTTTGGTGGGTGTCGAGACAGGCTGTCGCTCTTGAATGAGCTTTTTGACCAGGTCCTCCAAGTGGTCTATCCGCTGGCGCATTCTGTCCCCTGTAAGCGCTATTTCTGGAGAGATATTAGACCCATCTTTTCGTTTTCCACGAAACTTGCACGATGGTTGCTCATCGCGGGCTGTGCAATTTTGACAAGGCTGCTGCCGGTTGCACTTTAGCCTGAGCCAGGTCAGCGATTGAGTCTTTCGGGGCAGTGACTCGCTGGTTAAGGTGGGTGGTGAGTGGTATGAAGGGAATTACACACTTCCTCGTACGGCACGGCTCGCAGGATAAAGCAGCACGGTTGCGCCGATGGGGTGCGGTAGGTTCTGCCCGCTGAGTCTGCATGATGGTTGGTGACTTGTCAGGGGGTTGTCGGGTTTAGTTGTTCTAGCTCCGGATGAGAAGTTGGGAAAGAAAGGTGGGCGTTTACATCCACGGGGATAACAAGCGGGAACTTGGGAAGATGTAAGCTGCGGCTAACTCCGCTTGCGGTCAACGCAACTGGCAACAGCTGCCTTGCGGCCCCGTATTTTCTTATGTCCGCGGACATAGCTGGTGAGCATCCCATGTGTGCTTGGGCGCGCAGAACACCACGGCGTTAATGTATTTGAACGAAATATTGAATATAGTGCCTTATAAATATAACACCCTCAACATGCCCAATGTCTGGGACACAGTAACAGAGAATGTCACCTCGGCAACCCCCAAGCCGACATACTCTCACCCTTCCCAGTTCCCAGACTAGGTACCTAGGTACCTTGGTAAACGGTTAAATATCACTGATTTACCATGCCTTCTTTCGGCGACTTTGTCAGGACACAATTTCTCCTCAAGATTCCCAATCCAATCGTCTCGTTTGCGTCCAAAACGGTCATTGTCACCGGAGCAAACGGAGGGTTGGGAAAGGAGGCGGCCAAGCATATTGTCCGCCTGGGGGCCAGCACGGTCATCCTAGGTTGCCGAAGCCTGTCCAAGGGAAACGCCGCTAAGCACGAGATTGAAACCGTTTCGGGGTGCGGTCCCAGCGTCCTCCAAGTTTGGGAACTCGACATCGAATCCCCAAAGTCCATCCAGCAATTTGTGGACCGGGCCAACGCGCTGCCCCGGCTGGACGTCCTGATCAACAATGCCGGCATTCAGAGTCAGAAGTTCTCTGTCGTCTATGGCACGGAACGCACGCTGGCGGTAAACGTCATCGGAACCTTCCTACTTGCGCTGCAGCTTCTCCCCAAGCTCCGCGAAACAGCCCGCAACTACCGGACGACGCCGCACATGACCTTCGTCGGGTCTGCCATGTACGACGTCGCCAAGTGGCCCGACCAGCATGGCGACAACATCTTTGCCTGGTTCGAGGACAAGACGCATTTCTCCGCTATAAATCAGTGAGTTAGTCCGTCTTAAATGCAATCAACGGCCAGATTCTAAGCCATGATTTCCTACCCACCAACAGATACAGCCTCTCGAAACTCCTCCAGCTATATGCGGTGATCCAGCTGAGCGCCATCATCGACCCTTCCGGTACTCCAACCGCCGACAGTCCTAGCCCCGTCGTCATCAACTCGCTCGACCCGTGCTTCTGCAAAACGGGGCTGCCGGGCGAGCTTCCGGTGACAATGAGGGTCGCACTCCGCATCTTTGAGCTCACGGCTCGCTCGGCCGAGGAAGGCGCCCGTCTCGTGGTGCAGACTGCTGCGGCGGGACGCGAGACCCACGGCCTGTATATGCGGGCAGGCAAAGTGCGAGAGTATGACCCGATTGCGCGGGACGTGGAGAAGGCCGTGTACGTGTGGGAGCTGCTTTGCAAGAAGTTGGAAGGTTTGCAGCCGGGGATTCTGCAAAATCTGCGAGAGACGGAATAGGCGGAACATACTGCTGCAGTTTGCTTATATTAGGTCACGGTGCCAGATCCTAGCTACCTTAGGTACTCAAGCTGTTAATTATTATACGTTTTGGGCCTTCCATGTTCTGTTATTTCTACCGCTTAGTCTTCCTCGGAATCAAACAAACAATCGTAGTGGTATCAACCGGAAGCAATGTCAGTGTCATTCACGCCTTGCTGCTTAACACGGACAGCACGATTCCCGTGTAGGCTCCAATGTACGAAGTACAGCAAGACCATGGAGATGAGCGCCAAGGCCAAGGTTGTCACCGGTATTTGTCGAGGTGGGCGAGTTGGCGGTGTTTAACATGTCGTTGGCCCCATTTTGGCGGACGGTGGTGCAGGGGGCGAGCCGGCGGTTTGGGGCAGCTCGTACATAGATATCATTGGGAGCCGCGGGTGGACGAGCCGTGACCGTTCGCCGGATCGGCGTCGGGGGTGGCAGTACGGGATCGGCGTGACGGTGGCGGTCCGCGGGGGACCGGGAAGCGCAAGAGGGTGGTAACATTAGCGTGTCGAGTTCGGAATCAGGCCAGTGACGAAGGATGGACTGTGCCACAATAATTGCTCCCCGTGTGCCTTGCCGTTGGCCCCCAAAGGTGGATCGAGGGAGTGGGCTGTGAATCCGCCAAGCACACTCGGTTGAATGCCAGCCCGGTCGAGATCCGTCTTTCGCCAATGATAGAGGCACTCTTGGCCCGCCAAGGGAACACAAGACCCAAGGAGTCGACTCGGGGTTACACGAGGCTTTCGAATGACATGCAAACGGCAAACACGGCTCGGGCTGAAGACCAAACAAAGGAGGCCCTACAAATAGAAACGTCAGCCACTGGGTTGTTGCCTTGAAATGTCCCTGAATCCATTATAACTCATAACCCGTTCTCGATTCTGTCCTCGACCATTGCTCCTCCCGCCTATTGTGAAGCAGCCCCAGGAGAATCACGATCACACCATCACTGTCAACGACAGATCACAGTTATCAACATGGAAAAAGGCGAAACACAACCCCAAGCGGCCCCTGCGCCCCAGGACATCGAGGCCGCCCCCCCGGCATACGCGCCACGCACGGCTGGAGAACCCGAAGATGTTAACCAAGCCCCCAGCCAACAACCGGCGCCGGTGAAACAGATGCCGACAGACTTGAACGCACAGCAGCCGCAGTCCACGGCACCCATGACGTCACAACAGCCGGTCCTGGGTGTGATTCCGCTAAACCAGCTTGGGGAGCAGCCGCAGTGGATCGACTGCCCCTTTTGCCACCAGCGCACCATGACGAGGGTCAACAAGGAGGGCACATCGATGCAAATGTGAGTCCCTTGTCGAGGTCATGGCTTGCTTTTGACCGTTCCGCTAATCCACCCGCCTCGAAACAGTGTCGCCGGCGTCCTCTGCTGTCTGCTGTGCGTCTGTCTGGCCTGTGTCCCCTGCATGGCCGGCTGGTTCGAGGAAACCAACTACTTTTGCTCGCAGTGCCACAACAAGGTCGCCATGCGTCCCGAGAATGGCCCGATAGTTGTCTACGCCCCAGTTGCCGCAGTGCCGTCCAAGCACGCCCCAGGCCCCGCAGTGCCCTCTAAGCACGCACCGGCGTGATCTCGTTGGATGCAAATGGTTGTGTTGAACCGGGCATTAATTGGTTGGCAGGTGGATGGGTCCGACATTATATCGTCCTTAATATCTTGCTTTCATTTCGTTCGACTTTCATATAGGATACCCAATGTTGAAGATTCATTCCCCCTTTTCCACATCACCTACGCCCTTCCCCAACCCGTCCTCATGTTTCTCCCCTTCCACCGAATAAACGACCTCAAACCGCTCGCAAAGCACGACGCTGTCTTCCCCAAAAGCCTCCCCGCCTTCCTGCCGGCGATAGAAGGCGACATGCCCCGCCCGGTACGCCTCGTAGTCACCCTCGGCCTCGGCAAGCCCAAAGTCCTCCTCTACGTCGCGGAACCGGCATTGTATGAGCGACGTGGTCCGCATCAAAGCCCGCGGCACCCCCGCGCCGTCCATAATGACCGATAGGTCACCCACGCCCCAGTGCAGCGGCTCCGGCACCGGCCAGGACGTGGTGGCCGACTTCTTGCCCTGCACCGCGAGGCGGAGGCGCTGGTCGGCCAGCGCCGCGGACTCGCCGCCGAAGTGGAAGACGTCTTTGGGCGCGGGGAGGGCGCGGCCGAGTGCGGATGAGGCATCGGCCATGAACGCGACGATGTCCGGGCGGGAGGGGTCGATGGCTGACATTGCTTGTGGTGGAAGGCGTAGTGGTTTGGTGATTCGGAGCTAGCTACCCGTCTTGACTCGGGAGAAGATCGTGATGGGGATGGATCGAACGAGCGCTCTCCTGATACCTGATACAGGCTACGTATTTATCCACATTTATCGAGGAGCATGAACACAATATTTCGCGGTCCGGCGAAACGGATCTAATGTGTCGGCCTGAGTCACCCCGTTGTCAACTTAGAGTGAGCCCCGCTTCACGTGCCCTGCCCTGGATGGAGCAACATATTATCTCACGGCCCGGCGAGACAGATTTGGTCTCGGTAAGCTTTGTGTTACCCCGTTAGCAACTCATGTGAAGCCTCGCTTGACCTGCCCTGCTGGCCACAACCACACCTGGTCTAACTCTGCCAGAGGCCATTCATTGCTATGTTGCAAAGAATGGTCACTTCAACGATGAACTTGTCCTAGGGGGGATCCAATCTCACCACCTTGCGAGCGGGGCACAGGAGAAGCGAAAGTGCTTATGATAAACCTGAGGTACACTGTCTGCCATACCACCTTTTTGGGATACTTTCTGTTATATTCCTTTTTCTTTCTTTTATCTTTCCTTTTACCTTTTCTTTTCTTTCCTTTTCCTGTCTTCTATCTTTTGTCTTTTTGTGCCTTTCCTGCTGTCTTTTCCCCCGGTAGTCTATCTTGTCTTTCCTTCTGTCATCTTTTTCCTTGTCCTTAGGACTCGTTTATTATAATCTCACTAGAAAACAAACTCAACTAGCTAGGTACGTTGATATTTGACCTAAGGACTTGACTCTATAAACCCCCGGATTATATCGCGAATTTGCCTTCTTAACGGCTTATGATGTTACGTTCAGTCTACCTGGGTAGCCTGCTTTAATCTTGAAATGCCCCAGGCTTGTAGGAGTCTACTCCACCAGCCCTCAAGTGGAAGACCCCTGACACCTACTCCCCATGGTTACCCTGCTGCGAGCTAGACCCATCGGGGGTCCGCGGGGGAAGCGGTTGGGGCACACCTTGTCTCACAGCCAACCCCCCGTCGCTGCTGCCCTGGTGGACCATGGCGGGATATTGTTGTACATGAGGAGATGAATGCATTGTGGGCGGAGGCCCTTGTGGTGCACCGGCTTGTTGGACGGACTGCGACCAGACGGGCATCGGGGCGCCAGGACTGGTTCCGTACATCTGTGTCGGATAGGCGTAGCCACCGCTATACGGTTGTTGACCGGCGGCTGACAAAGCCGGCTGCGGTACAGGTTGGACGTAATACGACGGAGATGGTGATACCGGCGCCTGGGCATAGTGACGGGAGGGTGTTGGCGTCTGCGGCACGGCCCCGGTGTGGTTGAGCGACGGGCGGGCCAACCCGGAATTGCGCAGGGGCCGGCGGCTCCGCCCCGACTCGGCGTCCTCGTCCGGCGCCGGTCGATCCTCTCGGGTCCGCGCGCGCTCCGAGTCGAGGGCTCCGCGGGCCCGGGCCATATATTTGTCAAAGGCCGTGATGCTCTTTGCCACACCCTGGAAGTGCCGTTCCGTTAACACGGTGACGGATGGCCTGCCTTCGCCTGAACCGTTGTCGACGTCGCCACGCGCCAATGCTGCCGCACTGATGAAGGCGTTGCGGATCTGCCTCCCGTTCCACCGGCCCAGCTCATCATACTCGTGTTCCTTCCAGTGCTTCTCAGCAAAGGCTAGAATGCCCGTCTTATCGGCCTGTAGGTACGGCTGAGACGAGTCGGGCAGTACCTTCCCGCGTTGCATTTCGATGTACTCGAGCCTCTTGATATTCATACGAAACACTTTCTCAGTTTGTGCCTGGCTCAAGGTTTGGTAAAGTAGCGCACTATGGACACGGGATTTTATCGCCTCGTCGAGCTGACCGGGTCGGTTCGTGGTGAGGAAGAGCACGCCGTTGTAGTACTCCATAACCCGGAGGAAGACTTTGAGCGCGAGACGTTAGCACTGGAGACGAACAAGAAAGAGAAAAAGGTACCACCAACTTACCCGACACGACAGCGTTCCTTTTGAGATCGTTCTTCTCTCGTTCTTCTAGGAATACATCGGCTTCGTCAAGGAGGAGGATGCAGTCCCAAACATTAGCGAGATGGAATATCTCGTTCAGCGAGGACTCTACGGCGTCGGGCGTCGAGCCCAGGTCTCCAGACGTGATAGCGAACAACGGCCTTCGGTATTTCTGGGCCACCGCTTCAACTGTAGCCGTCTTACCGACCCCGGGGGGGCCGTGGAGAAGAAACACGAGGTTGTTGCCTTTTCCCGGGATCGGGTCCTGGCTCGCAATCTCGCCCTTCTTCCGCGCCGCCTTGGTGTTGAAGTGGTCAGTCAGGAGACAGTGGATAATGTGCTTGTTGGCGGGGTCAATTTCCAGAAAGTCGAAAGGGTCGAAGTCCTCTTCACGCTTAACCTTGACCTTGTCCACGTCCAAAAAGAGAAAGCGGCGCTCATGGAGTCCGTAACCTAGGAGACGCCGCGGAAGCAGGACAAGATCCTCATGAGGCGGTTTGTCAATGCCGTTCTGCTCGTAAGGATGCTTCTTGGCAAAGTCCTTGCCCTCGAGGAAGTCGATGTCATCGTCTGATACGGTAATGTTAATCCACTCGGACAGAAGTTTGGATCGTGAGACGTCGGACCATGGAAGGATGGGAAACTTGTCGCGGGTGGTGAGGGCGTCGCTTGACCATCTTTCTAGGAGGCCGTGGCTGTACTTCCACTCCGGATGGGCGTTGAAGGCTTCTTGGAAATCGATAATGACATCCCCGTCAGTAAACTCAGGGGAGGTAATGGGCCGGCCCTTGTTATCGTGCACGTATCGCCACCCCAACGGATCGTTTAGAAGCGTCCACGCCTTATACGAAACATGTCGCTGCTCAACACACTGCGTGAACTTTTCGCCCCACTCTCTACTCTTCTCGATCAGGGCTTCGTGGTCCGGAACGAATCGTATCGGAAAGACATTCAAGGTCCGAATGTCTTTCTCGCCGTCGAAATGGTCGATTGTCACGCTGAGCGACACTGGCTTGTAGGCGGAGCCATCGTAGTCGACGAAGTAGAGATTCGTCTTGGCCTCCCAGTCGGACGAGGCGCTTCCGATCATAGGAAGCTCCAGGTCCCCTTCATGCGGCACAAAGACCTCGAGTCTCCATATCGTTTGGTAAATTGCGCTTTCTGGATATGCTTCCGTGCGGCCTCGACTCCTCAACATCTTTTGCAGTGTATTTCGTGGTAGGTAAATCAGGTCACCAGGCTTGAAAAGATACCACAGGTCCTCGTATCGGATGCGCTTTGGGTTGGAATGGTTGGCGTCGGCAAACTGATCGACGAGCGGCATGAGATGGTCGTCCACGAACGAGACGTAGCATTCGAGGTGCTCTAGGGAATCCTTCTCGATGAAATCCCCTTCTATTTCCAGTGAGGCGGTCCTGAGTGCCTCGAGCTTTTCCTTGATCTGCGGGTGAAAATGAATGAGGTGCCCGAAGGGCCGCATGAAGGTGTGCGGCTCAATTCCCCAGTTGTAGCCCGTGACCTCGGCGAGAATTTTGAGCACCATCTGAGACTGAATCCGCACAGCCTGCAGCCAGGTACCGCTCGAGAGGCCACCGTCGAATCGTCTGCTCTTGTACTCCATGGTGTTCTGTCCTTCGTGACCTTTGACCTTGGCCAGACGCCGCCTCCCCACCTCCTTAGCCATCTCGAAGCCTAGTTCCGTCCCTGCTTCGAGGTACTCGATGGCATAACCCGCCTCTTCGGGCGAGAAGCGGTTGACAAATTGCTCAAAGGTGCATTTCCTTGCTTGGGCGATGATGGGCACATCTGGGGGCGGCTGTAAAATGGCCGTACCATCTGCTGCCCCTCCTCCGGTGGTCCGCTCCCCTTGAGGCTTTATAGGGCTAAGTAGCTGTGGAGGTTGTTGCGCCTGGGGGCTTTCGGTATCCGGGCTTTCGGCCTGGGGCCTTTCGGTCTGCGACTGGTCGATGCCTGATGCCGACTCGCTCTCTTCGTAATTGAAGACCCCTGGTCTGGGTGGCGCCACATCGCCCACTTGTACGCTTCCTTCAACCGCGGGAGGTGGCATATTGCCGGCGGATTATCAGTAGATAGTTTGTCGACAGTTACTGTCTGACAACGGCGGGCTCGTAGATAGCTTGCGAGGATGATGTTGAGACTCTGCGAACATGTACGGAAACGCTGCCGTCGATGCTTGCGCAGCAGGGGTCATTGGCAATAAATATACTGAGCGGCGGCTTCGAGTTCAAGCTCAAAAATCTTGTTCGGGCTCGATCCGCGTTGTTACCTCGCCTTTCAGCCGCTCCGTCTGCCTTTTGCCCCTCTTTTGGAGGCGAGGCTCTGTCCCTCTTCACGCCCTTTCAAGGAAGGATTCAAGGCCGATTGAGGCACCCATTTGCGAACCAATGAAGCAGAGCTGGGGTTGCATCGGGTGCGTCTGCAGGTGAATGGCACAACAGTGTGCTCCGCATCCTTCTGCCAATCATGGAACCCCACATAGCTGCCGCAGCCTCAGCTCCCTCTCGGTCATCACCCAGGGAAGCAAAGATGAGAGGAGGTGATTGTTTCCCCTCCCGGTGGACTTCCCTTTTCGAGTAGCTTCCGCGGCACCCCCATCCCTCCGGCGGGGTGAACACACAAGGTTGATTTGGCGTTCTCGGAGCCGCTGTGGCGTGGGCGAGGGCGGTGCTTGACATCGGGCGCAGCAATGGCCGAAGGCTGGCTTACTGTGCCTGTACATTTGTAAGTCCCGTGTCGGTCGCGGCCAATCTGGAGTTAAATCCGCAAAGCACCAAACCCCTACTTGTAGAATTTCCCGACAGCTGTTGCCACACTCGTCCAGTTCAAAATCGCGAGCCCCACCAGCAACACTGGGGTGTTTTCGTTTACATTCAGCGTGAACTTGGCCCGAATTCTATCCCGATCAGCAGAGAACAGCGTGAGGACGCACCAAGCAACGATAGTGAGGTTCTCTGCCAGGAAATGGACGCAGTGCAGGAACCCTCCAACAATTCCGAGTTCATCCCCCCGCCCCAGTAAGTCGTTGTTCCGGTTCGCCATGTTGATTTGCAGGTTCACGGTCGTAGGCTCACACGGCCGTGCCCAGATCCCTTATCGAGGTGTTGCACGACGTCGAAGTTGTCGACGAGACCTGTCTTCCCAATCACTCCTACTGCTGGCAGGATGTTATCGACGCCATCGAGTCAGCCACGGCGCAAGACGACGCCAAGGCCGAGAGGTCTTCGGTGCGGGCGAGGTTGAGAAAGTCGGGGCCTGAGCTTGCTGTTCTTGAGTCCCTAGCGGGGATGATACCGGACCAAGACGGCCTCTGCGTCCTGCGCGGTGGCTTGACAACTTTGTGCAAGGTGAGTGCCGGTTTCCGTTTACTCCACGCTTTTTGCGGTCGAGCTTTCCCCGTTCGAGCTCTGAGCTGAGCCGATGCGGTTCATAGATGGTTTCCTTGCGGTTGGAGACCCGCGCCAAGATCCTTCGAGCGTTTGAGGGTATCCCTGAGACATTCATGGACGCCGTGCAAGCTGGGATGCGGTTCCCAGGCGCGGCGGACCTGCTCCATGCGGTCAGGAAGTTGTATAGCACGTTGGTGGAGAATGTTGCGATACTAATCGGGATTTTGTTGCGCAGTCACCCTCACAAAAATAGAGGCAAGTTGCATCCCCCCCAAGGCGCTTGGTGACCTGACCCTAATGCTTGATCTAGTCGTGCGGCTGTGGAAACAACGTCCAGGAAAAGAAGCCGAAGTCGTGGATAATTGTCTTGCGCAGGTTTCACGGGCGGCGGAGCGCGTGGACCGATGTTCGAGGGCGGCAACAGAACGGACGGTCGGTGAGATACACGTGGCGCAGCATAGCATACTTGCAAGCAACGTTGTCATCAACGCCGATGTCAAGGCTGTAAAGTCGGGGGTCGACGGTATCCGGGCTGCGATAGTCGATGGTATTACGCGGCTCGAATCGCAGCTTTCGGGCGCTGATCGAGAAAAGCATCTCCAGACGGCGACCGAAAAGATGCTCGAAGCTGCGGCGTTATTGAAAGGACTTCGCGACGGCGACAGTGGCTGGTACCAACAACCATATCTCAGCCTCTATGGTGAGTGGTTCCTCGCCCCGCAACACAGCAATGGCGAGTGGCAGCGAGAGATTGATTAACCCGCATCGGCAGGTCCGCCACAGCTTGCATTGCCGTGGTTACGAATGGCAGACGGAACAGTCCCGGGGATACTAACATTTATGCCCTCAAACCAGACTGACGCGTCATACGAACCCGCGTCTCCGCCGGCGACGCCGCGGATGAGCCTCGAAGAGCTACTCGGGGCGCTCGAGCTGCCGGAAGGCGCGGCGGTTGAAGTCTTGGATGACGTGACGCGGCGGAGTTACCATCTCAAAGCCGATATCGGCACCAGAAGCAACCGCCTCATGGAAGTGAAACGGTTCACGAAGTGGCTTGAAGCGCCGCCTTGGGCGTCGGATCTGATCCTGGTCGATGGCCACTGCAGCAACGTTGCGGCGGACAAGGTGACGCCCATGTCGGCAATCTGCGCATCCCTCGCGGGAACGATGATGAAAACGGAAAGCGACGGCGACCAGGACCGCCCGGTTCCCATGGTCATCCATCACTTTTGTGGCCAGCACCTGGGACGAAAGCCCCTGAATGGGCCGAGTGGGCTCATCCGCAACCTAATTCACCAGCTGCTCGTGCAGAGCCATGATGCGGAAAACCATTGGGCAGTGCCGGTACCACCGCTAAACTTCATCGATGATCAACTCCTTGCTGGTATCCAAACACACGACATCCCTAGCCTTTCTCGTCTTTTTTGCGAGCTCTTTGTTCGAATCGACCCGTCGAGGCCCGTCTTTTGTATCATCGACGGTGTCTCCGAGATCGAGACTGCCTTGTATGGGTGGCAGGAAGATGCCGTGACCATCGTCGGCGCCTTGCTGGACTTGGTTGAGGACTTCCGTACTGGTCCCGCGCTGAGGGTGCTGCTCACCAGCCCTCAACGAAGCACAAAGTTGGCTGAGTCGCTGGTCTCATCCGACAGGCACGTGTCGCTGCTGGCAGCGCACACGTTAGGCAGGCGGTCTTATGCATCCCTGTTTGAGAGAGACATCAATGATTTGTTGATGACGGGCGAAGAGCAGGTTCCATCACCTGAACCCGTGGGCCTGAATTCGGTGGCTCCGACGCTGACAGCTCAACCCCGGTTCGAACACTGGCCGGTGGCCATGCAAGCTGGCACCAGTACCTCGGGGATTCGATCATGAACTGGGACCCAGCTCTTCTTATAACAAAGATTCACAGGTGGTGGTGGTGTTGACTTTTGCGCCGAAGCAACCAATGCGAGAACTCGGGTCCCCTGGGTCGAGGCCGCGATCAGAGGCGCGTCGGTGGGGTGGCGTTCAGTTACATTCATTGTCGGCACCTAACATAGGTTCCTCGGGTAATGTTTGTGCTTTTTCCTTTCTCTTCGTTCTAAAAACAATAATACCAGGCATTCCACTAGTACCTGCTGTAATTACCTGCTGTAATTACCTTGCTGTTTTATATTTTGCGTGTTGTGTTGTGCTTGTCGTGTTTATTGGATGTGTGCGTCGTGTTTGTTCGGCAGAACCTTTTTTTTTTCGCTGCATATCGATGCCCCTCCGCACCCTGGGCAGCAGTGGAGGTTCTCAAGTGAGGGAGTCTGTTGGCATGTAAGGGCCCCACTTGACTTGCCGAGTTCATGCTCGCCGGCCGCCTCTTTCCCTCGATGGCCCCCTACTTTCCTGTGCTTCCTTCCGTCCCCCCAAATCACAATACAACTTGAGACCGACTGCAGGAGTCGTCGGCGGTTTTATCGCGACTTCGCAAATTATTCACCGTTCATTCCCAATAATAATGCCTCCACGACCCAGGCAACGGCTTAAGCTCGGGCATAACGCGGCGTAAATTACCGCGACGCACCCTCGAAGCACGGCCCCGTCAACCGCACGCATTCAACGGCGCTTGGTGCCCGTGGCTACCGACCTACCTACATATTTGGATCCCGCCACCGCCAGCATGCCTCTTCTCGAACCCTCTCGTTTGCCCCTCGCAGGATGCGGTATCACCAACCCAGCCATGCGCCCTGGACGAGTATGGATGCGGTTCTGGCGACACGGGCTCTCCAACAAACCTCGAGTTTCCCGCCCGCAGAGGAGGGATGCCAGGTCATGCGGAACGATCGCCACATCAATCAAGACACGCGGTTGGCAATGAAGTCAACCCAGTGGCCCGGCTCGGCATCGCTGGATTAGGCAGCTGGAGCTGGCATCGGATGGTGCGGATCAGTCCGGACCGTAGCATGGCCCCGACTTTGTTGCTGGCTGGGCAGGAGGTTCGGCTACCGTCGAGCCTAAAGGAAATCCAAAGTTTCGCGACTAACAGCCAATTTGGGGAGTAGAAACTTTTAACAACCGGTATCGAGCATGGTTTCGGACCTCCGGCCATCCGGCCCTCCGGAATCTCTCCGTGAGCCGGCAAGAGACCGACGACCAAGTTCTTCTCCACTCCGCCGATTGTTTCCTTGCGAGCGAGGCACCGAGGGTGAGGCCGAGTCAGATGTGGGCCGTGCTCGCTGCCGCACGATCGGCAAATCGAGCAGTCCCCGGTCAGCGGAACGACAGCAAGCCATTGAGACAAACGTAACGAGAGATCGGTGCACGGTGGCCTGGCAATTCGGGTGGTCCCGGTGACTCACAGGGCCGTCGTCCTTCCGGATCGCGTTAAACCTTCATGTCCCCCCTCCGCTCGACACCAGCCAGCACCGATGATGAATATCCTGCGTTATCCCCGGTTCTGCTGACGAGGCCTGTTCCGACACCGCGATGCCTTAATCCCTCTCTTGTTCCTGTGGCGGCCCTCCCTCGCCGGCAAACAAACGGTCGAGCGTCGAGGGTCAGACGGAGCGGTGACGACAGCTTCTCTCAGAGGATTGGATCGCCTCCCTTGATGTCGCTGATTGGACAATTCGCCCCATTGCTGGCGGCTCTGGCGTCCACCCGCCATCCGGCGAACCAAATGAAGCTGTAGCACCTGCTGAATCTGGACCGTGGCCGCTGGGTCCGTCCCGGCTCGGCTGCGGTGGGGAGCCGCCCAGTCTCCATGCTCGACCCACCATGTGCGACCTTGAGAGGCCCAAATCGCACGACGACCGCCGCACCGAAATCCGGGCGCGGGTTGCCGTGGCCGATGCTGCACTGCGGCAAAATTTGCGGGAGCGCGTGTAATAAAAATGACCACACCGGAGCGATGTCGGCTGGCCTGAACGGCGTCCGGACTTGGGCCCCGGCGCGCTGAATCATCCCCCCAAAAGGGGCCGTCTGCAGGCAGTGGTACCTCTTTACTACCCCCTGTTGTTTCCCTGCCGCACCAGCTTCTCTTCCTGGCAGCCCTGCAACGTGGCCAGCGGCAGGGCCCTTGGTCGAGAGCCAACCTCGTGCCCATCCACTAACACGCGTCCAGGCGAGCAGCTTCCCGAATAGTCGATGATGGCGATGAGAGCGTCGAATCTGTCCACGAAACCAGCAGGACCCGGCGCCGAGATCGGAAGTTGCCGATGGCCTCCGCGCTGCTTAAACGCCGCAAAATTGCCCCGATTGGCCGTAAGCGACCGCGCCCTTTTGAAGAAATCTCCGCCAACCGTGCCATCGCGTGAATCACGGCCGTCTGTGGGCAACGCTGATGCGGCTCCGACGGCGCACCCGCCAGTACGACTCACCCAGCATATCGCTCTTATTTTCTGCCCAGGGCCGGGTGCACGCCACGGCCCCAGCGCCAGTGCGGCATTCCAGGCCAAGTGCGCTTGACCCGCGGTCCGAACCCTTAGCCGAGTTCTCCTGTCCGCCCCCGATGACATCGCCGGTTTCCCGCGGCCGCACCGAGGGGTCCGTGCCGGAGCCCCCGAGTCAACGCTACCATTCCCTAGAACACCTACCGACCGAACTACTGCGGCCCATCGCCGAGGCCTTGGTCCCCGCGCAACCCCTGACTACGCGTTTTGCGCTTCGCGACTCTGGCACGTGGGAGTTTCGGGATGCTGGTCACCAGTGGGCTGACTGGCTCGCTTGCCACGACAACCTCTTGTCGTTCGCGCGGACATCACGGCGTCTCGCCGCCATCGCCAAGCCGCTGCTGTACCATACCCTCGTCATCCCCACACCACGCGCATTGGTCACGCTCCAATGCCGCATGGAAACCAACGTGGCAATCAGGCCATGGATCCGCAGTATTGCTTGTCTCGTAGACGTGGTCGCCGCCGGGACCATCGAAGAGGTGCATCGCGAGTGGGAAAGACAAGTTGGAGGTAGGGCTATCGCCGACATGCCAACCGCGAACGTTTGTTAACTGGTGTCAGTCAGCTGGGACAGTCAACATGGCGGGGCTTACCACGGCACCATCGCCTTGGAGCTCCTCAAGACCATAGTTCTGGGTGCGCCCAACCTGCGGGACTACCTGATGGCCTGTCCGGACTCGCAGTTCGGCCTGGACCATCCCGATTTACCAGCACCAGCCATCCGCGACGCCATCATCCGCTACCGGGCCGAAGGCTACTCACCCATCGCGGAGAGGTTGTTTGAATTCATCCCCTTTCGCCGCATGCGGAACCTCGCATCGCTACGCATTTACTGCCAGAGGGAGGACGGCGACCGCCAGCTGACCTTCTCCCGCTTGATAGCCGACCATGCCGTCGAGACTCTCCCGCTGCTACCGAACATCAAGACGCTCGAACTGTGCTGCGCGTCGGCCGACAGCATCGTCGAGCCCGACGCCGTACTTCCGCCGCTGCCGCACGTCGAGCATCTCCGTCTCTACGGCAGCCATATCCACGAACCAAGGCTGGTCGCGCTGTGTCTCGCTTGTGTCAACCTGCAGACCCTGGCCGTGCACTTTGAAGCGACTTCGTCGGACGAAGACCGCGATCTGTTGCCGGACGGTACAACGCTGAGCGACGCGCTTCTTCGCTTGGCGGGCTCATTACGGACCCTTGAACTAGTTTCCCTATCCGAAGGGCACTATCTGACTCGTGGCATGGAACGCCCCAGGAAACCCGAGAACCACCGGCTACGGTGCATCCCCGAGCTTACGCGTCTCGAAACCGTCATGCTCGATTACCGAGGCGTCTTTGGGACGTTGGGTATCCTAGACGAGGATGACGGGGAGCGGCTATGCCAGCTGCTGCCCCGCTCGGTCCGCGATTTCACTCTTGTTTGCGAATGGGGTACCGCCAGGGACTGGAAACAAACATACCTCGCTAACTTGGACATGATCCTCCACGGCGTCGAGTGTCTGTGCGCGAGCAAGGCTCACCAGCTGTCCAGCATCTCTCTTGCCATACATTCGTGGCCAGCGGAAAGTAGGTTCCATAAGCGCTTTAGTCGAGAGGTCGAAACAGCCCGGCAACGCTGTGCGAAGGCGGGGATATTGTTTAGGACCTTTGATCTTCTTCCATCATACCAAGATGAAGATGAGGTCCCGGCCAACGAGGATGACGAGGATTTCGAAGTGGAAGAAGAGTACGAGGAGGCAGACGATGGAGAGATCGAACAGCTCGCGCCAGAGGAAGATCTCGAGCTGGAGGAGGAGGACGAGGCATCTGAATATTACTTCTCGGCCGACGAAGAATCGGATCCAGAAAGGGAAGCACGCCGGCCACCGACGTTCAGCGATTTCTTACAGCGGCTAGGCGAAGACCACGGGCATGGCCTAGATGAGTTGTTCTACGCCTATCATGAGGACCGATGGGACGAGTACCTGTTCTGAAACTTCCGCCAACGTCCTTGGTCAGTCTTGGGCGCTTCAAAACGCGCCTGGAGCGCTACGCAACATTGACACTCCCGACCACTCCGACGCAAGAAATCACCCAACCGCAACGCTATTCCTTCGTTGCTGCACACCAACACGCGTGTCTGACCCCCCCGCTGCCACCAGACGGCCGCGGATCTCGGCCTTGTTACGGGGAGCCATACGCCTCCGGCTTCAGTGTGTATCTCCCTGGTTAGCCCCGACCTAACCGAATTCACGAGCCGAGAGCTCGGACTCGAAACCGAGCGCTGCCGTGTGAAATGGGCTATAAATTGCTCAGGCCCTGTTTGGTGCGACTACCGAGCTGATGTGGAGTGCTGGCACCATATCCGGAAGGCTCTCTCAATGGCATGCCGGACGTTGTCAGGGAATTGGTGGCGGGAATTGCTGGCGGTGCGCGTGTTTATATCCCAGGCGATACCTACTGGCTTCGGGAGATGGCGGTTAAATGCCCGCGTCTGTCGCCGCAAGCAATCGACGATCACTGGGCTGATCCCGAACAAAATCACCAAGTATATAACGGGCCGTTCCACGAGTTTGCACCCAACTATTCACTGCCGGTAATGTCGATGTATGGCCTGTTGAAGTGCTCCTCCTTGTCTTGGTGACGATAATTGTGTCCATGCACTGCCACACCAACCCCGGGCATTTTGACGAAGGCGGCAGGTGACCAAACCGTTGGCTGGCTGCCTAACTCGGCCCTTTTAATATACAAACAACACGCTCCTCACACGGCATTTCAGAGATTGCACCCGGTATTTCAGCGGTTGGGACGTGCTTTTTATTCTCGACAATCCCGGCCGATCACACCCCTTTACGATTGCCGAGACGCGCGGGCAGAGGCGCGAGGCCTCCTTGGCACCTGCAGCCAAGAAAATTCCCTCTCACACTCCTAGGAAGTACTTGAATGCCACCAGAGAGCACCATTGAGATCGAGGTTGGACTCGCGCAAAGCTACTCATCCGGCATTGATACAGTGCATCGTAGCTGGCCATGGCCTCGGCACGGAGTCTTGCCCTCGTGGTTGTCGTAGCCTCCATGGTAACGACATCCCAGGGAGCTCTCCCTCTAACAACCGACTCCAACTGCCACTGCTATAACACCAACACAACAGTTACCGACTTCTTCTCGCACCATAAGTTCTTCGATTTCCGGGCGCTACATCAGTATGCCGGCGTGCCAGAGCCCATCGACAGCTTCGAGGCCAATGCCGAGGCGCCACCCTCGAGTGCCTTCTTCTCGAATTCGGACCTCTTCACCAACTCGTGGGCCATCATGAACTGGAACAACACGGCCCTGCTTGAACTTAACGACAGCACACTCAACGATGCCACGGTGAAAATGGTCAACAGCCCCAACAATATCTACATTGAGCGGGACCAGGAGCAGCCACAAACGACGCATATGACCCTCCGCACAGTCCGCCACGCCGAGTTCCAGTCCTCGGCCGAGTTGGAATCGATTAGCCTGGGCTACCAGTTCCTCTCAGTGCGCATGCACGCCCGCACCAAGGGCGCCGCGGGGGCCGTCACGGCCATGTTCACCTACCGGCCGCCGCCGGAGTCGGATGAGATTGGCCTGGTGCAGGAGGCCGACCTCGAGATCCTCACGCGGGACCCGCCCGCGTATGTGCAGTACACCAACCAGCCCGCGTGGAACAGCACGAGCGACATCCCCGACGCGACGCGCAACACCACGCTGCCCGACGGCCGCCGGTGGACCGACTGGGCCGAGTACCGCATGGACTGGACCCCCGGCAGCAGCACGTGGTTCGTCAACGGGCACCTGGCGAGCCGCATCACGTTCCAGGCGCCGCGGGACCCGGCCCAGGTCATGTTCAACACGTGGAGCGACGGCGGCAGCTGGTCCGGCAACATGACGGTCGGCGGCGAGGCCTACATGCAGATCCGCTGGATCGACATGGTGTACAACAGCACCGACCCCGGGACGGAGCGGCCGGGCGGCTGCAGGAACGTGTGCAGCATCGACGAGACGACCAAGATCGGCACGCCCGTGCTTCTGACGGGAGGTGGGTGTACCAGAGCGGTCCCTAGGCTGGCCTTGCTATCCATGCTGTCCATGCTGACGGTTTGCCTCGTTGTTCTGTAGCCCCGCAGGCGTGTGCCTCGGCCAAGTATGGCCAGTGTGCTGGTAGGACGTGGAATGGATGCCAGAGTTGTGAGGCGGGCTCGACGTGCCGGTTCCAAAACGACTTTTACTCTCAGTGCTTGTGATGTGCGGTGATTTTGTGTGTGTCCTCATGTTGTCTGATCCTACTGTCGCTTGCAAGTTTCCTTGAGTGTTTTGGGGTTGTGTGAGTGATGTTCCCGTCCCAACTTGCAGCAAATCTTGGGCCAAGCGTTTAGTTCGGGTTTCGAGTTTGAATTGCCCGGTGGGCGGGTGTTCTTCACTGTTCGGTCTTTGTTGCAAATTGTCACATTTGCCACGTTTTTGGGTGAACGAAATTCGAGAGCCCCTGTCGGGATATCACATGGTAGCTCCCGGTCGAGAGCGTCAACAGACTATACGCAACCCACAAAGAGCATGCTTGATAAGTCAAAGACCTGGCTCCTCTTCTCAGCAAGCTTGTACCAACCAGCACAAGACACCTCCTATATAGACACTCCTGCGCGACGCTATCCATTTCATGCTTCATCCCCTCAAGCAACGTCCGAGAGCTAGACAACCCGCCAAAATGTCACCCACGTCGATTGGGTGTTGAACACAAGTCATCCTGGGTGCCCGGGGTGGGATGTCTGCCACTTCCACGTCTCGTTCAATCCCTAGCACACTACCTACATAGAAGAGCACCATCTCGAACTAGCGGTGCTAAGAACAATATCCTGCTCTATTTCGCCCACCGGGACAAGGTAGGTTGACCTTGCAACAACGGAGCGTTGGGGGACAGGTATAGGTGGTTACACAGCACAACACTGACGTCAACGCTGCACGCCCTTATGCATCCTGGGATGGTACATGCATGCGAGTAATGCAACTTGGTTCTGTATTTGTAATCGTGGTTCCCCCCAGCGCCTCCGCCGACACTATATTATTCCCGATTTCCCGAATGTACGGGGTAACCCCAACTCAACAGCTTGAGCAGCTTATCTTTCACAACATGCAGAATATCCAACCTTTCGAGATCGAGATTCCGGACACGCAGCTAGACACGCTCAAGAGAAAGTTGTCTCTAGCTACCTTCCCGGACGAAGTCTCTTTCAGCAATGATCCAAAGTACGGCACACCCCTAAAGGACATCAAACGGCTTGTAGCCCACTGGAAAGACGGCTACGACTGGCGCAAACACGAAGCGAAGCTGAACCAACTTCCGCATTTTACAACCACGGTTAACGTAGACGGGTTTGGGGATCTCGGAATCCACTTCCTTCATCAAAAGAGCAGCCGGACGGATGCAGTCCCGCTGCTGTTCTGTCACGGATGTGAGTTGCCCTTTGCCTACCTACGTACTGTTTCGTCACTGATATTAACTCCGATCCAGGGCCAGGCGGGTTTTGGGAGCCGATCAAGATGCTTGATCTCCTCGCCGAGCCCGCGGATGCCTCGCAACCGGCATTCCATGTGGTTGCCCCCTCCCTGCCCAACTATGGGTTCTCAGAAGGGGTCAATAAACCAGATTTTGGCCTCCGCCAGTACGCCGAGACGATTCACAAGCTGATGTTACAGCTCAACTACGACAAATACGGTACGTGCTTGCAAGCCCTCTCCCCCCCCCCCCCCCCCGCCCGTCCCCATGGTGCCTTTACAACCTCTTCCCTAACCACCCCCTGCCTTACGTTGTTAGTTTCCCAAGGCGGCGACTGGGGCTTCCCCATCACACGACTTCTGGCCCTTGACTACCCCAACCACGTCGTCGCCAGCCACACCAACTTCGTAAATGTCTTGCCACCCACCCTTTCCCGGCACCCGCTCCTCTATCTCCGATCCCTCTTCCACCGCTCCACCCCCGCCGAACGCGCCGGGCTGGCCCGCACCCGCGACTTCTACCGCGAAGGCATGGGCTACAACGTGATGCAGGGGACGCGGCCGCACACGATCGGCGCCGCGCTCGCCGACTCGCCCGTGGCGCTGCTGGCGTGGGTGTACGAGAAGTTGTGCGACTGGACCGACGGCGACAGCTTCGCCTGGACCGACGACGAGGTGCTCACCTGGGTCAGCTGCTACCTCTTCTCGCGCGCGGGGCCCGCCGCCAGCGTGCGTATCTACTACGAGACGTACCACGGGAGTGGGGAGGCGATGAAGCGGGCGAGGAGGTGGATTGGTGGGGTGCCGTTGGGGTTCAGCATCTTCCCGCGCGATATTGCTGTTCCCCCTGCTCTTTGGGGGCGGACGCTGGGGCCGGTTGTGTTTGAGAGGGTGCATCGGGAGGGTGGGCACTTTGCGGCGTGGGAAAAGCCGGAGGCCTTGGTCGGGGATCTGAGGGAAATGTTTGGGAAGGATGGGGGTGCGAGAAGGGTGCGCGACAGGGTGAGGTCGGCGAAGGCGAAGATGTGATGAAGGTAAGCAGACGAAGTTTTGATGGTGGTAAGGTAATGAGTGTGACGCTTCCTTTTCTTGTTCATGTTGGTATCCGCCTGGGTGTGATTACCGATTTATATAAAGCAAATCCGAACCACGCCCGATCCTGCTATGTCCTCGAAGCGCTACTGGACTTGAATTAACGCCTTCCATTATCATCCAATCTAGACACCGACGAGACTACTGCAGCTTGGCGGCAGGAGGTCCGGGGCGAGATGTGCTAGTAAAGTATACCATTGACGAGCCCACGCCGTCGCCTTGCCTCCATTGTGGCCCGAACGACGCACACTAAAACTCCCATCGCACCGTTCTTCGGTCCCGGCCGGCTCCTCGAACGTGACATCAACGTAGGTACGTCATTGACATTGTCAAGGCGGGGTGATGACAAGAAGTTCGTTGTTTTTAACTTGGAGCTAACACAGGGAACCTTGCCGGTCTCTGTTATCGTGACCAAAAAAGCCAGCAAGATGGGGTGCCTGCAGATGTTCGTGGCCCAATCTGCAATGGAACCTCACTGGTTGGACGCCGGGAGCTGAATATTGGCGCGGTGAGAGCGCGGTGCACATATTATTGGTCTGCCATGGGAGCATGGTTGCCAACAAAATGTGTAGGTAGGCTGAAAGCCTCAAGGGTGAGAGGCAGCCGAGTATTTTGGCAGAAAATGATAGATCAAACTCATCCTCGAACGTAAAACTCTCGGCACGTTGACGACAGCAACGGGGCCAGGTACCTTCTTTATAAACCCTAATTCTCGGAAGGTGACGTCCTGTTGACGCGAAACCAGCATTGTGACGAACGTCCTTGTCAACATGGCGAATCGGATAGGGGATGAAGAAACCGGCGTCATCCCTCCACTCCCAAAGCAGGAGGAGGGGACAGATAGCCGTCCACCCACCCGGAGAGGATCTCCTCCATTACAACATGAACTTAACAGTCCTCTCCAATCGCACCTAGGGTCCGCCCGCCCGTTCTTTTCCTAGGAGCTTGGGAGTCAAACATGGGCTTGACGTTGGAAATCCAGAGAAATGGATTTGGAAGAACTACGGGCGTTATCTTGTTACGAAGGTGCAGCCCTGGTCATTCATGTCCTCGAAGCAGAGTGAAGAAAGTTTCGAAGTCAACCTCGCCGAGGTGCAACACATGCACTTAGTACACCTGCGGATGATATTAGCTCGCCACATAGCACGGGGGGAGCGAACTGGGGGCAAGGGGCTGTGCGCCAGGTGGAATCGGCAACGTCGGAAAGATGAAAATGGCGATGAGGATGACGATGAGAATATGGACGCCGAGAATTGTTGGGAGGATGATCTGCACAGATACGGTAATTTCACGTCCATCGAACACATCGCACATGGCTAATCGCATGGATACAGTCCAGGGGTTGCAAGACTATGACTATATGGATAAAATGAACCAGACGTCCAGCAGGGACCCCTTCCACCTGACGGGCGAGAGGAAGCTTGATCGTATCATTTTCGATGCATCACTGGGAGGTGCGAGGCAAGCCCGTTTCGACAGCATGGGCATCCAAGACGTACACAAGTGGGACAGCCATATGGGCCTTGTCGTCCCGTCCCTAATCCAGAATCGGTACATACGCCTTGCCAGCCGGCTGGGGGTCTCTGCTATTGGGGCTACTTTTCTAATCGCCCCTATGTGGCTGATGATGCTACGGGGTGGGTTATACGTTGCCTTGATATCCACCACTGTGTTCGTCGCCGTCTTTGGGGCCTTTGCGGCGTCATTCTTGGATGAGCATGTGCATATCTTGTCAAGCACCGCCGCCTCTGCGGCTGTTCTGGTGGTCTTTGTCGGACTTACCAGCGAAGCAAGCACCGCACAGAAATACAACGAATTGCCGAATGTTTGTCATGGGACACGCTCTTTCAAGTGAGCCACGCGGGGGTGGATGCAACGGGATGGAATGGGATTGTGCAACGACGCCCCTGATTCGTGTGAATGAAGTAAGGAATAACGTTTCCATTATTGCACCCAAGTCTATGATTTATTCAACTCGTAGTAATACAAGAACCCTTTCCTCCCCACCAGCCATCACTTCCTATGGGCAACGGCCTGCCTCGCGGCAAGAAGCTGAGGTCCCAGCTCCATCAACTTCATCACATCGGCCGCATGCAAAAGCAGCACGTTGTCCTGTCCCATCTTGACCAGCTCGTCGCCGCCGCCGAGGCAGAAGCCGGCGCGGGGCTTGTTGTGCTTCTTCAGGGTGCTGTTGAACTTCTCCACGGCGGCCAGCCACTCGGGCTCGTCCCCCTGGCCAAAGTTGGCGGGCAGGTTCATGCTGATGCGGCAGTCGAGGCCACCGAGCCACACCACGTCGATGTCCGGCACCTCGGTCAGGATGGCATCCAGGTTGTTGATGCCCTCGAGCGACTCGATCTGCACCATGATGGCCGCCTGGTCGTTGAGGTTCTGCCACACGTCGCGCTTGCCGTCGGCCGCCATGTCCGTCAGGCCCGGCACCATGCGGAACGGGGGCGCGGAACGGGTGCCGTTCTGGCGCGTGCCGAACTTGGCCGCCGATACGACGTGCTTGGCCTGCTCGACTGTTTCGAGCTGCGGGACGACGATGCTCGCGCCCGCATCCAGGGCGAAGCCGATGGCGGCGTGGTCATGACCGGGGACTCTGCCGAAACATATCAGCCAGGAGCCCATGAAGGAAGGGGGTGTGCGGCGTGGTGTATTTACCTGACGAAGGGAATGGTGCGGCCGCCGCTCATGAACATCGCCTCATGGACCATCTGCCACGATCAGTCATGTTTGTCAAACCCGGAAAGGCAAACAACATACCGTGGTCATTGTCTCGACACCGCAGGACGTGTGCTCCCAGTCGATCCACATGACATCGAAGCCCATGGGGGCTACGAACCGCGTGATGGGAACGGAGCTGAGACCGGCATAGTAGCCGATGAGGGGAGGGATCTTCTTCTCGTGCGCATCCCGGATGGCCTGGCGAGCACGGTGCGGCTGGAACAGGGACGGGCCCACGTACGCCTTCATCCCCTCCTCCGATCCAGGGGCAATAGACTGGAACAGAGAACCCATGGCGTGCGGTTGACTGGGGGGATAAAACGTAGTTGGTGGCGGTGGGTGAAGTGATTGGAGTTGAAGATGTGGTTGTATGTGATTATGATGTTGTAATACCACAGAGTGAGGTTGAGCCGGGCGGTCGTTACTTATAGACCACGCCTCGTTGCGATCCTTCCCGCCATGATCTTTGGCCAGCCACTTGCAATGGCAGGCAGCACGCGGCACAAAGCAAGGTGCAGGGAAGCCGATGGACTGTTCTTTCCAGAAAGGGGTGAGCGTTGTTGTCTGTGCCCCAACAGAAGGGGTCTCGGGTGGCCGAGAACCCCGGAAACTTTTGACCCAGCATTGTTAACACCGGCATTAGCTCCGTATAAGCCGAAGGTAACAATTTGGAAAGAGTCGCCGGCGGGAAGCGTCAGAATCCGGATTTCCTGGGGCCAATGCTTCGGTAAAGCTGCATTGCGGAGCCATGCTGGGCCTTTCGACCACGCTCTCTCTCGTCCGCAGCCTGAAGAGGAGGTGGCTGGACTCGGTCCTTCACACCTCAGGTGTTTGTTCCATGTAAATTTCCTTGGGGACGGTGAGATTCTCCTCTATCGACAGCCAACCGTGAACGATACCAGCCCCACCGCCCGCTACTGATGTTACTCTGCTGGGGCTCGTCGCTGGGGCGAGTCAGCAAGGACCCGGCTGGGCGCTGACGACGACGATGTGCACCAACAAGGGTGGTGGGTTGAGGAAGCTGCACGGGTATGTGAACCAGGTTATCTCCGAATGCCGTTGGCAGGGGTGTGTGTTTCCGTTCCTCACGGAAGCTGACGTCTTCGGTCCCGTCTTGGCCTTGTTGTTTGCCAAACTCGACACGCCCGAGGGGATGGGACGGCGCAAAATGCGGTACCAAACTGGGAGACCGACCCTATTCGGCTACTTGCCAAGTAGCAGTTAATTCCTGGGAAACCCAACAGGACAAGCCGCCCGTAACTGGAATGTCTCCTACGTTAAGCTACTTGGTGGGTATGGGTAAGTTTCGTCCCCGACACTGGTACCAACAGGGGCTCGGGGTTCGGACTGTACAACTCAACCACAAAAGTTTGTCTTGTCTTCAGACTATTTTGATAAATCCAAGCAATCCTTTACTCGCATGTCTTTTAAACCTTTTTTTAACTGGTTTTGTGGCTCGGTTGACGCAGAAGTTGTTGCTGAAAATGTGTGTAAAGTTACGATTTGGCGCTTTGCAGGGGGGCTGGTCGGTACCCGGACAGGGGACGAAACTTATGCACCATACCACGGTACATCAAACTTGCAGTAATCATCCTTGCCGTCGCCGCCATCAATACATGTGCCGCAGTAGGCCTGCCAGCCAATCCATCCGTTACCACCACAATCGAACAGAGAGTTCCATACAAATCCCTCCCGGGGAGGGATCCCAACTCTCTCAAGCTCGTTCCGAATCTCATCCAGGTAGTCTCCTATATCCTTATAGTTAGCATTGGAAAGAAAAGCCAAAGAGGAACATTATAATATACCTCTTCTCAGCAGGGTAGAGCCACAGTATTTGAGTCCCTCCTTGCACGCCTTTGCCTCGGCCAGGGGGAGAACGGTGGCGGCTAATGCTAGAAGAATCGTAATGGGCTTTGTCATGGTGGTGGTATTTAACAAAAATGCGATTGAGGCAGGTAAGGTATAATACAGTTGTTGGAGGCAATGCACGAATGAAGAGCTGTTGAACTGCTTGTCCTGCTTCCATAAACTCGAAAAGACCTTGGGGGGATGCCCAATTTATAACTTCATGTTGACCGAAATCTGGTTGTCGCATATAATATAAGTTAGAACACCCGAACCCAGACGGATACAAGACTAAGGTGAACGGTGCCTAGGCAGGTACTCAGATCCGGGCCATAACTGAGATAAGATTTAGGTGGACGGTGCCTAGGCAGGTACTCAGATCCGGGCCATAACTGAGATAAGATTTAGGTGGACGGTGCCTAGGCAGGTACTCAGATCCGGGCTATATGTTACAGGCGTCGCGAACTTGCCCCTCACTCCCTTCCAGTTGTCTTCCATCAACGCCGGTTCCCATGCAACTCCTGTACGGACCAAGAAATCAGAAACGCAAAAAAATGCATCAAACCATGACCGACATAGCGCGGTCGCGATCGTCCTTATCCTTCTTCATCTTGAACAGCTGCTTGATCATGTCCCGCTTCTTCTCCTTCGGCTTGCCGGCCGCGCTTGCGGAGTCGTCGTCGCCTTCCTCGATAGCCTTGAGGGTGATTTTAGCCGAGTGCTTGGACGACCGCGAGACCGAGGACCCTTCGTGACTGCGGCTGCTGCGGCTGCTGCGGTGGCTCCGATGGCTCCTCTCGCTGCCCGCCACGCTTTCGCCGCCGTCCCTGTCTTTCCTGCCAGAACTGCTCCTCCGCTCCGAGACCTGCGTCTCCTCATCTCTCTCGCGGTGTTTGCGGCTGCCGCTGCTGCGATGGCCGCGATGCGACCTGCTCGACCGCTCACTCCGGGGGGCACGGCTGACCTGCGAGACAGAATCGCACGGCTCGACCTCGTCGGGTAGATCCAGATTGTGCTTCTCCTTGAGCGCACGCTCAGCCTCGCGGCTTATGAGCTCGATATCCGCCGACTCGTCCTCAACGCCGCCCACGATACCGCGGCGCCACGACTCAATAGAGCTCAGCTCCTCGACCTCGCGCAGCACAAGTGCCTCGTCATAACTGGCAGCACTCGGCGCTCGGGCGGGCGCTGGCGGCAAGGCTCTTTCGGGCGCAGCGGTGGGAGCGGCGGCCGGCACGGGCATGGCGCGCATCTCCAACGGCGTCTCGAGCGTTTTGGTCGCGGTGGCCGCGGCCCCGAGGCGCTTCACGATCTTCCATCCGCCAAACATGACGACCGTGACGCCCACGGCCACGCCGGCGCCGATAAGGAATTGGGGGCTCGCGAGCAGGGCAAATACAGCGGGGCTGCCGCCTTTGAGAAAGGCCAGAAAGGCGGGGCTCATCTTGCCGACCAGGGCGCTCAGTTCGGCGAGTGAGAGGGCAACAGCGGCCGCGGCTTCCGGGTTCCGCTGCAGGTTCTCGATCATGGACGACGCCGTGTGCTGCACGCAATGCGCTTCCTCGAGGTAATCTTCGATGCGGTCCATCAGGTTTATTGCTTGGGTTTCCTGGGGGTCTTCGTGGTCGGGCGCTCCCCCGGCGTCGTTGTAAACAGGGTCGCGGTGGCCAGTGTCGAGGTCTACCCGCGACTCCAGGTCAGGCGGGATGTCGCCGTAGGCGAGGTCCATGTCGACCGACTTCTTCCTCGTGATGCCGAGGTCGGAGCGCGGGCGGTGGACGAGCTGCCGCCGCTCGGGCGGAGCTGCTGAGATGAGAGCACCGGCCGGCGCAGCCGACTCGGAAGCGGGCGGCGCCCCGATGGCGAGGGGTGGCCTGGAAGGTGGCATGTCTCGAGGCGCAGTCTCGGCGTATGGTGCTCGGTGAGCCTTGGACGGTGTTGTAGCTGAGACCTCGGAGTGTGTTTTCAGGTTGCCCTCGGTCAGCATAAGCGCGCGCTCTGGGGAACGGGGACGGCGGGATCGCCGGGATTGGCGGCTGTGGCGGGACGAGGCCTGCGAGCGGGCATCGTCATCGTGGGACTTTCGGCGGCCGAAGCCGTCGCGGAGAGACCGGCGGTCGTAGTCTTGATCGAAGTCGTCCGGATGCCCTCCGCCGTAGTGGTAGTTGTCGAAGTACGAATCCTCGCGCGGTGCCACGTCAAACGTCTTAGCCCGCTGGATTCCGGCGCGCTCGGCGCGTTCGGCCTTCCCGGCATCTCGCCGATCCCGGTAGGCTGCCTGCGCCTCCTTGAAGATGTTGACCAGCTGCTTGCCCTGAGCGGCGTCAGTATCTGCCCATGCGCCGCACACTGTCCGGGACGGACGAGAGGGGTACTTACCGTGCTGATAACCTTCCCCGAGTTGTTGATGATGGTGATGAACTCCGTACCTGCCATTTTGTGTATTGGGGGTTGTGTTGAGTACGTGGGAGTGTGGTTCGAGCTTGGTATTTGGGCGTTCAAGCCGTGAACTGCAGACTTCCCATGCCTCGGTGTCGGCGCGCCGTTGACTTTAAGCGTCGTAGGTTGCTCGACTCGGTGACAACCCCAAAATATTTCCTATCTCTGAGGGTCAAGAAGTTTGAGAAGCGTCGAAATTGAGTTGGTGTTGTGGAACATCGAACCGTGGGCATGCGGGCACCCATTTGGGATAAATGGCGGCGCCAAATCGACAATGTTTCAGGCCTCCCCGGTGCCATGCTGGCAGCAAACGCTGTGGCATGCAGGGCTAGCGGGATGATTGGGTGGTTTGGGATCGGGCATGAAGCGCGAAACACCCCACCACGTCGCTGCATCCGCGCCCTGTCCTCCCCCCCGCGAGTCCTGCCCCCCCGCCAACTTGAACCGACAAAACGAGGGGCGGGCACGCTCGGCAGGCATCCGAATACCGCGGGCTGGGTGGAAGAGAGAGGCGGTGGAGGCGGTCACCTTTCTCGCTCACCGCATCGTCCCCTGATCACTGGCTAGGGCGGGGTCGGCTGCGGGGCATTTGGTGACATTTTCGTGGCATTTCATGCCGCTGCAATTGGCGGTCGAGAGCGCCAACCACCGAGTCCGGGACGGCAGCCATCGGAGGTTGGGGTCGCTCCACGGAGGTCAGGCGGTTGGGATGAACGGCATCGCAGTGATGAGTTGGCGCTACCCCCGAGCAGGGCATCCAGTCCAGTGTTCCGACCTCGAAGATTCCATCCGCTGTGTTGCTTCCTCTGCGTGCTCTGGTATGTCAACATGTTTGGAGACGGAAGGAGCGAGCCACTGGGGTGGAATGGAGAGTGGGGACGGTTGCCAGTTCATCAGCATTAGCGAGCCCCACATCAAGCTCTCTGGGTGGCGCGCAGGCACGCTGCTGCAGCACCGTGACTGCTGTGGGGCGAATGACAGGTCCCGCTTGCCCCTGAGCTGTCAAGGCCCAAGCGAAGAGAGCTTCGGGTGCCAGTTTTTTTCTGGTTGATGCGCTCCGTCTTGCACCGGCGGCGATGGAACTTGGAGCTGTGGGTTCCGGGTCTCCGAGATGACACCAGTGTATTACGTGAATCATTGTTTCCCATGGCCCGAGTGTATGCCAAAGTGTAGACAACTGCAGGAAGGGTCAGGTTTTCTGCCTCTACCGAGTAAAATGCAACGTAAATATGATGAACGCTAGAGATGATTACCAGAATGAATATGCCCTGCCTTAAACCAAGAACGCCTCCCTTCTCTGGCAACCAGAGTCCACCAGACTCGACCCAAGGGAGTTCGTCTTCCCCTTGTCGAGCGCCCAGCCGAGCCAATGCCACGCCACACCGCCTCCAGACACCGGTTAGGCGATATAAACCGGCAGGCGACTCCCGAGCAGCTCACTCTTGGGAATTTGCACGTCTTTCTTGTTAAAATCGTGCAGCAATAACCAGCACAGCATCCTCAGCACGAGCGTGCACCATATGGCCGAGGCTGTCGACTCAAGCTTTGTCGTCTCGTCCGCCAGGTCTGGCTGCGGCCCCCCGCCCGGAAACTGCACGGTCAGCATGGGCACCGACTGACTGCTCCCGTCTTTCCTCAGTGAAGGAGGAGAGGCCCTGGCCTCGGGCTCGCTGTCGATGGCGGAATCTGGGGAATGCACCGATGGGGCGTACTGAGTAGTTTGTCGGCGCCCATATGACATGACGGCGCGTGCCCGGACGTGGCGGAGCACTTTGAAGAAATATAGCTCCATGAAAGCCTCCTGGCGCAGCTCGGGGCTGGCCGCCGTGAGCTCGTCGAAGTGTTCTGCCACTTGCTTCACGCCGCCACTTCGCATGCTATTGGCGTCGAAATCGCCTTCGGCGCTGCCCTTGTCGTTGATCATCCTCATGACTTCCTGGAAATGTTCGCGGATGACCATGCGCACAAGGTCACGGTCGCTGGTCTTGAGAAAATTGTCACACCCAACCAGGACATCGTGGAGAGTATTGAGCAGCGGCATGGAATATCCGGGTGTTTTCGACTTCTTATCCACGTCCAGGGCGTGTACCAAGGTCTCGGAATCGTCCATTAACTTTTGGGTCTGCGGATTCCAGAGCACGTCATCTGTATCCGAGTCCGTGATCTTTTTCCAATATTCCCGGACCAGCCTCCGCATGTTGAAAAAGTTCTTGTCCCAGTGGTACGGGGTAGGGTTTGGCAGCATGCGGAAGGCGCTATTGCGGATGTGTAGCGTCTTTCCAAGCATGCCGAGGAGCTCAAACGGAACTGTCTGGTCAGCAGAGATGGGGGAAATGGAGGTCGGGTACGCGTACCTGGGAAGAGATGGCCGTGCTTGGCGTCAGGAGACCGGAAATACTTGGCCGTATCGGTGTTGCACTCAATCAGGACCATGGTCTCGGCAATCTCGTCTAGACTGCCGAGCTGGAGGAAGTTCAGGTCCTTGGTATCCTTGCTATCCTTGGTATCGTCGTTGGGAAACTCGATCCGACGCCTGTCTTTGTTTTCCTGGAACAAGGTTGACACATAGCCGCAGCACAGCTCCTTGACTTCATCGACGGGGATCACCCTATTCTCCTGAAACCGGCTCTTGCCGGTAACCTGGAGGGTGAACATAATGCCAAGTTCGGGGACATTGGTACCCATCAGGATGTAGCCGTTCCCTTCGGCCCGGTACCGCTCCCGCGACCGGTCGAACTCCTTCCAGTGTATCCCCATCATGGCGACAATTTCGAGGAGGTGGCACATGGTCGTAGTAGCGTAGGGCTTTTTGACACCGGCGGGCATGGTATCCCAGCTTCGTTTCTTGGCCTGCAGGGCGACGGCGAGCGTATGTTTCGAAAAATCAACTTGCTCCATCCGTTCGGGCGGGTTCTGTTTGTAGTGCTCTTGCTGCCAGTCCTGGCTTTCCTTCTCCATGGATTGTAACTGCGAGAGCAGCACGACCCACGAGGCCCTCTCGTTGTCGGCGGTGTGTACCGTGCTCTCCTGCAGCGACTGGCGGTGCGCTTCTTCATCTTGTGGTAATAATGCCCGCGTTTCTTTCAAGCTTTGCGGCGTGCCGCTGACGAAGTATATCGGCTGTTTCTTGATGGGGCCTTTGTCGTTGGTGGTCGGGCAGACGAAAATGACGGGGGTCTCGAACTCGACCTCGAAGCGCAGCTCGGTGGCCCGGAATTTTCGTTTTTTGCTCTCGTGCCACCTCCCCATGACGCTTTCGCCGCAGTTCGAGTATCCGGCGGCCGACGCAATGTATTGCTGGAAGACCTGGGCGAAGGTGCCCAGCAGAGCCACCAGGGAAATGACGAGGGCGACCCAGTTGACGATGCCGTCGTCGTCGCCGCCGCCGCCGCTCTCGGAGCTGTTGCTGTTGCCCATATCGGCCATATCAGTTGAAGAGGGGTAGCGGTGTCTCTCGGAGGGGCTGTCGAGGTGGAACTGTTGCTCGGGACAAGCGAGGCAGCCCGCAAGGCTCTCGGGGGGCGAGTCGGGATGGTTCAACGATCGCTCAGGGGCTCGGGGCCAAAACTACCAGTGAGAAGTTGTTTGAACGAAGCGAGGACAACTCGACCTCCTCCGGGGAGCAGGGCCCATTGTATGAGAAAAACAACCGACAACCCGTCCACTCGTTTTGGCCACTTCGGCCTGCACCGTTCTCTGGCTCGTCCTCGGGCATCGCTCGTCGCGGAAAATTGGATGCTGGGGAAGGACAAGGCAACCAATGGGGCGTGCTGCGGCTGGACGCGCACCTGGCCCCGGCCATGTCGGCGAGCCAAGCAAAGTCAACGCCAGGGTCGCACAACAGCCAGATCGGCCCCGTTCTGGATTCCGCCAAGCGGCGCAAGTTCCGCAGCTTCTGCTGTGGAGGTTAGTGGATTTCCATCGTTCGCTTGACCATCCTGTCAGTCAACCCACTTCAAATCTCGAACCTTCGGCTCCCTAACGCCAAATGATGAATGCATAATCGGCTCGGGCTTAGGTTGGTCGGGTAGTTGGCGATGCGGCGGCGCGGTTCGCGGACAGTTCGCGGACAGTCCCGTCTTTCGTGCGTGCGGGTGCGGGGAAACCGGTCCCGGTTCCGGTTTGTCTCAGGTCGCCCACTCAGAAGTTTCGGGGCCTGCGCGCGCTGTGGTTGGCCGTCGAATCGAAGCCGCCAGAGCCTGCGAGAAACCGCGGGGGACCGAAAATACCTAGTCAAATCATCGGTTTTGTGTCAGCTGGAGTTGGTGATACAACGCCACTAGTTCTATCAGCATCCGCCTCGAAAGTCAAGGTCGGGGGCCAGTGAGTGGACCATCCATTGACACCGTCGCCGTTCACTTTGTTACGGGTGGCTGGCGCAACCCTTCCAATATTTGCAGTGGCCCTCTTTCTCAGCCGAGTGGTCGCTAAGGGATCGGGTGTTGTGGATGTGCCTGATGAGGTGGATTGCATCAGCCCGCGCGGCTGCATCGTTGTGTTACATAACTGAGATACCTGAGACAGGCCTTCCTACCTACACAGCAGATACCTTTCTAGCGGAATGTCGATGACCATGACGTCACTTATGGCCACAAATGGAGACCGAGCTCTGTCGATTTACAAGTCGTAGATTACAAGTCACAAATAACTCACCCACAGCTTCTACAATTTGAGTCAACTTCAAGAGACATCAAACAGAAACGCTGCCATGGAGTCCGCGGCACACGCAAAAGACCGAGATGCCGAAGCAAAGGTGGCTGGCGAGCCACGCACCACAAAGAGCACCGTACTCGAGACGGGCGCCGCCATGACACAGGCAGGTTTAACTCACTTACATTATATGTATCACTTGGTGCAGGACGGGTGCTGATACCCCCTGGACTAGGACTTCTCGCCACTCCAAAACATCTGCGCCCATCTCAACGCTTTCCACGTCTACGCGTCCGAGCCGAGCCGCGTCGTCGAGGCCAACCACTACTGCGGCCACCTGACCGAGGATGTGCGCCAGTGTCTGCTCTACGACAGCCCCTCTCCCGGCGCCCGCCTGATCGGCGTTGAGTACATGATTAAGCCGCACCTATACGAGACCCTGGACCCGGAGGAGCGCCGCCTCTGGCACAGCCACGTCTTCGAGGTCAAGTCGGGCATGCTCGTCATGCCGCAGCCCTCGCCGTTCGTGGCGCAGGCCTTGTGGGACAAGGCCGAGACCGCCGAGATGGAGCAGGTGGTCCGGCTCTATGGCAAGGTGTACCACTTGTGGCAGGTCGACCGCGGGGATAAACTGCCGCTAGGAGAGCCGCAGTTGATGACTAGTCTGACCAAGGCGGACCAGCTGCCGGGGTTGGAGGACGTTATGCACCAGAGGGATAAGCGGTTTCCAGGCTGTGATTGGCGGAAGAAGAAAGAAATCAGGAAAGATCTCGAGGAGCCTGAGATCCATCCCGGCAAGTGCAAGTAGGCCAAGAGTGTTGTACAAACGCTGACTTTACACAGATGCGGACTACACCTGGAAAAAGAGGTGAAGGAAAACGTTCTGAATTCTACCCGCAAACGACTACTTCACTCAAACCTGGTCGTCTTCAGCCACGACCTTCCCTCGCTCGCTGATGTCTTTCATTCCGTGTTCCCGCATAATTTGCTAGCGGGCTTCTTTCATTTGTAATTCTAATCAGAATTGTCGTGGGTCAGGTCTATTAGAACTGGCTTCGTGTTTCCGCTTCTCCTGCTCGTCCTTTTGTAAAATGGATCGTTCTCGTCTTCCTCGCCCGCTCCAGCTTCGACCTTGATCTTTGTCCCAATCTCGAGACTAGATTCTGTGTGCATCGCGGCGTGGTGTTGGTCCAGCTCCTTTTCGGTAGAGCAGCCAGGCTGCATGCACCCCCATCCGCTTGGATAATCGTGGAGGGACTCTCGATGTCGCCACAAGTCATTCGCTGTATGAAAGGCGGCATTGCATCCGAATGCGAAGCACGGCAAAGGCGGCCGTGTTGGGTTACGGTCCTGGAGGCCCTCGCGGTGACCTCCATCCATTTCTGCCACCCGAGATGCGGCTTGACCCTCACTTGCAAGGCCGATTCTTTGTGATGCAGTGGCCTTATCCGCCAACGCCTGTTCCACCATCTCGGCACCGGTATCAACGCGGGGTTCGGCTTGATGGCTCTCCTCCCATGGGGTGTGAAACTCAGACGTAGTACTTGTGCGCGGTGATTCTGGGCTCGCAACTGCAGCTTGGGGTGTGCCGTCATCTCCAGCAGCGGTGCTGTTTTCCGTCAACCTCACGTACGCACGCGGCACCCAACCTTGACGCTCTCCTCTGTCAGACGACGCTAGCATCCAAGCGGCATCTGCTGAACCTTCAGCGGATCTCAGAATCCACAGTTTTTGTCCTTCGACCAAGGCAAGCTCGCTCGCCAGGCCGGGCGTAAAGTCGTACAACGCAATCCCTCGGGACCACGCCGATTCGTCGTGTTTGTGATCAAGGTCGCCCACATTAACGATTCTTGACCTTGATTCCGATGCTGTTGATGATGCTGTTGAGTCCACGGGGCGCTTCGCCGATTCCGCGTTAGGGATCTTTGGTTCGTCCTTTGATCCTTTCTCCAGATCTCTATCAGATTCGTCCTCAGATTCCGCATTTGCGGGAAGGATGGTCAAGGAAACCTCCTCAAGGTGCTCTGATAGATGTCTTATTTTCCAGCTGCTCATATCTTCCTGGCACAGAGGGCACACCATTTGTTTAGAGTAGCTGGCGAAGCCATGATCTACTTCTAGGTGACATACCCAGTCCGTTTTGTGCAGAAATGGAATCCTGGTGAAGCTGCATTCCGGTATAATACAGACGTACGGTTGAAGGTCAGAGAGGACGTGTTTCCTATCCATCAGCGTTAGCACTGCGAGACGAGTCGAGACACGGGGGGCTTGAGAACGAAAGAAAGGGGACGTTGGCTTGCTTACTTCCAGGACGACTTCCAACTCGCCTTTGGTAACTGGCAGCTGCAGCCACAGATACCACAAATAAAGGGTTCGCCTTTCATGCCCTCAGGAGGGACCTGCGGAATGCCGATCGATCCACCCTTTACGTCTCGGTACGAAAGGAGGGTTTCGGGGCATAAGCTTGGCGAGGGCGAAGTCGACCCAAGGCCCGAATCTTGAAATCCGGACGCAGTTACTCTTCCTTTCGCCTCGGACGCAATGGCTGTTCCTTTCGCCTCGGGCACTGGTCCAAGTTGTAGTGCTGGTCGCTCGGCTGCCCGTGCATTCGCCTCTCTCGATGCATACAGCCTTTTGGCCCTCTCCCAATTCACATGGCCGAGGATTTGCGTCACGGCAGTATCTCCGTTTGGATAACGATGTCGTATGCGCGAAGCCAAATGTTCGGCCGGGTCCCAGTCCACTGTCAACGATGGCGATGCAGGCTGTTCCTTCACAGTTCTGTCTCGAATGGGCTCGTTGTATCTTGGCCCCAAATCGACTAGGCAATGGATGTCGGTTTCGAGGTCTTTTACGATATTGTCGATAGTAGAGTTATTGCTGCTAGACGAGGCGTCGCTTCCGGAGTCGCTCGCTGAATCACTGCCGTCGTCGCTGCCGTGGACAAAAGCTGCCTCTTCGATCAGATCCCGGGTCCGGGCTACTTGTTTGTCTAACCTGCGCTGCCAATCGTCGTCACTACCGGTGGATAGTACCGTCGGTAGTCCTGACAGGGGTCAGCGCCCAGTACAGTCTCAATACTCTTCTTAGATATCTTCACTTACTGTCCGCCAGTGTATTGCAAATGCTCACCAACAAACGGTAAGTGTCATGCCGCAACCTTTTCGATTCGGACAGGACGACATCGAGATCACCGGAAGGCGCACCGTAGCCATCACACCACAACTGCAAGTAGCCAAATACACGGCTTAGCGCGCGGTAGTCGGATCGAGTTGTTTCCAGACGATCCTGTTCTAGTAGGAGCCGGAATAGCTCACATGCTGCCTTCGTGAGATGAGAGGCAAACCCTTCGTGCTTGTGAGCCAGTGCTTCGCAGCCGTCATCAGGAACTACAGATTGTTGCCAAAACTCAATTTCGTTGTCCATTGTGAAGGTGCCTTAGTTGGGGCTTAGGGGGGACTGGATCTGTAGGACGAGTGGGCGATGGTTTTCATTGCGAATCGAGGCCGAGGGGTGAGGCTCTCCCTCCAAACCTCTCAGCTGGGTAACGTGGGAGCTACCTTAGGTTAGGCACATTTGTGAGGGAACAACAGCGCATCGAATGCGGCCTCCCCCTTGTGTGTGGAGGCGGTGCGGGGGGCTATGCTACCCGCCATGCAGCAAGGGGGGCGGTTGGTGACACTTGAACCAATCCCAGCTTCATACGTTCTGGGGACGTTTCATTCCTGCAATTTGCATTTCCAACTCATGGTGGCCAAAAAGGTGATGATTTCTGACTTTCCATCCTCGTAAATGGAATCCGCTTGGTATGTACATAAGGCCACCTGGGAATGGATCCCGTCTCGCTCGCTCTCGGTATAGCGCCGCTTTGTCTTGGGGCATTGAAGGGAGCAAAATATGCGAAGTCCAAAATCAAGCTCTTGAAACACCATGGTCGAGAAATCTCTCGTTTTCGCAAAAGGCTCCGGACCCAGATGTCCATCTTCCGAGATGAGTCCCATTTGCTCGTCCAAGACGCCGGAATCGACCCCGATCTCGCCGCAGAGATGGTCGAGGATCAAAACCACGAACACTGGACCAGCCCAGATCTCGAGTTTCAAATCCAAAACTTCCTCGCCAAGAGATATCTCGGCCTCAAGGGCGTAGCGGAGCAGATCTATTCCCAGGTTGAGGCACTCAGCCGAGACTTGGATGTCATAGAGGACTCGGACCATCCTTCAAGCAAAGGCAAAGTCAGTATTGCGTGACCATCTCCTTATTACTTTTCTTTTCTTCCTCCGAAATTTCTACTCACTCCTTTTGATAATAGCTCGCGGCCAAAGCCCACCGTGCTGGGCAGGCCGTCCGGTTGGTTTCGAAGTACTCTGACCTCGAGGCGAGTCTCGAATCTCTCACCGATTCCGTCGAGGAGTTTCGAAGACTCAGGAAAACGGCGAGGGAGCTGCAGAAGCCAAGGCAGGCACTTTCTATGCGACGAAAGGCTATGCCCCGGACGTACAACTTGGTAGCGAGACATTCGGCTTCGTTTCTGGAATCTCTTTCGAAAACCTGGTCTTGCCGCAACTCCAATGGGGTTCACTCCGCTCACACCGCCAAGTTATTCCTCGAGACAGATGTCTTCGACAGCTGCGTCAACTTCACAATGATACTGGAATACGTAGCCATAGCAGGCAACCTTAAACAGCAGTAAGTATATCCTCGTGCCCTGGGCGCTACTACGGGACTCACGTAGCTCACCGTTTTCGTACTCAGGAGCCTATTATTCTTACGTATTCGTTCCGAGGAACTTTCCTGGGTCGACATCGGCCTCCCGGCCCCGATTGCTTCTCCACAGCCCCTCGAGCCGCCAGCAAAGGCTCGTCGCCTTACAATCGCAGATTCTCCCCAGTCTTGTCCGAGGACCTGCACTTCTCCGCTGGCGAGGCGGCACACGAGCAACGAGAAGCTGGCGCACAATCTATGTCAAGCTAAAGATGTCTGCCACCACGTGTTCGAATGCGGCAAAGCTCTCCATCAGTCAAAGGAGGAGGGCTGCATTGGTTACCTTGTATCCACCGACAATCTCACCCACCAACTCATGGCAAGCCATGACAGGGAGAGCACCGCGATCCAAACCCGTCCCTCGCCGCCGGCAAGTCTTGCTTCTGTAATACAGCACCCCAATCAACAAGAAATACCGGTCAACGAGCAGGTCCGACTGGCCCTCCGTCTTTCTCGCTCAGTACTCCAGTATCACTCAACGTCTTGGTGGCGCCAAAACTGGGACCTCTCCGATCTTTCATACTTTGACATCGATGATGAACTTTCAATCTCCCTCTCAACTCTCCACATTAACGCGAAACTTTCATCTCCGGAGGCTGCCATGTCAATGCAGAGCGTCACAACCCACATACCCGCGCCGCCATCACACCATGACGCCCAGCTCTTGCACGGTATCCGGAACGTGACGCTTCATAGCCTCGGTGTCGCCCTACTCCAGATCGGGAGGTGGGAGGTGATGGATGCCGATGATTTGGTTTCGGTCCGCAAGGCAGCGGCGAAACCTTCCCGGTTGGGGCCTCGATATGACGAGCTCACGGCTAAGTGTTTGTACTGTGACTTCGGCTTCGGGGCCGACTTAAACAAGCCGCAGCTTCAGGGGGCTATCTATGAGAGTGTGGTGCATGAACTGGAAGAGATGGTGGCTTTGCTCGAAGGAGGCCGAAAGTGATGACGGGTGGGATGGCTCGGGACTTGTCATGACTTTCGTTTGGTCATTGTAGAGACGAATAGTGCATACTCATGTGTGTAAACCAGGCTAAATTACGAACCCCCCTCGAAACAGACCGGAATCGCTTCCATGCAAACCAATAATAATACCTAGACCACGCCCATCATCAATGCAGCAACTCCTTCAATGACTTTATCTCCGCCGCCCCCTGCCAGTCTCTGCGATGACCCGAAAACTCCAATCGTCATGGCATCGCCCTGTACGGAAACCTCAACATCAACGGCATCCTAATACACCTACGGTCAGTGACCCTCCAAAATAACGGTATCAACACAATAACACTTACCGGAAATGCATCCCTTGCAAGATTGCTCGTTATCTCCCGGGCTAACTCCTCAAAATTACCATGTGACCCATCATGAGTAATTGGATCGCCGGCCGCCGGTGCTTTCCGCAGCTCTAGCAGCAAATCTCCCCGTTCATTAAGGGCGGACGGAGGTGCCGCTAGGAAATTCACAAACGAGTCGACCGTGACGCCCGTCCAGTCCTTGATCTCCCACAGCCCAACCTCCACGTGAGCGGGTGACGAGATGGTGTGGATATCCCTCTGGATCGCTGCCGCAAGATCGAACAAATCGGGCCCATCTTGCAACACAACTCGGAGCGGTACCAGACGCAGGAAGGGGTAGGTGTTTGTACCGGGATCGTTCTCGGCTCTGTTGGCAAGGTAAATGCCAAATACTACCGTTTCAGGCCGCTCAGCGCCGTTCAGAACGGCGGTGGAAGCAAGGAACTCTGCATACGCGGCGAAGAAGAGGGCTTGCAGGCTCACTCCTCTTTCTTTGCATAGCTTCACCGCGGCAGAAACCCCTTGAAGAGCGGCGTGTTTGATGGTGCTCACCCGGGAGCTGACGTCTCCCCCACTTCGCTGAGGGTGTGGTTGGCGTTGGGTGCCGGCAAGATACTGGGTCCAGAATTGCTGCCGTGCAAGACGACCGCTGTGGGAAAGACGGGGAGAGAGAAGGGTTCGCCAGTTAAAGGTGGAGCTGCTATGTTGTTCAGTGTCCTTGGAGGAACAGAGTGCCGAGAATCTCTCCATGATCGCCGGCAGACTAACGGCATCGTAGAGTGCGTGGTGGATCTTCAGCTGCAAAGCCAAACTGTCTCCGTCCCTCTCCACGTGCAGGGAGTTGTACCGCGGTGGCAAATGCTGCGTTGTCCGCGTGTGCCACGTCGTGTCGTTGATTGAAGGCTCCGTCTGCTGAAATGTCGAGGAGTGAAGGGTGACCTGTAGAATTGGAGTCGATCGTGAGTTGGTTGAGACGAACACAGTTCTGAGGATGGGCGTCTCGGCCACCAGAGATTTCCATGCTGTTGCAATAGTTGTGATGTCCAATTTCCCGGATAACGTGTATTGGAAGCATGGGTAGAACACTCTCCCCTGCGTGTTCTGCCATACCGAGAGCATATGCACCTGCATCGATGTGGCGGGCTGCGCTTCCTCAACCTCGGATTCGTCGACCCCGATGCCGCGAAGGATGGTAGGTAGGTCCACATCTGACAGAACAGCAGACGCATCGGTGGCTTCGTCTCCGCCGCTGGCGGACTCAGGTGGTGTCGGGATCGGTTGGGCTTCACGGGCCAGCATCGCAATTTCGGATATCGATCCTGCCTTAAGCATGTCTCGGAATCCGATCGATATTCCCTTCTTCCGTAACAGCGAACCAGCCTTGACGGCGCTGATCGAGTCCAGGCCGAGATGATAAATGTTATTCCGCTTCAGAATGGTTGCAGCCGGCATCCCTGAGACAACAGCCAACACACCCCTGATGGCTTCCTCCAGGGGGGACCATGGACCACCATCTTTCGTTACCAACTCGGTCGTGACTGTGCTGGGAACACGTGCTGCTCGAAGCGTAACAGAGGGCTGGCCGCACACCGAAACTCGCTCTCCCGAAAACGTGGCCACGCTCTCCCCAGAAGAACGCATAATGTAGACAATGACTTGGTTGAGTTCCCGCAGCATTTCCACTGTTAAATCTGGAGATGCGTACGCGCCATCACAGGCCATCCGCCAGACAAGCTTGCTCTCCATCACCTCCATTTCCACACACACCGGGTATTCCACCCTCGCCGTCCCGCCAATCGACTCCATGAGCTTCTTCTCGCCATGCTCGTTGACTGCTGGAAGCCCTCGTTGCTGAATAAACAAAGTATTGAAGAGAGGGCCGTTGCTCTTAGCCAGCCTTTGTGCTGCCCTTAGGGGGAAGTGCCGGTAAGGACCGAGACTGTTCATGTTGTCCTGCATGTAGCGAATCCAGGATGAGATCTTGCCGTGCAAGATACTCCTGACTGGGACAGTGTTCATTGTCGGGAACACGAGTTCCTCGAGGGACGCGGTGTCCCGACAAGAAAGCACCACGCCGAAAGTGACATCCAAGCACCCTGTTTTCGCGGCTAGAAAAGCAGCCCAGCACGCCTGCCCCAGAGTCTGCAGGGTTATGGCATTGGCTTTGCAGAAGGCTATTGTCTCTGACAGCGAGATAGGCCAAGTCACTTCGTCCCGGTGAATCACGGAGTTTTGGTCGGACGCCGACTCAGTCTCAGGAAGCAACGTCGGACTAGCACCTTGGAGAAAGCCAGCCCAGAATGCCTGGGCATCACAATGGCCCTGGAACAATACACCCTTAAGCTGCTGGGTGTACGACTCCAAATTCTGGGCCCGGTATGTCCCTTCATACGCCGCATGAACGGCTTGGTGGATCAGGCTGAGAGACCACCCGTCGTACAGCGCATGAGCAATGGAAAGGACCAGGAATGTCTGATCACCGTCTGTCGCGAAGACCAGCTGCAGAAGATCGGACTTGCCTCCCCCTTTCTGAGCTCGGAGCGTCGCCGTATAACAAGCCGTCGCCAACTCCTCGGTCGTATTCAAGTTGACTTCAGTCATGCGCACCGAGGAGCCGTCACCGATGACTTGGCAGTACGAGGCCCCTAACTCGGGGCTCTCGACTGATATGAACCTAGTTCGGAGAATGGGTGAGCCAGCGATCACAGTCCTCCACGCGTGCGCCATCCTGGTGACATCCACCGAAGGCGCAAGTTCTAGGATGTCGTGGTTGAAGTATAGCTGAAAATCAGATTCGACCATCTCCATGACCATCGACTCCTGCAGCGGTGTTGCGGGCAGCACAACCTCACCGTCAAGAAGCTCGCCCACTTTCCGCACATACTCCTGTAGAGCGGTGGTTACTTGGTGCCTGCTTTGCGCTCTGGCAGTGTCTTCGATGCCGTTGGTGTTGGCGCTATGCAACCTGGCTTGTAGGAGCTCCATCATGGCGGCGATAGTCTGCGCTTTCATTAGGTCGCTGGTCTTGATATTAACCCCTTTTCTCCGAAGCAGTGCAGAGAGTCTGATCACGTCGATGCTATCGAGACCTAAACTTAGGAGGGGTGCGTCCTCAGGGACAAATTGCGGATTTATGTTGGCGAGGTCAGCTATCTCGTTGCGCATTATCAGAGCATCTTTGGTCCACTCAAAGGGTGGCTCGTCGACAGAAGGTTGGGGATGGTGCCCATTCACCATGCATTCGTTTGTCGCATCGTCATTTGGAGTAGTGCCCCAAACCGCTTCGGGGGCTAAGCTGGGCGATGGACATTCCACGACATCGTTCGGATTCCTGGCCATGTTCTTGAGCGCTTGTTCCAGGTCATCCATCAAAGCCGCGACTGGTACGGCCCCCTCATCCTGCGCAACGATAAGCAGACTGAGATGGCCGTTTGAGCCCAGGGTGGCTTCCAGCGCCAGAGGGTAGTCAGCATTGGGTTCCGAGTCGACCGCCGTCCACAGCGTTCTGTGCTTGAACTCCTGTTCCTCATCCCGTTGGAAAGAGAACAATGTGTCGAACAATGGCTGCCCCCCCGAGCACCATTTCTGCACGTCACGGAGAGGAACGTGCTGGAAAGCCAAGACGGTAGTGTTAAACTCATGGCACTGATGAATCAAGGTCGACCAGGTAGATCCCCCTTGTGCGGTGATACGCGCATGGAAAGGGACTGTGTTAAACAATGGTCCGACAACAGCCTCCGCGTTGTCCAACTCAATGCTCCTCCCAGAAACGATGATGCCGATGGTTGGGTCTGCGGAGCGGTGTTTAGACAAAACACCGACCCATGCGGCTTGCACCAATGCTTGGTGTGTGACTCTTAAGTTGGTTCTCAACGCATCAAGATCACCGAAATGAACTTTGCGTGTGATGCTGATGGTAGGCGGGGGCGTCGAACGGCTGAAGTGACGGGCAACAGTTGCACCTTCAAGATGCTTCTTCCAGAATGCCTTGCTGTTGCTAAAGTCTTGCAGAGGTCCATGACACAGTGCATCGACGAAGGATGGCCCCCGCATATCGTCGGCTGCTTGCGTGGGCTCATCGAGGCTCCCCACCAGATATTGCGTTGCTAGTTGGTCAAGGAAGATGTTAAAACTGTTCGCATCGTAGAGGCCGTGGAATATGTGGATGGCGAGGAGACGAACGCCGTCACTGTTGACGAGGGCGACATGAAATGGTTCGGCAAGATGTTCCTCATTTCGTATGATCCAGGCATTCCGTGTCTTGCTGATTGCGTCCTCGGTTGACGTTCCATCTTCGACCTGCATTTCACTCCACGGTAAAGAGCTACACTTGAGAGCGGCCTGAACGACGCCGTCGGCCGTGCTCACAAACTTGGTTCGTAGGATGGCGTGCGCATCAAGAAGTCCCTGTAGTGCAATACGCATGTTCTCAGCTGAGACACTTGGTGCCAGGATGAACTGGAAAGTGTTGAAATATGCGCTATCAATGGAAGACCTCGAGATCATGCCCTGTTGTAAAGGTGAACAGGGTGCGATGTATTCGATCTCGTCCGGCATGACGCCCAGTTCTCGAGAAGCGTGCGCTCGGTGCTTATGACCGCAGGCTTGGACGAGCTGCCTTGCCGTCGCGACTGAATCAGAACTGTGAATGGACTCGTCGATCTCCAGAGATGAAGCCAAATCTCCTATTAAGGGGTGGCGAAGAACCAACGATGGGCTGGCCGCTGCAAACCCCTCCCTCTTCAGGGCGCGGGAGAGACGGAGAACAGTGATGGAGTCGATGCCGAGCTCGAATATGCTCGACTCTGCTGTTATTGAGCCGGGTTCGATCTTCTGCATTCTAGCGAGCACCGCCACGATCCTCGTGCCGGTTACACTGAGAACTCTACGAGACACGCTCGGCAATGAAGACAATGATATGAGTTTGTCAGGGGTCAGTGAAGTAAAGAACTTCGCCAATCGTTTGGTCTCGGCCTTGTTGTTGGAAGACAACGGGATGGACGAAACCTGAAGCACATAGGTCGGGACCATGTAACCGGGAAGCTTAGAGCGACAGGCGTCTCTGGCGCGTCGGCATAGTTCTGCTGCATCAAGGCCATCCAGGATTTCGAGCGAGGTGCCGCCTGATTCTTGTCCCTTAGCCCCGTCACCAGTCGTGATAAAGGAGACAAGAAGGTCCTTTTTTTGGGATTCGTTGCGCACGACAAGCGTGGCAACATCCTGGATGGACTCGACCCCTTTACGGATAGCATGGTTGATCTCTCCAATCTCAAGACGCTGGCCGCGGAGCTTGACCTGGTCATCTGCTCTGCCAAGGAAGTCGAAACATCCGTCATGAAGGACACGCACCAAGTCCCCGGTGCGGTAGACCCTGTCTCCAAATTGTTGGAGGGTCGGGAACTTCTGAGCGGTGAGGTCCTCGCGTTTGAGATAGCCTTTTCCGACCAGCCGTCCAGAAACACAAAGCTCGCCGACCGCGCCACGGAGGACGGGCTGCTGTGTTCCCGGTTTTAGCACGTAAGAGCCGACGTTGACAAACTGCTTCCCAATATTTGATGCCCGGCCGGTCATTGGTACCCGTGGGAATACGGTGACACCTATAGTTGCCTCTGTGGGGCCATAGAAGTTGTAGATGACGCCTTTGGAGCCCCAAACATCAAGGATCTCTTGTTTCAGGGCCTCACCGCCGGTAATGAAGACCCCTTCGCAGAGGCTTGGCACGTCTTCAGGATGTAGCAGCCGGGCTAGGCTGGGGGTGAGGTCGATATGGGTGATTCCAAGGCGAGAAATTGTGCCAGCGAGGTCTTCCAAGATCAAGTCTCGAGGGACAGCAACGAGTGTGATGCCCGCCGACCAGCTCCAGTACTGTTCCAAGACGGAGACATCAAAATGTAACGACGCAAACTGCAGCCATCTTGAGTCCTCTTGCCAATGGCCCTTGAAGATGTGCTGAAAGGCAAGCATGCATTGGACAGCGTTATCATGGGTAATTTCGCATCCTTTAGGCGTCCCGGTTGTGCCAGATGTGTACAGGCAGTAGCAAACATCGTTGGGTTGCAGCTGTTGTTGAGTTTGAACCAAAGGATGCGATGGTGCAGTTGACAAAAGCCCTTCATCAACGAAAATAGTCGGAATGATGGTAGAGAGTTCGAGGTTCTCCTTGGCGGCTTTAGAAGTAACCAGGATTGAGGCTCCAGAGTCTTGTAAGATGAACTCGTTCCTTGCGCGTGGTGCTGCAGGATCCAGGGCGAGGAAAGCACATCCTGCTTTGAGAATCCCCAGAATCGAAAAGTACGCTTCAGGGCACTTGTCGAAGTAGACAGCAACGATATCTCGGGGGTTGACCCGCGGAAGCAATAGCTGCGCCACCCGGTTGCCGTTGTCGTTGAGCTCTGCGTAGGTCCATGTGTCTCCAATCGGCGCATTCCCATCATACCCTCTCACAAAATGAAGCGCAGTCGTGTCAGGGGCTTGCAGAGCGCGAAGCTCCACGAACTGGTGCAGGAATTTGACCTCTGTGGAGATCTCAGCAATATCTGGAGGCAGGACTGAGAAAAGGTCAGGGTATAACCTAAGAAGATCTTCTTCCTGGTCGAGGGGCGAAAACGCGAGGTGTTGGACTGCTGCGTCGAACTGTTTCAGCAACAGCGTGGCTTGCTCTCTCGTGAGAACGTCACTGAAGAAGGTAATTTGAAGCCGCAGTTGACCCCCTACCCTTGGCTCGACCTCGATGGAAACGGGGGTAATCCATGTTGGCGCTCTCGTTCACAATTCTCCAGTGCTGTTCCACCGACGCGTCTCGGTCGAGCCTCTGGTAAACCAGCAGCGAGTCGAACAGCTTGGAATCGGGACATCCTAGCCATTGCTGTAGCCGTGTGAGAGGTTGATGTTGCTCCTTGTAGAGATTGGTGTTGTACCGCAGCATTTGCGACAACAGGGTCTGATTCGAATGACTGTTGATGGAAATGACGGGCAGCGTGGTAATGCAGGGGAACACAGCATTCCTTGTCGCTTCCACGTTGCGTCCGAAGAGAACAACTCCGAAGACGACTGAACTTTCCCCAAGGTACGCAGACAAAACTCGTGTCCAAGCCGCTTGGAGAATGACTTGCACAGGGTATCCTGACTTTGATGCGGCAGCTTCCAATGTAGTTAACAGAGTGGTGCTTGTGATTGATTCCGCCAGTATCTCTCGTGATGCTTCCCGAAGGGGTGTCAGTATTGGGAATGGGTTGATGACAACCTTATCCGCTTGCTGCTTCCAGAAATTCGCAGAGCTCTCCGAGTTCGAAAGGGCATGGCCAAGTATGTCCGAGATAGCCTCTGCGATGGGGGGTCTGGGCAGGAGCTCCCGGCCCATCGTCACCCGTGACAGGTCCTTGAGCATCGACTGGAGAGAATGAGCATCATAAAGTGCATGGTGCATTGCAAGGTGCATGTTCGTTGCGGCCTGCCCTTGGACAATAGCAACACTCCATAGCCGTGGCCGAAGTGGTTCGAAAGCCGCCTGGGAGGCACCAAGTTTCCAGGCGTGGAGGTCGAACCTGTCGGCTACACTCTGGATGATAGTGTCTGTTCCGTGTTCAAACGCGTCCGCGTGGTATTGAACCATGGCAAATGCGCAGTCTTCATGCTCGATAGGTAGAATGGTAGTTCGAAGTATGGGGTGTGTTCGCAAGACAACCTGCCACGCTTGAACGACCCTGGCGGCTTCCAGTCCATCGTCGAGCTCGAAATCAACGTGGTTAAAGTAGTCCCGCCCCCCTGACTTGATGAACTGCGCCATCATGGAGGATTGAAGGGGGGTGCATGGGAGCACAGCCTCAACTGCCTTCAGTGTAATCCCGTGTGCTAGAACTTGAGGCCGGACGTGAGCCTGAAATCCGGCGGTGTCGTATGCCGACCTAGCCCCCGAGCCAGGGGTGCGTGTTTCAATGAATTCTGCGAGACTGGCACACGTCGGGTTCTCGATGACATCGCTTGCAACTACCTGTTGACCACCCTTTCGAAGCATTGAGGCGATTTGGACTGCGCTGATGCTATCCAGGCCAAGTCGGTATATCGTCGTGTTGCGGTGGATCTCCTCTGAGCCCGGTGGCACTAAGGTTTGCAATACCTCCAGGATAGACCTTTCCGTTGTTGTCCATTGTTCAGCTGTGGTCTCTTGCCGTGTTGTAGCGATGTCGGGGGGTGGAGGTCGGTATTCGATCCGATGGAGCCGCTCCGCCAGCCCTTCAGACATGTCTGTGTGCGCTGTATGGGAACCGGGGAACCGAAGGCAATTCCGAAACGCATCAGAAAACAGGTCGTAGGCCAGCTTGGCAATCCCATGCGGGAGTGGTCGTCTGTCAAACGTAAGCCAGGTTCAAGAGCACAGCATGGACAGGGTCACATACCTCTCGACAGTATGCATTTTGACCATTAACCGGTTCGAGTGGCCGTTTGGTATTACTTCACAAACAAGGGGAATCTGATATCTTTAGTTAGCTTGCAACGAGTGACAGCTGGGAAAACAAGAAAACCTTACATCCATCTCCCCAGCATCTCGTTCTAAAGTCCAAAGATCCTGGTCCAGTGGCCGGGATGGCTGTTGCAAGAGCAAAAGGGTATCGAACAAAGCCCGGTTGCTATGCTCGGCAATCATTGACTGGATCCGCCGGAGAGGTGTAAATTGGTACTTTATGAGCGCCGTATTGAGCCTGTGAAACCCTCTCATCACATCAAGATTCCGCTGTCTTCGAGAGAGGTCCATGCGGATGGGTATCGTGTTAAAGCACGGCGCAACAAGTTCGCTGATGCCGTCGATGGGAAGAGACCGACCGTTGACAACGTTTCCGAAACAAACGTCACTAGTCTGGAAGATGCGGCCAAGAGTCGTTGCCCATGCTGTTTGAATGAGCGCCAACAGCGAAACCCCAAGCTCCCGGGTCCTGACCGTGGCTTCGGACAGTGTAATTTCCAGTTCATAGGCCAGCTCGCGAGCCCCAGCTTCAGGAAGGGTCGAAACAAGGTTTGTTGTGAGTTTGGGCTCATAGCTGGCAAGGTGCTCAAGCCAGAAGTTGTCCGTCGTGGTCGGCAACCTGAGGGATTCTCCGAGGAACCGATCGTACTCAGGGGCTGGTGGGAGTGAGAAGCCAAGAATACGTTGCTCGACTTCAAACAATAGCCTTTCGATAGCCACGCCGTCATACAAAGCATGGTGGCACAGGAAGGATAGATACACACTGTCGTTCCGTCTGAACGTCGCAAACGATACTGCGGGTTCCAGTGAGTCGACGGCGTTCGGCATCATCTGAGAATGGGCGTGAATACACTCCTCGATGTCAGAGCGAGAGCCCAGGTCGTACCAGGAGGGCTGCCATAAATCGAGGGCGATTTGCACAATCGGCCACCGCACATCGTTTGTCGCTACGAAGCATGTGCGGAGGATATGGTGGCGGGCCACCATAGCATTCCATGCCTCCTTCAACTGCTCCAGGTCACCCCTGACCCTGAATAACATGTGGTTGAGGTACTGTCCGTCCGCAGATGACGTTGCGAGCATGGCTTCCTGTAGCGGAGTACAGGGGAGGATCTTGGTGAACGGCTTGCCAACTTGTGTTAGCCCCTCGGCAACTTTCTCGAGAACATCCCGTGGCAAAAGCTCTGGAGCTTGTCGTTGCTCCTGTCCACAACTACCCGGTTCCGATAGCACCTTGGCGAGTCTTGCGACACTGGGGTTCTGTAGGATGACTGATATCGGAAACCGTGTGCCGAGCTTTGTGTACAGGTCCCTCGACACCTGAATGGCGGAAATGGAATCCAACCCAAGGGTGACCAACGGAGTCCATCGCTCGACATCGGCCATGTTGACGTTCAACGCGTTAGATATGGTTTGAGCAACCTCCGTTTCAGCGGTAGACCATTCTCCATCGTCTGCGTTATGATCAGCTCCATAGCTGACCAGGGCCAGCTGTTGGTGCCCAAAGTCCCGGAAAGCCTGTTTCAGCCTCGCCTTATCCAGCTTTCCAGATGACGTGGTGGGTAGAGTCGAGATTGGGATGATCGCGGAAGGGAGCATGTATACCGGAAGTCGGGTCCCGATGGCGTGGTACATGGACTGGATATTCCCCTTGACTGCGTCATCAACACCAAGCGCTTGGGACTTGGTCGTCTCCTTCGTTTTCAACACGACAAACGAAATTATCTGGTCTCGGGTACCCGTATCTTCAGCCTTTAGGAACAGGGTAGCACAGTCAACATTCCCCGACTGCCGGACGGCCTCAGTAACTTCGTCGAGCTCGACCCGCTGCCCTCTGATCTTGATCTGTTCGTCAGCACGGCCAAGGATAACCATCGATCCATCCGGAAGCATGCGCCCCAAGTCACCCGACCTGTAAATCCGGCCAAATGTGGGGTGATGGATGAATTTTGCTGCCGTGAGGTCCTCTAAGCTGAGGTACCCCTGAGCAACTTGGTCACCGCCAAAGCAGAACTCTCCCAAGCAACCGAGAGGGACAATCTCCGTGCTGCCCTGGGCGAGAACAAAGGTTGACGTATTCTCGAATGACCATCCAAGATGTTGAATCGCCTGACCAGCGCTCATTTTCTTGACACTGCAGATGTTGGTTGTCTCTGACGGCCCATACCCCTGATACAGTTTGTCGCCCCATTTGTGCGCCACAGCCTCGGTCATCGGCTCGCCAGCAGTGACAAGAAACTCCACTCGTGGGACCTTGACTGGATCAACGAGCGATGCCACAGTAGGTGTCATGCTGAGATGAGTGACGTTGAGCTTGCGAATGGCCCTCTCCAGATCCTCGAGGAGCGTGTCGTTGGTCCCGGAACAGAGGCACATGCCCTGTGTCCAGGCAAAGAAGATCTCAAACACCGACACGTCGAATGCCTGCGAGCAAGACTGCAGGAATCTGGAGTCTTCATTTACCGGGTAGATTCGTGACAGCATGTCAAGGTTTCCCATAATATTGCGTTGTGTGAGGCAAACACCCTTCGGTATCCCTGTGCTTCCAGAGGTGTAGATGATGTACGCCAGTCGCTCCGGGTCCGGGAGGGGTTTGCCCAAAACGGGGGATGGTTGAAGGAGGTCGAGGGACTGGAGGTCGAGGAAGCTGCACTGCAGTCGCCGCCGCAACTTTCCATGGGTAGCGGTGTCAACGACGCAAATCCCGACACCCGCCTGTTCGAGTATCGTTTTGATTCGGGCCGTTGGAGTGCTGGGCAGAAGAGGCACGTATGCACAACCGGTCTTGAGAATGGCGAGAATCCCAGCATAAAGTCGGATAGACTTTTCCATGATGATGCCGACCACCCCTGCCTCACCCACACCTTGTTGTGCGAGGTGCCAAGCAATGCGATCTGCCATCCTGTTGAGCTCTGCGAAGGTGATCGCGGTAGTTGTGAGGATGCCGTCTGAAATGTTGTCCGCAAAGCAAATTGCATCCTTGTCTGGGAACTCGGCAGATACACGCTCGACGGCGGTAGCCAGATCTGGAATCCCAGCAAAGGTCTCCGGGCTGGGGTTGAAGATGGAGAGCAGGTCTTGTGGGCAAGCCTTCTGGAACGAAGAGATATCCGAATTGATGTTTTCGAGCACATGGGACACCAGTGCGGGAATCAAGTTTTCCAGGACGCGAATCTGGGTTTCCGGGAACACATCGGAGTGGTACGTCAAGCGACAGTCGAACCCCTTGTCCCCTGGTTCGACTTCAACCAGCAGCTTCGTCTCCAAGTAGTCTCGGTGGGCTACTTGTTTAACGGTGTTGATATTTTTCGAATTGCTGTAGAGAGATTCCTGGTAGATAAAAAGAACATCGTAAATTGACTGTCTTGAACGAATACCCGCAGCCCGCCTGATCTCGGAAAGAGGTAAAACCCCATGCGGGAGAGCTTCCCGGTTCCCGGCATTGATGCAGACCAAGAGATCTCTGATGGTTCGCACTTGGGACAAGTCCGTCCGGATAGGCGCGGCCACGATGCAGGGGCCGAGGATGTCCTCAATCTTGTCGACAGGTATCGTTCTTCCGGATTGGATCGAGCCAACCACTACGTCCCCGGCGCCAACCATAGAGCTCCAAATCCATGCCAGTACGGCCTGGAAAATTGTTTGAGGTCCGCATTCAATGTCCTGGAGAGCCATCCTCACCCGTTGCGGGCTGATATCGAGTGAGGTAGTTGACGACAAAACGGCAGGTGTGCGGTTCATCTCGGGGGTGAGGATCGGGAGCGTGGGAGGTTGGAAGCCAAGAAGGGTCTGGGACCAAAATTCCCTCGCCGCGTCAAATGTCGGGCTGGTTTTCGCTGACTGTTGGTATGTTGAGACCTGACGGAACTGAGGTCGGGGGTTGAGTTCCTTCCCCTCGATCAACTTGGCTAGATCTGAGCGCACCAGATCCAAAGACCATCCATCATACACTGCATGATGAAGTTGCATGACGACTGTTGTATTATCGCACTCCCTAGAAGGAAATACCTGAACCCGGAATGGGCGAAGGAAGTCAACATCTTCGTGAAACTCGAAATCTCTAGAGACGGAGTCGGTGATCGAAATACTGGATTCGGGGAGCTGCTCAAAAATGACCTGTAGAAAACCGCCATCATGATGTATGAAGCCGCTCCGGAGCACCTCGTTTGCTTGCGCTAGCTGTGAAATCCACGTGTGGATCGTTTCCCCCGAGTGAGTGCCAGCAACACCGAGTTCGACCCAGTTACAGTACGCGCGGGCATCTGCCGTGGTCTCAGCCAGCATAGAGGACTGAAGCGGTGTACATGGGACAATAGCCTCAATGGGCCAGAGATGCGTCGATAGGATTGAGTTTGCCACAACGTCCGCAATATCCAGTCCTGGGTCTGCAGCCAAAGCAACCGGCTCGAAACCCCCCGTTTCCATATTTGACCGCACCCGTGAAGAGAGCGCAGAGACTGTTCGAGCTTCGAGGATATCGATCGCCCCAACACTCAATCCGGCATCTTTGAGGACCGAGGCAAGCCTAATAGCGTTGAGCGAATCCAATCCTGCCCGGGCCAAATCCTGGCTCGGTTGAATCTTCACTCCTAAGCAGTGACCCGTGAGGTCGCAAAGCCGCTCCTCCAACTCATCTTTGTAAGATGTTTTCTCGAGTGTTCCGGTTGCTCGGCTGGCATAGTCTGCCACCAACCGCTTCCGATCGACTTTTCCAGATGCCAGCCGCGGAAAGCTTTCCACGACCACAATATCGCCAGGGTGCATGAATCCCGGCAGCCATCGTCGGCAAGACTCCACAATGGCAGCCTCAGCGGTATCTATGCCGTCGACAGCGCAGAAGAGAACCAGTGTGGCATCCATAACCACAGCCACCGCGCTGTGACAGGCCGGCGTCCTCAGGGCGGCATGCTCCACCTCACCAAGCTCCATCCGCTGCCCCCTGAGTTTGACTTGCCCGTCCGCGATCCGACCGAGACACTCCAATGTGCCATCTGCAAGCATCTTCGCCTTGTCTCCGGTCCGGTAAAGACGGCCATACGGACTGTGGATGAAGGCAGTTGACGTTTGCTCGAGCCGGTTGAGATAACCATCGGCAAGCTGGTAGCCACCTATAGCCAACTCACCGATTTCTCCTCGGCCCAGCACCACCACGGATTCGGGGCTTGTACTACCCTCTTCAGGGATCATCAAGACAAAAGCCGAAACAGTATCCAATGGGACGCCAATATTGCGAACCGCCGAATCGCTGGCGAAGGCGGGCTGAAGTGTACAGTGGATCGATGCTTCGGTCGGTCCATACATGCCCCAGAGAATGCTCGGCCGCTCCTCGCCGCCGCCGAATTCTTCGATCACCGGCTGTGTGAGCATCTCCCCGATGGTCAACAACAGCCGTAGACCAGGGGCGTTTTCCCGTCTGCGGAGGAGACTGGCGGCGACGCTGGGCGTCAGCTCGCATGCGTCCACATCCATCTCCCGGATAACCCCGGGCAAGTCATTGAGTAGGGCTGATCGGGTGCAGCTGACGAGGGTTTTGCCCCTGTAGAGGGGAAAAAAGATTTCGAAGACGGAGACGTCAAAGGTTGGGGCGGCAAACTGGAGGAAGCGCGAGAACTGCGGGATGTGGCGGTCGTGCGCAAGTAGGCTTTGGGTGGCCGCGTCGTGGGATACCCCAACTCCTTTCGGCGTCCCAGTCGAGCCAGATGTGTACATCACGTATGCCAGGTCGGTTGGGGCCGGTTGTCTCAGCGTATTCGCTGCCGGGAGGTTGGCCCATTCATCTCCATCGAGAAGCAACACCGCTTGTTCGCCATCCGGGAGCTTTGGCGCCAGTTGGGATGTTGTGATGACAACTTTGGCGGAGACATCCTCCAGAATGAACTTGGCACGCTCAAGTGGCACATCCAGATTCATCGGGCAGAAGGCTCCGCCAGCTTTTAGAATGCCCAGAAGCGCAATGTAGAGTTCGGGGCTTTGCGGGACGAGAACCGGGATAACCAGCGGTTTGAGAGAGTCCAAAGGACCAATCATAGCTGAAAGCCGGCATGCCAGGGCCTCAGACGCATCGTGTAATTCGGCGTACGATACAGATATTCGGCTCCCGTCTATTGAGAGGAATTCTATAGCCGCCTGATCGTCCTGGGAGTTGTTCTGCACCAAATGGTGAAGCAAGGATGGCCCCAGCAACCGTTTTGGTGGGTGGTTGACGACAGACAGAGCGGCCTCGGTTTCCTGCACAGGGGTATCCATGATGTTTTTTGTCTCTAGAGTATAATGTGAGTTGATCGTTCTCTGAGTTCTGAGTCCGGGTAGTCATCAAACCAGAAAGGAACAACCTACCGAGGTGCTTCTCGCTCTGTAACCCTGAGAGGCGTCGACTTGTACTGGCCTCCTGCCTAGCTGGGCAGGTACCTCTGTATACCACCGCTCGTCAATAAGCGAGTATGGAAGGCGACTCCGGGACGTAAATGGGCTGCTGCTGATTGGCTGGAAAGAAGGAGGGAAGCGAGTTGAAGACGAGGGATTTGATTCTGCTGACGGATAATTGGTCGATTCGAGGCGCGTCCGCTGCGTTCAACCTCGATCCGGGTGGCTGCACTGCGAACTCCTGCACAACCCGCGTTCCAAGATTGCACAGCTCGAGGTTTTGTGATGCAAGGGGGAGTGGGTTCTGTGGGGTGGTGTGCTTCCACCCTGGTCCGCGGTTCAGTTGAGGCTGGTTTCCCGGGTTTCCAAGCTTGACTGATGCAGTGACGGCAGGCAGGCCCCCACCTTCTATTTCCTCGGTGTAGCACACGGCGTGGCCACGGCAGGTTGGCTCGTTGGGAAGGCGCGGCATTTAACGGGGCGAGCCGAGCCAGGACGCACACGAGGGATTTGGGTGCGGGTATGTGTACTGGGGTCCCATGGCCGTCTCACGCTGCGGAAGTGCTGTTCGCGGTTTAGGGACCCACGCGGCTCCTGACAACACTCCCCGGCCACCGGATCTCGGTGTTCACCTGACGGCCCCAGCGGAGAGAGACCGGATACTGCCGCATGCTCCCACTTTACATGCCGCTTGGCGTCGAACCCCTCATCCGGTCCGGCTGTTGTTAGTCATATGGCGTGTTGTTATTGTGTCATATGTGATGAACCCCCATCTTCAGCCATGCTCGGTCTCGGTGTTCGAGCGGCGAGTCGGCCGAGACGGTCAAAAGGAGTCGTTTGGCCCCTGCCATCACATCGCGTCGCATCCCATCCGATGGTTGGCCTGGTCCAGATCCAGCCTTGTGCAGCAGCCTGGCGCGTGGAGTTGAGGCGACACGACATTCACCCCCACATGCTGCTGACAAGTGGCGTTTCAGAGGATGAGGACTTCGCTCTCGCCGAGTCCCGTCGCCATGCGAGTAAGAACATGCCCGAAAGCGGTCATCTCCCATTTCTCAGTCTCACCTCCAGGTTCCTTGGAGTCCCTGGTTCGAGCCACGGGGGGTGCCTCTACGGCAGGTTTTCACAGCTGGGATGGGAGCATGGCTACGGTGGGAAATATCCAAGAATGCTTTTTCATGTGCCAACCCAAACTCCTTTTACAAAATGCAGATCAAGTCAAGTGTGTAGAATAGCTTAACCGCCCCCGTAGTTCATGCTGGGACGCCGAAGATGGATTGAACCATTTCTCCGGACCGTGTAGACAAAACAGAAAGAAGGGTATCACTCAACTGTGGTTTCGTTAGCTTCCAAGTTCACACTGGGAGCAAAATGCGCACTTACACCATGAGTTGCCTCGCAGCAGCCCTGAAGCCAAACGCCCGAGCCTGGGGCAACAGCTCCGGAAGAAAAGCGGACTCCATAGTCGCGACCAACCTCCATCACTCTAGTAGACGTGTTCTCGGCCTTGCGAGTCTCCACCAGCCAACGGTCCTTTCTCAAAGCTCCCTTCTCGACATCCACAGCCGCTGGAAGGAGATGCCAAGCGTCTTTCAGCATGTCGATATGGGCTGTGCGGTTGTAGCCGGTGGCACAAATAACGAGGTCGACATCCAAATCTTCCTCGCCCAGTAGAGGCCCGTCTTGGGCACCAGGGAAGGAGAGCATGGCGACCTTGAGGCGAAGCGCGTCACCGCTATCGTCAACAGCCACGATATCTCGTCCGGCTAGGATGCGGTGCGGCCACTTCTTCTCATCGGGACCGAGAGTGCGCTTTTGGTGGTACATGACCTCAAACAAATGTTCAATCAGCTCCAGCCTCACAACGCCATAGTTTGTAGCCCGCGCATCAGCGAGGAGGTTGGCGCGGTAAGCGGAGGGTTTGGGGTAGACAGTGTCGATGAATTCGGGGTTGAAGATGGAATTGACGCTTTCTAGAGTTAGCCTATCTTGCTCGTTGCTCCCGTGTGTTGTCAAACTTACAACGGCGAATCGTCACTCGGCTTCAGGAATTCGCTTCGCATAACCAGGTGCGTCTTGCTGTTGGGATACAGACCCTGGAGGTTGCTGTAAATCTCGGCAGCGCTCTGCCCAGCCCCAACGACGGCCACGCGGTACGGCGCCGTCTTGTCGCCGAGGATCTTGGGGACTAGTTGCGCGTACTGCGACGAGTGGATAACTCGGGGGTGGCGTGCCGGAAAGATCTTGGGGATAGACGCCTGCCCGCCGGCGGCAACGACAACGTTCCGGGCACGGGAAGTGGTGATGGCGCCGGTCTTGACGTTGCGAGAAGTCACAGCAAACAGTTTATGTGGCCCTTCCTCCTGGATAGGGGAGATGGAAACCACCTCGGTTTGGTACCGGACAACGTGGTCAAAATGCCGAGCACACCACCGGAGATAGTCTTCATACTCGGCCCGCGCGGGAAGGAAGGTGCTCAGATTGATGAAGTCCACCAGCCGGTTGTTTTTGTGGAGATAGTTGAGGAAGGTGAAGTTGGATCGTGGGTCTCGGAGGGAAGCGAGGTCCTTGACGAAGGAAATCTGCATCTTAGCGCCCGGCAGCAACATGCCGGCGTGCCAGGCGAACTGAGGCTGCTTCTCCAGGAACAAGACTTTGGGCGTCTGAACCATCTTGCCGGCCTCCATGGCATCATGGAGAGCGACCGCAATCGCCACGCTGGCGGGTCCGAAGCCAACACAGATCAGGTCGAGCTCCGAGTCAGCATTTGTGGGTTCAAGGTATCGACTATTGGGAATATCTGGTGCCGAGTGCCCATTCGCAGTGCCGTTCACCAATTGGGGGACTGGGTCTGCATTGTGGGAGCCGTTCGTGACGGTTGTGTCCCCCATATCGGTGGTGCTGTGGGGCGACATGTTGACCCCGGCTTCGGGAACGCTTTGAGGGGCCGGCTGCGTGGTTTTGCGGCGGAAAAGCTTGGGGAAGGCGAGAAGACGCATGTAAAGTTTGTCGGGCGTAATTGGTGGTGTGCGCCGGTAGGGGGCGCGGTTTCGTTGTTCTCGTCGGACAGTACACGGTTCCTCGGCAGCTCACGTTGACGTAGGTGGAGGCGGAATCGGGAAGAGATGGGACGGAGGGGTCGCGTCAGTCAGTGGTAGACGGAGGAGCTGCCGGTGGCACGGAAAAGTTAGATTAAAACGAGAGCGGGAGAGAAGCGAGAGCGACGGAGAGAGGCGGCGGGTACCATTCTGATATAACAAGCTCAAGCCGCGCGAATGCTCCGGCGGAGCTCGGCTCTCCTTGGGGCCCCCGGGGGTGAGGCTAATATGGTAGTGGTACCTCGTACTGTAAGTAGGGAGGTACAACGCAGTACCTGGCCGGAGCGTGGCCGGGAGCCACGAGAAGCGGGGATCCCCAGGATCTATCGAGGTTTGCGCTCTCCCACTCTCCGCCATCGAACGAGCAGCAGGGGACCTAAGGGAGCATCTCCTGCATCATTGTGGAGTTCTTTCTTTTTGGAGCAATCGCTGACATGATTTAACGGCGGCGGGGTGGGGGGATGAGAAATTTTCGGTTCGCGCTTCCTGCAAGAAGGCAGTGTGCCAGTCTCGGGCAATTTGGCGGGTGAGCTTTGCAGAGGGCTTTGCAATGGCACGGCGTATTTGTGGTGGGGTGGTGATGGGTGATGATGCGTTGCTGTGAGCTTGCTGCAGGCCCCCCCCAGCGACTTCTTCCAGGATCTGGGTGGACCCGAGGCGGCATTCGGGCAGGTCGGGATTATCTTTGGATCAGATAAGATGAAAGCGGGCTCTGTCGCCATTGAAACCACCGGAATCAACCAATCATCCAACCCCATCTGGAAATAGCCGAAGCTTGTCCCCTTGCTCCTCCGAGGAACGGACGCCGACAATGGCTCGCAGGGTTCCAGGCGCCTCGGGGTGAGGGAAAAAAAAAAACTACATTATCAGATCGGCTGACAAGAGGGCCCCCCTGTTCCGATGGTGCGGTGCGGTGTGTGCAATGCCGTCGCCGATCGGGCGAGCTGGGACTCGGTAAGGATGGGGGGAGAATTGGTCCAGACTCGTGCAGTTATTCGACCCATCTAGCCATGGAGTTGTTGCTCTGAGGACAGGTTTCGGTTAGGGCTTGTGGCATTAGCGAAGACATTGTCGGCCACAGGAGAGGTATTCGATGCAAGAATGACTTCCAGGTTGTCCTCTCCGATTACGAGGGCACGAATACAGTATGTACCTGCAGTATGTTTGTTCTTCAGCTGTGTCGGATCCCATTTTGGTGCCGAGGGAAGAGGGCCAGGAGTGGGGGGATGTCGTTCGCCGTGCCTGGCCGACAGATGATCTGATAAGATTTCCAGTCGATTTTGAGGCTTGGCAATGGGAAAAACCGGATGAGCGGCACAAACGCGGCAGGAGTTCCTGGGCAAAGAAGATGCCGCAACCAGATCATCAACTCTTCTCTAGCCGATGCCGGCCGCCTGCTCGCTCTATGCTTCCTGTCCAGGAACAGCTTGAAACTCGGAGGCGGCGCCTCGAAACCCCGAATGGTCAATTTCATTTGGGGGATGCATCACCCCCAAGAAGAGAGGCTTCCTATGGCGTCGTGTGGGTTTTGCCTTTTCTATTTTCATCTCCTCCATTGAACACTTGCCCCAAGTGCCCGTACTTGGATTCATTAATCGATCGGCATCCGCATTGCCATTGTATGTATCGTCCTCGGGGTATATGCACAGCACAGCTCTGACCAACGTCGTGGCTGCCATCGCATCATTCGATGTCTGGATGTACGTACCTACGCAGGACAATGCGGGCACCCAACCCCATGCGATTGGACCATCGGATTTACTTTCTCCCAGCCGTTGCGGGCATTGAGTGCACGAAGGACAATATGTATGTACGGTGCAGAGTTACCCGACGAACCTGTCCACCCGTTAACTACTCGCCGCGGTTGACAGCGAGATGGCGGCATTTCTTCGGTTTCAGACATGGCAGCTAATCCTTTTGGCAAGGAAGCGGGCATTTCGAGTGCATGTTACTTTCAATTATCGCGTTGCTGTTTGAAGGGCCTCCCGACAAGTCACAGTGAGCCGGGGAAAGAAAGCTGGAGGATGGACTGGGAGGAGCGGAGACGGGATGATCAATTTTTTCCCCGCTCGAAACACAAGACGAAGTTCGATGCCCGGTAAAATGGGCCCCAGCTGCTTCAGGCGCTTCAGAGGCGACGCAAGGTAGCATTGATGCGCTCCGCTCCGGACGGCTTCGGCGATGATGCGCCGCACATGTCGTCGTCCGTCCGGTCGGGAGTCGGCTCTTTAGAGCAAATTCTTCTTGATGGACGAATAACCAGGACACGCCGACACGGACCATGGGAGAGCCGGGGCGCTGCGGGTCGCCGTCGATCGCTATGAGAGCCGTGTGTCACCGGCGCTCGCGATCGGCGCGCCAGCAACGTGCCTTGGCGCCTGGCTCAAAATCCCTTGCCCTTGGTTCATGTTGCGGGTGGCGTCGTGACACAGGAAAGGCGACCAATTGGGGACCAATCGTCCCTGACAACCATTCATCAGGAAATCGATCAGGACGAATGCCTCGCCGCAGAAGAAAGCAACGCCAAGTTCTTCAGCCCTAAATAAAACAAGGTTTGGCGTCGTTGCTGACAGCCCCCTGACGTTCAGCTTCGCAACGCATGCTTCTCTCGGCTCGACTGTCTCGGTCCTCAGGTGCGAAATGACAGGACAAAGTGCGAACGCTGGGGTTGAATTGGTGCGCGCTGGCTGGGTTGAAGGGGGGCAAATGAGCGCGTCCTGATTCTGTGCAAGCGAAGCAGTTGCAATTGCAACCCCAGATGCGCATATCCCGGAAATCTTCCTGAATGAGGTAGCACAGCCGGCTGATCGCTGGGTGCAACGAGCCCCAAAAGTTCCGCCGTCTTACGCCAAGGGCCATCTACCGGCCCGCATCCAGAAAGGCTTGCTGAGGCTAGTCTGTGGGGAAATTGGCGTTTTTGGACCTTCCAGATCCTTCAGAGATCAAATCAATGGCGTTCAAAACCCTGAGCGTCCCCCGGGCCAAGACTTAGTGAGTGCGCAAGCGCCATCTCCAACGAACGCCACATCTCACTTCTTTAGGTAGTGAGCTTCTGGACGACAAACTACAAAGGCGGATTCCATTCGAGAAAGGCCCCGGCCGTGCCAGCGTTCAAGATGGGGCGTCCACAAGCACCAGACGAAGGCCTCCCAGAGGTGGTCCAAAACCGGCCAACCCCAGTGCCAAACCCCCACGGTGACCATCTCCCAGAAGTCGTGCCGGATTCATCACCAGAAGCGGCACAAGGGCAGCGGTACTTTATGGAAACGGACAAGTACCCAGCGCAATACGACACCGCACCGAAGCTCTTGCACGAGGAGCCAACGACGCCGGGGACGAGCCCCGGGCAACAGTACCAACAACCATGGGGACCCGGGTCCGTAGGAGGCGACCATTCGGTGAGCGCGTTGAGCCCGAATAGCTCTGTGCCGTGGCATTCGTTCCCCCCCGGCGCCGACGACCAACAGACATACGTCGGCAGCGAGCCGGAAACTGAAAAGCGCATCTGCGGTTTGCGCAAGCGCCTCTTCATCATCATCGCTGTGATCGTCGGGATTGTGGTTGTGGTAGCGGCGGTTGGTGGAGGCGTCGGCGGCGCCATGGCAGCAAGACAGACGGATGAAGCCGCGCCAGCAGAGACGAGCTCAGCCGCCGAGTCGACAAGCAGGTGAGTGTTAAAAGGTTAAGGTGCTTGCGTTCCTGAACTCGGCTAACCCGGACACAGCGCGGCTAGCACAACGGCCTCTGGAGAAACCGGGACTTCCACGACCTCGAGCGCGCCCTCCCCGTCAATCACGAACCTCAATGACCAGGTAGACCCCAGGATCTTCGAGAAGTTTGCCTTCCAGGGCTGGGCGAAAAACAATTACACGGGGAATGCGACCGAGGTTTTGCTAGAGCCTGGGTTCTACGACCTTGATATTAATGTCGTCAGCTACTACTGGGTCACCAACAAGACCGACTGCTGCGTCACCTTCTGCAAAGACCACGAAGAGACCGGGGGCTTCAAATGCGACTCCGTAAGGCAGAACGCTACCCAAGACCAGACGGGGTTTTCTCGGGTCTCGCTTTGGTGTGGGAACCGGCTGAACGAAGAGTGGCAGGTGAAATGCTCTGAGTGACAGCGAGGCGACTTGTTTGAGGAGCGGGCGTACAAACGTGGGCTTATGGGAATTTTCCGAATATTTTGCGAGTTTTGAAGAGCGCCATGGATGATACCTTGAATTTGAGTTTGGGCTGGTGCCATGTTTAAGAGACATGCCTGCACAGCGAGCGAACGGCTAGCCGGAAGGATTAGGTTGAGTGCGACAGCGCGCATCCTGAAACGAATAAAAAACAAGAGAAATGTTTGCTCCAACGAACCATGAAGAGACCGCCGAGGTTGGACCGCAATTCCTCCCTCGCAACCTTGTCCGCTCACAACAACCCACCGAGCGAGCGGAGTCTCATGTTCGCAGCCCGGGACCCCTGACGGCCAAAACACCTTCACGTGGCAGCCCCAAGGCTGACCCAAGAACGATTGTGTAAATCAGGGGGCACAGTCCCAACACACGTGCATGCATTGATCGGATGCTGCGCAATGCCGTGCCACCGTCGGGACGGTTCGCTGCGTTACATCCCAGGGTGCCCGGTTGAATGACTTCGCCGCATTTCAGCATTTCAGATATATCACCTCACCAGCGGTTGGCTGCAGAAGTCCCTTTCAGCTACTGTGTGCTGTCGCACACATGCAGGCTGGGTGAAAGTTCTTTGGCGGAGGAAGTCAAACCAAAAGCGAAACGGCAATACGGCGGTCGGTGGGCTTGGGGCGGCTTCCGCACGTACGTACCTCGGTACCTCTTGCCCGTGTAGACTGGGAATACACAGTCCCGATACGACTTTGGTAGGGCACCACATTACGTACCACCCACTATGACTTTCCCCTCAAAGGGGGCGGACCAAAAGATGTAAGGCATGATGGAGCTGAGTACCTACCTAATGAACGTCAAACGGAAAGCAGCCCTGTTCGTCACCGTCATCCCAATCATAAATCCGAGACATTGGCATTGCGGGTCAACATGAAGCCCACGCCGAGGATGAGGTTGATCGAATGTATGTCTCTCGCTTTGGAACGTTTATTTTCTTTTTTTCTCCTTTTCCTCTTGTTTTCATGAGTACGGACGCCGTTTTGATGACCCGGGGAACTCGGTGGACTCGGCAACCAGGCAGCCCGGCAACGTCAACAAAGCTACCAGGTACCTAGGTAAGTACCGAGGTAGGTACTGAAAGCGCTCGAGTCCGCTCCAACATCGACCTCAGCATTACGTATCATGAGTTGTTAGTATCAATACCGCCTGTAATGGGTCAATTCTATTCCAACCTCGAGGTTACTTGAAACGCCTATGCGCGCCTACGGCAATAATGGTGCTAGCATGGTCTCATGAACGAAGACTCTCAGCGTCTGTGGAATTCCTGGGCTCTGCCTGAGACGGGAACCCGAGCCCCAACTCGAGTGTTATACACGCAGTGGGTGTGGGGCAGGCTGACCATGGTTCGTCGCTTATACGAATAGCTACCTACCTAGGTAGGTTGGGTTCATAAATGAAAATGCAGGGTGCACTTGGGGGATAACTACAGGTAAGTAGCTTGCCTACCGGCTCTGCACCATCCCTCTCCCCAGCCTCTATCCACCTTCGCCCTCGCGCCAATGGATGTGAGCGGGGTGATGAGGGTCAACCTCCCCACTTTCGGCGAGCTTGTGTGCCCTAGGTAAATTAATCTCGCGGCTCAGCGCGAGAAATGGTGGGTAGGTAGGTACGTAGGTGGGGATTTCTTCTCTCCATTCGCGACGGGGAAATGTTGGTGGTGGTTGTCAGCGTCGCTGTTGTAATAATTTTGAGAATGTTGTCATTGGCCAAGCAAGTTTCCAATTTGAGCTTGAGTCCATGTCTGGGTTGGCCGGAACCAAACTCGACCACTCGATAGGAACATCACTTACCAAGCTGCCTAAGTGGTAAGAGACTCCCCCTCTCTTCCCAACTCCCTCGAACCAACCAGCACTCCAATACTTGCACCGTGTCACGCATCTTGACCGCTCTCCCCAGGATTCAATTCAGGCGCCAAGTGTTCTCGAGCCCCTTCGCCCCCAACCCCGAAGAACACTGCGGAGCTGCGAGTACGACCCTAGACATAGTTACGTGGAACAAAACGCTGTGATACTCCGCTTCCGCACGAAAAAGATCCTCGCAGAAACGAAAGGGTGAAGCGGTGAGCATGCTCCGAGCTGCGACCGCCTTCAAATATCACCAGGTGGGACCTCACCTATTAGCGTTGGGGGTGCTTGTGAAAGGTGAAAAGAAGCCATGGACATATGTATGAGCAATTTCATAAGAGAGTGTACCTACTTAATCGGAGTTGCTACGAATTCCAATTACTACGCCGTAGCGTCCGTACATACTACGAAGTACATACCCCTTCTCTCGGAAGGTCTTCCCCTCTTCGTTCGTTGTCGTTTATATCCAGACATGCAAGCATCCTTGGAAGGTAAGCTCGGTTATTTGCTGAATCCCATCTTGTTGTTTTGTTACCCAATCGGATGGGACGCTCACGCAACCCCCTGTTCTGCGCTCCGCGGGGAAGTCAAGCTCGTCGCTTTGGCCCCCAAGCTGTCTGTGAGTCGATTAACATAAATAAGCTGTATCATCCCGTCGTTCTATCCTCATTTCAAAAAACAAACACCCAACGAAACAGATCTTCCAAACTCGAATCACCTCAGACAAGATGCAGTTCACCACCCTCGCCGTCATGCTCTCCCTTGCCGCCTTTGGGGCTGCGCAGTCAACAACCGTCAGGGGCTGCGATCACGGCAAGTATCCCATTCGAGGCATGAAAGGTTTAAATCCTAACTCGATGAATAGGAGTGTACTCGTGCGGTATGAGCGGTGGAAAGCCGGCCATCTATCAGTGCACCAATGGGGAACAACGGGTTGTGTCCATCTGTGGCAATCGTTGCGAGTTCATCAACGGTTCTCCGTACTGCACATGAACGTGGCGAGACACGTTCACGGAAGGAATAGGGGATTATGGGGACTTTTGCACTCGACAATTATTACAAGTACTTCAGCTGCCCTTGAAACTGTTGAAACACAATTACTCGCGCACTTGTCATGAACCCTCGTTTGCCTTTCAATCCTGGTACCTCTCCAGGCTGGTATTCAACACAGCAACGCTACCCACAGTGCTACCAACTGCTATCACTCCCTTACGGCGCCGCTGGTAACATGAAGAGCACGAGGTCGTGTGGTTGTGACATAAAGAGTCTCCCCTATGCAATTAGGTTGCGATGGCCCCAGACTCTTCCGGGCTCGGCATGCTGCACTATGACTATGCCATTGTCAATGAGAAACAAGGGAGCCACCCGGCTGTCTCTAAGACCCGGAAGGACTTGGATATTATATCATGAAGGAGACGTCTGGGCTAGCTACCGCCACTACAACGCCCATGGGACTGAGTCGATGTATCCATTCGGCCCTAGGTCAGGTATCCACACATTCTTTAAGTAAGGTACCGTCCTAAACTGGCCATCCTATGTCGTCCTCCTAATACGCGTTTACAAGCCATGGGCAGTTCGAGAAAGCGAGCGGGACCCCGCCAATGGGATCTCTAGGTGTCAACAGACAAGGCTGCGGAGATCATGTGCCTACCTATGTGTCAAAAAGGCGTTCACCATATTTGCTGGCTTTCGGTGGGCAGGCTCTATTTCTGTTAGAGGCTAGAGTATATCGGGTTGTTCATAACGGACATATCTGGTGTTAAACTTATATCCGCAATATCTCGTTCGTCGTTCGATCAAATGGCTGTGTAGTAAGCTTTGGGGGATTCGAAAGGCCATGGTATCTCGTGCCCAAATAGGGAAGTGGGAATTTCTATGATGTTCCCGTGGGGTGGTCGTAACAACGGCGGAATGAATCATGGTGAATACGATATGAAACAGATCCGATGGCCCACTGAACTGAGAACTGGAGTCTTGGAAGCACAGCATGCATTACCCATGGCCTCGAGAAACCACTCAGGGCCGGTGTTGACGCTGCCCGCGGCTGGTGCTGAGGTTGAGATGCAGGGTGATGCCAAGAGAAGTGAATCATGATTGCTCACCATGAGTTCGTAAGGGAAAAGGAGGACACTGGTCGCCGAAGAGAGGGGATACAGCGGGAAGAGTTTTAACGGGGATAAAAAAACAAATATAAAGTGATTTGTTATCCCCCAGTGACCATCTCTCTGTGCTTGCATTCCTCTCGTTCTTTTCTATATCGCGGCGTCTTATGGTTGTTCAAGTTCCCTCTCTGCTCCGGTGGCTCGACTGACCGTCCGAAATCTTGTGGCCAGTGTTCTGTCAAGTACCACGTAAGTTGGATTCCTTCAAAGCCGAACTCAAGGAGTTCATTCCGTTTGCGTCTGATGCATCAATCGTTCCCTATTCCGACTCTTATCATGAGGAAAAGACCGAACAGTCCATGTCATTTGAGCCGACATCGTCTGAAAGCAACAAACTATTGTATTAGTGTATGGAGTTTCGACTGTGATGTGTTTTCACTGACGCCCATTCATCCAACAGCAGCACCATCGACCAAGGAAAGACACTGGGACGTTCGGGTAAGTCCTCCTTCCGGTGCTTCAGTTTTAATGCTGATAAATGGCGATAGGATATAGTAGTTTCCAAGGCTCTTCTTCGCCACACTAGTCATACTACCTATTCGCACCTATGTTCCATGCCGGCACTGAACTCTTGTGTGCTGTGACTGTCTTGCCCCTGTTTATTGTGAAGGTACGAGATCTCGTAGCGAGCACTCCTTTTAGTTGACACATACGGAATGAGAGCCTCACGCATGCTTATCCCTTCACCTCAACATCTCTGCTTTCCATACCAAATCGATCCCCATTCTTCACCCTTGAGTTTTATCGTCTCCTCCCGTGCGATCCCCCGCCATGTTGTTCACCGGCTAGCCGTAGCCGGCGCTCTTTTAACACTATCGGCAGTTTCGATGAAATTTGGCTTGGAGCCGTCTCTGTTTGGGACTTCAATGGAAAGCGCATCTGGTTAGGGGTTCGAGATAAGCATTATACAGATGGTTGTTCTCATGTTCGACGCTTCAAGTTGTTGATTTTGTCCAAGGAGGTACAGATTACACAGTACAGATCCGTATGCCTCGCGCCAAGGCCGGCTGGCTGGTGCTTGATGCGGGATCCACTTAAATTTTCCCATGTTCGCGACTCGGACCTTGCACCCCAGAACCCAGAACCGGAAACATCATCAACCCACACGAAGCTTCAACGCCATCACATTCTGGCCCGCCATGGTCAAGTCAACCTACCAACCCTCTTCCTCCGTATTGCAGCCGCTGCCACCCGGCTGGACCGAACACAAAGCACCGACCGGACACACATACTACTACAATGCCGAAACGAAGGAGTCGACGTACAAGCGGCCGGGTGCCGCGCCGGTCGCTGGTCCGGTTGCCCCCCCGATGAATCCAGCCATGGCGAGCTATGTGCAGCATCAGACCGTCCCGCAGGTTAACCTCTCCGATCCGACCGTCGCCAATGCCTTCATGGCCCAGTACGGACAGCAAGAAGCACAACAACAACAACAACAACAACAACAACAACAACAACAACAACAACAACAACACGGCCAACGGGGAGGATTCGGCCCAGGAGGCAGGGGAGGGTTCCAGCCCAGGCCGCGCCCGCAGCCGTCCGACAAGCCGCGATCCAAGGTCGCCATTCCGGGCTGCGAGCCCTGGATCCTCGTCTACACGAAATACGGCCGCAGGTTCGCCTTCAACCCCACCAAGAACGCGAGCTATTGGCGCATCCCCGAGAAGCTCATGCCCGGCATCCTCGAATTAGACCAGGCGCGCATTCGAGAAAAAGCCGAGGGGAAGCCGGCCGAGCGAGAACCAGAAAAAGAAGCAAGTTCGGAAGATGCCAAAGGGTCCAAGACACCGGCGGCGGAAGCACCGCAAGAGGAGGTCGCGCACGACTACGACAGCTCCGAATACGAAGAAGTCGAAGTGACGGATGACGAGGATGCGGAAGACGACCACGACCAAGACGGCAACGCGCGCAAACGGCAGCGCACCGACGAGCCTCCCGCCGACGACGGACCCGCCGAGTTCACCGAAGCGGACATCGCCGCGCAACTGGCCGCCATGGGCGCCGACTACGGCGCCGAGGACGACTACGATGCCGAGATGGGCGAGGGCGCGGAAGGGTGGGAGGAGGGCGACGAGGGCCTCCCGCTCTCGGACGAGGACGCGCGCGAGCTGTTCAAGGACCTGCTCAACGACTTCCACATCAACCCGTACAGCCCCTGGGAGAAGCTGATCGAGGAAGGGAAAGTGTTCGACGACGCGCGGTACGGCGTGCTGCCGACGACCAAGGCGCGCCGGGACGTGTGGGAGGAGTGGTCGCGGGCCAAGATCCAGGAGCTCAAGGAGCGGCGCGCCAAGGAGGAGAAGAAGGACCCGCGCATCCCCTACCTGGCCTTCCTGCAGGCGAAGGCCACGCCCAAGCTGTACTGGCCCGAGTTCCGGCGCAAGTACAAGCGCGAGGACCCGATGCGCGACCCCAAGCTGCCCGACAAGGACCGCGAGAAGTGGTACCGCGAGCACATCAACCGGCTGAAGCTGCCGCCCGCGACGTTGCGGTCTGACCTGAAGAAGCTGCTCGAAGCCGCCCCCCTGTCGGCACTCAACAACCAGACCCTGCCCTCGCAGCTGCCGGCGCAGGTGCTGGCGGATATCCGGTACATCTCGCTGGACCCCAAGGTGCGCGATCCGTTCATCGAGGCGTACATCCAGGGACTCGGGCCGCCGCCGGAAGCGGGGGAGGCGGCAGAGCAAGAGGACGAGGCGGCCAAGAAGGTGCGGGACGAGAGGCGCCGGCGGGAGAAGGCGCTGGAGGAGCGGGAGCGGGCCGTTACCGAGGAGAAGCGGAGGCAGGAGAAGAAAGTGCAGTGGGAGCGGGCGCGGCTACGGGACGAGGAGCGGGAGATTGAGCGGGCGATGCACGTGGGCAAGAAGGGGCTGCAGAGCCAGTTGGTGGGGGGTCAAGGGGAAGGGCCATAACCCGGGAGTTGGTTGGCCACGCCCGCATGAAAGCGGCTGTGCTGTTGATGTTCCATTACCATCTCGCCATGTGTGTATGTATATAATATGTATGAGTACATTCAGAACGCCGGGCAATGCTATTTAATGCAGATAAACACGGCCATTACAATAAAACAAAAAACAAGAACAGGTCATTACCATATCCGCCTCGCAATCATCTCATACCTCATAACCCTCCCAAAGTCCTTCTCCTTATCCCGCTCCACATTCGCCTCCGCCTTCCGCTCCTTCTCCCTCGCCTTCCTCAACCCCTCCGCATCCTCCCCAAAGATCCACCGCCTCCTATCATCCCCGACCTCCACCTGCCCATACCCACCGACCCGCTTTCCGCGCGCATCAAACGACTCGCGCTCTGCCGCGCCCGCGGCCACGGCGTGCTCCTTCGCCTTCATGCGCGCGTAGCGGTCGCGCGCGTACCGCAGCAGCACCATGCCCAGCAGCAGCTTGACGACCAGCAGGACGAGGAAGAGCAGCAAAAACACCACCACCATGGTCAGCGCCGCGATCGCGTCGTCGCTACTGAACGGCGGCAGCCACCCCGCCAGCAGGCTCGCCGGTGCCCCATTGTTGTTGGGTATGTCGCCCGTGCCGTTGCCGTCGAGGGGCTGGTCGCCGGTCGCGTACGGGTAGCCGAAGACGGAGCGGCCGAGCGCGTTGCGGATGAGGTGGTCGATGCGGCCGAGGGCGGCGCGCATGGCCGGGGAGGGGGTCGCATTTTCGACTGATAGGGAGGTTTGTGTGGTGGGCGGGAGCGGGGTGGGCAGGTGCGTGGCGAGGAACATGTTGTAGATTTGCACCGAGGCGCGGATGAAGAGGCAGGAGAGCGGGAGGAGAGGGAGGCCGAGGCGGCGGGTTAGGGAGGGGGTTACGAAGGCCTGGGTAAACGTTAATACTCGGTTGGCGGGCGAATAAGAAGGGGGTTCTTACGTTGGTGTAGTAGTCTTTGCAGAGAATGTCGAGGATGCGCGCGTAAAATGTCGGCTTGATGTTGTTGAACTTGTTGATGTAGGCGTGCTTGATCCAGTCGACTATCATCTCGCTCCCGATGACCACGATGAAAGGAGACAGAACCTCGCCCGACCACAGCCACGTGGGCAGGATTGTGAAGCTAGCGGGTAGGATCGACGATGTGTGCAGCGGGATGCTGCTCGGCCCGCTGTCCTCACTCCCGGCGCCCGGCACGGACAGGCCGCCCACCTCGACGACATTGCGCATGCCGATGATGATCAGCATGATCCACAGCTGGAAACGCTCGACAATGTCGGCGCAGGCGAGCTGGAACGTATTGTCTTTCTCAAAACGCTTGAATACTGCGCTTTTGATCTCGACGAACTGGTTCGAAAGCAGCAACGTCAGGAGAGCATTGGAATACGAGTTGACAGCCACGTTGAGCGCAATGACTTGGTAAAATAGAATGACCGAGTGCAGGATGTTGTAGACGAGCGCGAGCAAGAACATGCCCAATGGGAGCATCACCTTGGAGCGGCCGGAGCTGTTCCGGGAGAGCGTCTCGGTACTAAAGAGGCACTCGAAGATATCTTGCCCGAGAGCTGAAAGGAGCCTGTCGCCGACCTCGAGGAGGTTGTAGATGGCGTATAATTTGATGGCCGACTGGGCCCGGATGAAGTGGTACATTCGGCTAGCATCAAGGTTCATCAGGGCTATGGAGCTGCAGATGAGGATGGCGCCCTGGAGGAGGTCGGCCTTGTGGTACGAGGTAAGGTCCGAGGGGCTCGACTTTGTCCGGCGGTGACGGAATAGCCCTGAGGGTCTGGTGCTCGGTTTATTCGACGCGGCAGCTGTGCCGGGTCCGGAAACACGGCGGCTGCCTGGGCGGCGAGAACCGGACTCGGGTCTGCCACCAGAAACCCCTGAAGCATGCGCAGCGCCATTCCGACCATCTCGCGCTCTGCTTCTGCTCCTTGATTCCTCAGCCCGGCTGTCTTGGCCGCCTGCACTTGATGGGGCACGCCCCCGACGCCCTCGCCGCCACATCCGTCCCAGTCCGTACCAGACGAAGTCCACCATCCACCGTAACTCCTTACCGACAACGTATGCCCACCAACGGACTAGCACGGACGCTGCGATGCAAAATCGCATGGGCAGTACGGTGAACGTCCACAACCAGGCGTCGAAGCAGGCGGCGGCGCCAAACGTCATAGCTCTCTCGAGGTACCAGGGCAAAAGCAAGAAGTTTTTCAGGCGTTCAAACTTGATGGCACTGGATTCATATGGCATGTCATTCGCGTAGGAGTGGTGGATATACAGGGGGCTCGGTCGCTGCGCGGCTAGTTCCAGCTGCAATAGCGTCGGTATGGACATGGGCGGGAGGGGGATTGTCGGCGGGATCGGGGACGGAGGGGCCGGCTCGACTTTGTCGTTTCTGGGCGGCAGGGCAGCCCTATCTGTTGGCGGGCCGTGGGTATTTCGGTTGTCAAACTCGAGAGCAGCCGGTCGCGGGCCCGGCTGGAAGGAATTGCGACGGGAGGACTGCTGAACCGCAGGCTGGGTTGTGGGCGGTTGACTTGTTGTCTTCCGTCTACTCATTGGTGGTGTAGAGAGTGTGCGTCCATTTATTATCGGCCTTCCCTGCGCCAGCCTCCCGTTTCCCGTGTCCTCCCGTTGCTCCGATCGTAGGAACTCGGCGTGGGCGAGGTGCGCCGAGCGGTCCTCCGTAGCCTTCGATAGCCGGCGGCTTGCCTCGACGATGCCAGCGGTGAGCGGAGGATCCCCAATTGTACGTTTTGCGATGCCGGAAATAGGGAGGGACTCCGGGGCGGCAGTCAATTCCTGCATTTTGGACGCCGAGAGTCGCCTGACCCCATCTGGGTTACTCGTCTTCGTGTTTGACCTGCTTCGGGTCTTTGTGACCTCGTCAACATCGATCGCACATGTTGAAGCAGGTGCGGCAAGCGCGGCCAAGGTAGGTACACGAGACTGATCGCCATCGCTTTGGCTCTCGCCGGACGGGTCCGGTGTTGGTACGCCGGTGGTCGGAGTTGATGCGGCTCGCTCCCGTGGGATGTTTATCTCTGGGGCTTGTCTCGGTGGGAGATCGCTCGGTGTCAAGATCGGGGAGGGAAGTTGCGTGACGGTATTTTGGGAGCCTTTTCTACTTCTCCTCCTGTTCTTTGGCCTGTGAGTTTCCTTCTCCGAGTTGACCTTGGAAATGTTGGATGGCTCGTGGGCCATCGCTGGAGACGACGGTGCCTCCATGTTCCTCCGCTCTGCGCTCTCAATCGAATCGTTGTGGGAAAATCGTCATATCTCCATCACAAGCATCGGAGTCTTAACTGGTTTGACACACAGGGCAAGTCATGCCACTGGGAGGGATTGGTGGTGTGGGGTCGGTTGGTGATGAACAAAGGACAACTTTCTCGGTGTCGTGCCACTGGTTTCCATTCCCCTACCCTGCATCGTCCCGTCCCAGCATCCCATCCCGTCTTGGCACGCCGAACAGCCAAGTGCCCCATTTTTCTTTGCAATTGGCCTGGCGAGCCTGGGCTTCTGGCAGAATCCCTGCTTCGGTTTTCATCTTTCAAACCGAGTGTCCTGCAGCAATGCTTGGATGTCCCGCATTGTCTCAGCCTCCACTACAACTTACTACCGACTGTGGAAATTCCGGTTCAATGCCCAAATAGGTAATAATGAGCATGTATCCAAGTACACTTTTCGGCGAGGACGGATTCGGCCGTGCAGGAGCCCGAGACATGCACCACCACTGAGGTGAAGCCAACTGCGACACATCGGATGGCACCCTCGCAATCCCGTCGGATCAGACCGCTAACGACATTGGGTAAGTACCAGATCGGTTGTACATGAAAGGGCTCGTTGTACATGGAAGGGCTCAGATTCGGGCGGCAGTTCGGAACCGAAGTACGTCGATTCGAGTGGTTGTAACATGCTGGGTTCGAGTTGACTTCCATGCTCTCGGAGCCCGGGTTCCCCCTCATGACGGCACTGGCTGGTGGGGTGGCGGGGTAGGTACCTGGAGATAACACCGGACGGGAGAGGTGCCGGCCGGCAGCTCCGGCAGGGTACCAAGCTCGAAAGCAGCGATCTGATTGCGAACCTTCGTTTCCTTTTTCTTCGAAGCCCCGCCGGTATTCCCAGAGATAAATCTCTGAAGGGCACCGCATCCCACCCCGCCTCAGTCGAAACATTCTCTTCCTCATTCATTGTCACCCCAATCCCACACACACACCACCTCGCTATGGCTTCGAACCCCCCCGGACAATGCTGCACAGTTGGCGTCAAGCATGAGTACGCCCGAGCTCCGCCGCATTACCGCCCCGGTACATTACTAACCTTGGATCTTCAGAGGTGACCCCGTCGGCAAAACCGTTCAAGTCGCCGGCAAACACGAAGGCTACCTCGCGTCGCCGCCCGCGGACAAGGCGCACAAGGGCGTTGGCATTTTGATCATCCCGGACGTCATCGGCATCTGGCAGAACAGCAAGCTCATTGCCGATCAGTTCGCTGCCAATGGTTACCTAACACTCCTCCTCGACGTGTACAACGGCGACGCGCTTTCTCTCACCAACCGCCCCGCTGGGTTCAACATCATGGAGTGGATCGCCAAAGGCTCGGACGGCAACAACCCCCACACTACCGAGGCCGTCGACCCAATTGTGCTGGATGGGATCAAGGCACTGAAAGAGGAATACGGGATCCAGAAGATCGGCGGCGTGGGATACTGCTTCGGGGCCAAGGTGGGTTTGCCGAGCAGAGTTCGTCGGGAAGAACGGCAGGCAAAGGCTGACAACGTGGACCACCTAGTACGTCATCCGGCACTACAAGGACGGTATCGCCGTGGGCTACGTTGCCCATCCGTCCTTTGTCGACGAGGAGGAGCTTGCGGCCGTACCAGGCCCGCTAGCCATCTCAGCTGCTGAGACTGACAGCATCTTTCCCACCGAGAAGCGCCACCGGTCCGAGGTGATCCTCAAGGAGGGCGGCAAGCCATACCAGATTAACCTCTTCTCGCAGGTCCAGCACGGCTTCGCCGTTCGCTGTGATCCGTCAGTCAAGGTGGAGAGGTTTGCCAAGGAGCAGGCCTTCCTGCAGGCCGTGACCTGGTTCAACGAGTATCTGTTGTAAGCGCAGAAGTAATATTTATGGCTGATGCCGGGGTATGTTTTGTGATGCCACAATTGCAACGACTGTTCAACACGCGTGAGCAAGAGCATTCCGTCTTTTGCGGTCGGAGGGTGGCAAGATGGACACAGTCACTCCGAGGGCAATGCCAACCTTTCATTCATTGGAGGAATGTCAACATAATTATCAAGGGCTGAGAAAACTGATTTCTTTTCCCAATTCACGGCCATCTAGGTGTTAAATTGTCCGATAATGCTGTCCCTCAAGCGTCTACCACCTCCGACAGTGGTAGTAACGGCACCTAACTCTACTCAAGCTTTCGTCACGGGTTGCTGTATGTCGATGCAAAGCCTCCAGGCTACCGACCTTCAGAGGTATCATATCCCAGTCAAGACTACCAAGTGACAACTGTATCTAACAATGAATTGTCCCTTCGTCTTAACCTCTCCAGCATAATCCCCCCCCGCTGCGGGCAATTCCTCCTCAAATAAGGAAGCTCCCCGCGCTACAAAATGACACAACTTCCTGACTGTGGGTAAGGATATTGAGGTTCGTTGGGTTGGAGAAACCGTGCCTCGTTTGGAGATGGGCAAGATTGACATCCACAAACACAGAGGCGTTTAGATGGTTCACCCCCACGGTCCAACCCCAGTGCAGTAGAAGATGTAGATCTCGCTTCCACTCTCGGCCATGGCCACCAACCCTGAAGGGGCTTGTCGTCGTAGATGCAGTTGAAACTCTTTTGGGGACATTGGTAGGTATAGTGGTAGATGAGCTGGCCGAGTCCATTCAACGCACTCGCGGTATACACATTCTCCCGCGTTAGGTTCTGCACACGGAAGCTTGGGAGGATTTCAAGTGAGTGGGCAAAAACTTCAAGAAATCCCACCCATCTGAGAGTTTTATCGTTGGACTTGTCGGCAAGAATCCAAGTACGTTTATGATGGAACCCGAATTGTACCCATCCCGGTTTGGTCTCTCTGGAAAAGTACCCTTCCTCGGGTATGATGTTCTCGGCCGACCAAAAAAAGCCTTCGCGCATCAGGCGGGGCATATCAGCGGTTTTGACCTCAAGGAGGGCCGCCCATGGCGCTTTTCCGTAACATGGTGCTCCGGGGTCAGGAACCATTCTCATGCTCAGGACTGCCCATCCCTGACCCTCGTCGCTTCCTTCGCTCAAGTATTTGTTGAAGATCCCTGAGCGCCCTTGTCGCACCAACTCTCGGCCGCTTCTTTTGGCATCGTAACTTCCCGTTGTGCCTGGCGGTGTTGAACCTGTCGCTGCAGGGGGGTCCGTCAGACTCTCGTACGAGGGAAGGACTTCGCGATCGCGTAGTGCATCCTCCATGTCGTTGCTGCTGCCGTTGTTATTTCGATAGTCCCCGAGATTGTAAGAGGACTTGTAGGTCATGTTCCTGACGTTTGGCTTGTCTTGGTTGAAGGCGTTTGACCTACTAGTAGGTAGCGAGACGTGACTACGGACAGGGGGGAGTGGAAAAGGGAGTGAGGGGACCGGGGAGATGGGGCAAAACACCAGTGCTCGCAGGCTCATATGGTGTGGGCCGTGATGTCCATGTCCGCTGACGTAGTCGGTTGCGGGAGCGTGTAATGTCTATAAACCCACGACTCAGCTGCCTTTTGCTTTGCCACCCGGCCGTATTTCGTTATTTCTTCCCGGCAAGGTCGACAACGGCGATATATCCCCTCCCACTTCCAATGGCAAGGCACTTTGGGTTCTTATCCCGCTCAACCCCATGGTTTATTTGATAGAAGAAGCAAGCCAAGCATCGGCGAGCGTCGCCGACACAAATGAACGGCAACCCCACCCGACCGCCCTAGCCATTGCATGTTTGTTGTTTGCCCAATATATTTTATTTCATTGCTTTAGTTCGACTTCTTTTATTTGCTTTCGTTTGTTCGATTTCTCTCCTTCTGTCTTTGTTTTCGCTTGACTTTTTGTTTTCTTTTTAGCTCAACTTCTTTTACTTGGTTTCTTTCGTTCGACTTGTTTTATTTGGTTTCTTTAGTTCGATTTCTTTTTTTTTGTTGGTTTTTGCTTGGCTTTTCTTTTCTCTTTCTTTTTTTTCTTTTCTTTTTTTCTTTTTCGAGCTCGGCTTTTCTTTTGGCGAGATGGCCAGGTGCTACGACAGTAAGTTGAAGCCAGTACTAACAAACTTGAACTGAAGCAACTCCATCCACTGCCTATGGTTGACGGCACCGTCGGGAGGGAATGAAGTTCGGATCTGATAACTACCTACCTACCTATGGTTCTTGCTCCCTGGCCGAGCTGGCAACTCAGGTTATTAACAAGACTGAGCAAACCTTTGTGAGCTCCTGGTATTTTTGCATTACATGATTTAGCCACCGCGGTTCCCCTTCGACAGTCAATAACATGTGTTGAGTTACTCACTTTTTAATGACGATGTCAACATCTGGCCGACGAGGAAGCTTGGCCGCGGGGAACCCTGCTGAGACATGGTTAGATGTCTCCCTTCTGCACTTGTTTTCCGGGAAATGCCCTAGGAATTGCGTCCGAGATTCCTTGGTGCGACAGTTCCCCTGACTTGCGCATACACAGCTCGTTTCTGGGAAACAAATCGTGCGCTGTGACGGTTCTGCGACGATCTTAGTGATCCAGACACACGAAACCTCTCCGAAACCTTTCGAGGGCAGGGGGGTGGCAGACTTGGTGACGAACAAGAACGTCCTCGTCGATGAAGTCTCAACGGGACCAAAACAACCTGCTTTGACCCACACATTAATTATTTTATCAACCAAACTCTCGGCTTGTCATGGGACGTCCTGCTATACCCAGGAACCGAGTGAACGCCATCTGCAGACCCAAAGAGACGCGAAGTTTGGGAGAGACAGGGGGTGATGCCTTGCCAAGTCCTTCGTCCCCGGTGCTGTCTCAGCCAGTCTGTGCGCAGCGAGATTCCCCGGCGACAACACCAAGTTGGGATATGAGCGAGCTCGCTAACGACCACTATTCTCCACGCCTACGAAGGAGTGAGCACACGACCGCAGGAATGAAACAGAATTCCCCCCCCCGATGAGGTCTTCTCGCTCTCATACCTCGGCGCCCGGTCACATCCCAACAACCGGAGTTTTCTTTTTGAAGTCAGCGGGCCCCCCCTAGTGGCTCCGATACTTGACCGCCTCGCAGTTATTATTCATTCCCGAAACCATTATGGACGGGTGGTCAATATTGGATCCTCACCATACCCCGGTTTCGATGCTATAGCCTATGTACAGGCCACGGTGCGGCTCTTACACAACCCGTCTCGGCTGCTTTATGATATCTCGACATGGGGCCCGACCGGCTGGTACCGAGGCAATCCCCATTCGCCCAACCCGGGGATGACGGCTTGTCCCATGAAGATCTCGGTCCGCAGCTCAACACCGTCTTCTGGCTGCTTACGACACTCGCCTCTTTCTTCCTAGCCCTCCGACTCTACTGCAAGTTCCTCCGCGGCCGGTCCCTGTGGTGGGACGACCATTTCCTGATCGCATCATGGGTAGGACTATCTCGCAGGACATATCGAGCACAAGGTATCGAGCTGACAATACGCTCAGGTTTCACTCGTTGTCTCGGCCGCGACCACTTCGGTTTGCGTCAGCCTTGACTATGGTAAAAACCTCTACGATATGCGGCCCGAGAACCTCCCCAAGATGCCCTTCATCGCCGTTTTCGCTGGCTTCTTCTCTGTTCTGGCGGCTGCCTGGAGCAAGACCTCCTTCGCCTTGACCATGCTCAGGCTCAGCGGGGGCTGGATGAAAGCTGTTATCTGGTTCATCATCATCACCATGAACGCCATCATGGGAACTGCCATGCTGTTTATGTGGATCAAATGTCAGCCCTTTGCCAAAGTGTGGGACAGTAGCTTGGACGGCTGGTGTATCGACCCAAACAAGATTGTGACCTTGTTTCAGTGGTCGGCTGGTGAGTGTTGCTTCCCCTGGCATGATATCAAGAATCATATCACTAATGAATGTGGCTAGGCTGGTCCGGCTCCGCCGATTTGATCCTCGCGCTGTTGCCCTGGGGCATCCTGTTCACGATGCGCCAATCGCTAAGCGTCAAAGAGAGATTGGGCATTGCCCTTGCTATGAGCATGGGTGTTGTGTACGACTCCTTTGCTGATCCTGGCCACCGATTACGGTCTCGCTGACACGAATCATAGTGCTGGCGTCGCGTCCTTTGTCAAGCTGGTCATGTTGCCAAACCTTACGGGAGATCCAAGTATGCGTTCCCGGCCCCTTTCCAGCACTCCTTCTGACCGTAAAGCAGCCGACACAGTAGCCGTCACCATTTGGGGCAGCGCGGAAGGCGCCCTTACCATCATCGCCGCCTCCATCCCCGTTCTCCGCGTACTTGTCCGCGGGGACGACGGCAGTTACACTGCTAAATTCGACACATCTGACGAGCGCCGGCTCAACTCCACAAGCTTAGAGACTCTGAACACAGAGGGAGGGGGCTCAGAGGGGAGCCAATACAAACACGTTCATGTTCATGGGGTAGTATGATTGTACGATTATTACGGCAGCATGGTGTCTATCTCGGCGTTTTAGGAGTCGAAGGTTTGATTCGGGTTTGACTAGGCGAATATCATCTGCCGTCTCATGTTCTACCTTTCTGGGGAGTACGTACAACAATTGATGTGCACCCGATTGTATGACGGAATGCTTTCACTTTGGCGTGATATGTTGCTGTTCTACAATTCCTACTGCTAAAGTTCCAGCGGAAGGTTGAACAGTTTGATAGCATTCACCCGCGCGACCAGCCTTTTTTGTTCCTGGGGCAGAATGACACCGCGCCACCACCCCTGAGCCTCGGCAATGGTATCATAGGGATAGTCTCCATGCAGAAGCCAGTCAGGATCAGTCTCAAAGTATGGCAGAGCGCCTGCTTACCGATCGAATAGAGACACCTCTCCGGCCCGAGCTGGTCAATACAGAACTTCAGGGCAGCCGTGTTGAAGTTGCCGGAGGTGGTGATGGAGATGTTGTGGGTAAAGTAATAGCTGTAGTCCTCCTTGGACGGTCTCGTGGCTTTCTTGACCGGCTTATTGAACCAGTGATCCGCCCTGACGAGATTGAACGGGATGCTATCGCGTTGTCAGCAACAACCCCCCTTATCCCTTATACCTGGGTGTTGAACTCACCCCTCACCAAGATGCCCAACCACGACCTGCAGTTTGGGAAACTCATCGAACACCCCACTCGAGCAGAGGGCATACAAGTGCATGCTCAAATCCAAGTGAAACTGCACCGCCGCCCCAAGAATGTGTTTCCTCTCCCCGTACTTTGTCCCCGGTTGCAGGTCCTTCGCCGGAGGATAGCGCGGATGAAAGTACACCGGCACGCCCAGCTCCTCGATAGCCTTCCAGAACGGCCTAAACCCCGCCTCATCGTAGTACCTCTTCCCCTCCACATCCCCACCCTCGTTCACCACCTGGTAGTCATTAACCATCACACCAAACATGCCCAACTCCTTGACCGCCCGGGTCGCCTCCGCAACAGCGTCCTCAGCGCTGTGCATCGACACGGCCGCGAAGGCGCCGAACCGCGCCGGGTTCTGCGCCACCTGGCCCGCGAGCCAGTCGTTGGCCTCGGCCGCCAGCGCGCGCGCTTTGGCCGCGTCGGGCTCCCCCTGCGCGCCGGGCGAGGTCAGGCTCAGGAGCATGTACTCGACGCCGTGGGCGTCCATCTGGGAGAGGCGCTCATTGTGGATGTCGAGGAGGAGCTGGTTTAGTTTTTGGCTGGGTTTGGGTGCGTCGGTGGGAGTGGAGGTGGAGGTGACGGCTTGGCCGGGGTTGAACAGCGCGGCGGACTCGGCGATCCAGGAGAGGCCCGCGGGGTTGAGCACCGCTTCTTCGATGGCGATAGTGCCCTTTGGTGCCTTTTGGGTCATGATTGCTGCTCGGCTTCACGCTCGTGGCGGTAGTAATGTTCTAGATGGCGGTGGAGGGGTTGTCTGGGAGAAGACAGGATGGAAAGTAAAGGGTGGTGTGCTGCTATTATAGCCTACGTACAGAATCTCTATCGGCTGTTGTAAAGTCGGCTGCTTGTAAGTGGTCTGTAGGACCGCGTAGTAGCAAGAAGTGAAGAACCGTGGCCGACGGGAGACGAGGAGGTCACTACCCTAATCCTGCCAGTGATGGCCACAGCGACATCTCATCCTGTGAGGTCATCTTACGGAAAGGGGATGGCATTCCGACTCCCGAACCGTGTCGGTTACGAACTCTTCTCCAACTTCGGCAGTTGCAAGGGTGAATATCACCAATACATGCCTCCCTAACTTGGACTCGGCGAGCCACGAAACCACGGGGAGCAAGGGGCAAGCTCTAAGGCCGACGTGTCAAGGGTGTAACGAAGGACGAGGGGTTGACAGCCCTAAATCTCTTCGTATCAAGAATCACAAAACCCCATCCGCAAAAACCACGACAGGACGAAACTTGCAATGGTTGCATCAACACCCACCCCCATGAACGAGAGCTCCCCGCGAGGACCAAACTTGGCGTCCCCACAGACGCGGAAATGATCCACGGGTAAAGCTTTCCGCCCAATCGGCTGCCGGATGGTCCTCCGTCTTCAACATCAAAAGGCAACTGCGGGGTTACTCCTATGATGCAAAGGCACATGCATGCGTATAGCAACTGCCGCAGGATGGCACGGAACGGGACCGGGCACCCACGGAGGGCTCCAGATGGTGGCCGCTTTGCCCCTGCTCGGTCACCGAATACCTAACTCGGACGCCGGCTGACGCGGGCGGGGTCTCATCTGCCCACGTTTCTAAACGCACTCGCGCGTATTCCTGGCTGACGTGTGAGGTGCTGCAAATCCGGCGCTAAGATCGATCAGTATCCAGCTCCAAGTTAATAAATAGGAGGTACGGTTCGAGGTCGGCAAAGCCCTGCCTTGATCCCACGAGCTTTTTGAGGTCAAGACGGTCGCTTGAAAACGGCTTGGAAGATTAGCAGCTTGAAGACCAGCAAGATGGCGGAGGCGGTCCCTGTCCGCCCACGTATGCTTGTCAATGGAGAGGTAATCGCCTATCCACCCTTAAAGAAACTGTATGGGGGAAACTAAAAGTCAACCTAGCTTGTCGAGGCTTCCGACGGCAACACCTTCACAGTTCACAACCCGGCAACAGGCGAGGTCTCAGCCCATGGTCAGCCCCCAACACCCGACGGCGAGTTTAAAGCATCACTAACGCTTAGCCAGTGCCCGAGGCCAGCGCAGATGATGCCAATGCCGCCGTGGCAGCCGCGAAAGCGGCGTTCCCGGCTTGGTCTGCCATGGGAGGGGCAAAGCGAGCCGGCCACTTGAAGAAGCTCGCTGCCTTGATCAGGGAAAACAAAGACGAGCTTGCGCGGCTAGACGCGATTGCGATGGGCATGCCCGTGTCTACCCACCACTATGCCCACACCGCCGCCTCCAATTTTGACCACTACTCCGAGGCTTGGGGGACCATCCAGGGGCAGGCCAGTGTCAATACACCGGGATTGGTGACCATGACCCTCCGGCAGCCCTACGGTGTGGTGGCCCTCATCATCCCCTGGAACGCCCCTTGTCACTTTCTCGGATCTAAGGCCGCCCCCGCTCTGATCACAGGCAATACTGTGGTTCTGAAGTCCAGTGAGAAGGCCCCGTTGGCCGTTGCTCGTATCGCCGAGCTCGTCGTGGAAGCAGGGTTCCCTCCAGGAGTCTTTAACATAATTTCTGGCCACGGCGTACCCTCCGGGCAAATTCTATCCCGCCATATGGACGTCCGCGCGCTAAGCTTCACGGGCTCAAGCCGCACCGGCAAGCTGATCCAAGAGGAGGCGGCTCGCACCAACCTGAAAAAGGTCATCCTCGAGCTCGGCGGCAAGTCGCCTGCACTCGTGTTCGAGGACGCCAACCTTGAAAAGGCTGTTGCCCAGACGCAGTTCAGCATCCAAGCCAACAGCGGACAGGTGTGCATGGCCAACTCACGCATTTACGTGCAGAAGAGCATCGCGCCGCAGTTCGTCGAGGCGTTCAAGACCAAGTTTGCCGGTGCTCGGGCCGGAAACCCCTTGGACAGTGAGACCAACCATGGCCCACAGGCCGACGAGGTGCAGTACCGCAATGTGCTCAACTACATCGAGGAGGGCAAGAAGAGCGGCGGAACGCTAGCACTGGGCGGTAGCGGCAAGCTTGAGAGCACGAAAGGCTTCTTTATCGAGCCCACCGTGTTCCTGGACACGCCCGAGACGGCGCGCATTACCAAGGAGGAAGTGTTCGGCCCGGTGGTCGTCATCAACACATTCGAGACCGAAGCCGAGGCCATCGCCAAGGCCAACGACACCGAGTTTGGCCTATATGCGTCCGTGTTCACGCGCGATGTTAGCCGGGCGATGCGGGTGGCCAAGGCGTTGGAGAGCGGATATGTTGGCGTCAACTGTACCAGTCCTTTGACGGGAGTTGACTTGCCGTTTGGAGGCTACAAGAGCAGTGGGCAGGGCAGGGAGGGGTGGCTGTACAGCATGGACAACTTTCTGGAGACCAAGAGTATCATTATGCGGATAGACGACGAGTGACCCGAACTAGGTAGACTTTGCTGGTTGGGAAGATATTGCTCATCTATAAGTCGGGGGCTTTTTATAGCCTCTTAGAAACCACAAGATTGCGTGTGGCTTGCGTTAGAATACATCCTGGGCTCCAGGTCTAGCAGTTACCGATGTGATAGTCACCTCCCGTCCCCGGTCCTCTTCGGACAAGGAATACCTAGACAATATGGCTTCATTCATTTTCTTCCTCCTTAGTCGCAGGAATCCCTTTTCGGGTGATGGGTAGACCCGTTACCTTCGGTTCTAACAACGGTCAGTCAACGTAGCATAGAAGAAAATGATCATGGGAATGGTTTGAATGCACCGCACGAGTGAGAGGGCCAGCAGCTTCCCTGACCGTCGTTTAAACAAAGGCTGTTAATGCACTGAGCTCCTATCTCGCTCTAATAGTATCTACTTCAACTCCTGAGCAACCCCCCCAACCTCTGACGCCAATGCTAGTGGTAGGAATCCCGGTGATATCATCATACGGTCACAGCGATAGGGCCGACAGGTAGCAGCTTGACATCCTCAAACAGCTCCGGTTGCGTAACCTTCTTGAAGATGTCGTCGAACCCTTCCTCGGCATGCTTCTCGGCGTCGTGACCATGAATCCAGTCCTCGCGGGGAAAGGCAATGCTCTTGGGGTCCTTTGCCACTTTCTCCCAGTCCGTCTTGTGCCACCTGTCGCGTGTGGACTCGCCGGTCTTTTGTACGATCCCAACACGTTCGTACCTGGTGCGTGATGTTAGGAGAGGAAAAGAAGGACGAATGGTTAGGATACGTACCGAAGTTCCTGATGCACCCGCACGGCAGCTGGTACGTTGCCCTTGCCGGCCCGCTTCAGGCACACCGCGATCGTCACGCCATCTTCCATCGCCTGCGTCGCGCCCTGTGCGCTAGTAGGGAGGAACGGGTGTGCGGCATCGCCGAGCAGCAGGATCCTCGCATGTTTGCTTACCCACGTCGGCAAGGGATCGCGATATACCAACTTCCAATCCACCACACTGGGCGTCTTTTCGACGATGGCGCGGCAGACGGGGTCCCAGCCCTCCAGCACCTTGTAGACGTCCTCGAGTTTGCCCGGGAAGGACCACGATTCGTCAATGTCGTGTTCGTCGCGGTGGGTCAGCACCCAACAGCAGTCTTTGCCGCCCTTGATGGTGCTGAACAAGAAGTGCACGTCTGGCCCGATCCAGCCATTGAAAGTGTCGCCGTTGGCGCAGAACTCGCTCGTGCGTGGGTCCTTGATCATGTCGGTGTTGGAGAACCATGCTCGCCACACCGCATACCCGCTGCTCTTCGGCTTGTCGACGTATCCCAGCACCAACTCCCTCGCCTTGGACCTCACGCCGTCGGCGCCAATCACCAAGTCCGCAACTAGACGCTCGCCACTCTTCAACACGATGCCCGCCTGGTTCTCGTCCTCAAAGTACTCCACGGCGGGCTGGCCCAGGTGGATGGGGATGCCGAGCTCGTCGCGGGCGTACTTGAAGACGACCTCGTGCAGCTCGCCGCGGTGGCCGTTGAGCACAGGGGCCGTGGGGTCCTGCTTGGGGGTCGGCTGGTGGTAGACGACCTCGCCCGTGTCGTACTTGTGGATGCGGAAGCCGTAGCCGGACAGGTCGATGCACAGCTCGCGCAGTCGCCGCGCGATCTTGCCGTCCGACCACCGGTGGTAGATGCGGCCCGCGTTGGCCCCGAACGAGATGATGTCGCCCAGCGTCTTGAGCTCGGGGAAGTTCTCGTAGATGCTCACGTCGTGGCCCTGTCGGTGGCACTCGATGGCGGCGGTCAGGCCGCCGAAGCCGGCGCCGACTACGATGACTTTGATGCCGGATTTGGGGACCGACATGGTGGAGGGGAGTTGTAGGATGTTGACGTCTCGGGAAACTATGGAGAGAAGAGAGTATGAGTGCAGATCCCTTACTTCGGAACCTGGGATGCAACGAGCGCGAACCACGCTTAGAATGTGGTCTCAGGCTGGTCAATTGTTGAGGTAGTGTTCAAAATTGGTCCGTCTAACGAGGTACGCAAAGTAAATGTCACCACGGAGACGCCGGCCGTGGCAGATATTAATGTGAGCCATGTGATGTGACGGAACGGTACCTTCACGCCCAGGCCGGCCGGCGGTTGATCCTTGGGCCGCAGACACTTGTTCCGAAGTCGACTGTGACCCAAGGGCCCTCCGCGTTGCATGCTGCTACCTGCAAAACATCAGGCTATTCCGGACCGTTCTTGCTGAGCCCCCCTTTTGTCCCTATCTGCCGAATCTGCCACGCTTCAATGCCCGTGGAATTTGGGATGATGCGGGGAAAATCAAGCCAACGACTCCCCCGCACCGTAAATCGTCCCAAGCGCGTGGTTGGGGTGGTCACGCGTCTCCAAGACGCTCACCTCGCTCGGGCTTGAGAACTGGAACCCGTTTTCCGTCAGGGGCGGGGTTAGGGTTGCACCACCATACCCATCACCCTACAGTCGCTTCTTGCAACTTTCGGCCAGCGAATGGTACGGGTTTTCACGGTTATTGGGTATTGTCAATGTGCAGCCTGCTTGAGCCGTAGTGCCCATCACACGTTTTTCTTTCTGACCAGGATCCCGGGTTACTCTATCGTGCCGTGGATGGTAACGCGGAAAAGGGGGACGGCCCGAACAGAGGGCAGCATGAACCTGCATCATGTACTTGCATGTAATCGTGCTGGAGGTTTTACTGGTTAGATATTTGGTAACTTGGCGTGACTGGCTTCGCAGTTGAGGCATCCCCAAGCACAGAACCAAGGTTAATGCGCTGATGATCAAATGGCTAATACTTGGAGTCTCAGAGACACAAGTGGTTGTGCTGTATCCATCTACTTCAAGCTAGAATTATTTCCTGTATGGGGTTACCGCAACCATCCCAAAGACAACCGACTTGACCACTCCAACTATCTACACTTCTACAATCTCGCGTCAGGCTCCCATAACACTTAACCCCCCTTGACCTTGACAATCCTGACATTCCCATGTTCATCAATCACCGGCTCCTGTGCCACCTTCTTCTTCTGCTGCTGATAGAACGTACTCATGCGGTACTTGCTCTCGCCGTCATGCACCTTGAGATCAGCCAGCGCCTGTTCCCCCCTCCCTCAGGATCGCCTCCCTGATCTCCTCACTGCGCGGCACGATCTCGCACGGGAACGGCTGCGGTCGCATGTTGAGGCCGTTCGTAAACGCAAAGATATCCACGTCAATCTCCTCCCCCGTCCGGGGATCCCTCGCCTTGCGGATATCAAACCCCCACAACAAACGCGCCACGGTGATCCAGGTCCCCTGCTCGGCCAGCGCCTGGCCGCTGCACACGCGGCGGCCCCAGCCGAAAGTCATGTACCCCCTGTCGCCGGGAAAGGGGCGGTGGTGGTCGTTGCCGTCGAGGTAGCGGTCCGGGTAGAAGCGGTCCGGGTCCGGGAACTGGGCCTCGCTGTGGTGGATGGCCCAGACGTTGCCCTGGACCCAGGAGCCCGCGGGGATGAGCCAGCCGTTGTAGGTGTCGTCCTGGGTCGGCGCGTGCGGCTGCCCGCCGATGATGGCCACGCTGCGCCAGCGGAGCACTTCCTTGACGAAGGCGTTGATGTAGGGTAGGTTGGGCGAGTCGTCCCAGTGCGGGGAACGGTTGGGGCCGATGACCCGGTCGATCTCGGCTTGGGCCTTTTTCATGGCCTCCGGGAAGGCGCAGCATGCGAGAACGAAGGTGACGAGCGTGCTGGAGGAGGTGTCTGCGCCGGCACCGAACAGGTTGCCTGTTAGGCCGGAGAGCTCGGCGACGGGGAGGTTGTATTTCTGGCCTTCTTCGAAAAGGGTTTTGACATAGGGGGTTGGCATCGAGGCCTGCTCGGATGGTGACTTTTGGGCGTACTGCTCGATGGCTTCTTCGGCTAGGCTGTAGAAGAAGTAGTGACCCCCTTTTTGGCCGCGGGTGCCGAGCCCCTTAAACCAGGGCATGAATCGGGGAAATTTGGCGAGGACTGTTGAATGTCAGAACAGGGTCTGGTAGGGAGTATTACAACAAGCGGCACTTACTAGGGAATGTCTCGAGTAACATGGGGAACGACTTCCCGGGTACGTTCAGATCGGCAGCCAGCTGCATCAAAGCAATGACTTCGGTGATGATGGGGTCATTGTAGCTTGCCACTCGCCGGCCAAAGCCAATGATGGACACAACACTGGTGGCATAGCGCTCCAAGTGCTTGACATACTCGGTGGGCTCGCGAAGGAAGTCGTAGGCGACGATCTTGCTCTCGTTGTTCTGGATGCCGCGATAGCCGCGGACGGACTGCACGCCCACGCCGACGTGCATCAGCTTGCGGTGGATACGCCAATGGTCTCGCTCCTGTTGGTTACGGATCCTCATGGTCACCAAGTTGGATTGCCCGCTGCCCAGCTCGCCGAAGACTACCATGCGTGGCCGTGAAGCATAGATTTGGGCCTTCTTCTCGAAGATCTCGTGTGCACACCAAGCATCGTTGATCCAGACCGTGGGGTTTCTGGGACTGGTCAGTCAAGGCCAAATAAGGGGTTCAGGGGTAACATTTACCGCCCTATCCAGAATGTTATCAACGGCGTGTTGTATTTCTTGGACAGTTCCTCGAAGTAGATCCAGGGTTTGTTGTCGGGTAATAAGAAAGTGTTCCCAACGATGGGCCAAGGGAAGGGGCCTGGTGGCATCTTGGACCGTAGATAGAGCATGTGGGCGTAGTCCGCTGCAATCGCCGTGGCGACAATTGCCAGCAGCCCGAGGGCCATATTGACAAGGCCTGCATCGGCAATGGCGGCCTGCAACTTCACCAATGCGAAGCTGTCAAGCAGCCTTTCAGAAAGCATCGTGTCCTACGCTTCTAGAAATGTTGAGGTTTGAACCAAGGAAATGCACAGCGAGTGACCATACAATAGCGCATCCGCGAGTCACCCCTCGAGACCCGGAAAAGGACCAATTGTCATCAAAAGCAGTGAATGATTGATATAGATCGACCATACGCGCGAAGAGACTGGGCTCAGAAAACGGGGTACCGCCAATACAACCATGGAACTGGTGGGAATATTTGGAGATCATGGTCGAGGCAAGTTAAGGAAACGGTCGCCGTTAGTCTGTTGCAACGTGGAAATGGGGGAGCTCGGCAGCAAATCTACATGCCGTGCAGGCCGTGCAGTCAAACTTGGGGACGAGAGGGGCGACAGTGCGGGGAGTCGGCCGGGGACGGGAGCGGGGGTTCCACGTGGTGATCGAATGGGGAGTGAGTTCTTCAGAATGGATCTGGCAGGGTCCGGGAGTGAACTTTTCCACGGCTGAAGTCCCCTGCATTTTGTCATCAATTTCTCCTCGACTCCCAACAAACAACCTTGGTCCGATCTTTATGATCCGAGCCGGCCGATCCGACACGGCGGTAATTGTGGGGCATCGGGCCCGAACATCGGCCCTGGCCCCGTGCGGGTCGCGAACCCGAAATCCGGGGAAAGTGTTTGAGGTGGGCCCATGCCGGGCCGCTGTTTAGGCAGCTAGCTTACATCCGGTTTACTTATTGGGATGGGGTTGCCCTTGGCCAGGCTGGTGGATGTTTCGGCCATGTGTACAAACTGTAAGACGGAGTGTCACCGATTCATGTCGCTCCGCGCCCGTGGTTGAGGTTTGCTTTATTTATGTACATGGCACAAAAGGTTGTCGCCTAATGCTAAGATGCGATCCCAACCCCAAAAGTATATACAAAGTTAGGTACCCAGACGGGGAAGAACCGGCCTCAATGAATTCATAACCATAACATGGCAAAGGAAGAGATGTCCGTTGTTTTCTTCTGCTCCCTCTTAACGACCTCGGCACAATCTACCGCCAATTTGGGGCCGCGGGGACGGGGACGGGGACGGGGACGGGTCCGACTGTTCCGACTCGTCCGACTGTTGCGCGCTCTGGCCCTGGTAAAGCGGCGGCCCGGGAATCGGCCATTCGCTGTCATTGCTGTCGTGAACCGAGAAGCCGAACAACTGGGAGTCGCTCGTGCTGTAAAGCTCAGACGCCGGAACCCCAGAGCCAGACAGGTCATCGGTGCCGTCTCCCGTGACTTCGATGTTGCCGCACTGCATGTAGAACTCGGGTTCGTTGATATGGGCCCGGTGGAGCGCGATGATCTCGTTGCGGATCACGTACTTGCCCGGCGCGATCGAGCTCGGGATGGTGGCCTCGTTGATGCCTCCGTTCTCGCGCAGCACGTCCGTCGCCCAGATGCCCTGGGTGTTGGACGGTCCCGAGACCAGGCCGGACTCGGCGATCTTAGTCCAGCGCAAGGAGGTCTTGTCAACGCTGGCGCAGTCGCCGTTGCAGGGCGCAATGTAGGTCATGACCGGTCCGCGGTGCGATTCCGCCCACCCGTTGGGGTTGATGACCTTGTCGTCAGAGGTCCAGAACATCGCGGCGGTGCCGCCAGCTGCGATGGTGCCGTAGTTGCTGGAAGGCTCAGCATCGCGACGGCAGATGAAGTCGGGCGAGGTAATCTCCAGCTCAGGGCCCTCATCCGGTGTGCTGAAGCTCCAGCTGATGGCGTTCGGGTCGGGAGAAGGGTTCCAGCGGCTGAAGCCCTCGTAGTCGACACCGTCTAGGGTGAAGGTATTGATGTAGCCATGGGCAGCCACCCGAGTTGCGAGAAGGGCCGCTGCCAGAGAAAGTTGGCGAGCCATGGTGCGAGATTGGTACGATATGCACAAAGAAAGAATGGAAGACGGGATGTTCCGCGGGGTTTGTAGAGCGAATGTTTAGTTGAGTTGGGAAATGGAGAGATCGAGGGTCTGATGATTCGTCTACTTATACATCTCTGGAACAGAACTCGGCCAACGCTACGGTCTACGAAGTCGATCCAGTTTGGCCAGACTTGCTAAGGCTTCCGACGGCATGTTAGAGACCTTCGTCGGAACTTTCAAGGCAGCAACCTGTCAACCTCCCACGAGTCGGGCCGTCACACTCGATACGGCCATGTAATGGTCTTCCAGGTCGGTCGTCTGGCGTTTAACGTGACCGAGACGCAGGGGTTGTGGAGCCGCCGACGCCTTGGCTTGTTTGACGGTCGATTATGGTTGAATAACAGGGGCCGAAAAGATGCCGACCTGCCCCTAAGAAAGGGTTTGTTTCAAGACTGCGGGTCGACTCGGACTTCATCATCGCTCAAATGGGGAAATTCTCCGCCCCCCTTTACAAGAGCAACCCCATTTCTCAACGTGCTTGACATCCCATTCGTCGCTAGCCCGCTGCAAGGCTTCATACTGTGAAGAAATTCGACTTCAGCAACCAGTACATGACCCTCCCACAACTGCATCAAAGTTCCTTCATTTTGGCAGCGTAGACCCTACGCAACTATTAAGTCGGGGCAACGTTGCGACAACTCGCATGATTGTCTCGCGTGTGCTCGATCCTCTTCGGCTTGTTCTGTTTCTAGAATTTTAGTTTGCTTCTCTCGGAAACACTGCCGAACTGGGCGTTCACCCCGTCATGGCTACATCTGAAAGTTCCTCTTGACGTACTTGTACACCTTAAAATCCCCACGTCCCCAACCCTCTCCACAATGCCCTTGAGCCCCTTAAACAACCCTCCAACCTTTCCAGCCCAACCCAATCGCCCCCTCCTCCACACCTCATCCTCTGCGCGGACCCGCCAACTCTGCGTGTCCTGATCTCCTTTGCCCTAGATCGCAACAGTACCATTCCCCTCATGCGCTTAACATAGCTGCTCTGCTGGAGGTGCAAATGCGCCATTGGTCGCCTCTGGTAGTGCAGCCGGGCGCGGGCGGCCGGGGATGATAGCGAGGGGGGTTGGGAGGACCTTTTCGTTTTGGCGGCCTTGGTGGGGGTGGGGAGTTCGCCGTGGTTCTTTTTCTCTTTCTTTTTTGTCAAAGATACTGTGGGAACTTGGTAAGTAATGGGTGATCCGGGAGGGGTTGGTTGGGAGGTGTAGCGAGGGGAGGTTGACTTACAACGTCGTTGTAGCTGAGGCAGACGTAGCAGTGCGCTGACAAGTACCACTGGCCATCAGCAACACCAAATTCGCCGTGATCATGGGGTCGGATCCTGGTCATACCCTGCTTCCACGTTGGTAGCTGCCAGCTCACCATCAATACGCAGGTCAGGATCCAGCTCACCTAGAACATGACCACCGCCCTCGTGAGGTTGGCTACTTCTCTGTGGACAACAACGAAGTTCAGTACCTATCCATGGCGGCTATCGCGAAGAGGAGGACAGCAACGGTCACACCGAAACATCCAACACCCGCCCCAGTTTCCGCGCCGTACTGTCCTCACACGAGAATGCATGCTCATCATCACAGAGTCTGCCTCCGCAATGTTGACCTAGATCTGAACCGTGCTTTCGGGCCTGAGACTGCCATGTTCGCCTCTCGGAACCTTAGAATTTTGGCTAGGTAGGTACTTAAGCTTTGGACTGGTGACCTTTGGGCCGAATCTTACGTGCGGTTTCCGTCATGTGCATTAGCGCTCCAATTTGCGGAAAGAAAGGTGGCATTCGGCTTGCTTCACGTAACGTTCACACAGAAGGGCCATTTTCTGATCGCGGACGAAATGCATTGTGCAGAAGCTGATCTGGAGCATTCTACCTCCATGCTTGGTGAGCCAGCTTATAACCCCGAATAACCGTATGAAGAGGGGTTGGGATCCTGAAGTCGAAAAGGTATCTCCATTGCGGATGCGTGGAACATGTTTCAGAGGAGTTGATAAGTGTAAACGGTGTAGCGTAGGCGACTCTTTCCGGCCTCCGTCGCCGGCGGCGTTTAGGGTCGTTAAGGGGGCGACCCCGGTCCGAGAATGCGAGCCTTCTGCTGTGTCGTCCAAACGTTTTCGGGCGCGAAATTGGGCTGCACACCGATTTGTACTTTTTGAAGGCCGGAAGAATGGAGCACTGCAGGAAGGGAGAAAACCACGAAGCTTCAAACCCCTGTCAATCCCCATACCACATATACCTACCGCATGTTTACATAGTTTAGAAAGTCTAGCCTCATAATTAGAGTTTAGTTATACCACCTCATTGATAATGCGGGCAATGCGCGTCGAGGTATACATGGAAGTTGAGCTGATCCCTTTGTTAAGAAACCTTGAAACTTTGAAGTGAAAGGAGAGACATGCATCAACAGAGAGCACTCGAGTCCACCATACGGTAGTAAATTTATATTCTATAACTAATTAGATGAATTAAAACATGTACAAGTAATAGGCATCTGACGTGGCCGAAACACCTTTCTGTTTCTTGTTCCCCTTTTCATCCTTCTAAAAATTAGAAAGTGGTGAGGCGTCCAGGTGTTTGCATCCCCACACCGGGAACACGTCGGGCTCGACGAGCCAAGATATGTTTCAAACTGGAAAAGTGCCTACCTAACCTTAAATAGCCTGGCGTTGATGTGCGGAGTGGGTTCCCTCACGTTTCACATCGAACCCCAGCTGGTGTCTTGTCTGTACCGATTAGGGGTCGGCCCCTCCGAGAACTTTTCCCTCGCAACAACATTGACCGGCAAGGCCGGCGTGGCAGGCCGGCGAGACTGGTCAGGAAAAAGACGACAGAAACGCTTTGACGATCGCCGTGCATCAGGATGCTACCCTGGCGGCCACCAATTTGGCACAGATTGCATTGCTGGCGGCCGCCCAACCACGCATCGGATCGACAGCCACACAATGCTCACTGCATGAAACTAGACCTTTTGTGGTTGAACCGGAGTTCACCGGGTATCCAACTCAGCCCGGTTTGTCGGTGCCTCGCGACCTCGCTCAGGAGTGATGTTTGAGGTCACGATAACTCATTAACTGAGCTGAACCAGCTGGGAGTCCGTGAGGCAACAGGTCGCGGATTGCCAAATGAACACGAGCTGCGGCGACGGCATTGAGAGCAGTGCATGCGGCTGGGGATCTCGATTGTATTGGCAGGGGTATAATGAACCCTGACGCCTATCTTGACGGTTATATCCAACTTCATTCTCGGCTTTGATGCGACCTTGAAGACTTGGACGGACAGAGACCAAGGTTGCCCACGCCCACGCCCACGCCCACTCCCTTCCCCGCCGAGGAGTTTCGAAAACTCTGAGACACAATGGAGGACGAGAAGAAGGATCATGTTATCTTGACGCCCAGGATGGAGTCCGCCGTCGCCGGAGCCGCAAGGAAATACCCCATGAAACAACACTGGAAATGCCTCGCAGCATGCACGCTCATGTCGCTCTGCCCCTTCCAATATGGTCTCGACTTTGGCTTAATCGGCGGCTTCCAGGCTATGGTTGGGTTTCTTAGAGTATGTCACTCTCTTCGCTTGAATCGTAACACGCAAAACTAAACTCGGTCCCCGTCACAGATCTTTGGCTACTACGATGCCAACGTTCCCGGCGGGTGGAATCTATCGACGGAGCGGCAGCAGCTCATCTCCTCGCTTTTGACCCTCGGCGCGTTCCTCAGCTCCTCTATGGCTGGGCCTGTTGCCGGCGTCATGTCCCGCAAGACAACGGTGTGGACCGCCAGCGTGCTGTGCATCGTGTCGAACATTATAATGATGGCGACAACCAACATTGGAGCCCTTTATGCGGGTCGTTTGTTACTCGGCATCGCCAACGGCATGTTCATGACCTTCTCGCAGTTGTACATTCAGGTAAGGAACCCCACACCCGCCGGCCGGTTTCCGGTTTGCGTTTACCCACCAGTCGCTAACAGCCAGGAGGAATGTTCTCCTGCTCGTTACCGCGGTTTGATGATATCATCTTTCCAAGTCTGGACCACCGTCGGCACGCTTGTCGGTACAGTCGTCGACAACTTCACCGCTAAAATTGACGGCCGCGATGCCTACATGATCCCACTTGGCTTGATCTACATCGTCCCCATTGTCCTGTCCCTGGGTTTACTGTTTGTGCCCGAGTCGCCTCGATGGCTAGCCCAGCATGGTCACCTGGACAAGGCGCGGAAAGCGTTGCGTTGGCATCGTCCGGGATCAGATATCGAGGTCGATCAGGAGATGCGGAATATCCAAGCAGCGTTGGAGAGCGATATGGCGAGAGAAAAGAGTGTTACGTTCTGGGATATGTTCCGCCATCCGGTTGACCGGCGGCGGACGATTCTTGCTACCGGTGCGCTGGCTCTACAGGGTTCGTCCGGGGCAATGTACATGATCGGTAAGTACCTCGTATTCTTGGCCTTGGAGGAGTTCCTAGTTATGCGTGTTGCAATGCTGATCATGTGCAGCATTTGGCACGTACTTCTTCCAGATGGCTGGGATCGGCAACCCCTTTGGGAATTCGTGTATCCTCATCGCGGCGGGGGTTGTCGCCATTCTCGTCAACAGTGCTCTCGTCACCCACTTTGGCCGTCGCCGCGTCTTCCTTGTGCCGGGTCTCATTCTGTGTGGTATTGCCCAGCTCCTCACCGCCGTCGTCTATCAGGTGAACCCTGGTGCAAAGTCCACTGGACAGGCGGTCGTTGCCCTGGCAATTATCTACATCCTCGGATACAATGTCTGTACATCTCTGTCACATCTTAGTCGCTTACCACTAACCACTTTCCAGGCCATGGTGGCGCCCTATGCGTGGATATCGGGCGGCGAGCTCCCCTCACAGCGCCTCCGTAGCTTTACCTTCGGTTTCGCAACCGCTGTCGGGTTCCTTTTGGCGTGGTTGACAACCTTCACCGCGCCGTACTTTATCAACCCAGAGTCTCTGAACTGGGGTCCAAAATATGGCTACATCTGGGCACCTTCGTGTTGGATCTCTGCGTAAGTCACTTGGGAGACTAGCGCTGTATCGCTCTTACGATGGCTAACTGTTGCTCTTGCAGCCTCTGGGTATTTTTCTTCCTTCCAGAAGTCAAGGATAGAACCTTGGAAGAGATTGACGAAATGGTTTGTTTTCCCCACTCCTGGAGTTCAGGTTGCAGCCACCTAACAAAGGACTTTAGTTCGACGCTCGACTTCACGCAAGACAGTTTCGCAAATACGTCTGCCATGGCCGGAATGGGGAAAGTAATGACGCAAGTTCTGAACTAGAGGACAAAAATGACCCAGAGGCTATGCACAAGGAGGTTGTGAGAACTTAACGGGAGAAAATCTGGGTGGCTGTACGGGGGGTAGTAACTTGGGCAACGGGTAAGGGGTTAGTATACATGATTATTATCAGCTTGTAAATCCAAACGTAAGAATCCGCTCCTTGTCCGTCTCTACCATGAAGTACGATGGTGACACCCGCGTACGATGCGGCGACGCTGTGTAGCCCGCCGCTCGGCGGTCCATCCATGGCATAATTATCTCGGAGATTAGGTAGCAGGGGCCGATCTCCTGAACCTTGTTCTGAACCACCCAACGGGTTGTCCCACTTCGGTTGTTGTTTCACATTCACTCGATGAACGTGGGTTCGGTGAACCAACACAATGGGATTCTTAATTTTAATCCCTATTGTACATATATTGCGAGAGCTTTGCTGAGCCTCCCGGGCGTGGGTCTTCCCGAGGCGATCGTGTCAGTCCCATTGCGAGACGCGGCGCTGTTGCTCGAGGGCCGACCTGTCGAGTCGAGATCACAATGAACGGGATAACTCACATTGATTTGTGACTCCCAGCACTGCCGAACATCACAGTGCTTGCAGTAAGAGAAGGGAGTTGCCAAGCAATGCGGCTGGGTAGTACAAGCCCCTGGACCTGTGTGACGCAAAAGGCCGAACACGATCGGGGTCGGAACGGCAATATGCCGGCCGCGGCCATGGGATCCCGCTTGATAGGCCGGCGCTAGCATTCTGTCTGTTTAAAACGATTCGCCGCTTCCGACTGCCTTCCCGGACGTTCTCGGGCATACACATCGGCCCCATCTTGCTGCTTACGATTGGTGTAATATAAGTTACAAAGTACCCTTTTCAACTTGTCGTCGGCTATCCTTCCCAATACCGCAAGTTCATGATGGTTTTTGTTTATATGAAGTATGACTTGTTACCAAATGCAAAGGGGCACGCGAGCCACACAACAGACCTCCAGTCTCGGAACACCGAACCAAGTGGCCTAGGATGTAACCTGGCATCCCGGTTCCTCCACAGTCCACGACTGTTCGTCACATGCTTGTTCGTTACCCGCTGTTACCTCGCACCGTTCCGTCATGCCGAGGGCCGATGCGCCATTGTTGCCTCTCCATTCTTGCTCGCCCCCTGGCCGCTTGTTGGCAGATCGGACAGATCGGGTGGAAATTGCGCATGACACGAGTCTCGTATGGCGGGGATTTCCCTCACCAGAATCCAGCATCCAATATCTGGCCCTTGTCCCATGTTGATTCCCCCCCCTCATTATCGGCGATGGGCACCAGTCACACGACGGGCGGCAATCACCTTGCGCATCGGCCCGTTGTGGCGTTACGAGTTCGCTGCAACCCCCACCGGGCACTTCGGACGACCCCTCCACCCCTCTTCGTAACTGGTGATAAAGAAGTGGACATGCCGTTCATTCTCGGCGTGAATAGGCGCGGTCCTCGAGTGGGAGGCGCGCACTCGATCCGATCCAACTTTTCACGCAACGGCCACCCCCCAGTCTCTTAGTGAACATGGCCTTCCCGGACTCTGATCTGGCAACCCTGCCACTTCCCCACTACCTGAAGTGGCCGTTGATAGGCATTACCTTTGTATGCAACCCGCACCCCGCCCATGCTAATAATTCCGAGCTACTAACACCCCTCCTCTCATAGGGCGTCCTCCTCGCAACCTCATACGCCCTCTACAACCTCCTCCTGCACCCCCTCCGCACCGTCCCAGGCCCCAAGCTCTGGGCCGCCACCCAGATCCCCTACACCCTCGGCTGGCTCTCCGGGCGCCTCCCCTTCGCCATCCACGAGCTGCACGAGCGGTACGGCGACGTGGTGCGGGTCGGCCCCAACCGCCTCTCCTTCACCCACCCGGACGCCTTCCCCGCCGTGCGCGGCCACCGCAAGAGCGGCCAGGGCGAGCACGGCAAGGAGCCGGCCTTCTACGGCATCTCGCGCCAGAACATCCTGGGCGCCTCCCGCGCTGATCATGCGCGCTACCGCCGGATTCTCTCGCACGGGTTCTCGGCCAAGAGCATGCAGGACCAGCAGCCGCTGATTATGCGCTATGTGGAGCTGTTGATGCGCAGGCTGAGAGAGAAAACGCGAGGGGAGGGCGGGGTGCCGCGGGAGGCGGTGGTGGATCTGGCGGCGTGGTTCAATTTTGCCACGTTTGATGTGATCGGCGACCTCGCGTTTGGAGAGCCGTTTGGGTGTCTGGAGGAATCCAGCTATCATCCATGGGTGGGGCTTATTCTGGAAGGTGTAGCACAGTTTGGGATGATGACTGCCATTAATTGGTACTTTCCAGGCCTGTTGGGGTTCGTCAAGAGCTTCACTCCCGGGCGGTATATCGGTGTCCACATAGACATGCAGGCCCAGTACGCGCGGAAGCGGATCACGGACAGACTGGCGCTGGACACGGACCGGGCAGATTTCGTCCAGGCTATGACGGCCGCCAAGTCGGAGGATGGCACGATCCTGAGCATGGAAGAGATGACATCCAATGCGAGGATGTTGGTGCTCGCTGGGAGTGAGACCACAGCCACGGCGCTTTCTGGGGCGGTCTACTTCTTGGCAACGCACCCCGAGGTGCAGAGGCGGTTGGCGGAAGAGGTTCGGTCGAGCTTCGCCACGGAAGAGGAAATAGACCTCCTCGCTGTCAACAACGCGAAGCTGAAATACATGCTGGCCGTCTTGGACGAATCGATGAGGATGTTCCCGCCCGTGCCGAACTCGCTCCCGAGGGTGTGCACGGGAGGGGATGTGATCTGCGGTTACCAGGTCCCTGAGGGCGTACGTATTACCTTCTTTCTTGTGGTCGACTAGACCTCGGGTGGCTAACATTACTCCAGACAGGGCTTGACCTCGTGCCCTGGGCCATGAGCTACAGCCATAGGAACTTTACCAAACCCAACGAATTTCTCCCTGAGCGATGGCTAGAGGAAGACGGGCGTATACGGCAACAGTTCGACAAACGGAGACACAGCGCTTTCCAACCATTTTCGGTCGGGCCACGCAACTGCATCGGAAAAAAGTGTGTTGACAGTCCCCAGAATTGACATTTCCTGGTTTTATGCTAATGCTTTCCGCAACACACAGCTTGGCTTACGTTGAAATGAGGGTCATCTTGGCCAGGTTGATCTGGAACTACGACCTTGTTCTTGGAGATGAGATGTCAGAACGGTTCCTTGACTGCAAATGCTTTAATCTTTGGATGAAAAAGCCCTTGAACGTCCGCTTAACGCCGGCGAGGGGATAATCTCCCCTTGTGGTCCCTTCTTGTCTGGAGACACAATTCAAAGTCGTGCAGGGAGAATACGATCGTTTGACTTTAGTGCCAGGGGTGTCGACTCCCGGGCTGTACCCCGTCGAAGATGGCGACTCCATAAAGTCTGACTGGGAGAGTCACTAACACCAACACCATCCACCCAGTTACCTAGGCCCAAGTTGACGAGGCGGCCAAGCTCGGTTGATCCATCTGCTTTGATTCCGTGTTTCTCAGCATCGCAGAGGATCCTGTCAAAGTACTCGCCTACTGCTGAGAGGTGAAAGATGCGGGCGATTGCGCAGTGGATAGCAAGCAGCCGTGTGGAGGGTGAGTCGATGGTATAGTTCTCGGCAAGGTGGAGTGTCCGAGTAATGGGAAGGCTTAGGTCTCGGATGAGTTTACGTGGAAGGATGTTCTAATTGTATAGGTGTGTGGTTGCTGGTCAGCGTCGCCGGGGGCGAAATAGACGTTGAAGTTGATAAAGTGTGGCGGAAGACTGCAATTGAGAGAGCCCAGTGAGAGTTTGCGAGGTCTCCTGTGTTAATCCGATCGTCTGTGTCGCCAGCGCTGCCGTCCATTTGGTTATCGGCACTACGGCCACGGCTACGGCTGCGGTCACTACGGGCTGCACTGCCGCTGGGTCGCCGATGATAGGCACGTTAGGTATGTGGTGCCACTACGGGACGTAGAGCCGGACCTCGGGGTGTTGGCACTAGCAGCGGGGCTCGCGGCGCCTAACGGGGCCCTAGTAAGGGTGTTGGTGCCAGAAGATGTGCTGGAAGAGGCACTGCGGGCGCGCTGAGCAAGGCGGCTCGAAGAGCGGGTGGTTATACGTTCTTTCGGCTGCGCTGGAGTTGGGTTCCGGCGTACCTTCGAGGTAGCGGTAACAGCGGGAGCTGGCAGAGGGGAAGCCGCTCTCTCGCTCAACCAGTTCACCGGTAACGGAACACTGCTTCTAGGCTGCTTGTCACGGTTGGTACCAGGCACACCCAGCTCGATTGTACCGGCAGGCGATAAAGCCGGCACAGGCGAAGGGGCACGGGGTGCGGCCGACGATGTAGCGAAGGGCGGTGCAGTCAGTCGTATAGCCGGTGCAGGCAAGGGGTTGATGGATCCGGTCGGTAGAGTGCAGGGCGCATTCGACGACACACTTCAGGGCGGTGCAGTCAGTGATTCAGCCGGCGGCGTATGGGTGCCAGTGTAGTTCCGATGTGCGGAGCAACCAGCGAAAGCCAAATATCGTTGGACCGCCAGGTTTCGCCTAGTAGTAGATGGCAGAGTATTGAGGCGCACCGAACTGCTGGGGAGCGGGCTGCTGGGGGGCGGCAGGCTGCTGTACGTGTGTTGTGGCGAGTTACCAGGCGACATCGGCGATGTTGAACTCTCGAATCACAAAAGGGTTGCCAGACCCAGACGAAGCGGCAGTGGGGCGGGCGGCAGACGCTCTAGGTGGGGCCGGCTCTGGGCGGCCCGGGAAACGCGGCACTGTCCCGAATTGGCTAACAAGCGCACCACTTGGAGAAACCGGGGGCGATTCCTGAACATTCAGTGTCGGGGAGGGGATTGAATCGTCTTTCGAATCGGCGAATCCCGTTCAGACTGGTCGGACCACTCTTCAGCTCGTCGACATGGCCCTCAACATCGCTTTCTTCACCAGAAGGCGGCGGAGAGTTCGTGATAACATGCTCACGAAGGACCTGGGCGGTTGGCTGCTCCACGACGGCTTGTTGCTCCTCAATGTTGGAGCTGTCGCTGGTGATCCACGCGAAATGGTGCATCTCGATTCTGGAGAAGCCACTATGTAAATGCAGAGAGGGACTCGGAAGACCCTGTTTGCGATCACCCGCTGATTGTAGTCGATCTCCTATTCACCCTTGGGCATCTTTGGTTTCCAGCAGAGAGGAAATTTGAGCCATGGCAGAAGGGTGTTACGTCTCGAGAGTTTGAAGCTGAGGTATAACAGAACTTCAAGTGTCACGTCTTGAGGGATGCTAGACCAAATTCAAGTAACGAAAAGCCATGGAGGCTTCATGTCCGATAAGTTCCAAACTAAGTCCTGCTACTGGATCTCCATTAATCAATACTCCTTCCCATTTATTGTTTTGTAAAAATGGGGAAAGAGACAAGATACTACAGGGAGAGTAGTAAATATAAGAGGTCATATACATTTGGTTCTACTCGAAATATTGCAGGATTCTGAATGCCGGATAGCAAGCTAACTACAGGTAGTGTTGAACCACCAATTCATGCTCTTTCTGATTCAATTTATTGCGAAACTAGAGGCAAGCCATAAACACCACAAGTTGGGTGCACGCCACCAACGTGAAAAAGTAGGGTGTATAAGGAGGTCCTCCCTCCCCTCAAACTCTTCCTCAAACTCTTCCTCCCACTCTTTTTCCAAACTCTTCTTCGAAAACCCAACCGCGGCCTACCTGCACCGCCGTCGCGCCGCCAACCGCCACCGTCCGCCGTCGACGCCGTCGACGCCGTCAATCGTCGCCACGACCGACCGCTGGCAACCGTCGTTAGAATAAACCGTCGCTACAACGTAGTATCGTCGCTTCAACGATCGACCAACACTGCGTTCAATATTACCATGGCCTCCAAGCGCGAGCAGCCAGGCAGTTCCAACAAGGAGACGACGCCAGAAGATGCATTGGCGAAGCTCGACAAGATGGCCATTATGAGGGATGAAAATGGGGCCATCAAACGATTCTTGGCGTACCATCACCTCCACGATGGAGAACTGAGTACCATCAATCTCGAACAAGCCAGGGTTATACTCGGCGAGCTTGGTATGTCGCGCTGGTCCGAGTTCTCTTGCAAAGGACTTCATAGTTGAACGACGACTAATCATGCATCCTAGCGCGCTCCGACCAGCCAATTCCGTCGAATCACGCATTCTACAAGCTCTGCATGAAAGCCGTCAAGGAGATCGAAGCGTGGCGAGGTCGTCACCCCAACTTCAACATGGCCATCGCTCAGAATAAAATGCCATGGATCCCAACATCGATCAGCCTATCGGCACTCCGATACTTGGACCCGAAATATGCGGGCTTTCCCCCAAAAGTGGACGCCGCATTCAAGAAGGCGAAACTCAGCGAATTTCCGGCGGTTGGAGGTCGATCGAATTGGTGGAACAATGCAGCGTTGGACAACGAGAAATGGCGGGACGATAACCTAGTAGCGAAAAGCTCGAAGCCCCCGGTCCCTGGGTTTAGGGTCAAAGAGCTTCTCCGCCTTACGATCTCGAGAACGATCTTTGCCCGGTGTCGATTGGTACCTCCCTCGCTGAGGAGGCATCATCGTCCTCCACCTCAGACGATACCTAGTAGCGACGCCGAAAATGAGGAGGATGAGTCGAAACCCAAGAAGCGTCGCAAGACGGGTCACCCGACACCCTTCAACAACTTTCTCGGGACGGAGGATGAGGCCGCGTCGACAGACCGACAGAAATTCCTCAACGCTATAGACAGATACCAAAAGGCCTCCAAAAAGGAGGACGAGGCCCTGCAACGCCTCGCCGATGCCCGACAAACCGCCGCCGCCGCCACAAAGGAGAGGAACGAGGCGGTGAGCAACGCATTGGAGGTTATGGTGGAGATGCAACTCGGGGCCGACTTGAGACGCCGTAATTTAGCGGTCCGCGTAGGTGACATGGAGGATGCATCCGCGGATGGTAACGGCGAGGGTGGGTCAGCCTATTAATGGTTGAGCCTTCGGCCGATGGATTGCTTTTATTTTTGCTCATCTTTTCACTCAATATGGGTTGATGCATTGGTTTGACGGGGACCTGGTCCCGTCCATTTTATTCTTCGACATCATCATCATCTTTTATTCTTCGACATCATCATCATCACGTTGACTTCATTAGTTTCAATCGGACACTATACCATGGGACCGACACTATCCCATAGGATGAAAATGTACCGTCCGTCCTAACCTTTACTGTCCGTCCGAATTATACTGTCCGTCCGAACCTGTACTATCCGTCCCAAGTTATACCGTCCATCTCAAGCTGAGGCATCTCATCTCTAGATGATTTTAGCCTCCACACATCAACAGCTCACGCTTATCGTGGTGCCGTAACTACCAGGGACAAACATATACGGGTTGCCACTTGTATAGGCCGGTTAATTCGGAAACGCAACCAAGAAAGTACAATTAGTGGCCCGTCACGGTGTGAATCCCATTATTTTTGGTGAACATTAAAATTTCTGTCTACCCAAGAACCCAAACGCCATTGCGATGCTGGATATCCGCGAAGTTTACAAGGAACCGCCCATAAAGTACCAAATCAAAACGTATATACAAGGCAATCGGCGACTACAATATTTCGCTGATCTTCTTTTCCACTTTGGGTTCCGATCCATCCTCGCTGCTGCAATAACTCCTGTGCTTCTTGAACCCGCTCTCCAGGCGATGCCCCTCTTGGGATTCGGCTCCGGGCCGTTGTTCCTCGATCTCGATGTGGTCGTCATCGAGGGGGTCCTCCGAGATCATTTTGGGGTTAAAGGCGAAGGCCCCCTTGGGTACGAAGGTGGCTGCGAAGACGAGCAGCGAGATGACCGACATCTGGACGCCCGCGGTAAACACCAGCCCGCTGTGGACGCCGCCGCCCTCCATGCCGCCCGACCTGTTGTAGACGCCGTCGAGGTAGCGGCCCAGCAGCGTGCCCGCGACGGCGTAGGTGACGATGTAGAAGGAGTAGAGGAAGGCCATGACGGCGCCGAGGGCCGAGACGTTCTTGTTCTGCGACTCGAGGCGCGATAATGAAGCCTGGATGTAAGCGGCGAGCGAGATGTCACCCGACGCCCAGCCGTACGAGATCGGGGCGAACGTGGCGGCGACGATCCATGCCTGCCCGACCTGGTCTGCGGGCGGATACCAGAAAGGGATGTACCAAACGATCAGCAGCATTATAGCATCCAACCGCAGCCAAGGCATGGGCGTCTGGACGGCGTCGGTAAACAGCAGCACCGAGAAAGCACCAAAGAGTTCGCCCAAATTGGAACCGCCCACCATGATTTGTGCCCAGGCCGAGTTTCCGAGGTACCGGCGCGCCACTTGCGGTGCGATGCCGTTCTCGATGTACCGGTGGGCGTAGAGAGCGACCGAGTAGCCCGGTACCAGCCAAATAAACTTACGGGACGTTAGGAGGATTTTGGCGCCTAGTAGTATTGATTCGCCGAAGAGGTAGAGGCCGCTAAAGGCCGCTTTCCAATACGATGGTTTCTCGTGAGCACGTAGGACCGTTGGTTTCGCGCGACGGAAGTTGAGCTCGCTGATGAAGAACCAGGCGATGGCGCTAATGGTAAAGCAGATCGGGGTGATAATAAAGGCCATGTTGTTGCCGAGCTGGGGGATGATGGCCAGACCGGTCGTGAAGGCGCCGGCAGTGCCCGAGATTTCGTAAAAGATGTGGACCTGACCAAGGTCAGTGTGAGGGGTGCTAGAAGGGGCACAATGAGGGGGGGCATACAAGGGAATCCATCTTCTTGAGCTTCTGAATATTCCCCCCAACGATATCGCGCGGGATGACTCTTCGGATGAGCTCGACCATGCCATACACGATGCCGCACACGGAGTATACCGGGATCATGACGTCGGTATTGTATCTGAGGGATGGTCAGCGGCTGCCCATATGTAGTTGGATCGGGCGGTGCACGAACGTTCCGTAGTAGGGCCACTCATGGTCGGGGTGGTTGGTGCGGTCTGGTATGTGTTGTCAGTGATGCCGCCGAGAAGCCCATCGCGTGCTGGAGTGACTTACAAGCCGCCGGCATGAAGGTGCCGCCAGTGGCCGCATCGATGATGAGCAAGAGAGCCGAACAGAGGCCGAAAATAAGAATGGCACATGAGAGTACATTCTTGGTGGGGTATCTTTTGACCTGCATCACGCTGTCAGAGCGGTGTTCGTGCCGGTTGGTGGGCGAAGACCTGATCCCCATACCAGTGGCCCGATAAGGATTGACCCAATGCATTGGAAGGCCTGGTTGAGGCCGGTAAGGAGGCCGACCCGCTCGAAGGTCCGGCTAGGTGTCCCGTTGTGGATGGCTTCATAGTCGTATCTGTTGCTGGCGAGGGCGATGATGGACCCGTTGAAGGCTTCAAGGCCAAACTTGTACACCATAATCCCCGCAATGTATATGGCGATGTTGCGGCGCTCCTGCGGCGTGAAAGTCTGCAGACTTGCCGCCAGATTGGAAAAGTGTCCCATGTTGACGCTGGGACGGCATCAAGGCCGTGGAGGAAGGGACGGGGCGACTGGACAAAGGAAGGGTTCAAGGGCCCGGAGCCGGCGTGGGGTGCCTCGTGCGATATACATCTTCGGCGTCCAGGCACGTGTGGACTTTGTCTTTCGATGTGGCGACCCAACAACCGGGGCTTATCCCAACCATCGGCTCGGTCAGGGCTCCCACGGGTCCTGCAGGGACAGCCAAGCGGCCGCGATGGGGGTGTCGCTAAACCCGGTCAGCCCTGCTCCCCGTGTGTGGGGGTTGCGACCTCAATGGCAGCCACAACGCCGTGTCTCGCTGTGATGGCACATGGCATGGTTTGCATCGCGGCTCCTCGTCTCGACTTTGGCAATTGCCGTGTCGAGCGTCTCTCGTCGTTAATGAAGATCTTATGTGCAGGACATGGCGAATCCCAAAGGATGCCGAATCATTGTTGAGAGTCGGGCGCACTCGCGAGGCGTGATGGTAGTATTCCGTCTGCATGGCCTCGTCCCCTCACATCAGAGGTTGAGTTCGGTCGAGATGCCGGTTTCAGCTCGGTTGGCGGGTGCTGATTTGCGGTTCGGCTGCGAACTCAATCGCGAACCAAATTCGGGACCGTCCCACTCATTCTCGAATATCAGAGCCGGGGGTCTCCCGTCGAGAGCCAGACAATCGAGCACGTGGTCTTGGCATCGAATGCCATTAATGCACACTCACAGCCCGTTGGTGGCCATGGAAGCAGACCGAGGAAGTGTGTGAGCAGAGACGAGACGGTGTCTGCATCTGGTTGGCGCCCACATATAGTGCCTCGATGGTGTGTCACGACGCGGCGCGGTTCGGGTCGTTCAATAGGATTCGAGACATGTCTTTCTGGGGTTTTGGATGAAAGAGGAGAGAGAGCCTGACGAGCCTGTGAGAGAGCGCATTTCGCAAGTCGATGATCATGGCGTGTGCATCGTCTGTACTGTGCGAACCCACAACTCCGTATTGCTGCCCCGAGCAAGTGCAAAATCCGTCTCGCTACCAGAACTTGAAGTCAGCGTCGGGCCTTTGCCCACACGCGGCAAGGCAGATAGTTATCAAGATCTGGCTGTTTTCGTATTGCCACTTTGGTGTTGTGGATGCATTGCTAGTGTTGGTTGCATTATTGGTTTGGGAGCCTTCCACATCCTCGCACAGTATATCGACCCAATTCATACATGGCTAGCCCGATTTCTGGACCCAACAACCAGGCGGCGAATGAGGAAGCTGCAACAGCGCACGACTTCCTCCCGCCTCTTGCTCGAAGAAACCGCGACTTGAAGGACCACTCAATTCGCCCTGATTCATCGACCGAGACCCCCACCTTCCGCTATCACAAGTTGATGTTCCACAATCGCTTTTCTTGGAACATCGAATGCAATGCACATCCATCAACGCCACCCCCGGCAGCGCAGGGCCAAGACCACATATGCGCTGCATGGAACGCAGCGTTCCAACGCACTGGGTTTTGGAGTTCACGGAAGAGGGATGGCGCCGATGGGGGAGGGTGCGCCGGGCGAAACTTAACTGATGCAACGAAAGACCCGAACATCCAATTTCCAGAAGTCTTCTCACAAGGCCCTTTTGGTGGTGTTCGGCTGTTGGCATCCTCCAATGTGACCCGGCACTCCAGGTACGCTTCCATCCCATCGAGCCATCCTCCCATGAGCCCATGAGTCCCATTCCACTATTACTCCCCCACTGGCAGTCAGTTTCCCCTGCTTCTTTTCCCCAGCTTGCATCCCTTCCCTCGTGGCCCCGTGGCCCCGTGGCGCCTGTAAATTCCCGCTGCACCTCTTTTATCCCACCTGCCGTTTGTGAATAGCTGCTGCTGCATCGACGCACCACCGTTGACAGTAATCTACTATTAGCCAGTAACCGCCCCTCCGGTATCCCATCCTGGAGATGGCCGCCAACGCTGAAGACCTCTTCATCCGACCCCTCAGGGACGTGGTCGCGGCCGGGAATGTCGCTGCCACGAACGCCCCTCAGCAGAGCCCCGGGTCCGCCGACCATGTCGATCCCATGTCAAGGGCCGCACAGGCCCTCATTCGGGAAGGAGAGCGGGCGCTGAACAAGGTGCAGCTAGTTTGGCGTGACCAGGTTAGCAGGTATGGCGATGCCTTCCGCGACCTCATGGTGCAGCAAGGTACGGAATACCAGTCAGTTGCGGCTGCCAGGTCTGCTGCTGACCCCATTTACTAGCCTCCATCGAGAAGAGGCGGCTGCAGCTCGAGGATCTCCTCTGGGACTTCGACGACTTTACGCACCCGGATGAGTTTGATCAAGCAAAATATGCAGCCCTACAGGCCGCCACCAAAGCCTTTGCTCTTGACGTTGTCGAAACGGCAAAACGGTTAAAGCTCGAGACAACAACGCCGGCGATCCCACCTGGGGGGTTCCCTCCCTTGCCTCCCCTCCCAAGTCGGCCGGAGGGACGGTCTGGCCATAGTTCTCGCCCGTCTTCTACCCGTTCTATCCGCCCACGAGCCCAGTCCAGAGCGGGAGCCGCCCAGGACGAGGGCAATAACCATGTCCATTACGAGAGCAGCGAGCCCATGCCCCACGGCCCCCGGCTAGGCACGCGGTCGTCCTCCGGCTCGGTGTATCGGCGAGACAGCGTGGAAGCAGATGTGCGAACTGCAACAACAAACCGGCATGCTCGGAGCCAATCCGCTGCCGCACATGGGCCATATCAGCCCCAGGACGCGTTCACACCTCCCGCTTCACCTGGCATTGGCCCGGTAGGGTCACATCCCCATGACCTCGCCCTCAATACCTCGGTGCGGCCGAGGACATTCGACTCGGCCCCCAGCCCAAGCACCACCACTCACACCCGGACCTCGGTCATGTCAAATACCAGCTCATCTTCGTCCGCCCTACTCGGGAGTCTGGACTCCCTCGTCATTGCTGAGGATTCCAGTGAGCAGGGCTGGCCGGCTTCCCGCGAGTCGGCAATCACCATGACCAACACTCGCTCGTCGGAAAACAGCAGCGTAGAGGAGCCAGGTTTGATCGGACTAGATGCGTTGCTCAAGGAATCAGGCTTCAATAGCGAACGCCGCAAATCGAGGCCGGCGAGCCCTCGCATCCCAGATTGCGACATACGCCAAGACAGCACATATTACAAACTGAGGGGGCTCTGTAAGGGCGCAACCAAGTTCAGAAAGGACGGTAACTGGGACAGTATCAAGCTCATCAACGAGGATGAGTACGGTGCCGGGGCGACCGGGGCCGGAGATATGATGCGCGCGTCTGACGGGATCACAGTCCCGTTCCAGTACGAAACAGCCAAGGTTGGAGCATGCGGAGACTGCGGGTATGCCCATGATCTCGATGAGGTGGAGCTTGACATGACCGGTAATGGTAAGAAAGCCGGCCACAGACCAGCCTGGACGTTCAAGTATTTTGTTAGCTAACCCGCCGTCACAGCCGAAGCGGTTCGATCTTCTGAATCCGGCGCCCGTTACCGACTCCGGCTCCTCTTCAAATCCCACCTCCGACAGGGCAACAGCACAGAAACGTTGTACGCCTGTTTGTGGTGTGTCCAAGCAGGCACCACGACCAGGGAGGGGGACGCAACTGTATTCCGGTCGGCGAAAGATCTCCTGCGTCACCTCACGCGCCACCCGCAACCACTCCCCATAATATCCGGCATCTTCACATGTTACGGACCGCTTCCGAACTCGGTCCCGCAAGATTTCGACCTGCACCTACCTGAGACCCCGGCCCCCGTGCCCATGCCGGAGAACGTGGCGAGGCTGGCGACGGCAGTGGCGGTAAAGGACCACTACCGCCGCCCCGGGCGCGGGAAGCTCGACAAACCGCCCAAGTATGACGCGGACATGCTCGAGTTTATGGAGGGCGCGCGCATTGTAGGGATCATCTTTCCGGAGAAATGGGGAGGAAAATACTGTCTAGGGCGCCATGACGGCGAGTTCGGGGCGTTCCCGGCGAAGGTCATCGAGCTCCGAGAGCCCCAGGAGACGGAGATTCCGATCGGCGGAGAGAACGGGATGAGTGCGACGGCGAGGTGGAAGTGGCAGCCGCCAGCTACAGCGGGGTCGCCGTGGCTTTCGTTTGGGAAGGGAGAGGTGATTACAAACGTGCAATGTGAGTATCCGCTTTCCGCTGCATCTTCGAGGAGCCCGGGTTTCTAACAGCGCCTAGGCCTCTACGCGGACTATTGGTGTTGGTCTGGCACGAACAGCAAGGGGAAGACAGGCGTTTTTCCACAGTCATATATCGACCTGCAAACTCTCCGCGGGCAGGAGCCTAAGCCAGAGAAGAAGAGCAGGGGGCGCAGTTTCTTCGGATCTCGGTCTAAGGGGGAGTCATCGTCAAAAGCTCATAGAAACTCGGTTGCGTCGTAGAATAGATACCCAAGAGCCAGCCAGGGGCGTTTTTATTTGGTAAAGCCAAAGATCAAGATTACCAAACTTTCAAGACACATAGAAGCGACTTTCATGATCAAGCGCGCTTAGACCACTCAAACTCAAGCCTTCCACTCCGCCAATAGGTTCTCCAGCAGCTCGTGCCTCTTCACCGCAGTGTTAAACGTCGGGTAGTGTTCCTTCGCTCCCGTGCCCTTGACTTCGGCAAGGCCCTCGTACAGCGCACCGATACCCCTGCCCGCGTAATCAATGTCATTCTGCCACTGTTCCCAATTCCACTCCACCTTGTCGACCTCGTTCGTCTCGAAGTTGTGGATTTCGATGACGCGTGGCACCGTCTCGTCGCTGAGCTGCAAGAATGCCGTTTCCGGCGATATGATTCTGATCTCGCCCTTCTCCCCGTTGATGGTCCAATTCAGTGCCGGTTCGCCGGGAAAGCCCTGGCCGCGGCGGAGACGGTAATGTAGGGTCGCGTTCTTTTGCGTTATGGATGACTCGTCCCACTTTCCCGCCAAATGAATCAAATCTGGCACTTCAGAGCGTACCGTCCTGATGACTTTCCCAGTCGCATCCTTGATCGGGACATCCGGCCGCTGGAGATGGAAATCCCCCTTGGCCGAGCCCAGCTCTCCGATGGCGCCCTGGACCACCTCAAGCACTGCTTCCAGTTAGCACAACTCATACCCCGACAACCTCCCTGCCCTCATGCAACTCACGATGCGCAAACCCAATCGTATAGATGTTCCCCCCCACGGCTCTTTCCGAGAAGTACTGCAACCCCTCCGGCATCGTCTCCCGATCATTCAACCCCCCAAACGCCCTCACCTCCGAGCTCAACACCTTCCCAATCCTCCCCTCCTCCAACAACGCCCTCAACTTCAGCGCCACCGCCGCCAACCCCCCCTGCAACCCGACCACAGTCCTCCCCCCGCCCACCCTCGCCGCCTCGGCCAGCTCCTTCGCATGCCTCACATCCTGCGCCAGCGGCCACTCCACAAACACATCCTTCCCCGCCTTCACGCTCGGCAGCACCGTCTCATAGTGCTTATCCACCCTCGTATTGCACACCACCAGATCGACGTCCGCATCCGCCGCCAGCGCCGCCGGGTCGCCGTACGCGCGCGTGTCGGGCGGCAGGTCGTACGCCTCGATGGCGGCGCGGGCCGCGGCCTCGCTCGAGTTGAGGAGGGCTACGATCTGGTACTTGGACTGGCCGGTGGGGGAGAGGAGATAGGGCAGGTGGGCGCGGGAGGCCCAGGCTGTTTTGGCGGCGGAGGAGAGGCCGATTATGGCGACGCGGATTGGGGTGGTGGGGGGGCCCATGGTGGGTGGTTTGAGGTGGTGATGTGTATTGTGGTGGGATAGGGGTGCTGTGGTGGTGTGTAACGGCGCGGTTTGGGGCTCTGGTCAAGTTGGGTAGGTACCGAGGGTTGTTGTGAGAAGCTATTTGAAGATGAGCCTGATTTCTGTCTGTTATATAGATATCTTTTGCCAACCGACGGATTGTTGTTCCCATGCCATGTCTTTGTCGATCGTGGTATTAGAAATCGGGACTAGCGTCGGCTTTTGACGCCCAGGTCAGAACCTTACAAATCAACCCATTTGTCAGATGGTCTCGCAATCCCCGATACCATGACGTTATTATGGACCGTAGTGTAACAACGTTCGAACGACAATCAAGACAGATATGTGAAGACCTGCTGTTGTGATGTAAGGGGAGTCTGGGCGGCCGTTACACAAACTTGCAAAGTGTTGTGTCGTATACTAAAAGTACGAGCAACTGGTGCGTATTATAGAACACGGGCAAACGCCGACAATGGTCGGCGTTAGTCACCTGGGTATTTCTAGCTCCTAGATTAAACCGCATCCTTCTTCCCCTCGGGCTCTTGGGTCGTTCTTGGCAATGGAACGCCGACCCCTTTCCAGTACGTCCAACATGGCTCCCGATGGATCAGGTAATCCTTGCTCCTAATAGCGGAAGCTATGCCCACGAAGCCCGCAAAGGGCCAGATTCCACCCAACCGCCCCATCCACCCTTTGCTTCCCCGACCCTTCCTTGTTGCCTTGCCGACGTCAACATGCACTTTGTCATACAAGGTTGGCAGCGTCGTTGCTTCATACTTCTCAGGCCGTTGTACCAAGGCCGGTCGTACAACCCCCAGAACTCATCCTCCGTGTAATATGTGTGTGAGTACAACACCTTGCGGCCACCCAACTCGGTCAAGCTGCTCTCCAGCTCCCTGTTCTGCCGTACGAATGTCTCCACATTCTTCGACGCCGCCCCCCACAACCCGATATTGATCATTGGCTGCGGCGGTCCGTCCCCGTCCGGGCCACAGTACGAGGGATGGAAACTCGGCCGCTGAATGCCCTTCAGGGGGCAGAGCCAAAGTGGCCAAATGTCCAAGTGATCCGCCGTGTAATCGATGAATGCTTCCGCCGTGCTGTATGGTAAAGACAGGTCTTGGACCATCTGGCCGAACGACATGTTGGTTCCCTGCAAGGCCCGGTACAACATGCGTGTGTGCATGAAGTCATTGAGGAACCAGCGGGTGAGGCGGTTGAAGGGGATAACGGGGAAGTATGCAAACGCTTGCGCCCCGACCCAAAACCCACCTCGGTCGTAACGGAAGAGGTATTCGGCGAGTGGAATGTAGTCTGTCGGCGGGTCAACGTCAACTCGGCGGTCGTTCGGCTCGGGTTGGGAGTCGGCCTTTTTCTTGATGTGAAGGTAGAACCAAGGGTCCCATGAACCACTGAAAGTTTGGGGACTCGTGGAAGGAGGAAGTTCGTCGGTAAGCTTCCCCGTCATAACCACGCCAAGCACCTTGGAGAAGATGATACCGTCGACGTAGTCATTCGACGGATCCTCGGTTGCCCGCCGGACGGCTGCCAGGGTGTCTGCAACAGTGCTGTACCGGTGATATTCTAACTTGACGAAACGCCGTGCCGGAATAAGACTGAGCTCAAGTTTTGTGGCGATGCCCAGGGTCCCGGCAGTGCCGGCGGCGCCCCGGAAGAGGTCCGGATGCTCGGTAGGGGAGGCCCGGACCACATCTCCGGTGCCCAAGACCAGCTCCACAGCTCGGACAGTCTGGTCAAAGTAGCCATACCGGAACGAACTGCTCTCGCCAGCACTCCCGGCAAAGCCACCCCCCACTGTAATGCCGGGGAACTCCATCACAACTGGTGGCACCATGCCACGAGCCAACGTGGCTTGGACGAGCTTGTCCATAGGGACGTTTGGCTCAACCACGGCCGTTTTCGAAGCCTCATCAATCTCCAGGACGTTGTTGAGTGCGCTAATGTCGACTACCTTCGCGTCATGGGCTGGCCGAGTGGAATTCGTCGAACCATGGAAGACTCGAAACGGCTCACGGCGGGTGAAAAAGGCCCGCACGGCTGTGGCTATTTGGTTGACAGCAACCTCGTGGTGGTAAGGAGCCATTGCTGCGAGTTGCTGTAACTCCTCTCTGGAAATGCCCGGGGAAGACTTAGTTCGGGCTGCTTGGAAACGAGTGCTTCATGACCGATGATGTTTGGTGGAAACCAGCCATTACCTCCATTTTCACGGGTTGCACAAGACACTGGGCGGTTGGTCCCGTGCCACAAACACACCTTGTGAATGTCCATGTCTCAGCCCAACTCAACATGGTTCTGTATTGGGCGCCACTTTGGGCGCAGCGCGTAAATGGAACCAACCACTCTACAACCCCTGTGTTCGGCCCCCATCTGGGCCATCTCAGAGGACCACGAAACAGTCGTCACGCCGCTTCCCTCCCGTTCTGAAAAATGCCCCGTTTAAAATGTCGGGACCTGGCACTCGATTTTGTGTCATCTCAGCTACAAGCGCTACGGCGCATGCTGCTTGCGTTCTCTCCTCCTGGCCGCATCTCCTGGCAGTCCGTCCGTCCTCCTGGGTCCATATTCCGACAGCCGTTACCTGAACACAGAGCCTTGCGCTTCAAGACTCTTCCCCCCTCGGCCTAGACCGGGAAATTACGCCTCCAAACACCCCACGGTGGCACCTACAACTAACGCGAGCAAATTGCAGCAACGAGATCCGTGAGGCGGCAGATACGGTACCCTTGAAGAAAGCCTCGCCCGCCCGCTGCTTGGAATCGGGCTTGAGGTGTTGTTCTTCTTCCAAAATGCTCGCCACCCCGCCCGACGCCTTTTATTTGCTCTTTAAAGCTCGATGATTTGCGTCAGATAGATCTCAACGGCGCTTGGAACGAAGATCTGAAGCAGACATCGATAGTCCTAACCTGGGAGGCGACAGAAGAGATCCCAGCATTAGATTCACGGCACGTACCGTCATGGCCCCTGCGCAATCCTCGCAAGACATGGTATATGGCTGGGTCTCTTCACCGAATGTCCGCGGGACACGCGACATTCTCATCAGCAGCCTAAGTACGATATGGCTGTGCACCTGGACTTCGTTGTGCCTCAACATACCTCCAGAACATATCCGATTTCGACGGCACCGGTGGCTTCTCAACAAGTTTCGGTGGCAACTCTTTGCCATCTTCTTCCCCGAGGTCCTCGTGGCCACCGCCGCCGAACAGTGGCTATCCGCTCGGCAGTCCACTCGTACCTTCGCTCGACTCGGATATCCGCAGTGGACCATTCGGCATGCCTTCTTCGCCGACATGGGAGGCATCGTGGTCGCCCCACCCGACGCGGCCCCCTTTCCCGTCGATAGCCAACAAATCGCTTATTTGGTCGAACGCAAGTACCTCGAGCTTCCCGACCTCTCGACCGAGGACATCCGATCGATGAACAAGGCAGACGGCTTAGCTAGGCTGGTCACAATGGCACAAATGGCATGGTACTGCTTGTCCTGCACGGCAAGGGGGGCGTCGGGTCTCGGGTTTTGCACCCTCGAGGCCACAACACTCGCCTACATTCTCTGCACCACCCATACCTTCTTTTTTTGGTACTACAAACCGCTCGATCCGGAAGCTCAGCGGGTCTTCACAATGCGCACCAGCATTTTCGATATCTGTGGGGGTTCTGCTAAGGCCGTGCCGGATCTCATGCCGACGTACACGCACACGCCACTAGACTTCATCAAGCCCCCGCCAGACCCCAAGAGCCTAATCGCCCCTTTCTGGTTCGGCCTCTCCGCTGTTCTCCGGCCCTCGGGGGGGCGAGAAATGAAGAAGGCCAAGACAGAACCTAGAGTGCAGACGCTTGCAAACAGCAGGGTGCTCCCAGAAAACGGAATTAGCAACCCCTTAATGATTTAGACCCTCTTCTTTCAGCTCCTCTTCTTTGGCCTCCACATTGGCTTCGCGTGGGTTTCCTCTTTCCCCTCCGACACGGAGTGGTTTCTTTGGATGGGATCCACGGCCGTTGACTTCGGCCTCATCGCCATTTACCTCCTCGCCATCCCTGTAGGGACATATTTGACACCTTGGCTTGGGCGAGTCCTATTCGGAGTCGAAGCGACGCATTTCCTAGAGGTGGCCTCCGCGCTCCCCCCATGGGCCAAGCCTTTGGTCCATGCGCCGTTTGTTTTGGGATATATTGTCGCGAGAGTAGCTGTGCTGGTCGAGTCGGTCCTCAGCCTACGGGCACTCCCAGAGTCTGTTTACCAAGATGTCAACTGGACAAGTTTCTTGCCTCACGTTTGATCGCATCATAACTCGCGTGGGACGAACAGCGTTATATTGGGCATTGTTTATCCACGCATGGATGAATCATTCAGCGCGGCAAATTGCTGGACATGGTTGCCCGCGTTGGACTTGATGTCTTCCGACCTATCTCGGATTAGATGTGTGCACTGGCCTTCAGGCACGGTGGCTAAGTAGAGGCTAATGTCATGCTGGGGTTGGCTTTCCTTATTGTTTCTTATACCTTGGACGGACGGTCACTGTGGTACCTTGGAAAAGGGAGCCAAAGGTGTTTCTCGGCCAAACTAAGATTGTTGACTCCGGCCCGGAGGAATGCGTCGACCCCAGCTGTAGCGTGGATACGGGAAGCAAGGGCAAACAGTTGAGGTTTTGTTGGAGAACCACAATTCGGGTCTAGCTCATCAGCCCCCCCGGAACCGGTATGTACTTACATGGGTGCGCGTGCTTGACAAAGCCTGAGGTCAGCCTAAACAAATGATTAGAGTTCACCTATACTTCGGTAAGTAAGGACCCATCTGGGCGCGGCCCTGACCACTATTGTTGCAACACTTGACCGATAAGGCTCACACCACTCTTGTAATCCAGTATTCATAATAGCTAATGGCAAGCAACTGTACCTACCAGTATCCAAGATAACAAGGTGCGGTTTACTCAGCACCTCCGTTGGTTGTGGGGTACCGAGTCACAGCCGAGGGTGACTGATGAGGTGATCATTCATTGATCAGTAATCTGCTGTCTGGAACCGCGGTGTTGTGATCTCAACACCAAGGATCGCAGTCTGTAAAAAAGGCTCGGACTTGAGCCGCTTGCTGTTTGTCAGCGCCTCGCATGGAAACCTTCGATAGTAGGGCTCGGGGACGTAGTGAAGCTGGGACGAAAGAATTCACCAGCACCCACCCGGACGTATGTGTCCTCGTCCATGAACTTCAAGGAAATACATAAATACTTAGCGGTCCTCCCGCTTGGCCTTGACCTCAAGACAACTTAACAAGACCCAGAACCCCAACAGTCCTTTCAAAACTTCCAAGTCCACCCGCTTTACCCGTCTTTCAGCAGACATCTTGTCGTCCCTAGCCATCATGGGAGCTAAAGGAACTGTTCTTGTGACCGGAGCCAACGGCTACATTGCCGCGCGGACGGTTGAGGCGTTACTAAAGGCCGGGTACTCCGTCAGGGGCACCGTGAGATCGCTCTCGTCTGCCACCGAGGTAAAGCAAGCCCTTGCTGAGTACGGGGCCAAACTCGAGTTTGTCGAAGTGCCGGATATTACCCTCCCCAGTGCTTTTGACAAGGCGGTTAAAGGTGAGTTTACAGTCAACCATGACGCACCTGTCCACAATTAGGTACGGAGGTCTAACGCAAACTTAGGAGTCAACGCCATTGCGCATCTCGCATCACCCGTGTCCTTTGACTTTACGGACCCCGAGCCCGTTCTCCACAGCGCCATCAACGGCACGGTCCGCGTCCTCGAATCCGCAAAGAAGGAACCAAACATCAAGAATTTTGTTCTGATGTCCTCCGTCACGGCCATCTTCGAGCCGAAATCGGAGGACTACACTTTCACCGAAGCCGATTGGAACACGGCCGCCGAAAATGTTGTGGCCGAGCTTGGTAAAGCCACGCCTGGCCGGGTCATCTACACCGCGAGCAAGGTAGCAGCCGAGAGAGCCATGTGGAACTTTCGGGATGAGCACAAGCCGAGCTTCACTCTCACGGCGATAAACCCCTGGTTAGCCACCACATATCATCAACGTGTCTCACATGTGATTAACTCGCAATAGTTTCGTCACCGGTCCACCCCTGGTGGTTCCCGCATCGGCCGATAAGATCAGCATGTCGAACCGCCTTATCCCCGACGTATTCACTGGAAACGCCCTGGCACAGGCAGGCTTCCCCGGCTCCGACAGCTACGTCGACATCCGCGACGTGGCTCGTCTTGTCGTATTTGCTGTCGAGCATGGCGACAAGACCAACAACGAGCGGTTTCTGGCTGCGGCATATTACTCGCCGGCGCAGGCTGTGGCCGATATTCTCCGGAAGGAGTTCCCTGAAAGAGCCGGAACCATCGAGCAAGGGACCCCTGGTGAGGGCTATGCCCCCGATTACCGGTTCCCTAAGCAGGTGGTGTTTGATGGCACCAAAGCAGTTAGGGTCACTGGCCAGGACTACATTCCGTGGCGCCAGACCGTGTTGGATACGATCGAGAAGTTGCGGCCTGTTCTAGTGTAATTGTAAGAAGGGGTAGTAAGATACTGCCAATACTGGGCTAGGTATTGAATTCGATGTTCCTGATTCTGTTGCTACGATTAGGAATGTTTGTGTCTTCAACAACGGTCGTCCCTATGGTGCTTGTTGGGTTCTGGTTCCTGAGCTAGGCTAGGAGAGATGGTCCTGACACAGCCGAGACAGTACCATGCTGTTATTGACCGGACGTCTTTTGCAGTCGCTATCAACTTCGTACCACCTGGCGAAGAGCCTATTCGGAAAAGGCTCTGTCTGTGTCTGTCGAAATGTCGCATTTTATGGCATGGTACATACAAGCAGATGTCACAGGCAAGGGGGATGACGCAAGGAAAAAGGTCCATTAGAAGTTCTAGTTCGTCAAAACGGTGTCACGCTACACGTCAACTCACAGTACTTCGTAACCAGCCCTCATTCCCCATCCTCTCTGAGATCTCACCCTAGGCGCCGGGGTAACACACTTCTGCCCATTCCCTGAGCCCCTGGATGCCACATCAGCAATAGCCTACCCCATTGTACTAACCACGCCTAATTGAAGATGCAGTCGAGCGCACAGTCCCGGTCATCAAATCGTCGACATTCTTCGGAGACGCCAAGTGCCTCACCAAACGAAAAAGACAACCAGAACCAGACTGACACAAAAGCTGGAAAGCGGTAACACATCCATAACACTCAAACGTTCTTTGACACACTTTAACCGGATTAACGAACAGGGGTTGCGTCGACATCGTGTAGTTCCGGCGGAAACCGGCATCTTGAGGTCACACAGCCTGAGAGGTCGCGGGGGCAGCGGTGGCCATGGAGACAATCGGGATCGCTGCAGCTCAAACCCGACATGCAGGGAGTCTGGCGAGCCACGGCGCGCAGTGCTGCCTTCTGCACGGTACTCAGCTTTTCCTTGTGATTGTGCTGACACTCTCCAAAAGTGTCATGATAGTAACACTTGCCAAGGAGATGGAAACTGTTGCAGAGTTGGAGCGCCCTGAGGTTCTGAAAATCCTGCTGGGAATACCTGAGCGGGGGATCTACACGCTGTCCCCGCCTGTTCCGCAACACTCCGGACGGAGCGAGCACACTGGGTGGGCTAGAACCCCGCTGGGCAGCCGAGGATGGTGAGGGTGTGGAGGGGACTTTCGCAGCAGCTGACGCATAGTCTACGGGAGGAGTGGCGGGACGGGTGGTATAAAACGACACTCCCCGCTTTCCGTTGACAAGCTTGTGGCTTCTGAAGACGTTATCGAACGGGACAGTGCGGAATTTGTCCTTTATGTCGGCAAGTTCGCGGGCAAAAGGGGGCCCTTCGAGCAGGGTAATCCGTCCGCGCACTGCATGGTCCTCGGCATGCGGCCCAAGCAGGCGGGCATAGCCGTTGTCGGTCGTGCCGCCGAAGAGAATCCGCTGACAGTGGATGTTGGCTAAGCAGAACTGGAAATATGCTTGCAGAAGTCAGCAGGTACAAATGGTTGTCCTGTATGCATGGCGTGACTTACCGTTGACCTTCACATCCGCACATTCTTTACCATTACCGGCATCGATGTAGTCGCACAGTCGGTCACCCATGTTGAAACCGCGGACGAAGTCGTCAAATGTAGCCTCAGACAGAACATCCATCTCATTGTACGTCTTGGCCAGTCCTGCCACGTTCGCGTACACACGAACATGCACTTGGACGTGGTGGGCTGCGGTCGGAGTTGAGGACGTGAGCTCCTCTTGGACAGCTTGTTTGAGCAGGCTGGCCGTTCTCTTGCCGCCCTCTACACCCAGTTTAACGAGCTCATCTTTAAACTAGAACGGGTTAGTCAGAGTAGTGGCTCCTCCGCCACGCGGATGGGTGGAGTTACCGGCATAGAGTCACCATCAATCACAACACAAGCAAAGTCAAGTCTAGCCTGCGGATGTCAGTGTTCGTAGCAATAAAAGAGGGAGAGAAAGCCAATCCACCTTCTCAATCTGTAAGGCCTTAACCTCCATTTCGCGCTCCTCAAGACGATCACGAGTCAACTTGATCACATCTTTCTTGTCACGGAGCTCCAACTTGGCGTCCGACAGCTCGCTAGACAGATAATCGATGTGTGTAAACAGATCCTGGCTGCCAAGTTAGTAGGTGGCGTCGATTGGGGCCACGTGCGTTTGTCATACGGAGATCAGTGAATGTTTCCGGTCGTCTTGAGACTTGCAAGAATCCCAATCCGCCTTCAAACCCTCCATCTTCGCTCGGACGTCGGACATGTTTCCCTTATGCGTACGAAACTCCAAGGGGAAAGTGTTCAATAACAAACAACGCACCCTTAGGTAAGGCAATGGGGAGAAACAGAGGGGGACAATGGTGGGAGGAATGCAGATTCCATGTGCTATGTATATATTTCGATGCTGTAGGCCTCAGCTGCATTCGCTAGGCAGTGACTCACCTGCTTTGGGCAGAAGAGGTGGGTTACACCACATGCAGTTGGTCGAATTGCTGAGAAACAGGTCGCGATGCAGGCGCCATCAATGATCCTCGGCCAATAGAACAGTCTCTGTGTTCCTCGAGGCCTCGGAAGGCGGCGTGGCGAGGCCCTTGGGGCTGACTTAGCGGCTCGCCTGCATGGCGAGGCTGCACGAGTTGAACAGGCTGCTTCTTTGCTCACGGTTGGTTGAGATGACCGTCTGAGCCCCTGAGTGTGGGTACGCATGTGTTCTTCGCTGTGTTTGTCTTGCCGCAGCCAACCCCTCCGCTCCTCATGCCCTTCTCCAGTCGTGCGCTGACATGCCGTTTGCCGACCAGTCCCTGGTCGATCGGTGATAACTTGACTTCCACCGACATGTTGGCCCCTCACTCGAGGGAGATCCCTCTGCACGAGCGGCTACTAACTGCCACGCCTTTCGCACACCGGATAAGCTACACAAAATTACGAGAATGGTCCCTTTGGTGTCGCTAACCGCCAGGGATCAGGTCGGGAGGATGGGAAGGCAATGTGACTGGTTGAGTTTAGTCCAAGGCTTCGCCCCCTCTGGCCGAAAGCCATCGGCTGTGTGGGGCTCCTGCAGCATACAACAGTTGGTAGCCGTCGTTGGTTGAAACCGTGTGGAAGACTCCAAGCAGTAGAGCAGTACCTAGGCAGAATAATCTATTTCGATGAGCCGTTTAACCGACCGACCAGACCCTTGAGGCAGTACTAGGTTTGGCGCGCAGCGTACGGTTGACCAGTTGCTGCCTCCGTGGATATCCCATCCAAGTCTTGACCGCGTCTCACAGAGACACCGCCGCAGAGTGCCAGCCAGGTGTTTCATCTTTTACTTCTAGACCACCCCAATTCGCCTCCAAAAGAACGCACTCCCACCAACAGCCGCCGTGACCCCCGTGTACACAATCAAGCTCCCGTAACCGCTCCCGTAACCCCCCGTTGCCTGACCCAGCCACGAACGATCGCGGATCAACAAGTCGCTTAAGGGACCAGAAACCACATTTCCAATTCCCCTACCAGCACATAATAACCCAAAAAGTAAGGATGGGTCAATATATGCGTGGATGTGCTCTTCCGATTCCGCCGGACGCGCAATCTCCCGCATGATGCCTGGCCAGATAGAGGTGTAACAGCCAGCAAAGAGACCATAAGCCACACAAAACGCATACACCCCCGCCAACGTCGACGCTAACCCCCATAGCACCAGCGCTGCAACACTGGCCCCGACCCCTGACAACACAAGGCATGTTGTAACCCTCAGTCTGTCCGTCATCCAACCCATAACGACGGAACCCACGGCAGCGGCCACATTGACAAGCAGTACGGTCAAGGCCGACAGCATGGTGGACACGCCAAAAGCGGCACGGACGTAGGAGGGAAGGTAGACACCGGGCAAGAAGTACCCCGTCGCCTGAACAATGTTGGCAAACTGGTGTAACAGAAACCGTGTGGACAGGACACAACGCAGATTGGAGCGGTGCCCGGCCGTTGCCGCCGGCGGTATCGGCAGTCTAGGCCTGACTAGGAAGGACAGCGGGAAGGAGAGCAAGAACAGAACCACGGCCCAGACCCGCAGCGCCGTTCGGAAACCGTAAGTCGTCAGGAGGAACTCGAGCAGCAGCGGCAGGACAACCCCGCCGACACCGGCCGCGCTCCACATGATGCCGTAGGCCATGCCCTTGCGCCGGGAGAACCACTCGTCGATGTAAAGGATGCTGGGGCAATAGGCAAAGCACCCGCCGATGCCGAAAAGAACGCCCTGGGTGGCGATGAGCTGGGCAACTGTGGTGCACAACGAGCTCAGCGCCATGGTAAGGGAGGCGGAGACTAGCCCGGCGAGGGTGAACCAGCGCGCCCAACGCGGGCGTAGTCGGCAGAGGGCGATAACAAATGGCGTGGTAATGTACATGACACCCTGGGCATCAGTTAGAGTCTGTATGACGGGGACTGACGACTGTAAGTGAAAGGGGGGGCGGGCTTACTAGGGTGGTGGTGCCGACTACCGCGATATTGCCGTCGTCTTGGAAAGGGAGGTGAGAAGAGTAATAGTCCTGAAAGACTCCGAAGGAGAAACCGAAGCCTGGAAGTGACAGGTTGAAGTCGGGTAAGTCCACGTTGCGCCTATCCGTTATGAGAAAGCAAGAGGGTTCTTACCCCACACCAGTGCTTCCACGGCCCAGCATGCGGCAAGAAAGAGCCACGCATCCTTGCCTGTGTCCGTAGGAGGTAGCCTAAATTCATGAGGTGTTCCAGTATGAGTGTTGCTTCTATCAGGAATATTGATCCCTTGAACGACAGCTGCTGATCTGGTGGATACACGGTTCCGGTTACCTAGTTCAACGGCAGGGCAGCTCATGACGGCCTGGTGTTTGTGATTGGTAACGGAATGATGAATGGCGAGAAGTCGTGTGTGGTGTCTTGGAAAAAATTGGTGTCACGGCACGCAGCTCGAGCTCGAGGGCGGCAGTGCCGAAGTAGGTAGTTATTTAAGTTAAACAATCAGCTCGAAGTTTCACATACGACCATACCCATCCGCGGCTCGCGGTCCTGGGCATCTGGTTGCAGCGAATGGGAGGCTTGGCGAGGGGATTGACCGGGTTGACGCCCTGTTGGGCTGCGGCACAGCTAACGCGCAGATCTCCGCCCAACAAGCGAGGAAGTGGGTTTCAGGTTTGCTCCAATCTCCCTGCCACTTTGCCGCTGGTGTCTTCCTCCCGATCTCCTGCTCTCACCTCCACGCTGCCCATCTTGTCAGGATGGTCCTGCCATTTCACGCCCGGTCTCCCCCTCGCCTTGTTGTTACCGGCGTGGCCGCCTTCTTCTTCTTGCTCCTCCTCCTTGCATCCGGCCACACCGGCTCATACCTCCCAACATGGCCAGCAGCATGTGTGACAAACTCGTCCTCCAAAAACGCTATCCCGAACCAAGTTCACTATGTCTATGTCCTTGAGGATCCAACCAAGGACTTTTCCTTCCAGTTCAGCCGTAAGTTTATCGTAGCCTCGCCCGTCTTCATTCACCTTGTCGCACACCGACTGACCATCTGGCAAAGATTTTCTCTCCATGTACGCCGCCAACTACCACTGGCGCCCGCACACCATCTACTTGCACACCAACGTGCCGGCCGACAGCCCGACCATCGCCCGCGCCCACAGCGGGGCGGCCGGCAAATGGACGCGCCTGATCTTCACCCACTTCCCCAACCTGCGGCTACGTACCGTCCCCGTACCGACGCACGCCGACAACGGCGTCGAGCTGCACTACCTGGAGCACCGGTCCGACTTTGTGCGCGTCGCGGCCATGGCCGAGCTCGGCGGCGTGTACATCGACTTCGACGTGCACGCGCTGCGGGACATCCGGGTGCTCCGCGAGAGCGGCTTCCGCGGCGTGGCGGGCCGGCAGCCGGGCGGGGAGCTCAACAGCGGCACGTTCATGGCCGTCCAGGGCGCGAGGATGATGCAGCTGTGGAAGGAGAGGATGAATCAGGTGTACGACAAGGAGTGGACGACGCACAGCAACATCGCGCTGACGACGGTTGGGGAGAGGTTGGTGAGGGAGGAGGGCGAGGTATTGATCATGGACCAGGACGCGTTCGCGCCGGTGGGCTCGGGGGAACAGGACAATATGGTGCTCTTTGCGGTACGGGATGGGGCGGTGTCGAATCTGGAGGGCGTGGTGCAGGGCGATACATTAAGGACGTTTGATGAGACGTTTGACGAGCGCTGGGCACACCCAGAGAGATTCCCGAAGGGCGTGAGAGACTGGTCGACGACATATATGATACACGCCTTCTCGCCGCATCGGTTCCCGGAGCGCAAGATTCCTGGCTATGAGCACATCACGCCGCGCTATGTGCTGGAAAGGCAGAGCAATCTTGCAAGGGCGGTATATCCAGTCGCAAAGATGATGTATGAGCAGGGATTGATAGAGATTGACGACTCGTACTTGGGAATATAAGGGGGCAAAACTCTAGATAATTAGCGCAGGCCTGGGCGTCCTCTTCGTCCTCTATCTTGTCTTCTTCCGCGGTCGGCGGAACAAATCCGCAGGCGACTCGGACGGCATCACCACGGCCAGGGCTCACTGGCCCGCTGTCGTTTCGGTGTTCACATGGATCGCCATGTGGCTCTTCCTCGGCCTGTTCACCGCCCTGCGCGCGCGCATCATCGAGGTTGCCGGCGACTCGGACAAATCGAACGAGTGGGGTTTCGGTCAGATCATTGCCCTAGGGGCCTGGGTTCCCGTGATCCTTACATTTTTCCGTCTTCTGTTTTGTGAACTGTTCCACTCCTTAGAGACCGAGACCTGATCTAACTCATCCCGTGTCCAGTCGATATCAAGCAGGCATAGTAGGGTGTGAGGCAGTCACATTAACTTTATGGTTGGGTGATTACAGATTACCGGCTGGGGTCGGTTGACAACTCCATGTAAGATTTTTCTGTCGAGTGTGAGAATATGGGGATGAATCGGGTAGTGCCATGATTAGTTCATGTGGCTTGAAAAGGTGAGAGTTGTTCGGTGTGTCCATCATGACATGCAAATTCAAATCCCAAAAGATCCTTGCCAGGCTTTTTTTAACATGGCATCATAAACAGGTCAGAGACAAGAAAGCAATCATTACTCAAGTACCTATTCCTCATGCCCTAGTTGGAGATTGAGCGTCGTGACCAAGTCTCGGTTTTTATGTTCGAATAAGCCAAATGCGACATTAGACTACCAAGGCTTTGTCTTTTTTCCAATCCCGCATCGCGATGTCCAGCGTATATTTCATTTATACATTTATACCCCTCCTTCTTATCATGGATTTCGCGGCTTACCTCGTAGCTTGATCAGTTGTTCTGACGCCCCCTGCAACGATATAATAGGGATCGGTATTATGTACCCCGAAGTCCGCCACCAAGAGGAACAACAACGGGGCGTAGGTCCCCAGATGAAGACTCCACTAACTCTGATTGTAAAGACTTGGGCTGGGTTTGATAGGCTAAACTGGGTGCCGGGATACGGTTTGACGCGGGTCGGAGTGCACCAAGTCACACTCAGCAGCTAGTTAGAGGAGCAATTTACACCACCAATGCCGGCAAATGAGATCGACAGCATGTATTTGCCGGTGCACTACTTGTGGGCGCCGAGTAAGACCACAGCTCACTTAAAGCGTCCGTGGACCTGATAAGAAATCTAGACTTTCATCGTTCTGGGCCAGTCCTCGGCAACTGGGACCACTGACATCACAATGAACAAACTCCTTCTTGTGGCGGCTTCATGTTTGGTGTCCCTCACAACGGCTGGACCGTTTGAAGGGACCGGAAGCCAAAATGTTGCGCATGCACCAGTCCGGGATGGGCTCCGTTATGCCGTCTCTACCCACGCGATCCCGATGCGAAAACACGACGTAACGGCGTCGATGAGCCACCCGGCGATGCATCGACGCGCTAACCTGCCCGTCCCGCTCAAGAACATCTATGATGTTTACTACAGCATCGACCTCAAAGTCGGCAACCAGACCATCGCAGTCAGCGTCGACACAGGTTCCAGCGATACGTGGATGGTGCAGCAGCCATATGAATGTGTCTCCTTTTGGTTCGACCCAGCCGGGGTAAGTCATTACCGTCATCTTGTATTCAAACCTCGATTATGGTACTGATGCTGTTCGCCAAACGAAGGAACCAGACTGCGGCCTGGGAGTGGGCTTTAAGGGCAACCTTTCCGGCGGTCTTCTTCCCGACTTACCACCATTCTCCCGCTCCTATGTCGATGGCACCTTCGTGAGTGGCTTTTATGGCGTCGAGGATGTCTCGATTGGAGATATCACGGCACATAACCAGCGCCTTGCGCTGGTCAACTACACCTACTGGCACGGCGATGGGCAAACATCCGGCCTGTTAGGTCTAGCTTACCCTTACTTGACCAGTCTGGATGGAGCGGACCAGAACCAGCCGCCCTATTCACCCGTCTTCACTACGATGTGGGAAAGCCGAAGCATAGATCCGTTGTTTAGCATTGCGTTGTCTCGAAGCCAAGAGATTAGCGGCGGGACACAACAAGAGTCGTATCTTGCGCTTGGAGGGCTGCCACCAGTCGACGTCGATGAGAAGACTTGGGCAGGGACGCCAATTCACGGCATGCGCGCAGTTCCCCAGTGGGGGTTTGACACAGACGAGAAAGGAATGTACATCATCAAACCGGATGCGTTTGTGCTCGAAAAGGGGGGAGACGGCACGGACTCTGGAGAGGTGTTGGTTAAGAACACCACGCAAATCCCCATCCTAATCGACGCGGGAGCAACCCTCAGTTATTTGCCGAAAGGTACATACATCGGTCTCAAAACGGGTTTTAAGATCGCATTTATGCTGATACGATGAACAGGCCTGGTTAACGAACTCTATGCGGCTTTCGATCCGCCGGCGAAGTACATGAGCTCAGGGGGTCTTTTTTATGCCCTTTGCAACGCAACCGTGCCGAACTTTGGTGTCCAGATTGAGGAGTCAATCTTTTACATGGCGAAGGAGGATTTACTCCGGCAGACGGCCCGTGACCCAACGGGGGAGTGGTGCCGGATCGGTGTTACAGACACCGATTCACCTCCGCATGTGTTGGGTGTGAGTTTTCTGACAAATGTGGTCGCCGTGTTTGACGTCGGACAGTCGGAGATGAGATTCGCGACGAGGACAAAGTATTAGGAACAGCTTTGAGAGCATGATATTTCAGAAGGCTGCTGAATGTGTGAGAGGTGGGTCCTTCCTGGCCCACCTCACGTGCAGGGCAACCGCTCACATCCTCTCCCACGCAGCAGGGCTAGCCAGTTTTCCTCCCACACACACACATTCCACACACGTTTTCCCACGGACTCTACTATCGCGAGTCCCACAGAATGATAATTAGGGATTTGTTTGAGCGTTGGCTGCATTGAAAGGGATCAATATTTATTTACACCGTTGCCGGGACAACCGCCCCCCTGGACCCCGCCAGCCTTAACCGTCAGCCCCTCGTTGCAAAGTGTTGTGCAGGCAATGACGCAAACATTCCCCAGAATGTACATAACAATGGATCTGTCGCTTAAAGTTTAGACATTTTCTCTGCGTCTTACAAGGTCTGCCGAGTCGAAACGGGTCTTCTTAGTAGACGCAATACCTAGGTACCAGGTATTCACCCTTCATGCCCTTACAACCTACCAAGTACCAGGTACCTACCGCTCCCGAACCAATTGCGGCGGCCCACCACCGCCCCCATGAACCCCAATCACGACTGGAACCGAGGTGGGACCTGGAGCCCGCCAACGGACGCAGAGAAGCCGCTCTGCCCGTATAAGCCAGGCTTCACTGTTGACATCAAGGAGCATGTCCCTCCGCCGCCCTTCGGCACCGGGTACTACCCGGTTGGAGACTGGCCTTACGATAGAGTGACGGATGCCATGCTGCGGTCGATAACACAAACGGAACTCGTCATGACGAATCCCCCTCGAGAGTGTAAGCCCATGGCTTCTTCATTCGCCCCAGCACTGGCAAACCTCACCATCACCGAAGGAATCGCCATCAAAGACGGACGCGGTTCCCAGCTGGCACTCTGCAGGATTTCACCAAAGTCACCAGGCCAGCAACCGTTTTCGGCGGTGGCCAAGATTTTCGACCCGTTGTACTACTCTTTTCGAGACAAAGTCGCTCCGAGTAACCCAACCGACGTTACGTTTGATGCCGAGGTAGACTACTGCAGCGAGGCTGCGGCATACGAACATCTCCGTCGCGGTGGCCGGACTGGTTCTTTTGCTCCCAGCTATTACGGCTCCTGGACCTTCACCCTACCCATCCGCCATGAGGGTGTGGTCAGGCAGCGCCAAGTACGCATGGTCCTTATCGAACACATCAACGGGGTTTGTTTGCATGGGCTATGTTGGGACAAACAACTTGCTCTCAGATGCCATGAGTCATATCGTCTGGGAGTATTGGCCGCCATTTTGGACGCCTATGTCAAGCTGATGCACGCCGGAGTCGAGCAAATGGATTTGGCTCCTCGCAACGTGATACTGGCCCCAGGCCCCCAGGACACCTCGGCTCCCCAACCCATCCCGCGTGTTGTTATTATTGACTACGCTTGGGCGGTGGTGTATCACAGAGCGAAGGAAGAAGTGAAAAGTGCAAGCTGGCAAGCTGGGAAGTTTCCTCGGAATCCCATGGGCTACTTCTGGAACTACCCGCTAGATGACTTTGGTTACTGGATCCCTTCAGCTTGGGACGAGAATCGAAGGCGTAAACAGGAGTGGCTAATGAAGGAGTTCGGGGGTCGGGGAAAGCCCACTACGAAGTTGTGTGGAAGAAGCTTGACTTCGCTCCTCCACCGGTGCCTTGGGAGTGAAAAGGGTAGCTGGGGTCATTTTTGGTGAACAAGTTCTCAGCGGTACGGAAAAACGAGGAACTAAACAAAAGAGAAAAAAAAAAAGAATGATGGCGAAGAAAACCAAATGGAGTAAATAAAATGTGTGTAGGTGGCTTTCGTTTCGTTCCTGGCGTCGACGTTTAGCCGCCATCTGAGGTGCATACCTACAGGTAACAGCGTCGGCCCTCAAGAAGTACGCGAATTGCATGGCTCCAAACACGCTTGCCGAATGCCCAGGAACACAGTTAGCGTGTCGATTTGACCGCAGTGACCCCTTATAAATTGGATGAAACGCAAGATGATGCCGTCAAACGTTCGCTAGACCGTGCGATTTCTTCGGGCGCGAAATCAGGGGGTGAAATGCTTGGAACGTGTTCAGCGTCGCTGGGTTGACAAAGAGGACATTCGTCCTCTCGAAGCTCAACTGAGTCTTCTGGGCGTGCCTGCTCTTGCGATTCCTTGCCACTGCTCAGGTCATACTCGTAGTCGTCCTCCTAGGTGACGTCGGATAAGGGATCCCTCTCGAAGAAATCATCAAGTTCGGCCTTCTCATCAACCTCAAGCCCTATCGGGGGTCCCAAAACAGATACTGGTTCCCGTGAGAGGACCTGTCGGATCTGTGTCCTTATATACCCCCTACCACCACCTACAACAAGCCCAGAGCCATCATCCTCGCTTCCCGACTCGTCGGACTGTGAAGAATGGTCCGGGCTAGATATCGTGTCTGTGACCACGTTCGGACCTGGTGGCGTCAGAGTTCTCGGGAACCAAGGTGACGTTGCCAGCGTCACCGTCGTCCTCACCCGGCTCCCTTAAACGTGGAGAACGGCTAGGAGCTGACACCTCGGAGTTAGGGCTTGAGCCGGAGTCGTTCTCCAAGTCGGATTAACCATGCGTCCGTGTGGCCATCATCCCACCGCGCCTTGGTTTGTGTGCTTGGGCTTGATACCTTACTCGACGATGCCGAGGGGGGGAGATTTGGTGTCGCACCCCTGTCGGTGTACTTGGGTCTGCGGGGCTACTAGTATGGTGCGTGTCCTCCAAGCAGATCTCGCCGTCTTAGTCAGAGTCCTCATCATCGGCGTCTTCGTAGTCAGCGTCGTGCACATGGTCCTTAGCGATATTGACCCAGGACCAGGTTTCAGCGGCAATCCTCTGCTTTCGTCGCCTGGGCTTTCGGAGTAGTGTTGCCAATGACCCTGTCCGTCCACGGCGCCGGGTCACTCGATAGTGCTCATGCCTATGGACTAACGCGAGGCCATAGGCTGGTCCGGTTGGGGGGAGCTGGCATGTTCTGGGCAAAAAAGGAAAACCAACAATGGAAACATCGAGTCCTCGACTATAAGAACAAATTGAAAGCCATCTTGGAACTAGGTTTACTGTATTTACTTTGTTTTCCTTCCATTCCTTTTATTTGAATTTCTTTTCTTTTGACTTTTTCTTATGATTCCTTTGCTTTTCGATTTGCTTTTATTTGTTCTTTTTGCTTGATTTCTTGCTTTGTTTTCGAGTTTGGCTTTTGTTGGCCAGAGGGTAGCTTGCCAAGCCCCTGTAATGTTCGATGGCGTTTCTGGGATAGGGATACCCAGAGTGAGGGTGAAGCCCTCCATCTCTGAAGCCGAGGGAGTTGTTTATGTGATGGCATCCTTGCCGCCCTGATGGCATTGGGATCGAGTGTTGACCATGGTCGAAGATCGCGCCGCCGTCGAGATGGGTATTGAAGGGTGGTCGAGGGATTGCTTTCGACCAATGTGAGGCATCTGGATTGTGTGCGTGCGGACAAAAAGCCCTATCTGGGACTTGTGCGTTCAAGGTTTGCCCTGTACTGCCCATGGGGAAGGGGCGATGGCCGGGGCTTGTTGTATGTTGTATCTCGATGTGGACTGTCGAGGCGGAAGGAGCTACCCGCGATCTCCTTGTCGGCCATTCAGGGGAGCGGTCCTCCGAGAGCAACCCACCACTCCACCGGAACTGCCAGGAGGTGGGCGTCTATGGATATCAAAATGAAGCAGCCATCGTGCCTTGATCATCGATGTTCAGATTACCGGGATAGAAACGGATTCGATCCACCGAGGAGAAAGCGGCCCCAACCGATGGAGTCCGGGCGTTGGCGCCGCCCCTCACGTGCTCCATTGAAACCGAGGTGAGTATGCAATTGAGTTAAAGTGTTCAAGGTTAGCAATTATAAACAGGAGACGTCCAAAATCAACTCACCTAGTTACCCTTCCTGTTTCGGGCGATCATCCTCCTCCAGATAAGGAGTGATGGGGCCGCGTTTTGAGGGCCGAGGAAGTGCGCCGCATGAAGAAGGACATGCTGACCTGGCTGAACAGCGCCGTTAACAGTGATGGGGTTGAAAAGGGGTGGGTCGCCGCGAAAAAAAATAAAAAGGGGGTGGGAAACGGTAGAGAACTAAGAAAAGAAAAGGGGGGGGGAGACAAGAAGTAAGCCGCCCATAGTGGACACCCCTTTTTCACTTCCGTATAACCAAGGTATTTTCACCTTCCAACGGCAGCATATAGGATGAGCTCAAGATGTTCTCGGAGCGTGACTAGGACAGCGCGGGAATGGTGTTTATAGCGTGCGGGAACTTACATGTATTTTGGTGGGTTTTAATCGCTGCTCGAACTGCTGCAGTATCATGAAAGATAAAGAGCAAGTTAACTGCTATTAATACACCAATTCTTGCTCTTTCCCATTTATTATTCTGCCAAAATAGGAGAAGCAACAGAATATCACTGGAAGTTTGCCGGCGAGCTTCCGCCAGGCTTACGAAAAGGTAGGGTTGGAATTCTATATAAGGAGGTCCTCCCCCCTTCCAACTCTTCCCCCAATTCTTTTTCCAACTCTTCTTACAACCCTCCCACCACCACGCTCCCACGCCGCCGCCACCAAACACCACCGACCATCGCCGCTGCCACCACCAGACACCATCGATCATCGCCACCACCCACCATCGCCGCCTCGACGATCCTGCACCATCGACGTAGATAGTATCGAATATCTAAGACCGTAAGCGGCCCCATCTTCAGTTATATAGTGGACTACGATTAACGATTCAGGGTACCATGCCTTCTAAGTCTGCCAATGCCGATGGGGAGACGACACCTGCCAACGCCATGACGAAGCTGGAGAAGATGATCTGAAAAGATGGAAGCGGATCGATCAAGCGATTTATCGCGTATCACCACAACCATGAGCGACAACTGGATGTCAGCGTCGAGAAGGCTACCGCAATACTGGGCGAGCTTGGTATGTCGAGTTGGTCCTCTCACAAGGGACTTTCGTGATCGAACGGCGACTAATTCCGACTCCTAGCCCGGTCTCGTCAGGTTCAACCATCAAGCCATTCACTGTGGAAGACGTGCGCAAAATCCGCAAAAGAGATCAAGAGCTGGAAAGGGGACCACCGAAGTTTCAACGACGCCCGGATTCATAGGAAGATGCCATATATCCCCACGCAAGTGGGCATCGCCGCCCTTCGGTACCTCGACCCGAAGACCCCCTCCCTCTCACGCCACATCGTCCGTCTATTTAAAAGGGTCAAACTCCGCTGGTATGTGTTGGGTGGCCGCCAGAGGACGTGGTGGGCCGATACACGACTCGACGACGACCAATGGAGGAATAACAACCTCATGGAAGGCCCAAGGTTGCCCGACCTAAAGTTCAACGTCGCGGAGATGCTTCGGTTAACGAAGATTGTGCTCGACAACGACCTTTGCCCACTATTGATCACACATTACACGATCGAAACATCAGAGTCGAAGTCGGAGTCCACCACAACCTCCTCGCCCGACGACGACGACCGTCCTAACGACCACGGTCGCAGAGGCCGCCACTCATTGAACGACGCGAACGAGGCCGTGCTTCGTGCAACCAACGATAGGGACGAGGCAATTCTTACCGCCATTGGTGCTGCAACGAACGCCATGGAACAGATTGAACAGACGTTCAAGACCACGAAGGATGCTATGCTTGGTGCGGCCGATCGACTGCAGCAACGACGCTGAGCTTGAGTTCAATCAGACCATCGTGATAAGATGGCGGTTGGTCTACCGGTGGACGTTGAGGCCGGGGGTCGTGTTGGTGGTGGATCTGCGGGAGTTGATGGCGAGGGAGGATCTGCCTGATCATTGAACCCCCGGCCGACTCATTGCTTTCAGTTTCGCTCCCATTACTTTCTTGATTTCACGATATATTGGTTGACGCACTGGGTTGACGGTGGACTGGTTGGGTGCAGCATTTCTCCCGTATTGCATTCTTCGACACGATTATGGCGTTGACTCTAGTTTATTTCTTACCTACCTATCGGGCGGTCGGGATGGAGGAGTTAATCCCGGGAATTTCCCTCATATGGAACTTTTCAGCATGATTATGGCGTTCAATTTAGTCCTCGCGTATTGGGCATGGTTTAGGGCGGCCGCACTTGATCTCCAGTCATAGCCCAGCGATAATGCTCCAGGGAATCGCCGGTTGAGTCTTGCGTTATTTCATGAATTAGATGCATACTTCAATCATAAATCGTGAATCAGGAACGTGGGCAGCAACCCAATGATTCACTCGTGGTGCTTGCATGTTAACTCGATGCCCCCGGGGCCACGACCGCGCCTTCGCCCCCTCTCGATGCCAAGCACCACGCAGGGTAGATTTCTCATGCCGGGGGCTCCTTCATCTTTATGCCCGAGGGTGGTACATTGGAGAGCAATGCGGATCACGATGGCTTGAACCTTGTGTCAACACATTATGCCCAGGGGCGTAATGGATACATCGATGGGCGCCGATCAGATTGTCGATGGGATCGAACCATAGCGTGCCCGGTTCTGATGCCTATCTTCCCAAGTAGAGGGGGGAAATTACCAACGTCAACGTCGCTAGTTTACTTCAAGTCAATGCCTCGGGGGTGATAGTGGTTCCGACCGAGCGATGGCTTCGGGGAAGATTCCGGGAGACTTGCGTTCCGCTGTGATAGGTTGACCTGGATTGAGCAGGGGGGGGGGGGGGGGGGGGCGGGGCAAAAAGAAACAAAAGAAAAGGGACTGAACAAAAGAGATAAAAGAAAAAAGCCGAACTCTAAAAAAAGCCAGAAATTTAGCAAAAAAGAAAGCAAAAAAAGGAAAAGAACGAAACAAAATATGTAGATAAAAGATAAAAAGTCGAACTCGAATTGAAATGAGGAATCCATTACAAAGAAGCAAAGTGAAGTCACTAAACGAAAGAGAAAAGAAAAAGAATGATGACGAAGACAAGTAAATGGAGTAAAGACGGTCTTTTTTATGTTTTTAGATGGCTTTCGTTTTGTTTCTGGCGTCGACGCTTGGCCGACATGATCGGACTTGGAGTCCAGGTTTTGTGTGCACGGTCCACGGGGTGCCTACCTAAATCACCAACGACAAGACATCGAAGAAATGGAAGTCATCACTGGAGACATTCTTGTCGAACATGCATGCCGTTTTGGGACTATTATTTGCATGTGTGCGCCCTGGGTTAAGGGGAGGGCGCAGGGTAGGGTTGGGGTTATGTGTGGGAAGTCACGTGCGCAATCCCGCATATCAAACCACGACAGCAAGAGTGTCGTCAACTTGTCATGGCATGAGACTCATGGATATTGGTGATTTGGAATTGTTTGGTTATCCTCAAGACTCCGTAGCATGGAGCTAAACCCCGATGCTCACACTCTCTCACCCAAACTACGATCCCCTCTCGTTACCACTGAACCCCCCAGGGGCCACAACCTCCCAGGAGACTCCTTTCCTGCCCCATTGCAGATCCTCCTCTCAATCCTGCACCCGCTTAGGGGGCGGCAACGACGGCACCAGTGCCGTACTGGATATTGAAGACCGTATCGGGCAGGCGAGGGCCCGAAGTCCCGAGAGCATGCGGGCACGAGGGCTGGTTGCTCACGGCGAGGTTGACCGAACAGGATTCGTCGAAACCGTAGTGACACGGGGGGTCCTGGATGTTGAACAGGCGGTAGTTGCGGGCGACCCAGCTGTTCGGCTTGCCCAGGCAGCTGGCAACGTAGTTCATGCTGTTGGAAGCCGAGAGGGGGAGGCCGCCGGCCTTGAGGTGCTTCACACAGTTGCTAGCGGGTACGGTTTCGACATTCATTGAAACGGCGCCGCCAGTGATCGGATGAGCTGTGGCGCTCTGGCCCGAGACGAGGAAGTTGTAGGCGTCGTACGAGATGTCGTAGGCACCGCCGGACTGGTCGATGCGGAGGAGATCCACGGAGCGGCCGGCGTGGGAGACACGGACGCAGATGTTGTCGCAGTCGATCGCCATGGGCCAGTAGGCAACCCGGTTGGTGTTGATCTTGCAGCCGAGGACGCCGACTGAGGAGGAGTACATGTCGTGGGGGGTGATGCCACGCGACTCGCCGACGACGAAGGCCGCCAGAAGGCCAGTTATGAGGGCTAAAGGAGCAAACATTCTTGCGTCGTTATGGATAGAGGTGTCAGATCAATGGATGTTGTTATGAAAAGAGTGCCTAAGCCTGTGTGACTTGGTTGAGAATGGTGATGAAGAGGACGGGGAAAGGAAAGCTGGAATCTGGCAACATCGGCGGGAATTTATAGCCATCGAGGGGCCACCCTCCATCCTAACTTCTCTTGTTGAGCCTTTTCAGTTGCGCGCTGTTTAAGAACCTTGTTCAGTCTCTGAACTGGTATCAACAGGCTCTTACCGGGCACAATACTTAGATTCAGCAGTAGCGTGAGCAAGTTAGTTTGGACGGAGTGATTCGCGCGCCTGGAACGCGGAAATGTTGTGTTTGGAACCCCTGCACAAAGAACTGTCTGGTGTGTTCATTCCGCACCATAGTACTCGGGCGTAGGCCACTTTGGAAGGTGTGAATGCACTGTGTGATGAACAGGTCTATGGCGGAAGTGTGCCGCCCTACACAGTACTAATTTCTGCAGGTCAAACAGCAGTTCTTGCCTTTATTTCTGAGCGGCTACCAAGTCGTTTCTTGTACCTTTCCCTTGAGGAAGGGACTGTGGGGAAAGCCGTCACTGGTGATGGTCACCTCATCAAAGCCCACGAATAGCTTACGTCGGTAGCTGTGGGTGGGCATGAATGCCACACTGGTAATGAGGAGCCGAGTTTTCTGGCGCTTCAGATTGTCAGCTTCAGCATTTTGTGTATCCGCAAATATTCACCCAATATCATTTTCTGCGGTTTGCCTGTGGTAGATAACCACTGCAGTTTGCCTTGCCTCCCCCACGACCACAAACCAACCTCCCATGACCCGTCTATTCCGTCCCTGACCCGCCCCCATCCCTCACCTTCCGAAACACTTCCAAAATAGTCTCCCTTTGCGCGTCATACGCAAACTGAATCTCCCTCCCCCCAACCCTCCCATCCACCACATCCCCCTCCCCAGCCCAAACCGCACCCACATGCTCCTCCTCACTCAACCGCACCACCGGCGGCAACTCCCTCCCATCTTCCCCCTTCCCCTCACAATGGCCATCCAAAACCACCAAAAACGTAATCTTCCTCCACCGCGACCCCTTCCCCCCTTCAAACTCGAGCGCGTCCACCACGCCCCGCACACAACCCTCCACCTCCAGCCCCGTCTCCTCGCGCACCTCGCGGACGAGCGCGTGCACGATCGACGGGTCGGCTGTCGTGTCGACACACCCGCCGGGACATTCCCATTTCAGCCCGAAACCGTCGCGCGGGGCGCGCTGGATGAGGAGCACGCGGTTGTTGTTGTGCAGGATGAGGGCGCCCACGACGAGGTGGGTGATAGTGGGGTTGGCGGTGAGGTAGCTTGTCGGGGTGGTGGTGTAGGGGGTTAGGGAGGGGTTGGTGGTGCTGGTGAGGTTGGTGCTGGTGGTTGTTGACATTGTCGTGGTGGGCGTCGGGTTGACGTGCACGGTTTTGAGTGAGTGCCCTGGCTTTTGTTCTTGAGTTTTGGATGGTTTCAAAAAACTCTGAATTTAGGATAAGTTGCACCCTTTTAAACAATCACGACTTTCATTTTGCGGAGCATTGGACTGGTTGCTGATGGACGGGTAAACGCGTGCCTAACGCGCGTGACGTGTAGGTACCCCAGGCTACAGAATTCTCCAGCCATCTGCCTGTTCTAATCGCTCCCAAACCGCCCGCCAACCATGGGTCTCTATGAATCATCTCGGAGTCTCCAGCATACGGATACTGCATTCGGCCTAAACCGGATGCACCCCGCCGGGAATGGCGTCGAGCCCTAAAGGATATTAGCGTAATGTTCGACCGATGTTGCAACTTGCTGTCACACCACACTTACATCCTTCTGTCTCTTCTACCACGGTCTGCTCCTTCTGGCAGGCCACCGCCTCCTCGGGAGTTTGGGTCTGCAAGACCGAGCAACGGTCACCGGTGCAGCGGGCATCGAGCGCTCGTTGCAGAGCATCACCTTTCCAGCCGAAGACGTAATCGCCGTGCTGGCCAAATCCGGTGCTGTGCACATGTAAGTCAATCTGGTTAAGCGCGGCAAATCGTGGCAGCTTACGCATCGCCCATCGAGTAAACAAGGGGCTGTCCGGTCTCGGGCCAGTCCTCCGGGTTGTTGAACTCGCGCGTGTCCCACATAACCTCGTACATCAATTGCGGTAGGCGGACGGGGTGGCTAGCAGGGCACGGGCCGGTGGACTCGAAGCTGCCAACCTCGGGGTAGGCAACATGGCTCTTGTGGTCCGGAGAATCGAGGTTCTTGCCGTCCCAGCATCTATTTGCCATCGTTAGTATGTGCATTCGAACTAAAGGCATAAGTGGCTTGTTTACGTTGGGAAGGTGATGGTCGTCCGGATACCACCAGGGCAAATCTGCTCCGGGAAAGATGCCGTGTCCTCGCCCGTGCAAGGCGCGCCACCGAAGGGGGTTTGTTCGATGTTGTGCTCGCAGCGGTGGCAGATTTGCTTCTGCATGCCCTGCTGGGTCCGGCGGCCGGCCTCTCCCACTAGCATGCGGAAGCCCTGGGCCGGTTAGTAATGGATCAAAATGGCACGAGGCCGTCTCTGTGCTTACCGGCTTGAAGGCTGTGACCGTGGTCTTGCCGTCATAAGGCGGAATGTAGTACACCGTCACACCCCCGGTTCCCCTGAGCCCAAGGTTGACCATTTGCGGGACCCTCTTGTAACTTCCATTCTTTGCGCGGAAGTAGATGTTTGCCGTCCAGTAGTTGCTGAAGTCTTCTGAGAAAGAACAGGTCGTGCATGTCGACTTCTCTGCGGGGTCATACTCGACGGGCGTCATGCTGGCATTGAAGGAGTTGCCGCCCACGATCTGGTGAAGATGCGGAGACTGTACCTCGCCGGGGTTGACTAGCGGGTCGAGACGTTCGATAACGAGCTGCGAGCATTGGAAGCGCATCATGGCGGCCTGGGCGAACTGAGCAGACGCCTGGCCAGCACAGAGCGCTGCCACCGTGGCAAGGAGAGAGGCCTTCATTGTTACCAATCACTTGATCGTTGGTTAAGTGTAAACTTGAGAGGTAGCAATATGCCTGTAACCAACAATGAACTTGAGGCTCAACCAAAATAGGAGAAGAACTGGAGGTGTTCACGCAGGATGCTAGCGTGGTATATAAACCGGGAACCTCTTTATACTGAGCCCTACCATGGGTTCGCCCGCCCCGGTACTTTGTACGGTTTTGGGTAGGAATTGGTAGCGGTCTCCTCCCCCAAGGGAAGCCGTGGGCTCGCCTGGTCGACCAGGGGTGAACTGCCGCATATTGCGCGGCTAGGTGGTTAAATCAGGGGTAAAGACCGCGCGACCTTATTGGGTGACATGGTCATTGCCAGCGTCTCACGTCAAACGAAAGTAAATATCTAATCTATTCTAATGGACCTTCGCATACCCCCACCTGGCGACCTTTCACTTTCTACCCCTGAGGTGGTTGGTTATGGTCGCCGGTAGCTCAAACCGGGTTGCTTGCTGCAGTGAGGAGACGATCCTATCCTCGAGCAGTCACGGAGTATATTAAATCATTCGAGATCAACAGAATGACCAAGACTTAGTGCTGATCATTGTTCTGGAAGAACGTTCTGGAAGAATTCTGTGCAGTGGTGGGTAGGAGTGCGCTGGCGGTCCATCATGGTAGTTTGTTGAAAGTGTCGTTATGTTTCACTCACGAGGCACACCACACCCGATTCAACAACTCCCTTACTTTGCCTTACTGGTCTGGTAGCACAATGAAAGTTCTCGCTTACAAGTGTACCTAGCCTCCACTGACATCGTCATCATAATGACTTTCCGGGGTGAGGTTTCTCTAAGACGTACAGTGTTCCTTTGCAGACAGTTTGTAATGAACTTCGAGGTCGAGTATTAGTTGCGAACTACGTTAGTTAATGCAGTCTGTACCAGTGATATACATATGGATTCCATTGACGCTGGCTCTGTTTCATGGATGCTGGCTGTGGCAGATAAGGAAGATCTCCACGATTATACCGCGACCCCAACGCACCCTCTTAGACCTCATGCAGAGGTTAGAGTTCCAAGCAACCCTAACCCTACTGCAGGTGCCAACACCTGAGAATCTTCCGTAGTATAGTGGTCAGTATGTGAGCTTGTCAATCCACAAACGCTCGAGACCCGGGTTCAATTCCCGGCGGGAGAGAGACATGTTCGGTTCTTTTTGCCGACATCGGCTTGTTGTCTCTGAGTTTCGGAACTCATCTCTGACCGCTGTCTCAGTTTCTCAGTTTGTGTACGCGGCTTTTTCTTCGCACAGACTGTGACAGGCGATCTGTGGGGGTGTAGATCTCTAGAGGTCAGTCGTTACACTAATAAGACCTTGACTTTGGTGCCCCTTGCATGCGTTGTTTTGTTTCTTCACCCTTGACTCCCTGAAAAATGAGACATTCCACCCCGATGACTCCCTTGAACATGCAGTGCCGCCTGGGACGGACGGATGACGGGCTTCCATTCCTTCCAACTCTGGCCTATGGGATAGGGGCATGGAAAAGTCTTCCCTTCTTCCAAAGAATTTCTTGATTTTGGAGGGGGGGGATGCGGGAAGCGGCTGAAGTGACGTGTCCGTCAGGAAACTGGTCTTCAACTTTTTGACCACAGGCCACAGGGCGTTTTTGGGAAAAGGGAAGCGACATGTGGCGGCAAGATCTCGCACCGATTTCCGGATTTGGAACAGGGGCTGTGTCGAAATCTCCCACCAGTCCCACCAGTGGATGACTGCGGCGCCTCGAGCGGATCTTGCACGCATTAGCACGTTCAGCTAGCCGCTAGATGCTTCAAGCGACGTGTCGTAGTCCTATAGCATACGCCGCCAAGCGAGGGGTGCGTGGCTTGTCGAACAACAAAAAAAATGCGGCGATCAGCCTTGCAATGTAGGGCTGTCCGTCGGACTGTCCCTGCGGTTGATCCAACGGATTTAAATCCGAAGGCTCCCCTTGACGCGGGGTGAAGAGGGGTTGTGGACAAGAAAGCCCGACGAAGAAGACTGGAATATTTCAGGCTCGACCGAGAAAATGGCTCAAGTCGCAACCCTGTCTGTCCAACAACAGTGCTGGAACTTGAAGGACGACTCCCCCAGTCTCGCATCCTGGAGAATCCGAGAAGACCCCCAAAGGCCAATATCATGGACTCCTCAAGCCCAGGCCCGGCCCAAGCGGCTTCGAAAGACAGAGTGCCGCGAGCTCTTCAACCCCAATAACACCCTTCCCACCATCTACATTCATGGCGCCGCCTGCCGGTGCGCTGAAACAAAAACCGAGAACGAACTCCAAGACGCCGCTCTCGCAACCCGAATCGCTTCCCTCACCAGGACCATCCTAGCAACAACAACACGACCACCACCACCAATAACAACATCAACCACAACAAACACAACAACCGCAACAACAACCCATCCCACCAAACCCCCACGCCGCCGCCACTCCCGCTCCCCCTCCCACTCACCACCCCGCCCCGCCAAACGCATCCCCACCCGCAGCAGCAGCAGCAGCACCCTCCAAGTCCTCTCCACCCTCGCCCGCCTCTTCCTCCCCTCCTCCCCACCCACAACCCCCTCCCTGCCGCTGCAAGCCGACCTCTGCATCGGCTGCGCCGACCTCGACATCGACAAGGTCGCGCGCTACCTCATCCCCGGCGCCGCCTCGGACGAAGCGCGTAACACGCTGCCCGTCAACGCGCCCAACCACCTCGGCGTCACGCCGCTCATGGCCGCCGTGCGTGCGCCGCGGGGGAGCGTGTGGCCTGCCGCGCGCCTCGAGATGGTGCGGTTCCTGGTGGAGGCGTGCGGGGCGGATGTGCATGCCGTGAGGGTTGACCGGGTGACCGGGGTTGGGGAGAGTGTGTTGAGCATGGCGTGTGCGGGGGGCGCGGTGGGGGTGGTGAGGTATTTGCTGGGGAGGGGGGTCGATGTGGATGAGCGGCTGCCGTGCGGGCGGGGGATTGGGAGTTTGAAGGGGGTTGTGGTGGGGAAGGGGCGGACGGCGCTGCATGTGGCAGTTGCGGCGGGCAGGGCGGAGTGTGTGGAGGTGTTGGTGAGGGAGGGGAGGGCGGATGTGGATGTGGTGTTTGATGCGGCGGAGGGGGAACGAGATGCCGGGAAGGGCGGGGAGGGGGGGTTGAAGGGGTTGCGGGTGAAGGCGAGGAGCGTGTCGCGAGAGAGCCTGGGGCGAGGGAAGGGCCCGAAGCACCCGGTTACCGCGTTGCATCTGGCTCACAACAACTACGCTTGCGCACAGGTTCTGTTGCAGTGCGGTGCCAATATTAGTGTGAGGGATGGGCATGGCAGGACACCGCTCTACTGGGCGGCTGAGGCAGGGAAAGCGGATGTCGTGCGGTTGTTGGTCGGCGCGGGGGCGGATATGAACGCTGCCTCTGACGATTGGGTTACGCCGCTCAACGCTGTGGTGGCGTCTCTTGAGAATGGGAACGGGAGTCACGGACACGCCGAATCCCTGAGAGTCTTATTGCAGGGGGAGGGGCACTCCGACTCTGGGTCCGAATCCCAAGACGAGGGGCGTTTGGATAACAAACTGGTTGCTTTGAAGACGTGGTGTGACATGTGGGAAGGTTCTCTTGAGGATGAAGGTATCGATCTAGCGGAGACGGGTCCTTATTGACTCGGTAGCCGGACGATCAACATGGTGGCTCAAGGCGAGACCACTTGAGTAGGGTCATTCGGCCGGGGGGATTTGGGATCCCCGGAGTTACAAAAGCGCTATTTTTCATGAGATGGATACTAGCTTCCAGTTAGAGCAACACTTTATTAATTATCCGGCCATTGTCTGGAGTTGAGTCTCTTTGGCCCGCACATTAATGTTAACCAGACCACAACGAGGGCAAACTACAAAAAGACTCGGTTTGAATACTGCTTTATTGCTGGCTCCCGTTGCCTTTGATCACTGATAGCTAATCCACACTTCCCTGGGCGTAGGATGAGCTATCCCTGAAAGCCGTCGCTATCATAGTTGACTATCCTCGTGGCAAAGGTCGGTAAAAAGGTCCTCGTCTGAGGCCGGCGTCCGGCATTTGGCGCAGATGAGCCCTGGAACAACCCATATCTCTTCACCATTGGCGGAACAGGTTCGACATAGAACCCCCGGAACCTAGAATGGTCTTAGCGGGCGCCGACTCCAGCCCCACCACCAGAGACTAACCGGGAGACTTCGGATTCCTTCCCCGTTCTCAGGGAAGGGCCAGAGGTATTCAGCACCCAGATCGGAGCCGCCGATATCACTCATGTAGAATGAGGAGGACATAGTGATGGGAGGTTTCGGAGCGGACAGGTAGGGTAGGTGATAAGCGGAAGTTGCGGCTATGGTGGGGAAAGATCATGGTTGTCCCGTCCACCACGGAAAGGAAGTCGACGCTCGATATATACACGACATTTCTTAGCCATCCGCACTTTTTCGGATCCAACCCGCCAGAATGTTTGAACGGGAGAATAATCCAGTGGACAGGCAACAGCCGAGGCCCAGAACGAAATGCCGCCATACGATGATTGAACCGAGGTTCAGAAAGTTCTTGCTCAGGATGATGATTGCGACCCGATTGACGTCAAACAGGGGGCCCGACAGCGAGATTTGCAGCGAGCGGATCTCGGGCCTCTCTAGCCGGCAACAAACGTACACTAAGCAAGGCCACGACGTCCGTTAATGTGGAGGAAACAGGTGCCTCTCCGATGGCGCCATGGTCAATGCCCATGCGTTGGCAGGGGGAAACTTGATGGCTTCGTCACTTGGGCATTCAAATCTGCTCACCGGTCGGGTTAGCGAGCCGAATGACTGGCCCGGACCGGTAGAGGTTACAATACCAACCGCGCAAGCCGCCGATTCAGTTTCCATTTCCAGACCAGATGGTGCCCTGCAAGACCAACCCCCATGCTGCCCGCTGTTGGCCCGCAGGAGACCTGCAGGACCGTCATGCTCGTTGGTACGGCACTTTCACGTTATCTACAGCACCAAGTTAGGGAAGATCGGTGCACAATCAAGGCCCACGGATGCAATGCCTCGGCTCACACCAACATATGAAATGACTACGTCCGTTTCCCTTCGACCGAGTCACGGCCCGATGGATAGATGCCCGCGTGTGGCGTGACATATGGGGTGAGATATCTTGGCGAGCTCCATTGCCGTCGACTTCCATGCCGCAGAGGCGCCCAAGAGTCGTGGAGGCTTTGATGCCTAACGCACGCCATGGAAATATCAGGAAGTTATCCTGTTCCATTTCTAGATTGGGCACATGGGGCATTGATGTACTTGCCCATCGTTCACCACTACGAACCATCGCCCGAGGCTTCGATAAGAGATTTTCAGGTACTTCCGAGGCTTCAAGTTGTGGGAAAACCCCGTCTCTACTGTATAGCTGAACGTGGCACCATGCCTCCGGTCTCCGAGTGTTGTTTTAAGACATGCGGACACCTACTATTATTCACGCGCTGTTATTATATTTGCCCGAGATGTATTAATACTAAGTCAAGCTACGGGGAGACGTATAATACATGCAGTTGTCTCGCCTCCCGCCCAAGGAAATGCATACCTACCGCGGAAGACTCTTCCAACAGGCAGACTAAGGTAGTAAGGTGTGTAGGCCAAGCAACTTCTGCCCATTCATCGGTTCTGGCCCTGGTAAACCCAGCCCCATTCTTAGGCCGAGGCATGACGACTTTTCACGGTGGGTTGAGCCCGAATGGCGTCGTCCGGACCGTAGACACATGCTCACCACACACATTGCATAAACATACGTAAATGTTGCGATCCGGGATCCCCGCCCGCGCGCTGTCGGACGCATGCATATCCCCACATAGGATATGCATACGATTCTGTGGGGGCCATATCTTGCAGGACAAACAAATTGGGCCGCATGAACTGGTGCCATACCCGATTCCCAGAAGCTCAACGGTTAGTATGAGCGAACAATGTCCTCGCTGACAAATAATGAATCTCCTTCGAATTTGTGTTTCCCGTAATGGTCATGCAACCACTATTAATTATGCGGTTGGTTCCAGGTCACACAGTTTACCCCATTCCCGAAATGCCTTCGAGACCTTACCGTGACACAACCTCTTGATTAGGTACATGTACCTGAGTATTCACCCACCCAGTATTCTGCAAAGACTGAGAGCCCGATGGGGTCCTCTAAGCGTTCTTGGAACCCGGGGGAATGTGTATAGACGAAGCTGGGCAGCGAAAGCCCACCTGCCGTGAGGTGATCCATTTATTCCAAACGCTGAGCAAACCCCCTGTGTCTTATGTTGGATAGGTACCCTTGCCCTTTCATGACGTCCCAATCACAAATCGTACTCAAATTGCCTCCTCAATTCTAGTTTGAGTGACAAGAAACGGGGTATTCTCCTCCTTCAGCTCAAACGAACACACTCCGCCTGCCGAGCACAGGCCGCGCATGTTGTCCCCGACCTTGAAGTTCTCTGTTCCTTCGAATGCCTCATCGCCCTTCTTTAGCTCAAACCGCACCTTGAAATCGGTCGTCGGTGAGGGGTTGGCGGCATCCGACTCGAGCATCGCGAAGGTCCATTGTCCGCCCGGGATGTCGGAACAGGCGTTGACATGGCCGTAAGGCAGCTCTTCCAGGGTCCATTTCGTAGCACAGGATGCTGGGTTGACAATAAGGCCGTTGGGGTCGGCGATGGTAATGTTGATAAGGCTCCATGGGGAGCTGCCCTCTCGGTCAGGGGGGCTGAACGTCCTGAGCTGGGAAATTCGCCAGGGCTGGAGGTCCTCATCCGCTAGCGCGAGAGGAGCGAGGCCTAGTATGAATGAAACGAGGTTGGAGGTGTGCATTTTCGAAGGGTTGTGGTTCTAGGATGACTTGTAATCATGAGAGTGCTCAAGATGCCCTCTGGGGTGGCGAATCGTCCATTCATATAAGGTATTTCCGGCGCGGCCCATTTATTGAAATGTTACGACCGCTGAGATGATGACCCGACGGATCTGAACCCGTGTTCCGGGACATGGCAACTTTTCTAAGAATAGGTATGGCTACGAGAATCAGAGTTCCCTCTCCAGTGCGCATGCCGCGGCTAAAACGCGGTGCAACACAACGGACGGACCTCTGCACGCACCCGTCCGGTTCCCGTAGCATCAAAGTTGGACTGGAAATGTCACCTTGTTTCCCGAGGCGCTGCCCAAGACTTTACTCAGTCATAGATTTGCAGGTTTGAGGTTCAGTCTAGGAAGTCTCGGCAACGACAGGCCAGATATGCGGTATCTCCCCGACATTCCAGGGCAGGGCACTTACATTGATCAATTAGGGGTACCGGTATGCGGCGTAGTAACCTAACGTTCAGTACCAAGGGAAGGGACGCAAGTACATCATATCCCAGTCGCTGGCCACCGGCTCCTTCTTGCCATCCGCATACTGGCTCTCGTACCGGCCGCGCATGACATAGCGTTCAAGACGGCACTTGAGGGCCTTCTTCTCAGGCCAGACCCAACTCCGTCTCTCTTTTTGACGGACCCTGCACTCCGGGGTCCCCTCCCAAGGGTACGGGAAGTGGGCATAAAACTGGGCGAGACCAAGCTCGGCCAGCCGCGGGATGGGCTGCAGTAGATCCTTATACGCCTTCATGAGTGCGTCTCCTTCCTCGGTGGTAATCTCAGGGGCGGCTTTTGGGCCTCCGTTGCTGCCGTCCACGACGACCAGTTTGAGGGTGAGCCGTGGTAGGTTCATCTTGTTTTGGAGCCACTCGACCAAGGACCGCCAGTCCCGCATCGCTGGGTCGTCGGTCCGGGGCCAGGTTTGAGCCGGGTAAGGAGGAAAGACTAGCTCTAGATAGCGGATATGGGCGAGGGCGGGCTCGGGCACGACCTCGCGCAGAAATTCCGAGACGATGAATCGCTGATCCGGGTAGGAGTTGCTTAGCGATACGTCCCGTGGCGTCATTGAGACTGGGATGGACTGTTGCCAGGTTCTATCGGCTTTATAGTCGTGGATGATAAAACGGTTACTCGAAAAGAAGACGTACTGGGCGTCTTGGGACAGGGCATGGCACAAGAGAAACAGGGGCGCGGGTGGAATCCAGCACTTGCAGCCAAGCGAAAATGCGGCGTGGCGGCGGCGGCAAAAACAACCATCGGGTTCGTTCTCCCAGCAGCTGAGAAACTGCTCACTGTAGAGCTCGTCGGGAGTAGGGTCCCTGTCGAGCTGGATGCGGCGCACCACGTACCCGCGGTCCTCGCGGCTCCACGTCACCTGTCTTCTCGGCGTGACAAGGTCGGTGTATTCTAGGATTCGGATCCGGAGCTCGCGTGGGAGGGTCGCCAGGGTGGTGGCCTCCGCGCCAGGCGGCGGCTTCGAGGACTGCGTAGAGGTTAAGGTAGCCAGCCCACGGGTGCACGTGTGCAAGGCAGCATCTCGGGCAAGTTCGTCGAACTGCCGGTTGGGTACTACCGCTAGCCGTACCCGGCATTCCCTAAGCTGTGCTGATGCAAGGGGTGCTAAAATGGCACCGGCCAAGTCGACGGCTAGAGGGTGCTGGGGGTCTATGTCACAAACAAGTGACAGGGAGAGGCGACTGGGGACAGTCTGTGGGAATATGTGAGCGGCAGCAGAGTGCCACTCACGTTCTGCATCGTACGCTGCAGCCAGCTCATCACCGCTATCGCCAGGGCCATCGCCATCGCCGTCGTTGCCCGCCAAAACCGGACTCAGCAGGAGAACCTGGTGGAGACCGCAATGCCTCCTCTGGCACCAATGCAATCCCGACGTGGCATCTTCGTCGTGGCCGTGGCGGCAACAAACGTTCTTGTACTCTAAAATCATTCTCCTGTGGCAAGCGGCCTCATTAACGACAATCTTGAGGTTGGAGAGCGACCGGACCGCCACGGCAGTGAGTGCGCGCAGGGGCTGCAAACCGGGCGACTTGCCGAGGGAATAGTGAACGACGAAGGAATTTGCGGCGTAAAGCAAGGGAGCCGCTTCGGCGTAGATGGTACGGCAAGAGAGCAGTAGGCCATGGAAACAGGGCGAGGGAGGGAACCCCCCCCAAGGGCAGATAGTCGACTCGCCCTCCGCGCAAGTCGAATCGATAGGGCGATCCGTCCCACGACACCAAGTCCAGATAGCGGTAGAGGCGCAGCCGAATGTCAGGAGTGAGGCGTAAGAGAGGTGAATCCCACGGCGACAGCGACGGTGATGGTGACGACGTGCGGGCGGCGTCGGGGCCACACGCCATAGTCTAATGCATTTTTGAATCCGGGCGGGTGTGTTGAACTGTTCGTCAGTCATGCGTTGGAGCGCGTCTGCGGGCTGCGGGTTCACGAGATAGTTAACTTAGGTAGTTACGGCATAATAGAGCATGGAATCCTCGTACCATAGATACCGCACTGTTAATGCGGTTTGCTGTTTGGGGTTCGTATGCCCTACCTACCTTAGGTAGATAGGTGAACTGATCTGCAGGTTGTGGATGAGGAAGAGGCGGCCCAGCCGGCGAGGGCGGGGATCCCGGGACCAGGGATGGTGCCACGTATAGCACGCGAACCAACTCGCTCTCCAGCCCAAATGGACCAACTCGGGAATCACTTTGCCCCACAGACCATTCCGTGAGAACACCAAGGTCGTGATTACAACCGCTCCGAGAATCGCAAGGCACAGCCCGTTGTGACCTAAGATGGGAGATCCTGCGAGTAGCAGGGCTTGTTAATAGTTGTTACGAGGGGACCGGGGAAACCGCAAGTGTTCATAGCAGAGGGGATTTAACGTGCCCTGTGGACAGGAGTCGCAGGACTGTTTTTTGTGGTTTCACGTTTCATCTCATCATCTAGCCACCCATACTAGTTGTTTTGAGAAGTCAATAATAATGTTCAGAACCCTGGCTCTGAACAATCCTAGCCCGCCTTCATGTTCTCAGCCATCCCATTGCACTTCCCTTGCCCGCCCTACCGACAACCTTACATTTCACAATCCCATCTTGAAGCCATCTTTATATAAGGTTGACAGGCCCTCGGCATCCGTTGTTGATCCCGAGCCAACTTGCACATTATTTTATGCCCATCTCGCCGATTACTTCCACCAGCAATAACCACCGTGCGATGAACACTTCCAACGAACCGAAGCGTAGGGTCCAGGATGACGCTCGATATGAGCCCGAAGGCAAGCGTCTCAAGCCTACGATGGTCGCGGACACAGAGACCGTGACGGCCATCGATGACACCCCTCTTGCTATGGACCCCGATAACCGAACAGGGGCAGAGATGGAGAGAATGGGTAAGAATTAACCCTCGACCTCGCGTTAACCCAAGGTTCAATGCTGACGATAGAACAGTTGTCACCGAAAGCGACGTCGCCTCTACAATAACCGCCCATGGCAGTCTTGTTGCCACCAAAGTGGGCGAAACTAAGGAGAGCTTTCCGTTCCTGTCCCTGCCCGCCGAGCTCCGTCTGTTGACCTACACCCATCTCTTCAAGTTCGAGCGGAAGGTGTGCCCCCACAAAGAATACATCAAGGATTATCGCCAGGGCTATTTCGTGGAGCGTGGCCCTCTCAACCTTGCCCTCGCCATGATGTGCACCAACAAGCAGCTGGCGGTGGAAGTGGCGGCCGTTCTGTACGGCCACAACGGATTCCTTCTAAGAGTATACGACGGCTTTTGGTTCAAGCGCATTGGCCAAAAGAATTCGAGGCTCATACGGCACGTCCTCGTCGATTGCGCGGGCCACCTCGACTTGACTGCGAGGCAGCTATACTCGATGGTCACCAAGGCATGGGAGTGCGCTTCCGAAGGTCTCCGCATGCTGACCTTCCACGACCGCTGGGTCGAAGTTGACCGAGGTTTCCTTCCCCGCCTACTTTTGGACATGGGTGCAAAGCGGCCGTGGAAAATGTTTCCGAAGCTCGAGAGGATTAATATCATCCTCCGCACCAACCACATTATTTCCCCACGCGACAGAGAGCATATGGAGAAGCTTTGCGTGGAGAGCAAATTGAACATCGCGGTGAAGTTCGAATCCTGTCGATGGTGTCATGCAAAGTTAACATACCGCTTGTGTCCTACGCGCATCACCGGGCCGGCATCGACCACTGAGGAGGCGGAGAAAGACCTTGCCTTCAAGCATAGAAAAGGTTGCTCCCGGGCGGGGAGAAGCTAATTAAACAAACTACGAACTGAAAGGGGAGGAGAGGCACAAGGCCCGGTTGGAGGAGAACGTAAAGGCTTAAACTGAAGAACGGGGAGTTCACGAAGCGCGAACGAAGAGGTCACCGCCGGTACGCGACAAGGACGGCAAGCACTGGTGGGGGAACAGTGGGCAGCAATGAAACAAGGCCTCTACTTAAGCCATCCAATTTATAAATTCAGAAGGAGACAGCTTTACTGTTACCCCGTGGTTTAGCCCGCGGTGTGCATACACAGGGCCGAACTGCTGAGTAGACTGGGGTTGTCGTAATATATTGCCCTGATGGCCAGTTTTGTACCAAAACACTAATTGCAATGTTTATTGCCATTGTTCCTGTCAACTCAGTTCACCGGATACTTAGCCTTGGACCACAATATATCCTCAATAAGTCTCTCGAGGCCTTTCCCGAAACCATTGCTTAGGTCGAGATCGATCGCCCTCGGCACCGGCCACCAACTCCCGACTTATGCAGTCGAAGTAAACTAGCGGGGTTGACGTTGCGAGCACCCGTCCTGCGTTTCAATCTAGACCAGTAAGCAAACAACTTCAGACTCTGATCCGCCGGCTTGTGTCGCTGTGCCCGAGGAAGAAGTGAGGTTGACCCGAGGGGCGAACAAGGGTGGCCAAGTCGGAACTTGGTCCGAGAGAATTTCTGAATGGCAGAGAGCACCAGCACGATGCCCACGATGCTCGGAATGGCTAGCTATAGTTGTAATGACTAGGATCGCTAGAACCAGCGGGCATTGCTAGCATACGCCGGCATCCCTAGCCTAGCAAGTTAGCTATTGTCAAACCGCTAGTTCACGCTCTTTCCCATTCAATGTTTTGCCACAACTGGAGATAAGCAAAAGAATATTACAAGGCAGGCGGCCAGCCTCAACCAGGGTTCAAAGTGAGAAAAAGTAGGGTAATTATAAGAAATCCCCTCCCATATTCCCACTCCCTCCAGTTCTTCACCAAACGCTTTCTCAAACTTTCCCACCAACTCCTCCCCCAACTCATCCTCCACCTCCGCCTCCAAACGCGTTGCATTATCGCTCTCTTCAACGATCGCCACCACAACCAACTATAACAGCGTATTCTTGAAACGAGTCGACATCAAACATTGTAAGAGACTCCACCTTCCACTACATGGTGGATAGCGACTGACCTAAAGTTTAAGACACCATGCCTTACAATCGAACTCGGCAGAGGAGGAGCGCAAGGGCACCACCAAGACATCAAAGTGAAAGTCCCCATTCACTACAACCTCCTCGCTCGACAGTGACTCTTCCGATAGCAAGACGTCGGCAGAAAGCAAGGGCTCGATCGACGACGAGCAGAGCGGCCAAGACATGGCCCTGATTGACGTGTTAGCTGACGTCTCCGTGGGCGGTGAGGCTAGCGGTGATGTTGGCGGTGTGGAGGGGCCGACGGCGAGGGACGCCCGGGACCTGTCTGATGATAAGTGATAATTGACACCCACGAAAGACAAGTCGCGTTCGGGTTCGCTCTTTTCCGATTTTCAGATTTTTATATGGGTTGACGCTTTTCTTCACGGTGGCGCTTTTCGGTCGAACACAGCGCCAGTTTTATGCTCCGACACCATTATTGCGTTGTCTTCATCCTTCGGTATCGGGGAGGGTTCACGGTCAGGGTCAGGGTTCAGGGTGGGAGGGATGGAGGTAATGTTAGCCCAGCGTTCATGCTGACAACGGCCGGTTTAGTCTTGCGTTATTCCAGAAGCCGAAATGCATGCTTTCATTATAATTCGTGCAATATCATGGGCTACAATCCGGTAGTATGGTAATTAAGGATAGATGTGATCGTAGCCCAACGGTCGTACTAAAACCGGCCAACTTACGCAGTCTTACGTTATTTCAGTTACCATCATGCATACTTTAGTCACTAATCATCAATGAATAATCCAAGCTGAAATGCAATGCTGCATTGAGAATAACTACCTCAACCTTAAAAATTAAATCCCCGAGGCCGAGGGTTTGGAGTCCCTCAACTCTAGGCTCTAAGGGGCCTCCCCCCATCTCGAGTCCAAGCACCAACTCCCTCCAGTCGACGTATCCCGAACGCAACGCAAATCTCCCAGAATCTTCCCAAACCACTGGTCAGTTTGTGATCAACCACCCTAAGCATCGTGCACCAAGTCCCGACGTATGAACTTGGGACACCCCCTTACCCCTCTGCCGGACAGGATAGGGATCGGAACCGGGAACCCATGGCTCGACCCCATCCCGAAGTTGATGGCGCCCGTTGGGGTACCCGTCGCATCCCTACACGTAATGCATTGACTCCAACTCCTTTATGCCATCGCGGTCTTCGTTTGTCTGCTGGACAGGTAATGATGCCAGGCCGGCCTTCGCGGCATGATCGAGGATTGTCGGAGGGATGCCGGCCTCGCTCTGTCTTCCGAGGTAGATGACCGCCCTGGCAACCTCCGAGGGGTACAGCCATGGCATTTTGCCGTTATTCTTCGCCTCGGTCCAGGTGTTGAATTGGCCGCGCCAAGTTCCGACCTCCTTCAACTATTGTGATTGCTCCCGGCATGACGATTGAGAGTTCCTCACTGCTTGGGCTGTGGAAACGTTGTCTGTGGTTGGCCGGGGTCGACTTGCTGGCGGAGATCGGCTTGTCGGCTGGGGTCGGCTTCTTGTTGGATGTGCTGGCGTCTTCGGCGGTGCGCTCCGCCTTGTGTTTAACCAGTATCTCTGCCCTTTCTGCCGGTGTGTACTGCAGTAGCGCGTCCAGCACTTCCTTGGGCAGTGCTGCCTTTGGAGTGGCAGGGGTCGTGTTATCCGCCATGGTCGTTGTGGTCGGACACGTCTTTGCTTCAATGTGGTCTGAGTGTGAACGTGGGGGGAAACGTTGATTGTCTGACCAAAGATCGCCAAACAAGAAGAGCGGAGAAAAGCCGCAGAACAAAAAGCATCAGAACTCCGCAGGGACAACGGCCAATACTACCGCAACAACCGCGGAGGCGGCCAGTTCGGCCGAGCTCGCGGAAACAACTTCCGAAGGTGACACACACCAATCAACAAGCTGGGGGAGGTTCAGATCGTGCTCGTCAACATCATTAACGAGCACGTGAACCAGTGCCCAGACATGGGCGAACTTGTCCAAAGAGCCCTGTCGGAGGTAGAGGGAGATAGCCAAGCCGAGACGGACTATGACGACTCCGTCGCGAGCTCAGACAAGGACGTTGACGTCGATGCTGAGCGCGAGCATAACGTCGACGACGAGCGAGGGGACGACGACGAGCGCGATGTTGAGCAGAGCAGCAGTGATAATTGGCTAGCGCCGACCGTAAACACTTGCTACCAGGTCCTACCCATGGTCGAGCCGACCAGTTTCGGTGACCTTTACGCACCACGACCCAAGTCGTCTCCGGGAAGCAGTATGCCCTCTCTCAAAGCCAACCTTGCCTAGGTTGCTCCAAGTAAACACGGGCGACCGAGTACCAACCACCCCATGACTTTCTCTACACACAGCCACCACGAGGCATTCGGGTACACTGAGTGGAACAGACCAGTTCCTCAACACGCCGGATTCCCTGCGCGGCCATCACGCCGCCTCAAAGGCCTCCCTCAAGTACCCACAACACTCACGATACAACTCCTCCGACCCCGCCGCCACCTTGGTCGGATCCGGCGACTTATCCCACCCATGCGGCACCCCGGCCACCATCTTATACCTCACATCCCTCCCAATCGGCGCGCGCCCGAGCCGCGCCGCCAGCGCCTCGCCCTCGCGCATCAGCATGTCGTACTCGCACGTGTACATGACGACCGTCTGCGGGAGGGCCGCGGCCAGCTGGGCGTCGGTGGCCCGGCTGGGGGAAAGGTAGGGGTTGGCGAGCTGCAGGGTGGGCGGTTGCAGGTAGGATGCGTCGAAGAGCGCGGTGAGCGTTTCCGGGAGCGCTTGGTCCGGCCGGACGGAGGCGGCGCGCTTGGCGGCGCGCGGTTGGGTGTAGTCCGTGACGGGGTACCATGCGGCGACGGCGCGGATTTGGTGGGTGGGGACCGGGGTGTTGGATTGTTTCAGGGTTGTGAGGTGGTCGGCGAGGCGGAGGGTGGATGTGAGGGAGAGGTTGGCGCCGGCCGAGAAGCCGGATGTGGCGAGCTTGAGGGGGTCGATGTGGAGGTCGGGCCCGGACTGAATCAGGTAGAGTAGGGCGTCCGTGGAATCCTCGACTGCCACGGGGAAGGGGTATTCAGGGCTCAACCGGTAGTCCACGCTGACGAAGACGGCGTTGCACTCCTCGAGAACGAAACGGGCGAACCGGGCATCGTCGGTGCCGTTGCCGATGGTGAAGCCGCCGCCGTGGAAGTTGACGACGGCAGGGAATTTTGTGCCGGTTTTGGCTGCCGTGTCGTATCCCTCAGGTGTGTAGAACTGCAGCGTTAACTCGCCCTTGGTTTTGGATATGGTCGAGCGAATGGTTTTTGTGAATGCAGGACTCGGGGGGCGTTGCGGCGCTAAAAAGTGCAGTGTCATGCCCACATACTGCAGTGACCTCCACCAAACGGCCGAGGTGCGGAGCCACCACCGGGACGGGGCCGTGCCGATAGCATCACGGGCCGTTTCGAGCGGCTTTACATCGGCATCGGCCAACGGGGGTTGTTGCTGCTGCTGCTGCGCGGAGGAGAGCTTAACGACAGGAATTCCGTCGACAGTGGGTATTACATTGGCCATGGCGGAACTTGCAGTGTGACAAGAAAAACACTCACATATCATGGGTAATTATTTAAAAGTAAACGAGGTTTCGGGAAACCAGCGTGTTATCCCACATTAATCCAGATGAGCTGCACCGGTTTATGACACGTGATTCGCACCGCTCGAAATGACACCATAATGCAGGCTTGCTTTCCTTGGCAGCCTGCCTTGGCTCTTCATTCCTCTAATTGCATTAATGATCAGGCCGTCCCCATGGTGAGCGTGCTATCTTGTCGCGAACTTCCCACTCTTATCCTTGCCAGCACACCATGCACATCATAGACCCGTTATTCATGTCTCCCGATACAAGGTGCGTCTCCCTCTACCTTATTAGATTCTTACCATTACTCCGTAGATACCACCAGCCGCAAATCTCATAGCTACATCTAGGGACCTTGTAGATGCGTAGACAGCTTCCATCAGTATCCATACATGTTGATCTGCTCCGACGCAGACGCCCGGATCCTCCTATTCTCCCTGATCAGGAGGAAGCGCATCCACCAGGCGCAAAAGATGGAGCACAGGGCAAAAGCGGCGGAAGTACCGAATCCTATCCCGTACCGTGGTTCGTCGCTCTTGGGCCATACGTAGGCACCATAGATATATCCGATCTACAGGGTGGCAAATAGTTAAGAGACAAAACATTTCCAGCATGGCTGCTAGGACGAGGAGTTGGAAAGATGGTCAATAATACAACATACCTGTCCGCCAATGTTGGTCATTGCGAGTATAACCTAGACAGTACGAACAAGATAGTCATTAGCCCACATATCCACTATTAATGGCACATAAGATTCCCGAACGGGGAAGGTATTTGGGGGCGAGCAAACGACATACGGCCTTTTTCTCCTTCGTCTGGCCCAAGGTCGAAGAAGCCCAGCCGATAATGACCGAGTTGACCGAGTAGGCACCAATAGGGAAGATGAAACAGGCGACGTATCGGGCCGCCGTGTTCAACGTGGAGGCGGCGATGACGAAGCCGACGATGGCGATGCTAAGGCCCACGGTGATGTGCCAGGTGCGTTCGTGGTAGCGGCCAGAGCTCCAGCCGAAGAGGATACCCACGGCGCCGGCAGCGAGGAAAGGCGGGCAGGTCATGACAAGGGTGATGGTCGTGTCAAAGCCTAGGGTTCTGACGACACTGGCCGACCAGGAAAGTTAGCTTTTTTGTTTTCCATTTCCCATGGAAATCATTACGGAACCGATTTCCGGTTGAGGTGACCGTATTCTAAGTAGCACTCACGTAGGGAAGAAAGAATTGAAAGAGCAGGCCGACAGATGAAAGTTCTGCATGAGGCAGAAGATCCAGGTCCTCTTATCGCGACATGCCTGTTTGAGGCCGTCCAGCGCAGACGCGGGTCGATCCAGGGCGTCCGAAAGCTTGTCCCTCTCCATGCGGGCATGGGCGAGTTCCTTCTCACGCTGGGTCAGCCACCAGGTGGTGAGGGGTGTGTTAGGGAGGACGAAGAAGCCGACGATAGCCATGAAGGCGGTCACAGCGCCTTCGATAATGAACAGCCTGCCCAACGTAAAGTTAGTCAAGACAGAAGGAATCGGACCGGGACAAAGGTTATAATCTGTTCCTTCAGGGAGGTTGCGTACCATCTCCACCCGGCAATGCCTCTAGCACCGTCCAACCCGGCAAAAACACCAGCAGCGATGAGTCCCGAGAAGCCCGTTGCGAGGATCTGGGCACAATAGAGGATGGCGATGCGAGCTGCAACCTCTATTACGGGAAGTTAGCTTGGAGGGAAAGAAAAAAAAGGGCAAGAGCTGACAGTATATCAGGGTATTCGATTATCAGACCATACCTTTACGGGTATAAAATATCGACAACATGTACGTGGCACCGGGATAGAACTTATGCTGGTCAGCTACCCGCGACAAGAGATGGGGGGAAACAACTCACAGGAGCCTCGAAGAAACCCAAGAGGAATCTGCAAACCACCAGACCAGCGTAATTCTGGACGAGGGCAGTGCAGGCTAGTTATCCTAGCGGTTAGCATATGGGACCTCGCGAACCCCGGCGCGGCGAGAAGAAACGGAGAAAGAAAAGGCCATACCGGAAACGGCAGCCCAAACAAGCATCCAGGAGCTCATGTAGATGCCGGGCTTGACCTTTGTAATAAGCATGTTGCTGGGGACTTGCATCAACACGTAGCCCACAAACAAACTGGTCAGAACATCGTTAGCCGAGGAAGGTGACCTTCAATGCCGCAGGGGGGGTCTGTAATCAAAAGACCACAATTACATGGAGACCGTCGTGTTGAATTGATTCCCCGACATGCCGAGATCCCTTTCGAGGTTGTTAAGGCGGGCCTGGGCGATGGTGTTCCGGTCGACGTAGTTGAGGAAGTACATGAAGCACAGGCACGGCTAAGAGAGTAAAGATTCAGTGTCGGTCGTCTGGGGAGCGCGAGCTTAGGCTCCCACGGCTCACCATTATGCAGAGGTCGAGCTTCCCCACGAGCCGAATTTCCTCAGGGTCCGTCTTCTTCGCGGTGCCCGTGTAGTCCCGCTCCTCGACTTGGCTGGGCTTCTCGTCCTCTACCGTTGCAGTATCGGCACGATCAATTACTTCCCCATCTCCGGGGGTAATGGGAGGCACGCGTTTTTCCATTGCGATGACGAATATGGGGGGAACGATAGTTTGGATACAGCGACTGGGGTTTGGGACGAAAGACTCGAACAACCAGCGAGACGCGGAACAAGCTCTCCTTAAAAGTGAGCCAGTCCGAAAGGGACCGCATATCAAAGCCCAATCCGGGGTGGCACGAAGGCGGGGAAGTGCGCAGGGAGGGGGTCTTCCTGCTAACCAACGATCAATTACGTGGTTGTGACCCAAGTCAGCTGTCTCAACTCCGGTGAAGTTCATTGGACGACCCATTGATTGATATGCTCGGGAGGTGAGCCGGGGTTGGGGCGGGGATATGTCATCGATCGATCGACACCGCCGTGGAAATTACACATGCAGCCACGTACACCGCCCTGTCGAGCGTATCATCCAAGGCGCCATAAAGGCCATTATGCCATGTTAATCTGGACTCTGGCAAGGCTGGTGTAGCCGTAGCTTTCGCCTGTGCTAGAGATGTACGTCTAGTGTTAAGAATATATGTAGTGTGTTAACGGAGGTGAGAAAGTGCCCTGTCGACATGCAAAATGCGTTTGGTTGCCCTTGAAGTCTCTCAGCTGATCGCGTCAATTGATTAGTAGGCGGGTGCTGCTGTTCTAAAGTTGTTGACAGTATTACGGCGCGGGGCGGTTGGCGGACGGACTTTCCGACGTTAGGATGCGGTTGCGGTTGGAGCGGTGAGAGAGCGAGGACCGAACCAAGGTAGAGGTGGGTGAGAAAGGACTTGGACGATGGGTTCCTCGCTAGTAGCTGTGCTGGGCTTTAAATTCATGTTGATAATACCACTATCCAGGCTGTTAGGTACCCATTAGAAAGTTGCTAATATTCTACGGATAGTACTTGTATGATTGTGTCACAATTCTTTTCTGAAGGTGCGGTTTCAACTGGTTAGGGATCACAGTCAGTATAACTGCCCTAGAAAAGTATATACCTCGCTACCACCTACCTAGTTAGGCAAGCCAAAACGCAATTCCTACAAGACCCGAAGAAACTAATACGAAGGATGGGGCGGGGCTTGCAGCTTTGCAATGATACGAAGTTGATGGCAGGGGTGCGGGGGCTTGCTTTCTGTTTTGCCAGGGGTGTCGGAGAAGGATTCCTACAGAGTTGGTTGCTAAACTGTTCGGATTCTAGCAGGTATAATCATGAGGTGGCAGAACAGGGCTCCCGTCCTCAACTGCAGCCAGAAGCAGCACTAGCACATGTTAGTTGCCAAGGGAAATTGATGTCATGCACAGAGGGGTTTCAGGAACGTGCTTGTCACGAATACCCCGTAAAGGGTATTTCACATTATCGAAGGAATGCATATATCCGTCGCTGGCAGACTTGCTCCGGGCCTTGACGTCACCATTCAATACCACACCACGCAAACCACAACCTCCAACGGGTCATGACACATTGGCCACAGAACACGTTCTGGCTCGGTAGGACGGGAATTTCGATTCAATGGAAACCTTCCCATTACGGTAAACGGCAGAAAGGGCTCGCCTGCATTTCCCCTGGTTGCCCCTGTTCACACACCCAACAACTGCCGGCTTGGATCCGCCTTCCTTGTTTTCACCAAATGCCCCTTCCACATACCCCTTGCCTGGCCACAGGGTTGGAGCCTCTCGTATAATTTTTGGGTATGAGCCAAATCTGCGTTGCTGGTCCTCGATTTAAATAAAGTTGCGTCGCCAAGGAACCACAGCCAAGCTCTTTCCCTCACATTTATTGTTTCCCGCTGTCTTGCTCCTCCGTCCGCCACATCAAGTGGGTGAGTTGATCTCAAATCCACCACATCCCACTTCTCGGACATCGATACTTTTTGTTCACGAAACTGACGTCAGAGGTCGACTCAGCCAAAAACTCTCAAAACTCTTACGCCTCGCCATATAGCTCAACGACACGTGTACCCAACGCGAATCTTCACGAATAACCCTCGTTACCCTCCCTGTTCCGGCCAATCAACATGTCACCGGGCGGGCTAAAGAAGCCGATTCTCGCGCTCAACCGAATTATCGGGCACACGACTGCCAAAAACCATATCACCAAGCCGCACATTGGCAACATCGCTGCCCTCGACAATGATACGCGACATGAAAAACACTTGAAGAAGGCGCAGGATAGACTCGTCAAGGAGGATGAACGGGAGAACGAGAGGCGGTCATTTCAACAGCGTCGAATAGACGAGGAGGAGAGAGCGCATCAGGATGACCCGCCCGAGATCGCTGCTCGCTACGGCACCAAGACCGACGATGTGCTTGCAAAGACGGAGTCCATCCAAAAGCTAGCAGCGGACCCCGACAACGCCGGCATGGCCGTCAGTTTCATCGCCCGCGTCCACCATGTCCGGTGCATGAGTTCCAAACTAGCATTCGTCATTTTCCGAGACCAGATCGAACTCATTCAGGGCGTGCTGGCGTACCGGGAAGGGGAGGTGTCGGAGAACTTTGTGCGCTGGGCGGAACATCTCATCACCGAAGGGTATGTCCACGTTCAGGGGACACTTCAGAGACCCCCCGAGGAGATCAAAGGCTGCTCAATCCGCGAGCTCGAGGTCAGGATCGACACGATGCACTCGGTGGTACCGGTGAAGGAGCACCTCCCCATGGATGTCTTCACCATGGACCGAGTTGAGGAAGATGAGGAAACCGGGCGGATGGAAGGCATGGCGTCAACCAGGGTGCGCGTTTCCAACCGCATCCCATATCTACGCACACCAACCGCCCAGTCTATCTTCCGCATCAACGCCGTTATCTGCAGTGCCTTCCGCTCCATACTCGAGGCCGACAACTTTATCGAGATCCACACCCCCAAGCTCATGCCGGGGGCAACCGAGTCGGGTGCTGAGGTGTTCCGGGTCGGCTACTTTGGCCGTACCGCGTTTCTTGCGCAGAGCCCCCAGCTGTGCAAGCAGATGAGCATCTCAGCCGACTTCGACCGCGTTTTCGAGATCGGTCCTGTGTTCCGCGCCGAAGACAGCAACACTCACCGTCACCTGACCGAGTACACGGGCATGGACTTGGAGATGGCCATCAACACCGACTACCGCGAAGCAATGCGCGTCATTGACGACTTGATGAAGGGCATTTTCGAGGCCATTTACCGTCGGTGCCGGAAGGAAATCGACGTCGTCAAGACACGCTTCCCACATAAAGACCTCGTCTGGCTAGACCAGACGCCCATCTTGACCTTTAAAGAGGCTGTAGACCTTTTGAACTCGTCGGGCTGGACCAATGACCATGGCCGCAAGGCTTCTGAGTTTGAAGATCTGAACACCCGCGCCGAGATTCGGATCGGAGAGCTGGTCAAGGAAAAGTACAAAACAGATTACTACATAATCGACAAGTTCCCGGCATCTGCGAGACCTTTCTACACCCACCTCGACCCGGAAGACGCTAGACTGACCAACTCGTTTGACATCTTCCTCCGCGGGCAAGAAATCACAACAGGCGGCCAGCGCATCCACAAACCTGACGTTCTCAAAGAGCGGATGACCAAGGCAGGAATTGAGCCCAGTGGCGTCGAAGAGTACATGCAAGGCTTCGAGTTTGGTGTGCTTCCTCACGCTGGATGCGGAATCGGCTTGGAGCGGCTCTTGTTCCTATTGTTGAACCTCGGTGACATCCGCCATGCCTCACTTTTCCCACGGGACCCCAGGTCTCTGCAAGAACACAAGGAAACCATTGTGCGATTACCGCACCCGGAAGCAGACACGATTCGCTACGCCTACGACTTCGAGCATGGCTACCCGGGTCTTGAGCTCCCCACGGTCGAGAAGCTCATCGCCAACTACGGCGACGCCACCAACACATCCTGGCTTGACGATCGCTACAAAGTGTGGCGACACGAAGCAACGGGCGCCGCGGTCGGCTACGCGGAAGAGAACGGCTACAGCCTTGTCATGGGCAACCCCCTCTGCGACCCAAAGCAGTACCAGCCCGTGGTCCGCGCCTTCCTCAAGGAGATGCGGAAGCAACAAGACCTTCGACCGCTCTGGCTGCTTGTCGGGCCCGAAGTTGAAGAGATCCTCGGCTCCAAGCTCGGCTGGAGGACACTCAGCTGTGTCGCGGAGGAACGCGTGCCGATCGAGTCAGCGAAAAAAGTTACCAGAAAGGAGCGCCAAGCTGATGACGCGGGTGTGACCATTCACGAACAGCCCAACGGCGAGCCCGTCCCCCAGGAACTCCGCGACCGCTGTGACAAGAAGATCCAGGAGTGGAAGGACAACCGCAAGGGCAGCAAGCAGGTGCACATCACCGAGGTCCGTCCGTGGGCCGACATGGAGCACCGCCGCTACCTCTGGGCCGAGACCAAGGAGGGCGACATCGCGGCGCTCTGCGTGTTGCATCGCCTGGCTCCCGCCAACGGCTACCAGATCAAGTTCGCTCTGGACTTCCCGGGCTCGCCGAGCGGCACCATCGAGGCCCTCATCTCGGCCACCATCCAGTCGCTTGCCAAAGCCGGGGTGCAAAACGTGACCTTTGGCGCGGGCGCGCTGCCGGAGATGGTCACGGGCGGGAACCTGAACGGCATCAGGGCGCGCATCCTGTCCAAGACATACAAGACCATCGCGCAGCAGCTGAAGCTCGTGCAAAAGAGCGAGTTCCGGGAGAAGTTTGGGACTCGGAATGACCTGGTTTACATTTGTTACCCGTTCATGGGCCTTGGTGTCAGCGGTGCGAGGACTCTCATCAAGTTCTTCGAGGATGAGATGTGAGTTCCGTGACGGCTGGCCCGATTTTCTCTTTTCATGATTCATGATTGTAGAACCAGGAGATGTGTGTGTGTGTGGATAAGAGCTATTTTTGTATTCTCTTTCTTTTTGGATTTCGTGTTTGTTAATTTCCTTGACGATTGATACCTTTTATCATGTCGACGACGGCGTCGTATGAGAGTACCCGACTCGCCCGGATCTGCGGGGTTGCCGGATTCAGTAATGACAAACGAGAGAGGAATATGACCCGATTGATATCTTGTTCCTGGTGTGAAGGAATTCAGGTTTGGGATGCTGGGCATGGGCTTGAAACACTCGCCGCTGCCCTGTGGTGCCTCGTCGTGTAGTTAAATGGTCAGTCCTCTTCCCACCCCTTGTTTCCTGGATTATTGCCTCCTGCACGTCTTCAACAGATCTCTCCCCGATCATGCCGGCGATGGGCGCTTCTTCAATGTGAGTGGACGAAGCTGAAGTCGTCGCCAAGAAGATAATCTCACGGATGAGCTCAGCTGTTGATCTTGGTTCCGGACCTGCCAAGTTTAAACCCGGCCCAATCAAGCTCTTCACCCCGATATTTATGTGGGATCATGGCACGTGTTTCATTCGAGCACCTTGCGTCGCCGAGAGAGTCTAGCTGGGTTTGGACTTATCTTGCGCTGCGCCAGCCCTGGCCGGACCCGACAAGCACCCGAATTCAGTTAAAAACCCACCAAGGGAACGCTGGCGGGTAACATTGGGATGCGGCACAGCTCACTTGGCACAACGCTCGCCGTCCCAAAGCGAGGCACAGAGCCGATCATTGCGGCAGAGAGGGGAACAAGCGAGGCAAGGAAGCCGGGTATTTTGTTCATCTTGCCCTGGGCCCCGCGGCCGATTTCAAGACTGGTGATCTCCAAGATGTTTCCCATGACAAAAAAATATGGAATCGAAAACGCCTCGGGCCCAGCCAGCGCCGGAATATTCCCAGCTGCCCGAAGTGTCGGCGGGATGGGGAACAGAAGCCCCTGAAGCGGTTGAGATAGGTCTCGACTCGGCGAAACCAGCGCCGGTGCCATATCCCTCTTCGGATAGCAACTGGATTCCACCACAGTACCACCAGCACCCCAAACCGGCATTACAAGCTTCACAGCCACCTTTTCCGATCGCTTCCAACCCAGACTCGCCAGCTCATGGCTATTCAACCCGCTCGGCACAAGGAGATGGGGAAGGGTCGCGCAGGAAAACGATCCTCATCCTGTCTATTCTCGTTGCACTTCTCGCCGCTGCCGTGGTTGGTCTAGCAACGGCAACGGGACTGATGGCAAGGCGTGCCAGCAATGCCGAAAGCGCCAACCCCCAACAAGCCAGCAACGGGACGTGCTCGACAGTAACCACGACGGCAACCACGACTACGACCGCTGTTGTCGCATCCACGAGCGGAGCCAGCCCGGTACCAGTAGTTGACCTCTCGAACGGGTGTTCCGACAAGAACGAGCGGATTTCGGGCACTACATACACCACACAGAGTAAGAACCCTCGCCCGCCACAAGCTCGCACTCACGCGCTGACTCGTATCCGTCACCTGCGCCAGTCTTTGGGAAAGTCAGCTTCATACGGTACTGCAATGCCCAGCCAAAAGAGTTCCCCATCTACGGCATGCTCACGCTCGACTTTGAGGCGTGCATGGATGCTTGCGCTGCCTGGTCGTCCAGGGGCCGTGACGTTCTCGGCAAGGACAATCCCAACGCGATTTGCGGCGGCGTGCGCTTCGTGCCCGCCTGGACCAACAAGACCGTGGCGTGGGCTACAAATGCGAGGGGCAACTGCTTCTTGCATAAGACCCCGCAGACGGTAGAGGATTTAACGGAGCCGGATCTGAAAAACAAGGTGCCCTGCCACGCAGCCATCCTGGTGGAAAAGCGGTAGAGTTGGGGCGGTGCATCGACTAGGGGGTTTGGATCCAAGTCAACTTAATGTTTATATGAATTACAATTTCGTTAACCGTTCACAGCGAGCTTTACTCGTGATTCTCGGCCACTTTATAGTCCCTCTCAAGGCCTGAGTTGGCTGGCCCCTTTTCGTTCTGGACCCCAATCCCAATTGAAGGCAACCCGATCCGGCCATGCAGCTCCAAAGCACCAGGGGCCGGTTGCCGTCTACCGAATACATTAATCTAATTCCCCTCACAAGGTGGATCAGTGCAGACGACAACCAGCCGCGCGCGCAAGATTACATGTAGTATATCATGCAGGGTACTGCATCGAACTAAAGTGGTCGTCGCCATGTAAACCACGGCGACGCCAAGAACGAAACATGAATTGTGTTCAGCCTATTCAGAGCTCAGGGCAGCTCTAAATCGGCCGGCACTTGGTTTCGCGGATGCTGGACCCGAAGTTTTAAGGGAGGAACATACCTTACCTTCAAACCCCCTCGAATACGGCCGACTTGTTCTGGGTACGTCCATAACAATGCCTCGTGTCTCCTCACTTCTCGTCACGATTCTGGCCCTTGCGGGGCAGACATGCCTGGCACAGGCTAGATCACACCATGCCTCTAGGGTATTTCTGGACGGCCGCGATGTTGACGAGCAGTACGACTACATCATCGTGGGCGGCGGCACGGCGGGCCTGACCGTGGCCGACCGGCTTAGTGAAGATGGCGAGAGCACGGTGCTCGTCGTGGAATATGGCGAGCTTAGTACTGCTTATCCCTCCCCATGCCCACCATGGGTGTACGTCCCGCCGTTAACTAATTAACAGGTGACGCCGCTTCCATTCGCACCGTTCGAGGAGGGTTCATGGGTACGTCTAATAGAAGCCACATGTATGACATTCAATCTGTCCCGCAGACAAACTTGCGAAACCGGACGATCTCTGTCCTGGCAGGGAAGGTAGTCGGCGGCTCTAGTGCGGTCAATGCCATGATGACGGTACGAGGGTCGGCAGCCGATTACACCCGCTGGGGAGGCTTCTTCAGCGACACCTCACACTGGAGTTGGGACGGGTTGCTTCCTTACTTCAAGCGGGCGTTGAACTTCGCCCCCCCTGATGCAGCCGTCACGAAATCTGCCAACATCACGTACGACACAAGGTTCTGGGGCAATACGTCAGGCGTGTTCGCCGGTTGGCCATCTTTCCAATATCCGGGAACAACTGCACAGATGGACGCCTTCAGGGGCATCCCTGGCGTCCCGTTCGTCGAAGACAGCGGATCTGGCGAACCGGGCGTGTACTGGTACCCGACCTTTATGGACCCTTCACTCGTAGAACGGTCGTACGCCCGCACCGGACACCACGACAAAGCCGCCAACCGTACGAACTACCACCTGGTTACTCGCTCCAAGGTGCTCCGAGTAATACTGGATGGGACCACAGCGAGTGGTGTATCATTTGTGCCTGTTGGCTCGGCCACCAACAGCACAACTGAGACCGTGGTCGGTGCGAGAAAGGAGGTGATCATCGCGGCCGGTGGGATCCACAGCCCTCAAGTCCTTCAGCTGAGCGGGATCGGGCCGCGCAATCTCCTGACCTCGGCCAATATCACGACTTTGGTCGACCTCCCCGGTGTAGGACAAAACTTCCAGGACCACCCAATGATTTCAGTTAGGTTCACGTGTAAGTTTACCACAGAGGGACACGAAAAAACGGTGAAACACTACCAAAAGACCTTACTGACCCGAGGGCTTTAGACAGCAACTTCACCTTCCACCCCGCCCCTGAGGATGCCGTCCTCGACCGGAATTTCTCATCCTGGGTAGACACGGTCTGGAAGGCCAACCGCACCGGCCCCAACTCCATCGCGACGGGCAACGGCGCCGCCTGGCTCCCCTTCCCCGTCATCTCGGCCCGGTCCGAAAACATCTCCGCCGCCCTCAGCGCCCAGAACCACACACTCTCTCTCCCCCCGGACACCGACCCAACCGTCGCAGCCGGCTACCGCGCCCAGATGCTGTCCTACGCCACCGCGCTCCGCAACAACGACACGGCCTTCTACAACCTGGTCATCTCCGGCGCCAACACCAACAGCATCCTCGTCGCGCTGCACCCCCTCTCCCGAGGCACCGTCAACATCGACCCAACCGACCCCTACCACCTCGAACCGCTCGTCGACTACCGCGCCCTGTCCAACCCGCTCGAAGCGCCCATCATCGCCGACCTCATCCGCTTCACGCGCCGCTACTACCTCGACAACCCGCGCACGCGCGCCTGGGCGGCGACCGAGCAGGCGCCGGGGGAGGCCGTGCAGACGGATGAGCAGTTTGCGGAGAATTTGGCCAGGACGCTGAATCCGAGCGAGTATCACCCCGCGGGCACGTGCGCTATGATGCCGAGGGAGTTGGGCGGGGTGGTGGATGAGGAGTTGAGGGTGTATGGGGTGGAGGGGCTGAGGGTGGTGGATGCGAGCGTGTTTCCGACGCTGCCGGGGGGGAATACTTGTCAGAGTGTGTATGCGGTTGCGGAGAAGGTGAGTTTAAGTTGGGTTGGTTTGGGCGGTGGTGGTGGGGTGGTGTGTGATTGTTGATCTTGCTGACTTGGTTATTATCTAGGCTGCGGATCTGATACGCTATGGCCCGCCGAAGACGCAGGAGTAGGTTGAATGGCGAAGTCGGGGTGTGCGAAGGCACTGGAGTCTAAGTTTAAGCGGTATAACATGATGGGATTTGATCTGCCACAACCTGGTCACAATTTACGTCAATGCCGGGGCGGCTTGGACACGCTCTCGGGACTAACAGTGTCGGTCTAAATGGAACTCGAATCATCGTTTCGATACCACCAAATAGACTTTATTTGTGTCCTCGATAACTTCTTTCCGGGGTCATTTACATTCCACTATTACGGGCTCATCGTCGTGTCAGTTAATCAGCAAGTTACATTCTCGTGCTATAACCTCGGCTATTGCTCTATTTGTGTCGGACGCGGGATCAGTTGTTGGTGATGCTCGACCAACCTCTAGCTTGTATCGTTCAAATGGATATAACTAGACGTTGACCACCTGACCTCAAAGCAACAGGACCAAAACCATCCACCCGCTCCTTCGCCACACCTGTCTGTCTCAGCCCACTTGCCTCATGTCCCTTCGTGCCAGTGATTGCATTCGAGGGATAGGCGGCACGACCGAGCGATTCACGGTGCGCGTTGGGCATCCCCCAGTCCCATGATCATGCGGTTTCTTTCCTCGACGGAACGAGCAGCCCTGGCAGAGGCCTGCCTTGAGGCAAGCCACCAGATGAGGGCGGCCAGCAATGGGACTCCCAAACCGGCACCGATGCCGACCCCGAGTCTCCAGCTTCGGGCCTCGGCCGAACGGAGTTCCGCTTCATGCCGGCGGATGTTCTGCACCAGCTGGTGGGCTATGCCCGATTGGACTGTGAATTGGTTGGTATAAACTTCCGGAAAGCCGGAGCCGGGCTGGCTGAGGCGGATGGTGTTGGCAATCCCACTCGCGGCGGACGCGGCGTGGCCCGGGGACACGTCAGGAGCATGCGGCGTCGGGAAGTCCTGTAGAATTGAGAGTGGGTCGAAGGTGAAAGCTCCCTCGGTGGAGGAGCTCGTCACGTCTACGCAAATAGTTGAAGGAGTCAGTCAGTGTCGTTGTCTGATTTGGGAGGGAGAAGGGTAAAACAGGGTGATAGAAAGTAGGGTCAAGGGCCACGTACTGGTGCTCCACATTACTGGAAGAGTGCTAGGCGACTTCTCGTCCTTCTCTTGGAAGGGGCTACGGTGGAATAGCCACTCGACCAGAACAGTGGTGCCCGGCTGCGCCTGGCGCCAGCGGATATCGTACTTGTCGTGATGATAGAGGACAGCGTACGACGCCGTGGTGACGCCTGGAATCAGCGCATCCGCGCCATCTGGGTAGGCGCAGGCCTGCCCGTTCCGATCGCACCAAATGAATGACGACAGGCAGATTCCTTGGTCGTTGCATGTTGTGTCTTGGGCGGGGTCAAAGGCCGCCGAGGCGGACGACAAAGCCGCCAGGAGGAAGAGTTTGAAGTAGAGCATGGTGTAGGTTCTGTTGCCCGCGTTTGGGCAGCTGAGCGAATCGGTAGGTACGAACCGGCGGATAGTAGGCGGATGCAAAGTGCAATGGAAGTTTGGTTTCCCAGGATAGCGACTTGCAGCGGAGGGGCATGTTATTTATAATTTGACACACGGTTTGCTCCCTGGACTAAGGTGACCTTTCACTTGTTTGTGAACTCGCCGCACAAATACGGGATGATAGCCCCCACTGTTCCACCACCCGGTTTAGGCAGGTTGTGCGGCTGTAGGGCACCACGTGCTATTGTAGGGCACCTAGGTACTGTGCCGATTACAATCAAGTGTTAGGTGTAGGTAGCTAAGTCGCTGAACGTGTGGCTCGGTGAGGATATAACTGTTGTTTTCATATGGTATATATATATATTACCTGACACTTATGTAGGAAATTGGTGACGTTGCTGTGCCTGGAATTTGTACTGTAAGTCCAAATGCTGTAAAAAGCTGGGTAAGCTGGGTACCTAGGTATGGAATAGTGGCGGATAACGTTCGTAATAGTAAATGTACGGGCAAAGGGGGGATGGGCGAGGAAAGACAGGCAACTTGATTGGACCGAGGGCCTTGCCGGGACCCTGGCTGGACCCAACCGCGCGAGACTGGGGCAAGAGTGAAGTCCGGCCGGAATAATTCACCGAGTCTCCTTCTCCCACACTTTCATTAGCACTCCAGGAGACTATAAATTAACATGTCGGCCTCAACCCATGTCAACGACTCAATCCAGGTCGTTAACGACACTTCTTGGCTGATTGGCCAAAGACTCCTCCTCTCACGTCACGCTGCACCGCCCCCCAACCGCAACCAGCCGTCCTGGAGTGACGGGAGCGGCGCGTTTTTCATCCTCTCCGATGCTCCTTCGCCCTCACCACAATGCCAACCACACCCGGCCCACTCACCTGAGCTACCGCGAATATATGCCGCCGGGGACCAATCCGCCGTTTGGCGTGCCGGGGAAGCCTTCATCAAGATACAAAACCTTACGGATCCAAAGAGCACCCGGGAGCACGTCACACTCGACTTCTTGCAACGCAAGAAGCCGCTCGAATTCAAGATCCCCACCGTGCTCCACCATGGCGAGTGGGAGGGTCGATATTATCTCTTTCTCTCCCGCGTACCCGGCCAGACACTGACAGAGGCTTGGCCTGGCATGGATGAGGAGCTGCGGCAGTATTATGTCCATCGTGTGGCCGAGCTGTGCGAAAGGATGTCCGCGTGGGAGGGCGAAGCCATCTCCGGAGTTGATGGAGGCCAGCTGACGGAACTCTACTTGAGGAAGGGCAAAACCCTCGATCCCGACATCATCCGAGACAACTGCGTGGGCATTGGCATGGATGTTTCTTCTTTGGTGTTCTATCACTGCGACTTAGGGCCGGGGAACATTCTTGTTGGGCCAGATGAGGACAGAGGGATAGGGATTATTGACTGGGAGGTTGCCGGATACGTCCCGAGAGAGTGGATTCGGACAAAGTTTCACCTCTCCTCTGGGATGGATTTCCCCACCGTAGAGGACGCGCAGAAATCAGACTGGCGTCGTCTTGTGTCCAGGAAACTAGCTGCCATGGGGTTCAAGGAGGTCATTGATGGATGGTTGGCCTTTCCCAGCGCCTAGGAACCAACGTTTAGGCAACTCTGGGGGAGAGGCATAGCGTTAGAGGACGGAATCAGACAGTCTTCTTTACTGCTACAAGGTCGCTGTCATGAACTTTACTCGGGATATTCATGTCAGGTACGGTGAAATTGCGCCAATTGTCATAGGTAGTGGTCAGTCGGACACTGACGTGATTGTTCAACGTGACTTTGAACAAGAGTATTGTTCGACTGTACCAGCGATGTTTTCATTATTGTCCACGAAAATTGCAAAAACAACACACATCGTATTTAAACTCCCACCACCCGAGTTTTCTAAGCCTCGGTCTAACGCTTGTAAGAACGTCTGGACAATTCAAGCAGCCCAAAGTTTCAAATCTCCAACCAAGCATCAACTCATCATGCCGTCCACCGCGTTCTTCAGCGTCAGGATCAGTGATACCGACCCCAAGACGCTGATCGTCCTCCTCGAGTACATCCACAAGCCAACCAACATTGTGCTCGACTGCCAAAAGCACACCATCACGTTGCACCCGACAGAAAGCCGGGCCACCATCAGCGTCACGTCGCGAGGCGGCGTCACGGCCAGCGAGGACGTCGTTCTGTCCTCCGACTCGGTCGTCTGCACCGACTTCCTCCCGCGCATATTCGATAACACCGTCCTGCCCATGTACGCCATCAGCCCCGACCGCGTAGCCATCATGATGCAGCCGTTCGCGGCCAACATCGAGGGCCCGGAGAGGCCGCTGATCAAGTTTGAGGGCGGCATGTTCGAGGAAGTCTTTGGCGGCCGCATTGGGATCGATGCCGACCCCCGGAATGAGGCTGCCGATGGCAGTTCGGGCGTGGATGTCTTTAATGATGCGTTGGCGAGGCTATTCGAGAACGCGAGGAGTGTGGTGTGGGGAACGAACCAGATTCTGCGTCCGTAGAAGGGTTGAGGAGGCATGGGTGGTAGTTTGTGCTTGTCTCAGCTTGCTGTATCACGCCGAGCAGTAGTCTATGTTAGTATCACAATACATTTATTTCATTGGTGATGTCCCTATATTATTGTTAGCGGTGCCACACATTGTCTCTTGTTTACATGGTAGCGTCCCCCTTTCTCGTGTGACATCTTCCCGACAGGGTAGGTCGCTGCGCTGACACTGTACCGTGCAGCGTTGCTTCGGAAGTTTGGGAAATGGATGTAGGGACCACAAGCCATAGAGGGGAACGCTGTAGTCTGTGTCCTGTATGTCGACTCCCTCTTCTAGGACGTCGAATAAGGCAAGGCACCTTAGGCATGTTAATTGTTTTTCTCAGCAGGGATGAGCCTTTGCCAAACTCATTAATCTGGACCCAGAGTACGGACCGCTCTTTGACGAATCATTAGGTATTAATTGTGCGAGCTGCCGTTGAATAATAATTGGATAGTCAATGGAGAATCCTTGGTACGGCTTTCCGCTTTGAATTTCATCGTAGTGCCTATTAATAGTATGGAAATATCATCATCTCGTGGCTAACAACAATATACCTTTGCTAGGGGGTAGTTTCTTAGCCTGAACTCCCTAAACTCGCTTGCAGGTGAACCTCGGATCTTATTAAAACAATTAACTGTAACGTAGAGAGACTACTTGTAATCGTGGGTTAAAATGAGGTGTACTGGTTTCTCTAAGTTCAAGCACTACACATTCTCTTCAACCTATGACTTCCCCCAATTCTCACGTCCTTTCCTTAGCCATGATGTTCGCGTTGTTTAGGACTTTGTTTGTTGTAATTAGGACCACTCCCGTTCGATCCGCACAACGATGAAGGGCTTTGTTGGTTTTCATTCTTGTTTGTAAACTACACACCTTCCAGACAATGAGGCTGATTTTCTATAACTCTGTAGCGCCAATTAAGAACATATTTAACCGATAGGCTACCTATGTTTCGATCTTCGAGTATGTCCGACTGAACACACACGACACTTACCTAGATACTTGCCGAATCACTCCCGTCCCGTCTAGTACGAAGCAGCAGTTCGAAACCGTTAGTATATTGAACAGCCTAACGCAAGAGCCTAGAGTTTGAATCAATAAACATGGCTGCGCCTAATTTCCGATACAGCCTCTCGAACGAGGATAAGGACATAAAACCCGTACTCGCCGCCGTGGCCAAAGGCCTCCACCGCCCCCAGATTCCCGATCCATCCGAGCCAGTCGATCTCAAGCACAAAGTCAAGAGGTACCTTAACGAGAAGCTCGCTGCGCCCAGCCCCCCAACAAACCCCCCAACCAATACCGAGGACCAGGCCACGGAGCCCAAGCTCGGCGAGAGGGCCAGGCGCCTCGTTAGAAGCTGCCTCCACCTCACCGACACCACCATCGAGGGCAGGAAGGGCTGGGGCTTCACCATAAAACCCTATACATGCGACTGCTCCCGCGCCGAGGTAAACCCGCACCCCGTGCTGGCCCTCGTCCTCCCGGTGCACTTTACCCCCGCTCCAAGACGTGGCCTGCCTGCCCGCGCTCGCCCGCCACGCCGAGTGGTGGCTACCCCCCAACGAGGCCAAGGGCGCGGACAGCGTAGGCCAGCACCTGAACGAGGCGGCGGAGGCGGCGCTCGCGTTCCAGGAAAAGTGCGCGTGGCTCGCGCGCGAGCAGCTGCCGCGCGTTCGGGAGGAGGCCGACGAGACGGCCCGCCTGCTGCGCGTGCTAGCCCAGCGGCTGACGGAGCGACCGCTGGGCACGGGCATGTGGGGTAACACGCCCGGTGAGGTGTCGCTGGCTCGGGTGGATGCGAACTACCGTGCGACCCAGCTGCAGACGGTGAGGAGCGAGGTGGCCGACAATGTGCGTGACTTCCTGGAGGGTGAGGTGAAAAGGTTGGCGGATATTCTAAAGGTGCTCATTAAGGAGTTCGAGAAACTGTCCAAGGCGCCGGATACGTGGACCGGGTGCAGGACGTGCGCGGGCCATGTTCTCCGGGTTTTAAAGGATATCGGGGCTATCAAGGGTTCATTCTTGAAGATGTTCCTTATGGCGGCGATGGATTTGTTGAAATTGTTGCCTCGCGAAGTGTCCATTCAATACAATGTACGCAAACTTGAGAAGGCCGCGGAGCGGGAAGAAAATCTATCGCGGCGTACCGGGGAGATGATCAGCCGGTTTGGGGGATGGAGCGAGGTTATAGAGAATGTGGAACTTGGCTGGACGGAACTTGTGGAACTACACGAGCGTAACGAGATCTAAGATGGGATCAATAGAGAGGGGCATTGTAGTTTAATGTAGGTAGATACATTGCTAGTTGCTACCTTTGTAAATCAATGTAAAGTGTATAATACTAGTTGGTACCTATGTACGGTATTAAAACCTACCCCCAGCATAAGGTACTGCATATAAATAGCTTTTCCAAGTAACATTATTTTACCTCTTTCACTCTGCTATCAAAGGCCCAGCCCCAGTATATTCGGATACTATCATGACTTCGTGGACAGGAACGCCTCCGTCCGCTGGGGTGTTGTACTTGTCGAGCACGGGCTCCAGCAAGAAAGTGCTCACGTTACGTCACAGTACCTACCTAAAGCAACGAATGTTTTGAATGGAAACCACCAACTGACATTACGGCGTCGGGAAGGTCTTAAGCAAACCATAACTTTGTTGCGTCACGAATTCATCCAACGAAGCAGGGTTAAAAGGCCCCGGGCGACCGAGGTTCCATCGTCTCCCGACTTTGGCGCCCCCTTTCCGCTTCACTGCAAGTCTAACATTAGGAGGCGGAGTGCTGGGATTGTGCGAAGAATGAGCTCCCAGCCACAATGCGGGTAGCGAAGCACTTGGACGGCTTGGTCCCAGTTCTCGTCATCATTATCACTGCTCGAGAGGTAAGGTAGCTTTGGTGCTTTCGAGGGTGAACGATTTGCCGCATCCAGGCCACCGACTATCTTCGCGTCCCCCCCGTGGGTTTACCATGGTCCTTTGAGTAGGAGGCTGGTTTGATGGACGAACGTTCCACGTCAGCTTTGATTTGTCATTGCATTTTATGTCAATAATTACCAAGCTGACCCTAGGCTCTGAGCCGACGATCCGGACGATGGTGCCGATTTAAGCGGCTGCAAATCTAGAACCACCTGTCGTTAGGACTGTACCACACGACCCGGGAATAGTATCTACTCCGCATATCAGTCGGTGGCATAACAATTGTTCGTGAGGCGTATTCCTGGTGAGGCTCCGTCGCACCCTTGCTTAATGCTGTCTGGGTCCCGCCGAGGCGAGATGGTCTTGATCCCTTGGAAGAGGACTGATTTATAATATGCCTAAGGAGTTCCGCAACAACCTCCCACAAAACAGCTTTGTACTGTCTGACAAGGCTCTTGGGACGTTGGGGCTACCAGGGACATTCTTTCAACCTGAACGCGTAGAGGCGGAGAAGTTTCCGAACTCGAGGGGTGGACAAACCAAAGGCAATGTTTCACCTGCACACGCACGTCCGATTTACTCACTGCTACTGGTTGTTTTACGCTTTGATATTTCTGAAAGCACGCGCGTGCCGGCGCGCCAGTAGGGCCTGGCGTGCCTGGCACATGGGCGTTGATCAGGCCCACGAAGGGCTGCGCGGGAATAGCGAGACGCGAGCTGACGGTGGCTCCCTCCGCGGCCCCCATTCAACCAGGTTCTCGGTGAAGTTGACGGGAAGCCCAATACGGCAACAATATGATATTATTGCGGGACGTATGCGGCTTTTCGGTAGGCTATGCAGCCAAATGTGATGGCCGGCCTCGCCGGCTCCGCTCAGTTGCCTCGAGGCCGCTGAAACCATGAACACCCGTGCAGCGTGAACAAGGATAATGAACAGTTCCGCGAGCCAATTGGGTTGAATACAACACGCTGAGTTCCGTTGTCCGCCAGTTGATGGGGCGGAAGGCGATGGATTAGAACGGACATGGTCTTGCAGTTGGTCTCAGCTCCTCTTATTGCTTTTCCTCCCAGTTAGTGGCATGAGTGCGTTGGAAGCAATGTACACGCCCCACTCCCGAGGGAGAACAAGGTTCGCCAAGTACTTCGAATGAACCCAAATATTGCACTCAAAACAAGGATATAAGTATAGAGGTGTAGCTCTAGTATTCGCAGGGAGACAGAAAGGGGGGGTGAGGGGTGGTAAGAGCACCGAAGGGCCGAAAGGCCGGCGTTGTGAGACTATTGCCGCAGACGACCGACGATCAGGGTCTGCCTTGAGCCCGTATACCGGCAAATGGTGAAGATGTAAAGCTTCATTCGGTGACACAAGGCTGACTCGAATCCTGCTCTGCTGCCTTGAGAGACTCTTCATGGAGGGGCCGAGGCATAGCGTTAAATTATGAAGGCCCTTAGCTATATAAGGGAGAAGGAGAACCAGCTCCAAATTCCCAGCTCGACATCGCAGCATCAAACCCCTTCAGCATCTCTAATCTCTATCCTGCCACTTTCCGAAAGTCCAACCCCTTCCGGGATAACAATCTGCCCAACATGCGTTTCGACATCGCGACCGTCCTGGTGTTTGCGGCCATGGCTACTGCTAGCGCTATCCCGCACGACCATGGCGAGGATTTGAGCTCCCCCGCCCCGAGGAGGCCTCTAGACAAGCGGGACAGCTACGACTGCAAAGGCAGCAGCATGTGCTCCTCCATGCAGGTCAAGTACTGTGACGATGCGGTCAACAGCAAACTCATTAGAAATAATGATGTCAACTACGGTGCACCCGGGTATGTAGTCCAGGAAGGGTTTCCATTCATTACAAGCCCATGATGCTGACACTTGCAACTAAACAGGAGTGGCCGGCCCCAGACCGGAGCCTGCTCGAACATTTTTGCCGGGTATGGTTGCGGCGTCTTCATTCAGGGCAAGTCTCATTGTGCGCGGACGGGCAACGAGATGTGGCAGGATTATCAGGATATTCGCAGCAATGACTGCAAAAAATGCGGTACCAAGCATTGGGGTGATGGTTGCATGACCACCATCAACTACGTGTCTGGCTGCTAAACATCCATGGGGAGCAGTCAATGTTGGTGCAGTGGCCGGCGCGGCCGAACGTGACGGACAGTCTTTACTGGTGGTGGAACGAGTGACTACCTAGGTACCTTAGCTAGGGATATACTATTAAAGAACCACAGTCATTACCTATCTTCCTCCATTTTTACATACCCAGGCAGTTGTCGTTAGTGGCAATGGACAGCCCCCCTTCCCTCGTTATAACTCGTGGTGATCTTCGACCTGCCACCAATGGGCTCGCCAGCCTGACTTGAGTGTGAAACGAGACTAACAAGCCGTCAGTAGCCGCCGCCATCGATACCTCATGCATGCCAAGCGGGTTGGCAGGGCCAACTGCATTGTTCAACGGGTCGGGCTGCAAGGCAAATTCCGTTGGTACCAGACCAACCCACCTTAACCTTCGACTGTCCTCCCTCGCAGAACGGGTCGTATTTCTTCTAACTATCTGTCAGGGTATCCACGATGGCCGCCATTCACGAGGGGCTTTCCAGGCTACACGGGGATGACAAATGGGCGGATCTGACCGTGATTTGCGGGGGAGAGACTTTTCGGCTCCATCGAGCCGTCATATGTCCGCAGTCGCCGTTCTTCGAGAAGGCGTGTTCAGGAGGCTTCATCGTCAGTATCCCCTCCATTCTTAACAACGAAAGGGGCACTTATTAATTTCTTCGTTACCGGAGTATAGGAAGCTACCACAGGCCAGATTAACCTCAGCGAAGAGGATCCTCATATATTTGCAAAGTTTGTCCGCTTCATCTATACGGGGAACTACGACGACGAAGACAATCTGGACCCTCAACACTGCGATGAGTCCGTGCTTCAATCCGTCGACCATTTGACGTCCTCTCTGCGACACTTCACCGAAATCCCGGGATTGGACCTGTACGACGCGGAACTTTGGAACGATATGACCAGGACTTATCATAGCACATGGGACGATAACGTGTTTTGTAGATGTGGTAGCTGTATTTGCAACGGCTGCCGGGAACATGATCAATTGGGCCATTGCGCATATAGGTTCCGCCAGCGAAGGCAGGATCTGTGCTGTGATGGGTATAGCTCCGATGGGGAGGAATATCTTGACGACACCGAGATCGATGGGGTCGACGAGGGGCTCCAAGAGGGCCTCGACAAGGATCCTGAAGGGTACCTCACCGAACTCCCGCATGCCATGCTCACCTCGGTGAGAGTGTACGCCATGGCGGACATGTTCTGCGTGCCGGCCCTGAAAGTATTGGCCCGGAACCGGTTCTACAAGGCGGTAGAGGGGCACATTGAACCCTTTGACTTCGCCGACGTGGTGGATGAGGTTTTCGAGACGACAGCACCGGATGATTGGGCGCTCAAGGATATTTGCGTTCTGTTCATTCGGGCAAGGTGTTTTGGACCTCACAAGGATGCGACGTTGATGGAGGCATTGCAACCCATCTTCACCAATCACGAAGATCTCCTCGAGAGGATTCAGCTGTGGAAGGATATGGATGCTCGTGGGCTTGAGAAGCCAGGGCGGCCCGCCGGCGAGGATACACCGTGTTGGTGGTGCCCACGCGAGTAGGGCAGCACGTCCTCGCCCTATCTTGAGTTGCCTGCATGGCCAAGAAACGAGTCAGTCTAGGAATATGGGTGCACAGTAGGGTGGAGAGCTGGAGATTTATGTTTAGAAAAGACGCAATCAGCATCCCTGGGATGTATTGTAGAAAAACAAGTCTAGTTCATTGGAGGAGTCCGAGGTGCTGAACGGGCTCGACGTCTAACTACCTAGCCATCAATCGTCCAACGTGGATCCGAGAGCTGAAAAGAAGGGTCCATATCCATGTTACTCTCCCGCATCGCTGGATTTGCGAGTGTTCCCGCCGCTGTACCAGCTCCCGCTTTCTCTCGGGGGGGCTCTGATTCGTTGTTGGCATGGGGGTCTTCATGACCAGAAATGCTGTCGGATTCCTCAAGCGCAGGCCACGGAGCCGCCTCTTCCAGGCTCAGGTTCACAAGACGAGTTGGTATTAAGCCACCGCCAGACTCCTTCTTCCTTGGCTCCTGCACCCGAGGAATGCCGATCCCCCAGGGCTCAAACCAAGCGAGTAGTGTCATAAGCAACAAGACGCCCGTGAAGGCAGAGAGCAGCGCCACGATGCTTCCCTGGCTTTTACCGACCGCCCCCGTGATGGGACGGACAATGATAGCCCCGACCTTTCCGGAGGCAGCCGCAATACCGTAACAAGTGCCCCTGAACTCGGTCGGGAAAGCCTCGGCGGCGAGGATGAATGTCAGCGTGTTGGGGCCAAGGTTGAACATGAACTGCGTGAGGGCGTAGAAGACCATGCTGGCAAAGTGAGAAGGCTTGCCATACGTCTGCGAGACCGTTACGGCGGTGACGGCAAACAAAATAGTCAGTATCCCCGTCGTCCACACAAAGTGTGTCTTGCGGCTGACGTAGTTCACCAGCGGGATCATTACTATGCTCCCGACGACAGCAGCGACGGAGGAAAGTTCGAGAGTCCTAACAAGGTTGTTCTCTGTCGTTTCAAAGATGTTTGCCTCCGGGAAGCCGTAGTCCTCTTTCCAAATGCTGAATCCCTTGAAGTCCTTTTTGTAGTTCTCCATGGCGCGATCGAGCGGCCTATCCAGCCAAAGGGCAGCAAGTGTTCCGGGACTATCGAATCCGGTCCCGTAGAAGACAACATCGAGCAGTAGCCACTGGAGCGAGATGGAGAGCAAGGGCTTCCACCCTTGTGTTGTGCCAAAGAAATAGGCGTAAGCCCGACTTCGCCAAGGGGACAGCTCCTGTGGCTCGCTCTCCTCGACGTCCGAGTTGACCGACTCTAAGTCTCCTGTCAAACTCGGTGAGCGCGATCCAACCTTAAGAACTGCCTCGCGCGCCTTCATCAGATCACGCTTGACGGCCGAGTAAAACCGGGGGGTTTCGGGGATCAACAGCCGGAGGACGATGGCGAAGATGGCCGGGATGCCTGCGAGCCCGAGCACAAGCCGCCAAAATGTATCCATGACCATGTGCTCTTGCGGCGATTCCGGCACAGCGCCTGTGTTCCACAATCCATGGAGCACGCCGAGTCCCAGGCCATAGGCGAGGAGGCGTCCGATGGCCTGTGCGAGGAAGACTGCTGCCAGGAGAGAACCGCGTCCTTCGGTAGAGGAGAACTCGGCCGCGATCACCGCAGACATGGGGTACTGGCGTGCAGGGTACGTGTCAGTCAACTGCCCTTGGTAATATCGCCCTATTTCCGCTTCGAGTACCATATGATATGAAGTGAGTGCAACGAACCTCAGCACCGATTCCAAATCCAAGAGCAAACCGCCACCAGGTCAAGGATGCGTAGATATTCATGGAGCTGTCGTACGTATCTGTGTTTCCGAACATATACCCGGCAGAGGAGAAAGCAGCGCCGCCAATGGCCGTCAAGACGATCAAAAGTTCAAAGCCGTATAGAGCGCTTCGGCCGAAGAGGTCGGCAAGGTGGCCAAACAACAGCATTCCCAAGACAGTTGCGGTTAGAGTAACGAGGTCGAGGATTTGAACCACGTCACCGGCCATGCTGATGCTCGGCGGATAGACATAGTAAAGAGCCGGGGAAACCACACCAACGGCGATCAAACTCCAGCTGGAGGCGAGGAAACCCAGAAATGCGACGGCATAGACTCTCCAACTGAATCCAATGCGATCGAGGAGCCGAAGAATCCTCTGCTCTCTTCTTTGGCGACCCTGTATGACCATCGAGTATCAGCAGAGTATCCCGAAAGTGGAGCGCGTCGGACCCGACGGGCCGGGCCGAGTCTGACAGTCTGACTTACCCGGACATGCTGGATGTCGCGGTTAATATCGACAGGGTCCCAGAAATTCTTAACCTTCCTCGCTGTGGTCTCCATGATAAGAGAGGATTGCTTGGGTGAGTTGAACCTCTAGACTGAAGAGTGAGAGAGAGGTGAGGCCTGAGGGGGTCTCGAGCTTGGAGAAACGCGACATCTCACTTTCCTCCCCTGGCTGAAGTCTGGACAGAGCGCTGTTTTTAGCCTGGTTTGCGTCTGCAAGCACACCGCGGAAGAGTGACCCGGCGGCCCTGGGCCCCTTGTGGGATGGGCAAACCGCAGTGCGCCCGGCCAGTGAGTGTGGAAGTCCCGCGCCGCAGCTGAAAGTCGGTTGCAGTCTTGGCTCCACGACATGCAAGGATGCCCACGGGCTTCAACGAGAGGTTGTTATTGGTCCCCCACGGTCGATATTTCGAGTCCGTGTCACAAACTCACACCGGCTTGAGGCTCAACAACAGCGTCTAATCTTCCTCCGCCTGCCCCCCAAACACACCGGGCGATATTTGGGCCGTTTTGCACCCCCGCCGCGCCCCGATACGGATCAGCAAGCGTGGCAATGCTCGTTTCCACGTGGTAATCCAATATTGCCAAGGTAGGCTGAGGCCGCCCGGTGATCTGGTGAGTCCCAAGCGATCCCAGGGTGACTCTGACAAGGGAGCAAGGGAGGACAGGCGGCTCCGCGCGTTGCTTTTCCCCTGGATTCCCCAGATCGCCCGTCCCCACATCAACCGTGTTGGCCGTCGGGCCTTTGAAAGTCTGAGACAAGGCCCGCCGAGGATCGCCACAAGTCCACGACAACGTCCTAGCCGACACCGCAGCAGTCTACTAATGCTCTTAGAAGAGATGGAGGTGGTCGGCGTCATCGTCAGCGTCATCCCACTTGTCACCAAACTCGTCAAACACTTCGGAACCCAACGAAATGCGCCCCGCCAGGTGGAACGCTTGTCGCGGGTGCTCGCAGAGCTCAAAGACGAGCGGCTCTTGGACGCCGCCATGCCTGCTGAGCAGAAGCACATTCGGGAAATGTTGGACAGATGCACAGACCTGCTAGACAAGGAAATGGCCACGGGCCAAAAGAGTCGTGCTTGGAAGTTTTTCTGGTCGGCCGAGGCCGAGAACCGGCTCAAAGGGCACAATGACGAACTCGAGACGGAACTTGGTCGGCTTCAGCTTCGCGTGCACATGTTCAAGAAGTAAGTCTTCCTCGCCGCCACCAGGTCTGCTCTATAAGGTTCGAGCTCTGGATCAGCTAACCCTGTTCAAGTTCAACAACGGCACCTCCGGCCGAACATTCCTCTTCTCGCGACGCCCCGTCACCATTGTTAGGCTCGAAAGAATACACATCTCCGCCCCCCAAATACCGGCCAGGTTAGCTTCCTCACCTGTTCCATTGTGGCGCTTAGGGTTGGATACTAACGTCTGTTAGCCTCTCTACCCTTTCTTCCCCGTCGGTCATCCGTTGAAGCACTCGAGCTTCCGGCAACGCTGTAAGACGAACTATGCCCCTAACCCCCCCTTCGAATCATGACCTGTTAACTTGTATCCGAGGTGCCTACAAAACCCCTACGGCAAGCGCATCGGCGACAAGATCCGCCTGCATACGCTCACGATTATCGAACGAGACGACGTGTGGAGGCGGATCCAGTATGTCGGCCGTGGGTCGGGCGGTGCTCAGGTTCGAGTCACCCATAGAAGTCAGCACCGTCGTTTCCCAACCCCCGACGTTACCTATCCATATCTGCCAACAACGAACCCGCTAACAAACTCCGAGCAGTTCCCCGCGGTAACATCTGGTTCGAGGACGAAGATCTCGAGGACCTGTCGGTTTCGTTCCTTGAACCCCACGACATCACGATACAAAACGAGGAAGGATACAAAGTCTACCGGTCGTACTCGATCTATCAGTTCGGCACAGTTGCGCACCGGGAGGAGTTCCTGGTCCATGTGCGGGAGCGGCAACTCTTGGGCCGTTACTTCGCCGAAAAGATCTGGGAAGGGCGCGACCTGATTGCCCAGCAAAAAGTGGTCCGGCTGTGGAGGAAGACCACGTCGCGGGAGTCACAAAAAACAACCTTGTCCTTCATTGGGCGGGACGAAAGGCCCTACGAACGAGCGCTGGTCGACTTCCGCAGGAGTCCCACGCTACGGGATAACCGCGCCGAGCTCGCCGACGTCGTCGGTAGCTCGAAAACGACGCTCGAGTTCCGCCGTCCACCCAGACCGGCGCGGACAAGGTCGAGGCTATTTGGATCACGGTCTAGGAGCTCGGCGTCCTTAGTCTCAGACGACGAGACCAGCAATGACTCGGACGCGGCGCGCTTCAAGGCAGCCTTCGAAGCGAACCATCCAGCCACCTCCACCTTTTCCCCGTTGACCTTGCGTCCTACCGGTGGCGAGGCGAATTTCGATGACGTCCCGGGACTGTCCCCCAGCTTACCGGCTTTGTCGCCGACCTCCTCAAAGGCTCCTACCCTAGACACCATCAGCCTTCCCCCAGCCTCGATCGCCTCCCTCCCGGACGACCTACCCGTCTCCCCTCGGAGCTCGATGATGCCCGTAATAAAGGACGAAGATTTGTTCCCTTGATAAGACAGCGTTCTTCCATGGCGCCATTTCAGATGTTTGCGCGCAGTTCTTGAACTCTTTCCTGTACCTCAACCGGTACCACTAGTTCCAAACCCACCGTGCCATTGGACCATTGGATACAACCCACGGCCCGGCCTCGTCGCAGGACACGCAACCTGCGGAGAGATAGATGGGCGCCGAGTCAGCGGAGCGCAGTTGACACCCCTCCCACGAACAACCAAACCCCTTCACGTTATGTCCCCATATCCCAAAGGGGGTTAGTTCATTGTACCAGAATGTATACTCGCCCATGACAAACCCAGCTCGTAAGTAACTAGCCCTCTGCAGTTGAAATGATATCAGATTCAGCTTTGCATTAGCTCCCATCAGTTGTCTGACACAAGTCCAGCAGTCGAATATTTACAACTCACGGAAGGGCACTTCGGAGGATGATCTTGTTGATAGATTTAATGAGTTTAGAAGCTTCGGTCCATGGACAATGAGAACGCCCCATGTATTTATAACAAGGAATGAATAATCCGAAATCACAAGGATACTGATAAAGCTACTCGGTCGCTTTTCGTATCTACCGACTTGGTATAATCCCAAGTCCACGATGTGAATCAACCAAACCCCTTGACATCCACTCGATGGTGGTATGATAGGAATGCATTTTGGGTATGGCTCGACAATTTCAGGGGTCGGTATAGAAGAACCTTGTATCCAAGGGATTAAGAGCCGGATGTTGTTGTATCGAAGGACCCTCCTCCTTCTGGCAGGATAATATCTAGAATGTGGTAGCACAAAGAACGTATAAGTACTACCTAACAATGGGCCAGAATGGGATATGGTCGCGTTGGAATTACTTTACCCTCCGGGTATTATGCAGATACCGACGTCTGAACCATTCCTTTGACCTTTTCGGTCATCTCTGTCATGTCGACGTACCAGCTAAGCGACCAAGGAACCCCGATGGGTCGTCGCCTAAATTAAGTTTGAATGGACTCAGGATTAAGTGCCGTAGTTGCGTAGGATTCAACCGGGCGGCCTCGCATTGCAAAACACCCTAGGTTCCCCTATTAGCATCGTCACAGGCACGGCTGTAAATTAGTACCCTTGGGTTCGGGGTTCCACTGCATATGCTACGACCCAATGTGTCCGTCCGTTCCGGAATCCTTCTGAAAGCCAGGCCCTTAGTTATAAAGAAGAGTCAACTGTTGACACATTACAAGCAGTCAGACGCCTTGCTGCCCCCAGGCTCGCCGTCTTTGCTGTTTTCTGGCCATTGACCGCTTATTGCCAACCACACAAGCCTAAACTAGCATGATGTTCAAACTTTCACTTGCTTCGATATTCTGGCTCGCCACTTTGGCGTCCGCCGCTAGAAGCCCCGACCCGGTCCCCGACAGTATTGGGCGGCGCGCAGTCACACTCACAACTGTGGTGACATCGACCACCAGCACGGTGACGGCGAATCCTTCCGACCCGACCGTTTGGTTGACGCTGGCTACAAGAACTGAATGGCCATCCACCACAACATCAACAAAGACGACGGGATGTATCACTGTGTCATACATATACCCGCCGGAGGAACCAACCCCAACACCTAGTGGCACTAGTGGTGACGCAACAACTACTACATTGGTTAGGACGGTCACGTCCGTTATAACGGTCACTGAGATGCGCACCGACGTCCCACTTACCACGAGGCATTCGTTGACAGTCGAGACGGTGACAATGACGACCGACCTGACAGAGCACGCCACCCAGTGCACAAACACGGCGGTGTTGTCTTTTTACGTCGGAACTATTTACACCTCAACACAAATCTCAGCCGGCACAACTACCAGGGCCACCCAGACCCAGGTCTGCATGACTTCCACCACCCGGTGGTTACCGCTGCCCAACGTGACGTTCGTGCCACCGTATACGACTCCCTACTGGGATCCCGATTACTACACCAACGGAAGCATTATCACCGTCGCGGAGCCCCTCACCCGGACCAGTGTCGTCACGACCAGCACGGATGTGGTGACCTCGATCTCGATAATTTGCGATAACCCGACCACGGTTGTAACATCCACCTACTTCACCGTCACCAGCACGGAACAGACCACGACAGTCCAACCCACCGGCTGCGGCAGCAGTTCCGAATCCCCAACGGCACCAGCCGACACACCAACACCAACCGACACACCTGCGGCATCACCGGCACTGCGACGGAAACATGACGTATTGAGGGACGTGCAAGCTGGCGGAGAGATCCGCAGGCAGGTTGAGGAGCCGGTGGGCACCAAAACGGTGACATTTATCACGACGGGGGTGCTAAGCGACGGGGCCACGGTGACAGTTACTCGGACAGGGATTGTTGAGACCTACACCCGGACAGTTACCACCATCGTTATGGTTGGCAAGACCATCACGGCGACGGCTACCCAATCGCTTTCCGAGTGTTCCTCGCCTGCAGCGGTAACGAGTGGTTGAGTGGCGGTTGGGAAGTGCGTGTAGATACAGCGGAAAACATGGGGCCATCACAAGGCAGAGTGGTGTTTCATATTAGTTATTAGGAGTTTGTAGTAAACACACGAGACGCGCCGTCATCTCATCACCACACCAACACAGTCCCCCCTTGTCCCCAGCTCCCTACCTAGGCAAGCTCGCACTCAATCAAGCTCTCCACGCCATTCTGTTTATCCGAGCCCCAAATCTTGAGCACCCTCAGCCCCGCATCCTCCAACAACCGGCGCCAGTCAGTCTCAGTCCGCTCCCTAGAACTAAGCAGCGACAACATCATCAGATCCAGCGCCGTCGCCTGCCAATCCGCGCCCGTCCCCGGAATCACATTCTCATTGATCAACAGCCGACTATACCCGGGCCTCATGGCGGCCGCCACCCTCCCCAAAATGTTCCCACAAACCTCATCCGGCCAGTCATGCAGCACGCTATGCATATAATACGCGCGCGCACCCACGATAGGCTGCTCCGTATGGAAATCATACACCATCGTCTCGATCGCCGCATCCAGCCCCGCCGAGGGCCCCGTCTGTGCGATCACGGCCGGCACGTCCTGCAGCACCAGCCGGCCCGGCGCGCGCGGGTGCTTGCGCCGGAACTCGGCCAGGTCGTGGCCCAGCCCGCCGCCGATGTCGACGAGCAGGACGGGGTTGTGCGGGGTGGCGGTGGTGGGGGCGGTGTCGAGCCCCTGGATGAGGCGGGCTTGGACGGGGTAGAAGTCGGCGTCCATCCAGGAGGGCCGGCCTTGGCGGTAGCCGCCCATGTGGTGGTTGAATTGGGTGCCGTTGGGTTGGTTGGCTTGCAGCCATTCGAAGAAGTTGAGGGGGGTGTTGTAGGCGGCTTGGTAGGGGCCGTGGGAGACGTCGTTGGGGGTTTGGTAGTCGTGGTCGGCGAGCCAGTTGGGTGTGGCGATGAGGGCGGGGAGGCAGCCGTTGACGCTAGGGAGTGGTAAGCGAAAGCTTCCGGGGCGGTGGGTAGGGGGGGGTCTTGCTGCAGGTCCAAACTTACATGCAGGGGTAGCCATCTCCGATGATGGGTATGGTGAGCGATTTGGTAAAGTTGGTCGGCTTGTACTCGTCGGCAGCCACCTCGGTCATGTACCCCATGGCGGCCATGTGGCGCATCAAGCGACCTGCGCCCTCGACGTCAGTGGCGGACTGAGGCGTATTTGGAATGTTCGATACTTACACAACAGAGGGGGGTGGATGCCAAGGGTCTTAGCCAAGTCCCCGGCCTTCTTTGATCGATCGCCGTCCTTCACCATGTGGTGGAACAAGCCGATGTTCACCCCGATGGAGAGTGCCATGAGACAAGATGGCTGACACAGACAACATCAGAACCACGTGCCGTCAATAGGTAATGTAGTGTTGTCATAATGCTCACCTCAGCCCAGCAATGCTTGATCATGGTCTCACGCGGTGTCTCCAAAGCGCGGACCAGATCGCGGGCCTTCTCCAGCAGCTGCAACCGGCGAGCCCCGTCATCAGGCTTCAGGGCATCGCCGGTGGCGGAGATGTCTTGGATGAGGCCCGGAACTCTCTCCAGATCATTGGGACGCAGGGCAATCGAGACATCGACCAAGCCCTTGCGGGGGTTTCCGTTCGCCGTTCCATTGGTGGTGACCATATTAAGAGTGTCAGCGGCACAGGGGTGGTAAAGCGCGGCGAAGTTTGATGAGGGAGCGAAGCTGAAAAGGAGGGATAACAACAACAGAACTGCCGCTGGGGTCAGGCGATTTATGTTATTCTTCCTCACCGGTCATTTCCCCCGACTCAAAGCCGTCTTATCCAACTCGAAAACAACCGCGGAATACGGCCGCAATGAGCCCACGGATCATCACTGCTCACCTTAGCGTTGAGTGGTTGTTTTATAAGCGCCCCCGTGAGAGGGTAGCAAGTGCCGGGGATGTGGACGGGCAACCACCATTCATTCCCCTTCCGCGTTGCTTTCGAGTTCCTTCTCCTTGCTGCCGTCCCAAAATCCAGAACGGCAACGACCAGGGTCTGACGAGAAGACCATTCATCAACTCCACCATGCCACCGAAAAGGGCCAGCAGCATCTTAGCCGAAAGCCACAGAACATGGCGCATCAAGCCACTGGAGATCGCAACCTGCTGCGATCAAGCCATGGTGGCGATCCGGGGTTTTACAGGGGTGGAGCAACCAGTTGACGTTCGTTTGGAGTCCAAAGGGTCGTGACCCGGAGAGGGTTCCGTCCTCCGATGTAACAATGCAAAAAGCGATTCCGTAAAACATTCCCCTTCTAGGTACTGTACTGTGTTAGTGGTGTTAGTGGTGAGGGGCGTTGGGGGCTAAAAGAAGAATGTGCATTTCATGAGTGGTTGACCAAACTCACTTGGGCTTAGTGACCACCTTCTCCCTTCGTTGATGACCCGACAGTCTGGGCCCAACCGCAATCGGCGAACTCCCACCATTGATCACCATCCAGTCGAGGACTACACGTACACTAGATGACTAGTTACCAAGGTGGCTTGTCCCTCCTTTCTCCTGACGTCGAGTCGTAGGGCGGCTTGTTGCAGGAGGGGATGAGGAGAAGAAAAGCAAAAGCAAAAGCTAATTCCGATGGGGGAAAGCATGATGCTCCTCCAATCCCGTTGGCTGCCATGCACGGCAAACTGCCAAGGAAGGCCACGCGAGCAGGAATTTCCCGCCAGTCCGTCACCGACTTCTGGCCAAAGGTCAAGGAACACTGGAATAGCTTAAGGTTGACCCATTCCCCGCGCCCCTGAGCTGATCGTGCTGATCCCGGAAGAAACTAGCTTCGAGCTATAAAGTCAGGCTTTGCAAGAAAAAGCATAACGGCCTGCACGTCTTCAACCCCTTCCTCGGTTCGCAACCACAGTTTCGAGTGCGGAAATCGCCGCTCGCGGTGATTTGTAGTCATGGAAACAGGCTTTGCAGATGTTGAAGGCTGTTCGCCGGGTTAGGAGTTTGCAATTAGCTTCCTATCCATGTCGGCCGGAGGACCTCCCCACTAACTCTCAAGGGTTTGGTTCTCCGTGCACTCTCGCTACGCAGGGACGGGGAGGTGGCAAGACTCAAATGGATGCTGGGGACCCTGGGCTGGCCAGTTATTAGAGAGCATGGGGTTTGCACATCATCCTCCGTGCACTCCTTGACCGTATTGCATATATGAAGCGTTCTCGTCTTCGACCCGGGTTATGTTTCCCGTGTCAGTCCACATACCGCATCGTCTCACCTGTCCTTAGCTCTGCTTCGGCTCCTGACTGTCGGTAAATGTGTTGACTTCGGCAACCACGTCCCCCCGGCCCCGCAACAAGTCCCATCATCCCTTACGCTCTTCTCGGCGTTGTAAGGCCAGGCAAGGCGTAAGGGCCGAGCCTGATCCAAACAAAGCGCATTCGTTACCGACTGAGGGAGGAGAGCATCAAGGTAACAACCCATCCTCGCCATGGCCGCCGCAGAGAGTGCTGCCGGTTTAAACATCATCGACCATGACAAGGGGCCGGCGATTCTCGCCACTTCCATCACCGTCACCGCCCTCAGCACCTTGTTCGTTGCTGCCCGGTTATTCACCCGCGCTCGCATCATTGGCAAGCTGTATCTGGATGACTACTTCATCTCCATATCCATGGTATGTGCCGCCGTGTTGACTCGATCTCTGTGTTGACTGCAGTCACTAATATTCCTTTCCCATTCCCAGATCTGCAGCTGGGTTACCGTCGGAATAACAGCCAAAGCAGTTTCGTACGGGAGTGGCCGACACGCGGCTCTCTTGACGGAGTATCAGTTCTCTCATGCTATCTTGTGGACCATGGTCGCCTTCCTGCCTGGGATCTTGTCGTTTGCGGTACCCAAGCTCGCCGTCGTGGCGTTGTTGACGCGCATGATGAACCCAAGCAGAACGCACGCCGTCATAATGTGGACTGTGGCCATCGTGTGCCTGATCAGCTTGATGGGCTGCGTTGGCATCCTCTTTGGGCAATGCACACCCACCCATTCCACGTGGACCTTTAGCGTCAAGGGAGAGTGCTGGAGCCCCATGATATTGGTTAATTATTCCATCTATGCAGGATGTGAGATGCTTCCTGCTATCCGTTTTAACGAGAGCATGCTAACTCAGAAAAAGCGTTTTCCGCCTTCACCGATCTCTACTTTGCCGTATATCCTGCGATCGTGCTCTGCGGCCTGCAGTTGAACATCAGGAAGAAGATCGCTCTCTCCTGCGCGTTGGGAATTGGTTCAGTGTAAGCTTTTGTGTTTTCGTGGGGAAGCACCCGTCACTAACTTGGTATGTTAGCGCTACAATCGTCGCCATTTACAAGACAACGCGTATCCCCGGTCTTGCCAGCCCGGACTTTGTTTGTAAGTCAACAGCCACGTTATGCCACGTTTTACCACTGGACCAGCCCCTAATTAACACGTCACCAATAGATGACACCGCTGATCTCACGATCTGGACCGCGTAAGCTCCTTCCCTCCAGCCCTTTGACATGGGATCATCGACTAACACACACCACAGTATTGAAGGTTCCACCTTGATGATCGCGTCCTCGATCCCGATCCTGAAGCCGCTCATGGACCTCGTCTTTGGTCGCCGCGCTTTCTCCTCCAACGACTCCAACGAAAGGTATGAAAAGTACGATCGGTCGCGCAGCGGAAAGGATGAGTCGGGCGTGGAGCTCTCAAAACGCTCTCGCAAGCGCGGTCGGCCTATGGACACGGCCATTTCACAGCTAGAGACGGCCGTCGACTCGACCAGCTACGAGGAACACCGCAAGAGCGCCGACCAGGACAGCCAGACGAACATTGTGTCCAGCACGTCCGAACCACCCGCGTCGGTACCAGCAACACCGCCTCTCGGAGCGATCCGGCGAACGGACCGTGTCACGGTGACTACTTCCTACGGGGAGGATCCAGAAAGGGGGCTCCCAATGAGCCGATGGGGGTAGGATAGCCAATGTCGGTTTGTCAGCAGGAGTTGGATGGGGACATACGGTATACCCGGGGCAGCAGGGGCAAGGTGGCGGGCCAATAGCGCCGGGGGTCGAGGAGGCGTAAGCTTTTAGGACCTCTTCCCTTCATGAAGTTTATTACACATTGTTAATTGTTAATTATCCCAAGCCCTGTGACTTATACTGACTACCAGACTACCATTTCTACCTAAACCATGTCCTTTTTCTTGCAATGCGCCCCCCTCCCCCTTTTTACGTGAAGAACCCATCCAAATATTGCTCCATTTAAACAGGGATTAACTGCACAGATCCTTACACTACATGAGCCCAAGTCTTCTCCGGGTACTGTAACCCGTAATCACATCGTCCCGAGAGAGTATTTTATATAATTACTACGGGAGGCTGCCTCCTCTGTATGTGCATCGATGCTCGAAGAGAAGATGATAGGGTTAGGGTTAGCCCTTGTTTTGATCGTCCCGGGGGCACTCAGGGGTCGCCACAGATATTCCGTGGTGACATCATTCCGTGATGAAAGCCGACAATTGAGTTTACACAGTCAACCACATTCTCCACTGTTCTCCAGCCTGTTGAATTCACGTCATTCTGAATTTAAATGCTACTTGTTTCTCGTAGCAGATCATTCCCAGGCCATGGCACACATCATCAGGTTCCGATTTACAAGGCGCAGACCTGCGTTGCATGGACGAAAGCAAGTCGTAAAAGTTATTAAACGATATTTTATTCCTGTTGCGCCCCCTTGCTTCGATACAACTTCCCGTATCTCAAGCTGAGTTCTAGACCGTTCGCCATGGAACGCAACACCAACAACATGGCCAACCAAACAAAAGAAAACAGCGAAGCCAAAGAACCACCACCCTCCAGCTCCGACACGAGCACCACGGCCACCACCATCCCTCCCTCGGCCGTCACGGGCCCCGTCGACTTCGCCGAACTGCCCGGCCTCCCGCGGCTGCGCTACCGCATCCTCGAATACAAGCTCAAGCTATCCATCGTGGTGTCCCTACTAGTGCTCGAGTCCAGCCTGCTGCCCATCTCGCTGTACTACGGCCTCATCCTAGGCACCACACTACGACCAGGCATCGTCTTCGCCATCATCACCTCCTTCTTCGGCATCGTCACGGGCATCGAGTTCGGCCTGCGCTGCATCAAGCTGATCTGGATGGGCGAGAAATACCGTCCCGTCGCCGGCACCCGGTGGAGCTTCGACTTCACGCATTGGACCTTGTCGTTCGGCTACACCGTCATGACCGCCATCCTCATCGGCGGCTCTGTGCCCCACCCTCCGATCGTGCGCGCGCTGGCCATTCCCGTGTCGTTGTTCTTTATCCAGATCGGTTTGCAGCTGGTGTGGAGCGGCTGGATGAACGTGACGCGCCGGCCCGCGCCGTGCAAGATCAGCTCGATTCCGAAGGGGGGTCGGGTGCCGCCTTTGGTGTTTACTTTGGTGGAGGATATTGTTGGGGTCGATGGTGCGGGCGGGAGGGTGTATAGGAGTGCGTTGGTGGCGCGGTACCAGACCAGCTCCCGGTTTCGGACGATGATTGCGCAGCAGAATTGGTTTTGGGCGGCCGGTGCGTTGTTTGATGGGATTGGGACTATGGCGGTTATTTGGACCGTTCCGGAAAAGGTTGCTTATGGGGTTGGTACGTCACCTTGCATCTGTTGTTGCTTTCTGCTTCCTTTGTTGTCTTCGCCCCTGGCTAACGGCCTGTGCAGGTTGGGGCAGCCCCCTTATTTTTGTGCTTATCTGGGCCACCATTTCCGTCCACTGGGTGCGCCGCTCGCTCAGACGTGAAAAGGAGCTATGGCGGGCGGAGCATCCGAGGGACAAACAAAGGGACTCGGACACGCAACAAACAAGATGATGCCGGCTCGATAACCTTGCCGCCGCGCGCCAGCTCAACAAAGACACGCTCGTGATAAAGCGCTGAACCGGCCTTGGCGTTATGCGGGATGAAGGAACTTTACACGCCGTCAGACGGAGGATGGCCGGCATGGTATAGATATGTGGCCGGACGGGCGACACGCTGTTCCCGCTTCCTAAGCGCACCATGGCTGCTTGTTAGCCCGACCATACCACAATGGCCAGAACCGCTAATCTGGGTTCCATACCCCCCGAGCTGATTTACGAAATCGTCGAGTTTCTCGGCCAGAGGAGCCTGTCCTCGGTCTCCCAGTGCTCCAGGTTTTTCCATTCCTTCACCTCGCATCTTCTCTACAGGCGGGATGCCACCGAGCACAAATCAACCGGCCTCGTGCGCTGCATCAGGTCCGGCGCCACCGAATCAGTGGCCAAGTTCATCGCCGCCGGCATGGACGTCAACGCCACTACTATCAACATTTCCCCGGACATGGAGGACTTTTCGGGAAACACAACCGTGCTTGCGACGGCTGTGGTACGAAACCAAATAGAAATCGTTCGGTTGTTACTATCGCACGGGGCGGACGTCTGCGCTAGGATCGACGCCACCCTTTGTTATTCGGTATCGGCCCACCCCTGGGCTAACGCCAGCCCGATTACCCCGTTGTCCCTAACGATCACGGAGGGTCATACCGATATTGCCGTGGCACTAGTCGACCACATGGCCAACGCGGACGCTATCATCTCTACCGTGAGCGGTGTCGGATACACAGCCCTCGAGCAGGCCGCCTTGTGCCTGCGCCCCACGATCGTCCGCCGTCTCCTGGAGCGTGGCGCCGACCCGGATCAGCGAACACTTGGCGGCGCCACGATCTTGCACAGAGTCATGGCGAATTCCGACGTACAGCGATGGGCCGACGGGATATGTGACGGGGATCAGTTGATGGTGAGCACGGTTATGGCGCTCCTCACGGGCGGCGCCAACCCTGCGTTGCGGCCATGCCCCCCGGTACAGCCAGGCAACCACGCCGAGGAATGCAGCCTTGAGTTGTCGGTTTACAATCTGGGAATCAAATCACGCTATGGAGAGATACGACAACACTTTGCGGAACTTGTGCATCGCCGACTTTGCGAGAAGTCAGCTTGCCGGGCACACAGATATGACTACGGACTTTCAGGGGAGGACATTCCGGGGCATTGCGCCGTATCCCCAGACGACATGACCTCGGAGGAATTACGATTAGCGGAAAGCCTATCTTGACGGTTGTCGGGTTTGGGGATTAAGACCATGGTTTGAATGCTTGAAGCGGAGATGAGACAAATGTATCGATTTGCTGGCATCATGTGGCAATCCATAGCGAGCGAGCTTCAAGCAGTATTCACGATGTTTTTCATCAACCACGTTGAACTAGAAGAACTTCCGGTGTTGTGTAAATGCTAACTGCCGCATCGGGGATGGCCCGCTATCAACTTGAATCTCCCATTGAGCACACGAACGCGGAAGCAAGGTGTGGTTCTGGACTCCTATTTCACTCACGACAATCGCAACATGGCTGACGGGTGAGAGAATAGGGATAATAGGAATCGAAAGGTTCGTTGATCCTCTAATGCTAATTAAGCCACTGTTGCCATGCTTTGACCCATTCATTGCGGAAGAACCAAGAGTCCCGTCTCAAACCACGTTCCGCATCTCCTGCCCGGCTAGGAACTTCCGCAAGTTATCCACGATCAATTCCTCCGCCCCCTGCGGCCTGCCTCCCGCGGCATGAGGGGACAGCACCAGGTTCTTCGCCTTGTAAAGTTTGTCCCCCTCCGGCAGCGGCTCCTTCTCAAACACATCCAACGCCGCACCCCCAATCTCCTCCTTCTCCAGCGCCTCAAACAACGCATCCTCGTCCACCGACGACCCGCGGCCCACATTGACCAACCACGCATGCTTGGGCAGCAGCGCCAACCTCTCCTTATTCAGCACATGTCTCGTCGACGCATCCCCCGGCAAGATCATCACCAGCGCATCCGTCTGCGGCAACAGCTCGGCCAACTTATCCTCCCCAAACACCTCCACCCCCGCCCTGACGCCCGCCCGCCTCGCCACCCCGCGCACCGTCGCGCCCAAACCCACCAGCATCGGCGTCAGACACTTCGCAATATTCCCAAACCCCCACACCAACACCCGCGCATCCCGCAGGGTCCTAAACGTCCCCGGCTCCCGGTCCGGCTGCGGCCCGCCCAAGTGCGCCGGCCATTTCCCCCGCACCTGCCAATCCCGCATCTCGTGGAACCGCCGCGCCGCCGTCAGCAGCAGGCCCAGCGCGTGCTCGGCCACCGTGTGGTCGTGCAGGCCCGATCCCGTGCAGATGGTGACGCGGGCCGTGTCGAAGCCTGCGGCCAGCACGTCGTTGGGGCCCGCGGCGAGGGATTGGATCCAGCGGAGCTGGGGCAGGTGGGAGGCGGCGAAGGAGAGGTTGGCCGCGCTGTTGGCCCAGGTTATGAGGATTGTGGCGTCGTGGAGGGAGGCGGGGAGGGTCGGTGCGGTTGCGTCGTAGGGGTGTAGGGTTAGGGTGGGGAAGCCGGCGAGGAGGGAGGGGTTGAGGTTGAGGGTTGTTGGGTAGAGGAGCTTCATTGTGGCGGTGGTCGGGGTGTTAGTGGTCGTCGCGGATAGGTGTGATGGTGTTCGTGGCCGGTTTGGTTGTTGGTGTCAATTTGGTATTCAGTTGTTGGTGTTGGTGTTGATGTTGGTTGGCGGGGAGGTTTTGAATTGGCACGCGATGGAGGGGTCGAGTTGAGGAGGGGTTGCTCAAGCCAATGGAAGTTTCACCGGAGCTCCGGTTCGGCGCGGGGCAAAGAAGGCCGAGGGTGGCCGGTGGAGCTGTTGAGGCCGTGAAACGGAGGTTTAATGCCTCGCGGGTAAGGATAACCATCATCGTATTTAGGCTCCCAGGGCATCAGTTAGTTAATGCCCGCAAGCCGGGGAGGCCGGCCAATGATGGTAACAAATAAGGTCTACCCCATTCGCAAATATCCTGGCCACTTATCCACGGTTCATGTTCTCGTAGCAATATCAAGGGATCTATTTGTGCTAGGTGCAGTCGCCGCGAATTGGTACGAACTTAACTGTTTTCGTCCGTATTTGTCCCCGTTGCCTTCAGAAAGTCCAGAAAGGCGGGAGGGAAGGTACCACGGCAGAGTTGAAAGGAAACCTCGACCCTCGAAACAATTCCTCATCGACCCGTTAGTTGCTAGGTTTTCTGGACAGCAATTGTCCATTTAGTCTCACAATGCATCTTCAGCCTCCAAAATCATCCCACACTTAGAACGAGCAGATGCCGTCTCCGGTGTTGGCCATTTAGGTTGGCGGGAGGTCACGGTGAGGTTCAATGTGGAACCGTCCCACGGGGGAATTTCTGTGGAGCACCCCACTCTGCCCCGCTGCACCGATATCGCGTCGCGGTGCCCCTCTGCGAGATTTTCCCACGGCGCGAAGAGTCACATTGGAAGGCTAGAACGGTTCACGCCTTGTATTGCATCACGGGAAACTGCTTGTATTTTCACTGTTTCACCTCGAGAACCGGGAAACTGCAGCAAAATGGCCGAGGCACTGACCAGCATTCCCCTCACGTCGCTCCCACGGATTTCCCAGGGCAAAGTCAGGTACGGGAGCCCCACCCGATCGCTCGATTTTGTTGCACAAAATTCCTGGGGATGCATCGAGGCCTCGCACATCCAAAGCGCATATGCAGCCTTACTTACATTCCGTCTTAACAGGGACCTCTTCTCTCTTCCTAATGACGAAAACCCGACACTCCTTTTTGTCACCTCGGGTACTGTCTGGCTGTAACCATCAATCCCCCAACCTTGTCTGACCATCGACTGCCTCTGTAGACCGCATCAGCGCCTATGACGTCATTCTCAAAGTGCGCCGTCTCCGTATCATCACGGTTGACAATTGCAACGCTTGTTAACATCGCGATAGAATGGAATTCCCACAAAGGGCGCCATCCTGACCCTCCTGTCAGCCAAATGGTTCGAGGTTCTCTCCTCCCGCGTGCCGGGCCTGAAGCACCACTTCCTCCACCTTGGCCCTCCCCCGGCGTCTGGCCTCTCCCAGGATGAACAACAGATGCTTCGCGGCCGCTCCATGACCGTCCGGTGCGTGAAAGATAGACAACCCACTCACCCATCACTGCTAATACAACCCGATAGTCGACTCAAGATCTTCCCTATTGAGGCGATCGGTAAGTCCTGGATCCTCCCGGAATTTTCGGTTCTGTGCGTTAATGTGCCTGTGAATAGTGCGCGGATATGTTACCGGCAGCGCCTGGGCGGAGTAAGCTAATATGCCCCGGGTTCATTGTGACATCCTAACACCGGCACAAGGTACCAAAAGACGCAAACCATCCACGGCCTGCCGCAGCCCGCCGGGCTTAAGCGCTGCGAGCGCCTCCCCAAGACCATCTATACGCCCTCTACCAAGGCGGAGCTCGGAGACAAGGACGTCAACATCTCACCAGACGAGGCTAGAGGCATCGTCGGTGACAAGTATGCCTCGCGTCTCGAGGAGCTGGCCCTCAACTGCTACAACGCCGGCGCCGCGTATGCTGAGGAGCGCGGTATCATCATCGTACGTTGATGGGCTTGCGCCACACTTCTTGACTGGTTCTTTGGGGGATGTTGTGCTAACGTGTTATGCCGGTAGGCCGACACCAAGTTCGAGTTCGGTCTGGATGAGGAGACGGATGAGATCTACCTCGTCGATGAGGTTCTTACGTGCGCCGCCCCAAATCAGATGTTGCGGTTGTTTGAGGCGATGGTTATGATGTACTGACATGAGCTTTAGCCCTGACTCGTCGCGGTTCTGGAGCAAGGCAGATTACGAGTGTTTGTCCCCACCCCTTCATCCGCTGCTGTGGAATAGCCCATGCTAACAAGACCGTAGCTGGCCGTGACCAGGACTCTTGTAAGGCTACTCATGCCCGAAATAGTTCCTGGGATAGACATGCTGACACATGACAGTCGATAAGCAGATTCTGAGAAACTGGTTGACCGAGAATGGTTTGGTATGTATTATTATGCTCTATCCATCCATCTGTTCCCGCGGAAGGGAAGAATCCCTTTCTTTTTCGAGGCTAACACAAAACAGAAGGGCAAGCCGGACGTGGAAATGACGCCGGATGTTGTCGAGAAGACAAAGGGGCGGTATACCGAGGTGTTCAAGCTCATGACGGGAGAAAGCTTGGAGGTGGTCCTCGAGAGGACGGGAAACTAGGTAAGAGCGTAATTTACGGCGAGGTAATGGATCAACTAAGTACATGTAGGTACTTCGTGGCTGCCGAGGGGCTGTTGGATATCCACTCACAATTGCCGTCAGGTATCTATTAGTTGCTAGGGGACTTCATCTCACACACTGACGTTGTTGTCCCAATCGCCGACGAACTACTAAGCTGCGCTGGAGAGCGCTTCGAGCTTTTTCGAAACGTTTTCATGATCGCTGTCTTGAGATGCTGCCATCTTGAGGTATGCGGTCCAATCCCCTGGTTAGCTTGACCATTTACCGTGTGATGAATGGAGTCGAGATTCTACCAGATATCCCGGTCATAAGGCTTCTAGTTCACTCCCCTTAACTGCTATGAGACCGGTCGAACGAAGGTACATTGATCCGGCTTCACCACCTAGGCGATGAGAGGTTACACAACTTGACTGCACGAGACCGACACCCAGTGCAGTTGCATCCCCTGAGCCGGCAGTTGATCCTTGCCCAGATAGCTGCAGGCGGACTCGAGAGTGCTGGCTCAACAGGTGAATGGAGAGAAAACCGCTAAATTTATCCGTTTGGGGAAGCCAGCATGCTCCCTAGCCGCCGCTAGCGTTTGATCGTAAGCATTGCGGCTTGTTCCTTGCATGGGTAGCTGGGCAGTCTGTCGTGGGAGCAAATCATGGGGCGACCGTCAAGCCACCCGGAACCCCGTCCGGAAAGCTCTCCCAATGAAACTTCTTGGTTAACGAGAAGAATCGTCGTCGACGCCAAGAGGTGGTAATCAACATCCAGGAGGGGCTGACTGACCGACTGACTGGGCGATGGGTCGGCTCTTCCCCTACACAGTACCCATTGCCTTTTTTCTTCAAATCCCATAGATAATGCCATCCTAACGATCCCTAACTGAAGAACTTCTACCTAGCGAGCCCCTGATTTCAGACGCGCAGCTTGCGTGCGTTCGCGATTATGCGGTATTCCTGGGCATGGATCACTGGGTTTGCCATCTGTAAGTTACTCGGGACCTGCCCACCAAGGCATTCCGCAAGCTTTTACCCCCTCCTGTTTAGGGCCATGGAACAACGTGTAGGATCATGTAAATAATGCTAATACAGAATAGTGAGTCTGACGGCAAATATTGTGTTTCTGATCGGGTGCATCTCGCCAGCTACGAAAGACATTTGTCTCTACCGAGTTAACGTGACACTCCTGGCCGACGGACTCCATAACCTAGCCTTGGTTGACAGCGGCAATGAAACCGACCTTCTTGTCCCCCCTGAGCTGCCTACTTACTGGTACTGGGGCATGGCAGGTACGTTGACGGCTTCTCCCTGGCCCGCGACATCATTTCACAGGTCTCCTTTGCCGTAAACCACGGAGTAATAACCCGGACTTGGGTAGGGATATGCGACGTTTTCGAGAAGACGGGGGAGACGCGCTGTCGACGCGCGTTTCCGCCGACACAGAACCTCCTCGGCATTTTAGAGGGTTCACTTACAGACCGCCTGGGTGACGATGAAGGACAGCGTGTCGGCAACATTCTGTCTTCCTGGAATGCCACGCTGCACAAGATCAGCCCGGACAGGCTCGTTGCTAAAGAAGCCAAGTTTGCCGCCCAAAGCAAAGCCAGCGCCGCACTCGCCATCCTCGCCATCATATTGGACGCCGCGACTCCTTTATTGGCCTCATTTCTACTCAGCGACCAGAGCCGCCGGCGAGCGTATATCGCGCCGCTCTTGAGCGCATTGATCGCCATGGCCGCCGGCACGCTCGCCACATTGACTATGAGAGACGGCGTGCATGGGATAGTGGACACTCCTGAACACGGGGGCCCGGCCATCATCATCGTGTTCGTTGGCGCAGCTCTCAGGTTGTTGTCTTGCGTTGGCGCGTGTGGCGGTTCCAGAAATAAGCTTCGGATGACCAGGAACGAGAAAATTGGATTTCGTGGAGAGCAGCATGTATGAGTTCTCCTTTAGCCTGCGGCTCCGTTTGCATAACTGATCATCGACCGCAGATATATTCATGGCTTGAGCGCCAACTACCGGAGTGGTCCTATTGGAACTGGACTAGTAATCTACGAATCCACGCCAAATATCGGCAATTCCCGGAGCCCGAGAGCCGCTATGCCGACTTTACTTACCACGATCGCGATGGGAGCATGTTGCAGGTGCTCGCGAAGGCCGGGGCCCCGGTCTCTCCTCAGTGGAGTGCAGGCACGAGGTATCACCTCGAAGTCAAATCTACCCCTGCCGGATGCGACGCAAAGCTCCTTGTTAGCGTGCATCAAGTACGGTTGGTGAGTTGCAAAAAGACCCGTGGCCCGCGCTCTTACACTAACAAACGGACTACAGATGGAGCGGTATGCGGGTGATCCTCTCAACGCATATATTCTTGTTCGCGTGTTTCACGTTGAGCGCAAGCCACCAGCCATGAGGTTCTTCCATGACCCGTTATCCCACCCTGACCTGACGTGGGGCGCTTTGGGTGATGATGGATATTACCCCGTCTGGACTAAATCTTAGTTCAAGCCGCTGAGTTCGTGGGGCCGCATTAAGACGTTCTGTATTATAGAAACCGCTTGCTTAGCATCCCCCCAAACCAGGTTCTCGCACCAACGCACGTTCATCCGTCTCTGATCCTTGAACCCTGGCCATGCTGAGCACAGAGCCCGTATTTAGCGGGCCGTCCCGGTGACGACGAGCATGACTATGACTTAAACTAAACCAGCCGACTATTGAAGTGGCGAAGAGTGGACGTCTTCCTTCTGTGATGCAAGTTCTTTCCCTTTGTCAGCGACGGTGGGCGCCACCCCATTCCCCACGACTGCACTACTAATCCTCTCTCTGGATAGAGAACTCAAAGCGGGCGGGCCATCGGACGGGGTTCTTGGCCAGACCTGGACTTCAGGAGGTAAGGCAAATGCCAACCCGGTACTCAGAAAAGCGGTCTAGATTTGACAGATCTTAAAATATGACTTGCATAGTGCTGTTTCTATACTTGGATCATTTAATATCCATTTGTTTAGTTGAGTACTTACTGTAGGAAGCTTTTAAGGTGTGTTTTGGTACACGGCTGATTTTGAATAGAGGGAGCCATTTATCCAACATGAACTGAACCGACGCTGAGGGCGGTATATTTACCGCGTAGTATCTAGTTGGCTACCAACAACGGGTTCAGTAAGTCCTCAATTAATATGCGGGCAGGAAAGCCCCGAATCCGCCGGTGGATTTTGCCGTTGGATCGTGAAAATATGTCAGCTTATATTGGGGAACTCGCTTATCATGCAGCATGCCCCCTGCTTGATGACATTCTTGGAACTATAGGTCCGACCAACAACTCAGGCCCAGACCCAAGAGACTAATTATGGGTGGCGAGTCTATGCCCGGTAATTTAGTCGGCGGCCCCAGCTTTTGCACTGGTAGCAACACCCGGCTTGAGAGACGTTTACTTTTTCTTTTATTAAAGAGAGGTCATCGTGTCGCCTATTCGGATACCTAACCTTGTTCAACGTTCATCCTTACCCCCTTCTGTTGCAGAACACTCAGACTCAAAGTTCTAGACTCCCAACTATAACACCCACCATGAAGATGCATTTTCCGCCTGCCCTCATCTTGGGCTTTGCTTCCCTAGTCGCCAGTGTACCACTTGCAGCCCAAGCCGCACCGCGAGGTCTCCGAGTCGTTGGAGCTTCAGTATTGGGCAGTGGGTGCCCCTACGGCACTGCTGATGTCCACGCCGTCGACTCGAACACGGCGTTCGAGATCAGGCTCTCGGACTATGTTGTGAAGACTGGTCCGGGCACCATGGCGTCCGACTGGCGGAAGAACTGCAAACTCACGCTGAACCTGGAATATGATTCCGGCTTCCAGTATGCTCACCCCCTGTGCAGAGATGAACCATCCCACCCTCATGGCTAACTCTGATTCTCTACCTACCTAGGTTCTCCACGATCAACGCCGACATGAGGGGCTACGCCTTCCTCCCAGCCGGTGCTGAGGGGCAGTGCCTTAACACCTTCTCGTTCACTGGTGCCCAGGGAGAAGTCAACTACGGCATCAACTTCAGGGGGGCGCGTGAAGGGGCGTTCTCGCTCTCGGCCAACTCAGATGTGGTTTCTTGGTCGCCCTGCGGTGGGTCCACGGCCATCTTGAACATGAACACGCAATGCTCCATCTCGCCTACAAAGGACCGGGCACTCATCGCGGTAGGTGAAGGCAGTTCCGTGCAATGCAGAATCATGCTGACAAAATGGATAGGTCGACCGCATCAGCAGCAAACTTACGGTTCGCGTTGCCCTCCAATGGAGGCAGTGTTGAGATGGTGCGAGGTTGAGATTTGGGATAATACATTTTTGTCCATGTGGGATATTACCCCTGAGTGGACAGAAACCCCTAAAGATTCGGTGGTTGTGTTTTTTTGGAGTTTGGCATGTTAGGGGAATACAAAACTTTACCGTGACCTTTCTCAAGTATTGATGCTCAGTAATCTGTATTTGTGCGTTTCTTCGCGCTTCTAAAGCCTCGAGAGCCCGGTGGAAAAAAAAAAAAAAAAAGGTACTATTTGGGCCTTGGCCCATGGCTGCTCAAACCCGGTGTTTGTGCCTGGATAAGTTTCGGCGATCGCGACCACGATGGGAGTGAGGACTGAGGACGACGATGATCATGCCGGCTGTGCACGCTCGTGCTTCTCCTGGTTGGGTTCAAATGCTGATGGATGCGCCCGCTTGTTCGCTGGCTCGTGGCTCGGCTTGGCTGGACAAGGGTCGCCGGCCCGCGGAAATCGAGCAAAAGTCAAAACAGTGGGTTCTTACCGAAGACGCTGCGCTGTGATTCGACACGGATTCGACACGACGATACGCGTATTCAGGATCCACGTCCCTGGGCCATTCCTTCCGGGATCACACAATCCAAACTCGTCCTCCAACACTGCCCGAGTGGCACAGCCAAACATTTGACTCTGAACTACCGCCGTCTTGCCTTTTGCTGTCGGTATCAATATGGAGCTGACGCGCGTTAAGACGGTGCTGCCCCCCGAATTTGGAAACGGGGGTAGCCAGGGTCCCAAGTCTTCCTCTGTCGGTCGGACGCTATAATAATGAAGACAGAACCCAAAATCCATTCAAGATCTCGTCCTTCTCTGCCTATCCTTGGTTGACATCCCATTCGACTACTTCGAGGCCATCGTGACATCTTGACAACACTCCTTGGCCCCTTCACATCTTGACCACACCCAGGGGTCGAAACGAGACACCAAGAAGTCAGCGACGTGCCGAGCTCAGGAATTGCTTAGCATGGCCGACGAAGCTGCGTACGAGGGCGGCTTCAAGCTGTACCGTTACGACCCCAGTTTGGCAGCCAACATTGTTTTCATCGTCCTTTTTGCCGCGGTATCAATAGGCCATGCCGTGTTCCTTTTCCGACGAAGGACATGGTCGTTTATTCCGTTCTTGATCGGCTGTATTTGTATGCCGTTTCCCGACCCCGTCGCATATTCGGCGGAGCGCTATATTTGATCACAAGCTAACCTAGGTCCCATAGTTGAGACAATCGGATACATCGGTCGAGCCATCGCCGCCCAGGAGAATCCCGACTACTCGTTAGGCGCCTACATTCTTCAAACCCTGCTCATCCTCCTCGGTCCCGCGCTGCTCGCCGCCTCCATCTACATGATCCTCGGCCGCCTGATCCGCCTGCTCGGAGCCGAAGAATACGCCCTGATCAGGACGAACTGGATGACCAAGATCTTCGTGACGGGCGACGTATTGTCTTTTATGGCGCAGGGAGCTGGTAAGTGCATGAGCGTCGCAAACCATGACCGGGGTGACGTTTCATACTAACCATCCCACTCCCAGGCGGCGGCCTCATGGCAGTAGCCAAGACCAAGGACGACCAAAAGCGAGGCGAGAACGTCATCCTCGCGGGCCTGGCCATCCAGATCGTCTTCTTCGGCTTCTTCATCATCACCACCGTCCTCTTCCACCGGCGCATCCTCGCCAACCCGACCCCGCGCTCCTACTCGGTCACGGGCCCCTGGCGGCAGCTGATCGTGGCGCTGTACATCAGCAGCGTGCTGGTGATGGTCCGGTCCGTCTTCCGCATGATCGAGTTCGGCATGGGCAACGACAGCGTGCTCATGTCCCACGAGGGCTACCTGCTCGGCCTCGACGGCGCCCTCATGCTGCTGGTCGCCGCCGTGCTGCTGTGGAGCCACCCCAGCCGCGCCCTCGCCGGCTACAAGGAGGTCCTCGGCTCGTCGGGCGGCGAGAGCGGCCGCAACACCGCCGACAGCCTGCAGATGCTGCCTGTCCACCCCGACGCGGTCCCCGCGGGCGTCAAGATGCCTGCGAGATATGATAGTGACTCCACTGCGGTCGCGGGGAACCAGGGGAATGGGTATGATGTGCCGCCGAGGGAGCACCGGTACTCGAGCGCGTATGGGAGGTGATGAGGGGAGAGCGGGAAAGGAGGGAAGGGCTGTAAAGTGAAGGGGGTAGTGGTGGGTTCCGCTGCCTACCAGAAGATAGAGGGGACTCGGGGAAACTATGGCATAAAAACACTTTTGTCAGGGGCGTTCGGGAATAGAACTTGGGTACCTGTTAATATTTTGGCCGGTTGTAGTTCACTTTCGAGTATATAAACGTTTCACATACCCCGATACCAAGCTTATAAAGCTGCTTCCACCCCCACTGACATGCCCCAGCGTTTAGGGTAAGGGAAGTTAAACACGGGAGGCACAGGGGCTTCCCCTAACCCTCAACTTCCTCATCCGAAAATCCAACTTTCATTTACCCCAACACCCAGGCTCGGGCCAGGTGCCCGGAGCACCTCGAAGGCCTGTCCATGTCCATTCCCCGACCCACCTCTCAACAACCATCCCCACCAAACAATGTTAGGGTTCAACCCCTAACGAAAATCGGTCCTCAGAAGCACACTTTCCCCCTTCTTGTCAACAACCATCACCTCGGGCGTGTGGCTCAGTTGGTAGAGCGTTCGCTTAGCATACTTCTCTGTATGCGAAAGGTCCTGGGTTCGATTCCCAGCTCGTCCAAAGTCAGCATTGAACGTCAACAGTTGATGTTGCGATGTGTTTTTGCCTCGTTGTGAGCCCCTTTTGCCGTTCGAATATCATCCACCCATCGTTGCCCGCTCTGAGGGCACCACAACCCCCCCTAACGAGAAGAAAAACCTCGAGCACCCTGGTGCAGTTCTCTAGTTGCCGAGGTACCCCCAAATAACCGGGTCATTCGCGTCTAGTCTCAACTTTCCGCTCTTAAAAACAGCCGTCACCAATTCTGTTCCATTTTCCTACCATCAAGCACACGCACCACCTCTAGACCCCCTTCGTGAGATAGCAACCATCAACTCACCCTCCAACGTTCTCCGACACTAATCCCATCTCCCTCCCTACTCCTCTCACCACCACCTCTTGCGACCATTATACAACCATGGAGGGACTTCCCTGGCTGTCTAGGCAGCACCTTCTCCAACGCACTCGAGTTTCATAGTAATAAGGCAATACCAAACAACTCTCTCATCTGGACTCTGTCTTCTGAGTCTTAACTCATATACCCCGCTCCGTGCCGAGGCTGCAGTTTCACTAACATTCACCCACCGTGGTAGCTACAGACGAGCCACGAGCCACCCCGGGACATCGGGTTCAGATAATTTTCCGGTTGGACCTCTTCAACTCCCCAAGGGTACCGATCCAAACGAATCCATTTTGTATCATATCTGATCGTTATCAGGGGGCCTAGGGAACAGAGTCCCATAATGAGACAAGTAAACACTTGTGTTGGCTGGCATAACCTTCATTCGCCCCAACCTAGCCGTCCCGGCTCATGCACCATCTAACTCGTCTTACATACCCACGTCATTATATCGGAACTCATCACTCATCGTGTTAGTTGAATCATCGTTTCATGTCCATCCATGCCTTGCTATCCACCACGCTAGGTTAACGCTAGGTTATCCCGTTCCTGTCTTACGCAACCCCAGCGAGCGTCAGAAGTTCGGGATTGTTGCTGAAGAGGTTTTGGTTGGCGTTGTACAGCAGGAAAACAATCTTGCGGACAGTCCCGCGGGTCTCGTCATCCAATTGGTCCGTTGGCGGTTTGAGCACCGTCTCGAACACGGGGATCAGCTTGGAGGTAAGCTGTTGGACGGTCGGTTCGTTGCTCTCGTCTGTAAATGGTTAGCGTGGACCGTTATATTGGATGAATAAGGCCGACTCACAGAGCTTCAGAATGCAGTCGTAGACAGGTGAGTTCTCCTCATAGTCTTCCTTGAGGGGAAGTAGGTCGACCAGTGCCGGGAGAACATCGCCAAGCGGGATCTGATCCGGATGCGCCATAGTCATGCGGGAGATGCAGCCCGCAGCATTATCCTTGATGCGCGCTTCCTGGACCTGGAGCATGGGCTCGAGCTTCTGCAGGATTGTGCCGTAGTGGGGCATGTAGGTGTTGGTGTCGGTCGAGTTGAGAATGAGCTGACCGGTCGCATAGGCGGCGTTGCTCTTCGTCTCGGGGTCCGTGTCCGACAGACGTTTGAGAAGGAGCTTGAGCAGCTTTTCGGTGGACGGCGTAACAGCGGCCTCCATGTTGGCCGCGCATTCGGCGATGACACCGACACCGGTGGACCGTTCAATGTTCTCCGACTCAGACGCCGCGAACCGCATGATGGGCTTCTCAAAAATCTTCCACAGCTCCGCGAAGCCGGGTCCAAGGGCGACAGCGAGGCCAATCACAACGTCAAGACCCGTGTCAATGACGAGCCAGTCGTATTCGGACGACCCTTCAACTTCTTGTTCCTCATCCTCGTCGCCAAGGTCCTGCTGGCAGGGGTGGGAGCGGGTGATGATGGTGGAAATGACAGTGACAACCTCTTTGACGAAGTCCTGCTGGGCGAGAATGGCGGGACCGCAAGCCTTCAGGGTTGCCGCGACGTTGCGGTTGATCTCGGTGACGACGGTCCTTGTAGCAATTAGCATTCATCCACCGAAACTAATGGCTTAGAGACAGAGAGCGGGCTGTGAAGTCAGGAGTAGATATGCACGTTTTCTCAGCATTCGCAATAATGCGTTTGAGTGAGCTGGGTATTAACGCTAGGTGGTCATCATGCAAAGGTTGGGGGAAACAAGAGGAAATTGCACATACCGATCAGCCTCCTCGTGCCACAGAGCAAGGGTGGCCTTACACACAATCTCGCCCAGCTTGACAAGGGTGACGGTTGGAGTTTGCTTGAGGGGAAGACCAGGCTCCCAGTTGGTACCGGTTTCTTGCTCCATGAGCTGCCACACACGAGCATATGACCGCCAGAGTGTCGCGACCGCAGCCTTACGGCAGCCCTCGTACGAGTGCTCGGCTAAGGGGGAGATGGTCTCGACGGCCTTCTCGAGGTATTCGGTAATCTCTTGGGTTCCGCAAGCATAGGTGATGATGTCGCCGAGAATCTCCATGGCGACCTCCTTCTCGAGGGCCTCGGTCGAGATGCCGAAGTCGTCGTACTCATCATCCTCGTCGTCGTCATCCATCCATTCCTGGTCCTCGTCATCGGTGCCCTTGATCGTGAGCTTCTTGCCGGCGGTGATGACTTCGTTGTCCGTGCCGACGATACCCTTCTCCTCCTCACTAAGCTTGAGTTTGATTTCCTCTTCCTCAAGCTTCAGGCTGTCAAACAGTCCCTTGAAAACGCCGGGGAGGAAGGGTGCGAACTCCCTCTCGTAGATCTTGGCAAGCGAGCTCCACATTATGAAGCTGCTCTCCTTAAGCCTCGAGTTGTCAAGTTGCAGGCCTTCCTCGCTAGACCTCATCAGGTCGACGACGTAGGGCTGGAAGGTTTGGGGACCAACGGCGGTGGCAATGCGGCCAACAGAGTCGCAGACACCGCTGCGAAGGGAAAGGTCGTCCTCGGTCTCCTTGATAGTGAGGTACGCACCCAAAGCCTGCATCGTCTGTTCAAAGTAGGGCTTGAAATCCTCGCCAAGGCACTCTGCAATGGCGCCAATGGCACCGGAAGCGGCGACCTTAACCTTAAAGTCATCATGGGTGATCAAGGCACCAATGTTGCCGACAAGGTCGCCGGCGTTTTGCTTCATGAACTCGGCATCTAGACCCTCAGACATGGCGTCAAGCGCGCCGCACACCGACCGAATGATTTCGATGTTCTTCTTGGCAAGCTTCTCGTCCGAGGCCGGGGCCATAGCCGCTTGCAAGTTTTTCACCAACGCGGTCATGATGGGCTCGTTGAATGGGGAGAGTTCCTCGGCAATATCATCGGCCAAGCGAGCGAGGCCGATGAGAGCGGTGTGCCGGACGCCAACATCGGAGTCGTTCAGCAGGTTGATGGCGAGCGGCATGATGGCCTTGACTTGCGAGGCGATGAAATCGGGTGCGCCCTCGACAACTGTGCCTAGGGCAAGAATACCGGCCTTCCTGTAACCGGGGTCGTCGGAGGTGGCAAACTTGGGGAGGGCGTCCAGCAGCGGAACAATTACTTGGCGAGGCGGCAAGTCAGTCGCCAACTGATCGAGCAGGGCCAGGGCTGACCGAGCAGGGCCCATGTCGTCGTCATCCTCGTCATCGTCAATCTCCGTAAGGATCAACAAGCTCTTCTGCGTGAGCTCTTGGCCCATGTCCTTCATGCCCTGGATCTTCATGCGTCGGTAGCGGACAGTCTGGGCCAGGAAGGCCAACGCCTGGGCGCGAACATCATCGTCGGCTTGCTTGTTCGCAGCGAGATCGATCATGAACTGGACGAGGTCTTTGAGATATTTGCCAAGCAGGGCGGACTCATAGGCGAGGAATTGTTGGAAGACTTCGAAAGCCTGACCGGTCTTCTCGTCGTCTCCGGTCTGGACGGCATCCTTGAGGACGTCGACCATGGGCGGGATCAAGGTCTGGAGAGTGGACACGGACTCCTCGTCCTCGAGCGGCTCAAACATCAGGAGCATGGCGCCGATAGACATCATGGAATTGATGCGGACATCGGCGCTTTGAGGGTCGCGTAGGGAGTGACCGAAAAGCTCGAGGAGCTTGGGCATGTGGTCCGCGAACGAAGTCGGGTTCTCCTCCAGCAAGCTGAAGATGATGTAAGAGCCGACCTCGCGCTGGCCGACCTCGTTGCTGCTCGACAGGGTGAAAAGAGCCGGGACCAAATCGTGCCACTCGCCCTCCTCGAGGTCGATGGCAGCAACGGCAGCAACCAAGCGAGCGTTGGCATGGCGAGCCCTGGGGCTCTGCTCATTCAGCGTGGCCTGCACGAGGTGCTGGCGTACAGCCGGTTTCTGCTCCTTGGAGATCTTCTCCCAGTGCTTGACGGCCAGCCGGGCACCTTGCACGGCTGCCTGCTGCCGCACGATGACATCCTGGTGGGTCGCGACAATCTCGATGAGGAGAAGGAGGGACTCCGGGTGAGAGTAGTAGTTTTTCTGAAGCTCGGCGGTGACCGCCTTGAGGTTTTGCGTGTCGGCTGGAAGGCGGGAGTCAGTAACGTCACCGGGTTTCTGACAGGTGATTGATTTCTCGCCGCCTAGCTGCAGGACAGAAAGCAACGCGGAGGTTGGACAGGAGGGACTTACGAACTTGCGACTCCTGCAGGAGCGCAGCCAACCTCTGCTGATCCATGGTGCCGTGCCTTGGATGCAAGAAAAAAGGGGTATCACGAAGAAAAAAGAAAGAAAGGAAGAGGCCGCGGCGGGAACTGGAGGTGGTTGTCTTTCGCAACAAGAAGGGCCCCAGGCAACCGAAAAAAATTTGGATTTTCAAATTGCAGTGTGGAACCATGAAGGAAGGAGGGGTCCCAATGCCAAGTGCGGGGCAGGTACAGCTTTCACCGCCTTTCGCAAGCACGTGACAGACTCTCCTGGGATCACAGCACAAGGGGTTAGGGTTAGCAACTTTGTGAGCTTTGTTTCGACACCACCATTCTTCAGGTCTACGGCAGGTAGGAATGAATGCAAAATATCCTCTGGAGTCTGTTAGCCTTGTAAACTAAAATAGGTAAGTGTTTCGTAAAAACCGTAAAATAGCTGAAACGTGGTTAAAGATAACAGTTTAAACAAACATACGGAATTTACTCGACCGGAGTATTCTTTCACTATGTTTTTAGTACCGTTAACTGCTTTTACGTTTGCTGATCCAGGATGTTTGAAGCTCTTGGACTGTTTTTGCGTAATAGCTTTTCTGCAAACACTTTGCTAGAGCCGAAATGTGGTGTTCAACATGCTATTGTATCCCAATAAAGTGGTGAAGCATTATCTAGTCCTTTCACGCACATCATCTTGTTTTACCATGAACAGTGTCACCTATGCAATGTTGCATGCCCACTCCCCCCTTTCCGCGCTCGGTATTGGTTTGCCTTGTAATGGGGAGCGCGTGCATGACGCCCTATAAATATCCCCCGCCGTCACCAAAAGCTGAGACTCGAACCTCCCATCCCCTGTCACACCAAGGTACTTCATCGCATCACAAATTCTAGAATGGCAGCGGAATTCCACTTTTTCCCCCGTCTCCCGTGGGAACTACGAGAGAAGATTTGGAAACTTGTAATCCGTCCGGCTGAACCAGGAGTGCACGTTTTCAGACTCTGCAGTCAGGGGCATTCAAGCCGCAAGTCGGAACACAGAGCCTTTACAGACCAAGATGATCGTAGGCCCTGCCTGTGGTGGCTTGCCGCACCACAGTGCCTGCCAAAGGGTGTTGACTTCAGTCCAGCCTCAAGGGAAGCCGCCCCAATCTCGTGGACACTCAACAACCCATCAACCTACCTTATCGACAGTGGTCTTTGGACAGCGTGCAAAGAATCAATGCTGATTATCGAGCGAGAATTTCAAGCTCCAGCACGACTCCAACACGAATGGAGTCCTTCAGAGGTCAAGAGCTTCCGAGCGAAACGAGGCCGCTTCACGCTCCCCGAAACAACCACCTACAAGATCTTCGATCACTCCTCGCTGCGCTATTTCACTATCTTCCCCTTACAAGATCTCCTTATTTTGAAGCCGCCAGAGGTTTCATATTTTGACATGGGAATTACAGATGATATTTTCCCTAGTCTGGTCTCCCACGACAATTACAAGAAAATTGGTCGGTATGTACATTCCCGCAACGCGGCCTTGGAATACGATCCGGCGTGGGATAAGATAAGGCATAATGGCGTAGAACATAGAACTCCTAACATTGTCAGGGACATTGTTGAGAGCACATCCATGTCGTATACCTTTTCCATTTGGTTCATCGACTACCGAATCAAGCGCAATCCAAGACACGATCAAGAAGCCACCGAGGAACAGGCCGACAAGTCGGGAGACGGGCCCGCAACCGTGTTCTATGCAAATGACCGTCGGTTCGTCGAAGTGAAGAAAGGGCAACTTGGACGGACGAAAGGGCATAGGCGAATGTGGGATGCAGGTTATGAAGTTGAAACAAAGGATGATGAGGAACCCTGCTCTTGCTGTGGCTCGGATGGGTTCATGATGCAGCTCCAAGATTTCATGGATGAATTGGATGCCCAGTTTGCCAGTGAAGACTTTTACTTTCCCGGCGCTCCTGATTGTATATATATTACATACAGACTTTTGGCTTGCGAGTACGTTTGAAGAAAAGCTCTATGAACCTGATTTCTTCTAACCTAGGTCTTACGAGCGAGGACTGGGACCAAGAGCAATAGCGGGTGTGTTGCAGCCTCGATGACAAACGATACCCTCGAGATGGTGCAAAGTAAACACCAGGGAAGTGAAAAAAGGAAACTTAAATGCTTTGAAGACTAGACTAGAAGCAAGATAATAGTTTTAAGTTCCTAACCCAATTTACACTTGTCGAAGCCCAGGGCACGCCTCTCGCAGAGGCCTTACGAGACCGTATCCCCCAACACATCCCGTAATTACCATCACATCGGTCAAGAGCTTACTACACAGTAAATAACACCTCTTCATCCCCTCAACGGTCTCGACAGAACGTGTTTGCGGTGAGTCGAGGCTTATGCCCTTTTAGGACCGCAGGGGTTCGGCAGTCGCCGTTCGTTTCCAGTTCACAGATGTCGAACCACGACACCAATTGCAGAGACAAAAGACGGCCCCGCAGGGTTTCAACTGTGTATTACTGTCTCAAGTCATTGCTACGGGAAATTATTGCAGCTTCCCGTGTCCAAGCCCTCTTCTTCCTATACCGTCACGAGCCTTTTTTTCCCAATGTGACTAGAGCATAATCTACTCGACAACGCGTCTACTCTACCAGTACATATCTTTTTTCATGCCACAATTTTAGTCAGAGCCGCGTGGGAAGTAGCACGGTCACTGGAAATACTGACTGTTCGCGGACTTACTTGATGACATGTCTGCGTCCTGTGATGGGGAGTTAGGACAACTGGCCAAATTTGTTCATTCATATGGTGGAATACCCTGAAGTGACATACCTCGACCTGGCCCGCCGTTTCATCGGCCGGAGCCGTCTTTCCCTTTCCCTTGGTAAATGTCAGTTTCGTCGAAGCACTGGTCTTCTGGGGACAAAGTGCGCACAGCAGCCACCCCTTGCTCTATCATTGTCTGCAAGAACTTCATCAGCGTCACTACAATTGCGGATAGTAGTGTGAAATCCAGAAAGATACTTACTCTAACGGAAGAGGCAGCGGCCTCGTCGGAAACTGTTTGCTGAACATTGTAAGAGGTCATTTTGAACTTCCCGGCGACCGTGAATCGGATTAACTTACATCCAAGTCCAGTGTCCATCTCTGTTTCATGAACAAATAATCAGCGCCCTGAGTCTGTTAAGTGTCGCGGCGGGCGTTCCGATGGTGAGGCTTACTGTCGCCTCTTTGATGTGATGCTATAACGGGATTTAGACAATTTGGCTACCTACACAGCACAACGGCTATTCGGGTGTGCTCACGTCTCGCTCCCTTGCCAAGCGCTAGGATGGTAAGCGGTCCAGGTTCAGATGTGGGCTGACTGCTGAGGCGTCTTACATTTCTCTCCAGTTCGCATTCCTATCATACGGGATCCGGTCAGTCAGTCGCCCGGGCGATTTCGGTACGAATCTCGGACTCACTACCGCTTTCTTCTCGTGCTTCTAACCACTAAGTCAGAAGTTTGTCTTCGGGAACGAGGTTACAAGGAGGGCACTCACGGCTATCATAGCCTAGACAGACCGAAAACGTCGGTTTATTAGCGCAACCCATGCCGTGAGCACGGCCGGTCGGTCGGGGACGACCCACGTTTGCGGTGAACGGCTAACGTGCAAAATGTTAGTACAATGAACGGACCATCTAGGTACCTAGGTAGGTAACGACCTCGTGCAAAAGAAACCCGGAATATAATGGAAGGTACCTGAGACGTTCACCGACTCGAGTCAAGGAAAACAATATCGAGCAACAGGAAATCGGGCATATGAAATGAAATAAACGGATTGGGGTGAAAGAAAATGACGAACGAAAGTTGAAAAATCAAGGAAAAGAGATAGAGAAAAGGAAAGAGAGAAAAGGAAAGAGAGAAAAGGAAGGAGAGAAAAGGGAAAAGAAAAAAAAAGAAAACGAGTTAGGACAAGTTTGTCAGCGCTGATAACTCCATCCCCGGCTATCCAGAGGTGACCCTCCCAAGACGCAACATTGCGTGGGTGTGTCCAGATAGTTAAACGCATCGACGGGGAGGTGTTCAAAGTAAAAAGCACGAGGGGATGTGTGCAGTGGCGTACCGGGTCAAACTTTGCACCCAACGGATCGACTACGAGACCGTTGCCACTGGCAGCGAAGACGCGAATGCCCGGAATGATACTATCGAACCGGCGCTAAGGAAAACAGGCCGTGAAAGAAAGGAATCGCGCACGATAGCCGCCTTCGTAGTGGGAGGGGCTGGCGGGCTCTAGGCTGGCGTTAGCCGTCGTTCTTTTTTGTCGCGCTCGTGCGGTTCCCAACGCAGGCGCTGAAAAGAGGTAGGTGGGATACCGATTCGCCAGGCATTCTACACACAATGTTAGTATCGTAAGTAAACGCTTCTAGAAATGTCACTGGACTTAGTACGTTGCGACTTTGCTGCGAAGTGACCGTATAATGAATCGGTACTGGGCTTCGGCTGTGCTGTCGGGGACCCCAGCTTTAACCGACCTCTTCGTTGGAGGCTATTGATCTGTCAACGATTGCCGATGTGCCGGTGCAAGTTGAAGGGGGGCTGAAAATGATGCCACTGCGGCGTCATCAACTGTTCGAACGTGACATCGCGATCGGAGACATTGTGGAGGGCGGGGGGTCGTGTTTCGGTACATGCAGCCGTTCGACTGTGGGCGAGCCTGGAGAGTGAAAAAGATGATGTCTCACGCTGATCATGGGTTTCGGGCTGGAGGGCCACGCCAGGCTACACGTTGGCACTTTCCCTCAATCATTCCCGCCCCCCAGTAATGACCATGTCATTTTACGGCTGAGGTCAGTAAGAACGATGCAGTGTATGTACCTACCTTCGGTATGGCATTCCATCTCTGCAAGCGGCACACCGTAAGTTTGGCAACTTCCGAGTTTGGTTAAGTGGATCGGAAGCAGGTACACCTAAACCCCTCTGCGATACGCCTTCTGATTCCATCGCGTTCCCCCGGTGGAAATGTAAGGCGCTTTCTCCTTTTCGTCATTGTTGAAGTAGTGCCCTCTCTCGGAACTGTCATGCGCTTCCCGAGAGCCTGCCCTTTTGGACTACTAAAGGTAGGTACTAGAGTGGAAGGCAGTGACAAAATCGAAGACCGGCCTCGGGATAGGTGACGCCCTTTTGTGGGAAGGCGCCCGGAGCTTGGTCGTGGGACGAATCAGTCCGGGGTGCAGAACAGGGAAAGAAACAACATGTACCTTCCCTACCATTGAACCTAATGGTACTAGTAGGTCCTAACTCGCCCGTGCCGAAGCTTCCTGCAGGTTGCGGGAGAGGGTGCCATGCGATCCAGTTCAAAACCGCACAACTTAGCTGCATCATCATTCGATTCTAGAACATAATACGCTGCACATTGGCCAAATTCCCTTACCTTGCGAGAGCGTTTATTCCATTTCCTACTTCGTCTCGAAACGACAATACCGTCATCTGCAACATCACCAATTTGCTAACGAGCCACCAGTACCAAGAGACAGACGACGTCGCTTCGGAGACAAATGCCTCAAAGAAGAGTATCATGGCCAGCAAGGGTTCCTTTTTGCGACGGTGCAATTGACCGGAATAACGTACATCACCAGTTCATGATGCTGACTCTGGGAATCTGCCGCGGTAGCAACCCCGAACTTCGAGTCGATCCGCCACGGCGGCCGCGGACGGGCTTGGGCGGAAGACAGTCCTCACCGCCGAGAGGTCCAAGGCACTGACAACGGGGGACCGCCAAGGGCAATGAAGCGCAACTTCGGGGACATCTGAGGGCCACCGGACTGCCTTGAAACGATGCCATGAAGGCGGGAGAGCACCGCGGGTGACTAAACACCGCGGCCTTGGTACTAATGCATCTTCACTTGCTTGTCATTCCCCACGTTGATGTTGCTGTTATTCTCAGACGAGGCAATACATGAGACACGGGCAACCCTCACCTTAAACAAAAGTTTTGAAGAGCACTGACGAACAGTATCATCAGGATCGGATCCAACATCTGGCTGCAAGGCTGCTCAATGCCATGCGCCCGTAAGGTTCGGATCGGAATAAAACCGCACACGACCAGCCACCCTTCACCAAGAACATCAGAGACGATTAGAGTTCCATCCGAGCGAAATGCGAATCAAGGACGACACGCCTGAACATTGACTGGCTTTTCCGCTGATTGGATCATGCCGGAACAGCCAAACCAGTCTCATTTCCTCGCCCATGAGTGGCCCAACCCCACCCGTGTGGTCGTATCTCGAGACGCCGCTTGACAGAGACGAGAAGGAAACAAAGATGGAACCTTTCGCAGAGGTGGGACGACCTCGATGGAATGGTTTATCAGGTACGTTTCCTTGCCGCGCGTTGCCTTGGCTTCGTCCGTCCGGGGGGAAGTGGGCTCTCTGGGGGGATTCTCTGGGGGGATTCTCTGGGGGCATTCTGTGCGCAATGGACCTTCGGGTCTGATCAGGCCCGTGGCCGTGCGGAGTGATGGCCTCGTAGCTGTTTAGTGCGATGTGCCATCCGACTGATTGGGCTTTTGCTTATTGCGCATCCTCGTTCGCGGGGGGTCGGTTCCTGATCCCGTGTCGACGGGTGACGGGCCGGCCGGGCGGCGAAGTCGGCCTCTGCAACCTCCACGTGGTGCCGCCTGGGAACCTGGTCTTGAACGTGGCCAGAGCCAGTGCAGAGACGCAATCTCCACTGGACCTTTGGTGGTCCTGCTCAACCGAACCTGAACAGCCCGTTCGGGTTCGTTGTCGAGGTGAGTTCCCCGTGTAACTTGGTGGTGCACTATTACTCACGTACGTTAGCCGCGACTAATCTTACATCGACTGTCCGAGGTCTCTCATAGAGCTGCGTCAAAACGGATCATGTTGCGAGACACTCGGGCACATCGACGGCAGCATGAGTGTCATCGGGGTGGGTAAACCGTCGGGGTGGGCAGTCGCGAGGTTACGGGGAGGCTGCTGGATAGTACTCTGTCATGGGTTGAATTAGCAAGCCGCTAGTGGCGGGCATTGGGTTGGATGTGATGCCGAGTAGGGGCAACGCCGCGTCAGGTTAACATGTCCGCCCCTGTGGTCCATCTCAAATTGTAGTGGCTATTATGAATAAACGTCACCGACATATTCCCCGCCTAGTAGCTGTGTCATTGAAGACCTGGATTCAGGTCAAACAATATTATTCCTAAGAAATGGTTCCAAGGCCTGCGGCCCTTGAGCTCGATGTGAAGTCTCTAATTTCCTTCCCCATCAACCATTCCCATACCGGGAATCTTCTGGAGCCCTAATCAATATGTTAGCCTTTACCCCATCATTTTCATGAACAAAAGTTAAACTTACAGCCGTCGACTGGCTCGGCAATGTTCTGAGGAATGGTGCACCGCATCGCCTCCTCGGAAGTCTGCGTTCGGAGTTCCTTGCAAACAGCATTGCCGCAGCGGGCGTCAAGAGCCCGTTGGAGTGAGTCGCCCTTCCAGCCAAACATGTAGTCACCGTGTTGTGTGTACCCGACACTACAGAGCTCCCGTCAGCAACCTATCGCTTCTCGGCCAGTGATCAGCCTTCGGGGATTCGGGAACTTACGAATCATCAGTGCTCCACACAAACGGCTGTGAGCCATCCTCGGGCCAGAGAGACTCGTCGTTGAACTCGGTGGTCTATCCGTGTCAGTCAACTGTTGACAAGCAACGGATACGGAACAGATACGTACATCCCACATGACCTCGTACATGAGTTGAGGCAACCGAACAGGGTGGCTCTCGGGGCAGGGCCCAGTCGACTCGAAGCTCCCAACCTCCGGATAGGCAACATGGCTCTTGTGATCTGGGCTGTCGATGTTCTTGCCGTCCCAGCAGGTGGGGAAGGTCACGGTCGTGCGGATACCGCCCTCGCAGAACCCCTCGGGCAGCGTCTGCGAGTCCGTTCCAGTGCACGGCGCGCCGCCGCGGTCGTAGCCGGATCCCAGGCAGCGGTGGCACAGCTGCTTCTGCATGCCCTCGCGTTCGCGCAGGCCGGCGTCGCCGACCAGCATGCGGAAACCGGGCTTGAAAGCGGTCACGGACGTTTTGCCATCGTAGTGCGGGATGTAGTACACTGTCACTCCTCCCTTTTGTTGTCAGGAGAGGGTCAGCTATTCCATGTCTTATCCTGTTCGGCTTCGGAGGTCATGAGGGGCGGAGAGAGAAAGAGCATGGTTGTATCATACATCGGCACGGAGGCCCACGTTGGGGAACTGGCGCACGCGCTTGTAGGTGCCGTTGCGGGCGCGGAAGTACAGAATGGCCGTCCAATAGTTGGAGAAATCTTCCGAGAAAGTGCAGCTAGTACAGGTGGACTGCTCGACGAGGTCATGTGTCTCCGGGTCCATGCTGACGTTGAACGAGTTGCCTCCCACCACCTGATGAACATGGGGGGATTGAGCCTGCCCCGGGTTCACCAGCGGGTCCATGCGTCCTACGACGAGCTGCGAGCAGCTGAATCGGATCATTTGCTGAGCCGCAGCTCCTTGCGCAAGGAGCGCGAGAGGGAGCGTGCTAAACTTCATCTTGGTGAGTTGTCGAATCCGAGCACTGAGGGTGAAGTGACTAGAGAGAAAGGGGTAGTGAAGGGTACGAGGTACGATAAACGAACTGGAACCGGGAACCGAGTTCATGCCCCCTGAAACTAAGAGACAGGTGCCTCCAAGCCCTAAATACGCCAGCGTTCCATCCCGGTCAGGGTAAAGGAACCCGATGCCGTCCCATGGTATGCCGAGAGTTTAATCTTTTGCACGTGGAGCCTAGATTGGAATTCCTTGGAGTCGGCAGTTCTAGTCCTTCTAGAAACCAGACCGGCTGCAGGCGTTCGTGGGATTGGTAATACCCGGTCAATAACAACCCCTCTCCAGCACATAGCCAGACGGGATCGGCTACGCAGGCAATCTGGCAGAATGAGGCTAAAGAGTAATATTATCTTGGTCTTTTCCATGGCCAGTCTCGACCCCTCTATGTCTGGTTATTAGATTTAGATTCGGCCCTCGGCCAGCTCTTGTTGCCTTCGTGACCCATCGAATTCATCTGTCCACGATGCGCAACAATCTCGTATCAATCGCCTTGGCCACGGCCGCCACCCTGTGCCTCCCATTCGGAGTCAACGCCGCACGGCCGTGTGGCGGCGCCGATGGGGGAAGTTTCCAGTATCGTTTGGGTGACGTGCGATACGATGGCCCCGACCCGAGCAAGAACAATGACCTCGCTACCATTGCGGCCAGCCTTCAGAGCAATACCCAGACGCCTTTGTATGAGTGTGTTGGGCAGTGGCCAGAAGCGTGGGCCGGGTGGTACCAAGGCGGGAGCAACCTGATATGGGCAGACTGCATCTGGACCGGTGCCGGGACAGGGCAAGACGATACCGTGTCGTTTGCGGTTGACTGGGAGAACAAAACCATGTACCTGGCTCATACGTTTGCCTGCTCCGACCAAGAAGGGTAAGGTTCACCTTTACCGCCATACCCATACCCGTCTCTTCCTCCTTATTGTGCCGGGCTAATTCCGCCAAATAGGTCTCAGGGGCTAGCCACCGGGTCCATCACTCTCGATGTCAACTGTACAACGACAGACGAGAGTAGCTACTGCGTCCCGAAGAGCACAGAGTCGGGGACTCGCCCAAACCTCAACATCGCGACGGTGCTAGTCCCTGGTTCCGAGACCACGGAGCCAACGTGTGCCGAGACATCGAAGGAATATCAGTCGTGGAAGGTCGAGCAATGGCAACGCAGTTTCACGATGGAACCGGGGGCGTCACCGACTGACCCGAACCTGAGCTCAGACACGGGCCCATCTTTTACCCTCAAGAGCTCGGCCAACGGTAACACATTCAACTGCTCACCTTCAGAAGCGGAGGATGGCAGCTTTGTGGGTAGCTGCACGTCAGATGCAACCACCACCACGGCAGACTTCCACTTCGATCCGCTGCTGAACATGCTTGAAATTTCGGAACACTGGGCGTGCGATGGCTCGTGAGTAACTTGCCAGGACCTATCTATGCATCTGGCCGTTAGCTAACAAGCGATGATCTCCCACTAGACCGCCGCTCGATGTTGTTGGTGTGGGTTACGTGCAGGCAGCGTGCGAGAGAGTTTTCAACAGCGACGAGTTCGTTTGCACGTCAGCGCCCGTTTGGATTGGCACAGGTGTTGTGTAGACGTTTGGGGAAACCAGGTTTCACAGGGAGCGCCTTTTTAAAGGTGCAGGCGTGGTTGATGAAACGGACACAACAGGTACAGACTTCAGCGCTGTCTCCTTGGGTAGCTTGGGACTTGAAGGGGTAACAACGAAACTAGAATTGAGAAATAAGTGTTACTCTCGAGGATGGAGATCAACGAGACAATACACGTCCGCTTAGTGTTGCATTGCCTAGGTACGGAAAGTTACAAGTCACCTGTGCTCATCTAGATGAATTCTTACCTCTAGTTTCGTGCCACCTTGATATCCGTTGCACCTCAGATATCTCCCCCAAGCACCCGTTAACGATTGCATTTATATATCAATCTTTGCCCCTGGATTCTCTGCAATTATGCTTCTTCTTAAGTCTCACATTCAGACTTTTCTAGAACAAAAGCTTTATCAGTCGATGGATATCTACAAAACCCGTTTCAAATCTCAATCTAATAACAAAACAAGCGCCGGCACGCCATACCCAAAACAGCATCATTATACGCCTGTTCCCCCAATATATGCATCAGACACGCCGCACCGAATAGTTTGTCGACTTGTCTTCATTGCCGCAGCTGCCCCTTCAATATTTTCTTTATCCGGCGTGAGTCTGCAGCACACTGGCGTCTCGCGCGGGCCGATGAGACTCCTTTCCCCCGTGGCGGGGGTTGTTTCCCGCAGATTCGCCGTGTCGATGCCTCCCCCTTTCCTCACCGTGGTCACCGTGGCGCGTTCCACGGCGTCGTCGGTATCGGTGTTGAAGAGGCGTGGAATTCTGTCGTTTCTGGTCACCACGGCTTCCCTCCCCCTCCTGACCATCAGCGTCGGCAACGTCGAGGTCCGCATTTCCTTCACCGCCTTCCGCCGACCCTTGCCTAGTCCCCAAGACCCTCGGTTGGCCCAGCTTGGGTGCCTTGTCCGTCAACCCAAGCCCCGACATGAACCAGCCGAACCATCCCGGGGTCGGTGGGGCGAAATGGCCGATGTCCTGAACATAGCATTTCTGGTCCTCGGGCAGGTTGAGCCAGACGAAGTGTGTGTTGCTGTTGATGCGGCCCTCCATCACGAAGTCCCCAATCTCCTCTGGGATTTTGAGCGCCTCGAGGATCAAGATGGGCTGGTACGCCGGGATCAGGAGATGCAGCCTGGTTGGACGGATGGGCCGACCGTCTTCCCGCGCTCGGCGTTCCTTCTTTTCGATGTGTCGCCTCGCCGCGAGCATGAAGACAAAGGCTGTGTCGATCTGGTTCGTGTAGCCGCAAAATCCCGGTCCTATCGGCTCCTTCTCCAAGAGGTGGTAGAATCCCGGATACCAGTCGTTGTCCGGATGGTACACGAAGAACCAGTGATCGCAGGCGGGGTCGAGGGAGGTTTGCGTGACTCTTTCTCGGATCATGCCGTGGACGTAGGGTGGAAAGTCCTTCTGTGCAATGAGGGCTGTCTGGGCGGCAAGGCTGGTGGCCATGTCCTTGAGGCGGGCGTCTATGAGCTGAAGGACCTTGATTCCCTGGTACGTCATGACGACGTTCGCACCGATCCCGGCGGCCGTCGCGATGAGGTTGAACTGGACGAAGATCTTTGCCGAGTCGGCCAATGACCCCCCCATCACCTGCATTGAAGGGACGAACTCTTTGGCCGTTGAAACCAAGCTCCTGACGTTGCTCGTCACAGTAGCGATATCGCCCAGCATCCCCTTACCGGCGTAGGCGCTCAGTCCAGCCTCAATTGTCTGGACGATTGGTTCCGCGTCTTTGACATACTTGGATGCAGCCTGGAATACCCTCTTCCTGATCTTCTTGTTGCCAGTAATCCATTTGAATGAGAAAGCCATGGCGGCTCTCAGACAGAGGATGGGGAACCAAAAGATGCCAGATAATAGGGAACAAGTCCCTTATCCCGGGGGCGAAGTGACGGCTTCCGAAGTGACGGTTTCGATGTTGGGGACTCGAAGTGCAGGACCAGCCTGAGATGCAGGAGGTTTCAATGTTACAGACTGAGCTGAACGGTCGAAGCGGTGAGTTTACAGATTAAGCTTGTTGCATTCTTTACAGTTTCCCAAGTGAATGTTTTTCTGTCATTTTGGGCCGTGGAAGCCTTACCTTACCGCGACACTCGATTGGATGCTGCATCTCTGGGAGTGGTTGGTGTTTGGGAGTGGAGTTGGTCGGGGTGAGGGGATGGTTCAGGCTTCCCCATTCGTGCTGCGTGGTGATTGTGGATTTGCTGCCAACAGGAGACTGCCCCCTGGCGGGGCCGTCTACGTGTACAAAGCATCAGCAGGGAAAAGAAAGCCCGCCCTGCATCAGAACCAGGGCCAACCATGTCCCACGCTCAGTCAACAACATCCGCCGTCACGATCCAGATGTCTCCTTAGCCCCCTCACCCTCCACCCACATACACGCCCTCATACGTTCCACACGCACACTCTCTTTCTCTTATCATCTCGTTGATGTACACACACAATCGGTCCCGTGCTCAGACCATGTTCTGTCAGGGGGGTCACCGCCCCCAAAAGCACCAGCTGCCGGTCCCACAAAACGCCGAGGAAGCACGCAGTGTCAGCCAATAAATGCCGCCGCATTGCCGATGCCCAGCTGGACAGTTTCGGGTTTAGCCAGGGGCACATGTGTCGTTCAGGTTTGGCTCTCTCTTCAATGTCTTTACTCGGCATGTTGCGTTGAAGGTCCTGGCAACGTGAATGGGATCGAGGGTTTTAAATGGATTAGTCCTCGGGTCCCGACTTTCCAGTGCGGAACACAACAACATCCTACGCTACAATTTCCATCACCGAAGCTAGACCCTGCTGAAGTTGGGAGAGGGGACGAGACAAGGGCACCAGGGTGGAGATGGATCATAAAGCCGCCACTGACTTCTTTTAAGCCCGAAAACGCATCGCTGTTTATTAGGTTTTGAAACCCAAGCCTCCGACTTGGGGATTACAGTTTCTCCCTTTCCATGATACCCATCAATGTCTCAACATCATCCACCTCGCCCGGGAGCGCGACTGACGGGCCAGGCCGCGTATAAAAGCTTGTTTCGAACTCGGGCGGAAAGAATCCGGAATACTCCCAGTCAATGATGGCTTTGATCTTCAGGGAATTGGGATCCACAATGACATTGTTCGCGGAAAGGTCGTTGTGACAGAACACAAGACTATGCTCCTCCCGAGGACGCATCCTCCATGGCCGGCCGTCCGACTTTCTCATGATGCGGTGCGGAGGCAACACCTGCTCGCTTCATTAGCAACTTGCCCCAGTCCTTCGCGTGGCGTTCTTATCGGGGGATCTACCAGGCCACCAGGTCCACCCCAGGTGTTTGACGTCAATGTCTTCAGCGTTTCAATATGCTCCTGGAGTTCTTGGGTGACGATCTTCTGTTGTTCTTCATCGAGGTCGTTCATCCCAACCCCTTCGACGTACTCGGTGATAAGGCAGGCGGCCCCGTCGTCCTCAAAACAGGCATAAAACTTGGGCAAGGGGATGTCCGTCCTCTCGGCAAGGAACTTGAGACAGGCTCCTTCGTTGATGATCCGCTGTACGTTCAACCTCGGCACGTGCATGAAACCGTTATGTTCCTGCCATTCCGCCGGCCGCAAGCTTCGCTTGATCCATGTGTTCCCGCATCGATAGTACTTTCTTTCAGGCGTGATGCTCACGCAATATTGCTCGCGCTTGGCATTCAGCTCATGGTTGGTCGGGGGCGCCATCTTGTTGAGTGGGAAAGCCGAGAGGATAAATATTGGATCACGTCCAAGCCAAGCCGTCGTGTCTTGAGGAGGCGGGGGGAGGAGGAGGGGGGGGGGAGAGTGAGCAGAGAGGGTCGAGGTCACCTGACGATCGACCCCTGCACCTTGAATTATATGGTGGGCATTGTGTGAGTTGAGGGCGGCAAAAAAGACAACGAATGGGATGCTCTTGATGGTGGGGCGGAATGGACGGTGGGCGGTAACGCGCTTGACCGAAACAGACCGAGGCGACCTGCGGTAAGGCTAACTTACCTACACAGCAGGCAGAGTCAGGCTAGCAGCGGGTGGCCCGTAACGGGGGTCAAATCCAATGCTCGTGGGTTAAATCAGAAAGCCGTCGCGACACAGCCCCTGCGCAGCCGGCGCTCTATGCTGCCAACAGGATCTACATTTTGCCAGTTGTTGGCTAGGACAGCGTCATGAACCTCTTGACATCAATGCGGGAGACAACCTTGACCGTTGCAGTCGGCATGGGAGTGTGACACGCTTCTACAATGTGTTGCCTAAAGTCCGTTGCGTGCACTGTGTCGGTGACATGAGCAGCGTTTCCAGGCACACAAACTTCGAAGTTCTATAAGAAGGGACAACATTGCAACTTAAGGTACGTTCAAAACTTTAGTACACACCTCAACAGTCTCAAATCAAACACTCTTACACACCCGCCCAAACACATCGCTGCCCACACGTCCTGTCCCTTGAACCTCGCCCATTACCTCCTCCACCATGCCTTCTGAAGTCGTCAAGTGCGCCAAGTGCGGAACCAGCATCTCCAGCACCCAGGCATGCCCCTTTTGTTGAAGGGTATTCGTTTGCCAGGGGGGAAGGGTCTCTCATTGTATGTACACGCTCTATCCTCTAAATCCATCGACTAATCAGGTGCGTGGCAGTGTCTGATATTCTGAAAGTCGCGCTCTGGCCCTTGTTCTGCTATGGATGGGTGAGCGGGTTCAAGTTAGCGGCATGGAAGATATAGTGGGCAGGGTGAAGGAATTGGAATTGGCATAGTTTAGGGTGATTTCAATTTAACTTCTTTGCTTGGAAGATACTGACTTTATGGTTGGTGACCGCACGCCCGTTCGTGCTCCTTCACTCTGACATCAACCTAACCGCCACCCCCCCGGCCAACGTGACCTTAGGTAATAGATCGCAAGGTCTCCAGTATTTTTGTGTCAGCCTCAGCTGCAAAGATCATGCAACGCTGATAGGACTCGGAGCCGAGCGCGTAACTGGCAAGAAAAATGGGTGGAATGTTAACAGCGACTAGAGCCCAGGTAGCCATCGCCTTCTCGCCCGTGAGGTACTTGTGAAGGCGCCTTGTTAACGCCGCGAAAAGCAGGCGTAAAATAACGGCGATAAAAGGCAAGTAAGGGGTGCAGGGGACACGCGGCCGGATGAAAACCTCAAGTAGTATGTTGACCAGCACGCCGGAGAGAAAGCAGCACCAGAATGCGAGTCGACGCCGGAGAGGGGTGCAGCCGACGGTGGGGGGGGCCGGTGGCGCGTCGTCGTCTTTCTTTTGGACATCCATGGATTGTGGATTGGTTGTGGAATGTATGAGAGTATAAAAGTAAAGAAGATGAAGAAGTAAACCCAGGAGGGGGGATTTGGCTTACCCGCCAGGTAAATAGTTGATTAAAGGGGCTGTGTCGCTTGTCTATAGGATTGTGCGACTCTCACCACTGCCCCCTTGAGCCACCGAAATGAGTGGATGAGAGTTGCCACCGTCAGTCGCGACGGTTATCGGCAAACCAAGGACAGAAAGATCGACATGCTTGGGATTCTCACAGTCACACGAACAACCACACGAACATCCATTGTAAGCCTACCTTAACTAACCGGGTTGCAGCCCAGGCGGGAGACGACGATCCCAGACTCGAATAGGTATTTACAAGTAGACTAGGTACACAAAGCATACCTACGAGGCCACGTCATCACCCCTATGTAGGGCGAAAAAGAACCGAAGGCCAATGGCAGATGTCGACCTTCTCAGTCCCTGTCCGTCATATGGCGTACTATCAAAGGGAATGGGAATGAGTTTCGGGGGTAGTGAAGCAGGTCTTAGAAAAGTGCCTCAGCATGGCAGTGAAGTTTTTATATTCATCTGCGTTCAGGCCCAACATGAACCCGATTATACACTAGCGAAGTAACGTTATACAAGGAAAGGAATGCGGTGTGTTACATAGACCCGACTGGCGACCCCAACCCATTACCCAACCCAGCGCGTTCATCTCTCATATCAAACCCGGGGTGCCGCCGTCAACGTCCCAAAGCCCCCGAAATATCATGAACATCCCCCTCAACCAGTCCGCCCCCTTTACGCATCCACGCCAAACAGCGCGATGGAGTGGACAAACCCGTCGATGTTGTCCTCGTAGTCGGCCACATCCACCCCGTCAACAGTCACCATGTTCTTGGTGCCGACCGTGTTGAGGTTGTAAACCCGCAGGTCGCACTCGCCCTCGACGCTGAAGATGCGCTGCTGGCAGGTGGCGCCCTCGCCGATCTGGCTGCAATTGACGTCGTAGTTGTCGAAGAAGCTGTACAGGCCGGCGCCGTAGACGACCAGGCCCGTGCTGTCGACCACGCGCAGGCCCCAGCCGGACTCGCCCGCCGCCAGCTCCGGGTCGTGGTACGCCTTTTCGGCGGGGAAGGGCAGCCGCGCGTCCGGGTTCGGCTGGTAGTAGGCCGTTTCCGTCTGGATCTGGCCCATGAAGACGTCGGTCGCGCCCACGAACTGGTACTCGTAGAACTGGTGGTGCTCGACGCTGGTGCCGACCAGCCACAGCGGGCCCGGGCTGCCGTCGACGAGCAGGCCGCGGCCCGCGTAGACGGTGATCTGCTGGTTGTCGGCGCCCTCCTCGATGTCGTGGTCGGCGACCCAGATCCAGCAGTTCTCCATGTAGAGGGCCGTCGCGGTGCGGGTGACGTGCATGCTCATGAAGGCGGCCACGCACTCCGCGGCGACGTCGGCCTCGCCCGTGACGGGCGCGTCGGGCGTCTTGGCGCACTCGGCCAGCTGGAGCTCCGACCCGGCGAAGCCGCCGATGCGCGTGTGCACGTCCCAGAGCCCGGACGGCGCCGAAGGCGCCGACGCCAGGTTGTACTCGATCAGGACGGCCCCCGCCTGGGCGCCGCGCGTCGACACGATGGTGTTGGACCACTCGACGCGGCCCGTGTCGCCCGCGGCGCCGACCCGGACGACGGCCCTGGGGGCGGCCGCCGAGGCGAAGGCCGGGCCGGACGAGAGGAGCACGGGGAAGGCCTCGCCGAAGATGCGGGACCCGGCGGGGATGCGCAGCGTGTCGGTCACGAGGTACATGCCCGCGTCGAGGAAGACGATCTTGTCGTCGGCGGCGGCCGAGGCGAAGAGGGCGTTGAGGGCGTCGGTGTCGTCGGTCGTGGCGTCGCCCTTGGCCCCGGCGGCACGGGCGCTGACGAACTCGGTCAGGGGCACGTTCTCGTACTGCGGCTTGGAGCGCTCGTAAAAGGCGGTCCCTGCCACGAGGGATGCCGGCCGCTTGCTGGGCTTGATAGGGCCCTCGAAGAAGGTCGGGCCCGAGGAGGCCGTGTACTCGTTGCCGCGGCCCCAGGCCTCGATGACGGTCGTACCGGCGGAGCCGGCGAGCTCGGTGCCCGAGGGCCCGCGGATGGCGGTCGGCACGTTGTCCAGCCGCAGGTTCTCAAAGATGAAGTTGTTGGCCACGGCCGGGCCGGTAGCGTTGGCGCTGCCGTACGCGATTCCCACCGGCGTGTTCTTGATCTCGCTGTCGAGGATGGTGACGGACCCGACGTTGAGGTTCCCCTGGTCGGCGGCGGTGAAGTCGAAGCCGACCTCGCAGTTGTTGATGCTCACGCCCTTGTAGGTCCAGCCCCACGACCACAGCTGCTGGATGGCCGTCTTGGCGTTGTGGACGGTGATGTTGCGCATGGTGAACTGCTGGTTGCCGATGGACATGGCCTGGGCGCCGCCGAAGAAGACGAGGTCGCCCATGTAACCGCCGGAACCCTCCTCGACGAAGAGGCCCTGGTGCAGGTTGCCCTTGGCCTCGGACGACCGGAAGACGATGTTGGACAGGGACGTCGCCTGCGAGCTGGGCCAGTGAATGCCCGAGATCAGCGTCTCGGGAGAGACGTCCGAGATGTCGATGACGAGGTTGGCAACCTGGCGCCAGAACACGTTGGTGGCGCCCCACGACAGGCCGCTGTCCCCGTACTGGTTGGTGTCGAGGAGCCAGCGGCCGGTGAAGTCGGGGGTGGCCTTGAGAACGGGCAAGCATCCGGGGTTGCCGACCAGCTGGGTGTAGTAAAAGTCGATGATGGGAGAGGACACCATGTAGGTACCGGGCGGGAAGTAGACGAGGCCCGGCGTCTTGGTGCTGCCGGTGCAGCCGGGGCCGCAGCGTTTCCCCTCGCTGATGGCCCGGTTGATGGCGTCGGTGTCGTCCGAGACGCCGTCGCCCTTGGCGCCGTAGTCCTTGACGTTGCGGAAGACATCGTAGTCTGGGCCGCCGAACGGAGCCACGCCCTGGTGCTTGATCTTTTCGAGCCAGAAGTCGGTGCAGGCAGGAATGCCGGCGCTGCTGGTGGCTGTGCTGCGGATACTGGACGAGAGGGATGGCGAGCTGGACGGGGTGGATGAGCTCGGAGCTGGAGACCCGGACCCGGGAGACGAGGAACACGGCGGAGGCGGGCTCGGGGACGGGCAGGACGTCAGGGTCTGACTGACCACGACGGTGACGCCCTGGTGGTCACCATCCGCGTTCGCATTGGCCGCGATGCCCGACACCAGGGCCGAGACGGCAAGGAGTGACTGAAGCGAGAGACGATGCATCTTGGAAAGGTAGGTCAGTATTACCTAACTACCGAGATGCCGAGCGATGCTGATGGTTCAAACGAATGACTGCGATGCGGCAAACTCTGATCGCATCGTGGACCGATCGAGATCACTGTCAGGGCTGGCCCGAGGGGGTCCTCTTTCAGGAAAAGAGGGCAAAGGGATCGACACGTTTAAAGAGCGCCTCTCTGCGCCTCCCCGGATCGATCCCCCCCTCGGCCTGGTCGATCGTGAGGAGTGCCGGGTGCGAGCCTATGCCAAGCTGCTGGGGCACACACGATCCATGCAAAATAACAAAATCCCCATGTCCCCCGTGCGTCCGGTGCTGGGCCGTGAGCCGTGATGCGGTCTCGGCCGGCGTTGCTCGGACACTTTCCCACTTCAAGGGCATGCTAATTGGTTGGGATGCACCGGGGGGGACGGTGGTAGTTTGCCAAGAGCTGCAGGAACGGCATGCCCTTTACCTGAACGGTCACTGGCGTCCCTGGCTCGCCTGTGAGGGTGCATCCAAATTTGGGGTGCGCAAGCCACCCCCCCCTGAAGAAGCAACGACAACGGCATGGGACCTCATTTCGCACCCCACCACGGATGCGTCCCGCGCCGCGCGAACTCTCAAGCATCAGTCAGCTCAGCGTCGGATTCCTGCCGTGGGGATGCGAACCAACCGGGCAGGACCAAACAGGAGGACTCAGGGGCCGGAGACAACAGTAAGTGAGTAACCCACGAACTCCCTCACGGCATGGCCTGGTCATGGTGTGCCACCGTCGTCGCGTTGTCGACGTCGTCATGTTGCTCGTTGCGATGCGTTCGTGGGGTGCTGATACGGATTCGGCGAATTCGGAATGAGTCGTTGAGTTGTGAACGAGGTCACTCTGGATTGTTTGCTGGGGACCCCTGGCCAGGTTTTGAGCTCGCACAATCTCCCGGATGCGGAAGAGGAAAGCAAGCAGGCGATCCAGCGACCCGACGGACTGGATGCCTCCTCTGGGGTCAGCCTCTTGCTGGGCTGCGCATCTCGTGTTGCGGCTGATGAGAATCTTTGTTTGTGCGTTGTTCGTCCAGGGTGCGTTTGCGAGGCGGTTCGGAACTCGGGAGTGTTGGGAGTGGTACAGAGGAGAACTGCTTGGCAAGATGTTAGTTACCGGTCCATTCGCGAGTTGTGAGTGTCTGGTCTGGAGTTCATTACCTCCATATATCCACGTGTAGAGAGGGCGTGTTTTCAGCAAGCCTAGGTACCTCGGTACCCAGCTTCTCCGGCCAACCGCGCGCGAGAATGATTTTCCGTGGGCCTTTTTACCGTGGCGTTGGTGTTGTTGGTGGTGAGCATCGCCGTCGGCGCCATGGTGACCATCTTGGGTGCCCCCGTGGTTTGCTGCTAGCCTGCTGCTTTGTTTGCTTACCTTTGGTCCTTGGTGTTCGGCGCCCCCTCGGCCTAGCCTAGCTGGGCAGTGTTTTTCTGGCGAGTTTGACCCGACGGCGCCGCTAATCCGTAGGCCGCTGCTTCAGCCCTTCTAGCTCGTGGCAGTGGCTGCTCGGGTGGTGATGGCATCGGGGTGGGGCTGGTAAGCGGCAGCTCGGACGCGGTGCGGGAGTTGGTGTTGCGCCCGGAACCGGACCGGAGGGCTCGAGGCTTGATGGGTTGAGAGGTAAGCCGTTGTCGCGGGTTTCACCCCCAAAACGCCCGCTTAGACCCCGCGTGACAACTCGTGACAGCAAGGTAAAAGGGACGGCGTGACGACCGTGTCACAGAGCCCTAAAGACGGAGTGCCTCGCGCACATGCACCATCTCGAGGCTCGGCAGAGTGACGATTGTCATCTGGGAACGACATCTATGCAGCTCCAGCACTCGGCTCGCCATCGCCCCCCCCCCCCCCCCCCCCCCCCCCCCAGCCCCGGCCTGCCCGGCACTTGTCTAGTAGCCGAGCAGTTTGTGGCGAGCCGACCTCAGCCGGTCAGCCGTCCTAGCCTCCAGTGGGAGGAACATACGCCTCCATACGGTAGCGTTCCGCAGGTCGGTAAGGGGGATAGCCTTGATATCGGCACGGGAGACCTCGAGCCAGTGCCCCTCGGCCGTCAAGCCGATCTGCACTCGCTCGACGAGCTCCCAGCCTCGCCCGGCGACGAGCTCCGCCACCTGACGCTTTAGCCGCTGGCTAGGTTCCGCGACCTGCCTCTCATACAGGTATTGGGCCTCGGCGAGGCCGGCCTGCGTCTCGCGAACGAGCGGCAGCACCGTCTCCCGGACGACGCGTTGGGAGGCGAGCACGGCGCGCCAGGCGCTGGCGTAGAAGTAAGGGTCGGCTGCATCCCAAATCGTCTGACGGGTGTACGCGGCGGATGGGTCCTTCCAAGACCCTTCATCCCCACTACCGCCACTACCTCCATCAGCGTTGTTTTCGAAGATGGGCTTTGGCCGGCACGGATACTCCCAGGGCAATCCTTTGGCCCAGAAGACGGCCCGTCGAAGCAAGCCCGGCCTTAGCCCATCCCAGATGTTCAGCTGCTCCAGTCCCGCCCTGGCCGCTTCCGTCCAGTCCGAGCCGCTCACTTCTTCGACTTGTTTGACCATGCTGTCGAACTTGAGCTTGAGTCTCGCGAACTCCTCGGGTGGCGTCTGAAAGGGCGGCCCATCTCGCTTGCAGAAATGCATGAGTTCCGGCAGCTGTGTGGCATGGAGCTTGGACAGGAAGCTGGCAGCCGTGCGGTTGAGGTCGGCGGCCTCGTGGTGGTTGACGTTCCCGACCAGGTTCAGGTCGTCGTACTGGCCCAGGTCCTCCTCGTCGGGGTGGAAAGCCCAAATCCCCTCCTCAAATTCATGAAAGTGAGCGGACAACACGTCGCTCACCCCAAATCCCGCGTGGGGTTTCATGTCGTCCCACCACAGCGCCTGAAACCTGTCAACTCGAGCTGCGGCTGCGCAGGCTTCGCTCACGGACTGGAGTGCCTCCACGGCCATGTGGCCCTCGGCGGATTCCGAAGGTCTCCCTTGGAAATTCTTGTTGCGGAGCCACTCCGCGAGGTGCGCCGCTGGGTTCCCCAAGTCGGACAGTGCGGCGGCTACTCGGCCGGCCGCACCGCGCTTCACGCAGGGGAGCCTGTGAACCTTGGAGCCGATCCGGCCCATGGCCAGAGCGATGGCGATGAAGTCTGCGACAACCGTAAGGCGGCTGAAGGTGTAGTGGGTTGGCTGGCCGACACCCCGGGGGGCACTGGGCGGCGAAAGGGCAGGGGGCCGCGGGGAGCCCGGGCCCGGGTTGGACGTCGACAGGATTGTCCACACGAGGAAGGCCGAACCGAAGATGACCACGCGGGACAGGAAGGCGCCGAGGGAAAGGGGTCGCTGTGCCCGCGACTCGTGCCCTCGATCGTCTTCACGCTGTTGGGCTGATTTTGCAACCACGGAACGCGAGGAGCGTCGAACGGGGGCGAGCGATGCCGCCGGTCGGCTTTGCGCGCCCGAGACAGGAGGACGAGACATCGGCACAAAAGAAGCAGGCAGTGGGTCGGAAGGAGTGTCCAAGAGATCTGGCAAGGGAAGTGGAGAATCGGCAGACGTAGCCTGGGAGTCGGTAGAGATGGCCGGGGAGTCGGGAGAGGTGGCCGGACGGGCGGTGCTCGAATGATTAACATCCACCGTCGGGCGCCGGTGCCGCGGTCGTGCCATGTTTGTCGAGCAAACTGTGGTTTGGCGCTAACAAGAAGGGAGGGATCGCGGGCGAGGAAGAGGTTCAACACCAACGAAGAGCGTATGGTATGGGAACTGGGAACTTGGAACCGAATGGAGCGGAGCGGAAGAGCAACGCGCTGGGAGAATGCAACGAACGAAGATGGCTCTCGTTTTGCCATTTCCAATGGGGTCTCACAAGATAATGCCACTTGCATGGGGGGTCGGGTCCAGATGCGTCCCGTCTGTCACTGAAAGCAAACACGGGGTGGCCGGAAACGTCCAGCAATGCAGCAGCGTCGGCTGGCCGCAGAACCTCATTTGGTGGTCCGCTTTTTTGTCATGCACGCTTGCGGACTTTCGCCACCCCCCGTATGTGAAAGGAGTCTCCGTGGCCTCCTCCCCGGAAACGGCCGTCACAGCGCATGGATCTTCCCGTCGTTGTCAAAGTGATGGGATTGTGGACTATTGTGGGCCGGTTGCGATAATAGCACCACGAGCAAGGTCAAGGGAGGCAAACGAAGGCGCAGCGGCGAGCTACAATGGAAAAGGTGAACGTCCGGGTTTGGTGGTTTCGGGAGGGGGGCATCGGGAGGGGGGGCAGGGGAAGGGGGTGAAGTGGGATGAGGGCGTTGTTCGTCGTTCACATTCAATATTCAATGAGAGACGTAGTATTTCCTGTTTGTACATGCCTGCCCGTGTGATGTGCCAAGAACTCCAACATGACAGGTTCCCTCAGCCGCATCACATCCCCAAACCTGAACCATCCGAGCCGACCTCCCCCTGTCCCACCCAGCCGCAGACGTCTCCCAACACCATCCACCGCGTTTTGCTGTCCCGGGTGACGGTGTGAGTCCAGGGCAGCCAGCCCTCCGTCAGACTGCGGACCACGCCACGGTAAGCGAGGAGCAGCTCCGGGCGTCGAAGGCAGAGGGATGCAATTTCGGCTGCGTCGTGGATCTCCTTGTCGCCCACGCCCGGCCGCAGCCAGTATTCAAGGGCCGCCGCTGTAGTGGTCTCCAAAGTCTCCTGCCACGCCACATAATTGTTCTCCGCCGGGTGGGACGAGAAGGGGGGCGCCAGGATGTCCACCCCGAGAAGGTCGTGTGGGAGTGGTGGCCAGGGGAGCGGCGGGCCTCCCTGGGTTTTGCCGTGTGCATTTTTCGCTAACCGGCTTGCCAAAGCTTGGTCAACCGATGACAGTGTCTTGATCGCATGGCAGACTTTGGCCACGTCGGGGTTGTCGGCTGCGCGCATGGTTGGCGGGTCGAATATCATGGATTTTGCTCCGGCAAACGCTGCGGCAAGGCCTCCTATGACGGCGGGAAGCATGGCAACGGTGAAGAATGGCAAATTTGTTATTGTGTGGAGGTTTTGTGACGCGGTGCAGTGCAGGATAAGAGGAGGAAAGCGGATGTGATCGGTTCAAATATTGATTGATCAAGACCACAACCACATCCACAAGTTGACCACAATCACGACCACAATCACGACCACGGCCGGCCAAGGCTACGCGACTTTTGAGACAAGTGATGCGTCATTGTGCGTGATAGCCCCGGAATCCCCCGGAACCTCCTCGACCACCAGAACGACACCAGGACAGCAGTGGCGTAAAAGGGGCAGTGAGTTTGGGCTCCCAACAACCACCCGTTGGGCTATCCTGTTTCGTTCCCAGTCCCTGGCATGGTGGATCGTACCCACCCACACCTGGAGTCTCAATTCCGGCGGCCGCGAGGTGCTCACGAGTGACAGAGTGACTGAGGGCGACCCCGCTGCTCGAATGCAGGTGCCCGTCTCGCTGCCGCAAGGTCATCAAACTTGGGCATGCTAGGCGGAGAAGGTCAAGGGGGATGTGATGGGCCCAGAGGAGGAAGCCATCTTTCCGTAAATGTTTCTCCGTCATCTCCCACTTCCCTCCATCCCGTCGCCTTCTTCGACCGCCAGTGATGACAGGACTCTTTCAAGTCTCGCATTGCTGCTCCCGCCCTGCTGCGGACCAACCTCCATCACTTCGCAACAGACCCCGAGCAACAGGGACTGACCACCATTATTCCACTCATCTTTCCTTGTTTTTACGCCGACTTCATCTACCCGCCATCTCCCCGCACTTCCCACCATCCTCAACGCCATGTTTGGCGCCATCGTCGCCGCTCTGGGGGGGTTGGTCGCTCTGGGGAGGTTGGTCGCTCTTGCTCCGCCGTTCCAACGGATGCAGCGGTTTTGTCGTTCTGCCCCGTGGCCCATTTCCTGGATCCTCGAATACGCCTGTTGGGCGCTCGTTCTAGCCGCCGTGGTTGTCTTTGTCGCTCTCGCCATTGCCTTTACTGTCCGTGCTGGAATCATGATCCTCGGAAACACGGTGTGGTTTACCATATGCAGTGCAGGGAATTCTCTCATCGCTATCGGCTCCATGCTGGCGAGTTGGGACAGCGTCGCCGGCTTGTTCAACCGTGATGTGGTGCTGCCCATGCTCCCCCCTGTCGGCGCCCTCGGCGACGGTCCGACAATCCAATGGACGATCCAGGACAGCTTGGTAGCGGCGACCGAGGCCACCCAGCATGGCGTGCAGGATCTCCTCCGCCGGTGTGCAATGAGCAAGACGCCTGTTCTGCAGCTCGATTCCAACACGAGCATCCCCTGTGAAGGACTCAGCCGCCAGCTCGACTCCCCGCCGTTGATGACCACCCTGCGTCGCCGATCCATCTCTACACACGAAACCGTCAGCGGCGAGCTGGCCCGCGAGTTCAGAGACTTTGGCCGATTTCTTCACCTTCTCCGAGATTCCCCAGCCTCCGCCGCTCTCGATCCCCAGAAACCGAGACGCGGGTTTTCATCCAGCTGGGAATCCGTCCAACACCGACTGACCGTGGCTTACCGCACCGTGTGGTGCCGCTGGGTTCTCCGGCAACCAGCGTCCACCCTCCAACACCGCAATTCTCGGCTGCTCACGTTGCTCCGGGCAGGCCTGGAACACCGGAAGGCATGGGAGTCCGCATTCGCGGCCCTGAAGGAGCAGATGGAGACGAAATACGAGTGGAGCTGCCCCAAGCTGGGTTGCCAGAGCATCGAGCGGGTGGCGCAGAAATTGGGACCTGCCTCGTTCTCTCCCTCGTCCCTCGTCGAAGTCCAGGGCCCCCTCCGAGCCGGCGCCGGTGGAAAAGAGCAGGTCCAGGGCGAACGGCCGCCGGAAAGCGACGAAAAGGATCTCGTCGAGCAACAGGAGAGAAGTTTCGAGTTGCAAAAACTTGCCGCTAAATGCGTGACCAAGTGCACTCTGTTCAAGGAACACAAGGTCGCCCTGGACGGTCTTCTCGCCTGGTTGGAAGCTGAAATCGGGTGGTGGACTCGATTTCGGCAGCATCAGACGAATAGTTCGAGCGAACTGATGGCGGAAAAGTTTGACATGTCGCTGCCCGCCGACATCCTCCGTTTTGAGATCCTCTTGGATAAGGTGGCCCGGACTGCGATGGGAAGGGAGGGCCCGCAGTGAGGAGGACGGGAGCCTGTCGGGCGGCGGACGACATGAGAGGGGCGTTCGGTGTTTGGCTGGTTGGTTGGACGTGAGAAACGGGGAAAACGGAACTCGGCGGCATTGGGAGTGAGAGACGGACGAGAACTGTGTCGTGAGAGCGCAAACTCGGCATGGGGGGGCGGGTCCGGCGAGACTCACCATACATTATTGTTCGATACGAGTATGTAGTAGGATTAGCGGCTTCATCAAGATTGTGAGACTGGCTTCGTGACTTCTGTGCCGTGTGCCGGAATCCGTTCCTTGGCGTAGCAATGGCCAAGCGAGCGTGGAGTCGGGCGAGGCGTGAGCTGACGATGATGCGAAACAGGGGGGAGGTTGTTTGTCCACGCTGGGCACCCACTTTGCCCCCCTTGGAAGCCGCCAGCGTGGTACTCGCAAACATTCTGGTCCGTCTCAGGCTCAAGAAACAGCCCCTGATACCACAACCGGGAACCATGCAACAACCACATTGGGAAAAGTGCAGGATTAACGAGGTCTCAACATTCGTTCGAGAATGTCTGGCGTCGGATAAACGGCCGCGTCGAGATTCGCTTTCTTCGTAGGACGTGAGTATATAAGGCCGTGCTGATCTCTACCTTTCACAACCTGTATCTCCAACATCTCAAGCCAGCCTTCGAGTCCAGCATTCAACATCACTTCACTTCTTCTTTCTGGGCCGGTCCCTTTCGACACTATCCATAATCACTTACCCGTCACCTTCCCAGCCACGTCGTTTCCCAGGACCCTTTTTGCCCTCCAGCGCCACCGCCAAAATGAAGTTCTCCGCCGCCACCATCTTCCTCGGCATCGTCGCCGTCGCCTCCGCCCTCCCCACGAGCCCCGCCGTGGTGGCCCGACAGAACGGAAACCGCCCCGTGCCCCAGGGCACCTGCTGCGTCGCCAGCACCAGCCTCAAGCAGGACACCTGCACGGCCGCCAACGGCGAGACCGGCCGCTGCGTGCCCGGCGGCAACGACTGTGCGTGTGACTGAACAAACCAACCCCCCCATCCCCGAAACCAACGAGAATGCCCCGTGCCGGAACGATCACTAACAAAACCCTCCCCCGACAACAGGCGGCGGCAGGCTCAGCTGCGTCGCCCAGAGCGGCCTGACGTGCGACAACAGCGTCGTCGAGCGCGGCAGGACCCTGTGCCGCGCCAACGCCCCCGGGGGCGGCCTGCATGACGGCGCAAACATCATCCAGAACCTGAGGGAGGCCGCTGCCAACTAGGGGGCCCGCTCGGTCGGAGCATGGAGTGGACGGGTGTTGAGGCGTAAATACACTAGATACCTAGAAAGGAGATTGTGGAAATGTAGAGAGTGGAAGCAAGTTGTCGTGTCGCACCCCCCTGAACCAACTGTGAAACTGCCCTGTGTTTCGTCCCTTGTGTAGGTATTCGGCGCTGTGAGTGGAGGTGACAATGAATAGATGTATCTGGTGGGAACGGGGTTGAGCTTTTCGTCTTGTGTCGAGAGGCTCGAGGGGATTCGGGGTTGTTGGCTGCTAGTCGAGATGGCCGGAAATACGTTCGAGCTTTTTAGTCTCTAGAAAGGATACCGGTTAATTAGCTTAAGTACCTTGAACGGCATGAGATGACGGATACTGGGTTTATTTGTTGCGGCGCTGGCGACAGCACGAAACAAAAACTCGAACGGCTGGGCTGCTGCCATGAGACGTGACCGGGCGGCCATTTTGCACACTGCAGCTCGACGAAGTGGATGTCGTCGGCCCTGCTGAATGCGGAATTGCTATTGTGCGGCACTGCTCGCCTCACCTTTGGACATATCGGGGTTGCTTTTGGCGGGTTGCACACTGGAGTTGGTCAAAACCAGTGCCACCAAGGTCAGTGCCACCAAGGTCTTCTGGCCGCCCCCAGCATCCCATACACCCGGTACTCGGACCGTGGGGGGTAACACCAGCTACAGCGCAGTGTTCCCGCCAGGCCGGGGCTTTGGGCCCTGAAGGGAGGGGTTACTGTCTGACCGAGTCCCTGTGAGACGGCACCCGTCCAAGTGCCGGCCACCCCAGAAGTGATGGCCCAGTACATAAGGAAACTGACCGCAGGACTCAGGTGCAGGCAGAAACTCTGGGGGCTCGAGGAAATGGGTAGCAGCTTCCGGCACAACCACTGTCCTGTTGGCCAGTATCATTTCCAAAAAGTAATACCTCAGTGTGGTACAAGCATGCAAATTTTGGTGCGCTATCCCATATCATTGGACGCCGGCGGCAGTCCCGGACTCCCAGCCCCGCAACAAACAGATGACGGCCACGGCTGGTTGAACGAGACTTGCTCTGCTGAGTTCTGGCCTGTCTTCTGGGGAAGGTTGCCCGAGGGATGGAATCCAAATCAGAGTCATTAGTTACACTGAGCAAAAGGACATCCTTACCCTGCAAAGGCTAGGGGCACCCTATACACTGCGACATCATTCTTCCCTTATCTCACGTTGACAGGCTGCAGCCGGATGTGGTTACAGGCTGCAGCCTGCTTCCTCTGTTAACACCGATTTGCTTCCGAGTTCCTGGTCCTCCCAATGGGTGGACAGCTGAGTTTGTTGGGAGAGGAGGGAAGGTGAGCCTCCTGTTTTGAAGCGTCCAATATGGATGCCGCGTGGTATGTTCCCTATCTTGATTTCGTTTGTCATCAGCCTGTTAGGTGCCGCAACATCTCACCCATTCTATCGGAGCAGCAGCTACGGTCCCTCAAGTCACTGCCTCGACCCAGCCGGTGCCTCCTATATCTCAAAAGCACCGAGCCAACCCTCCGGTTCTGTACACAACACGCCCCGACAGCGTTGAGATAACCCGTTGTCATGTCCCCGGATACCTATTGTAGCTCGATGACTTGTCGATCAATATCCCGCACTGGTGAGTTCTCTCATCCCACTTTCTCACAGAAGCTCTTCTTTCTTTTCTTGGTCTCCTCTGGCTTCCCTCGACCGCTGTACCAGTCTTCACACGCGCAGTCACTAACGATGTTTGCCTCAGGGTACCCAAATTTACATACCTACACTTCAACACCCCGTTTCCCGGCCGCCTCGACCCAGGTCACACCCTCCCCCGAACCGACTCTTGCCACGTCGATGACACGAAGGTCTGGCCCTCACTTTCAGACATGTGACCACCCCACCCCGCGCACCCGGTTGCTCTCGTCGAAGAAAGAAATATAAGGGATAAGCCCGGAACACCGGTGCGTGATAATAGCGTGGGGGGTTGCGGTGGGTTTCTTTACACTGTTACACTTCGCTGGCGGTCAAGAGGCCGGACTTCCATACGTTAACACGGCATGTTTGGGATTGGCTTGGTGGCGGTCTCTTATCAACGCTGTCTTTTGTGTTTGGTGTGTTTCGTGTGGTTCGTGTGCTGAGGGGGTGCCGTTGTGCCAGTGAAGGCAAGCCAAGGAGGTTTTCGGTGCGGCATGTCAGGTTCGGCCAGGGAGAGGAATGTGTTCGTTATGACGTCGCGTCACTTGTTCCGCTGACAGATCCGGATGTGAACAGAGTATCACGGAGAGGCACCAGACTGCCAACTGCCACCTGGTATTTGGTGGGGCTGGCTATCCGAGGTATGTCGTATGGAAATGTCCATGGTGGATGGCCCCATAAATGAGTGAGTGGGTTTACTGACCCCTGGATCCCAGCAGAACAGCCAACGCCCTTCGGTCGACATGAGTCAGAATCCGGTCTCATCTTCCGGAACCATTACCATGACTCCTTCCCACACAACAACTCCTCCCGATCCCCTCACCAACTCCCCTCACCAACTCTTTCTCGTCCGATCGCTTCCAGCCCTTCAACGGCATTGTACCACCCTGCCTCACTGTATCCCATAACGCAGCTCAACCACCGCAATGCCAGACACCGACCTCGTCCTGCACTTCCGCGTCGCAACCGCAGACGATCTACCTCTCATCCACCCACTCGTGGAATCCGCCTATCGTGGGGATGAGAGCCGGCTCGGCTGGACGACAGAAGCAGACCTCATCTCCGGCACCCGCATCGACAAGGCAGGCCTCCTCGCCAAGATCACCGACCCTGCCGGCGCCGTCCTGCTCGCCACCACAACGACGACGACCACCACCACCACCACCAACGAAACCAACGCCCCAACCAACGAGGAACTCATCGCCTGCTGCGAGGTGTCCCAGCGCGACGACGACGCCGCCCAGACGGCCCACTTCGGCATGTTCGCCGTGTCGCCGCGGCGGCAAGGGGGCGGGGTCGGGCGGCGGGTGCTGGCGCACGCCGAGGCCTACTGCGCGCGGGCGTGGGGCGCGGCCCGCCTCGAGATGACCGTCATCGCGTCGCGCGCCGAGCTGCTCGCCTGGTACGCCCGCCGCGGCTACCGGCCCACCGGCGCCCACCGGCCCTTCCCCGCCGACGAGCTCGCGCGTCTGGGCGGGGTCGCGCTGGTGGGCGACTTGCGGTTTCTGGTGCTGGAGAAGGAGTTGGGGGTTGTGGGGTGAGAGGGGAAGGGAGGGGGGGGAGGGGAGGCTGAGCGGGTTTGGTAATAGATCGTATTTCACTTTTTCGTTCCCGAGCTTCCACGTCCCCTGTTTGTTCCTTTGCCCCTTCGGAACGGTCCGTGATGTGGCGTGGTGTCCCTTCGGAACGGCCCGTGATGTGGTGTGGTGTGATGGGGGCCTGCCCTTGTTCCATCGACCACCATTCTCCAGGTCAGCCGTTGTCGACTCTGAACCAGAGACTCAAGTGGTGTTTCGACTTGGAGTTGACCCCTTCATGCGCTTGACTTACCGTACTTTTCGCCGCCCCCAACCGTCTTGGCTCTCAGGCCCCTTACCTTTCGTTTACTCTGTTCCACAGTCGTGGGCGGTCATGCCACAGCCACGTCCAACCCATCAACGTCTCGCACCATCGCATCACGCCAGCATAATTAGTCTTCTCACACGGACGAAAGGCATGGTTGTTACATGATGTTTCTTATCCCAAGATGGTAAAGGTACCTAGCTAGCTAAAACAGCACGCATCGCAATGCAACCCCAGCTCCAAAAACATTGCCCAGCGGCCTCGGGGATCAAGGAAACCCCCAACAAGAAAGAAATCATGAGATGCGCCTCGATGGGCCCGTGCCGCCTGCTCGCCTCTCGGTGTCAAGTGCGACCGAGCATGCCAGGGCCACCAAGGAGGCGAGATGAGACCCGTTACCGGTACCCAGCGGGGGGGGAGGTGAGGACCTCAAGGGTGTCGCGCAAGCCGTTCCGGAGCAGGAAGTCCTGCCCTTCGGGGGTCCCGGAAAAGACGAACTGTATCGCCTGGCGTTTCCTGGAGACGGTTTGATCGTGGACCTTCATTACATGGCACTCCCCAACCTCGCGCCAGGACCCGAGGTTGAGGTACACCTCCGCTCGCGCCTTCGCGGTCGTGCCGATCACGAGGGTTGCGTTCTTGTACTTGGCGAGGTGGGCCGGGAGTTGTGCTTGCGTCCGGCAATGCCAGATCAGTTGCTGCCAGTCGGAAGTTTTGCCTTTGTTATCCCAGTAAACTTGTTGAATTGCCGGGTTGACTAGGCTCTCGATGGCGGCATTCGGCATGTGAAAACGAAGCATGACATAGCTCGACGACCGGCGACAATGTTTGGCATGGCAGCGATACTTGTCCGCCACCTCATACATCGGGGTGAAATAGAAATCCTTGCGTCCGCTGCTGAAGTCGGTGGGAGGGCTGCTCAAAAGCTTCGTCGCGTCGGTAAGCCGTCCGTTCGTGTCGAACAGGCCGCGAAGACGGTCATCGCTCAAAGACCCCTTGTACAGAACAGTATGCCCAGGTGCATTTCGCGCGGCGATGGCTCTGGCGGAGCTCCACACATCTATTGAGATGGGTTAGTACTGTTCGCCTTGACTCAAATGGGATGACCCACCCGTGTCGGCGTTCTGGCCGTCCTGGCTCGGCACGTCGGCCGGGGCTCCTTGACCACTGCCGGTCGAGGTTGCCTGGCCGCTGCTGGTCGGGGTTGCTTGACCGCTGCGGGTGGTCCCGGCACCAACGCCGGCGGCTCTCTCCCGAGCCCCAGGGCTCGAATTGGAACCCGAGGCCGCCTGTCGAAGCTGTGCTGCTCTGTCGAGAGACTCGAGTCGAATGCACTGCAGGTCGCGGAAACCACCCCCCACCGTGTCCTTAACCCAGTACCAGCAGCTTTCGGTCTGTCGAATCTGCTCGTACTCCGGGTCCAATATTGCATCTTGAGTTTTTTGGGAGATGCCGCAGGCGTCGAAGTAGGCGCGGCACGAAGCGTCGTCATCCCTGCCGCTTTCGTGATCGTCCGGGAGCTCGATCTGGACGAGGACGAAGTCGATGAAGATGTCCCCCAGAGCGATGACATCGTCACCCGGGTCGGACTCGCAGATCAGCTTGCGAACAACTGGGCTCGCCCCGGCCGCGGGTCGGTTGCACCACAGCTCCCACAGCTCGGTGGCCCTGGCGTCGCTCAACCCAATAGCGATGAGGCTCTCCCGAGAGATGAGCACCTCGGAGATCGTGCAATAGGCCTCGTCGGCCTCCGGGCCGTCGGGCGGGTAGTCCAGGGGGAACCTCTTGTACTCTTTATCGGTGTACATGCTGATCCGGCGCCGATGCAGCCTTTGGAACCCGGCGACGGGGCCAGGGTGAAGCGCGCCCTTGGACCGCAGGTCTTCGGCGTCCAGGGGCGAGAGAATCGTGACATGCTCGGTCATGTTGCTGGGTGCGACGGGTGTGATGTTGTCGGACATGTTGGCCTTCGGGTTGGATTCGTTCGTCAGATAGGGGTGCCGCAGTTGTAGTCTCGAGTGGGGAGTGTGCAGGCTTGGTTTGTGGTTCTGTCCCCGAGGAAGGTAACGTGGGGGGCTTAAATGGGCATGATGGGGTGCCTTGGGGAGCAACATGGCGGGCGGGTAGCACGAGGGGACGGGAACCGTGTGTGGATGTCAGTAGTCGGTATGGTTTCCGTAGAGTGACGAGCAGCGGTGCAGTGGCGGCGAGTGGTCGTGTGGTGGTAAGGGGAAGAAGTTACCGGTAGCTAACGACGATGAGCTGGACTCCTTCTATTTACAAACGTCGGGATACATGTCAGCGATGTTTCCATAATTCTCTTTGCCACGGAAAGCTGCAGCACTCTGCGTCTATTTTCAACAATGGCGCGCTGTCGCTAATTTGTCCTCTGCTGCAGGGTGAAGCTTTCTTTCACTTTTTCTAACAACCTTCCCACGTCTGGGTCAATGAACAGATGCGTCTTCACCAGCTGTTCTCACGCTAAGAGCTGGACAGCAGAACATGAAGCAGACAATGTCAGGGCAGCACCATCGTTAATCTGGTAAAGCCGCTCAAGGCTGCACCCGCAAAGGGCCAAACTACCTCTAGGCCTGTTGTCATGCCTCCTTTGCAACGCTCTGCTTAACATTCCCGAACAAAACAAGCAACGGCGTTGGCAATATCTCAGAGAGACTCTTTCCTCGGCGGATAATTGCGACCGTGACAAATGTGGGAAGCATCTGCGACTCGACCTTTTTTACTAGGGTTTACCAAATGGTGACCTTGCAACACAAACATTCTCCCGCTCTTTGGGCTCCATTGTCCACACACAAATTGTTCGACTTGGAGTTGGGCCCATTCACTGGCAACCTTTCACGCTGCTGGAGTCACCACCTTACCCTCTTGTGGGAGGCGGGGCCTTCCTGGCCCACCTCACGTGCAGGGCAACCGGCCACATCCTCTCTCACATAGCAGGGCTACCTAGGTAGGTACCTAGCCAGCTTTTCCTCCCACACACAACATTCCACACACGTTTTCCCACAGACTCTACTATCGCGAGTCCCACACCTCTGGATATACGGCGCATACCTAGGTACCTATGTACACACGTTGATCTTTCTCTTGTTGATAGCGAGCCTCACGAAGCGGCCGATCCAAATTTTACCTCAGCATCACTTTACTCAAATTCCTTTCATGATATGTCACCCCAGCAGGTTACTGTTAAGGGGCATTTGTACCTTACTTTCCTAACCTTTCCCTGATTATAGCCGGTGATCGGACTAAGTAATCCATACCATAGCTGTGGTAAGTTGTCGTGGAGGTATCCGTGTTATATCGTATTTGCATCCTCCTCATTATTGCGTTGAGAGGGACTTATACGGGGGTGGTGCATCATAACTGCGAGCATCCCGTCATGGTTTCCAGTAGGAACCCACTTGTGCGCGCATTCTTTACGCTTCGCAACGCGTGTCGATTGTTTCATTCTCTGAGGTGGTTTGGTTTGGGGGGGTAGTTGCTGTTATGTTTACACAGGGGGCTCAGGGGCTCAGGGGGCTCCAGCTTCGTCGTTAGTAAGCACAGTGCAGGCAGGGACACGGAGGCTCCGAAGAGCGAGCCCGGAGCGCGGCTTGGCGGAGTCAGCCAACCAGCCAAGGAAGCGCATGGCGCCCGAGCAAAGCACCTGCGAATGCAGAGGTCAAGTCTCTCTCAGTGCTCAGGCTCTCTTTTTCTCGTGGTGACAGGTGCTCTCGGACGCTCGCCCGCCCAATTTATAAATTTGTCGCAGCCTCCGCCGTCCTTTACGGCAGGTAACCCAAGAGAGGCCGCAGAGCATTTTCAGATCAGGGGGGTACAGTACAAAGCTCTGGTTCCATTGCATGCAAAACCCAAAATTAAAACCCAGACACTCAATTGTGTGTTGATAACCGGTCACTTTTACATAGGATGGCCTCTTTAGATATTTATCCAAATGCATGGGTGGGACGTACCTACTCACTCTGTATGTACCTACCTAGGTCGTAGTGAGGTTGCCGCTGTGCTGATCTGAGCAGTGGCACCGAGATACGTTGCGCCATTGAAGCTCAGGCCGATGCGAACGTGCGAGCATCCCCATGTCAAAGTCATCAAGCAATCTACCTCAGGTAGGTAATCTGAGAGCGATTCTAAATGCACAGAAGTAGCATTGTATGAATGCGCTCAATCCCAGGGATTGAATGTACATACCAGTTAAAACCACTAGAATAAACGGACATTCTGCAATCCCGGGAGCGGGAATATATGGGGGGCTGCACCCCTGCTCCGTTTCTAAACTCTGGAATCGGAATAACCTGGAAGGAAGGCCAACTTGCAGCGGAAGTCCAGGCCTACAGGTTGGATGCGAATGCCTATGGGTCGAATGCAAATATCTACAGGCCGAAAGCGAATGCCTCTAGGCCAAATGCGAATAACTAGGTACCTACCTAGTACCTACCAGGTACCTTAGGTACCTAGGTAGCTCCCTCGGGTAGTAGAAGTCCGACGGTCTGTAAGCCCTCGGACGTAGGTGGCCCGGGCACTTCAGGCCACTGGAGGTAATCTGTATGTCAAGTATGTAGATACCTCCCTAGTTACCTAGCGGGAATGCAAAGGACCGTAAAAGGCTTGCACGGGGCTAAGAACCTAAGCCATCCACAGACTCAGACCTTGTACAAGCCTTCCACTTGCAGCCGTCGTAACCTGGAAGCCTTGGAACCTGGAAGGTCCGTAAGCCTTGCAGATGTAGGTTACCTCTGTATGCATAGGTGGTACCGCTAGCGGGGTAGGTACCTACCCGGGTAAGGATGCTGAGAAAGTGCAGTCGTTGGAAGGTTGACTACGGATGACGGTGGCTGCAGTGGTGGGCGCCGGGGCATTGGCGCCTCTCCACTGCTGCCAGCTTCAGACAGCGAGCGGTTGGCTTGGCGCAACCAGACAGCCCGACCCGCGGTTTCCTCGATTCACTCTTGAGCTCAGCTCAGCCCTCCGAGCCCTCGTAACGAGACGGAAATCGGCGAAGACCGGAAATACGACAACACCCACCCGAGCCACCGAGGTACCCAAGCAGCACCAGTTTTTGGCCGAAACGGGCACGGCCAATTTTCCGACGCTTTGCTTGGTATGTAAAAAGCGCGGAACGAACCCCCTCAAACAACGTTTCCGGATCTGCATCCCACATGCACAAAAATGTATACTTACACGGCCGAACAACTCACCCGCTATCTCGAGCACATCGGATACCGCGGGGATGCCCGGCAACTGGCATCTCAGGACCCGCTCGGGTGCCTCACAAGCATACAACACCACCACATGGCCCGCGTACCCTTTGAGAGCCTGTCGCTGCATTACTCGAGGCATCGCCTCCTGTCGCTCCACCCAGAGGACTTGTTCGGGAAGGTGGTCGATCGCGGCAGGGGCGGGTACTGCATGGAAGTCAACACTCTCTTCGCCGTGGTCCTGCGCAGTCTGGCCTTCACCCTCTACAGCGTCGGGGGCAGGGTCAACGGGCCGGGCGGCTACAAGGGCTGGTAAGCCCGGCACTTCCTCTCCCTGTCGAGCACCTACATAAGAGGTAGGTACCTCGGTAATCACCGCTTGGGCTAACCGCAGCCGGCAGGGACCACATGGTCAACATCGTGACCGTCGACGGCCGACGCTACCTGGTCGACGTCGGCTTCGGGTCCCGCGGCCCGCTGCACCCGGTGCCGCTGGAGCACGGCTGCGAGTTTCCCGGCTTGGGCCAGGCGCGCGGGCGGCTCGAGTATCGCCGCCTCGAGGAGCACGCCGACCCCGGCCAGCGCGCCTGGGTGTACTCGGTCCGGGAGGGCGAGGGCCGCCCGTGGAGGACGCAGTATCACTTCGTCGAGACCGAGTTCACGGCTGCCGACTTTGAGGTCATGAACCTGCGCACCATGACGGCGCCCCAGAGCTTCTTCGTCCAGAACGTCATGTGCATGTGCACCCTTTTGGATGACCAAGAGGAAAACCCCGTCGGCCTGCTCATCCTGCACCGGGACTACATCAAGCGGCAGGTCGGCGACGTGTCGGAGATTATGGAACGGCTGGAGAGCGAGCAGCAGCGAGTCGATGCGTTGAAGAGGTATTTTGGCATCGTCTTGAGCCCCGAGGACCAGGCGAGCATCCGCGGACTGGCGAGTGGGCTTCTTACCGGACCGTCGGGGCATGCTTAGGACAGCCAATACCGGACGCTGCCCGGTAACGGGGAATGGGCTGGGGAATGGGCTGGGGAATGGGCTGGGGCTACGCTATCGCACCAGCAGGCTGTGGGCCACTGGGACTGGCAGGACATTTGTTTGTATCTCAATGACCCGCCCCAGTCTCCTACCCGATATCTTGCCTATCTAATTAGCCCATTAAGACGCGCATAAAAGCCGTCCGCATCCACGATATGCCCCCCCGTTCCGCATGAAGGGGTTGTACAGTGAGCCGTCCGAAGCGAAGGCTAAGCCACCGCGGCCGTTGGCAAACTTCGCGCCGTTGAACATGTTAACAGTGTCGCCATCCCGATGTGTGTGTTATTGAGGTGGGGTAGAGGTTGTGTGTGGGTTAGGGGGGGTGGGTGTGTGGTGTGGTGTTGGGATGGGGTGAAAGAGGTGAGCGAATGGGTGGGATGGTCAAGTATTATCTGGGTTGTAGGCGGAAAAGGCCCAGACCATGGTTAGCGGCGGGGAGAGAACCCCAACCTTGACTCTTAACACCTACCCTACGTACGTATAGAATCATAGTTTCGTGGCCTCTCTGTTTCTACATGCACCTTGTCTAAGTATTTACCTAGGTAGGTACCTTACCACCTATCCCTATCCGGTCTATTCGTGCATGATTCAGCATCTCCCTAAACATCGCGGGATGTGCTCTCTCCTCTTGATCTTGTGTTTATTTTTAGTTTTGTTTCATGCTCATGGTGTCGTTACTTTGTTTGCTTCTTGATCTAGTCTCAGGACAGACTAAAAGAAAACCGTATGAGAAAGAAAAATGGTAGCTTTGGGCAGGGAGTTTCTGATAATCGATATGGATTGGGGGTTCTTTTTGCGCAGCACTTTTACTGTTATACTAGCAGGGCAACACCGAGTGGGTAATACCGTGAGCCATATATTGATACGGCTTCAGGGGTGCGAGCTATGGACTACGCTTTTGGACTCCTCCCACCAGGGATTATCAACATTATCAACTGCATACCTGAGTATAAAGGTGGACATTGTTCGAGAAAGGGCAAATGTATAGAATGCGCCGCGTGTTCTTACAAAGCAAGTAGAGCTACAGTGACAGCTGCCCTATGACTATGTGATGAACTGTGAGCATAAACGATAACAGCAGCATGATCTGGCTCAACAATGATATTATACCGCAGTCTGCCACAATCCATGCACAAAGAATGCCGTGCCAGTTGACCCGCCAGCTAGTCTGTGTTGACCTATTAGACTACCTACCGCCTGCCAAATTATCATGCCAACAGTAAACCTGCACCACAGTACCATGACATCCTTCGCCCACGCCTCAACGGGGGCATTCTCACCACCGCCGGTACCCGCAGCTGACGAATCTGCCCCCCCGCCCGCCCTGGTCATCAAATGCCAGCCCGGCCGGCCGGAAGCAGTTGTCCGGGCACACACTGTTGTCGCGGTTGTTGAGCACGTCCGTGAGCGCGTCGTTGCTATCCGCCGCGGCGACAAGCTCGCCTGTGGCTGATTCAAAGGTCACCGAGGAGATGCGGTAGCCGACGGGAGACGAGCGGTCGGGTGTGCAGTGCCAGTGCCCACGTATGGAATTATACGCATCTAGGGCTTGAGAAGAGAGTTTGTGAACCTACAGCTCCCGTGGAAAGTGATGCATTGTCTCACCGTCTTCTGCAAACTTGACGTTGGTCTGGGTGGGGTGTCCTGCACCGGGAAGGTTACCTAGTCCGGGGGGATGTAATCGCTCGCGCAGGTCCCGTCCTGGAGGGTGGTGTTCTCCTGCATAGAAATTTGCTTGGTGATGACCAGGCCGTCGTTGTCTAGGATCTTGTCCACCTGCCACACAGCGAAGCAGCGGGGATACCTAATGTTCGCCCCCTGGTTCGCCATGACCGTGCCGTTCAGGTACCCGAAGACGTTGAACTCCTCGACCGGGTTGTTCTCGTGCACGTCGTGGCCGTTGCGCTTCACACCGTCGACGCTGTCATCCACGCCGTAGATGCCGGTCGTCACTGGGTGCTCGCCCACGCCGACGCTGTTGCGCAGGCCCCAGTCGAGGACGACGCCGTCAGAGATGAGGCTGTAAGGGGCCGCGTGGTCTGTAAGGTTGGCCGGGTCGAAGGCGCGGATCTGGGAGACCGTTGGTGACGACTTCGGTCCACGCGGCATCTTCCTCAGCCCTGCCGCGGGAAACAACGAGCGTGCCTAGTTGTTTCTTGGACATGAGGAGTGTGCGGGTCACCATATCACTGTTACTCATGTTGGCGATGATGGCGTGGTTGACTCTGAATGTTGCCACTCTCGGCGTCATGTCCAGGCCAAAGACGGATTCAGCAGAGGAGGTATAGAGTGTGTTGACATTGTTCGACAGGGCGAGTTCGACAGGGCGATCTAATGGTTGAGCTGAGTGGTTAGCTATCTACCTTCGCACTTTTGTGTGCCCCTAAACCCTACTACTATCATCTCTCTAACATGTAGGCATGGTTCAATGCGAGGCAAGTCCCGCCATTGTCGGTGGACCTGTGTCGACTGATACCCTTCCCGCTTTCAACGACCATCTTGCCAAGGACAACATCCCGGGGTTTGACCAGACCACCGGCAACCAACTCTGCCTACAACCTGCTAGCAATTACAGGAGCTGAGTACCTAGGCTGGAATAAGGACGCTAGAACAGTGCGTTTCGGCGACTGCGGTCGCAACGTATGTCTAACACGAAAGCGACCCTCCCTGCCGCATTCTTCATCTTGTATGTATACATATTGCGTTTCTGGTAGAGTCCAGTATCTAGAACAAAATCTGGACTATGAGCACCAACTGCAAATAAGTTAGTTTAGCGGCGTGTTAGCAATCGACTAGGACTACGACTGACGTAACGAGCTGGGTCCAAGACTCAAGAGAACAGTAGAGCCCCGGTGCTTACGAGGTGAGCCCGGGGCGCCACCCCAACCCTACGATCCTTCTAAGCGAGCACGGGAAGTCGAGATATCCCAGCCGGGAACGCAGTTCTTGGCCGAGAAGCCATGTGCCCCGGCGTTCTGATGTACAGAAGCGTGGATCCGAGCTTTCTCAAGCGTTAACTGGGTTTTCTCAGCATTCCGTTTCCCCGCATGAGCCTGAGGGAAGATTGTCACTGGCCAATCATTCCTCGCTGTGGTGATGGAGGTGTGGTGGTGAGCACGTCTTGGGGTTACACTGGGCCATAAATGGACTGCAGTGAGATGGATTCCCCGCCTTGTTTCTCCCGGGAAATTTAATAACCTCGCCATGGCACGCTGCTTTAGGCCGGCTTCATGTTACCGAGGTGGGGTGATGATCCCAAGGGAGGAGCTCCCACACGTGGCTGGGTCCAGTCTGAACCATCTTGCTTGAGTGATCTCGAGCCATTCTCTGTTCACTCGGTCGTGTGGGCCTGGACGGCACTACCACCGCACAGTAACTTGCTTATTTCGACTACACGTCCTCATATTACGGCGCTTTTCGTAATCGAGAAGGCCCGAGGGGTCCTGCGCCTCTGGTTCTTCACCTGCACAGCATTCAGCTCGCCTTCATCTCGGTTAGGCTCCCGCTCAACGAGTCTATCACTCCGGCGGTTATCCAGTCTCGGGGCTTGGAAGCTTCGCCGCCTAACCGTCCACCAGAAAGCCGCGGCATGTGCTAGAGGAAGACGTCATGAATGGAATGCAAGCCCTACGGCGCCTCTCCGCAGCAGCGGTGCTCCTCCTCCACTATGTACTCGCTCTCCCACAAGCAGGCATCACCGTGGCTCCGTCACCAGTAGCATGGGTGACCGTAGATGCCTCTGGCTCGGCACGAACGATCACACCGGAGGTGATCACCACGCAAGGGCAGCTCACAACCGTGTCGGGTGCGCCGTCCGATCTCCTCTCCACCGCAACTTACACCCTCTCCCCGAACGGCCGGGCATCCACCTACACCGGCCTGGCGCCCGTCGCCTCCGCAACCGGCACCGGGGACAACCCAGCAGGCGTCTTCCCGGCATGCGACGCCAACGCCGGCGTCGGATCCGTCGCGCCGTTCTGCCTCCCCAAAGCAGGCAGCGAACTGCACCCAGGAAAGACCTACTACAGTGTGTCCCTACCCGCGAACGCCTTTCCGACCTAGCCGCAAACACCCACTAACAATGTGGCAGTAACCTGGTCCCCTGCCTCCTTCTCCCCACCAACCCTCGAACTAACCCTCCAAGCCCTCTTCGGCGAGTCCAGCGCCCGCCCCAACCTCACCTCCCCCCCAATCCCCGCCTCAGCAGGCTTCTACGCCTTCCACATCCCCCCCAACATCCTCCACACCAACCCACCACCAAAAGACGGCCGCCTCAACCTAACCTTCCAACTCACCCACCCCTCACCCTCCTCCTCCAACACCGCCGCCAACACCCCCAACAACAACACCAACACCACCAACCCCACATCCCAACAACCCCCCCTAACAACCCACCCCGGCCCAACAGTCTTCATCACCACACCCTCCTCCTCCTCCTCCTCCTCCTCCTCCTCCTCCTCCTCCTCCTCCTCCTCCGCTCCACCGAACGCAGGGCCGGACATCGTACCGATCCTGCTACCGATCCTGGCAGCGGTGGCGATCGCGGTCGCGGTAGCGCTCTGTGTGATCTCATGGCGCAAGCACGGGCGTATGCCGCTTGTTGGGGGCGTTGTGGGGAAGATGGGGAAGGTGGGGAGCGGGAGGTTGTTTGGGGGTGGTGGTGGTGGTGGTGGTGGTGGGGGGTATGGGGAGCGGCGGAGTCGGGGGGAGAGGGTTGGTGGTCACGGTGGTCACGGTGGTCAAGGAGGGGTTGGTGGTGCACATGGTGGTGTTGGGGGAGGGGTTGTTGGGGTTGTTGGGGGTGGTGCGGTGCCGTGGGGTGGTGGTGGTGGTGATGGGGATGATAAGTCGGAGACGGATGTGGGTATTCAGTTGACGGATCGGGCGAGTTGGTCGCCGACGGGACGGGGTGTGGGTGGTGGGAGGAATGTCTTTCAGGAGGAGGTTGAGCGGCAGGAGCGGTTGCGGTGATGTCTGCGATGAAGAGGGGTTAGGGCTGTGGAAAGGGGGGGGAATTCTTTCCGGGGAGTTCTGGCGTTAGTTCTTGCGAATGATATCCTGGATGATCATCTGGTGGGTTCGTCCCCGGGGATCAATACCATTCGATCAACCCTGGGTCTGAGACATGCAACTGCTACCAACAGGGAGGAAACTGATTAAAGTGTATTGTAGCGGGCATGCCCTCGCATGTCTCATCGGGTCGGCCGATTACAAAGGTATAAGTGTCTATCTCCCAAATCTTGTCCCGGCTCCGGGCCGGGGTGAATGAAGCGAGTGTATCAGTTGGGCCATCCGGTCGTCAGATCATGCCCCTATCCGTATCCAAAACTGCCTCGTCCGTATTACTCCCGTTTCCCCACGCTGATGGGAATACCCGGTGCGCTGTAAAGACTGTGCCGCCATCCATTTTTGGTGCGCCACGCTGCTGATGACAAAGGAAAATGCGACGTCTGTCGCCCGTGTTCATCACCATCCACTCTCGGCGCTGGGTTTGTAAAAGCCCACGGCACTCAACCGCACCTGCTTGTTGTGCTTGATCGACAACGGCGTTGGGAAATCGGACGGTGAGATAGGTGAGTCGGGCCGTGGGATGCCGGCGTCGTCGTCCTCTGCCGGATCCTCTAGAATTTGGTGCGGTAAATCATTTTGCCCGTTGGGGCTGAATTGTCCGGAACCCCTCCGTGACGTGCTGCCGTCCCTCCGCTGCGGCCTCCGCGGTGCGGGCGCAGTCATGGCACCCAGCGAACCTCTCTGCCTCGCCGAGGCCGATCTTTGGCTGCTGATGGAGCTCGCTCTGCTGTCTTTCCGCTCTACCCCGGCGGGGCTTTGCGGGCTGCGGGCGTCATCAAAATGAATGAAGTCGCTAATCTCCGAAGCCGGCGTGCGAAGCGAGGCGTCGTACGGCGACCTGTCAATCATGATCCTCAGCGGATCCCCCTTCGTCGGTTTCTCCGTTGCTTTGACCTCGGGCGGGGGGCGTGGGCGCGCGCTCAGCGCACCCGCCTCATGGCGTATCGTGCTCCTCGAGGACTGCCTCGTCATGCTGTCATTGGTTATCTCTCGCCTGAGTTCGTGATGATCGTCTCGGTCCATGTCGTCCTCAAATTCGGCAATGATGTCCTCCCGCATCCGTGCGCGCTTCATCCTCAGCGCTGCCAAAAGCATCTCCTCTTGTCTCGTGACCGCCATGAATCTCCCACTGTTGTTGTCGTGGATGCTGGTGGCGCTGTTGCGACGTCCGCCATTGGCCGCACTGCTCAAGCTCGCGCCGCTGCGGATGGACCCGTCGTCGGGTGCCAAGGGAGAACGATGGCTTTGCAAGTACAGGTCCACGCTGGTAGGTGACGCGGGGTGCGAGTGTTCCGAGACCCGGGATACGGACGTTGACCGGGAGCCTCGGCGCGTCGGTGGGGCTGGGAAATCGAATTGGGACTCGCTCCGCATTTTCTTGGGTACCTTTGTCGTGGTAGCCGCTGGGCCTGAACCCGGGCTTCGGACATTCGAAACAGTCCGATCAGTGGAGGTGGTGCCAATCGAGAGTCGTGACGTCTCGACGACCAAGCCGTGGCCCGAAGACGCCTTGGAGTTCAGGGAACTGCTCCGCGGGCTGATCCTTGGGCCCTTTGGTGCCGTTGGGCCTTGGCTGCCAGAGTAGATTTGTGGGCTCGGTGCGATGCTAGCGCCTCTCACTGGTTTCCCTCGGTTCCCGTCATATGCACTGGTCTGGGATACCGGCGACCGTGGGCTTGTCGGACTCGTCTGCCCATCGCTCAGTGTCGGAACAGCAAGGGATCCCTTCGATGAGGGTTCATAGTCGTCTTCCGAGTCGGATGACAGGGCCAAGACGCTGTTCTGCAGCAAGTCAATCTCTTGTAGACTGTGATCCGTCCGTTTTGACGCTTTTGACGTCCTGGTATGTCGACTGGATACGCTTGCGCAGTCGGCGGGCACCGGGCTCGAGGGAGTCCCGATGCCCACCAGCCTCAGCTCAGCAGCGGTGAGTGGCGAAGGTTTAGCTGCTTGAGCGGGTCGCAGCCCGGTGGACGGAAAGGGGGAGAGGAAGGCTTTCCCGGACTGCACGGTCGGTGGTATGGGGTAGGAAGGGGCTTGTTGGTCTAACGGCGGCTCGAGATGGTAGGTGCAACCGTCCAGCTCCTGGTCCATGGCATCTGCAAAGGTCCTTTGCTCGTAGTGGTCGTAGAGGTTGTACAGGTCCATGCTGGACTTGGCCTGTTGCTCCTTGCCGATGCCAGGATGGCCAGGCAGCTCGTAAGCCGGTGTTTGCTGTGCCCGGTTCTCCCGAAGCGACTCTACTGTACTTTGTTTCCTGAGTGACCGGTCGACTCGCTGTTGTACCGGCGGTGGGGTTGGGGCCGTCGGCGTAGAAATGGCGGGCGGGGAGGTCACCGGCATCTCGCGTCCAATGTGTTGTGTTTTGTTCGAGTCCGGGTGGAGATGCTTTGGCGTCCTGTGCCCCCGGAGCAAAGCCGAGAGGTCAAGCCGTGAGGGCTTTTTCCGAGCCTTCCTCGCTTGCGTCGATTCAGTGAAATCACCGTCCATGTCTAACAGCGCCAGAGCTTTCGGCGGGAGCCCCTTGGCCATTGCCGAGTTCGACGTTTGCTGTGATATCGAAAGCGGTAGCTGAGACTTGTCGTAGTAAGATGTGATGGTGGAGCTCGACTGCCGCCGCCGCAGGCTCGACGCATCCGTGGCGCCGTCAGGGACCATGGACCCGCCCAACATTGACGGTTGGCCGCCCAGTCCCGCCGGTATGATCTCCGACTCTTGCTCCCATCGCCTATCCCGCAGGCCCCTAGAACCAGCCCACTCGTCGCGTGCTGCAGCATCCCCAACCTCTCCATTCGTCGTCTCGGTCACTGCGATGCTGATCCCCGAGTTTGACTGTGTTCCCCACCCCTGTGTTGGCCGTGAGTCGAGACTGAGCTCCGCGGTGCCCAGGATCTTCTGCGCCTTCGTCGTCAAGGGGCCCGTTGCCGGTGCGGGAGGTGCTGTCTTCGATCTGCGGCCGGGTAGCGGAAAAATAAACTTCGAGGAGTGCCCCATCTCGGGCAGTGCTGTGAGGGAATTCCGGCTTAAACAGGTTTGAGCTCGGGTTCGTGTTCCGAGTCTCTAGATGCCGCGTCGGTTGCTGGACCGCCGCTGTTGTGGCATGGGCGGGAACGAAGAGCTGGGTTGGAGAAGTGAACGCAAGATTCTGTCGGCAGGATGGGTGTGGTGCGTTCTCGCCAACAGGCGGTGGGGATTTCGGCGATGGGGTTCGTTCAACACCGTCCAACCACTTCCGGAACCCAATAGCGCGTTTGTCCAGCTGATGAGGGAAGGGTTTCCCAGAGTTGACCCAACGGTGTGGTCATTTCCCCATGCAAGGGACCGCCTGGCTGCGCGACACGACGAGCGGGATGTCGCGTCTTATGTTCAGCTGCGTGGCAGGAACCGATAGTTTTCCGCAGCAAACAAGTCCTCGTCTGTTCTCCGGTCAAGCATGTGCAGACCGGGCACCCTGGCACCGGCAATCAGCAGGACCCCTGGTTTGTTACAGCCAACTCCACCCACCTAGGCTGCTCAGGACAGGCGCAATTTAGCTTGACGAGAGCTTTGGTCGGAAGCGGAACGTCCCGGCAGAAGCGCATGTCGTGTACACCATGTATCTGCTGGAAATGTTAGGATCTTTCTCCGCAAAGGGAACGGAGGGAAGAAGCAACGCAGCATCTGGGAATCGGAGAGCAGCCACTGGGCAATTCGAGCTGCAAACCAATTGCCGACGGTCATTGGGCCGCATCTCGCATTGTGCAACAAACCAAGTCACGACCCGCTGACTGGCCGGAGTGGAAAGCTGGCCCATGGTTGGCATGGGGCCCGCACGGAAAAACGATGGTTCATCCATGGTGTTAATCTGCAGGGATGGCACACGCCTCAGCAGGCCTGGCACCACTGACAAGCCCATTCATCCATCCATGAGATGACGGAAACTCCCCACGGTGCGTGGGTGCCAGCGATCCTCCGATGGTGGGATGATGACGCCGAGTTGCCGGTGAACGCAACCAACAACACGGTGGCGGGCCATTGCGGGCGTAACTCGATATATTCGGGATAATCGAGCCGTGGCGGTCTGGGAAAGGGGAGCGGCTCGTTGCGTGCAGAAACCGTGATCACCGTGTCTCATTCCAGCGTGGCCGCCAAGTTGCACCAAGTTGCAGCAGAGTTGCATTCTGCGGAGAGAAGGGAGCAAGCCGAACAGAGCCCTGTTCAAGCCTTGGGGATCACCCGCAATCTCGTGCGCCCATGTCGAGAATCGACCAGCGATCGACGGGCGCACGCAAGGGGTGACGGAAACACGATCCCCCAGATTTCCCAACAATCCCACGCAGAGCTGGGGTTTAGTTTGGGGGGTCAGGGGTCAGGTGGACAGCCACCGATGCTTTTGTTCAGGTTGGCAATTTGAAATGGTGGAAAAGTCAAGTGGCAGTGATGTCAGTCGGTCATCTGAAAGGATGGGTCCCAGCCTGCATCCCGCAAATCGGCTGCACCTGCCTCAATGCCGAGGAGGAAAAAAAAAAAAAGGAGGAGGGGATTGGACAACACCGATTCGAGGTCAGTTCTTTCCCGTCTTGGGGGGGAAGGCCGCTATGGATTGGGCAATTCATCCGAGGCCCTTACAAGTAGCAACCACAGTAACGACTTCACAAGGCATTGATATTTTATTTCGTAGACGCATCTCTTCCAGTTGTTCCCAGTAGCATATTCGTACGAACTCACGAGTTACCTCCGAAAGTTCGGAGGCAACCGGAGTTCACAGTTGTTTGAAACACCTAACCAGGTCCCCGAAATCGCGCTAAAATATGAAAATTACCGAATGATCTGCGATCAAACCCGCCATGTCAAGCTGGTTGTGCGCAACATGCAGCCACAAAACCAAAATCGACGCCACCGAAACCAAGAACGCCAGCTCCGCCGTGAGGTGCGCATGCTTCAATCTCACAATCTCACAATCTCAGACGGCGGCGATCCAAAGCTTGGCCGAATTACGAAGCCACACAGGCACACGGGCCTCTTTTCAAGACCGTGGGCACCGAACACCCCGGGCCCCCAGCTCGGGCTCACGGCCCTCTGAGCCCCGGCTCCCTGGGAGTCTGGTACGCCAAATGTCCGTCATGCTTCGGCTCCCGGGGTATATACGATACAACCCACCCGCCGGAAATCACCACATGGCTCGACGCTGACGTGGTCGGTATGCCCGGCCGTGTTCGTTCGTGTTAACCATGCCTCGAGAGTCGACAGGATCCGAGTTTTCAGGCGCGAAAGGACTCGGGCCGTCTCGAGATTGACTTCTCGCAACGTGATGCGATGCGAACCCGCGCGTTTTTCCGGAGCTGGTGGATATCGGCGTCAAACAATCGGGTTTCACTGAAGCACCGCGGTTAATGCGGTTGCCGTTTGACCCGCTTCCCTGCGCATGTGGTCCCGAAGACGAAGGATAAAAACAGAATATAAACAAAACAGGTAGGCTTGCAAGCAAGCAACGTTCCCCCGGGCCGATCCCTCCCACTAGTTATTACAGACATCTGTACATAACTACAATACAAACATCATTGTTCAGGCCTGCATTCCTGCGGTCCCGGTCTGCAGCCGGATCTGGCCCGAGGTGCCGAACGGGGCGCGGGATCAGACCCCGGGGAAGATTGCGGGGAACGTCCACCGCGGTGTTGCATCTCTGTCACCCAAAATGTTGCGTCGTCGTGCTCGCCCGTCTCAAGCAGCCGCCAAAGGGCGCTCGGGCCCTATAGAATGCGCAATATGCCGTCCGGGTCCCTTGGCAATGCCACCATGATTCAGACAGCGAGGGCCCTTTGGGTAGTGGTGGTGAGGGAACAACAGTTTTGGAGCCGCACAACGACGCCAAACCAACGGCCGGCGTGACAAATAAGTCTATCATAAGCCGCGAAGCTAAGGTAAAGCACGGTTATTTCCCCGCCTACTGATGATATATCCGAAACCGACGGCCGTGCTCGCGCAACGGTCCAACAAGAAGACAACACGCCCCATGGTATCCCGTCCCGCCTCTTCTCTTCCACACCGCGGCCCCAAGCTCCGGAGACCGTCCATGCACCGAGCGGCATGCCGCCGTGTAAATGCACCAGCGCGATCACCCCCAGCGGGCGGTCGGCGTCCCGTTTTCCTAACCGTTCCGCCCCCTATCTCGTGCCCCTTCCCTACCCCTAGGTAGTTATCCCCTAACCCCACCCAGTCATCAAAACATTCCCACTCATCATCTCATCACTCGTCCCACTCATTCCCACTCATCCACCCCCCATCCTCCTCGCCCATCACTCATCACTCATCCCACCCCCAAACATCACCCATCCACACAACCCCCCAACACCCACACCAACTACTCATCCCCCTTCCTCCCCCTCGCCGACGGCGAGCGCCCATGAAACGCGAGCGGCGACGCCGGGCGCGACGCGGACGACAACCCAACAGCAGCGACCGAGTCGAGCGGCACGGCCAGGCGGTCGGCCGAGTCGGCGTAGCGGGAGGCGCCACTGGTTTCGGATATGGCAGCAGCAGCAGCAGCAGCAGCAGCAGTGGTCTTCTCGTAGCCGGCGATGGTGATGGGCGGGGGCCGGGCGCGCTTGCGCTCGGGCTGGCTGTACATGTAGGTTGCGGTGAGGACGAGGGTTGTGCCGAGGAGGAACTGTTTTTGAAGGGGGTGGGGTTAGTTAGGTGGGGGGTTTGGGAGGGGAGGGGGGTAGTTGGGGGTGGGGGTGAGGTGGACGTACGGTGAAGTTGACTTGGAAGTCGAAGAAGAGGACGCTGAAGAGGAAGCTGATGACGATGCTGATGCTGGTGGCGAAGTTCTTGGCGATGTTGTCGGCGTAGTTGATGCAGAGCGAGGCCAGCACGCCGCCGATGGCTTGGAAGATGATGGCGGTCCACACGATGCCGTTGTAGCCGTCGAAGAAGCCGTGCTTGACGATCTCGGCCCCGTCGTTGATGACGACGCCGATGATGAGCGCAGGGAAGAGGGAGAAATAGGAGAGCTGGATATTCCTGGTCCACACCGAGGCCGGGGTTGTCGAGTCCTTGAGCAATTTCTCAAAGTAGACCCCTGTCAACCCGGACACGATCGCCGCTGCCAGGACTGCCGTCAGGCCGATCGAGTAGTTCATCTTGGGGGCTCCGTCCAGATCGTCGGCGATGCCCTCGTATGTCGCCGACCGCTTGGTGAGCTCGTTGCCCAGCCCGACGACGCCCCGCTTCGTGAGCTCTCTGGCGGCCTCTGCCACGCCGCCCGCAAACTGCCCCAACTCGTGCACCGACCGCGGGAAGAAGTGGTCGCTGAAGTCGTGGATGTCCAACGTCATGTCCTTGGCGTTTGACGAAGGGAGCGAGACGATCGAGACGCCAACGGTGAGGATGATGAGCGATAGCCACCGCCTAGCGCCAAGGGTGCGACCGAGCAGGACGATCATGAAGACAGCGGTGGTAATGATCTATTTCAGGTAAGCCAACAGGTTTGGAACATTGCGCCGGGAAATAACTATACCTTTAGCTGGTAGAGAACCTGGAAATGCACCGCATCCAGGTTGCCTAACGCCACATACTGCAATGTATTCTCCAATGTGTACAACATGGCCGGTATTGCCAGCTTCCAGCAGTCGCCCGAAAACACCTGGTTGTATATCTGTTCGGCCAGCACGATCACGGGCGTCTGCGGCGCCAAACTCCTCGAGGCCTCGTGCATCGAGAAGGTAAGGGATATCGCGAGCTTAATGATCTCATTGAGTAGGACGGCGGTCGAAGCAAAGTAGCGGTGGTCGCCCGGCGGGGTCATTATCCGCGAGTAGTGCATGATCTGAAGGGCTTGGTGTCAGTGGTGGCGGCCGAACGGGTTCCGGCTCGACGGAGGGAACGCACCAGGATCAAGGCCGAATTTTGCAACATTAACTGTGCTCGACACGTTAGCACCTCAATCTCTTTCCTTCAACCTGTCAAGGAGTCCATACTGTGAGCAATGACGCCTGCTTCATGGGCATGCCAAGCAAGGTCGGCCCCGTTGCCATCTTGGGGCTGTGGGCCGCCATGTTGGTTTGCAGCAATCGTCGGGCCGCCGATGGCCAAGTACCTCAAGTTTTGGTGTATTCTGTGCCAAGGATGTCGAATTGGTGTCGCGGAGTTGTTGTTCACCTCGAGTAACTCCTTTTTTTAAATGCAACCGTGGGCGTTGCAAAAGGTGGTGAAAAGGACTGTCCCCCGACGTCACTGACACAAATTTTGATGGTCCAATGCGCGGTCGCGTGTGCTGTGCAGTGCCGGCTCCTGCAGGCGTCAGGGAGGTGCGCTTGTGCAGCAGCTTGGCCCTGAATACAACGCGGGGCTGCAAGGTCCCAGCTTCTGGTCGTGTATGCTGTTTCAACCAAAATGCTCAATGTTTGGTAAATCCAACCCTTAACCGAGCGACAGAGCGCAGAGCTTTTGGGGGACCGAGAGATGGTCTGTTCTCTCTTTGTTGCAGCTCGGCGTAGGGAGGACAAAGTGAGGAATCGCTAGGTAGCAGCTTCCATGAGCCTGGAAGGAGGCGCTTATGGTGGTCGATGTACTTGGCCGAGGCAGCGTTTTGCCGCAATGGAGGGTCAGACAGAAACACATGTGCCACAGGAGGATTAAATATGTCCTCTCAGCCTCGGATCAGCCAGCCTCCAAGGAACGTCATTGATGAGAACTCTTGAGAAGCAAGCTTGTCGCTGCCGACCCCTCAGTTTAAGCTCCGGGCAATCTCCACCGAAGCTCTGCTGGTGGTTGGTCCCCACTATTTACTTGGGGGTTGCGTGGGTCTGGGATTTTTACCCATTTACCCCCTACTCCGTAGGGGGGGCGAAAACCGTGGGACACGACAAAAAACCTGGGACACTGCGAATTTGCGGGCGAACTCCATACAAATTGAACTTGGGAAATTTCCAGACTCTAATTACACAACAGCAACACCTTAAAAGTAAAAATAATATATAGAAGAAAGTAGGCTTAATAATAGTAGAATCTATCTATAAAGTTTTAAAAGATTATTTAATAGTTTGCTCGAGATGCAACTATTCTTACCTATTTCCTCTTAGACTTTAAAATGCTAGCTAAGATACAATTTTCCTTAACCTTTACTAGGAAGCTCTTTACCAAATTTAAAATCGATTAGAAAAAAAGTATCTGGCTATTATCCTTATTAATCCTTACTTAATTCTTTTTTCCTAGATTTTAAAACTAAATATTTGTTGAGTATTTGTTGATTTAGAAAGTTTCCGATGCTTGCACTAACAGATTTGTATGGAGTTGCCCGCCAAATTTAGATTGTCCCAGGTTTTTTGTCGTGTCCCACGGTTTTCGCCCCCCCTACGGAGTAGGGGGTAAATGGACAAAAATCCCAGACCACGCAACCCCCAAGTAGTGCCGAACAGCCCGGCGATCCTCAACCCGATGAAGGAAGGGCGGGGAGGTTGGGGAGTGAGAACGCTCCAAGAACCACACACGCACACAATGTGTACTGTAAACTCAAACTCAAGTACCTGCGTATCAATATCGTAATCGGGTTGCCGTCAACTATTTTGCTCCAAAGCCCATCCTTGTCTTCAACGTCTGATACTTCTTCAGCAAAACATCGCGTCTTGCTGTGAGATGATCTAATCCGATCCCGTTGACCGGAATAACTGGTAGGTACTCGGGGACCGCGGGCCAAGTGGAACCCACTCCGGACCTCCCGGGCCAAGCATCGCCTCCGTTCCGGATTAGACCCACAGGGTCCGGGCCCGGCTTCGCGGAACCCGGGTGCCCCGACCGATGAAAATGGAGGAAATGACAAGAGCTTTTCATTGGTTGCAGAGGCACCCTCCGTTTGTTGCTGTTGTTTGCACCAGAAGGAGGCTGCGAAATTGTCCGCGTTTTTTCTGAACTATCCTGCTCTTTCCATTTCCCAATTTCATCCCTTCGTGGGGTTTATTTTCGTCCCCAGATGGCTTTTTTCAGCCGTGTCACGGTCTTCTTGTTTCGTTTCTGGACTACTTTCTCTGCCACATCGTTGCCGTCGAAACTCGAGGGATTCGATCAACAACCTCGTTGTGCCGCCGCGATGGACGACATAGAACCACCCAGCAACTCCCCAATTGATCTGACCGATAGAGGCGATCTGATTCTAAACATTCACGATGTCAATCGGCTCAAGCGCAGCTCATTCGTCGTTTCGTCTCACATCCTCACCATGGCCTCGCCCGTCTTCGCTGCAATGCTCGACCCGAAGTTCAAGGAGGGTCAGCAACTTCTACAGAGTCGCGAACAGAATGCCGCCGAGAAACCGATCATCCTCCTAGAAGAGGATGACGTGGACGCAATGGACTTCATCTTGAGCAGCCTCCATTACAAAACCGACAGGATCAAGCACGACCTCGGTGCCCAGGCCATCGCAGAGATTGCCGTACAATCCGACAAGTACGACTTCCATGGCGTGCTAGTCCCTTGGATCAAGCTCTGGTGCCATCCCGACCGATTTCCCGTGCGTCCGTCACACAAAGTACGAGATATGGGGTATGGTCTGCTTGTGGCATACCTGTTCCAGTCGCCAGACTTTGTGGCCGTGTCTGCAAGCTACGCGAAGACGCTGCCCCCGGACTTCGCGACATCGTGGAGGACCTCCAAGTTCATGTCACGCCTGCCAAAGGTCATCGAAGGTACAGTGCATTGGCCTTCGCTTGCTGCTTTGAGTAACAGGAATCCTGACATTGGTGACATTAGTCCAGTTGGCCAGCGAAATCACCAGGGCGCAAAAGGAAATACGCCTTCAAGTCCTCTCCAAGATGGATGAGTTGCAGCCCAAGAATAATCCCTGCACTGTGGACAGATCTCGCTCCCATCTCGTTCAATACCTTGATGTGCTGAAGCATTTCGATATTTGGCCATCCTTGGTTCTCTTCGACACGTCCTCGCCTAGCGACCTGGTTTCTCTCATTCAAGGGCTTCCGCGCGCTCCCAATCCTGTGTGTCTTCGGTATCAGTTGCCACAATGCCCTCTTCGCGTCGCCATAACGGAGTTGTGCCGGGCCGTATGCACGATTCGTGATAACATGGAGGGGGTTCCGCTGTCCATGGTAGTCGGCGCTTCTGACGAAAGTGGGAATGACAGCTCTGATGACATAGTCAACAAAGTCACAAAGTCGGTGTCGACCCGTGTTGAGTAGGGTTATTTCGAGGTCAACGCGTTGCGTGTGTATGCACATACAAACAAACCACCTAGCACTCCCAGGACTTGAGGCATGGAGGAACAAAGAGGGGCATTATATGGTCGAAGAAAACGCAGTTATTCCGGTGGAGCTCTCAAAAAGGTCGAAAGGTCAATGTACGAATACAGCATGGAGAATACAAAAGTACCCAATGTCGCAGCTTCAACACAACCGATCTGAGTACCTAACCAAGTGGTAACCATAACCCCCCAACCACATAACATACAAAGGAGATCAACGAGCCGCCGGTGAACTTGACTTGGCCTTCTCCGCCACCTTGTCCGGCTTGGCCATAAACATGGCATAAACTCCTCCGAGGCCGAGTGCGCCGAGCCCCGCGTATCTGTCAATAAGTCAATACCACTAGCTTTATCCCACTCGACTGAAACCCTTACATGAGGTTCTTGTTGGGGTTCGTGCCGTCCTTGTTGTACCCTTTGGCAGGACCCTTATCTCCTACCTCTCCCCCCGGCCCAGAGCTGGCGCTGGCGAGCCTGGCTTGGACCGGCTGGATGTGGTGCGCTTGTCGGAAGGCAGGGCGGAGGCTGGCACGGAGGGCGGGCGTTTTGGAGAGTCTCATTGTGGTGTCGGTATCGTGGGGTTGACGACTTATTACTGTGTAGTTTGGCTAGCGAGTTTGGTTGAAAGAGTATGTCTAAAAATGAGTTGCAACTAGTTCACTTCAGACGGTTGCTGCCGTGCCTCGCGTTGTTATGCTTGGGACTCACATCGATGACATCATGACCAATGCTGTGACGTGACCCCATAAACCCAACCTGTGAGGCAATGCTACATTGCACTCCCTATGATTGGCATACTACGAGACTAGGTAGGTACCTCATACAGGAGTGCTATGCTAAGCCACATCGTTCTACCGTTTCTATGCCCGTGCTCAAGACCATCCTGAGGTCCCGCGGAGGTGTCTCTCATCTGCTAGGTTTCCGAGTCCAAATCTCGTAGATCTTGGTCTAACTGCTGCTATTACAGGTATCCCGGTCTACTTCACCCGTCGTTCGAATGCTGTAAAAGTATGTATTTGCTTTCATTTCAAGTTCAATTTATCTCATACAGATCAATTCGAACGTCCATGTTACGCCAACCTGATGTCCGGCATCAGCAGCCGCATACGTTAAACAAAGCAATGCTGGCATCGTGGTCCGACACCATATCGTCAAAGGTCGCCCATGAGTTGACGTGGATGTGCTCGAAGCGCGTCGTCTTGCTGTTTGCCAGAGCCGGGCTGACATACATGTGGTCGAGAGCTTGGGCGTTCATGTCGTACGCGCTGTTCGCGGTCAGTTTCATCGGCATCATTCCAGTTGATATACTCATCCAGAACACTTACTAGGTGTACCGCTCCTGAACGGGAATCTTGGCCGCCTCGTCCAAGTCCACCATCCCCGAGATATCCGAGAACGTCTTCATCGGCTGCACAAACGCAAACTCGTTGAAGTCGCCCGCCGCAATAACCTTTGCCGCGGGGTCCAAGGCCAGGATCTCGGCAATGAACGACTGTTTCCGTCAGCACACACCACCTCATCCGCAATGAAAGTTTGAACTTACCCCCGTAACGTTGGCCTGCGCCATGCGCGCATCCACCGCTCCGTTGATAGGCGGCCTTCGATCGCCGTGGAGCGACGTGCCGCCGCCCTTGCTCGACCAGTGGACATTAACCGTATAAAACGGCTTCTTCGACCCCTTGGCCATCCACGCGGCAGCCAGGGGCTTCCGGCTCGACTCCCACGCCGCGTTGGCGGGGTCAATCCTGCCGGGGTTGAACGAGAGCGCCGGCGCGCGATCGGAATTGTTCTTGCCCTGCGCCGCCACGACCTCGGTTGCGTCGTTGGCGCCGCCCTGGTTGGGCTTGTACAGGCTCACCACTTCGGGGCGATAGATGTATGCTACGCGGATGTTGCCGCCCGGCTGGCCGCCGTCCTCGTTGGAGGCGGGCTCGACCTCGGCGAAGGCATACGTGACGTTGCTTCGCGACTTGATGGCGCCTACCAGGGCGGTGAGCGTGCCGTTGGCCGTAACCACGCCGTCGTCTGTCGGCCCGCTGTCGTCTTGGACCTCTTGAATGAATACCAGATCGGGCGTCTTGAGGTACTCGACAATGTGGCCGGCGACATCGGGCAGATGGGCGGAGGTCGGGGAAAGATTCTCAACGTTGTAGCTGCCAAATGTAAGAGCCTTGCACTTGCCCTGGCTGACCAGCGTGGTAGGAGGGGCGGCAGCTGTGGCAAGGGTGGTCGTTTTCAGGGCGGTCAGCGGGAGAATGGCGTAGAAGCCAAAGGTCTGCTGAACGACCCCGGTGATGTCCTCGAATTGATCGCCCATCTTGGAGTCGGTGGGGTTCTTGGTGCCGTCGAGGGGCGAGCCAATCGTGATAACTTCCGGGTTGGAGTCTGGGACTTTGTGTAAGAATGCGGACCTCATATCAGCACCAACCAAGACCGAGGAATGCGCTTACCCTTGTCTGACATGGTCACGCCGCCATGCTCGTTCTCCCCCGTGATCTCCCAGTCACCGACTACCCAGGTGTCACCGTACTTGTTTGGTGTCTTGATAGCCCGGGGTGCCTTGACAGTGACGAGTTCACCGCTGAGGCTCTCCCAGAAGTCCAAGCCGTACTTGGCCGGATCCAGCACAGGGTTCACTTCGGATATGTTGGCGACTGCGTTGGGGAGACTGTAAATGTCACCTCCGTCCAGCTCGCTGTACTGCACAGTTGGAGGTGAGAGCGTGTCTTTGCCAATGACGAGGGGCGTCACTTCGTTGCCGGAGGACACCACCTGCACATTCTTCGGGGAGCTGATCTCGGTAAGGTAGATGTAGTTTGCGTTTGACCGGTATTCGGTAACCTTGCCGTCCAGGGAGATGATGTCTCCCACGGTCAATGCGGCCGTGACATTGCGGCCGAAGACGTAGATGGCCTCCGAAGTGGCCTCATCGTCATCGGGGGTCGTCGACCGAATCCAGACGCCGTTGGGCCCCTTGGCGATCAACAAGCCGGTGACATCGGTGACTTCTTTCCCCGAGAGCAACGAAATGAAGGTGTTGCCGTTGATTTCGGCGATGGAAAGGGCCGTAACCAGCGACTGCAGGCTGGTAAAGGCCCAGAACACCGGCGCTAGCTTCATGATGGGCTAGATAGGTGGGATGAGGAAGATCGGCGGAGTGACACAACTTGTCCTTCCCCGCGATCTTGTTGTGGCGCGACGACGCAGTTATACCATAACGCCCGATCGCGATTATCGGTTCCCACGTGCGCGGGAAACCTGGAAAACAGATCGGTTCAAAGCAGGGCCGCTTCTGCTCGTTCAGCGTTGCACTCGCTATCTTCGGTCGGTGCCGCAATGGGCGATTTTCAGGGGTTCGGCGCCGTAATTGGCCCACTCCTTCAGCACGTTGCCGCCAAACACCTGCCTGAATGGACAGGTGCTGCACGTGCCAAGTCCGCCTCAGCTCGCTGATGGGTCGCCCAGAGGGTCAATTGTGCTCCTTCCCTTTGCGCGCAAGTGGCGAGTCGAGCCACCAGGCTTGTACACTCGGCGACTGGACAGGAAGACGTGCCGAGCTGACAACTCTTTAATGAGATTCTCATTTCTCCGCACACACACTCCGGCCCCTCGTACCCCTCTTGAGGATTTTCAGCTGCGCGGGGCTGTCGCGACTTCGGACGCGCCGGAGGCCGTGATTCCCCCCGCCACCGTGGGACCCACCCACCCGGTCTTGGCCCGGGATCCGGACATCCGAGAATAAGGTAGCCCGCCAACTTCACCGGGCCGCGTTTTCGTCAGTCAGCAAATTAAGGTACCTCGGTACCTACCAGGTGAGGGAAAGTGATAAACACATTGACACATTAACAACGCCTAGAGACTCAAGACTTTAGGGTTGAGACATTTCACAATTCACAAGCAGAGAACCATGCGCCTTCGCCTGGTCTACAAAATCCAGATATTCGATGAAAAGACGTACGGCGTGCTCAGGTCACTTGCCAAAGCTCTCTCCCCACCGGGTATCGCGATGCTCTTTACAAAATCGACTTCGTGAAGTTGGTCCATTTTACGGGGTGATGCTCAGCCCTCGGAAGCGTGCTGCTGCAGCGGTTTGGTTGGGGCACTCTGAGGAAGGAGTGACCACCGCAACTGACCTGGCGGTAAGGGGGCAAGATGTGTAAAGAGGAAGGCACCGCTCAGCCCAGATGGTTGCCTGGAATGTTATACGTTGGCAACATTGCAGGTTCCCTACCTGCATGTCGTACCTGACGCTGGCAGCTTTTTGATGCCATCACAGTTTCAGCCGTCAACTCGTTCGCTGCTTCGCCATATGCATTCACCTAGCCGAGCACTGCTCCTGCGTCCCGGTTACCGTTTGTCACCGATAACCCACGATGGCGGACCCGTACAACGATGGGTTGGATGATTTCGGTTCGTTTCCTTCCCCATGTCGCTGAAGGTATGTGGCATAGACATCGGATGCTAACGCAGCTCAGATCGCGACCTCCTCGGACACACCCCGTTGCACGCCCAACATCTCAGCCATGTGTCTCACCGCCGAGAAGCACTTGGGTACTTTCCGACGCCCGCTTCCTCCCATATTTCGCGCCCGCACGACAGACATGACCCGTACTACGAGGCCACCCTCCTTCCGAGCCCTTCCTTCGAGCCGGAGCCTCTGCGAAGAACATTGATGCCGGAGGGCATCCCGCGCTTCTCCCAGACAAACGCCAACTCTAGATTCGAGCCGGCACAGCAGTTCAACAGAGAAACACCCCGCGCGTGGCAAGTCGGGGGCCCCTTATTACACCTCGGTCAGATAAACAATTAATCCCCCTTCCTCAGAGCATTCCCCTGATTATAAGCAGCCCCGCCAGACCAGCTATCACAAACTGGCGGGTTCGATACGAACAATTCACACAGGCGGGGAAGCTCGAGTCCCACAGTTAGAATAAGTTCCCGGAAGCAACGGGATGCCTTGGCCTCTCTCGAAAGGCCACCGCAGACTCTAGGCCCGTCTCCGCAGGCTCAGATTCAGCCCGCTCCAACAAGCCAAGCCGACCCTGGCACCGCGACCCCAATTGTTCACGACATCCCCCTCATTAGTCTACGCCAGGCCCTGCCCGACAAGTTTCGCGCCATCTTCCCCTACGAACTATTTAATGCGGTCCAGTCCAAGTCCTTCCATACTATCTACCGTACCAACGACAATGTCGTCATCGCGGCGCCCACCGGCAGTGGGAAAACGGCAATCCTCGAACTCGCCATCTGCAAGCTGGCTCTTGACCGAGGAAATGAGAATTTCAAGATTGTTTACCAAGCCCCGACCAAGGCCCTTTGCTCGGAAAAGGCTCGCGACTGGGAGAAGAAATTCAGCCACATGAACCTCAAGTGCGCCGAACTCACTGGCGATACTTCACAAGCTGAGATGCGACGGGTTGGCGACGCTTCCATCATCGTCACCACCCCTGAAAAATGGGACTCCATCACCCGAAAGTGGCAGGATCATCGAAGGCTCCTGCAAATGGTCGAGCTGTTCCTCATCGACGAGGTTCATATCCTCAAGGACGTGCGCGGTGCAACCCTGGAGGCCGTGGTGTCGCGGATGAAGACGATCGGGGCGAATGTGCGGTTCATTGCCCTCAGCGCAACTGTGCCTAATTCAGATGACATCGCAAGATGGCTAGGCCGGAACCACACAAATCAACAACTTCCCGCCCATCGCGAAACCTTCGGTGAGGAATTCCGTCCGGTCAAGCTTCAAAAGTTTGTCTATGGCTTCGACAGCAACGGCAATGATTTCATTTTCGACAGGTTCCTCGACCAGAAGCTCCCAGGAGTGCTATCCAAGCATGCCCGACAGAAACCAATCCTCATTTTTTGTTTCACCCGAAAGTCGTGCGAGAGCACGGCGGCAATGCTGGCGGACTTTGCATCTGGCCGGCCTGAGGGCGAGGACATGTGGCCGGTTCCGAGGCAACGCGTCCCAGTCGTCAGTAGGGAGCTGCAAGAGATTGTCAAATTCGGTGTCGCCTTCCACCATGCCGGCCTCGATTCCCAAGACCGGGCCGCCATTGAGCAGAACTTTTTAAAGGGTCAATTGGGCGTGATTTGCTGTACCTCCACCTTGGCCGTTGGCATCAACCTACCTTGCCACACCGTCGTTCTCAAGGGAACCGTGGGATTCACGGACGATCAGCTGAAGGAGTACTCCGACCTCGAGGTGATGCAGATGCTCGGCCGTGCAGGACGACCCCAATTCGACGACAGTGCGACTGCCATCATCCTCACCCGTTCCGCAAACAAGACCCGTTATCAGAAGATGGTTTCGGGCCAAGAAATTCTGGAGAGCACTTTGCACCTCAACCTAATCGAGCATCTCAACTCCGAGATCTGCTTGGGGACGATCCACGATCTGTTATCCGCTAAAACTTGGCTCGGCGGAACTTTTCTGAGCGTCAGACTCAGGCGCAACCCCAACTACTACCAGCTCACCGGTGGGACAACGAACCCTACCCAGGTCGATGCCAGATTGGAGGAGATCTGCGAGCGTGACATCAAACACCTGCAGGAAGCAAAACTTGTCACAGATCAGGACGCTTTCCGCTGCACCGAGTATGGGCGTGCAATGTCCAAGTATATGGTCGAATTTCAGACGATGAAGCTGTTGCTGCAGATCCCGCGCGGCGCGGGAATGGAGGCTTTGGTGAGCTCCCTCTCCCTGGCCCAACCCACTATCAGTGACTAACGTCCCAGATCACCACCCTGTCCCAAGCTTCCGAGTTCAAAGAATTTCGTTTCAGACCAGCAGAAAGGCAGCTTTTTCGGGAGATTAACCAGTCGCCTCTGATAATGTACCCGGTCAAGGAGACAGTGACTCAGACTTGGCACAAAGTTTCCATTGTGATCCAGGCTCATCTTGGATGCGTTCAATATCCAGACTCGGGCGGTGCAGCAAAAATGAAGCGGCAACTCATGATTGAGCGCAAGTTGGTTTTCGAGAGACTGAACCGGTTAGTCCGAGCCGTCATCGACTGCAAGGGCTACGATCGCGACTCAGCCGGGACCAAGACGGCACTCGAGTTGGCAAGAGCGCTTGCGGCTCAGTCCTGGGAAGGGCGTCCCACACAACTGACTCAGGTTCCTAGCATCGGCCCTGTGGGTATGAGGAAGCTCGCGAGCAAGGACATCCGCACAGTTCTGGAACTGGCAGACAAGGATTACGACGAACTTGAGCGTTTGATGTCACGCCAACCGCCCTTCGGTAGAAGTTTGCAGACACATCTCGACAGCTTTCCACGATTAGATGTGACAGCGGTAGTGGTTGGCCATCGGGTCCAGCCAAGGTCAGAAGACCCTGTCCTCATTGAAGTGAAGGCAACACTCCGATATCTAAACCGCAAGGGCCCGCCGAATTGGTCGAACCGCGTCCCAGCTCTGACCTTTCTTGCCGAGACTGAAAACGGGATCCTGGTGTACTTTTGGCGTGGGAGCATTAGAAAGCTTGATAAGCAGGCAGGCTTCGAGCTCAAGTTCTCAGTCGGTTTACGCCATGTCAATGATCGCGTTTTCTGCCACTTCAGCTGTGAAGAGATCGTGGGCACAATCGTGTCAACGACTCTTGAACACAAATTACCAGCATCCATCTTCCCATTACGACAGGTCAGCGACGGCAACTTTAGCCAACGGGAAAGGAAAGATGGCCAGGAATACATTGATAATGATAGTATCGATGATTCGGATCTCATCCTGGCTACCGAACAGGCGGTCGTCCAGTCGTCGACGAGGCAAGAGGCCGAACCCGCTCCTGAACCCACTCATGAGGACTACCCATCAGTCGAGGAGCTAGTCGAGATGAGTTGCTCACACGCGGCTTACAACTCTGACCACTATCAAGCAGACCATGGTGACGCGGAAGAGATGGACTCCACGCAGATGACCATTCGGGAACCGGTTCAGTTGCCAAACGGCAGATGGCAGTGCAATCACCCGTGCAGCGGGGGCACGCTTACAAGATCGGGTAAACCATGCAGCCATCGATGTTGCAAGGACGGCCTTGACAAACCGCGCAGGCGGCCTTTGCAGCGGCCGAAAAGGAAGGTTGAGGAATTGACGGGCGATCAGGTGAATACAATGCCATCTCAATACTGGTCCACCCAGGGCCACCCTCAGAAACAACTACAAGGGGCGAGCCAACCCTCGGCAAGCATCCCAGCGAAACGTCCAAAGGTGCATACGACACCATCATCGACTCGGTCGACTTTGGCCCCAGAGCCCAAACCCTCTTTCAAGCCATCGAAGAACTGGGATACTGGTGATCTTGAAGAGCTAGCCCTGGAGTGTATCGACCTTTCGTTCACAGATGACGAAAACGATGACATCTTCCAGTCTCTGGGGACTGGTGCCGCCACGAAGTATGGGATTGGCGTCCACACGTCGGGCACAGAGGGCAAACGACCCCTGGGCCAAGCCAAAGCCGCGACACCACCAACGCACGTGGACAACCGGCCTGCTACGACTCGGCAAAACGATTACCAGGACGACGACCTGGACGATCAAGACTTCTCATTCATTGATCACAATCACCCCTCCCACAACAATACCATGGTTTTGAGAACAGCAAGCGCTTTCAAATCGGGAGCGAGCGATGAAGTTCTGTACCAAGGAATGCGCGGCCAGTTCGCCGATGCCGCGAGCAGCTCTTCAAGCCATGACGACTCCAGTTGCATAACAGCAATAACTCGGGGGACAGCTGAGTCCCGAACTTCATGCACGTCCGTCACCGTTGATGACATTCCTGGGATGACTTCGAATCCGCCACCGAGCAGCTCGACGGCAACCGAGCCTATTGTGTCTCCTACGAAGAATACCCGAGAGAAAGCTAACTCACTCAGTGAAGATAACGAGAGGAAACCCATAAATGGAAACAATGAGCCTGATTGGGTTGCCGACTTCGATCCTGAGTTTGTTGATATGTTCAGGGGCTACGTGACGTTCGTTTGAGGCCTGGGACACAAAAAGGTGGACTTTAGTCCCACAGCAGTAGATTTGCTTGAGGGGAAAGATGGCCGGACCGACTGCTGTAATTGGGAGCGGGAAATCTGTTTTTTGATGACAAACTTTGCAATGTAGGACGGTGCAGGAGTCGTTGATACTCGGCACCTCATGCTCTATGGGCTTCATATCAACTTGCAATCTGTGCTGGCTCGCCTCTGGGCTCCCTAACCATATTATCTCGCGCTCTGAGTTCCTATACTGTGTTCCAAAGCCGACAAACCCTTGCTGCTTTACTTTGGTGGTCACCCCTCGGACCCAATAGTCTGTCCTCCTCTAGTGGCGGCAATAGCAGAATTCAGGGGTGGGGGAGCTGGGCTTTGGGGAGCCTTGGATGTAAAAAGTGTCCCATCTAGTCGCGATTTCTCTCTTGCTACCAACATTACCTTAATCTGTACTTCACTGGTCTTGTGTGTTAACAAGTAGATGGCCCCCTGAAACCTGCAACGTTCCCATGGTCACCGTGTCCCTCCGAGCAAGGTAGGAAGCATCGCTATCATGAGTGAAGATTTGGGTAACAAATTCGTTGAGCTACCAGAGCAACTAAAGACAGGTAAAGAAACGCTAAGTACTCCGAGGCTAAACACCGCACATCATAAATCATAAAAACCAAATAACTCACTCCTTCCGGCGCCTAGCTGCCTGATATGACACCAGAAACCGTCAACCATGATACCGAAACCCCCCTAAATGATACCCCATTAAGCCACAAAGTCGTCCACAGCCGGAGCCGGGATGAGCTTCAACTTGGCCAGATCACGGAACGAGTTGAAGATGGAATGGTACGAGTCCACCGTGCCAAAGAAGCCCGCCTCGCGCGCCTTGCGCACGCTCGTGGTCATGGGAGCGTCGCCGATGACGGCCGAGTCGGAGAAGGAGAAGATGCGGGCACGGTAGTGGTCGTCGAAGGGGTTCAGCACCAGGTTGTGCTGCCCCGCCAGTTCCTTCCAGGCCGCCTCGACATGCGGCTGGAGTGACCACTCCAGTAGGCTGAAGGTGGAGCGGAGGGTGGTTTGCGGGCCGTACCTATGACGGGTCAGGTTAGGTTCATGCGGATGCAGTGGACAAAGGTAGGGAGCTAGGACTTACCCTCGTGGGGTCTTGGGAGAGGGCAGGTTCATAACCCGATACTGGTCCTCATCCACCTCCGGCGGAGTCCAGGCTGCTCCGTACCACTGCGCCAAATAGGGCCAGAGTCGGCCCCAGGTAAAGGAGAGGCCGTCGTGGATGTTGAACGCCTCGTTGGCGGTCTTGCCAGTCAAAACAAGCCACTCCTCAAAGTAGGCATTCAACATGCCCGTGCTCTGGACCTGCTCTCGGTCCCAAGATCTGTAGTCGCCCGGAAAGGCGATGGGCTGGCCGAGCCGTGCCTGCACAGCTGCGTAGATGCCGAACCCGATAAGGTGGTTCAGCGTCCCGTCGCGGACGGCGCCAACAATGTATGAGGGGCGGGCTATGTTCCATGCCGCGCCCACGGATTCGCAGTACGCCGAGAGGGTGTCTTCCTGCTCGTAGTAGAAGTTGCGGGCCAGTAGGACGCGCGGGTCTGACTCGAAGGCTGGAAGGAGTGCAGGCCCGAGGTAGAAGGCGTAGTGCTTGGAGCCGGTCTGCAACATAAAGCGGCGCGGCTTGAGCGCGGTTTGTTGCAAGGCAAAGACGAAGTTATTGAAGAGCGCCACTGTTTACTCGTGTTAACAGCGAGGATTAGGAGGACACTGAGAGAAGGCATCTCACCATTTACAGTAGCCAGCTCGTCGGCATTGGCCCACAGATCCAAAACGTCCCCCTTGGGCGCAGGCTGCATGTAAGAAAAGTAGAAAACGTGGTCCCTAGCGGTCCACGTTAGTCAGATGTACATCGCTGAGGAGGGAAGGAGATCAGATCACTTACACTTGCTCAACTGCTTCCCTCAGACGTCGAGCGATTTCAGAGGGGTCGGCCAGAAAGTCAATGGCCAAGTGCTCGACGCGGCTAGCACCCTCACCAAGGTCTTTGAAGAAGTTCTGGGGAGGTGGTCGAGAGCTGAGGCAGTAGATCTTGCTCCAGCGTTGGGGTGATGCGGCCAGCACTTTCACCATGTTGTATCCGGACAGCCCAGTGGCTCCTGTGACAAGGGCTGTCATGTTGCGGCAGTCCGGAGTGTCTGGAAAGGATGGGAGTCCGTGGAAGATGCCGTCAGAGCGAACAACTAGATCCGAGTCGTCTGCAGGCGCTGGTGCATCCCGCACGGGTCGAAGTTGGGGTAGTTGAACCACAGGCGGTCGTTCGAAAACTGGCGATGATAGCGCGCTGGATTCCGATGCACATGGAGTTGGAATGATCCCGTTGACCCCAATTTCCAGCCGGTACCGCTTGGCCGAGGAGCACCATCTCAAATGTGTCTCGCACATGATGATAATATTCCGCGCAACCAGTTCCACCCTCTTGATCTCGGAACCCTCCATAGCTTCGGCCTCTCGATGGAGCTGCCTCATGTAGTCAAAGCACCGGGAGGCGCTTTGGTTGTGCTCGGCATTGACCAGGGCGACACACCTTGACAAGACGTTGTAATCAATGTGACCCTTCTTGTGGCCTCGAAAACCGCGCATCAGGACCATGACCGCGTTGAGTTCCTCGCCATCGTCGATGTCCCGCATGAGGCCGATGAGGTCGTTTTGCAGCCCAGCCACTCGTGAAACCTCGTTTTGCAGTTTCAGCCAGGTATCGTTGAACTTCCAATCGGCCGGCGCCAGAAACTCGGTTTTGAGGACCTCAAAGAAAGGCTGGAGCGCGATGGTACGACTGCGGATGCTCAGATACTCTGGGAAACTGTCATCGTGCCGGCCCTGGAGGAAGTGAACTTCTGCCACATGGGCTCTCAACACCCCGCAGACGGCTTTGAAGAATGCCTGGTTGCTCTTTGGTGAGAGGTAGCGACCGCAGTGGCCAAAGAGTTCTCTCCCCAGTGCTTGGACTCGCTTGTCCTTTGCCTCGGATGCTTGTGATTGGAGCCTTTGCGGAGGGTTGGCTGGGGCTATCAACATCATCTTAGTTTGATATAAATTTCAAAAGACTGCTGTAAGAGGTGACTTACCGTGTGTCAACACCTCAATGGTCTCACACAAAACAAGCTCCCGATCCCCCAGCTCCAGGATCTCTAGAATGTCGTCCATGGCACACGCAAACGCGAGCCATGCCGTGAAGGCAATACGGAGTCCCTCCACCCTGATGTCGGGAAAGAAGAGGCTGACGGCTTTGACCTCGGCGACACACCTCTTGAAGAAGCTATCGTTGGGTGCCACTCCTGGGTCCATGGCGGTCTTGAACGCCGAGTGGGCAAGGAGGACGCGGGTCAAGGACGCCTTGGAGTCATCACTATCATCACTGCTTGCTGTGACCCCAAAGTTGGGAACGTCAAGCTGTGCGGCGATTTGTTAGTCAGGCAACATGAGTGGGCCGGGGGCATGCACATGGATGTGAGACATACCTTTAAGTTGATGCCATGCTTCAACTGAATGAGGATAGGGCTCCTCTCAGGCCATGGGCTTGAGCGCTCGTACTCTTGTAAGTCGTTGAAGAGCCGCATCTTGAGGGACAGACCGGTTGTCGTGCGGTTTATGTTAGAGACGTGTGTCTGGATAGCAGAAGGAAGGAAGACAATGTAAGTGGTGAAGAGAGAAGAGGTCTGGTGGTTTGGTCGCAGTTTGCGCGAGAATGGGAGAGCAATTAATTGACTCTAAGATTCGTAGTAAGAGGAGGATGTGGAGGGGGTATTGTGCTGGTGGTTTGGGAGGAGGGAAGGAATCTTGCTTCACACAACCACTATTATATGGACGAGGGCTGCTCGGTGGATAACAAGAGCATCCCGCGGCTCCCCTTGTTCTAGCCCCGCGATTGCAAGGTGTTGCAAGGTGATTCACAGGGCTTCACATCACGAGGGGGATGAACCTGGGCATTGTCTCCGAACCCCATCGGCTAGCGCTGAGATCTCAGCAGCGTACCTGCTTTCTCGGGGCAGTGAGGGTCACAAGCTGCTCACCAGAGCTGTTCGGCCCTTCCTATTCTTACGAGATCCGCCGATCATGCCGAGATCCCCCTCATGGTGGGCGGCAAGTGGGCAACCAAAAGGCGCTAGCACTGGCTTCCAACGGCTTCAAACGGCCTGCTCGCACTGCGGTGGAGGCAAGAACGAATGGGAAGCGATATGGCACAGCCGAGGCTGCATTGCATGATTCATGATCTGGGAAAGTTCCAACCAAGATGGGCTGGATCCGGGTAGGTACACCACATATCAAAAGCGTGATCGGGCTAGTTACTGTGCTGGAGGCGAGGGGGGTCTGACCAACCGGATAATAGATTCCCAAGTCTGACAAGGGCCAAGGCTCTGAGACATCCTTTTTGGTGATTGGTGGCCCACATCGCCTTGTGGCGTGTGAGTGAGACATGCCTCGACACACCCGGGCTAGAGTCAACCTACCCCCATGATACAGTCTCAGGAGCTGGGATCGCCGCCTTCCTGTCACAATGTTCGTGCCTGCTGGTTTTGTGATGCATGTTGGTGCGGGGGTCTTGGGATCTTTCTGATAGTAACGGTTACATTGCACGTTGGCAACCCGGCAACCGCTTCACCATATTACCACACCCTGCTCTCTCTCCGTGTTTCCTGGATTTTTACTCTTCTTCTCCATCCACCTTTCAAGTCTCGCATTGAGGCAACAATCAGTGCGAAATACACCATGGAATCCACCCTCACCCTCAATCTGCTCGCCGCTATTAGCGGCGCGCTTACTCACATCACTGTGTTCCGCCGCGGAGAATGGGATGTGGCATCTCCCTCCGTCTTCGTCTTTTACTCCACTGTCTTCGCCGCAGCAGCCCTGGCATCTTATTCGAGCTTCGTCAGCACCCCGCTGTCGGTAATCGCCCAAATGGCCGGCTCCCACGTCGCCACGTTGTACACCAGCATGCTTGTGTACCGTGCATTCTTCCATCGGCTTTCAAAGTACCCCGGTCCCTTCCTCGCACGTCTCACCAACTTCTACATCACGGCATTGTCCATTAAGAGGCTGCATCTCTTCAAAGAGGTGCAGAAACTCCATGAGCAGTATGGAGACTATGTCCGCCTTGGTGAGTGGCTCATAGAACCCCACGCCTTTTTTTACACTGTCTCACCTGTTCTGCAGGGCCAAGCGAAGTCTCCATTGCCTCCCCAGAAGCTGTCAAGGCTCTGTATAGCACCCAGTCCCCTGTCACCAAGGGTCCTTGGTACACACTCCTGGAGCCGCGGGTTCCGCTGTTCATGGCCCGTGACAAGGAGGAGCACGCACGCCGCCGCAAGGTTTGGGATCTGGGCTTCACAACGAAAGGTTGGTTGTGTTTCTTTATTTTACCCATGGGATTCTTTCATTGACGCTTTTTTACAGCAATCCAGGGGTATGATCCTCGCATCACCAAGGCCATCAACCAGCTACTGGCCGCCATCGATCGCAGCAAGGGACAGTCGTTTGATGTGTCGCGATGGTTTTCCTATTTTGTGTTTGATGTGATGGAAGACCTTGCCTTCAATAAGTCTTCCAACATGCTGGCTGAAGGGAAGGAGGCTTATGTCTTCAAAACGATCCGCACTGACATGTTCAACATCGCCCTCTTCACTCACATGCCCTGGCTGCTGCCCTTCCTCAAGCGCACCCCAGTGCTGAACTGGAACTACTACGAGTTCCTAGGCTGGATTCAGAAATTGGTTGACGAGCGCAAGGAGGTACATCCACCCATCAAGGCCCTCTTTGTTGGGAACCCAGCTGACACACGAAACAGAAAGAACCTGATCAGCCAGACATCTTCTCCTCGATCCTTGCGGCCTACAACAAAGGACCGAAAACCAAGCGTGACCAGCTGAACCTCCACGGCGATGCCCAATTGATTGTCATTGCGGGCAGTGACAGTGTGGCAGCCGCCCTGACGCATATCTTTTTCCACTTGGCGTGGGATCCGGCCCTGACCCAGCGGCTCCAAGCGGAGTTCGACGCCCTCCCGGATATCTCGCACGACAATCTCATGACGGTTCCCCTGCTCGACGCCGTCATCAACGAAGCCATGCGGCTGGACCCCCCTGTCCCGTCGGGCACGCAGCGAGTGACACCCCCGGAAGGGCTGTGGATCGGCGACAACTTTGTGCCCGGAAACACCATCGTTCAGGTGCCAAGCTACACCGTCTTCAGGGATGAGCGGGCGTTCGCCTACCCCACGGAGTTCATCCCGGAGCGGTGGACCACCCGACCTGAGCTGGTCAGGGATAAATCGGTTTACATTCCCTTCAACACAGGTTAGTCTCCTTCGTCCGTCGCCAGCTGAGCCTCACTGGTGGGTGGGTGACACAAAGAAGCTAACAGGGTGCGTGCTCCGCTACATAGGACCGTATGCGTGTGTCGGCAAACGGTTGGCCATGCTGGAGCTGAGGCGTGTGGTGGGTGAGATCCTGCTGCGGTACGATCTGACCATCGCTCCCGGCCAGACCAAGCAGGGATTCCTGGATGGGAAACAGGATACGTTCACCACGGTGTCGGCTCCACTCCCCATTATCTTTTCGGAGAGGGCGCCGCATGCAGTGTGACCTCGTTCAGGGGTACCATTCAGGGGCTGCAGGGATGGGTCGGGGTTAGGGTTTGATTTCGTGGTTTCTTCAAGGGGCGGCCAAGTCAACAATGTGGAATTCTATCTGCGCTAGTTTCATCACCACCAGTTTCCAGTCATAATCGTGTTCAATTGCAATGTCCCAATCTCTGCAAAGTCAAATTGAGTGTGCCACCCCATCGAGTCCTCCATCCCAACCCTGCCTTCCTCTTTGTCAACAAACCCCAGGGTTAGGGTACCGAATGGAGTGTAGCACTGAGACATGCCCCCCTTGCAAACAAACCCCCGTCTGAAGAGAAACAACAAGGCTGGCACTGTGTTCAAGGCCTGCAGAAGCGGGGTTCATGCACCTGCACAAAAGCAGCAGCCTGCCGGAGAAATCAGCCTTGTGATCGTCGCGGGCCGAGGCCGTTCAACCCGGGCGCCACTGCGGTTTGGCTTCTGACAAGACTGTGGGGGGGGAAGGCTGGGGGCGTTGCCTGCAGGTCTCTCGCTTAAGACTCTCAGTTGTCACTTTCCGAGAAGGAGCGGCATCTCAGTGGGGGTCGTGGTCGATCTAGATCCGATGTTCATCATGTCTGTGACCGGGTGTGAGCTTGTGGAGGGGTCGTGTAAGTCAGGCTTGGTGTGAACAGCAAAGCCGTTGGTGGCCGCGTGGCAAGAATGGGGCAAAGGGCGGGGGGGTGGTGGATGGGTGGGTGATGTGATAAGAGTGGCGCAGTGATGACCGTATCCTACACTACGGTAGATAATAGTTAGTCCGGGAAATCACGAACCGGACCTCGGACACCACACGGGGTTGTTGGCGTCAGCCGAGACACATGGGACGGATCTATCACGGCATTGGCGAGTCAGGAGGGGGGAATGTGAGCTACTAGTTACTGCCCTCGGAACAAACACCAACACGAAGCGGGGTTGAAGTCCGAGAGGGGGGACTTGGGGAGGGACGTTGGTGGTGGAGGTAGGGTAGGGTTGGCAATGGCATCCCCGGAGTCGTCCCCGGATCATGCCCCGCGGCTTCCACTCGACCGAATCGAGAGCCTGGCGAGGAGCAAACAAAGTCAATACGGGAAATCGTCACACTCCTATCACAGCCCGGCTGGGGCGTTGGTGACGGCTAAGCTGATTGAGTGAAAGCGCCTCGAGGTGGTCGAACGAATCAACACCATGGTGCCAACTATACCGGCTTAGCCTCCGGCGGCCCGAACTGCTTCGGGACTGGATCTACCGGGATCGCCAAGCCGTCCCGTAACCGGGATTCCGTCTGATCTCCGGGGGGCAGCAGAACGTTAACGTTCGCGTAATATTCCTTCCTGGGATCGACAAATCACGATCGGAGGAGATGACTCGCCGCGAACACAGTGTCGCCATACCATGACGCACCCCGGTGTCAGCTGCAACGGGAAAGTTGCTGACATCCCTTCTCGCGCCTTTGTCTCGGCACCAGCACCAGGGTAGCCAACCAGGCGCCATCCGACAGCTCCGGGGATTCCCCGAGTGGGAGGGAGGCTCTTTGCCCCCATGCCCTGCTTGTCACCCGTGACCCGGCCAGGCTGGACCCGGGTTAGTGGTTTTGTTGTGTTGGAGCGCAGCTGAGTGCCGAGACTGGATCGGCAGGACCGGGGCGACCAACATCAGTTAGCGTCACACTTCTGCGGCGATCCCTGACCTGGGGTGCTGGGTCCTCGAGCCGGCTATCAGCTCTGACGGCTCGTGGCTGTGAGCGTGACTGCCGGATCAGGTAGTTGACGCCATCTATCTCGTGTGGCACGGCAGGCGCCTCTCGTGATGCGGGGGTGAGTGTTCGTGATGGTGGTTGCTGGCTCTCACTCGGGGCAGGGGCAACTCCGTCCCCGTTGGGATGAGCTGCAGGAAGGGACTGCCGTCCCAGGTCTCCGCGGGTCAGTCACGCTCCATCGCCCCGGTCACGACCAACTTCCAGGTTCAGTTGGCAGGTAGCATTCAGTCAACCTCGTCACACTGTTGGGCTCTCCGGAAGGCTTCCTATTAGAGAGGCCGAGTCGTCTCACGCTCCTCAACCAGAAGAAGCACAACCATAACCACAATCACACCACGACTAACTGCGTTGCAAACCACAAACAAACCAAGCCCCGTCCCACATAACCAACACCATGGGCAACATTACCATCCTCGGCGCCGGGTAAGCCATCCATCCCCTTGCCCCAACCAACCACTCAATCCCACACTAACAGACCCCCTTCTCACCAAAGAATCATCGGTCTCTCGACCGCAGCTATCCTCACGGACGCCAACCCCTCCAAGCACGAAATCACCGTCGTAGCCCGCGACCTCCCCGGCGATGCGCCCTCCCAACGCTGGGCCAGCCCCTGGTATGCCTCCCTCCCAAACCCCCTTGGCCCCCTCAGAATCCCACAATCCCCCCCATCAGTACCATCACCATCACAGCAACAAAACCAGCTAACAAGCACCACCACCACACAGGGCCTGCGCCGGCTGGGTCCCCCTCGGCGGCTCCCCGCGCGAGGAACAGATGCAGCTGGCCGCGCTGGCCTACCTGCGGCAGCTGGCGGCCGAGCACCCGGAGTCATCGGGCGTGCGGCGGGTCGCGCTGACTGATGTGTTTGGCGGCGGCAGCGGGGTTAAGGCTAGTGACGGGGTTTGGTATAATGGGCGGGTGCCCGAGTTTGAGGTGCTTGTTGAGGGCGGTGGCGGGGAGGGTGGGGAGGAGGCGAGGGTGAGGTTGGGGGGGGTGGTGGTGACGCCGGAGGTGTTTTTGGGGTGGATGGTGGAGAGGTTAAGGGAGAGGGGGGTGCGGTTTGTGAGGGTGGGGGAGTTTGAGGGGTTGGGGAGGTTGGCGGCGACGGGTCATGACGTGTTGGTGAATGCGTCTGGGGTGGGGAGTAGGGAGTTGGAGGATGTGAGGGATGAGCAGGTGGTGACGGATCGCACGTATGTGACGGTGGTCAAGTCGGACTTTCAGGAGGCGTTTGTCCACCGCGGTGACGGAGTCTACACGTACATCTTTGGTCGCGGCGACGGGACTGCGGTGGTGGGAGGTGTGTCGGAGCCGGACACGAATCCTGTCAGGCCGATGGAGGAGGTGCATGAAGATGTGAGTACCTACCTACCTACCTCTATCTCGGGGCTGTGGGTGATAAAGTGCCAGTGCAAACTAACGTGTTATTCTAGCTCTTCCGCCGGGCCCACGAGCACCTACCGGAACACTTCCCCTCTCCCAAGTCCGCTGACTACCAGATCGTGCAGGACTTGGTGGGAATACGTCCATTGAGACCTGCGGGCGTCAGAGTGGAAAAGGAGGAACTCAACGGTCAAAAGGTTGTTCACGCCTATGGTACCACGATCGGTGGCTACATTCACAGCTTTGGGCTCGCGCAGGAAGCGGCCAAGTTGGTGGAGGAATACCTCTAATCGGTGACCCGTTTCAGCCTTTGCATGAGTATCTTGGCCAAGATGATGTTCTTGGACCTGTAGCTTAGTGTACTTCAGTCGAGCAATCACTACCCCGTTGAATTTTCAAGAATGTGTTGTTATGCCGCCCATGGGCATTCAAGCTTTGTTATTCAGGCTGGCAGTCGCAGGTAGGCCAATTGACTTTCAAATGCGTTGTGGTTTACAGGACAAGTCCAATGCTGGACAGAGCGGAATCCGCAGAGCCTTCTACAGGAAAGCGTTAAAATCAAATCACGCGATAGTCTGGCATTTTTACTAGAATGTCACCTACCACCTCGGGGGAGCGTTATTTCACTTTGAGAATCCCGAGAAGGCGGCCTCGCAGAGAGTCACGGTCCGTGTTAGACGGGACAACGTCCTCGGACTGCAGATTTCCTTACTTTCGGGGGATGACATGACGCCGAAGCCGACCCATAACCTGGACAACGCTCCGCGGCCCTGCATCACGCATGTTTTCCGATAGATTGGAAGGATTGGGAAGAAGGGAGGCTGGGCCTTGTTCCCGATATCACCGAGAGGAGGAAGGGAGCCAAGGGACTCACTTGTGCAACCCTGCATGCAGGCTGTGCCTTGGGACTCGACCATGAGGGTTCCCCTTCCCCGGCTCATGGGTCCATCCGACTCAGGAACCACGTGGGAATGCTACTATTTCGAAGCTGAATTCTTGACGGCTTCTACGGATGGTACATACATACATGGCGCAAAATACCGAGACAGGATCTTGGGTTCAGCACGACAGGGAGCTGCTGCTCAGCTGCACTGAGAGAGATTTACAGCTACGCCTATCTACGGACTGCAGACCACAAATCGATCACTGCTGCAGTACACAAGTCCCACCGTGGGAAGAAATCAAACCCAAAATAGTGCCGCGGAAACACCGCTGATCCACTGGCACGTTGTCCGGCCATGTGTCCCGTCATTCCAAACCGGCTACGGTAACAGTGGACAGGATCTTAAACCTTGCCACGTTTTCTTAAACGACCCAATGGGATAAACTTCTTTCTCCCGTCAACATCGATATTCTGCATTGGGTAAACCGAAGAAGATATTCCCGCTAATGTGGGCTTAGAAGGGAGTCAAGGGACTCGAACGAAGGGTCAAAGGAATTCTTGGCTTGCGGGGGATGGATGTGGATGGGGATTGTCGGAGATATTACTAGTAACAGCTGCCCGTCGGGTCAGCATATCAGCTGAAAGAGTCCATGAACTCCGGAGACTATCAACAATTATTGCAAGCATTATTACTTATTATACATACAAGAACCCCAGCCCAGCTGAAATCCCGAACTGGATCACAACACCACAACCCCCACACATTTGCTTAGTAGCCTCTCTTTTGGGTTGGCGCTGACCATCAGCAATCATGCGACAATCTTCTCCCTCCCGGATCTTCTGGTCCACCCTCCTCCTCAGCTGCCCAGCCGCCGCCTTCCATGCCCCCCTCCTCCCACGCCAGTTCCTCCCCGAGACCTTCGACTGGTCCGCCATCACACCCACCCCCGAGCTCCAGTACCACCCCTGCTACAACAACACCTTCCAATGCGCCCGCCTGCGGGTACCCCTGGACTGGAGCAGGCCCGAGACGGCCGAGACGGGCCCGCACGCGGCGCTCGGCATCATCACGCTGCCCGCGACCGTCCCCGTGACGGACCCGGCTTACGGCGGGCCGCTGCTGATCAACCCGGGGGGTCCGGCGGGGCCCGTCGCGGAGTGGGTGCGCGTGTACGGGTCCTGGCTGCAGGGGGTCGTCGACACGCCGGGCGAGCGCCATCACGACATCGTGGGGATCGACCCGCGCGGCCTCTGGCGTACCACCCCGCCCGCCGTCTGCTACGCGGATCAGTTCGGTCGTGCCGCCGCCGCCATGGCCGTCAAGCGCATGCCGAGCGTGTTGACGCCGCAGGGCCTGCGCATGGTCACCGCGTGGAACCAGGGCGTTTCGCGTCTGTGTGAGGAGGCCGCGGCTGCGGATGGGGAGGATAGCATCTTCAACCACATGTCGACGGCGTCGGTGGCGAGGGATTTTCTGGAGGTTGTGGAGCGGAGCCATGAGATGATGATGAAGGCGGGGAAGGGCAAGGGGAAGCGTGCCGGTGGTGGTGGAGGGGAGAAGCCGATGCTGCAGTACCTGGGTCTTTCGTACGGCTCGATTCTGGGGAGTACGTTCGCGTCCATGTTCCCGGACCGCGTTGGGAGGATGGTGGTGGACGGCATCGCTGATGCGGAGGATTTCAACTCTGGTGTAAGTGATCTCACGTCAATTTCATACGGCAACATACTCCAGTGCTCGATAACACCAGATGCTAACACACTCAGCAACGGGCAATGAACATCATCGACGCCGAAGACGCCATCGACGTCTTCTACAACATTTGCTTCGACGCTGGCGAGCTCTGCCCGCTCTACCAAACCACCGACGCCAGCGCGGCCGACATCCGCGCCCGCATCGACGCCTTCATCCACTCGCTCGAAGAAACCCCCGTCTCCGCCATCTTCAACAACCGCGTCTTCCTCATCAGCCCCAACTTCATCCGCTCCGAGCTGCACAAGGGCATGTACACGCCCATCCCCCAATTCCCCACCATCGCGAGTTCCCTCGCCGCCGCCCTCGCCGGCAACTTCACCCCGATCCTCTCCAACCCGGCCCTGGTCAACAACGACAACGAGGGCGCCGTCTGCGCCGACCTGCCCGACACCTCCCCGCCGACCGTCTTCGTCAGCCAGGCCGAAGCCAACCTCGGCATCTCGTGCGGCGACTCCCAGGCCGCCGCCGGCCCGCGCGACACCCTCGCCTGGGCCGAGGCCACCGTCGCCCGCATCGCCAACCAGTCCGCCTCCCTCGGCGAGACCTGGGCCAACCTCCCGCTCAACTGCGCCGGCTGGCGTTTCAGCCCGCCCTACGCGTTTCGGGGGCCGTTTGGCAGCCCTGCTCCGCCGCCGGCTAATAGTAGCAGCAGCGCCGCGCCGATGTTGATCCTGTCGTCGCGGATTGATCACGTCACGCCGTTGGTGAATGCGTATCGGTTGTCGAGCTTGCATGGCGGGTCGGCGGTGGTGGTGCAGGAGTCGCTTGGGCATTTGGCGCTGACGTCGTCGGTTAGTAAGTGCACGCGCGGGTTTGTGAAGGAGTATTTGCGGACGGGCGCGCTGCCGAAGAATGGCACGGTTTGTGAGGCGGACTGCGTGCCGGGGATTCCGTTTCGCGAGTGTGTTGGGTTGCCGCCGTAGATTCGGGTTTAAGGGGGTAGTAGATATTGGGAGAGGAGGTTGAAAAGGATGGTAGGCGTGAAGAGTTAGTTGAGTACAGGCTTCACTTCTATTTCGTAAATATGACAGTTGCTATTATCCGTGATCTGGGGATTATGTTGAAGCTTGTGTCCTGTGGGCAAGTCCCCAGATTTCACTCTCCCCCAAACGCCCTCAGCACCGCGAGGCTCACAATCGGGTACGACATGATTCTGTCGTGTAGTCCCCACCTGGCGATCTCCTCCCTGACGACCCCTTTTCCTGTCCGGTGTTCCGCCACCCAGCCAGCCGAACCCAACATCTGCTTATTCCGCCCCTTCTCCTCCTCTAGATCCTCAAACGCAATACCACTGGGCCGGGACGCATTGACAGCATGCCAGAACAGCCGGTCGCTGTGAGACCAGGGGATGTCGTAGTCGTCCTGGGCATGAATGATGGCGATGTGGTACTTGAGGCCGTCCCCGACCATGTCTTCACACTGTCGAACGAATGCAGCCAGCTTGTCCTTGCTAAGCCACTTGCTCAGGATGAAGGTGTTGAAGAAGGCCAGAAGTCGGGGAAACGGGGCAAGAGGACCGAGGATGGGAACAATCCCGGCGATGCGGTATGTGGCTGTCAGCAGTTCCACGTCTGCGAAGGGTGCTACCAGAACCAGGCCGGCAAAGAGCGTTGGGTGTGGCTGGGCGGCGTAGTGCTCTGCGAGCGATATTCCCACTGCCGTTCCCAAAGACTGGCCGAATATGACGATGCGAGAGGGCGGAATTCCAGCTTCCTGCACAGCCCACTTGGCCAGGGTGATGGCGTCGGTCTGGAGGCCGTGTTCCGAGGGGACTCCACTGCTGGACCCGAAGCCACGGTAGTCGATAGCAACTGTGTGAATCTTATCAAGGGCCGCGGCGGACATGGCCCGGTAGCTCGGTGGTCTCCATCCTGATGCGAGTGTGCCAGCTGCTCCGTGAAAGTAAAGCAGGAGCAGCGCCTCCGGGTCGTCACGAAGTAACTTGAAAGACATGCGGTCCGTAATGTCCTCTACTAAGCCTTCGGGCTCCTTGATGAGCTCTTTTTGGTGCTTGTGGTAAATGCCTAGCGGAAGTATGTGCCAGGTGTGGAGTGTTATCCCGTCGGGCGTGTCAAGTGTAAAGGGGGTGACTTGGTTTGGGAGGAATCCCCATTGCTCAGCAACGCTGACATCTTGATTCCCGGTGAGCGTTACGCCGTGGAGGTAAATGGCATGGTCCTGGAGAAGTGGGATCGTGAGAAGACCGAGAAACAAGGAGTACAGGATCGCGCTGAGGCTGAGGGCGCCGAGCGTTGAACCCAAGAGCCTCACAAACAAATTCTTGGTTTTAGGCCCGAGTTTGGGGCTTGGCTCTAGCTTGTGTGCTTGCTGCTGAACCGCTGGCGGCATCGCTCTCAGTTTAAGGTATTTTACCTGATATTCAAAAAGAAATCTTGGGAAGGGGTCGGGTTGTCCGAGGATGTGGCGCCGTTCTCACAACAACAACACACAAATCAGATTTGAGAGTTGAGTGGAAAAGTCGCTTTGATTGCATTCATTATGCATCTCCAATAGGCCACAGGGATGACGCTTGCTGAAACCAACCCGCCAGCCTGGTGCCTAGGTGCTGTGCCGCGATATCACCGCCGTGATTACAGTCCGATCGCCTGTACCGCCGCACCCTCGCCGGCACCCGATTCGAGCAATCTCTGGAGAATCTCGAGGTCCTTGAGCGCCTCCTGAGTGCTTTGCAGATCGCTGATTTTGCCGGCGGTGATGGCCTCGGCAAAGGCAGCAACCTCTGGCGTGACGCCGGAGCTGGAAGCAAATTCCTTCTTCTCCTCGCCCTGGCTCGTCACCGTCTTAACCTCGACTGGGTTCCAGGAAACCACGCCCTTGGTCGTCACGATCTCGAGTTCCGTGCCAGACTTGAACTCGGTGCCGAACGAGATGACAATGGTGCCGCTTTTGCGGTCTTGGGTGATGGCCGCAGCGTGAACCGTGTCGACGGGAATCAGCTTCTCGTCGAGCAGCCCACTGAACCCCACCAGCTGCTTGATCTCCTGGCCCGCCGCAGCAAGGAGGAACCGCAAGCCAGCCACGAAGTGGACACCGCCATCCAGGAGAAACCCTCCCTGATGCTCGGGAGTCTTGCGCCCTACTCAGGGGTTAGCACCCACTTCCCAACCACACCAAACCCAACAACACCAACAAAAACACCACTTACACGCCGTGTTGAAGTACTTGTTATCCGGCTTCATCGACCCATACTTCTGCAACTTGAAAGTCACCAGCTCCCCGCCAATCTCGCGCACCTTCTCCGCCGCATAGCACAGCGACTCCAGGTACCGCCAGTTCTCAGCAACACCCCACAGCGGCGCCGCACCCCCCAGCCCCTCATACGACGCAATCAACTGCTTCGCCCCATCAATATCCCCCGCAATCGGCTTCTCGGAGAGCACGTGCTTGCCCGCGCGCAGGGCCTTGTCGATCACGGCCGGCTGCTGCAGGATGGGTAGCACGACGTCGACGGCGGCGATGTCGGCGCGCTGGAGGAGGTCGTCGAGGGACTTGCCCGCGACCGCGGGGCTGTCAAAGTAGATGGCTACTGAGGAAGGGTCCCGGGAGGCGGCGGCGAGCGCCTCGGCTGAGTGCTGCGAGCGCGAGTAGACGGCTTTGAGGGCCAGGGTGGGGGCCGCCTCGATGGCGGGGAGGTGTTCTAGGGGAGGTTAGTCTGAGTCATGGTTTGAGGTGGCTTTCCCAAGGTTCGTGGCTGTGAAAAGGGGTTGTGGTCATGGAACTTACCCTCCCGCGCAAAGATGCCTGCTCCGAGCAACGCGATTCCAGCCATGTTGAGATGTATGAATAGGTAGTCTATCGATCTTCTGTGTCGGGGAAGATGTTGATGGAACGGCCGTATCGGAGGGACACTCGTGCTCGGCTGAATCGGGGGCAGCACGTTTTCCCAGTGGTGGAGATCGTCATGGAAGGGAAATCGGGCCGTCGTAGAGCCAAGATGGGGCCGAAAGTTGAAAGCGGGAACCGGCGAACCAATAGTTTCGACAGCGAGAGAGCGGGGTTAAGCAGTTGGGACGGAGAGTGCTCCTCCATATCACCCGCAGCAGTTCAGTTAGTAACACATGAGATGGATGGATGCCAACGGGTTAACGAACCAACCGTGTTGTGGCTGAGAAGACAACCAAATCTTAAAGAATAACGTGGTTGTTGAGTCTATCTCACTAGAAGAATGAGGTATTAGAAGTATCACTGTCATAAAAGGGGTTATTATATTCAGTTGTATTTACCCACGGTCTGGTTTGAGATTGTGGTTACTGCTATTTTAGTTATGGACGTGGACCGCGGTATTATACCCATCAAAATCTCGTCAAAGAGTGTGTGAATACGATGTCCTGTTTTTGGATGCTTTCTTGCTTTTAAGGTTAAGATAATGTGAAATAATAACCAACCTATGGACACAAACAATCAAGAAATCAATTAAACGCCTGGGCAGTTGGGTTTTAGGAACTTGTCATTCTGGTAACGAAGTAAAGTTATTTTAAATTATCAATCTAGGGGTGCCATACTCTCAAAGTATTGACTCTATCCGTCAAAAGCATACCAAAACGCCAACAGTACAGATGACGCTACCAAAAGAATTGGCTCACCGCCTTCCGGATTCCAGCGGTTCTGCTTGGCAGAAAAAGGCCCATAAACACTAACAGTTTAACGGGCGGTGAGCCAGTTCTTTTGGTAGCGTCTTCTGTATATATAGTATGTACGGTACCTACCAAAGGGCAAACTTAGCACTCCGCCGGCCAATGACGCCCGCAACACACGTAGTGCCCGGGGCCACTGGTTGGGGGATGGCCACGCCATTCGCGCAGAGTCCGAACGACGTCGGGCTGAAGCAGATAATGGCACCATTCTCGGGGCAGGGCTGGCCGCCGGGCGGAACAGTGCCGGCGCCACCGCCACCGTTCGTGGCACTCGGCGCCGGAGCGGCAACAACAGAAGTTGGGGACGCGCTTGCGGGGACGGTCTGCGTGATAAACCCAGAGGAAGAGGGGGGAGGGCATGCGACAGGGGGGGCCGAGGAGCTTGGGGCGGGAGGGGGGACGACTGACGAGCCACCTCCACTGCCGTTGCCGCCGCCGCCGCTACCGCTACCGCTACCGCCCTCAAAGGTCGGCAGGTCGGCCTTGGGGCACGACCCTTCGTTCCCGGGCGCGGGCTGCTCCAGGATCCTACCGTACCTACCGGGGTTGGGGATGTTGAACACGCCGTTGCCCGTGGTGCACTCGCCGGGGACGTTGGCCAGGAAAAGGGGCGGCAGGTCCTCGAAGAACTGCTGGTTGCCGGCGCCGCCGCTGATGGTCACGGGCGCGCAGTTCATGTACACCTCGCGGTTGCCGATCTTGTTGTACCAGGTCCAGGCGAAGGTGGCGTTGCCGTTGGGCAGCTCCTTGGGGATGGGGATGTCGAACTGGCGGATGCACTCGACGCCGCTGTCGTTGCCGCACTGGAGGGACTGGGCCCGGCCGTCGGCGTCCAGGCCCGTCACGGGCAGGTTGGTCTCGGCCTGGACGGGGCACCCGCCGATGATGGTGTAGATGGTCTTCCACTTGGACTTGTCCGCCGGCGGCGGGTTCTCGTAGGTCAGACTGAATTGGCAGGAACCGCCGCCGTGCTGGGCACCGCCGTCCACCTTGACCGTCTGGGTGTTGCCCGCGGTGATCGAGGTGGTCTCGACGACGTCAAACATACCCTGACACGGGAAAGGGAACGCCCCGAGGGGGTCGACCTGCAGAAGCTTGGCTGTCCCGTGGAGGTTAAAGGAAGTGGGGGTGGTCATTACCATGTGGCCGTGAGCGGTGCCTAGCAGGAGGGCCAGGGCCGCGACCGATGTAGTGTAGATGGTCATCTTGTGTTGATGTGAGTTTGTGAGTAATTGTAATGTTGCATGAATCTGATCATTGCGACGGTGTCGGACGCAAGGTCTGGCTTCTTATTATATAGGATCGAAGAGCTTTGGAGACACAACTTGTAGCTTCTTACGAGGCGCAAGCCTTGACCCCCTTCGTTGAACTCTGTGGTGAACAGTGCTCTTGGAGTGACGCATGGCGATTGTCCATCCAAACATAGCCATTATGCAAGCCCGATATGGACCGCAAGACAAAGAAGGGGTGACTGTCTCTTTGTTGACTTCGAAGAACAATAGGGGCCTTTCGAAAACACCCAAACAATGCTCACATCACCCATGATGTGAGTCAAAGCGTCTTTCTTCGTGGCACGCCGAATATGGTGGGAAGCTTCTGTTTCATGCAACCGCGCAACCTCCTCTCGTCGTAACTATGTTGCATCTGCGTGGAGACCGGTGGGTTGGCAATGTCTGGGCTCAGTGAACAGACACACAGACTCCCGCACTCCCGCAACAAGTCCGAGCAACCGGGAGCATCGGACCGCCATGGAACCAATCAGGCAGTCTCCAGCGCCACGACTTGGATAGATATGCCTAAACCGGTAAGGGATTGACAAATTTCCAAGGCCCCAAGCCTGAAAAGTTCAAAGCCGCATAACTAAAAAGTTTTGAATGTGGTCCTTCGGACAGTCATCTGTGCGTGGCCTCCGACAAGGAGAACAAAACAACGGGGGACGATTTGTGATCTTCCGAAAGTCCCAAAATCCGCCCCTGTCTTGTGGCTTGTGCTCTGCATTTGCCCATCTCGGCCACCCAAGCTTCCTGGCGCCCCCCAGAGCCACAAGCTCAAAAGGGGTAGTGTGGCGGCCGGGGAAGAAGACCCTGGCGTCCGTCTAGGCGCCACGATTAGCTTGAACGGGCCAGAACCGGTGAAGAAACAGCTTCCGAGCGGCCCCATCCAAGCCTAACGATTGGCTCAACACACCGTTGTCGCATGGCGCCGCATGGCCATTCTTGCGCGCACGAGGAGGTGGGCTGAAACCGACCCTCTCGGTTGGGGCATTTTCGCGAGATCGAGTCCCATCTCCCCGGGCCCGATCTGATTTGCTCTCAGAATATAACCTTTGATGATCTTGTTCCTCCCAGACAATAAGAAGTAACGAAGGGGGACCGAGGGGAGAAGACCGAATTGCCCACTGACTCCTCCCCCCCTCACGCTGTCGGTGGCCCCCCTTGCCTGCTGTCCCCTCTCCCGTCCATGCCAACCACACACGGCGGGCACGGCGCGCGTCTCCACAGATGTCATCGTCGTCAGGCCCGGCCGCCGGGGCGGCCCCCGCTCCGGACGACCCAGGACGGCCACACTCGATCGTCATCTCCGCCGCCGTCCTCACCTCGGTTTCGGCGGTGGCCGTGGCCCTGCGCTTCTACGTGCGAGCGAAGATGCTCCGCTCGGTCAAGAGCGAGGACTGGTGCATGCTAGTGTCGATGGTAGGCTCCTCGTCCCGCTAAGATTGTCCGGTCTGGGTAAGGGCATGCGGAGCTAATCAACCGTCCCCGGTGACCTGTTTATAGTTTCTCGGTGTCGGCTATGCTGTTTTTGTCATTCTGGGTGAGCTCGAGAGTCCTGTGCCAGCCAGTCTGCCGTTTGGCCTGCTAACGTGGGAATTAGAGAGCAAGAATGGCCTGGGCCGACATTCCGATAACGTGTCGGACGAAGAATACACGAATTACCGCAAGGTTAGTGAGCCCGAGAGCTAAGCAAGTGACAACAAGGCGAGGATGGCTGACGTACCGGTGCTGCACAACGGGCAGTGGTCTTACTTCGGCACCATGTGTTACAACCTGAGCCTCTGTTTCACCAAAATCTCGATCCTCCTCCTGTACTTTCGGGTCTTGACCCACGACTACATCCGCAAAGTAACTTGGGGAACCATGGGCATCGTGGTCGTCTACAACATCTGGGGCTTTGGCATGTACCTCACCATGTGCATCCCCCTCCAGAAGATGTGGCATTCGGATTTGGACGGGTACTGTCATCCATACGAAGTCTGGTGGGCGCTGACCTACCTGCACATCATCACGGACTTTATGATCTTCCTCATCCCGATCCCGGTCGTGGTGACCATGACGATCCCCTTGCGCCAGAAGGCAGGCCTCCTGGTAGTTTTCACGCTGGGGTTATTGTAAGTTTTGCCACTCTCCCTCGGGACGGCCCTGCCGGTGCACCCGTGTGACCGCTGCTGACGACAGGGTGCAGTCTCTGTGCCATTTCCATCGTGCGGACCGTCTGGCTGGACCTGCTGCTCCACGTTGACGATGCGACGTGGTACCTGGTCACTATCGCCAACTGGTCGACCGCCGAGGTCAACATAGCCATTATCTGCGGCTGCATGCCGACGCTGAAGCCGCTATTGACCAAGGTCTTCCGGCCGCTGATGGACCACATCCTCCCGTACCACCACCAGTCGTTGGAGGACCCCGACTCGACGCGACCGAAAACGATCGGGTCGATGCCGTTGCATGCATTCCGATTTGGGCGACCTTCCAACGGGGAGGATACGACAGCAGTTGCCCGGTCGTCGCGGCTGACTTGGACGGACGGAAGGACGACCCTCGCCGCCAGCGAAGCCCAGAGCAATCAAACCAAGCTAAGAAACATGGAATCGCAAGCGGAGCTCAACCCGAGCGGCGGCGACGATAACGTCGTGGTCGAACCAGACGAGGAACCGAGGGCACCACAAAGGCCGGACACCAGAGACTGATCAAGGGAAAATACCGGGGCTTGTTTCCCGAGGCAAGGATTTCCCCCTCAAATGACACATGGTTTCCTTGTTCGATTGGCCTCTCGCGCAATCCCGACGTGACCCAACGACAAAGACGGTTTTTTCGCTCTCAGCTCGCAGGGGGGAAGGTTCCCGAGCAAGGTTGGATTCGGCCGTCGGCAGAATGCCGCTCCTCGTTCCAAACCGACAGGGTGCTCAGCAGGGTTCGACTCGGCGAATCATGCCGACCACATGGCGAGAGCGAGGGGAAGGGGTCCCTTGGCAAGCCCCCGGCGCCCCCGGCACATCCTGGTCGCTCTCTCAGCCGGGACCCGAACGGGCTAGGGTTGCATCGAATAACGTCGCCCGCAGGAACACGACCCTGACGCCTGGTTACCCCGCCGTGTCCGCAGCTCCGGGCTGCCAACGACGAGGACAGGGAAGGGGGAGATTGGGGGTTCGTGGGTCGACGACGGTGGGGAGAGAGCGCTCGCGGGAGGGTTTAAAAGCGTCAGCTCTGGGTCGAGTTCAGCCCGAAGACGATCCTCCTCATCCGCAGGCCAACAGCTGTGAAAAGAAACGGTACAATGGGTCTCATCGGCGCTGCTTTTGTCTCGCTCGCCGCTCTGACGAGCGCCGCGAGCATCCCGACGTCCCATGTGAAGCGTCAGACCACTGAGCTCCGCGACAAGTATGACATCGTCATTGTCGGCGCCGGCACAAGTGGCCTCACTGTAGCCAACCGCCTGACGGAGGCCTTCCCTTCGAGTGAGTGAAGCCCACTCACGACGGTGCCCGTCAAGCCAACTGACCGCCGTAGAAAACGTGCTCGTTATCGAATACGGCGATGTCCACGCCACGACCCCTGGAACCTTTGACCCGCCGACGGACTGGATCACTAGCAACCCCGATGCTCCCCCAACTTGGGCTTTCACCTCCCTCCCTAACCCGGACATGGCGGACACCCAGGCGTTCGTGCAGGCCGGCCAGGTGGTCGGCGGAAGCAGTGCGGTGAACGGCATGTTTTTTGACCGCGGGTCTCGCTTCGACTACGACTCCTGGACCGAGGCTGCTGGCCCGGAGTTCAGCCAGTGCGCGAACAAGTGGAACTGGCAGGGCATCTTTCCCTTCTTCCAAAAGGTGAGAGACAAAAACCGCGCAGAGCCGTACAGGGCTGGACTGACAGACCTCGTGTGGTAGAGTGTGACCTTCACCGAGCCGTCAGCAGAGATAGCCCAGCGGTACAACTACACGTGGGACGTGGCTGCCTACGGGGGCTCGACTCCCATCCACAGCTCCTTTGCGTCCTTCCAATGGGCCGACCAACCTCTCCTTAGGAAGGTATGGCAGGAGATGGGCATCAACACCCCCGAAGAATGCGCCGGCGGCGACAAGGAGGGCATCTGCTGGGTCCCGACCTCGCAGCACCCCGTCACGGCGAGACGGTCGCACGCCGGGCTCGGCCACTACGAGGATGTGCTTCCCCGTGCCAACTATGACCTCCTGGTCAAGCATCAGGTTGTCAGGGTGGTGTACCCCGACGGCCCCGACGCCGGCCCGCCGCTCGTCGAAGCCCGATCTCTGGCGGACGGCCAGCTGTTCAACGTGACGGTCGACGGCGAGGTGATCGTGTCGGCGGGCGCGCTGCACACGCCGACGGTTCTGCAGCGGAGCGGCATCGGCGCGGCATCCTTCCTCGGCAGCGTAGGCATCCCGCTGACGCTGGACCTCCCCGGTGTCGGGGCCAACCTGCAGGACCACTCGGGCCCGCCGGTCAGCTGGAACTACACGCAGCCGTACGAGTTCTTCCCGCTCCCGTCCGAGATGGCCGGCAACGCGACCTTCAAGGCCGACGCCATCGCCGGCTTCGACGAGACCCCCGCGCGCGGCCCCTACACGCTCGCGGGCGGCAACAGCGCCATCTTCGTGTCGCTCCCGCACATGACGGCCGACCACGCCGCCATCACGGACCAGATCCGCGCCATGGTGGCCGACGGCAGCGCGGCGTCCTACCTCCCCGCCGACGTGCGCGCCATCCCGGCCATGGTGGCCGGCTACGACGCGCAGCTCCTCGCGCTGGCCAACCTGCTGGACAACCCGGAGGCGCCGAGCCTGGAGACGCCGTGGGCGACGACCGAGGCGCCCGGCACGGCCTGGTCGTTCCTGCTGCACCCGCTCAGCCGCGGCACTGTGCGTCTGGACCCGGCGGACCCGCTCGAGAAGCCGATCCTGGACTACCGCGCGGGCTCCAACCCGGTCGACGCCGCCGTGCAGCTCGCCCAGGTGCGCTACCTGCGCCGCCTGCTCGAGACCCCGACCATGGTCGCCCATGGTGTTAGTGAGATCGCCCCTGGTGCGGGGATTGCGGATGATGATGCGGCGCTGGAGCAGTATGTGCGCTCCAAGAGCACCCTGTCCTTCATGCACCCGTGCTGCACGGCCGCGATGATGCCCAAGAGCAGGGGCGGTGTGGTCGGGCCTGATCTGAAGGTGCATGGCGCCAAGGGTCTGAGGGTGGTCGATATGAGTGTCATGCCGCTTGTGCCGGCGGCGCATCTGAGTGCGACTGCTTATGCCGTGGGAGAGAAGGCTGCGGATATTATTATCAAGGGCTGGAAGAAGCAGGGTTGGTGAGGTTGCCGGGGGTTGGTGAGGGCAAGGAGGATTGGGAGGAGAGGCCCATGTTGACTCGTAATTTTCAGATAATAATCAAGCATGAACTCAAACTCAATGCCCTTTTGTCTCGTGCAAGTGTTTGAAGTTGGTCGATGGAGATAAAACAGTCGGCTTCCTCAAAATCTGTTTACGTCAAGCACATGCTGAGGGCGAGAAACTGCCTGTGTGTACGTAAAAAATGCCGAGAAAAGAGGTCGCCAACAGTCAACTGTGGTGGTGCAGCGGCTGCGTGGGGCTCGAGTCGCGAACAATACCATTCAGTGCTTCTCGAGGTCATCGCTTGCTTACTGTGTAGTTAGTTTGTCGAGGCCGGGGCAGCTGTCGGCCGAATCAACAAACGAAAACCTGCTGGGCTTGTCGGCATCGTTGTCTTGGTAATGATGGAATGGTGGTGTCAAATGCTGTGTTGTAAATGTAGGTCATCTTCAGTTGGTTGTAGAATGCCGAACATTCTCGCACAGCTCTTGTGCTTTGGACGACAAAGAAAGCCGCCAGTTGCCACCAGCTGAGGATGGTTTGTTCGACCTTTGCAGCTCCCACCAGCGAACCCTGCCCGCTGTGAACTGCCCCGCCACCAGCAACAATGCGATCGCATCGGAATGCCACTTCCCCCACATTCAGGCTCCTGCACCGAACAGCTTCACACCCATCATCTCAAGTTCCACGTATCTGCTTCTCAACCTTTACGGGCCAGATATATATTCCATTATATATAGCTCTATTCTTATCCTTTCAACAACCCGTAACACCCTCTTCAATTCGCAACCATGGATCAAGACCAGTTTGGCGGCCGCACCGACGATGACCTGTTCTCTGACGACATCGAGCCCGTGGAGGAAGAAGAGACGTTCGATCTGCCAGAAGCTGCGCCAGTCCCTACTCACGATCCTCCCGCGCAGCCCGAACCAACACCGGCGCCTGCGGTAGTCAAACCAACCCCCGCCCCGCCGGTGGTTCAACCCCCAAGATCGTCGCTAGCACAATCTCGTCACGCTCCCAAACCACGACCTGACGCCAACCCTCCCCGTTCCTCCCATAAAAACAACAATCACAATAACAATCACAATAATCACAACAAGCCCAAATCGCCTAAACCCCCTCCCAGCGTCTCAAGCGATGCTCCCTCCACCCAAGAGACCACAACCACCGCGGCACCAGCCAACGCCCCGACCGCCCCATCCGGCAAACAGCCACCCACCGGCCCGCGCGAAACCTCGGCGTCCTCCACAACCACCACCACCAACAGTAGCACGGCCGGTACCCCCCAGCCCGGCAACAACAACGGCGGCGGCGGCGGCAACACGGCCTCAGCCGTCTCGCACGCGCGGCTCAGCTCCGGCGCGAACCCACGCACCAAACTAACCGACACCGAGCTCGCCGCACGGATGGAGCGGATGCGTGTGGTGGCGGCGGAGAAGACGCGGCGGTTCGAGGAGGCGCAGCGCGACGAGTCGGAGCACGCCGTCGCCTACGCGCGCGGGATGGAGGAGGCGCGCCGCCGCCGGGCCGAGGACGCCGCGCGCCGCAAGGCGGCCGATGAAGAGCGTCGGAAGCTGGATGATGAGCGGGCGCGGAATAGGGAGAGGAAGTTGAAGGCGATGGAGATGAAGGAGGGGGGGTGGGATGAGGGGAAGGCGGAGCGGGAGGCGGAGGGGGGGAAGCGCGGGTTTAAGGGTGCCCATGGGGGTGTTAGGGGTGCGAGGTCGGGTGCGCCGGGTGGTGGGGGCAGTGGTGGTGGTGGTGGGGGGCTGGGAGGGAGTCGGTTTGCGAACCCGAACCCGGGCCCGGTGGACGAGGCTGGGGAGTTTGATGGGTTTGGGATAAGGGGGAGGGGTGGCGGTTTCAGAGGCCGGGGTGGCAGGGGAAGAGGGGGGAGGGGAGGTGGCCGGGCGTTATTTGACGAACGTGAGGGCGAGCATAATCGTGATCAAGGTCGGCAGGGCGGGCCTGCTGCTTCGGCGCCACCTCCGCCGAAGAAGGCGGACTTGAAGAAGGAGGATTTCCCTGCCTTGCCGTCATCGGCGGCGGCCCCGAAGAAGGTCGACACGGCATGGGTGCCGAAACCCGGTGCCACGGACTATCCGGTCACGTCACCCCTGGGCAAGTGGGATGAGGAGGTGGCTGCCACCCTCGATGCCAATCAAACCCCATCATAGGAGGTGTGGTGAGAGGCTCGTGGGCAGGCTTGCCGAGGATTGAGGGACGAGGAACGGAATATGGCCGTATACCCCTAAGCACCTAGCTAGTAGATCGCCGTCCGAGTTGTTCCAGCGGTAGCAGCGAACGCATTAGGCCGGTAAACCACCGGGGCAACAAACTGCTATACCAAATTGGAAGCGGAATATTAGTGCCTTGTTCAGAGTGGACGTCCTAACGTACGGGAACGCTGAGGTTGATCAGACATAGTATTGCCGAGATTCCAGTAGCACCCCCTCGTACCAGTTTCTGCACACCTGCACATGAGTATGAACTGAATTACTTTGCCGATCTTTGGGGGAATCTACTTGACTCCACGAGCCTAACCAAACGTGTTTGGCCCGAACCCACCAGACCATATCCCGACCGTGATATCTTGCCATTTTAACCCCATCAAACAACGCCCAAAACGCCTGCCAATGCGAAGTATACACACACCGTCCGTCCGCTACCACCCCCTCCTCGGCCCGCGCGGGCGGAAGCCGCCACTCCTCGGCCCCCTCGGCCCCTTCCAGCCGTCCCCATACCCTCCCCCGGGCCCGGTCGGCACACCACCCATCTCCTCGTCGCCTCCACCCATCGGCATGGGCGCGCGCTGCCTCCCGCGCATCTCCTTCGGAAAAGCGTCGTACGCCTTGCGCATCTGGGCGAAACCCAAGTGCATCTTGCCGAAGAAGTGGTCGGCGAGGCGGCGGTCGTTGTCGAGGCGGCTCAGGTAGGCGCCGCAGACGTCGCAGACCTGCAGCTTCTGGTGGCCCGAGGGCCCCGAGGTCTCGGATAGGGCCTTGAGCTCCTTCTCGCGCTCGGCCTTGGCGGCCTGGGCGTGGCGCACCTTGTAGTACTCGTCGTAGGCGCGCGCGACCTCGCCCGTCTCGGCCAGGATCTCCACCTCCAGCAGGCCGTTGGCGACGGTCGAGCCCAGGTCCGAGATGGACTTGAGCAGCGCGTTGGTCTGCCGCACCTCGTCGGGCGTCTTCTCCAGCCGCCGCTGCAGCGTGTCGATGTTGCGGTTGCACGAGTCGATGCGGTTCTGCAGGTCGCGCATGTAGTCGTACTCGAACCCGTACTTCTTCTTGTCCGGCTCCGCCAGCGCCTCGTACTCGGCCTTGAGCGCCTCCGAGTGCACGCGCGGGCACGCGCCCAGGTCTGCCTTGGTGTTGGTGAAGAGGTCGTGCGGGCAGGTGCCGACCAGGTACGATCGGCACACTTTGGGGTCCGTCAGTGGGAGCTGTGCGCTGCGCGACGCCATGCCGCCGCCCATGAGCTGCTCTGCGAAGGGTTAGCATTACTCGTTCGTTGTATGTATCACCGCTGTACTCGGTGGTGGGGAGAGATTGGGAAGGGATTGGAATTGGGACGTACCGAGCAGCTTTCGTTGTTCGGCCGCCATGATGAAGATGTGGTAGATGTGGTGTATCGAATTCGATAATGCGCGGTTCTGGGCGTGGGATGTCGACCGCTGAAGATGGTCGCTAGCAAGGCGTCTTTCAAATGTTGATGATGGACTTTGGAGATGATATTTTGGGGATTGAATTTCCAGCCGCGCTGCAAGGCTGCAAAGCGCGACACCGGGGAAGCGGGGCCTGTGGCGCGGATGACCCTTGCTGCTGCCAACCCCTGCAGGTTACGCTACTCAGGCAGGCAGTCGGTCGCGCACTCGCGGGACACCACGCCAATCTCGAACACGACAGCCAAGACTTTCAGGTTGGTCTTTCATTCCCATCCCATCTTTCCAAAACTCTCCTTGCTCTCGCGGTTCCATGCGCCAATGGCCACACCGTGTTGAGGAGGAAAGATGCGCCAATTTCTGTCGTTCCTTTGGCTTTCGTTGCTTTCTTTATTAGTGATTCCCTCTTCGGCATCATCCGCCGCCGATTACCACGAACAACTCAATCTCAAGCCGCTCCCTCTTTCCGCCCTCCTCGCCAGTTTCAACTTCCGCTCCAACACCACCCTCTCCGAGTTCGAAAAGGGCAACTTCCGCTTCTTTCCGCGGTCGCTCGGTCAGATTCTTCAGCATGCCGGCACACGCGAGCTACATCTGAGGTTCAGTCTGGGGAGGTGGGATTCAGAGACATGGGGAGCGAGACCGTGGGACGGTGCGCGCGAGGGCGGGACCGGCGTGGAGTTGTGGGCGTGGCTCGAGACTGATACAGATGAGGAGTAGGATATCCTAGGTTGTTTCCACCATACCTTGTTTTCTTGCTGACAACCCGAAAACAGAGCCGATCGCAAATGGCTGACCCTGACCAACGCCCTCTCGGGCCTGTTCTGCGCCTCGCTCAACTTCATCGACGGCACCCGGACGACACGGCCTGTCATGTCTTTCCAACCCGAAGGCGACCACTCGACAGATAACAATATGCATCTTCTCTACGGTGTGCTGCCACACGAGGTGGTGTGCACCGAGAACTTGACCCCTTTCTTGAAGCTCCTACCATGCAAAGGAAAGGCCGGGATTGCGACGCTTCTGGATGGGCACAAACTGTTCGATGCGTCGTGGCAGAGCATGGCCATCGATATCCGCCCGATCTGTCCTCCTGATGGGGAGTGTGTCCTTCAAATCGAACAAACCGTCGATATGGTCCTTGATATTCATCGGTCCAAGCGGCCCAGAGGTAAACTACCTACCCACCCCCCTCCCTCGGCCATACCGTCGGTTTATTAACGTGCTACAGGCAACCCCATTCCCAGGCCCCCGCCTGGCGACCAACTACCGTGTGATACCTCGAAGCCTTACAACTCACACGACACATGCTTCCCTGTGGACCACACTAGCCAGGAGTGGACCATCTCCCAGCTCTTCGGGAAGACGGTCAAGGGCACCTGCCCCCTTACGGACCCTACCATTCCACCAGTCTGCCTGGAAGTCCCCCACTCCAGCAGTGTCTTCGTCTCGAAGGACGTCCACGAGAAGAAGAACGCGGACCGCCTGTCTCGCTGCTTCCATATCTCTCCCGACACCGAACTCGAGATAATGCTTCCCCGCTCCGAACAGGATGCCTCCTCGGCCATCACGACCGACATCGTCACGCCCGAGACCCCGCTTCTCTACGCCGAGCGCAGCTTTACAGGCCATGGCCAAGAGCGGGGCGGCGTCCAAACTATCCTGCGGAACCCGAGCCCCGACACCGAGGTCGAGTTCATCTACATGGAATCTCTCCCCTGGTTTATGCGCATCTACCTCCACACCATGGAAGCCCGCGTCGCCGGCCAGCCCCACGCAAACAAGTCCCTAGTCGAGCAGGTCTACTACCGCCCAGCACTCGACCGCGCCCGCGGCACCCAGCTGGAGGTGCGCATGCGCGTGCCGGCCGCGTCGACCGTGTTCCTGACCTACGACTTTGAGAAGTCCATCCTGCGCTACACCGAGTACCCGCCGGACGCGAACCGCGGCTTTGACGTCGCCGCCGCCGTCATCACCATCCTGGACCCGCCGCAGACGGTCGGCCGCTTCGCCGCCTACACCCTCCGCACCACCTCGCTGCTGTGCAGCCTGCCGACGCCCGACTTCAGCATGCCGTACAACGTCATCATCTTTACCTCGACCGCTATCGCCCTGGCGTTCGGCGGCATGTTCAATATCCTCGTCCGGCGGTTTGTTGCCGCCGACGAGGCCCATGCCACCGGATTGGGGGTGTTGCTGGCGCGGTTGAAGGGCCGGTTGAAGGGGGCCGTGAAGGGTTGAGGGGCGGGGTGCGAACGGCGGACTGAGGAGTGTCAAGTTTGCAAACTTAGAGTGTGAAAGCAGAATACAACCACGTCTTTTTTTTTCTGCTGTTCAGTTTTTTTTTTGAGTTCTTGCTCGGTGATATGGCTAAGGGGAGGGTCAGCCTTCTCTTTCCCCCCGCCTCGTTCTGTGCTCTTTATTCTTTCCACTGACGATGCTGTCGAAGCAACCCCACGTTACATGTCCTTGTATCACCCGGGTGGGCCCGGCCTGCGAGCATCGAATCCCCGTTGTGCCATCGGGGTTGTTGCCTGGGTGTGCCAGGGGCCGGGGAGCATTTCCGCATCGGCTCGGGCTAATCCGCTTCAGATCGCCGCAAGCCTCGTCCAACGGTCCAACGGTACCCTATCATGTCGTTGGTTCTTTATCGACCACCAACCGCGCCGGCTGACCCGGAGAGAACGCCGGTCGGCATTCAGGGGTGTCGACAGGATTTCGTCCCGAACGGGATCCTCGTGTCCAGGGCACGTATCATCTTCAAATGTTGGTCGATACGTGTCCCTCGGCGGCCAGGGGTTTGGGGTGAGGAGGGGAGGCCGAACCAACTGGCACTGAGCAGCAGTACAAATACGAGCGAGGTGAACATTGCGCATCATCAAGTAACCACAGGTTCAACAGCACTCACCAGCGCACAGCACAGCAATAAACCCGCCGCCTCACACAAACAACCAAACCCGCCGACAACCAACCAACCAACCCCCCCCCTTTTACCACCAAATGGCCCACCCCTCCAACCCGCCCACCACCGCCACCCCCCTCGACATAACCCACTACCCCACCGCGGGCTTCTGCCGGGGCGGCGGCGGCGGCGGCGGCGGCTTCTTCCCGCTCGCGCGGCACCGGCACGAGCCGCTCGCCAACGCGGGCTGCCTGGCGGCGCGGCGCGACTGGGCGCGCCACACGGGCCTGCCGGCGGGCGAGTTCGGCGCGTGCAACCCGCGGAACGGCAACTTTGTGGCGCTGCTGTTCCCGCTGTGTAGGGTGGAGCGGCTGTGGGTGGTGGGGTATGTTACGGAGTGTATGTTGATCTTCTTGCTCTTGGTTTTGATTGCTGGTGGTTGTTTAGTTTGGGGTGGGTTGGTTTTGGTTTCATTTGGGTGGTTGGTGGGTGTGGTGTGATGTGCTGGTGTGGCGGTTGGGTTGAGAGTTGCTGACTTTGTTTGGGGAGGTAGATTCGTTTCTGCATGATAGCGTGGTTGAGGGGTTGGGTGAGGAGAGTGTAAGTGCTATCCGGCAGTGTCTTGTTCTCTTCTCTTCGTTTGCTCTTTTTCTTTTCCCGTCTTACTTCCCTTTCTCTTGTTATTTCCCTTCGCTTTTATTCCCTCTCCTCTTCTCCATCGGCACGATCCTAACGCTCCACTCCAGTCAGCTCAAAGGGACAAGTTTGGTCTCGGGGAACTAGAAACCGCGAGGCCCACTCTCAAGGCTGGGAGGAAACAGATACAGGCCAAAATAGTGTCCCTGTTGTCCGAGACGGACAAGGCGGGTGCCGCGAGGGTCATGGACGTCTGGAAGACCATGCTCTCGAGGACGCTCCGAGACAAGACCAAGGATTTCGCAAACTTGGAAGAGTACATCGAGTTTCGCAGCATCGACACGGGCGGAGCGTAAGCTTTCTGTTGCTTGCACAACCGCGTTCTGGGCCCGCGGCTAATCCAGAACAACAGGTTCGGCGAAGCCCTCATGTTGTTCGGCCTGGGCCTGACCCTGACCCGGGAGGAAGACGCCCTGCTCGCAAACGTCACCCAGCCGTGCTACGCCTGCTTTGCCCTGGCCAACGACTACTTCTCGTTCGATCGCGAATGGGCGGAAACGCAAGCCAACCCGCGGGCTTCCAAGCCCATCAACGCCGTGTGGCTGTACATGCGGTGGCGGGGGGTCAGCGCGGCCGTCGCAAAGCGGCTCGTGGCGAAGGCCTCGAACCGGTACGAGGCACGGTTCCTTGAGCTCTGTGAGCGGTTCAGACGGGAGCATAAGCCGATCTCTCCCAAGTTGGACCTGTACCTGCGGGGGCTGTCGTACCAGGTCAGCGGCAATGTGGTTTGGAGCCTCAACTGCCCGCGCTACTACCCTGAGTTCCGGTACGATCCGAATGCGGGCCTCGAGGATTCCATCACGTCTGAGCTGCGGGGGAAGAAACTCGTTGCTAGCGAGGGCGACGCGCAAGCCGAGTAGGGCATTGAGCGGCGTCATCTGTTGTCCCTCTTTATCAGCGGCCTCCCTGCGCACGGCTGTCAGACGGGGAATGGGGATGAGGGGGTGAAGGGAACGAGGGTCGGTGACTTAATTATCAGACAGTACGCGTATTGACGTTGCTGGTATGCGTTCCATCCTCCAACTGAACTATACATGTCCATCATCTTCAAGTGCGGCTGCACGGCATGGTTGGATCGCATCGAGCTCTGGCCTCCGGCCCGGAGATAGCACCGCCTCTTGAAGCGCCCGCCGGTCGACTTTAACACGGCGAGATAATTGTGCCCCTTCAATGCTACTAGCCCAGCATTTGTTGCTCGGGTTGGAACATGTTAGCTTTCTGATCGTCACCGGTGACGCGCAGGTGCTGCGTTGACGTTGCCAGTAATGTGACTAGATGTCGAAGCGTCGCCGCGCAACCATCCAGCTGCCGACGCTTTCGATGATGATCATTCGTCCAGTGAAGACACTAACATTATTTGTATGTACTTAGTTCCCGCAGCGTCAGCCATGAACAGATAGAATACCTATGCAGCATGCAGAGTCACTCAAGCGGCAAGTATGTGGGGGTAAAGTAGAAATGATGCGGACCACGTCTGAATCTCCCCAGCGTGGCCCGGCTCTCGCCTCGCACCATTGCCTCGACCCTCGTGGGACATCGAGGTCAAAAGCGGTCCCGGCGTCAAGGAGATCCAAACCAACACGTCCTCCAATCTAGAGCCTGGGAGTAATGACAAGACACACGCGGTGCAATCACAACAGACGGCACGGGACACGGGGTTTCCGTGTCAAGATAAAAGTTGATCGCTGTTATTTCAGTGATGTGATGTATAGGTACCTACCTAAGTAGGTTAGGTGTCTCATGAGTTGGTTCCGTGAGGTAAATGCCTCCAGTCCCCGCAGGTGCGGCACGCCGTCCGCCACGGTAAAGTGGTCGCTGTCTAAAAGTTGCAAAACCGATTAGATGGCTTTCTCAAAGGGTTCCTACATAGGACGCCGGTGTACGTACCTTTAGACTTGACGCCGCAGGTGCGGTTTGGACCACCAACGGTAAACCAGGACGACGGTGACAAGAGCCATAACCGGATTCCCCAAAGTTCGGACCAGCCCATCGAGAAGTAGGAGCACAAACTGACCGAAAGCGATGATGGTATCCGCCTTCGTCATGACGGAACCGAGAAAGGCGTAGAGAAGGACGAAAATGAGATTGGGGAGAAGCTCAATAAGAGCGAGTATGCACTTGGTCGCAGCGTCGATGAGAGCTATCGCAACGTCGCGAAAAGCGTGGATTAAACAGTGCGCGATCTCGGCCAGGGCTGCGATCAGCGCCAGGGCAACAGTGCGAACTTTGATTAGGAGATCGCTGAAGGCGGATGCGGGAACTGCGGTTTGTTAAACGTCTGTGGTCAAAAAGTATGGATGCAAAAGGGTAACCCGTAACCCGTACCTTGATTCGCCATCGTAAAGTAAGTATGGCCGCGACGATTCCGAGAAGAAGCTGGAAGATCCTGGTGATAACTGGAGCAAACGGGATGTCGAGAGTCAGGACGATAGATGAGCGAAGAAAACTGAAGAGGAACAGAACAGGACGGCCGATTTGACCTTGAGTGAATAAGTGAAGACAGGAGGGGAGAAGAAGAGGCACAAAGGACAATGTTGACAATGTTGTTCTGTGTTGATGGTTTCCCAACGGAGGGCTCAGAGACGCTCAGAGACTGAGGCTTGTCAATTGGTCTTAAGGGGTCGCCGGTTGTCGAAGAACGGGCACAATGTGGCCTTTTGACTGGGACGGCACCTCGTGACGACATCCATGATCCCAAAGACATCGGACGACAGAGTATGATACAAATCATTATGTAGCGAGAATAGTAGTTTATCGGGCCACCCCTCAGCCTAACCTTGTTATCCTTTCTGAACACAAGCAATTGAATACTTGACTGTTCAGGGAGCTTGCTTCTTTTGCCTTGTTCATAATGGTACTAGCATATCGAGCATAATTGTCAGTCAACAGTGGACAAAGCAGATATAATCATCCGGTTGTTCATTCTGGAGCCACTCTTACCTCCTCATTATGGGTTTACACTATCATACACAGTGAGGCGGTTGGCAGTCAGGAGAGGTGCATGCTGAGGCTTTGTTTAGTGTAGTTGACAACCTAGGTTGAGGCAGTCTCCGATCAGGCACGAATATGATCGGGCTCAGTTGTGGGGATAGGCAAGCGTCGGTATTACATAGATGTATATGATTGCTTTCTAGCTATAAGACTTTTGTTTAACGAACTTCGAATATATTACAGTACCTTCCGGCAGTAGATGCCCATGCAACGCCCATTCCCATAACATGTGCCCTTGCCGTTAATGGAGACGGGGTATCGTTGGAAAACCTAGCGAAGAGCGAGGACCTAGGCTCTTGATATCCTGCCATCGTCAAGTTCCTACGCCCCTCCACGCAAAGACGTGACATGCAAGACAAGGTCCATATAACACCGATTTGTTACCGTGCACGCTGTACCCGGCACAATCTTGAAAATGCCCTGCGAGCCAACGACAAAGTCGTCGCCGCCTACCTGCACCCGAAGCTTCCCGCTAGCCAGCGTGCACATGCGGGTCTTGGTTGGATCGGCTGAAAAGTGGTGTACTCGGCCGGAGGTGACGGTGATTGCTTGAAAGTTGATGTTCTGCGACACCTGAACCGTCTGGTTGGCGGTGAGGTATGTCGAGGAGAATGCCAATGCTAAGAGAGAGATGTTAGCATATCTAAAAGGGGACGACGACGGGGAAACCAATAATGACATACCCTCGCCCGCCGCATTGACTCTACCATCGTCCATCTCCCAGTCCTCCATGTGCAATACCTTCTCGGTGGCACCGTTCCCTTCCCAAGCGGAAACGCGCGGCTCCCTGGCCGCCCGACCATTTGCGACGGATCGAGTCAACTTTAACGTCACCAACCGCGTGCGCCTCGGCTCTGCCTCATCGGGATGCGGTTCGTCATCCGACTCTTCGCCCTCCCCATCCTCATCACCATCACCGTTCGCTAGAAACAACCGCGCGGATCGCCTTCGCCCAGATAGCTCATTGCTCCACTCAGCATCGGCAGCGATGCCATCACCCAGGTCAGCGGCGCTTTCGTCGATGTTGACCCGCGAACCATGCTTCGACGACCATTCCCAGGCTGATGCCAACCTCCTGAGGCTGCAGGCGGACGAGTTCTTGCGGGCGATGCAGCTGGCGCACGCCCGCGAGCTGGTAGCCAGCCATTGGTACAAATGCTGGGCGGCATCGCTCGGAAGGCTGACACAACAATCGAACGGCCCGTCATGCCGGCGGCATTCACTGCAGGCCTTGGGGTTCAGTTCACCCACAATCTGGATAGCCAGAGCCATGACCTGCTTTTGGTTGAGATCGGAAGGCAGCGTCCCGGGGATGATGTTGAGATCCCGGAGCTTGGGAAGACGGAGGAGCTTCGCGATTTCAGGTGCCTGCCCGTCGGAGACCGAGAGCTCGGGAACAAGTGAGCGGATGTGATCCCAAAGATGGGTTGCAGCACTTTCGGAGCGAGCCCCAGAGACGTCAGTTGAGGCGTCGTTGCTGGTACCGGTTGATGCGGCTCGGGATGCTGTGGCAGAGTCCTTCAGTTGGTCTGCCATGCGAGACTCAAGGCTGTAGAGAGGTAAACGTGGTGGCGGTGGCGGCGTTTCATTCGGCTCAGGGGGGTTATTGGAGACAACGCGGGGAGCGGCGTCGTTGTGTGAGCCCACAACGGAGAAGGTGCCGTCGCCGTTGTCGTTGAGGGAGCAGGATTTGTGAGCGTTCTGAGAGGAGATAATAGCTGTCAGGTTCAGTCCTGTGTGGTGCCTCAATAACATGAAACTCACCATGAAATGGTACCCGAGATTCTTGCGGAATTTACAGGCTGATCGACACGACCTGACGGGACAAACCCACGGGCGGTCAGGGAAGGTGTCATCCAGTTCATAACCATCCGGTATCAGAGCGCCGGCCATGTTAACCAACTGTCCCGTTTCATCTGCGAAAAGAAAGGTGTGAGCGCTTCAGCCAGTGATAAGACGTGCAGCCAGCAATGACTCACCCCACCACTCCTGGTACGGGCGGCCCTCTGCTGCGAGTTCCAAGGCGACGTCGGCATCGACGTCCATGATCTCGAGATCCACATCAGCGCTTTTCCGGACAGAGTTCGGGTTAGGATCAGGCTCGGTCGCCTTGACCCAAAGAATACTTTTGGCAGCCATTCCTCGTGGATAAACAGGTCGCAGGGGCTCGGCGGTAACTTGGGTATTCGTCGGGTCTCGGGAAACGACGACGGCTGGCAAAGTATTGTTGCTTGTCCCCACAACGGAAAAGGTCCCGTCGAGATTGTCATTCAGTCGGGACCCACGGTGATGGCCCTATATAGACATCGTCAGCGCATCTCGGCCTCGAGAAAAGTGAAGCAGGTTTAATACTTTGAAATGATTTCCAAAATCAACGGGCGCCTTGAACAGACGGCGGCAGCTTCGGACAGGACAGATCCAGGGGCGGCCCGGTATTGTTGTGTCGGGTTTGTATCCGTCTGGTATCAAGACGTTTTTCAATGGGACGAGCGTGCCTGATTTATCTGTGGTAATGATTAACAAGACAGGAAGAAGGAAAATAGATACGGCTGCTTACCGCGCCACATGTTATATGGGCGGTCAGGGTTCGCCATATCAAGCCTCCGGCTTTCCCCGGGGACGCTGACTTCGCTAGGGCTGGTGGGCTCGTCGTTGTCGGTCTCCGTGGAGTCGCTGTCTACAGAAAGCGGTTTGGGTACGTTTGACGACAAGCGACGCGGGCCACCTCTCTGGGGGACTGTCGGTTTCGAGGCCGGATGAGCATGCGCCGCCGCATAGTGAAGGGTGGACGGCACCATGGGTGCCTTAGCCAGACTCATCGCTTTCTTAGACACCAGCAGAGGAGGCTTCGGAAACCCTCCGGAGCTCCTTCCATTTCCGTAAGTGGGATTGGCATAGGTTCCGAGATCGGTGAGCGTGCCGTCTTCGTTGTCGTTCAAGCGAGTGGCACGGTGCGAGTTCTGCGAGGCGTCATTATCAATATGGTGGGTGATCAACAGCGAATGCAAACAACGGTGGTCCCACTAACACAAAAGTGTCTCCCTAAGCCGTTTAGACCGGTGAGCATCTTTCTGCATGACCTAACTGGACACACCCAAGGGAAGACGGCATCGTCGGACTTCTTGTACCCAGCGGGAAGCAGAGCGCCGGCGGTTGGTATCTTATCTCCAGATTCGTCTACCAAACTGTGTTAGAAAATAGGCGGGGTGGTCGCTGGCCGTCAGTCTATGACAGGTTTACCTATCCAAATCTTGTAAGAGCGATCGTCCAATGCCGAATCGAACACTTTCTGGACCTCTGGGGGCATTGACGGTTTCGGACTTCTCGTCGTCTCCAAAGAAAAAACCGGAATCTGGGCACCAGACATTGATTTGATGAAGCCCGCGATGGGTAGATTCGGATATGAGCGGGATGATTCCTGGGTACTCTACATTTCGCCCGATAAGTCAGGTGCCAAAACTAGGTACCGGGTGCCTACCCACTAGGTAGATTTCCGGAAAGACGGGAAGGAGAAGTTATGAATTGAATAGAAGCGGCAGAGTGACATACTCTGTTTTCATCTTGGTTAAACGCGGGGGTTGGCTGAGATTGCGAGGTAGGGTGAGAAGGTCCGACCGGAGAGCTAGTTTTTTGAAATGGTTTTCGTTCGGTCTGGTTTAGCACGCCGGGCACAAGACCGGAAGACGGGTGTGAATCATGGCTTGCATGGGTGGCTGGGCTCGGAAAGGATGGAACGGAAGGAGAGGGTGTGGCGTGGTTGTCACCCGGTCGAACAGTAGCAGCGGGACGGCCCGAGAGCGGGAAGGCGCCGCTGTGACCGGTTCGTCTCATTTTGAAAACCGGACGAGGCCGAGGCTCGCTCGATGCCGCCGAGTCAAAAGCATTATTGTCCTGCTGCGCCTGAGACAGGCTGCTTGGACCCACATGTTGTGTTTCTTCAACAGGACGCTTGGGTGGTGCTATTGGGGCCGTTGCTGGCGTTGAAGCTGGATTGAACTGGAACTCAGGGCCCCCAGGCATGGCGACGACTTTTGGGGTAGTACGGTCTGAGAATTTGAGAAACAACGCGCCGTGTGGCGCGAAGAGAGACGGACGTCGTTATCACGATATGCATGCAACGCAGTACGACGGGAGCTGCAAAAACGCGAGTCGCGGTCGCATTTTGGGCTCGGCGAGATCAGTGGGGCGAAGGGGCACGAACAACCCTTACCCTTCGGACTTGGAACCTTCCCAAGCATGGAGGTCTGAATGTAGCCCTAACCCTTGCCTAACTCGAGCCCCTCTCATTCACCCCTCACCCAAAGCCAGCGTCGATGCCGGGCGAGCAACTACCTCACCGACTTTGAGGAGAGTGAGCACTCCGATCCGCAGATTTCCTGGCGTCCACCCATAACTGAATCTATCGCTGCCCATAATGGTCGGCTCACAGCCGCAAAGAGCGCAAATAATCCTCGCACCCTCCCGCCCCGCCATCACCGGCGAGGTATCGGTCTTCCTCGCGGGCACCACAACCAGAGCCTCCAGCCCGGACTGGCGGCAGACCCTCACCGAAGCCGTGTCTCACCTGCCCATAACTGTCCTGAACCCGTTTTGCCCCGGCTGGGACCATACGTGGGGGCCCGCGCGCATCTCGGAGCAGGTCGAGTGGGAGTTGGACATGCAGGAGCTCGCTGACGTGGTGGTCGTGTACTTTGGCCCGGAGACAGACGCGCCGATCAGTCTGTTGGAGCTCGGCTTGTGTGCGCGGTCCGGGAAAGCGATTGTGGCTTGTCACCGAGACTACAGGAAAAGAGTCAATGTGGAAATTGTGTGTCGCCGGTTCGGAGTGGAATTCGTTGACACCGACGGTGATGTGGAGGGGCGCGTCATCAACAAACTCACGAGTCTATTGAGAGGGCCCGACAACGAGTTGTGAAGTCCATTAGAGTCATTTCCATGGGGTCAACCTACCTCGTCATTGAGTTCGGACCTCGGGATGCCCGAGATTGATTGACACTGACTCTGGATGATGCACAATTTGGGAGTGAAGCGACGCATTTGTCTGGAAACACATATCGGAGTCAAATGAGATGGGCGTAATGAGAGGCTTAGCGATTGACTCTTTCGGCTTTTCATTAATGACTCCCTTCTCTGCAAGTTGGGCTTGCGCTCTTTGTGGTAAAGCAGAGTGAGCAGTCAGAGCAATGTGGCCCGTGCCACCACTGGCTTGCGCACGCCATCGGCGGTGGAACCGGCCTTGCAGTGCCCCGCTCCTCCACAATCTGGAACCAACCCGTCGATTTTGACTCATCAAAACTGCCACGCTGACCTTTTAATAGGTCGCCTAAGTCGCTCCCCGACCCCTGCTGACGGCTGAATGCGCTCCCTCACCAAGATCCGAACCTTTTTCCCTTCGTTCAGACCGATTTACACCAAGCCCCGGTTCCCGAGGGCATTTTCGATGGCATCCATCACAGTCCACAACTCGCTGAAACCCGGCTCGCCGGTCCCTTTTGTGCCCAGGGAGGAGGGTAAGGTCTCGTGGTACGCTTGCGGTCCGACTACATACGACTTGAGCCATCTCGGTCATGCCCGCAACTATGTTTCCACCGACATCATCCGCCGTATCCTTATCCATCACTTTGGCTTCAATGTCAACTTCGTTGTGAGTGTCTCCTGTGACTCTCGTCTCGTTGTATGTTTGAAAAAGACGAGAGATCACTAACCTCGCCATAGATGAACTACACGGATGTGGATGACAAGGTTGGTTTGGTCATCCCCGAATCTGTTCCCGGATGGATGCCTAACCCCGTGCTCTGTAGATCATCATCAAAGCTAGGAGGAAGCGGTTGCTCGAGCTCGAGAAAGAGAAACCCCACTCCGCCAACCATCTTAGGGAGCTTACATTCAAGGCGTTTCAGGCTTACGCCGAGAACAACCTCCCTCTACTAACCGGAGCTGAGCAGTCGGCCGTGGACGAGCACAACTACCTGGAACGGAAAGAGGCCGCTTACGGCCATGTTTTGGCAGGCGGTCCCCTATCAGGGGAGGGCAAGCCCGGCGACGCCGAAGCCAAGGTGAAGATGCACCTCGGCAACATGGACTCTGCGGCGAAGTCGCTTAGGGACGGTGCCGGGTTCGACGGCGCCGAGGAGGTCCTGCTTCCGTACCTCGACTCCCTGTACAAGGAAACCATCGACACCAGCGACCAGACCATGTTTACCGACCTCACACAAGCCATGGAGAAGGCGTTCAGCGATGACATGGAGGCCCTGAACGTCCTACCCCCGGATGCGGTGACACGAGTCACCGAGTACGTCCCGCAAATCGTGTCGTTCGTCGAGCAGATCATCACCAAGGGGTTTGCATACGAGGCCAACGGCTCGGTGTACTTCGATATCGCGGCGTTCGAGAAGGCTGGAAACACGTACGCCCGGCTGCGGCCCGAGAGCAAGAACGACAAGGCGTTGCAGGAGGAGGGGGAGGGCTCGCTATCCAAGAGCCTGGAGGGGAAGAAACGGTCAGGTGACTTCGCCTTGTGGGTCTACCCTCCTGGTACCAGTTCTGGTGGTTAGCACTGATAAGCGGCGGTTGTAGGTGGAAGAAGTCGAAGCCTGGTGAGCCGTTTTGGCCTAGTCCCTGGGGTGCGGGTCGCCCTGGCTGGCATATTGAGTGCTCCGTCATGGCGTCGGACAAGCTCGGCGAACAGATGGATATCCACTCCGGCGGCATCGATTTAGCGTTTCCCCATCACGACAACGAGCTGGCCCAGAGTGAGGCCCACTTTCACCAGTGCGAAAGGGGCGAGCACTCCTGGGTCAACTACTTTTTGGTATGTACAACTTCAAAACTTGGGAGCCTCATGATTAGCCACTGACACGCCACAGCATATGGGCCACCTATCGATTGCAGGGAGCAAGATGTCCAAGAGCTTGAAAAACTTCCAGACCATTCAAGACGCTCTGGCAACGACCTACACCGCCCGCAACATGCGCATCGTGTTTCTTATGGGCCGTTGGAATGACGGGGTCGAAATTTCTGTTGATATGCGGAAACAGGCGGACAGCTGGGAGAGCACGGTCGATGTGGGTGCCCCCAAGTCATCGGGAGATTTAGTGTTGCTAACAACGACAGAACTTTTTCACCAATGTCAAGGCGAAACTGGCAGAGGCTGGATCAACAGCGGACGGGATTAAGGGATTGTCTCTCGAGGAAGGCACAGGCTTGACAGAGGAGCTGGAGCAGGCTAAGAAGGATCTCGATTCGGCGCTTCGCAACTCGTTTGACACCCCCGGCGCGATGCAGGTGATCCTGCGGCTGGTCAAGGACGCAAACATTTACATGAACGACAAGTCCGTGCAGCCCAACTTGCAGGCTGTCGAGGCCGTTGCGAGGTGGGTAACCAAGGTTGTCGGCATTCTTGGTCTGGACGCCAGCGCGCGGCCTCCATATAACGGCCTCGGGTGGGCCTCTGCCAGCGCGGCGGCCAACCTCGAACCCAAGGAGGCCGTGAAGCCGTACGCGGAAGCGTATGCCAAGGTGAAGGCGGACGTCGAGGGGTTAAAGCTCGCCAATCCCTCAATCCAGAATCTTCTCCAGCAGCAAACACCGGAGGCCGAATTTGCCGATCTGGAGAAAAGCGGGGAGCGCGACGTGGAGAAACTGGCTATGCCGTACCTGCGGGCAACTTCGAGCCTGCGGGATGAGCTGCGGGCGATTGTTTCGGCCCTCGAGTCTTCAAGCAAACAGGCCGTGCTCTCACTAAGCGACCGTATCCGCGATTATGACCTCACCGACCTGGGCGTTCAGCTTGATGACCAGACCGATAAGCCCAGCTTGATCAAGTTTGTTCCCGCAGCCAAGCTCATTGCCGCGCGCGATGAAAAAGCGGCACTGCTGGCGGACAAGGCTAGGCAAAAGGAAGAGGGTATGTCATGCTCTTGGATTTAACGTACTGATCACTAACATGATGGAACCCACTAGCGCGGAAGGCGAGGGAGAAGGCGGATGAGGAGAAGTGGGCCAAGGCGAAGCTGTCTCACAAGGATATGTTCAAAGCCGACGCCAAGTACCAGGAGTGGGACGCCGAGGGGCTTCCCACTAAGCTCGCGGGTGGTAGCGAGGTGCCCAAGAGCCAGGTCAAGAAACTGAAGAAGGAGTGGGAGAGGCAAAAGAAGCTGCACGAGGAGTATCTCGCCAAGTTTGGTGGCGCCTAAAAGGCGGGCTCTGCCGATATCTCAATCCACCACCCCGGGAGGACCTGCTGGTTTCAAACCTCTCCCTGCGGGGCGGTGTTAGGGTAGCGGTGAATAGACAGGCGATGGTAAGCAATTCTACGATCTTTTGGATTTAGTCGCACAGGTGTCAGGTGGTTTAGACAAACACGCAACTTAGGTTTCGAAGTCGATACGGCTCCTCTCTGCTCGACTTCGGTCTCGCATACAGGTTTCCTGTCTCCTCAAGAAGGTGTAGTACGGGTGAAGACGCAAAAGACCGCACTCTTCAAGCATCAACCGAGGCTATAAACTGTCGCTGTCGTGGGGAGGGCGGAAGCATGGAATCTAGACTTGGTGGTTCACCCTCATGGTCTGGATTTGCTGTTTTGGTAGAGCTCGAAAGGTGCTCTCCTTAAACCTACGCTGAACAGCTACAAACGAAGACGCGCGGATGTAGAGAACAACAGACTCCTGTCATCTGTCCCTGACTGTGAAACGCTGCGTACCAGATCCTTCACCAAGTATGGACAAGAAACCACGATCGCGACGTTGAAAATCAAAGATGTGCGTTCTATATCATGATACAGGGCCATCTGGGTGCGTTCAAGGTCATTACAGCCGCAGTACTGCCCTCAAACACCCGCGGTGACGCTCCAAGCCACACTCCCTATACCACCACCTATGAACAAGGGGGGAACGTTGATACCGATAAACACGCTCTTCTCTAACGCGAGTGGCCAAATATGGGCAAGGGATATATACAGTGGGTGCCGCCGTCAGATGAATCACAAGGATGCGGAAGGCTGCTTGCTCCTGCGCGTGCGCTTGCGCGTGCGCGACAGGCTGCTGCGGACGCAGCCGGGGAGAATCCGGGCGAGCTCTTGCACCATGCGCTTCACCAGCTGCTTCTGCTCGGCGGAAAGAGTGCCGTCGTCCACGCGAGGCAACTCGGCGTAAAGCTCCTCCATGACCTTGTGCATGATGTTTCTCATCGCTTGGGCTACCACCTATGGTTCAGGGTCAGCACGGTCCCATGTCCCGGTGGGTGGGTTTGGGGAAAGTCCACTTACACCCTCGCAGGTCTTGGGCATCTTCTGGTACCTCTTCACCAGGGCGTTGGCGCTGATCCTGACGCCCAGCTGCGTTAGAAATTCCTTTGCGATTGTCGAATACCCAAACCCGGCGTCCCGGAGCGTTCTGAGCAGAGTGTCCTCCGCCAACTCCTTGCGCATGGTCGGGGGGATTGTCGGTACAACCATGGACTGCCCTCCCACGTTGTTGAACGACGTTGCCGGCTGAACGGGGCCCGCGGCCAACGGAGGGGCCGCCAACCCCCCCCCGGTACGGTAAAGCGCCGCCGAACGGGTGTGCGGAGGGGTCTGGGAGGCTCGCGAAGAGGCCGGACGAGGCGTCGGCGTTGGTCCAGTCGGGTGGAACACCGGGGCTGGACCAATCGGAAAAGGTACCATCCGGCCCTGGGGGGACCGGGGTAATGAACTCGGATTGTTGCTGCTGGAAAACTTCATCGACAGCGGTCGGGTGGGTGACCCAGGTGTTGCCATCAGGCGAGTTACCCGTGGCGCCGTCGCTGTCGGAGGCCATGTCGAGATTTAACTCGTACAGGAACTGGTTGTCATCATCACCATGCGTGGAAAGATTGCCATCCATGATGATTGCTGCCGGATAATGTTTAATGTGGCTTGTGTCGTGGGCAGCGGTGCGGGACTGGGGCTGCTCGAGCAGGACCATACCATGGAGACGGTCGAAGTCCCATGTGTAGTAGCCTGTAGGTAGCTTAAATAATAAAGGCTGAGAGTCGAAAAAAGGGGGGGAATCCAGTTCATTCTTTTATAACCCCGAGTTTTGAGGCTCAGTGCCCGTCTTAATGCCTGGGTGTCGACCGGTGAGCATGGGGATTTTCAGTGTCCGGCATGAGGCCAGCGAGGCAGGAAGAGGTAATTGCGCACGCCGCCCAGCCCAATGATGATGTGTTTTGTGTGTTGGCGAGAGCGAATGTGGCGAGGCTTAGGGTGGGCATGATGCCCGCAGCCCATGCGGGCAGCCATGCCCCCTACTGCATGGCACGATCAAATGGGGTTACTCGTCGCCGTGACACGGCACGGAGCCGCATCGCGTCGAGTCGTTGGCGCCCCTGAGGTGTGCCAGATTGGGTATTACCCTAGGTACATACCTATCTGATAATACCCACACCAAACCCCGAGGTCGGGGCGGTGTTCACGAAGGGGACATTCACTTCAAGTTAGGTACCCAACTCGGTCGACAACATAATCTTAGTCTTACCCAGGTAGAATGTTTTAGATAATTACCTCCGCAGTGACTCGGAATAGGAACTGTGGAGTACCGGATCGTATCTTCGGTGCTTTCGTTTCTTTTTTGGGCGTCTTTTCGCCTGCATCAAACAATCAGTGATGATCTTCTCGGGTGCATCGGGCCGTGCATCTCTTTCGCCAGATCGTCCAGTCGGAGAGTGCCGGGCTTTCCCTCGGTCGGTGCCCAGGCACACAGGGAGACGGGCATGGTGCCGCCAGCGGCCCAATGGCCAATGCCTTGGCCCGCTGGCCGTTGACCCCGGTAGACCCACAGGACAGAGCCATCCATTCGGAGCTGGCGACGTCGACCACGTCGACCACGGCTCAAAGCCTTCCCCCGGCACGATGCGCTGGTGTGCGCCAGGAAGAGTGCCTCGAGCCAACGTGGCCATGGCGCACCATGAGTGGCAAACATGCTCCGGTTCTGCCCCCCGGAGGGTGCGCGATTGCGGATCCAAGGGCTCCCGGTAGGTCGCCATCGGTAGGTACCTATCCATACCTAGGTACCTACCTAGGCATCATGCCTCGGATCCCCGGTGCGCAGGAATGAAGTTGGTTCAGAACTCGTTAGTCCAATTCCTTGCCTCGGTAGTGGTCGCCTCAGAGAATCCGTGGAACCGAAGCAGCAGTGGTTTATGGCCTTGTACTCGTCGCGAAAAAGATCGCGGCGACGTTTCCCAAAGTTTGAAGACACAACTTATAAGATTCCCTTGGAGCGCTCTATATGACCGTGAATCAGCCATGGACATTGACAACTTCACGTTGGGTATTTTGTTAGATGCTTAGAGTTACCACTATCGACTCTCAAGCATAGCCCTCCATGTCGCACACACCCACCACGCCAGACGCTCCAGGCACAAGACTGCCGCCTTGCGTCAGGGTCCAGGGACCGCTCACATCTCCAGAACACGCCGACAGCGCGAATCCGTCGACCAATGAGGATATGGAGCAGGTGAGCTTTATCCCCGGGTGGGTCTGACACTGATACTTACCTATTTTTATCATGATCAAGATCATCCAGCGGGCTCTCCAACGCGCTGGTGCCCGGATCGACCTGCTCATCGCCCAGGAGTGCTCCAGGATCGACCCGCTCGTTGGCCAGGAGTTTAGACGTTTTCTCTTCGCCACCCAGGCTCACACGGCGTCAACAACGAATGATGGCGACGCGCAGGCCAAACATGAGCCGCAGACGGAGCTGTCATCGCCGACGGCATCGTCGAACGCGTAGGGATTGAGAACCGGAGCTTGACTCAAAACTATCGGGCTGGCCCCTTTATCAGAATACATGTCACGGTCGTTGGGGGTTGAAGCTTGGGGGGTTTCAAGGGGGACCTAGCTACCTAGTGTTGTTTGTAATGGGACCACTACACATCTCACATGTATTGCGATGTGATTTCAGGTTGAATTGCTGCTCCAGGGCAGCCTAGGTACTCATTTGATAACTACCTATCGCCGGTTGGTTTTAGGTGGAACACTACTCCAGGATGGTTTCGTTTTCGTCTTAGTAGGGCCTACCACCCAAGTAGAGCGAGCGTAGTGATTTGTGCACTTAGTAATTAAACAAGAGTTCCTGCAAGTTCGATAAAAACCGTTGGTATCCAGTCCGTTCAGAGGCCCCGGGGTTGTACATCAGAATGGGGAGTTTCGAAAATAATCATGATACGTACCTCCATACCAAAGGTAGTAGTAGTCAGGAGAGGTCATAGCACTGGCTGAATGCGCCATCGACAGTCATGCAGAGCAACGTTCCTGGTCAGTGCTTGACTGCTTGTTAATGGGAACTGCGCTCTCTCAACCTCGTTTACCGGAGTTTTCTCCACTCACGGGAGTAATCGAAACCTGAAGGATGAGGAGAAGAGACTCAAGGGTCGGGCACAACTGGTTAGCGTCTACGAACAGCGGACGGGATCCTAGTGTCAAGAATGTATTTCCTTGCGAAACCGCGGTCGCGTTGAAGGACTGCGTGGGCGTGAATGAAGTCCATGGAATGGATGACGCCTTCCAATCTCCATTGCCGGCCCCGGTTTGCGAACGCGGACGGGATTGCGTTTTGCGAAATCGGCAATTGTCGGGTGTTTGATTCATTGCTGAATTCATTGCTCAACACCGAAAAGACATGTGCTGAAAGGCATCCAGGAATATCAATCAGGATCTCGGGGTCCAAGACTCCAAGCCACCGACTCCATACCGTCTCCAAAATCCCGCTCCAGGCACCAGAATAACCCGATCCAATTCTGCAGATCGAGGGCGCTAATGCAGGCGCGCCGTTGCATCATCCCCGGCCAGTTTGTGGATCGTCTCAATCGGGCAGGTCTGCCCCGGCCGAGGGCTCAGGAGGGTCTCGTTGCGCCAGGGTTTGCGCGGCGCAGCAGTCTGTGGCAGTCACTGACAGTCCACTGAAATCCTAAAGAGTCGTGCCCACGAGTCACCGATTGTGACCTTGGAGTGGGGTCCTTACCAGCGAGTTTCCGCAACCCACGAGGCGAGGGTTGCAGTGCAGGTTGGCGCCGCTGGGCCAGCACCGCCAGTGGCCCCCCAGTGGCCCTGAGTGCCCCCGAGTGAAATTGGCGGGTTGGAGGGATCAGGAACCAGCTTGACGTGCCGATGAACTGCCTTGTTTTCTTCTGGCCCCCGCAAACGGCTCGTCCGGAAATGCGGGTTGGTGACCGATGGCGAGTTGTTGGGAAGGTGGACGAAACCAACGATACGCTTCCCCTCTTTCTTCTTTCTCTCGTCGTGTGCCTTCCAAAACTTCATCTTCACTTTTCTCCCCTGGCCCAATTCGACTCACAATCGCGGCCAATTAACGCCGCGGTAACCCCCAAACCCCGGCCCTGCGACACGCGGCGGCCCTGAACGCGACCATCACAAAACATCCGCCCAATCGTTGGAAAGGTTCGACGACATGGGGAAACGAAACAAGAAGCCCCCGCCGCGGGTTTACCACGACGGCCTGATCCCCGCCACGCACGACACCTTCCAGAGCTACCCCGAGGTGGTGCCAGACGACTACGACCAGGTCAAGCACGAAAAGAGCTACCCCGAGGTCGCACCCCCACAAGACGACCCCGACCAACAACCACACCAACAACACCACCACCAAGACCCACCAGAAGACCAACGCAACCAACAACCCAACCAACCCAACCACCCCTCCACCATCCTCACCCCCCCAACCGCCCACGGCTCCCACCACCACCACCACGGCCAACTATCCTCCCTCTCCAACAACCTCTCCGCCCTCCCCGGCGGCCTCTCCCCGCTCTCCGCCCCCCCTCACCACCCCCACCACCCCCACCACCACCACCACCACCACCACCACCATCCTCACCCCCACCCGCCACCAACAGGCCTCATAAGCGGCGACCTCCCACGCACGTCAGGCGTGCACTCGCTGCGGCAGGCGTGGAGCGACCCGGGCGACCCGGAGGACCCGCGCGGCGGCGGCGTGGCGCTCGACGCCGACCGCCCGCCGCTGTGGAGGCGGCCCGTGCTGTGGGTGGCGCTGGTCGCGGGCGCGGTGATTGTGGTGCTGGCGGGGATACTGGGCGGGGTGGCGAGTGGACGGGTCGGGACGGCGCTTGATGAGGGGGGGGCGGGGAGTGGTGGTGGTGGTGGTTCTAGTGAAGGGGGTGGTTCTGGGGGTGGTTCTGGGGGTGAAGGGGGTGGTGGAGGGGATGGGTCTGATGGGAGGTTGGTGCTGCCTTTTCTTTGCTCTTTCCGTGTCTTCTTTTTGGTAGTTGTGGTTGTGTTACAGGGGTAGATGGGATGGAAGGTGTGCTTTGGTACGGTGCTAACATATGTGAATAGTGGCTTCTCGACGGCTTCCGTCGCAAACCCGACCTGTCCTGGCTCCGGCAACCGCAACTATACCTCCACTGCGGCGGCAACGATGCCCAAGACGTTCCGGATACAGTGCGGCGCCAACTACCCCGGCGGGGACGGGGCGTTAGGACTCCAAAGCGGCTCCATCGACAGCATCGCAAGCTGCTTTGACGCGTGTGCGCGGGAATCGGGGTGTGTGGCGGCGGTCTTCACTCCGGGGGATGCGGCAGAATGCTGGCTGAAAGAGTTTATTGGGGTTATCGAAACCGGAGGGGACGTTGACGGAATGGTCAGCGGCGTGCTCTGGCAGTAGCTATGGGCAAGTCATGTGGGCGGGGATGTGCTTTCATTTGGGATTGGATGTTGTGGGTGGGAGTATCCGGTTTCTGGGGTTCGGCAGGTGGTGGATCTCTTGTTCTTTGTTTTGATACCTGATCTAGGTGGAGGCTGACCGCTGTACATATCATTCACTTTCTGCCTGTTCATGGCACCTGTATATACCACATTGTTACAACCGTTACCAGGGGAGCGGTCACACAGCCCACCTTCTGGACCGATTGCATTTCATAACATGCTCGATTTCTGTCTACGAACTCATTATGTCGTTGCGCGGCCTAGGTCTTTTGGCAACCACACTTCATCAAAGATCTATATCTTCTCACTCCGCTGGCAGCCGACACAAAACTCTATGCTCGCAAAATCAACAGACAATCCATCATATCTTTCGGCGAACAACATGAATGCCCAGACGGAATCCCAGGCCGATGGCTCGGAGCCGAGCACCCCCACGGACAGTGAGTCTCCCCAGGTACTACGCGCGACTACGGAACGCTGACCGTTGTTTCAGTACCCTTGGTTGAGCTAAGGGTGTCCCCAGCGCCGCCTTCTTACGGAGCTATTGCCATAACGAACACCGAGATTGCAAACGACGCTCCTGATACGAATGACTTGGCGGCAACCAGCGACCGAGGCAATGCAGGTGGCCCTCTGCCGGGCCTTCTGGACATTCTCTTGCTGGAAAATTGCGGGTGCAACATAGAGCGCGATGGCCGAAACTATCATTCCCGCGGCTGCGAGCTGCGCTTAGGCTTGATATGCCTCGCCCTGTACGTGGCCACCACCGCGACGTTAGTCGTTATGGTGTGGGCCATGGGTAATAAGACTTGAGTCGTGCTTCAGGGGTCCCTCAGTCGCAGCCATGTGCTTGGTAGCTCTCTATACACGGTTTTGCCCTGCTTGGCTCCCCAATGAGGGTTCTGGTTCTGGGTAGCAGTCGTTCCCGTACCCCAAGAGACCATATCCTTCGACCTAGCATTCATTAGCTCGAGCAAGGTGGCGTAGCGGTGTGTCAATATCCAGAATGGTGTCCCTCACGCCTTTTGTCATCCTCGGCTCGTTGGCCATCATAATTGGAGTTGATAGTACAAATTACTCGACGCTTACTTCGTATTGAACGCTACCGCTAACCAGTACATTGCCTCATAATGTTGCTCGTTCAGTTCACTCCCTCCATGTTGCTACCCCCCCTACTCAGCCTTATGAGTTTGAGTGTGCTCCTCAGCCGAGCCCGAAACAGCATACGCATCGACATGGGCCTGTGCAAACTTGCGAGCCGGCGTCTTGTTCGCAAACAGGATATCCAACTCCTCGTACGTGCGCCCCTTAATCTCGGGCAGTCGGAAGTAGGCCCAGAGGAAGACAATGAACGCGGTGCCGCCCCAGAAAAAGCCCGACTTCCCCTTGAAATTCCAGGCGGTGGGGTTCTGCATATAGCTGTACAGGACCTGCGACACGACGTTGGTGACCTGGTAGGCGGTGCGGGCGAGTACGACGGAAAGCGGCCGCAGCCGCACGCTGGAGGTTTCGGAAGTGATGCTGTATGCCAGCGGCCCGATGGTGAGGGAGTAGATGAAGAGCCAGAAGATGCACAAGCCGCCCGACGGCCAAAGACCCTTCTCGCCTGCTGAGACGTCGAGGATGCCGAGAATGAACAGGATGACACTGAGCATGCCTATTCCACCCACGTAGAGTGTTCGTCGGCCAAAGTAGGTGATGAGCCACCAAGAGCTATTGTTGGGTGGAGAGTCAGCAAAGCCATGGCAGACAAGATAGGGAGCAAGGCTTCTTACGAGACAGTCCCCAAGAAGGCCATCCCCTTGGCACCGAGGCTGAGGTTAAAGGCATTGTACGTCTCCATGCCAGCAGTGGTGAAGAAATAGGTTGGCGTGTAGGCAAAACTGCTCCCCGACAGGATCTGGCCCATGAAAGCTACCATGCAGATCTCAGTGCGGCGCAGATCCACACCGCGGAAACAGTCGAAGTAAGTGGCGCCCTTGGTGACCTCGGCCTCAAGTCTGGTTGTATGCACCATCATGGCGAGCTGTGCGTCGATCTGCTCGTCCGTCTTGTCGCCGCTGAGTCTCCCAATGGACTTCTTGGCTTCGTCCAGGCGGTCCGTACGGACAAGATACCAGGGGCTCTCAGGAGAAAAGTAGGCGATAAACATGAGGGGAAGAGGCCACAACCATTGAATGGCGAAGGGGATCTTGTAGCCCATCTCGCCTTCGATTGGAAGGCAGCCTCGAAGAACACCGCTGGCGATGAGCTGGCCAATAGCCCAGCACAGGTTCACGTAGGTGGTCAAGTAGCCACGCAGATTGGTAGGGCATACCTCGGAAGCTGGAGAGGAGGGAGTAGAGAAACCAAGTCAGTAAACAAGTAATAATGTCTTGATGGTTTAGCCCAGTTCTGGTTTGCACTCACCATACGCAGGACTGAGCGTCGCAAAGACCCCCCAGCATAGCCCGCACATGACCTGGCCGCCTACCAGGGCGCCAGCATTGGGTGCAAAGAAAACGGCAAAGATGAAGACGTTCAGAAGCCCCATGGCTCCGATCATGACCCAGCGGTAGCCGAATTTGGATGCAAGGTATCCGTTCATGAGGCCGCCTTGAAAGCCTCGCTGTTAGCACGACTCAGACAAGGACGCCATCTGTGATAAAACACCGTCAAGGGAAGGCAGGCGTACCGAAGATACCACCAACCGTGCTAGCCATGTTCAAGCCCGTCTGCCACGGAGCCGAGACCTCCCAGTCATCGATTTCGGGGTAATAGTCTCCAAACTTCTTAGCGAACTCGGGGTAAGCAAAGAAATTGCCGATGAGAATGGTGTCGTAACTATCAAGGCAGGGGTTAATTGACTATCATTGCTCAGAGTCAAGTTGTCTTGAGTTATCAAGGGGACATAATAGCCTGCAAAGTGAAACATACCCTTCCATGATGATGGACATGGAGATCATGACAGACCAAAAGACTGCCTTGCGGTTCTGCCGCAGGGCTTGCATCAAGGTCTGGGCGTGCTCCTCATCCGTGGCCTGCTTCGCCTGTTGGAGGGCATTCTGACCAAGCTTCTCCTCGAGATCCTGGTCGACCACCTTTTGGAGGTGGTTGACCTGCATCGTTGCCGGCGCCATGATGACGGCTGCTCAAAGGGACTTGGGACTTCAGGTTGCGTGCTGCTTTGCCTCGAGAGTACTAGGTAGAGTAGGTGGTAGAGTAGGTGCGCACACACACCTCCCGTTGACGGCAGGAAGCAATAAGTTGAGGTTGCATGGGATGGTGGGGAGAGTGAGGGCGGGCTTTGTATGCAATGTCACGTCTTCGATTCAGATAACCCAAGACCATGAAGACCCCAACAGCATAGAGAGGTTGGGGTACTCCGTACCCGTGACTGGTCGGTCGAGTCTGGACCCCGGGCCCCTCGCTAGAGAACGTGGAGGATCGCCTGGAGTGGAACTGGGGAAGGTAACATTGGGCCATCGGGCCACTCTGATTCGTTCCACGGTCAGCATTCCCCCGAGACTGAAGAAGTTGCCCTCCAGGATTGGTCGGACCGTCTCGCTCCGCACACATCCATATCATGTTCATCCACCACTCAGAGCGAACTTGGCCGCAGAACTTGTGCGCATGCATGAGGCCATTCCCTAAAGAAGAGGAAGTACCTAGTCGTCTCCCTCCCGAGGTGCTCGAGCGGGATTGGCCCCGGCTGCTCTCCGGCTCGGCGCCTGCAGGTGGGAATGGAAATCAAGGCTCTTGACGTCTATGATCTAAGCGCCCGTTGCAGTGAACCTTCTCTAACCTTTACCGGTGACATCTCCGATAACCAGGTACGTGGGAACGAGTACAGATTCCCTACGGCTTCCCGCTCGGGAATTCCTGTTTCAGACTGGCTCTTCTCTTCTCCTTGTCGGTAAAGAACCACTGCGGGAGCCAGTCGCCGAATCTATCTTCCCAACTCGGATCTTCACAAAAGCTGATGGGGTCCATGGTGGCCGGGGGTGCTCGCTTCGGGGTCATCAGAGGGAAGATCTTGGCGATGTTGAAATCGGCGATGACGACGCGGAACTGGGCGCTATCTGGTCTGGCGACGAGGAAGATGTTGCGCGGCGCAAAGTCGCCCTGCCCCACGCCCGCCATGGTCAGCCGCATGAAGGAGCTGGCGGCGCGGGCGAATGTGTGGATGCGGAAGTGCTCGGTGCCGGGCAGCTCGACCACTCGGAGCTTGTCCCAGCCGTTGGGGTTGTTGCCAGACTTGATGACAATTTGTGAATCCATTGATAGGGGCAAGTGCTCCATGAGAATCAGCGGCACGATGCGGGTATAGGATTTACCATCGCAAACAAGCTTGAGGGTGGTGGAAAAGGAGCCAAAGAACGCTGGGTAGCAGCCGCGTATGCTCCTGGACTCATCGTCGGGGGTAGCCTCTGCCCAAGACTTGTCGTAAGCCTGCAGTTGTTGGTATGCGGCGGCTTCGATACTATAGTCGCGTGCCGCGTTCCACACCACATCGGTCGGCATGCCCGGGTGGTCGGGCTCCTCGAAGTTATAGTACAACGGGTCATAGATCTTGGCCACGTACTTGGTGTCGTGAACGTCGTTTTCCCAGTGGCATGTCACAACCTGGGCTCCAACCTGGTCGCCGCCCCGTATCAGGGAGTCGATGACCAGCGAGCGCGCCGGTGGGTTCGCGCGACTTGATGGGTTCACAGGGGGCTCATCTAGCCGTAGATCCTTGACGCAGTATCGAGTTTGGGTGAAGTTCACGATATGCCGGTATTGTTCCCACGGCCGGGGCTCTGGATTGTCGCGATAGCTGCCGCCACCGAAAGGGAGAGGAGGGTTGTGGACCGTCACGCCGAATCTCATACGGACCGCGTAAGGACAGGGAGGTTTCTCGTCGTCAACAGGCAGTTCACGAGGTATCATGGTGGCGTGGCGGCTAGTTGAAATTCTGAGAACCCTGGTGCTCTTACAGGAGAGAGACTGAGAGTGTTGGTTGTAGCATGGATGGAACCAACATTGGGCGGAAAAGCCCAGGCCGCCAATGGCGCCGATTGGTGCTGTGGATGAATCTTGGCTGCTTTGGGAGCCACCGTAAGCCTGGGCAAAACGATGAAAAGAGCCATGGCCGTTGTTGTTGAACAAGGTTCTGATTCTCGGCTTTCTGGTCCATCTTCCTTAGCTCGCCAAGTGTATGTGTAATGGATTCAACATAGACCATGCCAATCCCAAGTATCGGACTGGTTAGGGAGCCAGCATGTCGTCGTTAGAGTACTTGACTACCTACCTAGTTATTATGTTATAAGTGGATATATCCCTATTATCCCGAGAAAGTTATCGGGTAGGAGGGTAGAGGGCTACATTATCAATATAGGTACCTAGATATCATTGGAAGTGCATTCTAGTTCTTTGGGTAATTATTTGTCAAGACACCATACACGTTGAATAAGATCCTTGGCTCATTATCAAATGAACGTTAATCCCCTGACTTGGGGTTGGATTGTGTTCCACAACGTCGTCATCGCCCCGCAGCGTTCCAAGTCTTCCCACTTGGCATACATAATGGAGTACGTACGCCGCGGGTTAAAAGATATATATCCGTATAAAACCGTGCGGACGTTGTGTTCGTTTATTTCTAGATCGCCATCTGAAGATCGACAGGCGGGAGATCGACAACTCTCTTCTCGAAATAAGCAACTACCTACACTACCTTACACACAACAACCCTTACCATCCACAACAATGAGCACCCAACAGCTTGAAGTGGACACGGCGCCCGGTAGACCCGTGGTGCGTATGATGGTCTTGGAGACAGACAAACCACACCCAGAGACCGAGTCCCGTCGGGGTACCTTTGGCGAGATCCTCCACCACCACTTTGCCAAAGCCGGCGATGACCATGACCCTCCCCTCGGCATTGAGACCGATACACGCTACGTTATCACCGAAAAAGGAGGCACCATGCCCAAAGCTCACGAGTTCGACAACTGTGAGGCCCTTTTGATCACGGGCAGCGTGTACGACGCCCACGGCAATGACCCCTGGATCTTGGACCTCCTTGCCCTTCTCAAAGGTATTCCCCACCAACTGTACCTGCGACAATTGTGCGCTGGCTAACACTCCCAGAACTCTGGCTGAAACACCCCAATATGCACTTCTCCGGCGTCTGTTTTGGCCACCAGCTGCTCTGCCGCTTTCTTGGGTCCGAGATTGCCTCCGCCGCGCCTACGGACTGGGAACTGGGCCACTGCAAGATCAACCTCAGCCCCCTCGGCCAGAAGCTCTTCCAGACAGACACACCCGAAGTACACCTTCACCAGATGCACCAAGACTATGTCGTCGCCCCTCCGACCGTCGAGTCCTCGGGGGATTTGCTTGCCCCGGGGACCAAGGTTGAGGCATGGGGCCACAGCGACCATACCAAGGTGCAGGGGATATACATCAAGGGCAGGGTGTTTACGACGCAGGCGCACCTGGCGTTTGACGAGGGCATGGTGAAGCGGCAGATCCAGATGCGCGTCGACGGCGGGAGCATCAAAGACCTGGAGCACGCGGATAGGGCGGCCGAGACAGCCGAGATGGACCACGACGGGGATGTGGCGGCGGCTGCGATCCTGCGCTTCTTTCACGACGAGCCCATTGAGTAGGGAGCTCGGTTGGGTGTAATATGAATGCAGACCTTTTGCTTTTGTTAAGTTGCGTCCAGTAGCTGAGGACATGTATCCCAACAACCTACAACCCCCCTCAGTGACTCGGCCTCCCAAAGTCCTCCAACTCAGCCTCCACACGCATCATCTCCTCGATCTCGGCAAACAGCTTCCCCTCCTCCTCCTCCGACAGCGGCAGCACAGGCAGCCTCGGGATGCCGCCATAGCCATGATACTTTTGCAGCACCGACTTGAACCCGGGGATGGCCCTCTTGGTCATGGCCCAGTCCGCGCGCGCCAGGCGCTGCTGCGCAATACGCGCCTCCTCCCACTTCCCTTCCTCGAACAACTTATACACCTGAACACACGCCCTCGGAAACACATTCGCAGCGCCCACAATGCCACCATGCCCCCCGACCGCCAGCGCCGGCACAATCGCATCCGCAACCCCCGAGAAGCACCTAAACCCACCCCCATCCCTCCCCGCCGTCAAGCTCGCCACCCTCGCCAACTTGCCCACATTCCCGCACGTAAACTTCACCCCCCTAACCCCCACCTCGGCCAACCTCTCCAACAAATCCGAATCCAAATCCAACCCGCCCGCCGCCGCAGGATAGTTATACACCACCACCGGCAAACCGCCCTCAGAACCACCACACCCCTCCACCACCCCCTTATAAAACCCCACCACCACCCCCCTCTCCCGCATCGCCCACCCAAACGCGCTCGGACACAGCACCAACACCGCCGCGGCGCCCGCCTCCCTTGCCTCCCTTGCTAGGGCAACCGTCCCACTTAACGAGGCGTCCGACGCCCCCGCGAGGACGGGCACGTGCGCGAAGCCGGCGGAATCGAGGGCTGTGCGCGTCGCGCGGGCCACGGCGGCGCGTTCGGCGGGGGTGAGGTGTGCGGCTTCGCCGTTGGAGCCGTTGGTTACGATGCCCGTGATGCCGGCGCGGGCGAGGCGGATGGCGTGGGCTGCGGTGGTGGGGAGGTCGATTTTGGTGGTGCAGGGGGTGAAGAAGACTTGGGTGGGGGCCCAGATGCCGGGGGGGAGGGGGTCGGTTTGGTTGGGGCCTGGTGGTGGTGGTGGTGATGGGTGGGCGGTTGGGTTGGGCCGTGGTGCTGCTGCTGCTGCCGCTGGGGTGGCGGGTTCTTGGGGGAGTTGGGACGGCATGGTGGTGTTGGTGTAGTGTCGGAGGGAGAACATCTGGGGGAGGAGGAAAGTGACAGACTCGGAAGAGGGGTGGTGAATTTTGTAATATTAGACACGACAGGTGTTGGTGTACGAATTGGAGTTTGTAAGTTGGGTGGAGAGGACTGACTGCCTTCGCGGTCGAGAACAACTCCCGAGTCATGTTTTTGTTCGACCGCATGGGTCGGGATTGCTCCGCCATACCCGCCATCTTGCCGTACCGCGTTGATCGGGGCCCGAGCGAAACATATCATTGCCCTGCTGAGGTCCAGATCCTCATCGAACACTTCCGTGGAGCTGTCTCCGACGGGGAAAGGCGGCACGCCTCTGATCGCCTGCGCCTAAGCGAGAACCGGGAGATCGGCACTCTTGCGGGGAGAGGCGGCATGCCACGAACTCCCGAAGATGAGGAGCAACCGGGCGCTAGCGACGGGAGTCCCGCAGTCTCCACAGCCCATGAGGCCACCCCCGAAACCACCACACCACCACACCATCACTCCCGTAGTGCCGTGGGGGTGGGTTGCGGGACTGCGGGTGATGGAGCCGCCGCCCAAAGTCTCACATGGTAATACCCTAATACCCCACGGTGAGACCAGCGGGGTTTGTCGGGGTTGACCGGTCAGTGATGGTGGGTTTCGAAGAAGCATCAGCGGGACTGCGGAATCCGCCGCGATTTCCACACTTTGCGACCGCTTATTCCGCCGAACCCAATACAAAAGTCCACCTCCTCTTGACTTCCTCCCATAAGACCGTGAATCAACATCTGAAGTCTGAACTCTGAAGAACCAGCCGCCCACTCCCAAACCGTCCCGCATCACCACCCAACCTCAGCCCCGACTCCCTCCCACCACACCAATCACAACCACAACCACCCACACACACCCATCACCACCCATCACCACCCATCACCACCCACAACCATCACCATGGGCTCCCACCCCGAACCCACTGTCGACAACGTCGAAATCGTCGGCTTCGAGGTGACCGACCTGCGCTTCCCGACCAGCCTGGACGGCGTGGGCTCCGACGCGATGCACGTCGGCACCAACGGCTCGCACCCGTACGTGCGGCTGCTAACCAACCACGAGGGCCTCGTCGGCGAGGGCATCGTAAGTTCTCTCACCTCCTCCTCCCTCACATCCCTCGTCATCATCATCATCTAACCACCACCTCCCCACCCCGGTACAGGCATTCAGCAACGGCCGCGGCAGCGAGCTCATCACCCTCGCGCTCGACATCTTCGCGCGGCGCGTCGTCTCCAAATCCATGTCCACCCTCACCCGCAACATGGGCAAGACCTGGCGGTACATGGTATCCGACTCCCAGTACCGGTGGGTCGGGCCCGAGAAATCCGTCACCCACCTCGCGGTCGCGGGCGTGCTGAACGCGGTGTGGGACCTCTGGGGCAAGATCCTGCGCAAGCCCGTCTGGCGCATCGTGTGCGACATGACGCCCGCCGAGGTGGTGCGGTGTATTGACTTTCGGTATATCACCGATGCGGTGACGCCCGAGGAGGCGGAGGCGATGCTGGAGCGGACGCAGGTGGGCAAGGAAGGGAGGATGGCCGAGGCGTTGGCTAATACGGCCGTGCCGGCGTATACGACGAGTCCGGGGTGGTTGGCGTTTAGTGGGGATCGGATGAAGGAGGTGCTGGAGGAGACCATCGCGCAGGGGTTTACCGTGTTCAAGTTCAAGGTTGGGACCAGTGTGGAGGCGGACCGGGAGCGGTTGAAGGCGGTGCGGGATGTGTTGGGGTATGATAAGGGGTATCAGATCATGATTGATGCGAACCAGGTGAGTTCCATTGGTGGGGTCTGTCTGGGGGGCTGAGACAGGAAGCTGACTTGAGATTAGGTCTGGAGCGTGCCCGAGGCGATCGAGTACATGAAGCATCTGGTCGAGTTCAAGCCGGTCTTTATTGAAGGTTCGTCTTTTTTTCCTACTTCCCACCTTCCTAGATCCCCCGCTGACCCCCCACAGAACCCACAAACCCCGACGACGTCCTCGGTCACGCAGCCATCCGCAAGGCCCTCAAACCCTACGGCGTGGGCGTCGCCACAGGCGAGGCTGCCCAAAACCGCGTGACCTTCAAGCAGCTCCTGCAGGCCGAAGCGACCGACGTGGCGCAGATCGACGCGGTCCGGCTCGGCAGCGTCAACGAGTGCCTCGCCGTGATGCTGATGGCACTCAAGTTCAACGTGCCCTGCGTGCCGCACAACGGTGCCATGGGCCTGACGGAGCTGACGTCGCACCTCAGCCTGATCGACTACGTGGCCGTCAGCGGCAAGCGGTCCATGCTCGAGTTCGCCGACAGCCACCGCGAGAACCTGCGGCACCCGTCGCAGATCGTGGACGCCCACTACGTCACGCCGCTCCAGCCTGGATACAGCATCGGGTACACCGAGGAGGCGCTTGAGAAGTACACGTACCCGAACGGCAGCTTCTGGAGCAGTGAGATCGGGCAGAAGATTATTGCGCAGCCGACGGGTGGGGAGTTGTAGTGGCCAACTGATTGGTTTGGTTTGGCGTTGTGGCGTTTATCATGTACGCGAGTTGTTCAACTAAGTGCAATTCGATAATAACCTCTGCTTTCTCTGCATCTCTTCCATGACGGAGACTACCATCTCCAGGCTGGAGCCGTGGTAGGCCCAAGGTTTCACGTTGTTGATTGCCAGGGTCTGGAGGTCATCAATGTCGCGTACCAGATGGGAGAGGGCAGGGTTGCGGTATGCCAGGGTGAGGACCACGAGTGCCCCTAATGAACTGCCAGAAATGTCAACAGAACTGTACTTTGTAATGGAAGAAAAAGGAAACACTTACGATAAGGAAAAGGTCCAGGTGTACTGGCTCTGCTTTGCGAGGATCTCCGTGGTATTGCGCAGGTAGGTCCGGCAGCTGTCGATGCACACGCCGGCCTTCTCCAAAACAACGGCATTGTCCACATGCTGAAGGTCGTTTGTGACAATGTAGAGGACAAAGGGACGGTGTATAATGTGCCTCGCCGCGTAGTAGCGGATTCGCAGTATCGACTTGCGCTCGTGTCCCGTGGGGGCTGTGCCCAGTGCCGGCCGAGAAGGTTCCGGGATCGACTCGTACCAGGAATTAAGTTGCCGGTAGAGCTCATCGCATACCGAGGTCACGGACGCGATCTCGGCGGCTGAGAACTCGTCGACCGCAGTGAGTGAGGTCGAGGATAGCGAAAGAACATTCCGTTTCCGCGGATAGAGCGAGTTGTGCACGCGGTTGAGCAGACGGCGGATCGAGATTTCGGCGAGGCTGGTTGTTGACTGCGACTGGTCGACGTCTCTGAAGCTTGGGAGGCTGGTTTGGTCTATGAGTTGTTGCAAGCCGCTCTGGGGCAGCTCTAGCTCGGCCAAACGGTCACACTCGACGAGGAAGCAGGACCAGAAAATGCGGAGGATGGCCTCCCTCGAGGCCTCGTCACCATCACGAGTGGGTAACCTACCATAATATTATTAGTATTAGCCGAGAAAAATGCGCATTGTCTGTCATGGCGCTCTTACCGACACAGTTTGAACTGCAAAAGTGAAGAAGCAGAATACACGAGTCTCCAGCTCTGCAGCGGGCGGATAATGTAGGCAAAGTAAACACTCGCCAACACCAAGGCCTGTGGCAGTAGCAGGCTATAGTTAACAGACCAAGACGACATGGAGATCAGCGTTGGAAGCGCGGCCTGCATGTATAACATGCCCGGTGGCGATGATTCGAACCCGTGGGCGCCCGGTGGTGCCATCTTTGCGGCGCCCAAGGCAAACACTACAAGACACAAGATGGATTCCATGCTCCAGGGGTCCGAATAATAATTCTCGAGGAACCCTTGGTAGATACGGTCGAACTCGACCTTGTCGAGTATGGGGTGGCTGTGGTAAACATGAGAGAAGAATGTGGACACGAAGCAATCGAGGACATCCTTGGACAGCTCGGCGGCGGTCAAGGGATTCATCGACGGAGGGGTAGGATGCGCTGGCATCTCTGGGGGCAGCGGATTCCGTGACTCGAGCATGAAGAACAGGTCGGCGGGATATTCGCCTATCAACTGCTTCATGGCGGGTAGGCGAAGAAGGTAGTTGGACGACGTCTTGTGGCCGACGGGGATAGTCAGCGGAGGGAGCTCCGCGTCAGCCATCCCGGGCAGTTGGGATTGCTGCTCCATGCGCATAGGTAACGGCCATTGCTGAGAGGATCCGGCGCCGGCAAGATCGTGAGAGAGAATCCGGGCGGCCTGAAGAGTTGAGGCTTGGCTCGCCGGGGAGGTGGCGGATAAGGTAGGCGACTGAGAGACGATGGCCTGGACTCCGGAGGTGAGCGTAGAGATGCCGGGCAGGTGGTGTTGCAACATGGCCTCGATCTCTTGGAGGCGATTAATGATCTCGCGACTGCCACCGCTGGAGTCGATGCGCTGCGAGGGGGTGTCATCGTAGCGGCAGTCGACGTCGGCCTCGATGCAATTGCGACACGATGGTCGCGTGGCATCGCATCGCCGTTTTCTGTGGAACAGTGGAGGAGTGGATGAGTAATTCGTTCAATTTCTTGGCCATGAAAGGCGGAGAGGGAGAGTAAAATTACCTATGGCGGCAAAAAGTGCATGCCAATGCCACTCTGCGGCGGTTGAAGCTCATGATGGGGAATTGACGAGGCGCGTTTTTCCGTTTGCGGGCCGCTTGCCGCGATCTGGAGCAAGCGATTATGGGGGTTTGTGGGGGAGAGAGGGGAAACAGCGCGTGGCAGCGGGAGCGGTGGAACATGAGCGCTGGCGCACGATCCACACAGGGGAAGGCAAGGATGAACCTTCCAAATTCTCGGGCATATTGACGGGCATTCGGGTCGCCCAAAACAGTGTGAAAAGATTTCATGACGCGGCGCTCATTGCTGCATCGTTCCAAGTCTCAACAATTCTTATTGAAATTTCATTTTTGCACACATTTGCTTGCAACATCAACATGCGACCGATGTAACGATAGGTACCCGGTAACGATGTAATTATGGATTATCCGAACAAGACGGGCTTGTGAAACAAAAGACTTCGACAACATCCAAAACACGATCAAATACAAATAATATCTTTGATCTCCACTGCAATCACACACACCTAGACCACCTCCAGTCCCGCTCCAGATCTCACACTCCACCATTTCCACGCTCCCGGTCTAGGTGCGCCGACTTGACGTTTTCAATGTCCTTCTCGTCCAGCACACCACCGGCACTGCCCATCTCAGCCGCCGCGCCCTCACCGATGCGCCTGGCTTCGGCATCAATAAAAGCCTGCGGGCGGCGGCGCTGCGTCAGCTCGGGCTTGTTAAAGACGATGGCGCCAGGGTTCGACATGAAGATCTCGTCCATGTCCTCGAGCGTGCGCCGGGAGGTCTCCGGGTACAGGAAGAAGACGACGGGGAAGTAGGCCCAGCAGATGACGGCGAAGAGGAGGTAGAACCCCCACTTGAGGTTGTCGACGCCCACCTTGGTGAACTGCGTCACGATGAAGCCGCCCATCCAGTTGGTCGCCGTCGCCGCCGCCGCGCCCCGCGTGCGCCACCCGAGCGAGTTGACCTCCGAGTTGTACACCCACGGCACCTTGGCGAAGCTGGTGCCGTAGAAGAAGTAGTACAGGAAGAACATGGCCGTCGTAACGTCGCCCATCTGTCGAGGTTAGTAGGGGGCCATCATAAGTTGAGAGAAAGGAGAATAAAGGGGGAAAAGCTCACCTGTTTCTTGTCGGCCTGCCCACTCTGCGCCGCTCGGAGGCACATGGCCGCCACAAGATAGCAAGCACCCATCGTGGTAGAACCGTACAACATCATCCTAGAGGGGGAGTTAGCAGGGGGGAAAACGTGACAAGGACCCAGAAAACACTCACTTCCGGCGGCCAAACCGATCAATGATCAGGATACAGCACAGCGCCGCGCCCAGATAGATAGTCCCGTTAACACCCGTCATGAGGCGCGACATCTGCTCATCAAACCCGACACTCTGCTGCAAGAGGGTGGGCAGGTAGTAGCCCAGCGCGTTGACGCCCGAGAACTGCTGCATGAACTGCGTGCCGCACGACAACAGCAGCCGGCGCAGGTTCTGCTGGCGGTCCTTGAAGCGAAGAACATCGCTGAACGCGGGCCGGTCCTTACGCTCGTGCTCCATAGCGGTGCGGATGGAGAGAAACTCGGCCGTGACGGCCTCGTCGTGGACGGTGGCGTCCTTGGACTCGAGCCGGGCGATGACGGCGAGGGCCTCTTCGTGGCGGTCCTGCAACAGCAGCCAACGGGGCGACTCGGGCACGAACAGCAGTGCGGCGGTGACGATGACGGGGAAGATGAGCTGGAAGCCCAGCGGGAAGCGCCACTGCAGAGCGCCGCCCGAGAAGAAGAGGCCGTAGTTCATCCAGTTGGCGAGGCAGAAGGCCACCGTGTTGCACACGCTTTGCACGACGACCAGCTTGCCGCGCACGTTGGGGCGGGAGCACTCGGCCTGGTAGACGGGGCAGGTCGACGAGGTGAGACCTGGCGGGGGGGAGATTGTTAGCTAATGTGGTCCAGACATCGTGGGAAGCGTGACGACTCACCCATGCCGAACCCGTTGATAACACGGCCGATAATCATCTGCGGAAGATGCCATGCGACAATCTGAAGGATGGCACCGACGGCATTGCAGACAAGGCCGAGCGCGATGGTCTTTTTGCGGCCGAGCTTGTCGCCAAGGGTGAAGGCGAAGATGGCGCCGCAGAAGGCGCCGAGCTGGGTGGCAAACGTGTAAGTCGACGTCTCCCTCAAGTTTACCCGCGTTCACGTACCGAGAAGCAGCTGGATGTGATGCCGGAGATACTGGCTTCATTCGTTTCGGGGAAATAATGCTTAAAATCGGCCGAGATCAGCACGCCCGAGAAAACTCCCTGGTCGTAGCCAAACCATGACATCGAGGCTGTCAGAACGCGACGTTAGTCTCCATTCCGCAACATGAGCAAGGCGGGGTTCTGTTATCTTACCGGCATTAACCAAGGTGATGCAGGCAATCAGCCAGTTGCCGCTGAGGTTGTTGAAAAACCCCATGTTGTTTGTCGAGGCAGTCAACGGCGAACGGTCGTTTAACGCGGTGTGACGATTGCGATCCCTTGACTCTGTGACTGGGGGTGAATGAAGCAGCGGATCAAGGCTTCATATAGACAGCGAGCTGCTGTCTTGAGGAGTCGAATCGAACCAGTGGCCGCCGAGTCTCCCTAAGCGCGTCTACGGCTACTTCGGTGTTCCTGGCCTTTGTCATCTGATGCCACGGTCGCGAGTTTTCAGTGCCTGTGCTTCTGGCCCCTGCTCATCACGACGTTCCAGGGTAGGGTCCGGGGTTGTGTTCCAGGTTCGCGTGGCTCCGGCAACCGCGTGCTCAAGCGTGTGAGGGTGGAGTGACGGTGGAGTTCTCCCCATGGGGATATAACGGGAAAGACATGTGGGCCGGAGAGTCGTTAGTGCGTTTCCGGAACAGTCAAGAAGTCCATAACTGGGCGGGATTTTCGCTGTTGGGTCGGTGTTGGTCCAGGGGTTCCCAGCGTACCATGCGGGTGTCGGCGGCAGTGCTCCCGCCTTAAAGCCGGCCTTCTACTTGGGCGCGGGGAGGCGGCACAAGCGGGACAGGAGGTGAGGAGTTGGATGCGAACGGTTCCCATCTCCAAGTAAACCGCCGATGCAATAACCGGACACATCGAGCTTGGGGGCCAATAGGCAGACCACCACCACGGAACGGGCCAGAAGCAGAGGGCCATTGTCCGAGGAACTCTCGAATACGTCGTTCATCTACCTTCACGCGCAAGCTCCTGAGACACGAACCAAGGCCGAACGGCGTCAACGCCCTCACACACGATGTCACAGTTACCGTAGGCAGATACGCTCGTCCCACTGAATCTCATCCCGCTAATCTGAGCAGACAATACGTTCTTGTCACCGGCGCGACTGGCTTCATTGGCGCCCATGTTGTCGACCAGCTACTGGACCGGGGCATCAAAGTCCGTGGCACGACCCGGTCACTCGCCAAAGGCGATGCCATGATCAAAGCCAGGCCGCAATACGCCGGGAAGCTCGACTTTGTACAGATCGATGATTTCGACAAGCTCAAAGATGGCAACGAACAGTCGAGCATCTTCGACGAGGCCGTCAAGGGAGTCGACGGCATCATCCACACCGCAAGCGTATGGCCCCCCTCCCTTTTTCCCAACCACGCCCTTCTGCACACACCACTAAACCACCATACCTCCCAGCCCCTGACCTACAACACAACGAACAACGAAACCGAACTTATCCTCCCCGCCATCAACGGCGTCCTCGCTCTCCTCAACGCAGCCGCCAACGCCACCACCACCACCACTCCAAACCCAACCCCCATCCGCCGCGTAGTCCTCACCTCCTCCTTCGCCTCCGTCATGGACACCACCCGCCAAACACCCCCCTACTTCACCTACACCGCATCCGACTGGAACCCCCTCAGCTACGCCGAAGCCGCCGCACCCACCACCAGCGCCGTCATCGCCTACCGCGGCTCCAAGAAATTCGCCGAGCTCGCCGCGTGGGACTTCGTCCGCGACCGCAAACCCGGCTTCGACCTTGCCACGCTGTGCCCGCCCATGACCTTCGGCCCGGTCGTGCACCCGGTGGAGAGCGTGGATAAGCTGAATGAGTCGAATGCCATGCTGTGGAAGGTGGCGAGCGGGGTTCGGCCGCTGCCGGTGGCGCGCGTGCCGTTCTGGGTGGATGTGCGGGATGTGGCGAAGGCGCATGTCGAGGCGTTGGTGCGGCCGGGGGCCGGGGGGAAGAGGTTCCTGGTGGCGGCGCCGGAGAGGTTTACGTATGGGGTGGCGGCGGGGGTTGTGGAGGAGGGGTTTGCGTGGGCGAGGGGCAGGGTGGTGCGGGAGGAGCAGGTTGTGGATGAGAGTCATGGGGTGGATGGCGAGGCGGCGGCGAGGGAGTTGGGGTTGGAGTATAGGAGTTTTAGGGAGACGGTTACTGAGCTGGTGGCGCAGGCTGCGGGGATGGAGGGGGCTGGGCTGTGATGATGCCGCTGTGGTGTGGTTGATGATGGTGTACACCGAAATGGCATTATTGGGTTTCTGTAACCACGTATCCTCCTCTGACGGTGTACTATATGGTTCAACTTATGAATGGTATTGAGCAGGTATACAGGGGGCTTCAGCTAATTACGAATGGGATATGAGATTCTCGGTGATTTTTCATCCAGGCTCGACGAAATTTGCCTCACTACATGTACCCAAGTTCGCTGCGCACTGCAGGCACCTTCACACGGTAACTCAAACATTATGTTCATTTTACTCCGCCTTCTCCCAGATATGGCTCCGATATAGAATTATCATGATCCATCCCGCCTCCCCGTTTCCCGCCCTTGTTTCCTGGTCAAGAGAGTTTCGTAGTTGGATGTGGCTTTTAGACTACCCATCCTTGCTCCTAGCCCGACAAATAGAACATATTACCGAGGCTAAGTTTCTTTACAAGACAGCCAATCCAACGATGGGACCGGTGACCCCACCGTCCCGAGGAGGTGGGACGCTATGACAAGTGCTAGTGGGTTCGAACCTTAGCGGGGAGAGGCGGCATCACCATGCCGCTTTGTCCCGAAAGCCGAGCGGGCGGAGGCGGCAGCATTGTGGCCGCCATCGGCGCATGAGCAACATTCGACTCCATTTCAACATGCACACATGATGTGTTGGAGCCGTTATCAAAGAAAACCATGTGTGCCGCAAGGGAAAAAAGTCCGGCCGAACCACTTTGTTCATCTGCCGAGGTGATACTTGAGACCCGACGTTTAACAAGTAGCACACAAAAGTCGAAACTGAGAAAAACAACGCCACCAGAAAACGAAACTGAACCACACTATCGCCATGTATCCCGACTCATTCGAGGGTTTCGCCATCCCGGCGGCGGACCAATACACGCAGCCGCGTCGGATAGAGGTTCGAAGCGGCACCCCTGAACCCCTGAAACACTACTCACGGGAAGACCTCAACTGACCACGGCAATAAATCCAGTTTAAGCCTAAGCCGTTCGGCGACTACGATATCGACGTCAAGATCACATGCTGCGGCGTATGCGGTTCCGATTTACACACAGCGACGGGAGGATGGGGAAACGAAAACTGGCCCATCATCCCTGGTCATGGTAGGCTCTGTCCGTGGAAGTGACTGAGAACACGGCTAACAGGGTAAATTCTGCCAGAGATCATCGGAACCGCAGTCAAGGTCGGTCCCAAAGTGACTTCGGTCAAGGTTGGCGACCGCGTGGGCGTAGGTGCCCAGATCTCTGCCTGCTTGGACTGCGCGCAGTGCAACGAAGGCAATGAGACATACTGCAAGAAGCAGCAGGGTACGGCACTTCCACCCACCCGCACCTCCACAGCCATAACCCAGCGTTGACCGCGTGTTTATCAGACACATACAACTCGTTCTACCCCGACGGCACGCTCGCCCAGGGCGGCTACTCCTCGCACATCCGCGCCCACGAGCACTTCACTTTTCCTATCCCCGACACCCTCGCCTCCGAGCTCGCCGCGCCCATGCTCTGCGCCGGTCTGACAGCCTACTCGCCACTCGTCCGCAACGGCATCGGCCCAGGAAAGAAAGTCGGCATCGTCGGCATGTACGTTCTCCAACCCCCTCTCTCCCCCCTTTTTCACCCCCCCCAACCCCATCACTAACCACCCCTCCCCTCCCCTCAGCGGCGGCATCGGCCACTTCGGCATCCTCTTCGCCAAGGCCCTCGGCGCCGAAGTCTGGGCCATCTCGCGCGGCACCAGCAAACAGGCTGACGCACTCGCCATGGGCGCGGACGGCTTCCTCGCCACCTCCTCACCCGGCTGGAACCTGCCGCACGAGATGACGTTCGACATGCTGCTCTGCACAGCGAGCGCCGACGACGGGTTCGACCTATCCGCCTACCTGAGCCTGCTGCGCGTGCACGGGCGCTTCGTCAGCGTGGGCCTGCCCGAGGGCGAGGGCTGGCGGGTGCGGCCGATGGCGCTGCTGGCGAACGGGTGCCTTATCGGGGCGGCGCATCTGGGCAGCCGGCAGGAGACGCTGGAGATGCTGCGGCTGGCGGCGCAGAAGGGGATCAAGAGCTGGGTGGAGACGATCCCGGTTGGGGAGAAGGGGGTCGGGGAGGCGCGTGAGTATTTCCTGCTTGGCTGGGGGTTGAGTTGATCTGCTGACTTTCTCTACCTAGTGGAACGGCTGCACAAGAATGATGTGAAGTATAGGTTTACGCTGGTTGACTACGACAAGCAGTTTCAGTGATAGTGTTAGAACTGCGAGCCGAAAGGGGTCATGGATGGATGGGTATCAAGGACATCTTAGATTGTTAGACTGGCACTATTAGAAGAATAACGACTAGAAAAAGGTCCAAACCTGCCCGTTACTGGCGCATATTTCCTCCGCACTATGACCACCTCCACATCCACACCTTAACCGGTGTGCGGCAGGAAGGTGGAAATTATGGTGTATGATGTTAATGTATTAACGGCGTCCTTTTATTTTGGCTCGGCAATAATCATTCGACAGACTGGATGCGAGAAATGTAGCGTACAAGTGGTTCGTCTCTCATCATTGAAATTGCAAGCCAAATTGTACATGTGTTTTGATGTCCCAGAGAAATCAACGAGGCCATTCCAGCAAAGGTGCAACAGATTCACACTATGGCCCGCCGTTGTACCTAAGCCGCCCTTAGTTGTCACCGTCGCTGCTCCCAGAAAGGTCATAGAAGAGTGATTTCCGTCGGGCAACCGTATTCGGGGAGAAAGTGTAGCTGATTCCGCTATGTTCGTCCTGTTCGTTTGCCGGTTGAGACAGGAGCTTCGGATTTCCCACCAAAGACGTTTTGACAGCCTCCGGCTCTTCGTCATCGCTAATAGTGATCCCGAGCATGTTTGCTGGTGGCGATGCCCGTGGTTCCCATTGGTCCATACCACGGTAAGCTCCGACGTCGCTGGATGATGGCCCAAGTCGAAGTGTGCCTCTAGGTTCGTCTGCCGGTGCCATCTGGAGTGTTCGATATTGACTGCCCGGGAGCTCGGTTGGGAGACGCGGGAGACCGGCGTGGGGAAACTCCATCACGGATAAGGGTTCGGGCGACAGAGAGATCCCGTCGAGCCATTTGAGCGGATCAGATGACAACAATGGGGACCCATCCTCCATATTCCACTCTTGTCCGGCCGATTTGCTGTCCAGCGCGTGAAGTCGGTTATCTCTTGCAGCCTGAGTTCTCTGACTCAAAGACTGGCTCTGACTAATAATTTGGGTCGGGGGCAAACTCGACGCAGCGTTTTCGAATAGTTGCTTTCGCGTGTTAGATGAATAAACGAAGGGCCTTTCTGAACAAGACATACCGCAGGCCGCTTGGGCTTTCTCTTGGTGGCCATTCCTTTACGTGAACCGGGGAGGTGGGTGCTTGCGGCGTTCCGGAAGAGCCCATCATCCGGATTTATACCTACTTCTATTTCACCAACTTTCCCCGCGACGGCGTGATTTGAGGCATTCCTACTTGAAGGGAGTGTCAGCGGTGGAGAGAGCTGCGCTGCTCCCGGTCGTCGCGGCGGCGGACTCGGCTTTTTGTCTTTCCTGGCGTTTGAAGTCTTTGTTCTTTTGCGTTTCCTTTCGGCGTGCGCTGTCTGAGCCAGCGCTGGGCGGCTTAAGGGGCCCTGGGAAGCTTGGTTAACGGGATGGCCAAGGTCGGGCTCTGGACTTGTTTCGAGGACGACATCTCCAATATCGGGAGGGGACAGTGGCATGATCCTAGACAAGTCAGTCGAAGCAAACTAGGGTAGCTCAATACGGTCACTGACTCGAGGCTCGTAATCCTCGCATATGCATATCCATGTTGTTGCTGGAGGCCCAAATTGGCGTCGTCGAAATCGGTACGATCAAACTTCCAAACGCCGATTGGGGGATCATCGAGTCGGTCCGTAGCATGAAATGCCAACGTCCAGTGGAGAGGTCCTGCCATCGTTAACGTCAGTAGCCGATTGAAGATCGGTGTAGCCAGACTTTTCGGACCTGTCTGCGAGGAGAGTCGGCTGAGATAGTCTCCTAGGTTCCAGAGCTGGGAGTCGGTATTCGCCACGTGTTGCTTTCCTGTCCCTGCCCTCCAAACATCCAGTTCATATCTGCCGTCGTCGTGATACTTGAATGCGACGGTGTAATACTCGAGCAGGCAGTTTGCTTCCCATGTTGTCGTCCGCAGGTAGCTTATCCGGAACTTGACGAGATCTTCGGTTTCGATGATGGGAAAGATGTCATCTCTCTGTGCACAGGACATCGGGTTAAGTTCAGGGTTTCGGGAGGGGAAAAGAACAAAGCATACCATGATCCCCAGGAAACGATTAACTCCATAGTGCTTGCCTTGCCGTATGAATAGCGTGCTACTCTGATCTCTCAACAGTTCTTTATCATGCGCTTCGATTTCAAACCCGGATCTGACGATGTCATCGAACGAACGGGAAACAACTTGTTCAAGTGGCAACAACTGGAAACAATCGGGTGGAAAGGCCCGCCTGCGCATGTGAGTGTTGGGTTCCGGCGGAGGTTGATTCGGGTGCTGTTTACCTAGCATATAACACCTGGCTTATCTACTGGAAGGTGAGTCGACCTGACCAAGCGGACCATGTCACCACATGACGGCGACAACTTACTGCTGCACCAAACACAACTTTGCACAGCTCGAAATCGCGTTTGGCCGGCTGCTCGCGCACGGTGTATGACTTTGCGGACGGTTTAGGCATGGTGACACTATGATCCGAGAAAAGAAATACGGCATGGGCGGGAGGTCGTCACTCGCGCAATCTTGGAGGGCTCACTGGGGGCGGCATGAAGAATTTTATCCGAAAAACAGGTGTGGACATCGGGTGGTCGGAAGCGGGGAGCCTGAGCAGCGAGGGATATGCACGATTTGAGGGAGGAGAGGAGAGGCAGGCACGAACGGGGGCAGATGCGAATGGGGCAGGTGCGGATGGTGCGGACTGAGGAGGGCACAACCCAGATACCTACGGTAGGTACGACTTTTACAGCTTCCAAGTGTCAATTTTCACAAAATTCAGCAGACCGTGTTGACGCGAGTTCGCCTGGGCAGCGTTCCTTGGGGCTTTAGGGTGTTGACTGAACGCTATAGTACGGATCGAACAAGATATGGTGTGACCAACGCCTCATGATAGAGGTCCTCCTTAGACTCAAGCTATCCTCCCATGTTTGTGTGCATTTCTTGCGCCCACAATACCTGCTAAAAGTACTGAGTTTGTCGGTAACAGAGGGACTGGTACGCTAGCACTACCAATTGAATGTTTGTTATGGGGTTGAGTCTCAACGTTGACGGGTGTTGAAGTATCCGGGTTGGGTTTGATCTCCACCCGGAATCGTGAGCAACAACGGGGACCGGGGTTGTGGTGTTTTATACGCCGAGGTTCTGTTGAGAATCGCGATGATCAGGCAGAGAAGTTTGTTGATCAGCCAACCGCAATGCAAAAATCGAAGGAGCTGTACGAGGGACCTCTGGGGCCTCGAGTCGCGATCATGTCTCACTCGATGGGCCCGGGTAGTGTAGTTAATTTTAGTTTCATTTTCCAGTATGTCGGCGAGAGGTCAATGGAAGGTCTGAAGAGACACCGTACAGTAATACCTTCAGTGCCATGCTAGATTTGAAACAAGAAGTTCTCCTTTATCGTATGTATCTCAGATTCGGTCTTACCCTAACCCCGACTTTCCTTTTCTTCCAAGTCGGGATAGCGAGGAAGTCGAGTTGAAGCCAAATTATTAACCTCGCTTGCTGTACATGGCTTATTGTGTAGTGATGTACTTGGCCGAATTTCCTGTCTGAACGGTTTTCAGGTTTCAAAGATGGAGAAACTGAAATCCATGTTTAGGGGTCTTTCCGTCCCATGTTGCACTAGCCGGTTCGGGTTTTCCGGCTGCCCCGCGCTCCACATCCGGGCCGCGTCCTTTCGGGGATGCCGTTCAAAGGTGGGCAAGGCTCCCGAGACGGAAAACAGAAACAGGTTAGCCCTTGGAAAGTGTGCTTGTTGGTCCTTGGTCGCGGTGACCGCAACCCGACAATTTTTGAAAAGAAAAGAGAGAGAAAATTAAACCATACAACAAGGGATGGGCGAACAGCGCAGAAGTGTTCTGTTGGCGACAACCCCTGGCTTTGGTTCCACGGCTGCCTTCCCCGCGTTTTTCGCCAAAATCCCGTCACGACGGGGATGAGTGCCAGGCAATTCTAGCCGAGCCCTGACAGGTCTTCTCACCTTGATTGGAACTGAAAGCCTCGTTGCTTCACTCACCTGGTCGTGTTCTTTAACAAAATGGCCTTGTGTCGGACTTCAGCTAGGGACTGTGTGTCGAGATTGTGTGTGGATGCACCTCGCCTCGGAGTTCTGGTGATGCAGCGCCGTGGTGCGGTGCGTGGCTGGTGCGGCCTTTCGAACCCTTCGGCAGGCCGGAACTTGGCCGGAAATGGCAATGCTGGACAAAAAAGAGAAGAGCAGACATGCGTACTGTTTGGAGGGGTCTCGCGGTTCTACATATTCAAAGTACATTCAGAATATGGGACTATTGTTACCAATAGCAAGTAGGTCTTGTTATTGAATAGAGCCACAATAGACTGCAGGACTTATTGTTGTGCCTCTTGTTTTTTGGCCCCCGGTTTCATCGTGCCTCTCTTATGCTCCGTGTTTTTTTGTCCAACAATCCCAGGGGCGGTGGCACGGGCACCGAAAATTGAGCGGAGCCGTGCCAAGTTGGGTCTCGCCTCTTGTGCTGACTCCTGGATCACCGCCGTCACCTTACCTCAAAGGCAGGAGCCAACGGGCTCAAATTGCTTTCTCTGTCCGCCACATCACCTCCGTCCGACCCTCGATACCCGCGTTTTCCTTGAAACGGGCGGACAGCGCGACGTAAAGAGATTTTCATCGACTGCCGCCATCCGAGTCTTTTAGGGTGGTTTTGGTTCTGCCGCCATCTCCGTTTGTCGCCCCCAAAACCTTCGGTTCGGTCGTCCCCCACTGCCGCAGTCCATCCCTCTACAGCGACCTTGTCCCGAGCGAGGAACGAAATAAAATGATAGCCGAGTTTTGAGCGTGCTGGATCACTGGTAACTGGCGGGGGATCCCTTTGGGTGTGATACGCGTCAGGACGAACGGCGACGGCTCCGTGCCCGGGACGTGTTGGACCGAGTTTCCTCGTGCCACCGACACGACACCAACACCCGACTTCAAACGCAAGCCCCTTCCACGGCGAGGTCAACGAGGCCATACGAAACTTACCACTACACCTCGACAAGGTTACGCTGGCGTCTTTACACGAAACGAGCGATTTCGGCAGCCTTCTCCCGCACCTCTCTCATCTCTACACAACAACAGCACACGATGGATACCCGCCGGCCGCGATCGAGCCAGAAGGTCTCTATGACCTGGCAGGAGGACGAAGCCACAGTGACACACCGCCGTAGGATGCAGTTTGCCGACGAATGCGTTGAGACGAAGACGGTCACAACCACAACCACAACAAAGCGGTCCTACCCGCCTCTCTTTCTTCGCGAACCACGGGACGTGCATTTGCTCGACTCGAAAGAATACCCCCTTGCCGCGAGGCCGACTCCGCCCGAGTTGCGAAAGTTGACCTTTGATCTCGACGACTACGAGACCGAGGCTTGGGAAGACGAGGACACAGATGCTCAGGTGAGCGAAGCTCGCCGTTGTCCCAGGATAGGTGCGCTAACCTAGGTATTTTGAAAAAAAGGCCGAACGGTGCCAGAGCATTGAAGACACAGGCGACATCAAGCGCGAGCCTGGTGTGGAGAGTCCGGTATCGACGTCGTCGCATCGCCCCCCCAATGAACAGCCGGAACCACATCAGCGGAGATCCCGCAGGTCAAACACCAGGGCTGTCTCGCCGAGCTACACGCCGATGCCATCGAGAAGCTCCCGCTTGGCCACGAAACTTACCGGCGTCCCATACTCCGCCTCTGATAAACTGCGCCATGCCGTAGCACGCGGCAGGAGCAGGGATGCCGGTAGGGCACCCCGCCGGTCGTCTGGTTACCTGGCGACCCCAAATACTTCGGACATCGCTGGCAGTCGCTTGGAGCGAGCCTCGCGGTTGAGGCCGCTGCTGGCCGACATGGCGGACTCGGCAACAAGCCAGTCGACGTCGGTTTATGATGCGGAGAGCACGGCGGACAGCGAGTCACAAACCTTTAGTAACGTCGCGACGCCTCCCATCACAGAAACCGAGCTCCAGCAGCTCCAGCCTTTCGACGATGCGGACGACTCGCTAGCGCACGTTGCTCACGATTCGGCCCCGAGACGAAACATCAATACGGTGGCCGCCCAGGACGTGAGCTTACCTAGCCCCAGGCTCTCCCCCACCCTAGCAGCCACCCAGTTACAGCCTAGTCAGGTTGACGACGAAGATGGGGAAGGCGAGGACGCCTCATTTTCGACGCAGCTTACGCGCTCGGACCAACAACCATGGATGGATGAAAGCCAGATGACGGACCAAACCGAAGTCCCAGGGACAATGGACTTATCTCTCGGGAACTATGGAAACTCGCGTATGAGATTGAAATCAGACCCACGACACTATGTGGACCCGGGATCAATGCTGGATAGCTTTGACGCCATGCCGAACGAGCTGAAGACATGGATGATGTATCAGTTTCTGCGAAGGTGTCCCCGCAAGACTCTCCATGTGGTCGCCGACGTGGTCAACCCGGCCCTCAAATGCGACTTTATCAAGCAACTACCCATCGAGCTCAACCTCCACGTCCTCTCCTACTTGGACCATCGCGACCTCTGCCGCGCAGCACAGGTGTCGAAGCACTGGCGACACATTGTCGACAGCAACGAGACTGGCTGGAAGGAGCTGTTTGACCGTGACGGGTTTCACTTGCCGCCAGGGGAGCTCCAGAGGGCCATCAACGAAGGCTGGGGCTGGCAAGATCCAGTCGGGTTTGAGGGATGTGAAGTCGATTTGAGCAATCAAAGCCGTCTCACGTCAAGCGAGACGGAGCTCGTCCGGTCGGCAGTCAAGGCGGAGCAGCCCGAGTTTCTGCCGAGGACCCGGAGCGCGAAGCGGAAGCGTGGCTTGACACAGATCAGCGCCGAGAGAGCCAAGCGGCGGGCGAGCGCCCAGGAGTTGAGAGCGGACAGAAACTTGCCCGTGTCTAAGACGCACAAGTCCAAGGGACCCATATCAGCGGCCAACGCGGCGGCAATTGCCGTCCCGGACCCGCAGGTCGGTCTCCCGAGCTTGCGGAGCCTCCACCTGTTCAAGTCCCTTTACCGGAGACACTACATGTTCCGGCAGAGTTGGATGGGTGGGAAGGTCAAGCCGGGTCACGTTGCCTTCGCAGCTCACCCCCGCCACGTCATTACCTGTCTTCAGTTCGACGACGACAAGATCATCACGGGCAGCGACGATACCTTGATACACGTTTACGATACCAAGACGGGCAAGTTGCGCACGAAACTCGAGGGCCACGAGGGCGGCGTTTGGGCGCTCCAATACGAGGGGAATACGCTGGTGTCGGGCAGCACAGATCGCTCTGTGCGGGTCTGGGACATCCAAAAAGGCATCTGCACCCAAACGTTTTACGGACACACGAGTACCGTGCGATGCCTGCAGATTCTCATGCCCTCGGACACGGGCAAGGTGCTCGACGGCAAGCCCGTCATGATGCCGCCCAAGCCCCTCATTATCACGGGCTCGCGCGATAGCCAGCTCCGGGTCTGGAGGTTGCCCGAGGCCGGCTCGCGCCGGTACATCCAAACGGGCCCGCCGGCCAACGACGACCAGTGTCCGTACTTCATTCGGATTCTTGCTGGGCATGCCCACTCCGTCCGCGCCATCTCGGCGCATGGCGACACGCTCGTTTCCGGCAGCTACGACAGCACCGTCCGCGTGTGGCGCATCAGCACTGGCGAGCAGCTCCACGTCCTGCACGGCCATGTACAAAAGGTATATTCGGTCGTGCTTGACCACAAGCGGAACCAGTGTATCTCGGGCTCCATGGATTCACTCGTCAAGATCTGGGATCTGAACACGGGAACCTGTCTGTATACCCTTGAGGGGCACAGCATGTTGGTCGGCCTCTTGGACTTGCGGGATGACCAGCTGGTGTCTGCCGCCGCGGACAGCACGCTGAGGATTTGGGATCCGGAAACGGGCAAATGCAAGAAGGTGCTTGAAGCCCATACTGGCGCCATCACTTGTTTCCAGCATGACGGGCGGAAGGTCATTTCGGGTAGCGAGAAGACGGTCAAGATGTGGGATGTGGACACGGGCGACTGTGTCCAAGACCTTCTGACGGACTTGGGCGGCGTGTGGCAGGTCAAGTTTGATGACCGGAGATGTGTGGCGGCGGTGCAGCGCGGGAATCTGACATATGTTGAGGTACGTGTTTTGTGGCGGACGTGAAAGGCGAGTTTCAACCCTAACATGGTTTGCAGATCCTCGACTTTGGCGCCGTCCGCGACGGCAAGCCGCCCGAGGAACTGGGCAAACGGAAGCTACTGAATGAGGCCGAGGTCCAGCGGTTGATCGCCGAGGAATCTTGAGGTGCTGGAACGACAATTCTTTTCTTCGACTGCATTCGGGGCCAACATTTATTTCTTGGGGGTACATGGGCTATGATGAGCGGACGACCCGGGGAACGAAAACGATACGAAATTAAACAGCAGCCATTTGGCGGTGCGCACTCAGCATCTGCATCTTCCTCTTCCATCATCGTCAGCTCTGTGAGCGGAGGGGGGCTGATACAGAAACAAACGCAAGGAAGGCAAGGCAACACACGGGGTATATTTTTGGGAGGGCTGTACATAGCGTTATTATTTCGGCATATTCCTTGCTCTTTTCCTCAACGCGTTTTCAGGGAGTGTGGCACGCAGGACATTCATCACCAGCACTGGGACATCAAATCGAAGCACAAGAAGGAGGTTGAAGGGCGCTTGCATCATTGTGGAAAGTTGATGATTTCGGGGGGGAGGCTCCGAGCAGAAGTCGTGACTTTGCTCCATTCAGTCCGTGTTTTTGCCGTTACTTTCTAGTCGATACCTAATGAAGCCATGGTTCTCATCCTTCCTTCGTTCCTTGCTTTCTGCCTTCTTTCTTCCCCCGATCTTCTTTTCCGTTCTTGCTGCCTGGCATTGGGAGGGGCGAGTCAGCCCAACACGAGGCTGCGATGGAACGGGAATGGAACAGCCCAGCCAGCGACGATCCTTGCCCATGGATGCCAAGACGGTTGGACCCTGTAGCCTTGCCCGCAAGAGGTGAGCTCGGAATGGCACGCGACATCATCCATCTTGGAACTCGTACATCAATTGCTTTGGACCTCCTTTCGCCTCGACGTCGGTCTGGTTTGCGAAGCGCAACCCCCATGCCCCGAACTGTGCTTTATTTAAGGCAGTTCGACGGCCGTGACTGATCACCATGGCACCTCCAAGGTCCAACTCGAGCGGAGGAGGCCCCAGCGGCGGAATTCTGGCGTCTTTCTCGAGATTCTGGCAGGCAGGTTCCCCGGTTCACGGTCGCCCATTGGGTTGTTGTCATGTCAGCTAACTTGGGTGTTTGTCCGTTATAGAGAACCTATGCCTCCGACTATATCGGCTTCGTGCTGCTGTTGGTGTGCTACCTCCTGGTACGTCCCTCGAACTTGCCCATACATCCGCCACCCTTCGACGTCATGAGCTTCGTTCTAACAAGCCACCACAACCCCAGATCCAATTCTTCGTCGAGCCCTTCCACCGCATGTTCTCCCTCAACGACCTGCGCATCTCTTTCCCCCACGCCGAGGTCGAACGCGTGCCCCTCCGTAAGCAAGCCCTCGACCTCCCTCCCCACCGTCCCCCCCCCATCCATACGGACTACTACTAACCCTCACCCCCCGCCGGCCCACCACACACCACAGTCCACGACTTCATCTACGCCCTCTTCATCCCGCTCGGCCTCGTCACAGCCACCAACCTCATCACCCGCGCCCCGCGCCACAAACACCACGTCACCATCCTCGGCCTCGCCATATCCCTCATCCTCGCCTCCCTGCTAACCGACATCATCAAGAACGCCGTCGGCCGCCCGCGGCCCGATCTCCTCGCGCGCTGCCTGCCCGCGCCGGGCACGCCGCGCGACCAGCTCGTCACCGTCGCCGCCTGCACCCAGACCGGCCACCACAAGCTGCACGACGGCTGGCGCTCCTTCCCCTCGGGCCACTCGTCGTTCGCCTTTGCGGGGCTGGGCTACCTGGCGCTGTTTTTGGCGGGCCAGATGCGCATCTTTGCGCACGCGGGGGCCGGGAACCTGGGGGAGCACGCGCAGAAGGTGGTGCGGGGGGATTTGGTGCGGGCGCTGGTCTGTGGTGCGCCGCTGCTGGGCGCGACTATGATTGCGATCAGTCGGTGCCAGGACTATCGGCATGATGTGTATGATGTGGGCGTGGGTGGGTTGTTGGGGTATACGGTGGGGTATTGGAGCTATAGGCGGTACTGGCCGCGGCTGGGCAGTGGGCGCTGTGAGGAGCCGTATGCGGGACCGCCTGAGGCGGGTGAGGATGGGGTTGGTGGTGGGAGGGGTGGATATGGGAGGTTGGGGGATGAGGAGGAGGGGCTGGCGCGTGGGAGGAATGTAGGTATTGAGTTGGGGGCGTTGAGAATGTGAGACGAGTGCTGACATTGCTTGCTAGGTCGATTGAGTGTGTTTGTGGTGCGTGGCTGGAGTTTAAAAAGCACTTGGCAATGTTCGGTGGCTGTTTGCATATACACATGGGGTTCGTTGCTGTAGCAGGTTCGTTGTAGGAGGCGTTTGGTTACCCGCATGCATCAAACTGTATTGGTACACGCAGCACTCGCAAGGAGTCTTATTCCCGACCGCCTTGTCTATCATGTCCTCGTCTACTTTTCCTCGGTCGTCTCGTCCTTGGCCAAATCGTGCTCCTTCAATAACGCCGTGATCTCTTCCGCGCTCCATAGCTTGTGGTAGATCTTTCCGTCCTTGGTCTGGCCCACCGTCGCAAATTCGACTGCGTCACTGTTAGCCCTTGTCCGCGTTTCGGCAACCCGGCCTGCACTCACTCTTCTCGCTGCTCAACTTGGTCGAGTCCATCGTCTTGCTAAGCACCTTGACCGCCATGCCGCACGCCTCCTTCAGCGTACAATCCTCCTTGTAGTCCTGCTTGAGCAAGCTTTGCGCGCTCGCGTGGTTGGCGCCTGAGCTCGTCGCCTTCCACCCGCCGTAGTTGCCCGAGGGGTTGCTGAGGTAGAGCTGGAACTGGCGCTGCGGGTCCCAGCCGGCGTAGATGAACGAGACGCCAAACGGCCGCAGACCACCGTGTTGTGTATAGCCTTGCTTCAGGTCGCAGAGTCGGCGCACCAACTGCTCGCAGGGGATGTCTTCGTTGTACGTAAGCAGATACCGCTGGGCGGCTTGCCGGGCGTAGTTGATCAGGATGTTGGCGTCGGCCGTCATACCGGCGACGGCGCAAATCATGTTACTATTGGCCATGTCAGCGGCCGCCATTGACTCGTCGTTGTGCCCACCCCCTCTCCCTGACTTACTCATTCAGAATGTAGAGTTTCTCGGCTGATGTATCCTGCTCGAGCAGCTTTGACGTGACCTTGCGCTCGGCGGCGAGGACGATGCCATCCTTGGCCAGGATGCCGATGGCCGTGCCGGCATGGGAAATGGCTTCTAGCGCATATTCGACTTGGTACAGGCGGCCGTCGGGCGAGAAGATGGTTGTCTGCGAGAGGGGTAAGCTTCATTGCCCCTCCAGTGATGCCCTGCTTGGTTATGGTGGAGTTGCACCAACGGACTAACTTACTCGGGAATCGTATCTTCTCGACATGATGGCCGGTTTGAAGAGGGAAGCGGACGGTAGGGTATGTTGCACGGAGGGTCAAGTCGGTTGCTGGCCGTTTGTTGACTGTGGCGGGTGTGGTTTGCGGGCAGTGGTGGAGGAAGGAAGGCTGATTGTTGCTGTCCAGTGCTTGCTTCCATGCGATGCGGCCCAGGCTGGCAGGCTGGAGCTCCAGGCAAGCGCTCACACGCGTAGCTCTCTCGTTGCCTTGCACTTCAGGTACAAGAGCCACTTACCTAAGGTGCTCCGTGCGCTGGCCGCCCGCTCTGCCGCTCAGTGCTGCATTTGCGCAGCTGATGGTGGTCCGAAGCCCCACCTCCACTTTGCTTATCTAATCTCTCTTCGTCATTTTCAATGCATTCCGTTGCAATGCATCGCGCATTGTCTCGATCCGAGTCCCGCAAACTCTCCTCCTTCAACCTCCGCATCGAAAGCACCCCTCAGCGACACAAACACGCTGAAGTGGTCAACACACCGAAAGTTGATCGTCGCGCCACTATTTGCGGCAAGTTATCCCTAACTTCAGTGACCCTCCAGGTGTTTGCATCGTTTCTTTTTTTAAACAGCACTCGCCACGCGATCCGTCGCATTGGAGCTTTGTTCCGAAGCTCCCCTCAACACGCGCGCCCGTTGTTCCTGCTCCCCATCACCCGCGTCGCCCATTGGCAGGCATCAAGACGGAAGGCGCTGGGAGGCACAGACTTTGGGGGATTGCGGATAGCTTCAGGGAATTGTCGTCCTGTCCTTGGACTACATTCTGCACAGTCCCATCATTTTAGTCTATGCAAGCGTAAACATCCTATCAAGTGACCGCGTGCAACCTTTCACGCATGCTTTGAGCAATCATCTGCAGTAGAACGCGCAACACAAGAGAGGGCACCCCGGCATTTGGCAGGCACTCAGTTGCCCACTTGTTTGGTCCCGTCTTGACGCGACGATGTCTGGTAAGCAACACCAAGAGCATTGCCACCCCGCACACACGCACACACACCCCCCAACCTGCACCAGCCTCGTCGGCAGCAACCCGAGACGATGTCGTCGCGCCGTCGCAGCACTCGTGGCCAGCAGCTAACCATCAACCGAGTACCAGAACCGGAACCGCGCCGATCGGTCAGGGCCACCAAAGGCCAACACAAGTTGTTGGAGCAGCTCGACCAGCCTATCGAGGCCCCAAAGCGCCGCGGGGGCAACAAGAAAGGCAAGAAAGCCGCGCCCGAACCCGAGGAGCCCGAGGAAGAGGTCATCCGCTGCGTCTGCGGCGCCACAGAGCAAGATGAGGATTCGGGTGAACCCTGGATCGCCTGCGACCAGTGCGGCGCATGGCAGCATAACATTTGTATGGGCATGAGCCAGTACACAGAAGATCTACCTAAGGAGTATTACTGTGAGCTGTGCCGGCCCGATAACCATCGCGAGCTTCTCTCTGGCATGGCCAAGGGTGAGCGCCCCTGGGAAGCCCGTCGCAAGGCCTACGAGGACGAAAAGACCGACAAGAAGAAGAAGGGACCCAAGAAGGGTAAAAAGCGGACGAGCGATCTCAAGGAGGATGCATCTCAGAAGTCGAAACAGTCACCGCCCCCGCCTGCCGAGCCCAAGAAGGACGCGAAAAGCGCCGGCGTGAAGCGAAAGAATGGCGATGCTCCGCAGGAGAAGGAACCCAAGGTAAGCAAACCACCCGTTCGGTTCGACGACGGTGCGCGAAGGTAGTTTACTAACATTTCATCACAGAAAATGCGCAAGGCGAACGATGCGCAACCCGTCCCCATTCCCGGGTATACGCCCCCAGGAGATATCCCTGCCAACATTTCTGGACTGCCGGATGCGCGCCAGGGACCAGCGAAAGCATTGTCTAAATCATTAATCGCCTCTATTGGAGTGGCAGAGAAGAACGGCACTGTGCCATCCGACGGGGTGTCCGCTGCTGACCGTGCTGAGCGGCTCGCGCTCCAGATCGAGCGTGCTGTCAATGACACCCACCCGACCATGGGCTCGTATGCCGGTCAGATCCGGACCCTGGCCTTCAACTTGAAGAGCAATCCTGAGCTCATCAACCGGCTCGTCGGCCGAACTCTGACGCCCCCGATGTTGGCGTCTATGTCAACCGAGGAGCTAGCGTCCAAGGAGTTGCAGAAAGAAACAGCCGAGATGATTGCGAGGGCAGAGAAGCAGGCTATTAAGATCACCCAAGATGTCCCTCGCGTCCGGAGAACTCATAAGGGCGATGAGATAGTCGACGACGACCACTTCATCGCCAGCGAAGATGTCCCATCTGCGCCGGTTCGCCGGCCCAGCGCGCCCAAACAAGAGCCCGAAGACGCATCGGGACTCCCAACGCATGCCAGACACCGGTCGACCAGCGGCCCGGCCGTCGATACACAGCATTCCCCTGCCAGAGCCGATTTTGACCTGAACAAGGTCTTCTCGAGCGTCAAGTCGCCGACTCTTCCTCAGGGACAGCAGCGTGCATCGTTTGCCGCGGCTCCATCCAACGGGCCCGGTGATGATCCAGACGTTGATCGGCTACTTGACGACGGGACTCAGTCCCCACCGTACTCACCCAAGGTGGAGAACGATCCGGACGTGGTGTGGCGAGGGAGTGTTGTCATGAACACCATCGCCGAAGTCGACGTTACTGCGAAGCATATGGGCGGTGCCAATCTCAGCGAGACCATCGACCTTGCCTGGGAACAACTGCTCCCTCGGACCCTCACGGTGTGCGGGCGGATAGACGAACAACAGGCCATTGTGTATCTCTGCGGCCTACGTTATAGCGTCCCTACCGACGTTGTTGTGGTTAGCCTCGAGCCGACAACACCAGCAGCAAAATCGGGCATGCAGAAACTCATCGACTATTTCGTCTCGAAGAAAAGATACGGAGTGGTGGGCGACAAGGGTGTTGCTAATGTCCGCGACACGTACCTTGTCCCTGTGCCAGCCGGCACTGGCAACCAACCAGAATTCATGATGAACTTGGCAGACAACTTCATCCCCGACACAAGAACCGAGCCCATGATGCTCTGCGTCATCGTCTACAGGAACGATCCGGAGACGATCCAACGCATCCACGGCACAGCGGATTCCAACCATGCGTCCGTACCGCAAAAGGCCGTCCCCTATCCTTCAGCGTCCGCGCAGTCTCCCGGAACTCCAACACCGATCCAGGGAGGGTTCGCTCCGTCAGGACGGGCATCGGTCTCCGCGCCGGCGTTCTCGCCAACTTCCCCCTCGGGCCCATTCCCGCAGTATCCCTCACCAAGAATGCCCACGCCGGTCCAGCAGCAGCCCCCGGCCCAGGCGCGAGCTCCACAAGCGGGGAGGCAAACTTCAAACGTGGACGAGTTGCAGCGTCAAGGCGAGACCATGGCCCGTGAGATCCTTGGTCATCTTATCACCAGCCCGACAGTAGCATTCCTTCTCCCGCAAGCGCACGTCATGTCCCGCAAGGAGTGGGAGTTGATCAAGCGCATATATGAGAGGGATCCTAGGACCCGCGATGATCTTCCCTATCTTAGCACGATACTAGAGAGAGAGGGCCAACAGCAACAGCAACAACGACAGCAACAGCTGCAACAACAGGCGTCGCAACATCATCCTCCGGCTCCTACTCAGGCGCCGCCTCCGCCGCAACCGCATGCTCAACAAGTCCCCCGTCCTCAGCCGCAACAGCAGCAGCAGCCGGCTCCATCGCAACCCCAGCATCCACCTCATGTTCAACAACCGCAACAGCCCCAGCAGCCCCAGCAGCACCCGCATCCCGTTCGGACAACACCCATCCCGCCGCCGCCGATTCCTCCGGCCGCCACAGCGGGGCCACCGAAGCAAACCCCCATTCCGCCGCCCCCAATCCCGCCCCAAGCCACAGCGGGCTCCGGGGCCCCGCCGGCTTAGAAGTCCGGAGGGAAAAGCGATAACTAGGGTGAATCCGCCTCGCCACCGATCCCCGAGCCAGACACGTCGTCTCAGCTTTCATATCTCTTTGCTAGCAAACTTTCCATACGCTTGGCACCTAGCTCCGGCGAAATCGAGTCCCCCGACCCTCGACTGCCACGACTTTCACTATTCTCCACACAAACAGCAATCCCACCACCAGCCCCACGGCCAAACACCCCTTTCTTACCCCCTCAACGCTCGCAACAACCACCACCGCAAACCACCCAATCACCCCTCCCAGTTCGACCACCACCCCCCCATGCCCCCCTCATCACCCCACCCGGCCTCAAGGCGCGCCTACCGGTCCTAGCCCAGGTAGCAACCCAACCCCCATCCCCTCCCTCCATGTCTCCACCGGCGCGCGCCCCCTTGCCCGGCACGGCCGCGGCGTCGGCCTACCGCCCGCACCGTCCTTCCCGGCTCAAATATTGCTCCAGCCCCGGCGGCGGCAGCGAGACCCTCTCGTTTGAGGCGGTCATGCGGGACGCCGGGTGTGGACCCCGGGATGGGTGTAGGATTGGGTGCCTGTGCGAGGATTGTTTGAGGGAGTGGGGCGGGGATGGGGGTGGGGGTGGGGATGGTGATACTGATAGTTGGGATGCTGGTTATGGTGGGGGGCGTGGGGGTGATGCTTGTGGGTGGGATGGGGATCTGGATGGGTGGGATACGGAGGAGTGGGATACGGACGAGTGTGAAGGGGCGGATTTGATGGAGAGCTTGAGCGGGGCGGAGAGGAGGGCGGTTGAGGCGGCGGCGGAGGCTGAGGTGGATGCGGAGGTGGAGGCGGAGAGGGAGAGGGAGAGGGAGCTTCTTCTTCTTGGGAGTGATGATGGGGATGGGTGGGAGACGGATATGTGTGGCTGTGACGCGGATGGGAGTGGCATGGATGGATGTGACGGGGAGGATTTGATGGCAGCGTTGACCGAGGCGGAGAAGAGGGCTGTTGAAGCGGCAGCGGAGGAGGAGTTTCTTCTCGGCGGGGGGTCGGAGGTGGATGAGAGTTGGGACGATGCTATAGTGGTTGAGAATGGCGAGGAAGGTGGTGATGGTGATTGGGTTGTGTTGCCACCGGTTGGGGTTGCTAGGAAACGGGGGAAAGATTGGGAGGGTGGACAGGATTGGGGATACTGCGGTGTTGAGAGCTTGGAGTCGTACACTGATTCGGAGCCGGATCCTGATACTCCTCCGTCGGAATGTGGTTCTTATTTAGACGTTGGGAAGGATGGGAACTAGGATCCGGTTTGGCGCCTGCAGTGTGTTGTTAGCACGGGCCAGCGAAGAGAAGGATGCGATTGCTAGAACTAGTCGGGGTGGACAGCGCGAGTGAGGGTCCCGGCTAGGAAACGGGCTAGGGCATTACAGGAGGGGGTTGGCTAGGCTACGGATGTCGCAAGAGTCTGGTTTTCTTTTATTTTCCTTTATTCTTTATATTGGTAGGGGCACGCCTGCTCAACAGCGATCATCGCTTCTCTCCTTTGGTTGGGTTTCGGCTTCGGCAATACGGGGCGGTTCACTGCGTTTCCATTCGTACTTTCACTACTCGTATGGTCTCGGCCATTACTATACTTTGTATGTACATACTACTGTATGACAGCGGACGACGATGAGGAGACCAAGATGGGCTAGGGGTCGGCGACCGTGATGACTCATTTCATTGACCTGGAAAGGCCGCGAGGGTCTTGGGGTAGTTTAATTTGCTTTCTGAATTCATTTCTATTATCGATGAGATCGTTATGGCCCCGCCACACTTGCCACCAGTGAGCGAATCCGCAGATGCTGGCATAACTACCAACCCACACAGGAGGGGCTGCCCTCCAATTCCGTTTCGCTCATACCCAAGTACGCCGTTTCCCAAGTAAAGCACACCTCATGCCAAATCACCGTCCACTACTGTCCACTCGACAGCCTCCCTCCCCCGCTCCAGCCTTGCTCTCTGTGCCTTGGGCCCCCCTTTCTCGTCCGCCCCCGTGTCCAACTGCGGAACCTGGATGCTGGCCAGCCCCTCGATCATCCGCTTCGCCTTGTCCACCACGCTCCGTATCCCTGCCGTCTCGGCGCGCATCTGGTCGCCGTGGGCGTGCATGATCTGGATCAGCTGCTCCCGCGCGTGGTGCGGGCGGTACTCGTTGAGCGTGTGGTGGAAGTTGAGGAGGAGGACTTTGAGGTCTTCGATCTTTTCGGCGGCCTGCCGGGTGGGATGCCATGGTCAGTAAGGATACGGGGCGGGTAATTGATAGGAGAGTGAGGCTCACGTGGTCTGGGTTATATCCCATCAGACCGACCAGCTCGAGGTAATTGAGCAGGAGCGACTTGACGAGCTTTTTTAATTCGAACCCCCGGTCGAGGTGTTTGCTGTCTCTATCGATGTCGGATGTCGGGCCCAGTCGCTGGATGCCGGCCTCCTCGAGGGTTTGGAGGGTTTCGGTAAGCTGCTGGCGGCAGTTAGGGGTCCGTCACAACCACTGTCATGTTGAGAGACAACTGACCGTTTCGGGCTCGCTGAATAACCTCCAACTCCCCTCGGTAGGTTCTGGCGGTGGTTGTAGGTTGATCAACTCCTCTGGGATATTGGAGATCCGGATGACGGCGTCGGCGCTGGCGCTCAGGCCTTGCTGATGCGTGTAGTCATCCTTGAGGCTCTCGTAGCGCTCGATGTTCGCTGGTGTAAAGTCCCTCCAAAACGACGGTGGATCCGGCCATAATGCCGTTACTCGATTTGGGTCGTCTTCGTGGTTGTCCATCGCGCGCGGTCCTTAAACGTTAAAGGGAAACGGGAAACGGGAATCGAGCCGGGTTGGCGCAATGGGGTGGTGCGGAAAAGGAGGAACGATCAGTCGGAAATGCGGGTGAGGACTCAGGTCTGGGAAATCGGGAGCGATGCCATCCTTCACCGCGTCGCTATGAACCCAGCTTTCCGAATAGCCTTAGTTTGTGAATTTACAAAGCCATCCGGGATGCAGCAACACGAAAAGCGGGCGACTTGGTTTGTGCTTTGTGATGGAATTGGAAGTGGGATGAAGGTGGGAACCTCTGCGACCGTGGCTGAAGCTGTCCCTGGTAATTGTGGCTCATGTTAATTTGTTACGTGGGGCAGCTGAGCTTCCTGTGGCTGTTGCTCGATTCGGTTCGCTCAACGCATCATCATCGCCCTCAGACTTAGAAGTCTGACAAGCCAACCTCTACGTCGATATTTACCCCTACAAGCCATTGTCGAAACCAACATACCGACAGTCGTTATACGGTTCCAATTCGCCGAGAACATACACCGATCCCTCGATTTCAAGCCACTATACCCACCCCTCCAATTCCTTTTCACGCTAGGTTTAAACTACTTGTAACGTAGCGTTACACCGTCTTCTCCCAACTCGACCCAATCCCTCTTCCACCATGGCCGACGTTCGCGCCCTTCTACGGCAGCAACGCGCGGCCCGCCGAATCGAGCACCCCCATGCTTCGTACTCAGACGCCGGTAAGCTCGTGTGCACCGTCTGCAGCGAGCAGGTCAAAACCGAGTCCCTTTGGGACGGGCACCTCCGGAGCGCTGGGCATCGACAGCGGCTACAAAGCATACACCAATCCTCGGCGAAGAACGGCTCCAATGGCTATGCTGGATTTGTAGACCAGGGCTCCGAGGTGCAGGGCTCAACCAACAAACGGAAGCTGGCCGATTCGGACGACGACATGGCCGACACAGACGACACGAGCGGATCTCAAAGAAAGCGGACCAAACCCGACGGCTCGCCAACAGAACACTCCCAACAAGAGACGAGGACACCATCCAAAAAAGACGACACCGACAAGCACGGCAAGCCCATCACACCACCCCTCACCCGCCGAACGTCAGGCACCCCCACCGCCGGCGTCGAGATGCAGATCCCATCCCGCCCAGCCACACCCAGCGCGGGCGGATCAAGGACGCCAAAAGCCACAACCCCCAAGGCGGCACCAGTTGGCCGGTCACCGTTGATACCAGACGAGGCCACGGCCTCGCAACAAGACGCGATCCGGGGCCCAAGAACGGGCGCACAGCCAACATCCTCCACCACCACCACCACAACAGCGGCGACAGCAGTACCAGTCGACGAAGACGAGTGGGCGGCCTTCGAAGCCGACCTGGTACACGAAAGGAAACCAGCACACAAACCCACCGCCGCCGCCACCGCAACCGCCGCACTAGACAGCGGCGCGGTGATCTCGGCGCCCGTGATGAGCGCGGCGGAGATCGCGGCCAAGTCGGAGGAGGAAGAGCGGGCGAAGCGGCGGGCGCTGGCGGACATACAGCTCGAGGACGAGAAGGAAGAGGCGACGCGGGCGCTGGAGAACGAGTTCGAGGTGATGGAGGAGCTGGAGGCGCGGGCGAAGCGGCTGCGGGAGCGGCGCGAGGCGCTGCGGGTGCAGAGTAATGGTAATGGCGGGGCGATGGAGGGGGTGGTGGTGGCGGATGCTGGGGGCAAGGGGCCTGCTGCTGCTGCGAATGGGAAGGAGAATGCTGCTGTTGAGGAGGAGGAGGAGGAGGAGGATGATGATGATGATGATGATTGGGATGGGTTCAGGTTTCGCGCGTAGGGGCGTTGAGACATTGAGGTCCTCCTGATATCGCCTTCGGTCAGGATTGGCTTCGTGCTTACTTGGTGTATATATCATGGTACGTCTTTATAATATGGCAAAGGTCAGCATCGCTGATTCGTTATTTTATGGTCATCACTCCGCTAAACATCATGGCCCTATCAAGGCGTAAGATAACACACAAACCTCCATCCCCGGCCGAAATCCTCCCAACCAAACGCAACGCGAACCACAGACCCAGCCCCCCGAAGATCATACACACGTATACAAAACAAAGGAAAAGACCAACGCTAAATCACATCTCCCCCTTCCCCACGCCCTCCCAAAACCGCCTCAACCTCCACACCCTCCCGACGCCCGCCCGCTCCTCCCACCGCCTAACGCCCTCCTCGCGCCGGCCGACCTCCCCCTTCCAGACACTGCCGACCCACGCGCGCAGGCCATCCTTCACGCGCTCCTTCTCGACCGCGCGCTTGCGCGCCACCAGCGCGGGCGCGACGGGGTGGGCGGCGCCGCGCGGCAGGCACTCGGCCGGCAACACGCAGCGCTCGACGAGGGACTCGGCCGAGGGGCGCGCGGCCAGGTTGCGCGCGAGGCGGATCGAGGCCATGCGGTGGTCGAGCCGGCGCGAGGCAAACGCCGCGCGCGTGAGCACGATCGAGCGCCGGACCAGCTCGGCGCGCGAGGGCCGCGTGGGCGAGGTCAGCAGGGGCGGGAGGATGGTCCGCGCGCGCCGGAGTCGGGTCTGGTGCGTGTAAGGGGCGAGGGAAAGGCTTCGTAAATGGTGCGAGGTCTGTGGGGGCACAAGTTTGTTAGTGAGTCTGATTTAAGGGGGGGGCGGTCTTGGTGGGGGCGTTCGGAGATCGTGGGGGTAAGGGGTTTGTTTGGGAAGGCCAAATCACACCGTAACCGGTGAAGAAAGGGCAACTGCGAGAAGCTTCACACGTTTAGGGCATGGGGGCGGAATAGACGGGGCAGTGCCAAAGAGGATGTTGCTTTGGGCGACGCGGAGGGAGGAGAGTTGGACGCACCCTGGAAGTTGCTAGCAGGTCACACACTTCAAGATACCCCAAAATGTGGAAGAGCACCTCGTTGGGGAGGTCCAGTAGTTGTTGTGGGGGGTTGCGCGGCGCTACGACTACGCTCATGCCAGCAACGCTCACATCTCCGTCGACAACATGGGCTCGAACACGAGCGGGCGCTATCGAAGAGGAAGGAGCAGCTGTCACTGTCACCAGAGCCGCCGTTGCTAAGGTCGCGGGTGGGCAGTCTTCTCGCCGCTCCTCCAGCGTGGCTGCATGTGGTTGGGTATTGGGACTTGAATAACATGGTGGTGTTTCCGAAGCTAGCGGGCGATCGCTGTCCGCCGGCCCCGTGAACCCCTCCACTTCGCGCCCGGGTCCCGAGATGATCGAAAGCCTCCGTGCCTTGGCGATGAGCTGGACGCCAACGGTAGAGTCTAGATCCGCGCCTCTTCCCCCCATGTCCTGGTGCCCTGGCACCTGCTGGCCCTGATCTTGCCCGGCTGCTATGGGTAGTGACGCCATCGTAGGCGAAACCCGGCTAGAGGATGCCACGATCCTTCTTAAAACAGCGACTTGCTTTTGCTTCTCAGTGCCTTGATGACTTGGCAGCGAGTGAGGTGTGCCGTCTGTGTTGTTACTTTCATCGTCCGCCACCGAACGGACGAGGCAAGCCGGGTCCAAGTCACGTCAGACTGCAGACTCAGGCTGCCTGTCGCCTTCGTGTCGCGCTTCCGCCCGTCCAGCCCTGAGAAACCGCCAACTGCGAATGTCGGTTCCGATTCGGGCGGGTGTCTCACTCTGCTCTGCCGGCCAGCGCGTACAGCGCGTACAATAGTCCCGAGGAGGGTTTCTCGGCGCGGCTAAACAGGATCGCGTCAGGCAAGGAACCCGGGAGGGTGGCCGCCGATTTGGCCGCACAATGAAAACTCAGCAAGACGGTGGCTGGGGGTGAAAACCAGCCCGAAGTGCATGGAGAGTTGCCGCAAGTGGTACCTCACAATCCGGAGTCGAGTTGTCTATCAAATCGGGCATGTGTGTACTGCCGGTAGGATCGGGAACTTGTGAGCCGTAAGGGGCAGGAGCAGCGAGTCGATGGTTTGTTCGACAAAGGGACCGGCGAAATTGGCCGGGTGGGAGTTGAACAACGATGTCAAAAGGCCTGGGTCTAGGAAGGGAGAACGACTTTTGGTATTGTAAACCGAACTTGGAAGGTGCGGGACCTTTCACAAGCACTATCTTTCAACAATGACAGTGCTCGGCATCGCACAATGGCATTGGCCACAACTCAATCACGGCAACCGTGACTGGCAAACTGAAGGCAGCAACTCGCGGTGGTGTGTCACGGTGGCAGGTGCGAGGCATCGGATTACGCAAGTGACCTCGATGCAAGGGGCAAGTATGAGACAAGAGCACCTGATTCAGCGGCAGGCACGGCAGCCGACCCTTGCCGTCGAGTTGTCGCACCACCGTGCGAAGTCCGTGCGACTTCCCCGCGGCCATTCCCGCGATTCTAATCACGGAGCAGAGCCGTTGGTTGCTTGAAAGCGATTGAGAAGCGTCGAATCAGAGCCACATCATCGGAACTACTAGTAGACCGCAGTCGAGATACTGCAAGCTTTCGGTCCTTCCCCTCGATTAATCTGGGAGTTCCCGGCCTTGAAGGACGATGTCTATTCAAGCACGCACGGTGCAAGCGTGGGCTCATCCCGAAGCGGAAGGCGGGGCTTCCGACAAGGCTGGCGCCTCGCCGGCCTGCGCGGCTTCCCAGCATCAACATAGTAAACTGGAACCTACTTTAAGGAGGAAAGAGGAATCGGCAATTATGATGGCTCGCACAAACGCCCAAATTCCATATTTCCAGGTTTGTAGCATTTTCAACAAGCCTGAGCCACTCGGATAATCCGGCCGATTCCCCACGCCCTCAAAGTTCCGGGCAAACGCTCCTCGACCAAGACTCTCTCGGCGAATCAGAAAACAACGCTTCCCGCGGATAATGCCCCACAGTTCTTCCGCATTCAGTCGAAACTACGAGTGGTGTGCGTCTTGTGTGCGCAGGGAGGAACCGCATTGCGAGCGTCGCTGCCAGGAACCTGCAGGGGTTTGCTGCGGGCCTGCGCTGTCGCAGCAGATCCACAGCGTGGGTTTGGTGGAGAGTTGCTGTGCTGCTGCTGCTTCTGCTTGCTGCTGCTGTCGCTGCCATGCGCATCTCCTGCGGGCTTGACCTCTGCTGGGTCTCGTCAATTGGGTTCGTCACATCTCACCTCTCTCACCTGCATTTTTAGAATCACTAACCCCAACAGGTCCGGGTACATAGCGTATGAACCCTCAAGTACTGCGACCTCGAATCGTTGATGCCTGATATCACCGCTCACGTTCTCCCCACGTCTCCCCACGTCCTCGAACACGCCCGCTTTTCTTGCCATGAACCCGACACAATCTCCAAGCTCGACTTGATCACGGTCACTGACGTGTGACGTTGGATCGGCGGGGTTGGCCTCGAACAATGCGGCCACAACCTCCTTGTCACCCTCAGCGTTACCTGTTCCAGAACGGGAAACGGCGGACGGACTCGACTGGAGAACACCAGCATGGAGCCCGAGAAATCGCCCGTTGCTGGTGCCATCGGGCTCGCGACAACGAACAAATCGGTGTATGTTTAGGGTTTGGTTCCGCCGAGAATTCTCGCGTCAACCCTGGCAGATAGGTACTTCCTGAGTTGTGCGAGCCGCGGATATCCCCCGCGGCCCGGCGCAAGGATCCGACTCACACGCCCGGCCATTGGGAGTATTCGCAGGGGTTCCTGCACAACGAACCGTCCCTCAATCAACCGGAGCCTCGCGCGACGGCAAGAAGAATTGTCCCTTGAGCGCAACAAGTGGCTTGGAGAAACGCGAATCCCACAGCCTCGCTCGGTGTTTACGGAACATGTATTGACGGCCGCTGTGGACTCGGTTGCGGCCCCTCCTGTGGCCCGCCCTCCTTCAAAGCCTGGGCGAACCAATAGAGACGTCCATCGTCTCCCCTTGAGGCTGTTCCCCAAACACACCTTTCCGCACCCGCATTCCCGCGAGGGGCCCTGTAACACCCCTGTCTCTGGACGCTGAGTCGATCGCTTCAGCCCGCCGCCTCGAGCTAAATCCGCCTCCCCTGTTCTTCAATATCAACGTCATACCTGCATCGAACCATCAACCGCAAACCGATTCACCATAATGTTCAAGACCAAACATAGTCAACAGGGTCGACGATTTCGTGTCTTCACCGTCGCTACCCGAAAAATACCACCACGATTCAAGTGATGTTTCTTCAACGATGCCTATGTGATGTCTGCAATGTCGTCCCCACTGAAACTTGCCGCTCTACCGCCAACCCAACGATGTCAGCTTGAGCACCTCGAAAGTCGCAACACCCACATTGGTTGAGTGCGTAAAAACACATTGACGTTTCTGGATTCCATCCAGTCACTTGATTTGGGGTGGCTAAGAACACGCCCATGCCCCAGTGACAAATCTTTGCCAGCAGACTGGCACACGGAACTTCCATCCTCCCAAGAGACGAGGACGAAAGGAATTGCCAAAACAAGTAGGCATCACTCTACCGAGGGGGACGGGCCGCTCCCGTCTTTGGATATTCAACATCATACTGTTGAGATGAAGACGTGGGTCGACGCTCATCATTCGAATTTGCCGTGGAACTAGGCAAGGCCGCAAGGGTGGCTGAGCTCCGTAAGGCCCCTCAAGAATACCCGGCCGACCCCGAGGCCATGTTTACATCGACCCCTGCGTCTCTTACACTGCTCCACCTGGCCGCCTTCAAGGCCGCGGCAACATGATTGATTCATCGCACCCCTCATTGTTTCCTTCCGTTTCCAGATTTCAGACCTGTGCCGCAAGCTGGTGCAACACAGCCGCCCTCCCTCACGTCTCCGGCACGTTCTCCGATTTCCGTACACCAGGAAAACAGCCCCGGAGTTTCAGCTTCAGTCAAACTATGGCCACATGCCGGCGCCGGCAAAAGAAACTGATGACAACAAAATTAGTTTCGTCTAGCCGGGGCCGCCTAATGGGCCCCTCTCTGCTCGTTTGTCTTGTAAAGGGAATGAAAACCGAGCAACACCGGCATGCCCGGAACTTGGGCCGGGTATTGCCCTACCCGGTATGCCAGCAAAACGGCCTTGCCATCCCACCTGTGACCATTCCGCTTTCATCACCCCACAGGAAGCAAGATGAGGTGTAAGTCACCGCCCCCATGGTGGACCGTCCGATGAGCTGGCCAGTCGACCAAACCTGGCCATCACTGTCCATTTTCGTCCATTCAAGCCACGAACGACAACAGCAGCGTGGAGAGAGCAAAGTCAAACGACTGCAGAAATGACTTGCGCGTTTTGTCTTCCGCACTTCATGCCTGCCTTTGGCCTCCTCGAATGCGGCCCAGCCGCACGCAAGAACCCGATCTACACCTGGCCGTGCATCGGGTGTGTCGGCGATCGCGGCCTGTCCCCGTAGCCAGCACCGCGCAGGGGTCCGTCTAACCGGCGACCACTCGACAGGTGGCAATATGTTTCTCTTTATTTCCCGTCGGCCCCTGTCCTAGTCAGCCTAATCTGATGTACCCTGAACGGCCGGTACAAGCGGGTTCTCTTACACGCATGGAATGTCAGATGGCGTTCTAGAAAGTCACTGGGACCGCGCAAGGGGTGCTGCCCTATTCGAATCCGGCTCCGACAAAACCGTGGAACTATGCCGGTTAGGGACTACATAGGAATGAATCCGAACATTGGCCGGGACAAGAACTGGCTAGTCATAGGCCGCCACGTCACTTATCCCACCCGTGAACCCTACGTTGAGGCGAACAGGTCGTGTGGAGTTCATCCTGGACTCACTCACTACATGGGCCGAACCACACCACGAGTCGCCCGCCGTGTGAGCGGGGCCCGAACCTTGGAAAATGGGGAGCAGTTCATGTGAGAGCAAGTTCCTGCGACCTGACCCTGCTCAACGGCTGCTGGTCTGTGTCATTCTGGTTATGGGAGCGGAGTATGGTTGCAGCCGAGGTGCCTTAGGGCCTTCAAGATGGCCAATCCAGTTGGTCAATCCGGCCGTCGGGCTCTGAGGACAGCAAGATTGTGGGGGTTCACGCTCGCCCGGTAGACCTTGGGCACTTGCGGAGACAACTCGGCTTGCCGGCGGAGGCACGGCAACATCATCAACCGCCAAGTACCCATGCTCGACTCACGATCACGATCGACCGGTGCCTTCCTGGGAAGACTCAACGCTTGACGAGGCTGCTTCTTCTAACAGCGGCCGAGGCAAGCCTTTGCTTACATGAGCAGTACAATGACAAAATCGGGATGCGGATTCAACTGCACCCGGCCGCCACCACCACTCTAGTGTTACAAGGCACACTTCCGAGTGGCTTCTGCCTGTCGATCCGTTCTGCAGCAGAATGCGGGAATCCAATCAAGACTGAGTCCGAAAAACGGGCGGCCGGACCCGTGTGGCAGAGACAAATTCCTTTGTGACATGCCTGCGGATGAGCACCGTTGGTTCTCGCTAAGCCGAGGCAGAGCTACTCCGCGTGAAAGATTCATATGGTCAGCGGGAATCCTCGCGCGCGGGAAGCTATAGATGATCCATCGTTAAAAGACCCGTCCGACGCGAGAGGGAGGGCCGTCGTCGTTGAAGCCGATAATGCCAAGGGGCTATTTGATTTACACCTAACTTGGCAGTCCAGGGGGGTGTTGGACGGGGGACCACAACGATCCACACCTCCTCCTTACCTCACTTCTTCGGCCCTACAGGAATATAGACCTAAAAAGATAATCTCTGTTTCTTGTTTGGTGGCGGCCGCTCCCCTGGTCCCCGATGAGACACCCCCTCCCACCCCTGCCCCTCTCCGGCCCAGGTCGCGGCCACACTGACCCAGCCTAGCCGAACAGATGTTGCCATGTGGGCCGACCCGGAAGAGGCCTGGCCGGGGCACCTGCGCAAGGTTTGAACGGGTAGATCCTCTGTCGGTGATCCACAAGGCCGATGTCTCTGGTGTTAGACGGCGGGGTAGCCAAAGGGAGACGAACAGTACCAATGGATACAAACGAGCACCCCCCTGCGGTCATTGGGCTCTGATCTGTCCTGCCCGCCACAGGTCGCGACAACGCGGGCCTGCTACTAGGGTGAAGACGCGCTGTGCGTGTATGCAGGAAGACCGGCACGAAACGGGCAAAAAAAAGAATTTGTTGAGGAGAATATGCAAAACGGACACCCGACACGGCTAGCATCCTGGACGTCGGCCCAATGACAGGGGGGCTCTACGATGCCAAACGGGAGAAGCGTAATGCGGTACATACGACAAGTTTGCCCCCTTCGATATGGATGGGCAGTCGGTTCCTGATTTGGCCACCTCGGTACCCACGCAGCCCTGTCTCAAGCCAAGCGTGTGCTAATGTGGAGGTACCTACAAACGGGTCTGTACGTATGAATTCATGGCGCGGTGGGCAAGCCCGCGTGTGTGTGTGTGTGCTTGACCCCTGGCTAATGAGGCCACGAACAACGTGGCTCCTATGGCGGCCATCCACCCAGAGGAGACCTGGGTGCGGGCCAGGACAACGGGGTAATTTGCCGGGCAAGGGTGCCATCGCGCATGTTTCCCCGTGGCTGACGGGCAGGCACGCCGCACGCCCTCTGTTCGACGTGTGATCGGAAGCGTGATTGACGATGGGCGGACTGGGGGGGCGGGGAGGATACATCATCCCCGGAGGGGCCAGGGGGTAGGAGAAAGGAACTGTACTGTACATACCGGCTCGGCTTCCGTGGACGGGAACGTCTGCTTCTCGCCTGACCGTTTCTTTCTCATCATCCATCCTTGACACCGTTGGTACATGGACAGTTGTCAAAAGTCAAACATTCTCACCCCTTTGGGGAGTCGACGGGGACGACGACGTGCCGAGTATAAGACCTGTCCACGCCCTCGACGTCCAACACGAAAGAGCTCCAGCACCACCACACCAGTGACCTCGACACCAAGAAGGCGACATCGTCGCCAAGATACAAGACATTCGCCCCACGGCAGCAGCATCACAGTCGACCAGCAGAACAACCGCGACACAAGTGACGACATTCATACCTGTCAAGGTTGCCGGGGAACGTCAACCTCTCCGGTTATCAAACCGCGTCCCTGGAGCGCCAGTGTCTATTTCATCTGCCGGTTGTCAACACAGTCTCCCACGAGGTGAGTCAAGAGTTTTGTTCAGCACCAGGCAGCCAAGCCGTTGTGACACCCCAAGAACAGGCGGGCGGCCCGGGATTCTCTGCTCGCAAGGGAGGCCGTGAGAGCATGCCATTGAGCAAGGGGAAGAACACCAGGCTGATCCGTACCGTTGGTTCGTTCCGATTCGGTTAGACGCGGGCAGTATCTCGAACAGTCATCCGACGCTTTTCGTCTGCGTTCTCTGCCTCAATAAGCGAAGAGGGACGGCAAGGGCAAGCCGAGATCGAGCCGACAAGGCCGTCAAAACTACAACCCCTGAGCTGAGCGCCGAGTAATATTACGCGGCCACGACCAAACCCCCTGGACGGGGACAGCCACGGCGGACGCAACACACAAGAAAGAGACAACATCTCGAAGAAACAAAAGAACGAAATCCAAACAAGAAACCAAAAGAGAGAGAAACAAACGAGAGGCGCACAACATACCGAACCCACCCAGCCCCCAACAACCCACCAAGAGATACACACACACACACACACACACACAACATACACAACACACACACAACACACCACCACACCAAAAAGCCATGTGCTACTTCGACCACCAGCTCTGGCCGTGCGGGTGGTGGAAGTGGGGCAACTTCCGGGAGCAGTGCCCGCGCGAGTACCGGACGGGGGAGACGTGCGGGCTCAAGCTGGTCTTCAACACGTACCTGGAGCCCGAGGTGTGCCGGCACTGCGACCAGATCTACAAGAAGCAGCGCCGCGTGGCCAAGATGGACGACGACGTGCGCCGCTGGCGCGGCGAGGGCAACCGCCGCGCCACCATCGAGAAGACGGAGCGCGAGATGCTGGCCTTGAATATGCAGATTGCGGAGCTGTGGGCCGAGCATGAGGTGAGGAAGCATGCGATTAATTATTAGTGGGAGGGGGTGGTGGTTTGGTGTGTGGTCTTTGGTGTGTGGGTTTGTTGGTTTTCTTTTTCGTCTTTGGGTCTTTTCTTCTTCTTCTTCTTGTGTCCCTCTCTTAGTCGTCTCCTTTCGGCTCGTCTTTTGCTGTCGGGTCAGGCAGGGTACATGGGCGGAAAATGGAGCGGTAGGGAAAGGGGAGGAGACCCGGGAAAGGGGCCTGGTTGAGAGATGAGGGGCTTGGTAGGCCGAACAGAAGCCGAAAGGGAGCGGCACCGACGACCAGACAGCATGGAGAAGAGACGCGGATGATGCTGGAAAGAGGACAGAGCCCCGGAGCTGGGAGCCAGTCACTCGATCTGTGGTACCACGAAGGATGAGTGCCGCGGGCAGTGCTGGGGTGGTATGTGCCACCGTGCCTTGCCGGGACCAGGATGAGGTGCTTCCGGAAAAGGGGCAAACGAAAGATTCACCATGAGTGGTCAGCGATGGGGTGAGTGAAAAGGGCGGGGTCTGTCACGGGGGAGAGAGGAAGGCGACGATTCCATTCCTTATTTTTCCTTGGTTCTTTCCTTGTTTCGGGGTTTAGAGGAATCGGAGACGGATCACGGACCATTGTTACTCGAAAAGGGGAGACGGGGAGACGGGGAGACGGGCGGCCAAGGGGGTCTGCATGCCGGAATCTGCACTATCGCTGCAAGGTGCTTTCGACAAGATTCGGGAGCCAGAAGGGCAACCGTTCTATTTTCTGCTTTTGTCGTTTTCGTTTCTTAACGAGTGCGCGTTTCTGTTTCTCATGCTTGGGAGCTCTACGATGGCTATTTCGCGGTCTGGGGATCATGGCAAGAATTGGCAAAGGGACACAGGACTTTTCCTCAGCAATGGGGTTCCGGCGGGAAGGCTAAGGGAAAGACAGACTTGAAACTACTACCGGAGATGTTACTACAAAAGAGACTCAATTTCCACACAGGCCCTTGCCACCAGTTCCGCTGATTGGCGAGGTGTCCTCCCGCTGGTGCCCGACATGACGAGCCGAAGAGAGCCAAAGGGCCAAAAGATTTCCCTGCACATGGTTCAGTCTGAGCCTTTGTGCCTTGGCCTTTCTCGTCAACAGTTCCCAGTCTACGCCTCCGCGGGGAAAGCTCTCGTCTCGAATCCTCGGCGGTGAGCGGGCATGAGTAAGAGTGCAGAAAGGCGGAAGCAGCCTCCGGCTGCCCAGAAAGCGGAGCATCAGACTGCAGATCCGGGAGTGATTCCACTGGCTTCTCTCCCCGCCATCGGGCCCTTCGGCAGGGCGATGACGTGGGGTACTGTGGCCAAGGGTGGGCCAAAGGATGGGCGAGAAAGGGAACACCACAGGCGGTAGCCGGCGCGTGCTCCGCCCACGGCGCTCGGTCTTAGAGGTAGGTCCGCCGAGTTTCCTTATCTGGTAGGCCATTGTAACACATGTAGCCGGAGAGAGAACAGGGCGGATGGGCTGCCTGAACGAATAGGAAGAGCAGAGCTGGCTGGGGGGGGGGGGGAGGGGGGCGGGCGGGGACGTATGTAGCGTGGGCGGCGTCGTGTCTCACATCGGAATGTTGAGCTGGGAGTGGACGGGCGGGTTTTCCTCGCTTCGAGAGGGGCGAGGGATGATCGAGAGAATACCGCAACCGTAGCAAAGGAGGCAAGCACCGATAGGCAGGACACATCAGGGTTTTCTCTGGCTAAAAGCTGACAGATGGCCGTGGCGATGCGGGATCTGTCTGAACCGAAAGGGATCACCAATGGACGCCGTTCTGCTTGGCCAGGTCGTGTCGGCAAGGTTTCAACAGGCCGAAAGACGAGTTCTGGGGGAAGGCGGGCCCTGAGACCTGGACGAGAAGGTTGGGGGAACACTCCAAGTGTGGGTGGGACAGGGTAGGGGTCCGAGAGTGGCGGGTAGCAGTCTGGGCCGCTCTGTGTTCGCACTCCTTCCTGGAAGTTCCCGGTGGCTGCTGAGCGCAGAGCTGAGTGACGTGACCTCTTGGCTGCGTTGTACGCGCTTGCCGTCGCCTGCTGCATATCCTTCCAAGTCTAGTGGACATCCCGCGTCCATATGCCTCAGAACCTCCCCCCCGCCTTTCTCGATTCGTGGTGACCCCCGTTCCTCTTCCGATAGCCATCTGCGGGCTGTAGGTCGCTTAATGGACCGGAGGACGAGCCACATACGGTGTTTCGCGTCAGGTCCTTATCGTCCGAGCCAGTGTCGCCAGAGTCAGGGTGGTATCGTGGTTGGTAGACTAGCGAACATGGAGCGACGTGCCGTGGGTCAGGGGGGTGGAGGAGATCCGGGGCGCACGCCCTGCCCAGGTAGGTGAAAGCGGTAGCCGCCGACAGCGGACGCCGTCGAAGGGGTCCATGGGAGCGGAGAGGTCTGTTTATACAAGAGTCCCCGCCGTTATGGGGCATTCGCATCCCTTATGCACGTGGCTGATGGCATATGGGCGTGTGACCTCCCACATGCCCTGTTTAGCGTGACCCGCACGACGGAGGCGCAACAACAGCCCTTGATTGGCTAGTAGAGGGCCAGAGAAGAGCCAGTCCGAGACAAAAGGGAGCTTTTTGATTGAATTGTGCGGTACGACGGGTACGAACTGCACGGCACATCCTTCCATATCCCTTGGCCTCCACACCACCAGGGCGACAGGACGCCGTGCCATGACCTTACCGAGTCGTCGGGAATGAAACAAAAAAGAGCCGGTATCCTGCCTTCATGGGTATCATCAAGTGTTTCCAACCAGACCATCCCGTGTTGCCACGTTGGTCCTCGCCGCACTCTCGGGAAACATGGATGGGGGTCGGACCTCGGGCATGCCGGCAGTGGGTAGGGCGAATGCAAGAATTTCGAAGGAATGTACTGGCATCAGGTGGCATAGGTCAGCAGGCCCCCCTACGCCGAGCTGTGCGCGAGCCCGCCCACTAGTCTATCAGCTGATAGCGAGCGCCGCATCCTGACCGGGCGGGAGCGCATCAGAGCATGGCGGCAGCGGCATCGGCAAAGTTGCCGACGAGGCTGTCGCCGCCCTCCACCTTGATGGGCACATCCCCTTGTTGCATCTCGATGGTGTCGTCGTCCGGGGAGCCCCAATCAACGCGGGCCACGGAAGGAAGGTCGTCATGGGAAGATAGCTTGGAGAGGAGTGTTTGGTACCGCACAGTGGTGGCGTCCTGGCCGACATAAACGTAGGGGCCTGGGGCGGGCTGGGTGGTCTTGTCTTGGGGCACGATCTCGTAGATGTCGACCATGGCACTATACAGCTGGGTCAATAATGCATCGTCCCAGAGCCGTGGAACCGGGAGCGGGGGTGATGGGGGTAATGGGGGCAACGGGGGCAACGGGGGCAACGGGGGCAACGGGAGATCCGGAGAACGGGAGGGGTGAGGGGTGACATACTCGGATGTGCGCGCCACCACCCTCTGCAGAGCCTCAATCTCTCTCTGGACTTCCTGTGGATCCTCCTGACCCATCATGTGTTGTTGGTCGAAGCTGCCATAGTGTAGGTTGTTCGGGTCGTCGAAGAGGTGCCGGGCTTCGTCTTCCTCCTGCACACAAGCGGCGTCAGTCAACCTCGGTAGTCATGATTGAATCGCAGGCGAGGGTACATACGTCATCGTATACATCGCGACGGCGGCTGCCGAGGCAGGAAGAGCAGTTCCCCATGACGTCGTCTCGTCTGGGGTCGGTCGGTCGCAAAGCAGTCGCCGAGGCAAAAAGAATTGGAGCAAAAGTTGTCGCAAAGCGCAAGGAATGACAGGAAGGTCGGAAATAACAGCAATTCCCGCGCGGGGGAAACTAGCGCGGTCGGTTCATAAGGAAGGAATTCCAGGCGAGAATTGAGCAATTCAAATCGATCAATGGTGGGATGTTGACGATGTTTTCGAGATGCGGTTGTCGCAGCGTTGGGGCGGCGCTAAGGAGGTTTCTTGGGACGGAACTGGAGTCGCTGCTCAGGTTTTTCGACCCCATCCTTGCTCGTTCCTCGGCTGCCTTGGAGCTGGTACCCAATCACTCAATTGATGCAGGGGCGGCCCGGACCCCGACTTTGCCAAGGGGTGCTGCTGTGCACGAGCCATATTAGATCGTGGGAGCACGGGCTGCCTTCTTTCCAGGCACGCCAGGCACGAGATGCCCGTGGATGTTAAACCTGCCTGAGGTGTAAATTTGGTGAGGTCGCGGCCTCTTTCCATCCAGAGGTACTTTTCCTGTCAAATTTTCACAGTAACCTCCTCAAGGATGAATTGAACCCCACAATTGGCTGAGGTGCTCGCCGAAGCTCCTTCGCAAACAGACCTTGTTTGCGTCTGTCGCGGAAATTGCGAAGTCTCGCCCGTCACATCCTCCAGCAAGCGCACAGTTAACTATCTCCCCCACTCGGGAGCTGCTGCACCACTCACTGCGCGAGTCTACACTAACGAGCTTCTGGTGGCCCACGGCATCCACCAATCTCAACCATCACAACCCGGCATCAGTCGGAGGGTTTTGACAAGTTGAAGCGCAAAAATGGAGATATGCGCATGGAAAAAAGAGCTTTGCACTGGGCGCGCCTCTGAGCAAACGGCTAATCTCGATTTAAAACCCCACGGTCCCCGCGATGATCATCACCATCCTCCCTGCTTTTGCACTCTAATTCCTGCCAAGCACATCTCAAATCACCGACAGCTGCAGTCCGGCAAACACGCCCGATGCTGGCCAATCTTGGTCCACCCCCACGGTGATCGAGGCGCCACTGCAGCGATGATCGACCACTCGGCGCCAACCCCAGACATCCCGGCATCCCGGCTTCTCGTTCACTTACACAGACCAACATCACGATCAACATGGCCCGGAGCAGAGTTGGGACGGGCTTGAGGTGTTTATCTTGCGCCTTGGCCCCAGCTTCCGAGGCGTTGTTCAACCTTTTTCGTCATACCGACTCTCTCTCTCTCTAGGCGGCCCGATACATACGGAGACAGTAAAGAACACTCGGCGAGGATGCCAAACCGAACTCTCCGTCAACCAGAGGGTGCAGTACCGCCGGCGGCGTTCCTCTTCCACTCGGCCTGGCCCCCAACCTCGGAATTCCACATTCGAGGGTCGTTGATGCACCGCCAGACGGACGGGACCACTTGCGGCGCCGACGAAACGACATGTCCTCAAGGTGGCTGGTGTTGTAAGTCAGCTTCCCGGTCGAAGGAGACTTCAACTGGCCTGGTGTGCTCTGTTGAGCGACAACATCGCTAACCATATTCCCGACATTTAGGCGGCGCTGGTGAGACATGTTCTATCGACAACGGAGCCTTCTTTTGCTGCCCTGCAGGCGCGGGTGCTGGCTGCGCGCGGGTTTGCGCAGTTGGCGACTTCCAATGCGGTTCTATTTGCTGTGCAAACGGGCAGACGTGTATGGGGGCCGATACGCTGTCGCCGTTTTGCGTCATTCCGGAGCCAAGTTCGGTTGCGCCGACAACGACCCCCTCCAGTCGAACAACGACAACCTCCCAGCCGTCGTCCACCAGTTCAAGCAGCAGCATATCCACATCCACCACGCACACATCAAAACCCACATCAACTGCGGCACACTCCTCTACCACCATCGCCGCCTCCCCAACGGCAACCGATCAACCTTCACCTCCCAAGGCCACCGACACCTCCACAACTTCGGCAACTCCGCAGCAAGGAGGCCTCACGCACCCGGCCCAAATCGCAATCGGCATCATCGTCCCCATCGCCGTTGTCTTCCTGGTCGGAGCTCTCTGGTTTCTGATATTCCGCCGGCCTGGCCGGGGCCGCGGACACCGCAGGGGGGGCACGGGAGACACGAGCTTTGGCTTCGGGACGGGCTCGCGTGGGCCCACACCTCCGCCGGCATATTCCAAGGCCGGGCTGGACGCGACCTCGGAACCACCGTTGTCGATGCATGAGCAGTACATGATGGAGGCCAACGCCGAGAGGGGGAGGGAGGGGCCGGCAGTTGGGGAGGGGTTCGAGATGGCGGATCTGAGAACGGAAGGGCATCCGACCGCGGGGCAGACGGGGGTTCATACGGATACACAACCCGGGGCGGGCCCCGGTGATGTGTCACCCCTTTCCGATGACTCTGGATCGAGGGGGCGAGCGTCGCCTCACCCGGGCATCGCGGTTGCTGTTTAGGTTTTGTGCAGTTGTGAGTCGCGCTCTGCCCTAATATTAAATTCTAATACTTAATTACGATCCAATAATCATTGGGAGTGGCGAGTCGCAGCTCGTAAGTGTGTGTGACTGTCCCGGCCAGGAACCACGCGTGCGTGGACCCTGGGTTAGGGTCAATTAAGCAAGCCATGGTTGGCGCTGACGGTTTGTTGTTTGATATCACCCACTCAACCAACGAACAGACCAACCAAAGCGAGGTTGGAATCCAGATTCCGTGACCCTGTTCCTGCCAAGCCGACACAGACGCTAAATTGAGGACATGTTTGGGGGCCACTGAGGGGGAGAACATGGGATCAAAGAAGTACCTACTGTGGAAGGTAAGTACCCAAGTAAGCAGGTTCAAAGTTGAAAGAACGTTGACTCACGCCGTGCTACATGTGTGGTGCGTCATTGCCGTCCTCACCAACGACTTCTCGTCTATAAAAACAAAACGGCAGGCCCCCTCCAGAGTAGATTGTTTTTTTCCGTTTCATTCTTCTTCTTCTTGGTATCACTCGCCAATACCATCTCTCCTCGTTCATCACTGACTTGCTCATCCCATACATCTTCTCCCACTGGGGATGCCCCTGAAAAACAACCGATACACCAAGCTTACCCGCCTATTTTCGAGATCTAAGACTACCAACATGGCGACTACCGATAATATGGCTACCGACAACTCGGCTGCCGCGCACCCAGAGTACGATCTCTTGATCGTCACCGATGCTACGGCCTCGATGAATTCCTTCCTCAGGTCGCTCAAGAGCTCGTTGAACGACATCATCCGCATCTCGGCTACAACCGCCTGCTTTTCTCGAATCGGTGTTCTCGGATACAGAGACTACCACAGCGGCATGGCAGTCACCGAGTGGTCTGGATGGCACAGCCGCGATGCCCAATCGGAGGTGTCTGGGGCGGGATTACTGGCCTTCGTCGACGGACTCAAGACTGGGCCCGGTGTTGACTGGCCCGAAGCGGTGAAGACCGGCCTTGCTCTCGCCTATCAACTCATGCGCCCGACGGCGAAGACGATCATCCTGATGTATGCCGATGCCCCCCCGCACACGGAGCTGACAGGAGGCTTGTGGCAAACGGAACTGGACAAGCTCCGCGAGCCCGGGGTTTACGGCGGGAATGGGAAGCTCTTTGAGGACTGGACCTCGATCTCCCGAACCCTGAGCGAAGGCGAGAAACAGGCACAAGTGTTCAGCATCATCAAATCGAACAACTACGGGTTAACCTACGAACCCGATCCCATGTTTCTGTACCTCTCGTCGTGCACCGGGGGCGTCTGCATGGCGCTCCGGGCGAGCCCAACGCCGACCACCATTTCCGAGGTGACCATCGGCCTTCTGTTAGCTTGGATGGGTGCGACCAAGCAGGGCGCTACACTGGACACAAGGGCCGTCGCTGACCACTTACGCTACCTCGACGGCAGCAAGGTCAACCAGCTCACGTCGGAAAAAGACGAAACCGGCGTTCGTTATCTGCCCATTTCCACCGCAGCCGCTGACGAGCACGCTCTCAGGGCTAACATCGCTCGCCTTGGGGTCTCACTGGAAACCATGTCCCAGGTCGTCCCGACCCGAGAGCCCCCGGTCATGGACTTCGCCAAGAGGTACAAGGCTGACCCCGAATATCAGGGGATCGTCATCGAGCAGCTGACCGACATCATCGAGTCCGACGTGTCCGCCCTTGCCGTCAACCCCGTCTTCGGTGCGCTCTGGAGGACGGTCTGCAACGACCGGCTCAACCCTGCCCGCGATGGGCTGATCACTAAATTCGGCTTGGAGGTTGACAGGATTGCGGATGCGAGCAAGAAGGACCGCTTGAAGCAGTGGTTGGAGGAGTCGTACGACTTCGCGGCAGAGATTGCCGAGATGATCGGGGCGGTGCCGGAGGAATCCCGGTATCCATGCGTCTTCCTCGACCCCACGGTGCGGTTCGCGCCCGCCGAGGATGCAGAAGATGACACGGAGAACTCAAACTCGATGGAGTTCTCGCGCGACGAGTTGCTAGAGATCGGGCGGTCCTGCGACTACCGCATTCTGCGTCGACTCGGCCGCATTCTCACCCGCCTAACGTACGTGAACTCGAAGGAGGACCTCCCTGCCCATGTCAAGGATGTCTCGGAAACCGAGCTTCCCAAGATTCCCATCGTACTGGCGCAGCCTGAACACAAGAGAAAGTTCTGGAAGGCACTTCTGCACACAGTCCTTCCTGGGACCATGCTGGGTGCCCGCCCCGCAGCGTTGTTGGCAGCCCTCAGCGTGCGGATGGGGATCAAGCCCCTTGAGGAGGCGGCCTACACCGAGCTTATGGCTTGGCGGGACAACTGGAACACACTTGATGTCCCCGAAACGTGGAGCTTGGGCTGTCTCGGCCTTCTTCTAGAGGCCGACAAGAAGCACCGGCAGCTGGCGGTGGAAACCCAATCAGCCGTGACAGGCGGTGAAACCGTTCTGAAGGAAGAGGATCGCAAACTGTTTGAGACCCTCGTCGACTACAAGCTGCTGGAGATGAACCTGTCTACGACGCTCACGGCAGAGGTTGGCTGGACCCCGAACAAGAGCAAAGCGCCTCTAGGGCCGGTTGTAACCTGTAACGCTTGCGAGTTCCCCCGATCAGTGACGGTTATGGCCGAAGATGGCATGTGCGGGCTGTGCTCGGCAGCTCGCGAGATCGAGGACAAGGAATCACGGGAGGCCCTCGTGAAAGGGGGCGTGTCTAGTTCCGATAACAGCAGCACCGCAATAGCCTGGAACGAGTGCTCCATGACGGACTGCAGGGCACAGTACGTGTTGTACCACCCGGAAAGCCTCAATGTCCGTCCCAAGTGCCACTACTGCCGACAAGTCGGCAGAACTTCTCAGACGGACCCCAACTACAAGGCCCTCACAACTGCCCCCTGCGTCACCTGCATCCAATGCACCAACCGCATCATCTGGCCCGTCGCCTACCGCCCATCCTCCTTCGACGAATCCACCTACAAATGCTCCGCCTGCACCTCGGGCGCCAACCTCACCATCACCACCGTCGAGACGACCGCGTCGTCACTCGCCGAGGAGAACGGCACGGCCTGGCTCCTCCGCAACGACGACGCCACCATCCCCACCCCCTTCACCAACCGCTCCCTCTACCGCACCATCAGCACCCTCCCGGACCCCGCCACCCGCACCACCCTCATCCCCACCAACGTCGCCATCCTCCCGCACACTCAAACCACCCTCACCCACCGCGGCAAACCAATCCACAACACCCCCCACCTCCTCTCCACCCTCACCTCCTGGATCACCGCCCGCCGCGCCCAAGCCGGCACCTGCACCCTCTGCTTCACCACGCACCCCAAACGCGCCCTGCACCTCGCCTGCGGCGGCCGCCGCGGCTGTGCCGAGCGCGTGTGCACTGCCTGCGCAGCGGCCTGGTACGGCGCCAACCGGCCGGGGCGCGTGCTCAATACCGCCGCGCTGACCTGTCCGTTCTGCAGGCGGCGGCCGGCGGCCGGGGCGGCGGCGCTGCCGCGCGCGGTCAGGTGTCTTGCGGGGTTGAGGGAGGCGGTGGGGGAGGCGGGGGAGTGGGTGTATGCGTGGTGTGTGGATTGTGGCGGGGCGAAGAGGTATGTGGAGAGGGTTTGTGCGCACGGGGCGCCGGAGGGGGTGGAGGGGTGGCGCTGTGAGGGGTGTGTTGCGGCGGCGGTAGCTGCGGCTGCTGCCGCGGGTGGGGATGGTGGTGATGATGGGGAGGGGGGTGGTGTGAGGCTGGTGGTGAAGGAGTGTCCTGCGTGTGGCGTGGCGACGGAACGCACGGCGGGGTGTGACCATATCTCGTGTCCGTGTGGTAAGCATTGGTGCTTCAACTGTGCGAAGATGGTGGCGGATACGTCTGGTGCCGTGTACAAGCACATGTCGGCGGTGCATGGTACGTGGTTTGAGGGTGAAGAGGGGGTTGGAGATTATGAGGATTATGAGTTTGAGGGGGAGGAAGACGGGGAGGGGGAGGATGAGGTGGTTTGAGTAGCCGGGAGAGAGCGGTGAAGAGTGGAGAGAACGTACCTACCTACCTAGTTAGTGGACTGTAATCGCGAAAAGAAAACTTGTAATTGTATTCCGGTCCCGCCCCGTCTTGTTTGCGACGTGAAACCTTGGGCTTCTGAAGATTTCACAATAATCCCCTTTCGACACATTTGTTGGAAAAACTACAACCAAAGTTTTCTACCTGCGAGATGTAGCCATTTGTATTTAATCGTCTTCGGGTTTGGGGGTCGGGGGTGCTTGCGTTTTTGCCATGCAAACGACACCAATCTTGGGCTCACCGTTCATCTACTTGGGGCCAAAGACATGGGCATCATACCAGAGAGAATTGAACCTCAATAAACATGACCCCGGGACTGAACATCGCGTGCCTGTTTCTCCTATCCGTTTCCCTTTTGCGTCTCATGTTGGGTGGCATTCAGGGGCTGCAAGGTGGGGCTGTTTACTCGGGTTGCTAGGGCAATTCACGGAAACCCAAAGGTCAAGAACAAGTCGTGGCATTGTCGGAACTATCTCGACGCGCTTTCGAGAGCGCACAATGAAACCATCTTTTGTAGACAGCAATATTAAGAGCTAGAGTAACAGCAAATATCCGTACAAAGTAGTCTTGCGGAAGACCTCACAACCCCCACCGGCATCCCTTGGCGATGCCCCTTTTTGTGATAAACACTCCGCATCCCAGTCCAACCCATTTCCACCCAAGTCCCGGGCACATACAGGCCCCAAATGTATGTCAATGAGATCCACCAGATCGACACAAGACATTCAGTGCCTAGCCAAGGTCCACAAACTCGGCCGACAGAACCAGCAGCCTGATCAAACCCTGCCGCGCCCACCCATAATCCGGACCGTAACCGTGGTATTGTACGCCATCCGTGACACCCGACTTCCGTGACAGACACCCGAGTTGACCGACCGAAAAAAAACAGAGGAACGAAGAAAACATGAAACAGAGAAGAAACACCCCTTCCAGCGACGCGGCATCACACACACCCACCATCAAGCATCGCCAAACGCCGTGTCCGAGTACACGGTCCCGCGGTCGCCAGCGATGCCATTCACCTGCCCAACACCGAGGGTCGACATGCTGTCGGCCTGCGAGGCATCAAAGCCATTGCCATACTGCGACTGCGAGGCCGCCGCCGCCGCGGCCAGCTGCTGCTCGTGGGCGCGGCGCTCCAAGTTCACAATGATATCCATGGCGCCGTCGAGCGTCTCCTTCTCAGCGCGCAGATCGCGGCGCTTCTGCTCGATCTCGGGACCTTCCGACATGAGGCGCTGCAGGACGGCCTGCGCGGCGGCGCTGGTGGTCAGGCCGAGCTTCTCGTGCAGGTAGGTGTCGATGACGGAGGCGACGCGCGGGAGCAGGCCCGACATGACGTGGATGGAGACGTAGTCGACGAAGCGGTTGGCGGCGGTGAGGTAGTAGCCGCGGATGTAGGCCGCCACGGCGAGCTCGGGCTCGAAGGGGTCCGGGCCCAGGTTCTTGAGCTCCTTGGCCATTTTCGTTTCCTCTTGCTTCCTCTCCTCGTCGGTCATGTCCTCCATCTTAGGGACGGAACAGACCTCCTCGCCGTTGTGGGCGGCGATCCGGAAGTGGTTGCGGTGCCGCACGAGGATCCTCATCTCGGCGGCCTGGTTGCGCTTGAGCGCGTCTTCGTCTTTGGTGAAGAGCCGTTTCGACTCGAGGTTGTAAATGAACTCGAGCTGGATGCGTAGCTCCGTCCGGTGCGCCTCGATGAAGGCCCGCATGTGCTCACGTGACTCCTTGTAGACGGCTCGGTTCTTGAGGTGGGCGAACGCGGCGTCGAGGATAGTGAAGATCTCGGTCTGGAGAAGGGTGAGGGTGTTGTCGACGAACTTGTGTAGATGCCGGTCCCAGCTCTTGGCAGCTTCGGTAAACAAAGGCTCGTAGACGGTGGCTGACACGAGACCGGGTTGGCCTGGGACTGCGGCACGCCGGATAAGCTGTCGGATATCCATCAGGCTCTTGGACCGGCCGCCCCGAGAAGGCGTCATAGCCGGCGTTGAGCTTCGCGCATGGCGGGGTGTCGAGGGGAATATCGGGTTGTCCTGCGACTCGGTCTTGATGACATTCACATGCCGCTGCCTCTTGGGAGTGGCCTGCGTCATGTCCACGGCCGGGGCCGGGCGTTTCCGAATGGTCGGCGACGGCGTGGGGCTGTCGCCGTCGAGATCGATGACGACTGGCGGCTTCGAGGCCTTTGCGTGCTCCCGGACGTTAAACTTGGGCTTCATGTTGATAATGAAGGTCTTGAAGGGCTCTCCGTAAGTGTCGTCCCAAATGCTCATGAAGTCCTGGTGGAGGACGCGGTCCTTGACGCGAATAGTGAACTCCGCCAGACTTTTCATGATCTCTAGCTCGGGGTTCGGCGGGGGATCCGGATACTTCTTGAGTTGCTTTCCGATGTCGACGAGTCGAGTATCTACTTTGTGCTTCACTTCCGGCAGGCTAAGACAAGGTCAGGTACATACTCGAGGACAGCGGTAGTTATCGAACAGACTCACATCTTGGCAAACTCTTCGCCCAGCTTTTCGGACAGGAACACCTTCAACTTCTCAACGCCACACTTCTCCTTGAAGTTGTCGAATACTTCGGGCCATTGGCCCGTGGCATCCGCGGTCCGGTTGAAGAAGGATTCTTCCATCTTATTTTGTTCCTCCAGGTCGCTACCCTGGCGAGAAGTAATAAAATAACCATAACCGGTTTGGTGGGCTTCTCCCTTGAGCATACCGAGCCAACCTGTAGCGGCATGGTCGTCATTCGGCAGTAGATCGGCCTTGGTCATGACGCCAATACAGCGGTTTTGGGCCCGTTGGCCCCTGATGATCTTGAGAGCGAGGGAATTTTCCGTATCTTGGTTCATCGGGACCGCGCACAGGATAATGGCGCTCGGACGCGAGATGTACTCGCGGGTCAAATTCTGAACGACGCGCTCAAGAAAGATATCCTCGCTGCGTCTGGCGGTCATAAACACACCGGGAAGGTCGTAAAAGTTTAGATCTGCCAGATCGGGTCCCTTCACCTCCAGTGCAACAGTATTCGGAGAGAACTGCGCTTCAGCTCTCTCCTCTTTTTTCGTGACCTGCTCAAGATGCTGCTCCCGAGTGTTGTCGGGGACCTCGCCCTTCAGCTTCGGGATAAAAAACTGGTAGGGGGTCGACGGATTGAGTATCGCGACCTGGGCGCAGCGGAGAACGGTTTCGATTTCCTCGGAGTCGAACTGGTCCCTCACGGTCTTGAATTCGCGTCGTGCTTGGCGACTGGGGTCGAGCTTGGCCCACGGTGGGAACTTGTTGTTCCCAGTTACGTCCCGTTCCGTGAGCGGGTGGTTGGGTGGGCAGAAATCGTAGTCTTGCTTCAAGAATACGCGACACGACCACTCATCGGCGCGGGAGACACGGATGTGGATCGGGCATCTCGTGCAGGTGCCGCTGCTACGAGGGAGGCTGAGGCCCGCGATGGCGGACATTAGGCTCGATTTGCCGGAGGACTGGTCGCCGACGAGGACTAGCTCTGGCAAGCTTGCAACATGCTGGATGCCGCGGGCTTGGAGCTCGCCCAATGCATCGTTGATGTCCTTCAGCTTCTGGCCCATGCCGCGAAGTGCTCGATTTGCGCCAACGAAAGAGCTTTGGACACTCTGCGAGCCCATGGGGTGGTTGATGTCATGTTCCGACTTTGGGCCACGCCGAAACTCCACGAAGAGCAGGTCATTATCCTCACCATCCGGGCTCCCAGGTGGGCCAGACGCGGTAACAGGCCGTACACGCGTGTCGATGCTCGCTATCACAAGTTAGTCGTTTTTTTGCCACGCAAATCGGGGTCAAAGATAGCACTTACGTGCAGCCGATCGGACTGGACGCTGTCTCTGAACCCGCTCACTAAGCGTTTCGGACTCGGCATCGGGAATAGAGTCAGGAGTGGCCATCGAACGGACTCGGCCGCCTTCCTGCTTGATTCGCGGCATTGCCACGGCTTGGGTGGACGTGACGTCTAATGAACTGTTGGTCAAATGCAACAAATTGATCGGAGTGGCGGATGGAGACGGAAAATGTTCCAAGTAATCTGTAAATGGTCGCAACTTGCCTGTTTCGACCGACTTGTTTAATTCGGCCAATCGCCGCCGGGATCCTGGAGTGCTGTCCGACTTCAAAAAAGAGAGCGGGTGTAGGGCAAAGAAGGTATTCAGAGCCAAAAAAAAAAGAAAAGAAAAGAGGGTTGGGTATTTGAAGTGACGGAGGCGAAGCCCGCTTGCGAGTAAAGAAGGTGGAATTCAGAAAGAGGGTGTGGAAGAAGTGGAAGACTTTGAAGCGAGTGAGAGATGGAAGGAACCAAGATAACGAATGAGAGGAAGAGAGGCAACAGTTTCAATGGTTTGATGATTCGACGGCCGCGGGCGCGCAGAAAGCCGAACTCGAACTGCACTCCGACCGAAGATGGCGATTGTTAGCAAAAGACCACAACCTGCGAGGCCGCAGTAACAAGTTTGATCTTGGTCTGGAGAGTTCCCAGAGTTTGACGGTTGCTCGAAAGGGGCTGGAAGTTGTGGGTCTGAAGCAAGCTCGCGATTGGATCCTGGTTGCGCGGTGCAACGCGTTTGTTGACCGCGTTTTCACGCAAGCACTCCGAATTTCTGCGGGGCACCGTGATTTTCCTCGGAACGGAACTGGCAGAGTTCCCGTCATCCAGCCATGATGGCACAAGGTTTCTTTTGCAATGCATCGTGTTTTTGCTTTTTATTTTTATTCAAATAGTTACACCTCTCTCTCCATACTCACCAAAAAAATGGTCGGTTATTAGGCAATTACCTGGAACAGTCATCGTCGAAGTCAACTCGACCAGCAATGACACTCGAGCAATCAGGTCAAAAAGTTTGCCTATTTTGTCTTGAGCTTCCATGAATTGTGCTCCAAATGCGGCCAAAGGATGGCTCGTTCACGTGGGGAGCTGTTGAATTTGAGTCGGTGCTTTTGGCGCAAGCACATCGCTTTTGAATGAGGGGCAACGCACGGGCCATGCAACCAGCTCGACCCCTACCAGGTAAGGTAACAGCGCTCCAGGGACTTGGGCCCCATCTGGCATCGTCGAGAAAGGCTGTCCTTCCTTTGCCTCCTCAGTGGCTTCCTCATTATTCAGACCCCTTCCGAGTATCGACAAAGCCCAGCATCACACACTCGCCATGTCTCTCCAGATTCCGCACCGCGAAAAGTCCAACGGCGCTGGCGGCGCGACGAAGGCCGTGATCCTGGTTAGTGGATGGCGGGGAATTGGGGGGCAATTCGATTGCTGCCACACCGACTTTGAAGTCGGAGGAGGATTTTGAGGACGAATTGTTGACGCAATGATTAGGTCGGAGGTGCCTCGCGTGGCACTCGCTTTCGCCCGCTCTCCCTCGACGTTCCTAAGGTATGCGCAAACCTCGATCCCTTGCGCTCTGTGACGGCGACGCTAACCTGACCATCCCTACAGCCCCTCTTCGAAGTCGCCGGCCACCCCATCATCTGGCACTGTCTGACTGCCATCGGAAAAGTCCCCTCCATCCAGGAAGTCTACCTCATCGGGTACTACGAGGAATCCGTCTTCCGCGACTTCATCAAGGATGCCGCGACCGAGTTCCCCAACCTCGCCATCAAATACCTCCGCGAATATCAGGCGCTGGGTACTGCTGGCGGTCTCTACCACTTCCGCGATGCCATCCTCAAGGGCCGCCCCGAGCACATTTTTGTTTTGAACTCGGACGTCTGCTGTAGCTTTCCGCTCAACGAGATGCTCCAGCTAGCTCAAGAGAAGGACGCCGAGGCCGTCATTCTGGGGACGCGTGTTAGTGAGGAGGCCGCCACCAATTTCGGTTGCATCGTGTCCGACTCGCACACCCGCCGCGTACTGCACTACGTCGAGAAGCCCGAGAGCCATATCTCGAATCTCATCAACTGCGGTGTCTACCTTTTCTCCGCCGACGTGCTCTTCCCCTCGATCCGCAGCGCCATCAAGCGCCGCACCGACCGTCCCCGCCTGGCTTCGTACCGCTCCTCCGACAACCTGGCGAGCTCCTTCATGATCGATGACGACGAGGAAAACCAGAAGAACGAGGTCATCCGCCTCGAGCAGGACATCCTCGGCGACATGGCCGACAGCAAGCAGTTCTTTGTATACGAGACCAAGGACTTTTGGCGCCAGATCAAGACCGCTGGCTCCGCCATCCCCGCCAACGCCCTTTACCTCCAGAAAGCCCTCCAGAGCGGGTCCAAGGACCTCGCTGCCCCCTCCGCCAACATCATTCCTCCCGTTTACATCCACCCCTCCGCGCAGGTGCACCCCACTGCCAAGCTGGGCCCCAACGTTTCGGTTGGTCCGCGCGCCACCATCGACGCCGGCGCCCGCGTCAAGGAGTCGATCGTCCTGGAGGACGCTGAGATCAAGCACGATTCTTGCGTGCTGTACTCTATCATTGGCTGGAGCAGCCGCGTGGGCGCGTGGGCCCGCGTCGAGGGCACGCCCATGCCGGTGACCAGCCACAACACCAGCATCATCAAGAACGGCGTCAAGGTACAGGCGATCACCATCCTGGGCAAGGAGTGCGCCGTCGGTGATGAGATCCGCGTACAGAACTGCGTCTGCCTGCCATTTAAGGAACTGAAGAGGGTGAGTGTCCACGCGGACTGGTTTGTATGATCTAAGCTAACTCGCCTGCAGGACGTTGCCAACGAGGTGATCATGTGAGAAGGTCATAAAAGGGGGAGATACCCGAACGGCTACGCCCAGGGGGTGCCGAGGACCAACCTTTCTGCAATTCTCTAGCGTGCTACAATGCGAGGTCATCAAAACACTAATAGACGGATGGGCCAGATCGTTCTTGGCTTACACTTCATCACGACGTGCCAAATCAGGGATTTTGGCCACCGATGAGCACTGCGACACTACTATGCATGGTGGAGACCGTTAGTCTTCCATAGATGGAAATAGACAGGTTTTCAAGTGCCATCCACTGCACCCGTGACGGCACGGCATCGCTCTTCTTAAGGTCAATACAGCCCTAACATAAGAAAGAAAGACAGAACTCAAGTTACATCCAACGCCCATCCAAACTCATCAAGTCGTAAACATCTCTCCAGCACAAGCGGCCACAAGACCAGCCACACCTGGGCACACCCGACCACAACCGACCTCCACAACCGACCTACCGCGACCCCCGTCCCCAATCAGCAACCAACAATCACCGACCCCCCGTCCGCGTGCCAACATCCCGCAGCACATAAATCTGCCCATACAAATCCGTCACCCGCACAAACAACCTCAGCGCCCCCACCAGCCTCGCGTCCCCAACCTCCTCCTCCAGCATCTCCACCGCCGTCTCCAGCCCGCGCCGCTCATACCCCGCAAGCCAGAGCAACTCCTCCTTGGGGTCTCGCACCTCCTTTTTGGGGGCACGTCCCTTTTGAGTGGAGAAAAGGGGAGAGGGAGTGTGGGGAGGGGGGGAGGACATGGCGAATTCCGGGAAGTTGAGCGAGTTGAGTGCGCGCTCGTCGGCGTCGCGCCCGGCCGACCCGGCGTCGTTGTACATGCGGCAGAGGCTGGCGAGGTGGCGGGCTGCGGATTCGGTGAGGTAGCTGGTGCGGGTGGAGGCGGTGAAGAGCGTTGGGATTTTGGAGGAGGGGGTGGTGGTGGTGGTGGTGGTGGGCTTCTTGGGAGTGGGGGGTGCGGCGGCGGCTGCGTGGACGAGGCAGTCGAAGAAAACGAAGGAGAAGGGGCAGGAGGTGTGGTCGGCTGAGGTGCTGCGTACCCAGTGGTAGAATGTGCGGCCGGGGCTGTGGTAGGTGGGGGTGGAGGTGGTGGTGGCGGTTGTGCCGTTGGTGTGGCCGTTGGAACCGTTGCTATGGCCGTTCGTGTTGCCGTTAGAGTGACCGTTTGAGTGGCCGTTGCTGTGGCCGTTTCCATTCCCGTTGGTACTGCCATTCCCGTTCCCATGGTGGGAGGCTGCCTGCGATTGATCCAACTGGGCGCGGAGACGGTGGTTGTCTTCAGCGTGGGTGATATGGGCGAGGAGGAAGGTCTGCAGCTCAAACGCGAGTCGGGTTTGAAGGCTAACTGGGCTCGAGAGCACCGCCGGGTGGTGGAGGATACGCTTTACGAACCGGCCGAGGACGGCCTTGACGTCTGCGACCGTCGGCTGTGAGGCTCCTCCAGCTTGTTCGTGGGTCGAGTCTCCATTACGACCGTTGGTGTCTGGTTTGGTGCTGGACCTAAGCTGGACCTCGGTGAACAGCTCACGAACGACACTACGGACAGAGTCGAGCTCCCCCTCAAAGTGCTGTTCCACAACACCTTCCATGTATTCATCCGCATGGAAGTTCAGAATGGACAACACCATCATCTCGTACAGGACCGAGTGGCTCACCGCCCCAGGGCCGCCGCCGGCTTCGAGAGCGCTTGCGGTTAGAGCCAGGGGTATGATGAACAGGTACTTGTCCTTGCCCTTTGCTGTCCGCGGGAAGACATTAACAGGGTCACGCTGCAGCGCCTGCATGGAGAAGAAGGCTTGCATCTCGGCGACGCGCAGAGCCCATGGGTCTGTGTCGGAAAATAGCGGCGTGCGTGCAATGAGGCTGCTAGCCTTTCGTATGCCCATCAGTAACTTCGTCTCGACTGAAACGGCAGTCCGGGAGTTGTTAGCTCCGGGTTGAGGATATACCGTCGAGGGCAACGGAACGGACGCTGCTGCCAGGCAATATGCTTCGCTGAGGACGGGCGAGCTATACGTGACTTTCTCAATCCACAGATGACGGCCTTTGGTCCATGCGTCCCGGTTGGAGTTCAGGAAGGCCTTGCCCAGTGCCATTCCGGCGACTATCCTGCCGGTGTCTAGCTGTCGGATCCAAGTGAGTTTCTCCAACGACGACAGAGCCAACACGGCGTACGACGTGACTTCGCAGACTCCGTCCCAGGAACCATCCGCTTGCTGCGCCCCGATGATACGCATCAGAATAGACAACGAGGCCAAGGGAATGTCCTCTCGCAGGGATGGGATCAGGTCGAAAACTGCCAGGGAAAGTTCATGGTGTTGGATGAGCAACCCAAACGCTCGGGCGAGATACATCATCCAGTACAGTTCGTTCACGTGCTAGATACGTGTGGCGCACTAGTCAGCCATCTTGCTTCGAGCCTGCGTCAGGGACGATTGGTGAACCTACCCATTTCTCCTTGACATGTCCTTCTAGGACACTGCGCGTCAAGAAGCGAGCGACCTTGGCGATTTGCGACACGTGCTGGTCTCGGTCGTTGCGTACCAGAAGAAGGATCATCACATTGCAATTTGCGCTGAAGCTGGCGTTGCGTTCCCCTGGATAGGTCATGAAGTGCTCGGCGGCTTCGTACGTTTGGATGAGGCCGTCCACACTGACGTGGTCACCCTGGTCAATGTAGTTCAATGCTTCTAACCCCTTGGCTGTGTCGTCCACGTCGGGCAGGTTGCCGGGGGCTGAGGATGTGCTGTTAGTGGTACGTTCACGCCCCGCCATGAAGAGAAACGAGAGAGGGTGGTGTTACCGAATCCGAGAAGACCTTTCTGCGATACAAGAGTCTCTCGTAGCAGGTTTCCGAGAATCAACCTCTGGGCATCCCCTATCGCCACCCCAGCCGTTCCGAGCGCCGTGAGCACCCAGCTGACTTCGAATAACGTGGTCGGCCACGCGCATGGCACGCTCCCGCGGCTGGCTTTATTTGATTGTTTCCGACGCAAGACTCTCTTGAGATACGCCTCAGCCTCGTCGTCCCAGGTGGAAGAATTCATCAGGTACGCAGCCGTAGCTCTGGTGCCAGCGCAACAAAGACCTGTTAGTTCTGAGCGAGCTTTGAGCTGGGTTATTATTCCCGCTCACTTACGCTGGAGACCCCATCATGGAACCGTCCGCCTGTCGCCATGGCCGAACACGATCAAAGTCAATGTGGCCAATGAACGCCTCGAGGGCGTGATACAAGGTGGACGGCATCTTGTACAGTGTCGAAGGGGGTAGCTTGGCCAATTTGGCGTCCCGGAGAGCTCGCAGGGTACCATAGCCGGGGAAGTCTACCGAGACGCCGGCTTCCTTCTCGAGCAGGGTCAGGAGGGATACGACGAGGATCTCGAAGCCCACCTGGTCCGTTGATTCAACGTCCCAGTCATGCAACATGTCTTTCAGGGCCGTTTCCGCTCGGTTGCTCCTAAACAGCCAGTCGCCATGACGACGGTCATGGCGCCGCTCGGGATCCAATCTCTGCAGGTGCTTTTTCAGGGCCAACAGTGCCGCGGCGGTGTTGAGGATGCCGTCGAGGGGGGTGGCGTACGACTCCCAGGCACCTGAGGGAAGTTGTTCCTCCAGGATGAAATCGAAGCATTCCGGGAATAGCCAGTCGCCAGACTTGTGCACCATGGAGAGCCAGGCCGTGTCATACACGGACGCTGACATGGACCCGAACCCCTGGGTGCACTGTGCTGCAAGCCCGGCAACGAGCGCCCGTGCCTGGTCTGGTAAGGGGAGTGAGGTATCCATGGCCGGTAGTAAGGTGTGATGAGCGGGTCCAACGCTTTGATGCCTTCGGTGTGCGGTGGTGTTCAAGTAGTTGGAAGACACCGGACTACCCGGGCCAAGCAGGAACGTGTCGTGATCTCACCATGACAGACAGTCCGTCATCCGAATCCCTTGCCATTGCCGATGGTGGATCTGGATAGCGTGGACCTGGATAGTGCCGGGCCGGCGGAGATAGCTGCCGTTGGTATGGCTCCTCCGATGGTACATGATGCCAGGTAGGTGGCATGTACCTCGTTGTTGCTCGCCGGTGTAACCTCAGCAGCTTAGACCGGTGTGGCTGCATGGAGACGAGAGAGGGGGCCACAAAAATACCCCTGCAGCCTGTATGTCTGTTACAGTGCATCCAGGCACTCCATCTCAAGCAGCCGAGGCACGAAGTGACGGTTGGGTCAATGGTTGGCTCGTGGGGGCCACAGTTGATTGGTTTTCTGACACAGGACTCGTTTGAATGCAGGAGACGGAGAGCTAACGGTTTAGGAAATGGGCCGAGTGTCTCTCTCATCCTGCTGCACGGTGCCAACTGCATGTGCGCTGCAGGAGAAGTCTCCGAGCCGTTGGAGGTTCGGTTTGTTAGAATCCGGAGGCCTTTTCTTCGTGCCCCCTGACTGCCTTAGCATCATATGTCAGCCGGCACTTTGAATTTGGACCTTGAACTTCCCTCTTTCACTCTCAGAGTCTCACTCACGCTCACGGCTTTCCTACAGCGTCCCACCAAGCCCGAGAAGAGCCAAGACGCGAACCGGACTCGCAGCCTCCGATCTTACGCGAACATCCATCCCTTATCCGCCACCGAACAAGAAAAATGACGAGCACGTCGAACCCACCTAAGCCGATCCGTGTGTGGATTACCCGTGAGTGTTTCTATTCCAGTGAAAAAAGAGAAGCAGCTTGCTCACGCCAATCACAGCTCCGGGGCCCAACTCGTGGAAGGTATGAGAATCACTCATGGCAAAGCCCTCGATCATCTCGATCGATCAGCACCGCTAGCCGGCCTTCCCCTCCCATTTTTCAAAGCCCCTGCGGCAGAGTATTATCAAGACGCTAGGCCAGGTAGACTAACAATGGCGCCATCCTTGGCGCACCCGGCGTGAACAGACCGTCTTCGTGCTCGAGGAGCTCGGGATCAACTACGAGTTCAAGTCGTTCCGGTTCGACGACGTCAAGAAGCGGCCCTTCATCGACGTCAACCCCAACGGGCGGGTGCCGGCGATCGAGGACCCCAACACGGGCGTCACGCTGTGGGAGTCGGGCGCCATCAACCAGTACCTGGTCGAGGTGTACGATACGGAGAAGCGGCTCACCCACGAGGGGCTCAAGGAGCGCCACCTCTGCAACCAGTGGCTGCAGTTCCAGATGAGCGGCCAGGGCCCCTACTACGGCCAGGCCGGCTGGTTCCAGCACCTGCACCCGGAGAAGATCCCGTCGGCGGTCGAGCGCTACACCAAGGAGATCCGCCGCGTGCTGACGGTGCTCGAGGGCGTGCTGGCCGCCCAGCCCGCCGACGCGCAGTGGCTGGTCGGCGGCAAGATGACGTACGCCGACATGGCGTTCGCCCCGTGGGACTTCCGCCTGAGCGAGGTGCTGATGCAGTCGTGGGACGAGGTCTGGGAGGGCCTGCCGCACGTCCGCGCCTGGCACGAGCGCATGGTCGGCCTGCCGTCGTGGAAGCGCGCCATGGAGCACCGCGCCCGTCTGATGGACGAGCAGGGCCTGCAGTGGAACGGCGTGCCCAAGGGTATCGAGACGTTTACTGAGTATGAGGAGAAGATTGCCAAGGGAGAGACTTAGCTTGGTGCCGTATTGAGGTGCTGATGTTGGAGGCAGAGCTGGTATTGGTTGATTATTATTAGTGATGGATGGGATAGAGAGTACGTAGTTGGCCGAACTCCGCTATTCTTTCGGCTGCGAGCTATCACCCGATGCACTTACTACTACGCCCTTCTCGGCGTCTGATCCTATCTTCTCACCTAGCACCGTGACTGCTGCCGAGGCTTTCTTGTTTTTGGTTGAAATCCACTGATAACCGAGCAAGAGAAAGAACAAAATAACCGGCGTTGCAGCCGGGATGTACTACACGCCGTTTAGTGATTCCTGGTTGAGACCAGGGGACGGGGTTCACAACTCACAAAGTCCTGAGTGACAGACAAGCTGTACTTTCCGATCACGGCCACCAACTGCAGAGCACGTGTGAGATCACGCTGGTTACCCCTGAATCGATGATGTCTTCCACCAAGCGGTTGGGTATCACGCCGCTGAGGTTCAGCTGGAGCCGCCGTTAGAAAACCGCCTGGCCGATTACCATAAAGATGGAGTAGCTGGTAGATATGACAGCGAGTAGGGTTGGTGAGCCAAGCGGGACTAGGTCTTGCGGGAGCGAGGACTGCATATGTGGCGAGGTGTGACTAGAGAAGGGTTGGCATACTCTGATCAATGATACTACCATTTTTACCATCTTTTTCACAAGGCACATGTGATCAGCGAAGAAAGCACAGCAGAGAACTTACCAGGTTGGAGGTTAACGAGTACCCAACACCGCCCAATATTTGATAGCCCACCTAGTGCGCCGCTGGGACGTCAGGACAGATGGTGGTAAGAAAGCCGCCGCAAAGGCAGACACAGACTTCGGCAAGCAGCAGGAACGGGTTCCACCAGCCCAGCTGCGTGACGATGACCGCCCCAATGAAGGCAGCAAGCACGTCCGAGATAACTGTCGGGAAGAGGTTCACGCCGCTCTGGGTGGGCGAGGCACCCAACACGCCCTAGAACCACATCGGGAGCCACTAGACGATGACTTGGAAAGGCCCGTTCACGAAGAAGGCAGCCCTCAAATCTTCACCCACGCCAACGACGCCGCCCTGAGCAAGACGTACGTTATTGTAAAAGCACCACCGCCAAGTGACGTTTTGTGTCAGGGCACCAGCCATAACCGGCCCTACAATACTGGCAATAGAAAATGTAGCACCCATCACCCCGGCCCACACAGCCCGTTTATGCGGCGGAATGATAGTGGTAAGGATTGTAAAACCGCCAGCAAAGAACCCCGACGCCCCAAAACCCGCAATGGCACGGCTAGCGATGAGGCCGACGACGACGGCGCCAAACCACACACGAGACTGCCGACCTCAAAAGCGAGCAGGTACAGCGGGTAGACCAGCTTCTTGGACCACAGGGTGTAGACCTTGCCGGGGAGGTGGATGAGGACGAGCTTCGTGCCCTGCACTTCGTTGGCTGGGTCAATGTCCTCGCTGATGTCACCGTCGACCTTGAAGGTATCTTGATTCGCCTCCTTGCTGGTGAGCTTCTTCTCCTCTGGCTTGCTCCCGGCCACCCGGACCGCCTTGGCAAGGGAGTTTGTCTGACCCCGCCAGCTCCATGGTGTTGATCCTCGATCCGACCGTCTTGGCGATCTGGTACTACCGCTTCAAGGGGTTTAGTGGTCGGCGGGAGGAAGAGGGGCTGCCCGCCGTGGCGTCGTGCAGGGGTGGCTGGCAAGCTGCCAGGTCAAGCGAAAGTTATTTTCTCAAGAGGAGCACGCTAGTAGGGGGGAGAAACTGCAGTGAACTGGAAAAGGAAAACGAGGTCTTGGGAGTTTGAGGAAGGTCGGAGACCAAGAGCTTGCTTCTCGCCTGCATGATCCCTTCGTTTTCCTTCCTGGTTTTCATCTTCCTATCGGGCACATTCGTCCGAAAGCAGATCCCCCGTTATTGGTTAGGGTTCGGCAGGGCGGCGGAGTCGGAAGTGATGCACTACTAAGTGTCCGAAGATCACACCCCCTTATCAAGTCTTACTTTATTCTAGCGTACCGGCTCGGTCGTAGGAAGAAGTTAGAAAGGAAGCTCGCTGGCAGGCGAAGGGATGATATTCAGCTGATCTGTGGGTAAAATATTGCTGACCTGGCGCGAAGAGACAAGATCGATGCCTTCACTGCTACGCCAACGTTACAATGCATGACCCCCATTCAAGAGTCGCACAGACCGAGGGAGGCAGGGGGTTGATCCAGGTGTCCAGCCCCATCCAAGGCTCCATCCATGCAATGGTACTGTGTCAATCACATGTAGGATTATTGCAGATTGCTCTGTATCTGCAACAGCATGCGGGTAAATTATTTGATTTCGGAAGCTCCCAACTTTACCATCAGAGATGGATCGGAGTTTTTCGCCCCCTTCGGACACTTCCGCCCCTCCTAGCCGATCTGTGGCACCGACCCGACAGATCTCCTGTGGGTGACACAGCAGCAGACTCTATCAGAACGGGCAGGTTGCCTTCTGCTTCTTGCGGACTAACATCTTGGTCCAGGGCCAGGTAAACAGGAACTCATGGGCAATGAGATTCCCCGGCCTTTCTGTGCCGGGCAGGAACTTGAACTCGTAGTCCGTCAACGCCTTGACAATGACCGTCTTGACCACGACGCCGGCAACAAAACGCCCAGGGCAGGCAGTCTTGCCGTAGCCAAAGTTGAGAAAGTCAGGCGCCGGCGACGAGAACTTGAAAAGCCGGGCCTTCTCCGGGTCACTAGTCTCGCGAGCGGCGCGGTAGGCGCGCAGGCCATCAAAACGCTCCGGGTCCGGCAGCTTGGCCGGGTCGTTCTCGATGGCATACACGGGCATGCAGGCGTAGGTGCCGGCGCGCACGTGGGTGCCGTCCTGGAAGGTGTAGGCCTCCTTGAACCAGCGCTTCATGCCCATGGTGGTGGGCGGTGACATGCGCTGCGACTCGCGCAGCACGCTGTCCAGCTTGTCGAGCGCCTCGTACGGGTCGCCGTTGTCGTGCCACCCGCGCTTGGCCACCCCGGCGATTTCTTCGAGGAGCTCGTCCCGCAGCGCAGGGCCCGCCGCCGTCACGTCGTATATCACGTTGACCATGCGGAGGAGGGTCGTGTGCACCATGGCTAGGGCTACCAGCACGAGCACGTGGCCGAGTGTGTCGGCGTTGCGCTCGCTGCCCTTGGCGAGAGCTGCCAGCCAGGCCAGCACGTTGAGGTCCTCCGGGTCGTCGTCCTGTGGCTGCCACGTCCCGGTGTTGTTCTTGTCGAGCAGTTCTTGGACTTTGGGGCCGAGTAGGTCTTGCGCCTGACGGAGGAGCCGCTGGCCCATCCAGTATGAGGGGAGCATGCGCGAGACCACGGGGTGCGTCCAGGCAGGGAGACACCGCAGTGCTACGACGGTCCGAAACACTGTAGCAGGTGGCTGTGTTACTCAAAGGTCCTGGGACATAGCTCAAGCTACACGCATTGGGATGTAGAGAACTCACAGCTCTCGGTGTATTCAACCGCGATATGCAGCCACTCCGGGTTTTCGCAGAACGACGGCCCCACGATGACCTCGGCGCTCAGGCGCGAAGACACGGCACTAAGCACCTTGTAGGGCTGGATCTCAGTCCACTCCTCCCCCTGCGGGAAGTTCTTCTCGAAGGCGCTGGTGACGGCCGCCTCCATCCTCGGCAGGAGCAGGGGCAGCCGCGGTGTGAGTTTCCGCTGCACGATCGAGTGGTGCAGCCGGCTCTCAAGAATCAAGCCGACGCCCGTGAACGAGCCGAGTAGGTCCCGCTCGAGAGCCGCCGTCGACTCGGCGATGTGACTCGGTATCCGGCTAACCTCGTCCAGCAGTTTGATGGGCAACACCACGACCCGGCCATCGCTACGGATCAGCTGGAACGGCTTGGAGGGGTACTTGTCGTAGCCCTTTTGGGCCAGGTTGGTCGATCGCCATGAGTACAGCAGGTTGAGGATGAACCTGGGGACGAGCGCGAGGGGGCTACCCACGAGGGGGTGCTCGGCCTGGGTGTTGACAAGTTGCCATGTTGAGACTGCGTCAGCGATACAGTAGGCCACGAAGCCGTAGAATAACCACTTGAAGGCCGTCTCCGCTACGCCGTACAATGGCGTGCCAGAGATGTCTGGGAAGCTCATGGTCACGAATAGGGGTGATGGTGTGGAAGGGCCCTGATGGTCACACGGGGGCTGGTTACTACGAACACCACATTGTATTCATATTATCATACGATTGGATTTGCAACGGCAGGTACCTGAGTGCTTCCTACCCAGACATCCTCCGTACCTACCTAGTATGACTGACCATGGCATCGCGGCGGAGAGTCCGGCCATCCATCCGCCGGCATGCATTAGACTAATAGACTAACGCAGGACAAAGTATTGTGATTCAGACCCATGAAACTTGTCAATCGCATGCAGATAAATAACTACAGGGATTCTGTTGAGCGGGTGGAAGGATTTGAACCACCAATGGTATTTTCAATGCGAACATGGTGGCCTGCAGGGTGTCCTTCGCGCCGCCCCTCCCTGCATGGTCATGAACAGGGGGGCCGCCTGGGCAGCCCCTTGCTGATGATCTTTTTTCCCCGCCACCGAGGACACGGTGTTGTGCCGTCAAGATTCAGATCGGGCACATCTCATGGGTCGTGCTGACCTGGTCGTGCTGACTGGGGGTTCCAGAGGCGAGATTCGGCACGAAGACATGGCTTTCAGCTCGTTGAGAACACGAGTATTGCAGTACCAACAGCAAGGATTGAGTTCCAGACTGATTAAACCTCTAAAGCTACAGATTACAGGTATCTAATAACGCACAAAGCCGTTGCCGTCCACGGTCGTGCAAACCCGTAGCCGGACTAATTGTCTCTTGGTAAATCTACCACTCTCCCGTCGCCGGGTTGTTCCCAGCCTGCGCCTTCACAGAAGGAACGGGCGGCACAACCTCGCGGGAAGCCTTGCGGGAGTAAGTATCGACATCGACGTCGTGTAGCTCCACCTGGGACTCGCCCGCGCTCTTGCGCCGGCTCCGCGGCAGGCTCGCCGCCGACGCGTTGTTGCTCCGGGCGCTGCGGAGACTGAACACGCTGCGCACGCTCCGCACAATGGACTCGGGCGCGCGGCCGCCCGACACCAGCGGGCCGTAGGTTGGCAGGCAGGCCGCCAGGATCGAGCAGTTGGGTTCTAGAACCATGAAGATGTATTGCTTGGACTGGTTGGCTGAAGGGGAGGAGTTGCTGTTAGCATGTTTCTGGGGACTCGCAACCAGAGGTGGAGGTCGGTAGGGGGGTGATACTTACCAACTTTGTTGTAGGAATCTGATCCGACGACCTCACGGATGGACTGGTCCAGCAGGACGGTTCGCACGATGGCGGCCACAGCGCAGAAGGCTCCGAGCCAGAAGATCAGGGCCACGGCGACCTTGCGCTCCCACTTCATGTGGAGGCGGGCGATCACGGGGAGGGGGAGGCACAGCACAAGGAGATCGAGCACGAAGCTGCTCGCCACTTGCCCGAGACCGACGGCCGTGGTGTCGAGCCGCAGGCCGGCCGTCATGAGCGGGAATGCGATCGGGTCGAGTTCGAGAAGGACGAGCAGGAAGAACAGGACGGACCAGACGCTGACGATGCCGATGACGCACCACACAACGGCCCGGAACATGGGCGTTGGGAATACACGCTTGTAGAAGAGCAGCACCGCGATCTTGACCGCGCCGAGGGGGAACTGCACGTAGCAAGATGAAAGGAAGATGAGCTGATCACATTCAGAGTTAGCCTCAACAATCTCTCTCGATAGCCAGCAAATGGGCTCGTAAGATGGGATCACCGCACCTCTAGGGACGACTCGGTCCCGGTCATGAAGTCGACATCGAAGTAGTTGATTCCCGTCCGTGGGGTGAAGTACCAGACGAGGATACTGATGCCCAACGTCAAGAACCAAGAAGCGATGATCCAGTAGTCGTCGACATGGAGTGCCTGACTGGCCTTGCGGCGGGCGGCGAGACGAAGCCCGATGGAGATGGCCGAGATAACGGGGAAGAGGGCCGAGACAACGACCAGTGCCGTGGTGACGACCGAAGGATGCGGACCCGGTGGTAGTTGATCCATCTTTCCGTTCTCCTTTGGGGGCTAGTAGGGACGGAGAACGAAGATCGGAACCGTTGTGGGAAAAACAAAGAAGGGGAACCGTGGGTTCAAGTCTTTTCCTGCATTATTCTTCATTGTTCTGCCTCCTGGATGGCCACCACGAAATGTAGGATTCGTTGCCTCAGCCATGCATGACCTGATTCCCGGCGCAACTCAGCAAACTCCCCAAAACTCGGAGATTGGGTTTGTTGGTGCAACTGCTTGAAAACGCTCGCCTAAGCCCCTGTCATGGCCGCACTTCCCCGGCCCCCTCCCCCCCGGGACACCACCACTGTGTCGCAGCATCTTACGAGGGGCTGTGCAAGATTCGGGCCAAGGTGTGTGCCACCCACCTTCCTCGGCAGAGGCTCGGGTCCTCCCACACCAAACAGAGGTAAGAGGGTCGGTGGCTTGGTCGAGTGCGTCCGTCCTCGGTTCGTGTCTTACCCAACCCGTCTCCCACATGCCTCCCACATGCCGAAGAAACCGACGGCTGCCCAGCCTCCAATTCTGATTCCACCAGAGGGCTTTCTCTCTCTCTGCATCGAGAAGGTGACTGGAAAACCTGGCTCGGTTGACAACCATCGAACCCCTCCCGCATATGCATGGAACACACCATCTGGCGTGGATGGCCGGTTCTGTTGCTCATTGGTTGGAACGAAGCTGCGCGCCATGGCGGCGGAGACGGGACGGCACCCGTGGAGAAGGATTACACAACAGGGATTTTCTCTCCATGCTCGAGTGTGGCGCGAACCCGAGGATCGATCACCCTTGTCACACATCAGGACCCATGCCAAGTGGTCCTGACTCTCGGCGTGCAGTCTGCTGTCGTGACAACTTCCAAGGTACCGCTTTGTACTCCAGACTCTGATGTCCAAGAGTACCACCCATGGACGACAGGAGTCTGGATCCCCAATACCCCAGTCTCTCTCGGAACGAGACGGGAGAGGGACAGGTTAGGAAATTCCCTGCAACATGATGGAGGTATGTAATAGAACTTGACATGGGCGTCGTCCCCATCCTCCCCCCTTTCATGCTCGGCTTCAGAAACCCAGTTGGTCCTCGGCACCCAGCCGAACGGTGACGAGATTGACCATGCACCTCGACACGGCAACCCTGGCTCAGGCCTGCAGCAGCCAACAGTTTCTCGGGATCATTGTGGTATTCGCAATTGTTGCGAGCATCTTATTTCCACGTCTGTTTCAGAAGCAGAAGCAAGACGACACCCAGGATGGCCTCTTCACGGCCAATAAGCGCTTCTCCTGGGAACCGTCATTCTTCTCGCGGGTTCGCTGGATCACCAATGCGCAGGAAATCCTCACAGATGCCGACAACAAGGTAGGTTTCCCCCCAGATGCCCCTTTTTATGCGCAGGGACCAGAACCAGAACCTAAAAACCAACCCCCCCCCCCCCCAAAACAGGCCCAGGGGCGTCCATACCGCCTCGCGCGCGGCGACACCGACCAGATCATACTCCCGCCGGCGCTGATCCCCGAGCTCAACCGGCTCGGGGCCGACGTGCTCAACAGCCGGGAGTCGCACGCGTTCGGGCTGCTGGGCCACCTGACGGGGATGGGGGTGGTGCGCAAGACCAGCTTCCACGTGCGCGTGCTGCTCTCCCACATCAGCCCGGCCCTGCCGGCGCTGTTCCCCCTGACGGGCGCCCGCATCTCGGCTGCGATTAAAGAAGAGTTTCCGCAGAGCGATCAGTGGGTCGCCATGAAGCCGAGTAAGGCTGTCGTGCGCTGCGTGAGCGAGTCTATTGCGCTGGTTTTGTTCGGCGAGGAGATGACGGCCAAAAACCCGGAGCTGGTCAACCTTGCGCATGAGCATACCAATAACGGTGAGTACTTAGCGAAGGTAGAAGCAAGACCACGGCGGTCTGTTCCCCGTAAATCGGACCATCTCTCTAACTTTTGGGGTGGATAGTATTCCAAGTCTGCTTTGCCATGCGCTGCGTGCCGGCCTGGATGCAGCCCTTTCTTGTCTGGCTTCTCCCCCCGAAATGGAGCTTGCTCAGGGGCTGGAGAAAGTTGACGGGTTACGTCGTGCCCAGGGTGCAGCAGCTCAAAGAAGAGTTCGCCGAGAACCGCCGTGACAGAGAAGTCAACCCGGATGTGCTTTCGTGGATGGTGGAAGCCGGCCGGACTGAGATGGAGCGTGACCCCAACGTGCTGACGGCCCTTGTGGGCTCTATCGCGGCCGGGTCCACGTACAGCATTGCCAATTTTTGCTGCCGCACCATCATGGACATGGTGGCTCACCCGGACGTCCTCGATGCCGTCCGCGCCGAGATTCGGGACAAGCACTCCGATGTCCGTGGCCGGTGGGATATGGCGGCATTGGCTAGCCTGGAAAAGCTGGAGTCGGCCATGAAGGAGTCGGCTCGGCTGACCCCGGGTACTCTGCTCGTATACAGCCGCGTTGTCAAGAAGGACCATGTCCTCTCCACCGGTCTGGCGCTCAAGAAGGGCCAGTTTGTCACCATGTCGGGCGCCACGCGGACGATGGGCCCTGAGTATTTCGAGAATCCTCGGGAGTACCACGGTCTACGCTTCTGCGCTGAGGACAAGATCGAGGAGCACCGCGCACGGCCTTTCAAAGACATTGACACTGATATTCTCACTTGGGGAGCAGGGCGGTGGGCATGCCCGGGTCGTTTGATATCCGACCTGGCCGCCAAGATCTTGCTCGTCAAGCTGCTGGATGAGTATGACTTTGGCTTTGTCGGGAACAAGCCCCTGGCGCGCCATTCCATGCACGAATTTCTCTTTTTTCACCCGGATAATCAAATGCTCGTCAGGCGCAGGGAGGATTCTCGCGGGATTGTTTTTGTTTGAGAAAAGTCTCTAGGTACATCAGGTTATCTAAAAAGTGTGCTTCGTTGTGATCCGAAAGGTTTCTAGGAGGCAAGTAGAAGAGCTAGCTTAGGCGGTAACTGAGTGTACGTGTTCCATGGTTGACCTCTTAGTTACTTACCTAGGTGGCTACCTACTATGTAGGTACCAAGGAAACCTCAACAAGTGGTAATAACCACCAAGTCCGAAAAGCATGTGACGGTGCCTGACAATCAGAACCATGCATATCTAAGCTCCAGTCGTATTCCTTGCTGAACAGCAGCCCCACAGACATTGTGACACGTAAGACGTCTAGGGGGTAAGATAGCCCACTCCGCCCAGATGTGATTCCGAGGTCCTTCGATGTTGCCAAGTAACTCACCGAGCGGACGCTATTCTAGCGTTGCCGGCTGTGCCTCTTCCTTGCAAAATCCACCGCTAATCGGTGATGTGTAACGGGAGCCAAGAGACTAGTGCCGGCCCGAGTACCGCGATATAAGAAGACTGGAGAGGGCAGACGGCGTGTATAAAACGTTGGTGTTGTCCACAACTAGCACCAAGGAAATTGCCCAGAAATTTGCAACACTTTTCCAAACTCAACATGATGCTCCTTGATATCACCCTACTCTTCTTAGCGGGCGCCATGTCCGCGGACGCTCATGCGGTCCCTGTGGCCGTGGCGGCGGAAGCAGCAGCAGCACCCACAACTGTTGCCGTCTTCCTTGGTGCTAAGAGGGACGGCGAGTACTCCTTTGACGCGAGCGTTATTGCGGCAGACGCCGTGGCCACAACGTATGAGATCCGTTGCCAATCGGGCCATCTCAACATGCCCGGATTCCCCACGACCACCTGTGATCAGAACGACCCGGTACGTTGCGCTCCTCCACTGCATCCTGTCACGAGTCCTGTCTAATATAACACAGCCCTGGACGGTCACCGAAGGACCCTCGACCATGGTTGGCATCTTGTCGACGGCCATTGAGAGCGTAACGGCTGTCCTGGACGAGACCTGCGTGATAGAGGGCCGCACCGCCGCGTACTGCAACTACACCTTCTCGGGCAACTCCGCGGGCCAGACCACTTCGACTGCGTACACAACCATCATCACGGGTGCTCTCTTCACGGCATACCCTGTTGTGGTCACAGCCGGGGGCGAGAAGCTTCCTCCTGTTCCGACAGGTCCTCCGGCACTTTGAGCTGGGCAACACAAAGAAGGGGTTGATGGAAGGTCCTACTTCTTTATGTGACTGGGTGGTATTAAAAGTTTGGAGCGTGCGATTTAGATTGTGGCTGTATGATCCGAGATAGAGAAAGGTAGACATGTCTTAGAGCAACGATGCTGTGTTACATTTTTGACGCCCCTTAGCCATGATGGCTAGCTATAAGACCATGATACACATTGGCTCTACCTAGAACATCAAGGACTCCGCTGCCACCGTCCCAACTTGAAAGAGTGGCGCCTGCGCTGGTTCTCAACCATCATAGTAACACCTGCACTACATCTTGCCGATTCCTGTCAAGAACTCAAAGGCACAATCCCGAACATTCCCTTATACTCCTGGCACACTCGCCTTCCTCCCCCATTTTCCATCTTCTCGTTTACCCCATCCCCATACGTAAGCAGCAAGTAAAAGAACCGTACAAACAATAAGAGTGCCAGTTCCGCACCCACAACGCTCCCTGTACGCAACCCACTCCCCTCGGTAGCCCCAAACCAACCGAACCCTACCGGCAAGCAAGCAAGAGTATCCGGGCAAAGAAATCAACCATCACCTCTTACTCGCCGGTTGAGGCCAGGGCTCTGGTGATACGATGAGAAACAAGGACGGCGCCGGGGGGCGTGGTGCTTGTCGACGTAGAGGGGATGGTGTGGCCGGCTTCCACAAGGGGGTGTCAATACTAGCCCTTTGAGTGTCGCGGCTGCCGGCGTCGGTGGTGATATTGAATTGTGTTGACGGTGACTTGTGTGTCGGGGTGGGAGGCTGATGGGGAGAGGGGTTTGGGCTAACCGGTGTGGCGGGAGGTGGCGAAGGAGCCGAGGGGGTTATGTCTTTGTGACGAGGTGTATCTGTGGGGATCACCATCGCATATTTGAGCCGAATAGACGGAAGTGTTGTAAGAGCTACACACCCGTGCCGATTGTGGATGCCGTGATGCCGTAGCCTGGGAGGCGAGCGGAAGGTGGACGTACTGGCGTACGACCTTTCTCCAATCCGCTTGATGAGCCTTTAGGTTAGTTAGAAAAGGCTCAAACCCAGTTCGGGATAAATAGGTAGGAATTAGTGAAGAGCTGACTCCGCAGTATCGTGGGAGGACGCAAGCAAGGTGCGCCTAGAAACGGGTCCTCTGTCTTCCTCCATTTTTTGCCAGCTTATTCGCCTTTGTTTTCAATATCACGGCTGCGTAGGTATCCAACCTACCCCATCCTCAAACCTTGCAGACCACCCCGCGAAGATGTTTGATTAGTGTTTTCCCGATCGGCCCTTGATAATCATGCGGATTTCCGCTAAGTTCTAACCATTAATCCACTTTTTGGAGGTTTATCTGATAGCCTAGATAGGTAGTCTACCCGCTAGACGTCGTATGGGAGCTACCAGAAGTTACGTAGGTCAACAATAGGTAGGTAGGGAGTGAAGGCGTTGGGTTGGTGCGTGTCGTGCCAAACTGGTGTCCTACTAGTGTCAAGGGTTCAGAATGTCTTGTGTTTTTCCTTCTTTTCCCTTTTTGGTTTTCCTTTTACAAAAGGCCCAGTCTCTTTTTGTCTCACCACCAACGCTAGAGAGACATATTTTCCATCCAGAAGTCATAAAATGCGTGTTTCCCTTCTTTTGTTGTTGTTGTTCACCATCGATGCCTCTCCTGTCGCCGACCTACCTAAACGACGTCTCCTCATCGGTACGTTTTATGAAATGCACAGGCTTGCCAAGCCCAGGTTATCCACAGATTATGCTCAGTTTGTGCGGGCAGTGCACGGTTGTGCAGAGCTTTATCCCCTGTCCGGCAGATATGCATCCCGGTGTTGCCGTCGTGGAGCCCTCGGTTTCGGTTGCTCCAAACCACCCAATCACCGGATCGGAGTACAAGGCAGAGTCGGCTTTTGGCTGCACCAAACTGGATCTCACCCCGTATCTTCTCGTCGGGGTGGCCATATTCGACCCGGAGACGGTTGAGATCATCTCGAGTCATAGCTGACCGGAGAGACGGGCAACTAGAAATGTCCGAGGGAGGTGACTGTCGGGGTGTTGTAGGTGACGAACTTGCAGGCTTGCGGCATCGTTTCTATGTATAAAGGTCTAGTCGCCAGACACTCATCGGCATTCTATTCTATTCCCATCAACTACATCCGCAGTGCCTTGCTTCTCACATCAGTTACATCGTCCATCAACCGAAAGCCATGGCACAACCGAGTTCTTCCCCCAGCGTGGCATCCTTTGAGGGATTCCGCGCCTGGGTCGATGACCCTACTATCATCTCAACCCCAACCCCCTATGTCCTAGCTGCTGCCTTTGCAGTGGCAGTACTCTTCTTGTTCCAGGGGCAAAAGTCGACGAGCCCCATCCCTCATCTCAACCCCCGGAACACGCTTGAGTTCACGGACACGCATCGGAAAAAGGACTTCCTGACCCGTTCACGGGCCATGTTAGACGCTTGGTTTCGTGACCACCCCGACAAGACCGTTCGAGTGATCGGCGATACTGGCGAGGTCACGGTACTGCCGCCCCATCTGACCAACGAGATCCGCAACGACCCGCGCCTTAGCTTTTCGCGCTGGGTCTACAAAGTGAGCAACATCTCTTACTCTGAGCACCTCTATGTGGATACAACGAGCTAATCGTAGACACAAGACTTTCCACGCTCAACTTCCCGGATTTGAGGGCTTCCGCGAGGGTAGCCGAGAGTCCCATATTGTGCAGGGTGTGATCATGAAGGACCTTACCAAGTATCTCAGTAAGTGACTGGCTAGAGGCGGCAGCGTTTCGCAGTTTACAAGTTTACAACTCAATCGTCCCGGGGCTGACGTATTCATTTTTCCTTCCCAAAAAGACAAGGTAACCGAGCCCCTGGCCGAAGAGACCGCTCTGGTTGTGGAAGAGCAGTACCCGGCAAGTGACAACAAAGGTAAGTAGGCGCCCACCGAGACCTCAAATGGACCACCGGGATTTTCTAACGGGGTGATGTAGCATGGCACACGACGCACCTGCGCGAAAGTATGCTTCGTGTCGTTTCCCGGGTCTCTTCCCGTGTGTTCCTCGGTGACGAAGTCTGCCGGAACGGGGATTGGCTTAACGTGACCCGCAACTACACGGTGAACGGCTTCAGGGGTGCCGAGGAGCTGCGGCTGTGGCCAGGGCCTCTGAGGTTCTTTGCGCACTGGTTCCTGCCGTCCTGCACCCGTGCCCGAGCCGATGTTCGGGAGGCCCGCCGTATCCTCAACGAGGTGCTCGAGAAGAGGCGGGCACTAAAGCAGAGCGGGGAGGTCGAGTTTGACGACGCCATTGAATGGTAGGTCCTTGTAGCACCTCCTCTTGAATCGCTTCTCACTAATACGGCTTGGCGTGGCAGGTTTGAGCGTGAGGCGAAGGGAAGGGACTATGACCCGGCCGTTGTGCAACTCACCCTCTCCTCTGCCGCCATCCACACCACCACTGATCTTATCAGCCAAGTTATGATGGACTTGTGCAGTAATCCTGAGATCATCGATGAGCTGCGCCAGGAAATCGTCAGGGCTCTCACCGAGGGCGGGTGGAAAAAGACGACATTGTATAGCATGAAGCTTCTTGACAGCGCCATCAAGGAGAGTTTGCGTATGAATCCAACCGGTATCAGTATGACTCTCCCCATATCCCCATTTTCCGCGTTCATATCTAATATGTGGACAGTCTCACTGCGCCGGGTCGCCGAGGACAACATCCGGTTCTCGGACGGCACCTTCGTGCCCAAGAACGGCATCATCGCCGTGTCGGCACAGAACATGTGGGACCCAAAGACGTACGACAAGCCAAACGAGTGGGATGGCCGGCGTTTCCTGCGCATGCGCGAGACGCCAGGGCAGGAGAACACGGCTCAGCTGGTCAGCACCGGGCCGGAGCACCTGGGCTTTGGGCACGGCCAGCACGCCTGCCCCGGCCGCTTCTTTGCCTCCAACGAGGCCAAAGTCGTCTTGATCCACCTCTTGCTCAAGTACGACTGGAGGCTGGTCAAGGGGGCCCCGCCGCCCAAGATCCAGCATTCTGGGTTTTCTCTTAGTGCAGACCCGACCATCAAGTTGGAGTATCGCCGCCGAACGCCTGAGATCGAGATTTGAGTCTGCTGGGTGTTTTGAGAAACGGATGGTTCGGCGGTGATTTGATCATGGCCACGGGTAGGGCGTTGAAACCTGGCTGAGCTGTCCCAAAGGTTGCCTAGGCGTGGAATCAGGCGATGTCCATCATGCTCTGGCACGAGTGGATGTTGTCCAACCATGACAGCATACAGAGTGTCGGTCGTTGATTCAAGGATTTTGGCTCGTTTTACCGTTAAAATGTTGGTATTATATCATGATAGGGCGCCAATGTGGTTCAGGGAGCTCGGGGGTGGAGGCTGGAGCTGAGAAAAAGGGATATGTACAGATCCGCACAATTTGCTGCATGGCGTTCGGATTTTCTAAAATAAACCCAACTCATGGCGTTCCCCGGATGTTGAAACCACATGTGAAGTTCCAGCTGTTTGGAGTGCGAGTGTCTCGGTGCTGCCTCCAATAAAAATGTCAAGCGTGGCACCACGAGGGCCCCCCAGGATTTGGATGGGCACGCTCGCTTACCCCTGCCGCCAAGACCGATATTTGCGTTGTGCCGCTTGAAGCTTGTGCGGCTTCGGCCGCGGTCTAGGCCTTGGACTGCCGACTGTCCGTCCTTGACAAGAAAAGGGGGCGGATGAGGAGAGGGGGAGGGGAGGTTTTCGCCCGAGAAGAGACCACAGGAACAGAGTTAGAAACACCGTTTTCTGTTCCCGAGAAGCAAGATGACGCTGCCGGGGAGGAAAGAAAATAAGGACAATAGGCTGTGGTTATCCGCGGTCTTTGCCGCTGTGGAGAGGAGTATTGTCACATTGAGAGTGCGGCTGAGATCGCTAGTACAACGCCATTTCCTATTTGGATACGGGGCCATCTCCCTCGGAAGGAATTCTGCCTTGGCTGGCGTTGGGCATTGTGAGGCTCTGCTGCAGAAAGGAGGGATGGTCCTCGAGCGTTTCGATGGCGCCATGTAAAACTGGTCGTCCCCCGCTTCCACTCACTTTGTTTTCCACACTGCCTCACCACCACCACAACCACGAGACCGGCGGAACTCGTCTCCATAACACTTCCATTTAGGCCGGCTCTTACCAACAATGGCAGACGTCACAATGCCACAACAGGCGTATACCGCACCAGCAGCGGTAGACGGTGAGAAGAAGGAACAGTACATTCAGAAGACTCCCCTTTGGGTGGTGGTGGTGCGCGCCCTTCAGATCTTCTTTAGCTTCGTCATCGTCGTCATGGCTGGCGTCCTTATTCATGGGCACGCCATGGGTCCTAACGGCTTTGCGGTTGTTTGCGTAAGTCCTACTAAGTGCCCTCACGCCCTTGACATGCATCGCCCCCCGTCACAGAGCCACCCGCTGACTCGGTCCCCAGGGCTTGTTCACTTGGATCGTGGTCGGTTACATGCTCATCAGCGAGAAAATGACGTCCGCGCACGGGGCATATAACATTTGGGCCGTCCTTTCGCTTGACTTGCTCATGGTCATTTTCTGGCTCGCCTCCCTGGGCGCCAATGCCCAGCTCCGTTCGAGGTTCGTCCACCCGGTCCAGATCGAGGCCTGCTTCAACGACGGCAGCGCTACCAGCAGCAACCACTGCATCGTCTCTAGGAGCATCGTTTCCAAGCGAGCCGCTGTTGCCGGACCCCTGGGTCTTGCTCTCATGAGCGCCATTGCCGGCCTGAGCGCCCTCGAGTGGTATGTCCAGCCCTCCCAGATCCCGACCCTAAACTGAACCCCACTGACACTCGCCTCACCCCCTTCTTAGGCTGCTCTTCCTCGCAACGCTCATCTTCCACGGGCACACCTTCCGCCTCTGGCACCAAGAGCACAAGAAGCCCTCCGCCGACAACGCCACGGTCGAGATGAAGGCACAAGGCACCCCCATGCTCGGCCCCCAGCAGCCTACCGCCACCCACCCGCAGTACACCGACCAACAACAATACCAGTCGACCATGTACCCACCGCAGCAACCCGACGCCGCCTACACGCAATCGACCTCGCCCCCTCCATACCCTCCACAACAACAACAACACCCCGCCGCGGCGGCTTACCCTCCTCAACCACAACAACAACAACAGCAGCAGCAGCAGCAGCACCAACCGTATGGCGTGTATCCGGACCCGGCCCAGTACCCGCAACACCCGCAGCAGCAGCAGCAGCAGCAGCAACAACAACCGTACAGCCCGCATGGAACGCCCATGTCGGGCCAGCCGTACTACCCGCCGCAGCAGCCGCATCCGTAGGCGGTGGGGATGTGTCGTGTGTCGTGTGGGGTATACAGGAGGGGAAGGGGGTGGTGCATCTCGTGGAGGGTTAGGTAAACGTAGTTGTTGATTGGGGGGGGTGAGTAGGTAGTGTCGGCATGGTATGGAGGGTTGATGGTGTTGCGGGTTAATGGCATGATGAAAGGTTGGGATGGTGTTGGAGGAGGGCCAGGGAAGGGGGGTGGGTGGGTAGCTGGTGGTTTCTTTGGGGGCTTGCATGTTGCATGGCTGTGCGGTTTATAGGTAGTTTATACTGGGCGTGCTTTTGTTTATGAGCGGGCGTTGGTGGTGGTAATAAAACATGATGATGAAGCTTGAGTCTCGCAAGGTGACAAACCGTCTCCGCGTCGCAGTAGGTACCTACTCGAGCGAGATGTCCAGGGGTAGTTGGTGGTGTGCGGATTCGCAAAACAGGGGTGGCCACGTCGCGGTCTGGGTTTTTGGTTTTGATCCTTCATCGGTCGGCCGTCCAAGACCGCGGGTATCATGCGGCCCGGACACCCGGCTGACGGCGGGAGGATGCCTTCGCCGTTCCGGGCTTTTATGCTCGGCTAACTCTGCCCCCTCCTTTGCTTCATCCGGCTTCTGCGAGGGATGTCAAATTATGGTTCTGACAAGCGGGATGGGGAATGGGTCCGGATCTTGGTACGGTATTTGTGGCCGCAATTAGGGATACCAATAAAATGCAATAGCCTGACCTTGATACTAATATTGCATTGGTTGTAACTAGGTTGTGATTCAACTTTCCCTGTCCCTTGCTAGGTCCTGCCCAGCCCGACCATACTCCGTTCTGCTCATCATCCGCCCTAATATACCAAGTAGAGTTTATTTTCAACCTCCCAGTCCTGCTAACTCTAGCTTGTCCTACCGGGGTTTCTGGATTGTCGGGGATGTCCCACAGCGCCAGGAGCGGCGGACTTGCGCGGAACCAGAAGTGAGGCCTCGCGGTCGCCTTCATTGCCATACTCGACGGTAATGGTTCGAAATTGATGACTTCTTTCGAGGCGTTTCATAGCGTCGCTGCTCAGGGGCGCCACCTGGACTTTGCCAGGAGTTCGATCACCAGGATCCCCCCCTAACTCGGGGAGCTGTGAGACCATGGCCAATCCCTTATCGGAATCCAAGATGCGAGTTATGTCTTGCTTGGGGGTCTTCGGGTCGAAAGCGACGAGTTCGGAATATTTCTTGTCGGCGTATTTCAAGGTCGCTACCCAGTGATCCTTCCTTCGTTGCAGCTTGTCACGTTGGAGCTGGTCGTCGTTGATTTCGGGCTCAGTGCCGTGGGCGGACGGCGAGGGCCGTGCTGAAGTCATAGATGGTCCTTTCTTTGGGGCTCCAGACATGATGTTTTTCGTAGGGAAATTGAAGGTAAAATGAAGCTTGTCTGAAGGGTATAAAGGAGAGTTGATGACGAAGAGTGGGAGAGTGGTAGGGAACAGTGATTTCCACCCGCGCGAAACACCGGCCTCTTATAAAAGAATGACCCACCTGGACATTGGCTGACTCCCTAGGCACTTAGGTACCTAGTTAGGTATGTCTGTACCTCCCTACCCAGATAGGATTCGTTGCTTCAGACTCGAGTCCCACATTTCGTCTCCGATTGCGCCGCACGGTGGGAGAGTGAAGGATGAAACATGGAACAACACCGAGAGACCCCAATTGAAGACCATTGCTTGGCCATTACTATTTCAAGGTCCAAAGTTGAGCTAGCGGCTCCGTTATTGGCAAAAAATAGAGTCGGCGGCCCCCATACTGGCCTGGGGCTCTTGGAACTTCCCCACCGTAGACGGAACTTTCCCATCCTCATGGACTGCCTCCCCTTCGAAGTTCTCTCCCCGGTTCACGGCCTGGCATTAAGCATTCAGGATCTCATCCTGGTGGAGCGGGTCCAGACCGGGACGCCAAACTTGCTGCGAGCTTTAAGGACTGGCGCCCAAAAATAGAGGACGTGGAACGCCGCAAAAAGTTCCAGACGGTTGTCGGATACGGGTCTCGCGCATCGGTCCGGGCGTTCGACGATGCCATCAAGCCATGGCCACCCGCCGACTTGGCTCTTCTTGACGAGAAAGGATCACTATAGTGTTTGAAAAGTGGCCGGCATGAAGTTTCATCGCGCCGGTGCGGTCCTTGGTAGGGACCAGCGGGTTACTGAGAGCACGGAAGTTCCAAGCAAGGGTAATGGCATATAACTACGGTTGCGTCCTCACGTATTGACCTTAGCTAGTCAGAAAATTGCATATCAACATCCCCTCCCGCCTCAAGACATCACAACCTTCGTCCTTGTCAGCAGTGACCCTCCCTCCCGCCTCAATCTCTTCTCCATCCCACTCACCCGTCCCCAGCCATCCTTTCCAACGCAGGACACCGAGTTGCGGGTTGATCTACCAATAACTTCCAAAATACCCTTACCCAAACCAATATGAGCTCCACGACACCCGAACGGCGGAATCCTTACTTTGGACTCGAAATCGAAATCTTCGTCAGGGTCAGACCAGGTGTCGAGACTGACGTGGTGAAAAAAGTGAAGGCCAAAGAGAAGTTGCCGGCTCATTGGTCAAAATGGGATTTTGATCTCACGAACTGCCGGTTAGGTCCGGTCCACGCTATGAAGAAAGAGGTGCAGCGCCAGCGCGTAGCCCACGCTATCATCGACGGTGTCAAGCGTACCTTGGGGAAGGATCATGGCTGGACGTGCGTTACCGACCAGAGTCTCAAAGAATGGGTCATATCGGAAGCCAAGGGTGCCAAATCCAAGGATAAAAAATGGTGTAAGTTTGAGCCTTCTCCATTGTTATGGGGACTACCTACTTTCTATTCTGGAAGCGTGTGATGCTGACATAGAATCATACAGGGGGCGTCGAGATTATCTCGCCGCCGACGGCCGCGGAGAGCGACTGGCAACGAACAATCCATAAAGTGTTCCGCGCCATTAGCAAGGATTTTGAGTTATACACCAACCACCTTTGCTCCTCCCACGTTCACGTCTCACGCGGACCAGACCCGAAGGCCAAGTACGGTAAGACTGACCTCATCGACATCGCAAAGGGCGCCTTCTTCTGGGAAGAGGCGCTGAGGGGGCTTTTGCCCTACGCACGGCAGGTAAACAGATACGCGTTGCCCAACCATGATGCTTTCGCGTCAGATGAGTATTTAAGAGTCGGGGTCGACGGCTGGGGTCCGCTCTTCGACAAGCTCGTGGACCTGATGGGAGCGCAGGGCACGCCCGACAAGGAGAGAAAGGAGGCGTTTGCCAAGGGTCTGCACGCAGTGGCCCGGGACGGAACTCCAGTGAAGTACTTGTCGACTAACTTCCTGTCATTTCTGAGAATTGACACTGTCGAATTCCGTCGACAGGCTGGAGCTGCCTCAGCCACGACTGCCATCTACCGGGTATTGCTGGCCCTCACCCTCAACGTCAGCGCCTTACACTACCCGTTCAGAAACGCCTCGGGGTGGAAGGGCTATAAGTCTACGGAAGAACTGATTCTGGAGGCGATGCGCACTCTTCACGAACTGCCGCGCAATTGTGAGCAGCCGGGGTTCGAAGGGTGGTTGAGGACTTGCGCCGCGGACTATGCGCATGAGTCCGACACTTACACCAAGTTCACGGAAAAGGACATCAATAAGAAGGAAAAGCAGCTGCGAAAGAAGGAAGGGTCAGAACCCGAGCAGGAGGCAGAAGCCGGGTCGTCATCCGCCCCACCCGAGGGGGTAACTTCGTTGCCGGTCCGGCAGGCGCCGAATCAACCAGCAGAGCCATTGTCGTCAGCTCAGACCGGCCAGGGACGTCAGGGCGGCGTGTCATCGGGAGGTCAAAACGCCTCGAGACCATCGCAGTCAGCCCAGACCGGTCAAAGGCGGCAGGGTGGAGCGTCATCGGGAGGCCAAACCCCCCCCGTAGCATCGTCGTCCGGACGGACTGGACAGAGGGTGCAAGGTGGCGCATCATCAGGGGTTCAAAACGCCTCGAGACAGTCGTCGACAGCCCAGACCGGTCAGGGACGACAGAGTGGAGCATCATCGGGAGGCCAAAACGCCTCGAGACCATCGCGGTCGGCCCAGACCAGTCAGGGACGGCAGGGAGGGTCAACCACGACAGCCCAGCCTCCTGCACGAGCCGCTCGGCGCGGAGGGGAGGGCCAGGCGCAGGTAAGTCTCATCACTTCTTCCAGACCTTCTCCAGCATGCGTGGCGGCCACCTCGAACGGAACCATCGTCTTTTGCTGACGCATTATCTTCGTCCTATAGCCCAGCCGCACCAACACCGCAGGGGCCTCGGCCGGCGTAGTAACCGTCGCGCCAGGATACAGCGCGGAGCAGGTTAGGTTGCCCGGTGGCACACTAGTAACCGTCAGGCCACCAATCACCGGGGAGGATGTTATCTCTGGGGGTTCCCCCCATTCTTAGCTCAGTGTTAGCAGCGACTCGGCGATGGTGAGCTGCAGGAACGCTCCCCGTTGTCTCTGCGTGTGGACTGCTGTGTGGGACAGAAAATGTGTTCTTCGAACTAAATCGGAACAAGAAGGGTAGGGTGACACTGCTAGTAGAATAGTGGTATCATATGTACTGGGGCTGGCTCTCAGTTATTGGAAATGTCATATTTTCTTTGGCGTGATGGAGTGTTGACGTTGTGAAGAAACGCAACATGGCCTACCTTCGGCTACCTACCGAGTGACCTTGGTGTCTCTCCCCTGTTCAGACCTCTTTCGAAATCTTCTCATTATTGGTTCGCAGAAACATTGGGCCTCAGTGCCTACCTAACCAACCCAACAACAACTGAGAGTTTGCCTAACGTGGCAACACAGGGGGTTCTCCCTGCATGTCGAACAATGCATGCTATCAAAGTCCACAACAGAGAGTTGACACAGCCGAAGGCGCCATTGAAGTCCGGAGCTTTTCTGTGTCATCAATCTTCAAGGCCCTCGTTGGGGAGCCCTAAGTTGATTGGCAGGCAAGGAGAGGCGGTGAATCTGGCCAAGCAGCGTTCAGACAGTTGGCATGGAACAAAGGAAGCTTGGTTCACTGTGCCACCCCTATGATTCTAAGTGATGTCGTACGTGGCTGCCAGCATGCATAGGAGCTGTGAGCCACTAAGCATGCCCGGCATCTGGGCTTATTCATGCTGTACCTCAGTGTGTGAGTGTGTGAGTGTGGGATCGTGAACTTCTGTGCACTTTTCGTCCTCCTGGTGTCTGGATCGTTGGAGTCAAGATTGGGTGCAGGGATCGACAGCAGCCGAGTGCATGCACCTGCATAGGTACCAAGCTCCCAGGACAGGGATTAGCGGCAGTCGGCCAAGGCCCCGGCCGCAGCAGCTTGGTGCCGAGCCTGTGACGACGGTGAGGGGCCCATCTCAGAATGCTCACAACAATAAACTGTGTTGCACATGAGGCGGCCAATGAATGGCACTGAGTCGAGACCCGCAGTTTTACCTGAGGTCACCTCTGAGCAACTGGGCTTGTTCTTGCCAGCGGAGCTCTTCTTGTTTTCTTCCCCTCTCCCACGCCAATCTTCGATCTTGCTGGAACGAAAACACCAATAAACCATCGCTACAAAGAACCGCTTCCCCTCGCCTGTGGCCGTCTCCCTGGTCATCGGTACGCCCTCTTTGCAGTCCCATCGTCACCCCCCCGCGGAGCAACAAATAAAATACATCGGTCAACAGAAACTCTCAGAATGAAGTTTCAGTTTCTTGCCGCGCTGGCGACGGTGCCCTTGGCCATCGCGCAGGGCGTAACCGACAAGATTGCGCCCAAGGGCGATGCTCCCGAGGGGTGCCAGCCCAACGCGGCCGGCATGTTCGAGATCACAGTCATCCCGCTAATGGGGAAGGCCAAGCGAGACGCACTTATCGAGGTACGTCACTTTCCGACCGACCATGTTGAATGCCACCCGGTGCTTCCAGGGGCAACCTGGCTTGGCCCTCGGTTGACCCGGTAACCATGGGGCATCAATCCGATTGCCCCACATCACGACCCGATAATCGGGTGCAGGTAACGGCCGCTAACCGGACGACTCCAACCCGCAGAACCGGGCTGCCTGCTCCGGCGACGGCACGGTGGTGGTCCAGCTCGCCGACGGTGTGCTCACCGACGGCCAAGGGCGCACCGGCTACATCGCGTCCAATTTCCAGTTCCAGTTCGACGACCCCCCGCAGTCGGGCGCCTTGTACACGGCGGGTTTCTCGGCGTGCAACAACGGATCCCTGGCCCTTGGCGACTCGGCCATCTTCTGGCAGTGCGCGTCGGGCACCTTCTACAACCTGTACGATCGCTGGTCCGCGGCGCAGTGCTCGCCAGTGGATATTCTCATCCTGCCCTGCGACGGCGGCAACAGCGGTGACGGCGGCAATGGCCAGGACACCACCCAGACCGTGATCGGCACCCGCATCGTCACCACGACACTGGCCATCCCGCAGAGCGACGGCCAGTCGCAGGTCATCACCACGACAGCCCTCATCCCGATCTGTCAGATCAGAGACGGTATGTTTTGCCTGCCCCTTTTCCACCCCGCCACACCCCAAATCCCAACTCCCAATCCCACCCCCCCAATCCCACAAACGACCCCGACCCACCACACCCACCCCCCAAACCATCACAAACCAAGTAACTAACCCGAAGAACAGGCCAGCTCCAAAAACACACCACCCCCTGCGCCGCCCTCCCCGGCGCCCCAACCGCAGCGACCAGCCTGCCCTCCGTCTCCCAAATCCCTGACGGCCAAGCGACTCCCAGCCCGTCCGCAGGGACTGGTGACGGTGGTGGTGCGCAAGAGACGGTGCCAGCGCCGATGCCGGTGCCGACGGCGGCGCCGCCTGTGGTGGACACGGCTGGTGCGGCTGCTTTGGGTGGTGGTGGTGGGTTTGGTGGTTGGGGGGGATGTGTTGGGGTTGTGGTGGCGGTGGGGGCGGTTGTGGTGGTGGGGGGATTTTGAGGTTGGGAGTGCCGGTGGTAGGTAGGTGGTGATTGGGCTTGCTTTGCTGTGGAGGTTATTTCGGGCAGTTACATACTACCTGATGGAAGGACTGAGGTTGGGGAAGGTGCATCCAGTGATGGGGCGTTTGGTTGCTCTTTTTGGGGCGTTTTAGTGGGTTGGCCCATGGGTTGCAGGCGGGGAGGGTCCGCTTCGGGTTGCCCGTTGATGCGGAAGTGAAATAATTACAAGGAAATCTTGATAGCGATGGTGGACTGCCTCATGGTGACAGTGGCATTTTTATTTTATTTTTTATTTTATTCCGGACTCCCATCCCATTAAGAGAACAGCTACCTAGGTAGGTTCCGACCAACTGCGTACGATCTTGACGATGAAGCATGGAATGGAGTCTCCCGCCCCGGGCAGCATGGATCCGTCGCCGGCGCAGGCAGGGCCCGAGCTTCAGTGGAGGCCAAAACTGGAGGCTTGGCATGGATGGCTTGCTCTGCCGGCCAGTGCCGGCTTGGGAGTTCCCTTCCCAAAGTCAACTTTTTGTTCTGGCTTCCGACAGCATCCACCCCGCCCGATAAGTCGACTGCCAACCTTGAAAAAGATGTCGGAATACTGGAAGTCAACGCCTAGATACTGGTGCAAGCACTGCAGCGTGTATGTGCGCGACACCGGGCTCGAACGCGCCAACCACGAATCCACCGCGAAACATCAAGGCGCAATCAAGCGTTCCCTCCGAGACCTGCACCGCAACGCCGACCAAAAAGAGCGCGACAAGGAGAGGGCAAAGAGAGAAGTCGACCGGCTAAATGGCGTCGTGTCGGGGAGCAGTGTCGGTGCGTCGGCCGCGTCAAAGTCGGCGACAAAACCCAGTGGCGGGGCTTACGGGGCACCACCGCAACAAGCGTCACAAACAGAGCGGCAGAAACAGCTCGAGCAGCTGGCCGAGCTTGGTGTCAGTATCCCGACCGAGCTTAGGGGCGACATGGCAATGGTGGGCGAGTGGACGGTCACTTCGACAAAGATCATCGAAGACGGGGGCCGGGACGCAGACGGCAAGGGTCTGGGTTCAGCAGAGGGCCGCGCGACCGGAATAAAACGGGAGAGGGAACAGACGGAAGAGGAGAAGGAACAGGAAGAGGCCATCCAGGCGCTTTTCAAGAAGCCACGCAAATGGGGGATAGATTCGAAGACAATGCCCGCCGAGGAGGATGCCGAGCTTGATGCCTTGCTCAGCGGGCCGCTCGTCAAGACGAAGAAAGAAGAGGGCGCGTCTCCCAAGATCAAGATGGAGCTTGAAGACAGCCAGGAGGAACAACCGGAGGATACTACAGCGACAGCCAAACCAGTACTTTCCCCGCCGGTCAAGGACGAACCGGGCGAGGAAAACACGGGCGCTGGTCGTGGACCAGAGCTGTCTTCCGGCGTAGAGGGGTCAGATGGGGCGACTGTCATGTTCAAAAAGCGGAAGCCCAAGAACATCCGGCAAAGGTAAAAGGAACCCCTCGCAGACGGTACGCGGTCTTCTTACCCATGATACCCATTTCACGTTCGTCCTTGATAAGCCCGCCCCCAAAGTGCCACCTCACCACACGTGACAACCATTCGTCGGACGGCGCAGCGCCGGAGAGCCAACTGGACAATCACTTATCTTTCATCCTTACATTTCGACAAACACCACTCCCGGCTCGTCGGTGTAGGCCATGGCGAACAACCCCAATCCCATCAAGCCAGGACTTGTTCCGTCCCTCCCCGGCTATGTCAGGCAGAGAAACGAGGAATATGAGGCCTTGCGCCGGGGTCGGGTCGACCGCGCAAATCGCTGGCCGTCTGAGCCCCCCTACCTCACCGTCAACCCCGCCGACCTCACCATCACCCTGGGGAACATGAGTAGAGCTGGAAACGCCAGTGCGTCGCCAGCGCCGATTGATCCCGCTGCCATCCACGCGGCCCCCCCTGGTTTTCGCATGCTCACTAGCCTGCCCCCGGAGCTGCTCGTCATGATTTGCCGTCTCCTGTACCAAGCCGATCTCTTGCACCTCGCCCTCACATGCCGCGCCCTCGTTAGCACGATGGTGGACATGCTCTACAAACGCGACATCTCGGAATTTGACTGCCTCGCTCTTCGTTGGGCCTGCACCCTCGGCATGGTCTCGACATTCGAACGCACTCTCAGTTACGGCGCGCCGCCTGATTATGTCTTTCGCCCCAATTCCGGTCTGGGATGCTCATGGGCCCGTTCTTGTCCAGACCCTTCTTCCATCCCCGACCCTTCCATCCCCAGCCTTTCCATCACCGGCCCTTTCCTCCCCGGCCCTTTCCTCCCCGGTCATGTTCTTGTTTCCGATACTCCGCTCCGGGTCGCTATTTTCGCCAAGCAATTGAATATTGTTCGACTGCTGCTCGAACATGGCGTCAACCCCAACGCTCCAGGCCCCGACGTGGCGGCGTTTGCCCGCCTTGAGCGTCGCGAAGTGTTCTATCCGATCCACCTCGCCACCGGCCTCCCGGATGCGCCTTCACGAGGCAACACCGAAATACTCCGCCAACTTCTCGATGCCGGCGCCGACCCCAATCAGTGCACCGAAGTCCGCCAGTACCGTGACCCGGATCCTTCCCCACGGCCGGGCTTCCCGCCGCTCCTGGCGGCCATGCTGCCCGGGACCCCGGCCGAGACCGTGAAGCTGCTGTTAGAGCACGGTGCCGACCCAACAAAGATTGGCATTTATCGCGGGTCCTTCTTTCCCCGCTGTCGGGACCTTCCCTATCAATGTTCGTCCCGCTCGCCCCTGGGGGCCGAGCTGGCCGGCTTTACTGTCGGCGACGTCTTCCCGCTTCAGATGGACAAAATACGGCTCCTTCTTGCCCACGGAGCCGCCAGCGAGCTGTCCTATATCACCAAGCCGTTACAGCAGAGCTACCCTATGCCCCTGCTGGCCCGTCATTGGGATCATCCCCGCATTATCGACCTTCTCGAGCTGTTCATCGCCCACGGGGCGGACGTCGCGGGCTGGGCTGAGCGGTTGATTCCTCCCATCCTCTCCGTTATCTGGTGGGCAGAAAATCCCAACCCTCGCCGTCCTGTCAATGACGCACCACACAGACCATGGACGGCTGCCGAAAAGGTGTGCAAGGTGATCGCGGTTTTGGCCGAGGCCACCCTCGTCCGGAACCACACCGGACCGACCCGAAAGTCCACCATAATCGATGCCGTCGTTGCGGTTTCCTTGGGATTCATGGGGATACCTCCCACCAAGACGGGCCAGACACCACTGCGTTACATGTGCAAATTATTCGATTCTGAGACTAAACTGCCGATTATCCGCGTCCTCCTAAACTACGGCGCCGACATGAACAGCACTGACGCCCACGGCCGTACTGCGCTCCACCACGCGTCCGTATTCAGTTCTGGCGGGCGGGTGCGGGAGCTTGTGCAATTTCTCGGTGGCCCGACCGATTCGGGCCTTGTTGTCAACGTAGCCGACGCTAGAGGTTGGACACCCCTCCATTACGCTTGTCTCTTCGGTTTCTGGGCCGACTCGGAGGGCCAGGCCGCCACCGCCCGATTGCTGCTGGAGAACGGCGCAGATGTTAGTATTAGGACCAACAACGGGTGGACACCGCTGTCTCTCGCCGCCCTCACGGCAAACCAGCACCTAGTCGATCTGCTGCTCGATTATGGCGCCAGGGCTGAGGATTTGTTTGTCCCACGCGAGGGCGAAACCGAGTCGGCCTTGGTTCCAATCGGTCGTATCGTCTTCCGTGACCGTCCTGTCTGTCGTCGGTCGCCTCCTTGGCCCGAGTTTCTGAAGATCAAGGCCGAGATCGCGGCTTGTAAGGCGCGTGTCGCGACGCAGCTTGGACACCGACTGGGCGTTGACATTGTTCTCCCGTCGGTACAGAAAAACCCCGTGCTGCCTCCCGACCACAACTTCCGAAGCCCCGCTGCCACGCCCACCACCCCCGGGTTCCGAGTCGACTCGATGGACCACCCCCTGGGCATCGCTTCGGTTCCCCCCGAGGACTACACATCTGGTGACTTTGAGAAGGATATCGACCGGGTTCTCGGCATGCTCGACTCTGCGGGCCTCGAGGCCTTAGTTACGGCACCTCCTCGGCAGCAGTATATGCAAATATTTTGGAGCTCGACTCCAGGTCCCGAGGGCGTCGCTTCCACATCATAGATGTGCTGGCATCCGCAGTGCTTCGTTTTCGGGAGGTTCTGTCTTCGGCGCTTCGACTAACACGCTTTGTTTGTCTTCTGTTGGGTGTTGACGGTGGTGGAAATGGGGTTTGTCTCCCAAGGGACGGTTCGGTTTGGCCGCAGCACACCACACCCCCCAAAGGATAGCAATGCCACTTCAATATCCAACCATTGTTTATCCCATGGGTGAGTTTATTCAGAGTGCAAGCCAACTATTTACATGAACCAGGAACGAAATGAGCTCATTGATAAAAAAGAAAACCGTCTTCGTCGCCGTCATCATCCCGGGAACACACACACGGGCCCCGAGCCCTATCCCATATCCTCATCACTCATGACCCGCTCAGCGCAGCCTCAACCACCCCCAACACCACCCCCCTCCACGGCCGAGTCCCAGCCTCCGGACCACCCCTTTTCCCACCACACACCTCCCACCAACCACTCAAACCTAGATCTTGCTCTTCAAGAACCGCGGCGCCGCAATCGACGAGTCGGTCGTGTACAAAAAGTGCGCCGGCGCAATGAACAGCGTCCCCCAGCACACCGCATCCGACACATTGCAGTACACCTCGGTGCGGTCCCGCGGGTAGTTCGGAATGCGCCCCACATTCTGCAGGTTCTTGGTATACCCAAACAGCACGACCCCCTTCACCTGCTCCTGCACGGCCCCCGACAGCTCGCTGACCGAGTTGGACATGACGGCCGTGCCCTGGCTGTAGCCGCCGGCCACGACGGCCGCGTCGGGACACTTGGTGTTGGCCATGGTGAACAGCCGCTTCGCCTCGTCGATGGCGCCTTGGGAGGTGCCCGCGGGCAGGAAGTTTTCGGCCAGGCCGGCGCTGTACGGGCCGCCGACGCCTTGCACCCAGATGTCGTTGCGGAAGTCACGCTCGAGGGCGGAGGCGACGTTGGGGCCCGCGGAGATGCCCTGCGGTTGGGGGTCAGTGGTCTGCTTGTTTTGGGGGGGTTGTTGAAAGGGGGCCGTACCATGTTGCCGGGCTCGCCGGAGGCGCGGGCAAAGATGAGGATGACGCTGGGGCAGTTGGATGCGTCGCCGTTCTCGAGGTCGTTGCGCGTCGACGAGAGCTGGCGCGCCTCGATCTGAGCGGCGTTGTTGTTCACCTCGGTGGCCGGGGCGGTGGGCAGGGCGGTGGCGAGGCCGGCGGCACTGAGGAGGGTAAGGAACTTCATGGTTGCGGTTGGTGGTTGGTTGGTTGGGTTGAGGTGAGGGTTGATTCACACGAGGAAAGGGAAGAGCTAAGATGGGGTGGAGGCGTTGACCGGAACGGAAGACTTGAGGCTGCTGGCTGGGTGATGAGCTGGAGGGAGATGTTTGCAGTCGAGTGGCGTTCGCCGTCTACTTATACGTGAGGTTGAGGCTCACACGAATCCGTGAAACCATCATCATCTTCAGCTGTCTTTGGTGTTCCCCACGCAGGAAACATACCAAGCCCTGGGCACCCCTTGACGGCGGACTCCTTGAACATGGTCGTCCCAAACGCCGAGGCCCGCCGCAAGCATTCCTCTTTGGGGTCTAGCGCCATCGAGATATTACTAAATCAGGGTCGTGAAGCGAACCTGGGCGCGGCTTGGCGGATCGGCCCCCTTCCCGAACGGCACACGACGGCTTCTCAACTCCACCAAAGAATGTCAAAGACAGATCCTCCGACCGGCAGCTCGGGCAGGTACCACAGCACAATCCGGGGAACCCCGGCGGGAGATCCACGCCAAATACGACGACGGCAGCTGACCATGCCGGGTTTTGCTCTTCCCCGCATTCTTGGGTGCGGATGGCGTTGCGGGGTGCAGCTCTTGGATATTGCTCTGCTGTAGGGACCTTCAAATGCCGCTGCGCCGAGTTGTGACTGCCGAGGCACGACGAGAATCGGTGGGATTTGTGATGGTGTTTTGGAGTGTTTGGAGATTCGCCGGAATAGCCCGAAATAGATTTGCTTGCGAGTGGGTCTGCTGGGGCTGCTGGACCTGCTGAAACAGGATGAGATCGATGGTGAGGGTCTGTGGGGACCGGGAGGACCTTACCAAAAGGGGCCGTCGATGCCGTGGTGTTGGTATCGACAGTCTTGCGAGAGACGGTATGTTCCGAGGACCGAGGATGGTGTTGAGGGGTTCGGGCAGAAGGGTTCGTTAGCAGGCAGTTCAATGTTGGCATGTTCAAGTCAGCGGTTCCTTCGGGGCTCCTTTTTGCCCTTTAGGAGGTTCTCTCTCTGCTCGAAAGGGTTTAGAACTGAAAGATAGGAGGACGGGGAACGAATATTAAAGGCCGTTATTGTTGTTGACTTTTTGTTGTAGGGAAGGTAGAAAGTGACATGAATTTAGACGTGAGACTGAATTTCATATCCGCCTCAACGGGCGGGGAATTAACTCCCTTCCTAGGTTCACACTCTACCACTGTACCGCCGAGGTGGTTTCCCTAGTGGTTGAAGATTGGGAACAAAAGTGTAGCTTGTATAGCACCATCTCCCGCGCCGTTACAGTTTCTTGCTTCTCGTGAACATCGGTCTGCACCGCGACGACCAGCAATGCGAGCAAGGAGCGCGAAATAATTGCCAGGCAACCCGCTTCCCGATCCCGAAAAATAATCTAATCCGCGCAACGAAGCCATCCACCGTAAATATCTCCGTGATATGGACGGTATAGTACTGTTCAATTGCTCCCAACCCAAGTTTCCCTCAGCTCCCAGCCACACCGGCATCCCCGGCAACCTCCCTTGCTTTCCCTTCTTCCTCCAAATATGCGTTGATCACCTTCGCGTAGACCTGGCGAAGCTCCTTATGTGTGTTTCCGACTTTTCCGACGAGCCGTCCATGGTCAATGCTTTCCTTGCTCTCCAGACCATTCTTCAGTTCGCCAAGTATCTGGTCATTGAAAGTCTTTTCCAACTCCCGAAGTGATTTCTTTGCCGTACCTATCATTTCCCCCTTATCATTAGAATCCTCCATTCCAACTAAGACGAACTGGAGTGACAAACTCAGTGACAAACCGAAAAAGAAAAGAAAGAACAAAAAGAAAAGAACATACCGATAGCTTGCTGGAACGGTTCTCCTTGGAGAATGAAGCCTTGTTTCTTCCTCTCTTCTTCGTCCCAGCGGCCGCCAATCAGTTCATGTCCTTCATCCAAGACTTTGCGCAACGTGATCAACTCCATGTCGACGGCGCGGGCGCTCTCGGACAGCTTCAGTGATCCCGTGGAAAATACACGCCGCTGGAGCCGGGCGGTTTCGAAAAGAACGCAGCGAGCAAGATAGGAGTCTCGAGACATGGTGCGCAGGACGTCCGAAATGGTTAACATTACCCAGTTGAACGGGGAGACCATATTAATGGGGTTGAACCTGGGTTTGTATGTCGGTAATTCGAGGGAGCCATCGAGGAACCCCTTGTCGAGGGAGCCACCGAGGAACCCCTTGGTAGGAACGACCACGGCGTCGTCGATGTCAGAAACCTGGCCCTTAGGGTTGCGACTTTGCTGGATTCTTGGGTCGATGGGCTCCTCAACAGCCTGCTTTCGGTTCCGCCGCCAGCGTTTGAAGCAGATGAGAGACATGCTCGGGGACGTCTGGTATGGCGAGAACAGGCCAAATACCCCGAAGGGGGGCGTTGTTAAATACGTGGAGTTGAGTAGGGAACTAAGTATCTAACCGTCACGTACACGGGGAAATGGTTTGTGAGCGGTCTGCGTTTTCGTCTCCAGCTGCTGACGCTCTTCAATGTGACCGAGGTGCCCCAGCCTTCAGCCCCGATTTATTACCCCTGCTCATCGTGGACAACGCGAACACTCAGGCAGTGCCAATAGGCGGAGCCGAGACGCAGGCAGCCACACTGCTTATTGGCAGAATAACCGAACGGCCAAGAGACGTCCCTGGACGTCTCCCTCGGTAATCTGTAACCAATCTGTAATTGCCCTGCAATCATTTCTCAGACTGTTGTACTTGTATTCAGGAATGGAGCCACAAACGCCCGGGCGTCAGCATGACAGTCATGGTGAGAGCGACCATGGCGAGTCCTACGGAGAGCAATTATTCAAGTACACGTTCGATGAAGGGCGACAAGAACCCCGTTTTCTCATCTTCCGAGGCCTCCAGCTCATGAACATCTCGAACATGCAGAATGGGTTGGCCAAACTAAAACACGACATCATGACAACTAAGACGGCAACGCCCCAGCAAACCGAATCTCTCACTAAAGTCCTACACAATTACAGTACCTCCCTCCATCCCCAACCACCCCCAACCACCCCACTAAGTTCTAACCACCGCCTCACAGCAAACGCCATCCGCGACTACGAATACCTCACCCGCCTCACCCCCATAACCGGCTCGCAAGCGCGCCGCGGCCGCCTCGACCTCGAGCGCGTCTTCGGCGACGACGCCTACCACTTCATCGACGAAGGCTCGGGCTACCGCCGCCTGGCCGACCCCTCCCTCCTGCCCACCGACACCCTCCGCGAGACGCTCAAGCGCCACCTCCCGCGCTCCGTCACCTACACGCGATACGACGTCCGCAACCGCACGGACGAGTACTTCAACAACGAGCCGCCGGAGCAGGTATCTCCCTTCGTGGATAGGTTGGCAAGGTTTTTGGTGGCGTTTCTGGGCGGCGCCATGTTGGTGGTGCCGATGATGGTGATGCGGTTGCCCGAGGTGACGGTGGTCAAGAGCTTGGTGACGGTGAGTATTTCAGTGTTGGTATTTGCGGGCGCGCTGTCGGTGCTGTTTAAGGCGAGTAATACCGAGACCATGGTGGCGACGGCGACGTATGCGGCCGTCTTGGTGGTGTTTGTGGGGGTTTCGGGGTAGGTAGAGGATTAGGGAAGGAATTTAGGATATATAAGGTCACCACTCCCAAAATTCCGAGAATGAGAGTGTTGGTGTAATCAGGCACACGGTCGTAGCAGGATTGGCTGCGAAAAATGGCGCTATATAAGTTACGTTTCTATTCCCAATCCTCAACCACTAGGAAACCACCTCGGTAGTACAGTGGTAAGAGTGTGAACCTAGTCAATTTTCCCCCCGTTGACGCAAACCCGCTCTGGGCCCGGAGAATGACCACAGTCTTCCTTTTTCGGTTCCTAGTTGTGGCTCGTTTTTCGGCCTTTTTTTTCTTTTCCCGCTCTTTTCCTTTCGCACATTGTGACATGTCCTTAGTGTTGAATATACGAGTCCTTGCTTTCAATTGTTATGTTGAAATATATAACGTTATAGTGCTAATATTGTCGTTGAGACTTACGTACGCTTCTACGGTGTCTATCATGTATGGTGCTAGTCACATCACAACATGAACCTGAAGCGACCGCCACTATATGTACGTTCATATTGTGTACCTCGGTAGGTAACTTTGATACCTGTACATTTCTGTTTCTTAGTGAAGTTAAACAATGGCTAGTGTTGAAGAGCAAACTATTCCTGTATAATAACCTCCTACTTAGTACCTACTCTATTCCATCTTAATAGAGGAACGGGGTTTTAGAATTGTCATTAGGTCTTCACCCTACCTAGGGAGCATCACAACGCATTGTCCAGATTCAATACATCTCCGCTTGCTAAAGGTAGTTAAACAACGTTGAAGACGCCTAGATGTGCGTAGAACAATAAAAATGTCGTAAAGACGAGATGAAACCTTGGTTGGTCCTTCTGGTGCATGTCCTATAAACATCTGTCTCCCATCTCCCTTCCAGTGTTCACTCTCCAGCAGGCCAGAGTATCGAGCATCCTGTCCCCAGCATGTACCTCTTCTCATTTTCTACTTGACTAAATCTCACAGCTATCTTCCCTCTCAAGCCCATCACACAAAGTCTTTGACCACACTACCGATCTGCGCCCCTGTCCCTTTTCGCCTTTTGACCTTTTCTCAGGGGGCAGAGGATGGGGAGAGGGTGGACGTTGATGGGGATATGTAGGAGCCGGTGGTTGGTTGGGCCGGTTCCGGGGTACCTATCTGGTGATCTCTTCATGGTTTTCCTTTCCGATTAACGATACCCCAATGTCTTCTCACGTTGGGATTTCTTGTGATGTCAACGTGCAAATGTTGAGCTTGAACCTCGATGTCTTACCACAACTCCTTCTATTACACCGTAGCCCCACGACGCAAACTCCAAGCTTCCTCGGACCTGTTCGGTAATCATCTCAACAGCAGAACAAATGAGTCGTGGGAAGAAGGGCCTGGAACATGATGCCTATCCGCAACGCCACCATCACCACCACACACAATCAACAACAAAAGCGACACCGACAAGTTAACAACCCCCACCACAACGCGGGAGGTGGCGGCACCAGCGCGACAGTCCTGGATCCGCAGCTGTCCCTGTCCGCCTGAATAAGGGCGCACACGGGCGCTGTACAAGGGCGTGCCGGCAGAGTTGGTGAGCGGCCGGTGCTGCTAGTTATAAAAGGGGGGAGGGTGGGTTGTTGGGCTTGGGGTTGGCGATTGTCCTCCCCGAAGCGGCGCCCAGGCCGTGGGTGAGGCGGTTGGTGTTGATGATTGGGGTGTTTAGTGGTCCTGGTGGGGTCTGGGTTTAATGACGATGATGGTGGTGGTGAGTAAGGGGGGGCAATGGGTTCTTGTGGGCGTTGAGTTGCGGGTTGCAGGAGAGCTCCGACATATGGGTGAGGGGTATTCATATAGCCTGCAAAGTATGACAGTGTCTCCTTGTATTGATCATCGTTGTTTGGAGACGACCAGCCGGCGAAAATCACCCGGGCCCGTAACTATCGTCCCAGGCGGAAGCACACCGCCTAAGAGGTCGGGGAAGGCGGCTTCGAGGGAGGTCCATAGTAGGCGGGCCCTGTTGATGCCCTGTGGCCTGTAGATCCCAGCTAGAGGAGGACTGGTGTTTGGTGCATGCCGACCAGTCAGACGATGCCAACTTTGCCAAGTTACCTACCTCGGTACCTACCTAGGTAAGCAGCAGGACTGTTGATGAGCGTCTCTGAAGTGGGACCCCGGGTTTACCCCTCGAACGACCAACACCCGCGGCAAAAGCCTCCTCATCACTACCTACGAGAGAAGTACATACAGTGGACACCTGTCCTGCCTGACACAGTGACACATGGCCGATTTGGTCGCGGTCAGAATACACCGCAAACTATCGGCTTAATAGCGCCATCGATGTATTCTATTTCCTCCGCGGCTCACATGCATATAGGTCAGCTACCTAAGGTGCCTACGCTGCTATCAATGCCACGCAGGAGGACAAAAAATAACATGGAAGCAGTCTCGTTCCGGAAAATGCTTGCGAAATGGTGTCTGGGTGGGGAGGACAAGCAGAATGTTACACTGCTGAGCCGTTTTGGAGCCACTCATATGCCGGAGCACGCTCTGGCCAAAAAAACTGATACACCAAAACCTGTTTTTTTTCCAGAACCCCTGGACCCACCCACCCATAAATGCACCATCACAACAATCAACATCAATCTTTCTTAGCAAAACAGTACTATTTTCAGTGTAAAAAATGGGCATCGCACACAATTCAACACCTCGAAGATCCCGGGTCCAGGGCACTGTCGATTTTCTTCGTTCCACTGGCCACCTGGGCCGTGGAAGGCTTTTTACAAAGGCGGCCGTTTTCCAACACCACGGAGTCAGCCATGCAACCGGCCACCGAATCCTTCGCGAATTCGAAAATTCGACCCTCGAACCCCGAACCTTTCACTCAAACTACGTCGAAACGCGTGGACGGAAGAAGAAGCTCGATCACGAAGCCCTCATACAAATTGAGAGGTGCATTGATGAAGGTGGTTTCGACGGGTGTACTCTTCCTTGGGAGGCCATTCCATCCGCCGCCGGCCTCGACATCGAAGTTTCTGCCCGAACTGTTTGCCGTGCCCTCCGGGAACTGAACTTCCGGAAGTGCATTGCTTGCGAGAAGCAGTACCGGTCCACCCAATCTAAGGAAAATCGGGTGGAATATAGCCGAATCATGCTGGAGAGGTACCCCGAAGCGGGAGACTGGTACTATGTCAGATTCTCTGATGAGTGCCACTTCGGCTGGGGCCCGCAGGGTAAAATCTGGGTTCTTCGGCGACCTTGGGAAAGGTTTTGTCCTGACTGTATGGTCGAAAAGGACGCCCCGAAAGAGAAGGACCTTCGCAGGCTCCATTGTTGGGCCGCTGTTGGCCACGATTTCAAGAGCCCCTTAGTTTGGTATAACGTCCCCGGCAATAGTAATGGTAAGATGACTATAAAGGCCTACCGCGACTAAATCCTTGAGCCTGTGGTAGCCCTTTGGCTTCGGGAGGGCTATTCTTTTGTGCTTGAGGAAGACAACGATTCTGGCTACGGTGGGAAAGGAAACAATATTGTGACCTAGTGGAAGAAGGAAAATGGGCTTGAGAGCTACTTTAACTGCCTACTGAGCCTAGACTTCGTGTCCATTGAACGGGTATGGCAGTTACCCAAACAGTATATACGTAAACGGCCCTGTTGGGAGGACTCGATTGTCAGGGAGCTTGCTGAGGAGGGTTGGGCCGCATTGAAACAGGATTCAATCAACCGTTGGGTAGATAAAATCCCACAGATTTTGAAGGACTGTATAGAAATGGAAGGAGCCATGACAGGGCATTAGAATGCACTTGAATTTACTGAAATTGGGTGCGTTTTGACAGAATTGTGATGTATTAAAATGGGGGCGGATGGTTTTTGGTGTATCAGTTTTTTTGTCGGGGGGGTGCGGAGCAAGTCAAACTTCGTGTGGGTCCTCTGTGGCGGCCCAATCGAAGTGGTGCTCCGTTCACATTTGTGTGTTGGGCGCGATGGTGCATTGCCGTGGGGGATGCACGGGAGTGGACCCTGTGAGAGGGCGTCTTGGCAAACCAGTGGGCCTTGAGTGCTGTTTTCCGCGGAAAATGTAAATTGCACCACGGGAGACCGACCAGTTTTGTCGTTTGGAACCTTTTGGTCTTCTCATAAGGCTGACACTGCTCACCGACGACAAAAGCCCACCCCTCAGCCCTGTTTCTCTTCTTTTACGACGCATATCTTGGGCAATGTATCCACGCTTAAAACATCATGTCCTCTACCGCTGTTCGTGCCCAGTTTTTACCACTAGCTGGCTTTTATTCTGAGGACAAGCTTCGTTTCACACCGCTTTGCACTTCACCCACTCCCTCGGGACTCACCATAACGGCACCGTGTCAAAAAGGAGGTAAACAACGCAGCTTTACTCGATCATACCCTTGGACGCAGACTTTCTTCACCTCAGGAAACAAATCAAAAGCAATCATGTTTTCTCTCATTCTTTACTCAGCCCGCTAACCGACCCAGACTTCTAGGAGCCTCCTTACTTAGGTGGGTAGGCCCCCTCCCCCCTCCGTCACACCGCACACGAGCCCAGGCACGACTCGTCACTCAGCCACCGACATCGAAAGCATGCCCATGCTGAGAAACCTAGTAGTCGTATCCGAAGCCGAACTGCCCAACATCACCGCCATCTCCAGAATCACCCGCCGGGGCCCAATGCACGGTGCCCGAGAGGTTGGACGCGGCAACTGCATAGTCGACAAGCCCGTTGGCGGCTGTGGCATACAGCGACTGGGCGGGAGGAAGCTCATGGGCAGACACTGCTGGGTATGCCGCAGAGTCGGCGAGGTGGGGCCAGTATTGACTGTTGGCGACAGGCATCGACGGAGTTTGCGGCTGAGTCGGGACATTCGACGTCGGGGTGCCGTAATACCCGGGAATGAAGCCTCGTGGGTCGGGTTGTTGAGGAGGACCCATGGTCACCCGGCTAGGTAGGTTGGGCAACAGTGGGAGGCCTTGGAAGGTGTTGCTGTCTTGGATCTCGGTGCCTTGGGCTTGGTGCTCGCTGACCTCGGTAACAGCTTGGACAAACATACGCCCCGACTTCATCTCGCGAGACGTGGACTTGACGAAGGCCAGGTACTCCATCAACACCGTCTTGACATCCGCCGGCATACTACCACCCTTCTTCCACTCCCCCATGAAGCGCGACATGAAGCCAACAGAGAGGTCGACAAACTCGGTCCCGGTATAGTACGGCGTTGCCGGCCGATCCAGGTCTGGGAAAAAGAGGGCCCAAAGAGCGTACCACCGATCCACGTTCGTCTCTCCTCTGCTGTTACTGCCTTGCATCTTCTCAAGCCTCTCCTTCCCCGCTTCTTTCGCGTGCTTCCGCTGGATGTGCTGTCTGATGTCGGCCACCCGTCCCATTTTGTACGCCACGCAACCCGCGTGACAGATCGGGTTGGCTAAGTAGAAAGGGCACGCCCAACGCCGTCCGTGTGGCTCGTCGTCATCATTGCCGTTGTTGCCGATACGCACGTGTCGATTCATTGTAGGGCAACGAGATGTTGACTGGAATATACAAACATGTACGACACTGTCCTGTAGCCGAGTCTATGATCGTTCGAAGTTTCACCTTCGCGGCCGATTTGCCCTAGGCCACCAGACCAGGTGCGAGTTAACTCGCGTCTTGAAGAGTCAACACAGCATTGGGCACTCACAATCCGTCGCACGCCACCAAAGAAAACACGCCGAAAGCCATTTCAACAGCGCTCAACTCGATTTTACCTTCCATGTCATCCGCAATCTCAACTGTTAGTGCTACACCTACATACGCCCATGTCATTACCCCAAATATGAATGGTCCACTACCAGGCTACGGTAGCCGAAACAAACCCCTAGCATGAAGGTGCAGACCCTGACGATGACCTTGTGTACACCGTTTCCTTGCCACTTCCGCTTTTTACCAATTACTCCTCAACGCGGCAGCAAAATATTTGTGTGCATAAAGGCTCCAAGAAACAGCGCGGCGGTGAGGGTCTCCGTAAACCGTGGCAGAGCCAACAACGAATAGGCGTAATAGAGGCTTGCGGATGTATGCATCAGTGTGAGTGGGGACCTGTGCCCGGTTACTATGAGCGTCTTTCAGAGCCTCGCGGTCCCAGTGCATTTCGTGACGGGATTGGACCACGTAAGCATGCAGTGTGCAGAGATGAAGCTGCAACTCCTCCACATCGGTGACTTTTGGGTACGCATTTGTGTACACAACCTTGTGCTGGGAGTTTACCTCCCTACCGACGCCCGCAATTGTAGACTTTGTATTGGTCATGTATACTGCACACTCAGCCGTCTTCTACACCGCTACTCGTTCTGTCCATGGCGAGGAGGGTGATGGACTGCGAGATGTTGGTGTGGGGGGATTGTGAAATTGATCCGCCCAAGTTGACCTTGAATGGCCGGAAGGGTCGCATGTGAGCCAGAACGCCGCTCCAGAAGTGAGGAGAGCATGGCGGCTCTGCGGGAGGATGCGGAGCTGAGCGAGACGATGCCAGTGGGGTGGCAAGCCCAGCTTTGGCTTTAACCCGTGGGTAGCGTACCTGTACACAGCCTTCCTCAATACGGTCCATCAGCCAGATCAAGAGCAGAGCAGAAGGGAAGAAGCGCGCGACAAGGAGGGAGTCAAGGTACTAGCATTGCGTCCAAGCTCGTCCGTGATACAATCCTGCAGCTAAATACCGAGTCATTCTCTTTCCATTCAGCTATTCTATCACCCAGAGCTGTCCTCAACTCGAATGGGACCCGCATCCCGACCCAACCTACTGTACCACCCACAGCTTTGACGACCAGACCTAATACTTCTTCCCCGGCAGCGAATCACTCTTTCTCCGCAGCGCGGCCTCGTCCTCCTCTTGCAGTTCCTTGTCGATGATAGCTCCTTTGGCCGGCGCGTTGCCATGGAGTGTTGCCTGTTCCATATTAGGGTCAGACCGGGACAGAGACACCATGGTAAAGGGGGAGGTAGGGGACTGACAGCCAGAGTGGGGTCCTTCTTCATGTTCTCCGCTTGTTTCCTATGTATCTGTAAACCAGAGCAACAATCCCCCTAGTCAGTAATCATCTTTACCAGTGGCAGTAAAACGCAGGCTGGGAGGGTGTGACAGACCTCTTCTGTTTGGAGCCGGTTGACTTCCTCCGCCTGGCCCTCTGTTGATTCTCGTGTGTCAGCTCTCCTGGACGGCATTGGAGGATTGGGGACGGAGGCGTAGCATACTCGGCATAAAGCCCCTCACGTTCTCGCCCGTGTGTTTTGACATCTGGTCCATCTCGTCGTGCGAATGGGTCCGCTGGTTCTGCGACTCGTAGAGGCCGCGGAAGCCGACGTTGGAGTGTCCTGAGGATGACATGTTGGGTGGTGACTTGTGTTGTTGTGGGTGCTTGTGATGGTTAACTTGAACCTGTGTAGAGGATGAAGATAGAATGTGGTTGTTTTAAGCTTCGAGGTGCCCCTTTTGAGGTTATGTCATCGGGGGCGGTGATGCCATTGTCGTGTTAGTGGTGCCCCGCAATCGACGTCACTCCGAGTGGAACTTGCCGCTCATTGTTCGTCATGAGCATGTACTTACTGGTGAACTTTATCTTTATACTGGGCACTCGTCTTGGCTTTAACTGATCGCGGGTTCTGCATCTCGAACAAGCAAGACGCCACGTGACCCCTCTTCGATATCCCGAGTTTTCGGGGCATGGTGATGTCAGGGTTGTGTGGGGGCCAACAGCATTAATTTACACAGGTGCGGTTGGCATGGTACACCATTTGTATTGCTGGCCTTGGCCGCAATCAACGGGGCTGGTGGTTGTGTTTATGCATGTTTTCATCACACAAACGGCGCATGTCAGATGTCCAAGAGGAAAACTCCAAAAGGTTGCTATTCAGATGAACCGCTATGCAAAAAATCAGGCTGCTGTCTCAACTCGACAGTGCCTTGGCCGATCCCCGTCCGGCCGAAGAAATAAATCGACTCCATGACCGCTTACACGCACTGCGAGTACCACTGGTTGCTGGCCTTGCAGGATCCGGCAGAGCAGCACGTGGGGCCCGAGTATCCGCTGCCACCACACTGAGCCCACATGGGAGCGCACGCGGTGCCGGGGTTGCTGGGCTCGGGCTGGGGGGTGCTGCCGCCGCCGCTGTTGCCGCCGCCGTTGCCGCCGTTGCCGCCGCTGCCGCCGCCACCGGACCAGACCGCAGGGCCGGGGATGGTGAAGGGCTTGAAGCCGTTGTAGATGCTGAAGTTGGCGTAGGGGTCGCTGCTCTTGTAGGCGCCGGGGAACTTCACGGTGGGGCCAGGGCTGCCGCTGCCGCCGTTGACGACCTTGATCTGCATGCACGAGATGTAGTGCTCGGGCTGGTTGACGTGGGACCGGTGGACACCTAGGTATACCGTGTTAGGCCAAGGGATTCCGCCGCGAACGGATTAGGCACCGGAGCTACTTACCGATGTGCTCGAAACGGGCGAGATACTCGCCGTTGGGGGTATCCTTGGGAACCTTGGCGGCAAGGGTGTTCTGGCCGTAGCCACACCAAGCGCTGTTGGTGAAGTCGGCGCCCTGGTTGCAGACGGCGTCCTCGTAGATCTTGAACCAGTCACCAGATCCGTCGTAGGCCTTCACATTGTCACCGGGAGCCCGGGAGAGGTAGACAAGGCCGGGGCCTGTGTTCAGATCACGTTAGTCATCCAGTTCGACTCGGAGACCAAGTTTGATTTGGAGCTACTCACCTGGGTGCTGGAAGTCGGAGCCAGCAGCAAGGCGAAGACGGATCTCATCGCCGGCGCTAACAGTCAAGACATCGGTACGGCCAGCGCTCGCGAAGGCGCCCTGGTTGCACCTGGCGTCGGGGCCGTCGATAGTTGAACCATCACGGATATCCGAGGCAGGGTTGGACGAGAACTTGATGGGGTTGTACTTGGTTTGCCGGCTGGACTCGCGGACGTACTTGTACGGGGTCTGGGCGGCGCCGTTGAGGATGTTGGTGTCGAACCAGTAGTGAGCAGAAACACCCTGGGCGGCGATGGCGCCGACGGCGAGAGCGGTGAACTTCATGGCGAACGGAAGAAAGTGGGGGCTGAGCTGGCAGTCCGATGTAGAAACGAAAGGCGGTTGGATTTCCTGAGATGAACAGTTTGGAGAGTTGGACGAAGATAGTACTTATAATCTAGAGAGTCCAGCGTTACCGATGCCTTCGTTATGTTGTGTAGACACAACTCAGAGCTGTCGGCCCGTTTCTCCAGCGCGTTGAAACAGCCAAGTCCGAGTCGACCTGAGAATACGACTTTCGCGATCCTCAAATTTCTCCATACTCACGGCCTCAGTTATCCCACCAGCAGGGATACATAGTCAAGGTCCCATGGCTTTTTGCAGTCGTCAGCCCAATATGGCGGAGCTGAAAGCCTCCTCTCCGCAACGAAACATGACTGAATGCAGAAATGACGGAGAAGTAAGGCGCCGGAACTGCCGTGTTGGGCCACTTGGCTGACAGACTATCGCAAGCTTCACCGTCGCTGGTTGGAAGGAGTCGAAACGGAGAATTGTCGCTTGCACGGTCGCACCAGTCGGAGCTGGGTGCCGGCCCTGTTGAGGAAGGCACGATGTCATTGTTTGCACACCTAGATTTCCATGAACATCACGCGCAACGGAACCACGGTACCGGAACCTGGGTCGCGTTGAGGGTGGAGGTCAGCCCATCGTCTGAAGGTGCTGCGGTGAAGGAGAAGGAGAGCGGGCACCCCCCTTGTTTCCAGATGCAGCGTTGCATCCGGTTGGAAAAGACGGAGCGCGCAATGACACCCAGTGCCCCCAAAGGTTAAGCGAGCGGCTCCCGAGGTGGCGCCAATCGCCGGAATGTCGGCTCAGGGGCCCAAACACAGAAACCCATCGCCCAGCTGGGCGATTCTCGGGAGATATTTCGTTCAGGGGTGTGCCCCAAGCGTTTCCGGGCTGGGCTGTCTGTCAGGAGCGTTGCCTCCGAAATCCCCCACACGCTTGGCGCGACTCCCAGAAGACACTTTGAAGCGCACGAATGGCGTTTCGAGATTCTGCTCCTTTGCAGTTGTTCTCATACATTACTCGTACAATCTCGAGTGTCCGACTCGGAACTTTGTTATTGAGATTCATCAAGGCAACAACACCTCTTGCTTTCCTGAAAGTCACAGCTGCTTGCTCGCTTGGGACCTGAACTCCACAATGGAGAGCTTCTTCGAATAGGTATCGCAGAACTCTCCACTTGAACTCTCCACCGCCGCCCCACGGTCCAGTCTCCTTTCTCTCGGCGACTCGCCTAATAATTGCAAGGAGCGTTTCAATGCTGTGCGTTGACCGCGCCAAGTGCGCGAGCTGAGGGAGTGTTGGCTCACCTGCGACCATGTCTGGGGTTGAAAGAGTGATTCGGGATTCGAATGCAAGGGACATGCCGGCGCCTGACAGTGTTCCATTGGATTCGGGCGGGCCGTGGATCGCCCGGAATGCGCCGACCAAGTTGATTGGACCGCTTCTCAGTCTTGTTTCTGAAAGACTGTGGAGACAGATTAATCCAAGACGACCCCCTATCTCCAGCCGCTAAGTTTCATGCATCATCCTCCTTGTCTCCGTCAACTGCTGCTCCGCCACTCCCACCAATCAACAAGGTGTATGACTGCACATCTGTACATCTCCCGAGTGACAGGACGAAGACTGGGTTGCCCTGAAGGATCTTGGCTTGGGCACTTCCAGTATTCCGAGCTGAAAAGCCGCAACACCAAGAACCACGCGATGCAAGGGGTCACAGCCTCACAGGTCTCCAGTGCCGCCAAAACAAGACACAGGAGATTTCTCCGTTCATCAACGCGGCAAGTCCGCTTTCCACAAGCGGCCCGGAGCTCATCCTCATCCATATCCACCATGGCACATGTCCAGCGGTCAGATCTCTCCGCTCCTTATTCGGTGACCGCCCCGAGGCAAGCGGCAGGCAAAGATATATCCCCGAGAGCGGCAGCAGCGACCGAAAGCGGCCCCAAGGTGAGAACATGATAGAGCATGCAATATCTGGAGCTCAGTGGTGATTGAAATAGTCACATTGCCGCCCTCCCTCAAAAAGAAAAAGGAATTCCGACCTTGGGTGGAAAGTAAACAAGAGCCCCTGAAGCTTGAGCTCGCAGTTGAACCATCGTCTGACGGACTACGCGTCTTACTATCCTGCACTCGCCACTCGACCGGTTTAAATCAATTCCGTTTTCTTTCCTTGGTTGAAGTGCCTGAGGGACTGTTGCACCCCATGTTTAAGCTCTTCATTTGAACTTCATTTCCAAAGCATTTAGATGCGACTGTAAATCGGGCTGGCACAACTAGGCTCTGGCAAACAACGGCTCATGATTTCGGGCTGTGAATGAGAGTTTTAAGATTACTTACTTTCCCTTCAAGGAAACCTTTCCAGCTCTCACAGAATGACCGGTCATTGAGGGCAATCAAAAAGCCTGGGCATTGTGCCGTGAAGAGGCCGAGGTGCCAACAGGGATTCACGCGTCAAACAAACACACATTCGGGCCGCAATGTGACGTGATATGTAGCATTTTGTGTACTGCTATCTGTGGTGCTCCAGAGGGCTCTGCCCTAACGACCAGTATGCACAAGGAGCCACGTCAGGCTAGCTGGGCCAAGGTTGTAGAAAAAGAGGCAAAGGAGGGCCAAGGCGTTGGTCGGCCTATGCCTACTTCTGCTCCATCATCGAGAGGAGCCACTTCTCGTGGGCACGAGGGCACAGACCACGGAGCCACTCGCTGGACTTGGTGGCAGTGAGAGTCTGCAGAGCCTGGTACTCCTCCCTGTCGGCCATGACCTTCTCGAGAGCCTTCTCCCACGGGGTGATATCCTGAGTGGGAACCACATAGTCGCCGTTGGCATGGCGTCGGCCCGTGACCTCCTTGACTGGGATGCAATAGGGAAGGCCAATCTTGGCCTCGGGGAGACCACCAGCGTTGGACGCAATGACAGGAATTCCACGCAGCTGGGCCTCAGTCACAACGACGCCCCAGGCCTCATACCACAAAGAGGGAGCCAGGAGGACCTTGATGCGGTCCCAAATCTCGTCTGTGTTTCTAGTGGTGGGCTCAATCCTAGCAGGGATGACTTGTTAGCATATTTCTAGCACAGATGAAGAATGCTGGTTTGTGGGTGGGGACGCAAAGACGCACGTCACATTGGGGAGCGCCTGGAGCTGCGCGATGTGGGCGGGTTGGGAACCCCAGCTCTTCCAGGTGACAAAGTTGAGGTGAGGAAACTTGGTAGCAAGAGCAACGAGGATCGGAAGGCCCTTGTGGGGGCAGGGGTTGACCATGCCGATTTCTTCCTTGTCAATGTTGTTGCGGATAACAGGCATGCCTCCCGTCACCGTATCCAGATACGTCATGGGAGGGTGGACAAGGAATGTGGTCATCAGCCGGCCGTGGTTCCAAGCGTAGTCTTTGACAGCCTTTGAGACGGTCCAGATTCCATCAAGCTCGCGGAGCATGCGATTCTCAACGGTGGGAGAGAGACAGTGGCCGTCAACACCGGCAACAAAGGGGCCAAAGGGAAGCTGTTCAGCCGTGTGAATGATGTCGATGCGCTTGAACGTGCTGCGGTTGGGGTGCAATGCCGAGATCTTCATGGTGACCGGGTCGTTGAAGATGACATGAGTCGGCTGGAACTCGGTGATGTGGTCAGAGAAGAGCTTCACAAGGGACGCCATTCGCTTGGTCAATACGTCACGCTGTGGAAGCATTAGTCCAAAGAATTTAAAGAAGGAAAGGAGAGGGAATGAAAGGAGTCAAGATGTGCCTTACCTCCAAGTAGTCGCGGGTGTCTTCCTAGAACGCCCGGATCGGGTAGGCCTCGTTGAATTGAACGCGAGAAAAGGTCACATTGTGAACATTGTACTCGTCAGTGAACGTCTTGATAACCAGTTTGTGAGCCTCGCCGGCAGGGTCGACAACGGACAGGGCGGTCTTAGTGACGTTGGGCTTGATGCCGTTGAGCTCGGCACGCCTGGCGTAGTGGTGGATTTCATCCTCGATCGCGTAACAGATTTGGGCAGTGGCGTGGCCCTGGTTGCTGAGGGTGCGGAGGAGGTTGACGTTCGCCTTGTAGCCGCCCGATGAGGGGTTCAGTCCCTGGGCCGTCTGGACAAGGAAGACTCGCATCATCCCCGTGCTATTGTGAGCGGTCATCGTGAACGAAGGACAAGGTAAATGACGGTATTGGGTGAGTTTGAGTCAGTGGTAGGTGTTAGGGGCTTGAGGGATCTTTGTCTCGTGATAATTGAGTGGCGGCAAATGAACGAAAGACGGGGATTCTTCACCTAGATCTAGTGCCGACCGAGTGAGTTGCTGCTGATCAAGATTGGCTCTTGATACCAGGCACTCGCCTTGTGAGAATTGTGTCCGCCGGTGCGCGCCGAGATGGTAGGCTTACTCCGCGGGGTTGTGAAAAGAGTGTGTGGATTGAGAAGAAGAAGTTTGTGGGCGGAGGAGTAAAGAATTGTGCGGGACCGGGAGAAGGAGGGAGGTTTTGAGCCCAGCCCTGGCGCGAGCGCGAGAGATGAGACGGAACTGGAAAGAACGAGGAATTCGGAAGGGTCTGAACGAAGCAGTTTGGATTTAACGACGGCCCCGCTGCTCCTTGCCAATCACCTCCCAGGCCCTCTCGCCGCTCCTTCCTGTCTCGGCCAGTCGGTCTTCATCTGAGCGCAGAGTTCCCAAATATTCGGATTACCGCAGGGCAAGTTCCACACTTGATGCAAATTCTCGACTTTCGCACAACTGCAATTGATGACTCGGCAAGGATGGGCCAACGCCTTGCCCAAAACTTTGCCCAACCCTCGAGGCTTGGTGCTGGCCTTGCTGGCCTGGCTCGGTTATGCTGTTGTGGCCTCTCTCCTCTCTCCTCTTCCCCCCAAACTCTAGAACTCCCTTCTTTACCTGCTCGTCGTTCTTGCTACCTTTAACGCACTTCTCAACTCACTATGATGGTATAACGACAGTCGGGCTTCTCCGGGGCGGACCGGGCAAGCGTCAATGCGCTTTTCCAGGCTTCACAATCAGTGCTATCGAGGAGAACGTGAGGGTAATGAGAAGCCCTTCTTCGTTGCTCCGGATACGAAGGCGGAGCGCGATGGAATATGGGAAGCCTGGACCGAGTATGTCTTCTCTCCCATCTTCTAGGCTTCCCCAACCTAAACCTAATCTCGATATAAAGCTTGGGATAATACGCTGCTCTGTTGCTAATTTCTATTGTTTGTTAAAGTTTCGGTAAGTTTACTGGAGAGAAAGAAAGGGTAGAAACGGCGCTATTACTTCCCTCCCCTTATACGAAATTTATATTACCTTATATAACACCAAGTATATTTTGTCTATACCTCCCCTCTTCCCATTCCACGCTTCTACTTTTTATATGCTTTACTAAACTACCGCCCGGCTAGTAGATTCTCTCGGACCTGATGCCAAAGCTCGGGCTGGAGATCAGCTTATCATGCAGCCACGTGATCCCCGTTGTTGGCTCGTCCTGTTTTATGGCTGAGGTACTGTTCCTTGTGATCCCAAAGCAATCCTCCCCGCCATCACCGACACATACAGAAAAGGCTCAAAAGGCTGGATGACGCCCGTCAGCGAGCTCACCCGCATCCCATTCAGGCCATCGCATCTAAATCCAACGCTCGACTTGAAGGTCTTCCATCACCGCCTTTGCTATCGGCACCGTCTTTCTCACTTCCATCGATTATTCTCCGCCATGGACGATCTCGACCAGTTCGTGGAATCAAATCTTCTCTACACCCAGGAGAGAATGAGTCGCTACCGCCCAGGTGGCTATCATCCCGTCACGCTTGGCGACACATTCAAATCCGGCCGTTACAAAGTGTACCATAAGCTGGGCCACGGCGGCTTCTCGACTGCCTGGCTCGCAATCGACCAATCGTATGTACCTGCTGCTGGCAAGCTGTACCTTGTGCGCAAGAAACAGTTCGGGGGGTGTACTGACGTTCCGTGGCTCCCTTACAGACTCAAACGATGGGTTTCCCTAAAGATTGCGATAGCTACGAGCACCGAGTCTTCTCGAGAGTTGGCCGTTCTTAAGAGGTTGAAGGACGCTCGTGTAGGACACGTCGTCGAGCTACTCGACTCCTTCGTTCATCAGGGACCTAACGGGAGACATGCATGTCTCGTCTTCGACCTCCTCGGGCCTACGCTTGACCACGTAATCAGTGACTACCGGGACGATGAAGACCCCGACGAAGAAGACTACCTCAAACCCGCGACGATCCTGAAAATCACGGGGCAGCTCTTACAAGCCCTTGCAGCTATGCACGGAGCGGGCTATGCGCACAGAGGTTCGTTTTCTTGCGGCATTCCTACCCTAAAAATATAATCGTGCTGACAGTGGTTCTGGCAGATATCAGCGGAGCAAACTTGGCTTTCACTGCTCACAAGCTCCGCAAGCTGTCAGCCAAAAAGATGTTTGATGTCATTGGGGCCCCAGTTACTGAGCAACTTGTTCGCTGCGACCGGAAGCCGCTCCACCCTTCAATGCCCCGGCAACTGGTCCAAAAGTCTGGCTGGGACATGTGGGTTGACGAGGACAAGGAGGATGTCCGTCTCATTGATTTCGGCGAGGCATTCGCTCACGGCGCTGAACCCCACCAGCTTGCGGAACCGCCTGGACTGGAGGTGCCCGAAAAGATATTTACCGGGAGATTTGACTACAGGGTCGACCTCTGGCGAGCGGGATGCTTGGTAAGACGACCCCATTCATACGAGTCATGGACCGAGATGCGAAGGCCGTATGTCTAATATAACCGCACAGATATACACCCTAGTGTTCGGTACCAGGCCCTTCCAGTCTCTTGGGGATGTAGACATTGTGGTAGCGCAGATGATACATTTTGTGGAGGACTTGCCAGTGGCATGGCGACGTCAGTGGGAAGCCCGGAGACAGAGCGCTGGAAAGGACTTACTACGTAAGATCATGGTTCCCCCTTCGATCCACAATGCATAGATTGGACTCGTTTAACATAAAACTGCTACAGGTCAGTGGAAAGGACCGTCAAAGCTCGAGGTAAAATTCAGGACGGGAGTCAAGGACCCGAGCCTGCGACGCCTTCTGCCCATTATTCAGGGGCTGATGCGGTTCCAGCCAGAGACGCGCATTTCGGCGGAGCAGGCGCTAGGAATGCTGAATAGCTGAGGTCGACATTCATCTTTTTCTTTTTTTTTCTTTTTTTTTTTTCTTTTTTTTCTTTTGGGATGTCAACCAGGTTTGAGCGGCCGGCCACCTTCAACCACCAGTTGAGAATAACATTGATACCTGATAGATATTCGTACATTACAAGCATTCAAGAGCCAAACTTCAGCTATTCATCTGTTGGTTTGCTTATCCGATCCAGGCGGCGATGAGTTGCCGCGGTTTCCACCATCCCGCCTCCCCAGAATAAAGATCGGATAGAATGTTCTTGTTCAAGCGTCTGGCAGACCACCAGCAACTGGCAGCAGTCAGTTCCGGTATATTTTCTCCATTTCGGAGTCCGAGCCATCATCATAACCATGGTCCTCGTCCTCCGAGCCACATGAATTGTCAGTGTCTTTGTCACACTGATCGGAGTTGCTCATGTGTTCGTCGTCCGAGTCCTCCTTTTCCTCATGCTAGAGATGTGTCAATGTCTGCTAAGGTCGGTATCAAGGTATTGGAGAGGAAATAACAACGTACCACACGGCGCTTCTTGTTTCGGTGTTGGTCTTGATCCGGGTTATTCTGGAGTTCCTCCATGTCGTAGACTGAGTCAGGGAGGTCCGCATCTCGTGGAGCGGTCACGATGCCGAAGCTGGAACACATCCCCCATTTACCGCTGATTCCATGGAACCCGATGATCTTGTGGTTCAGAGGCGGAACTGCATTTTGTTAGTATCCCATCCGGTCGTTCGCGGGTTCATGGAGCAACTTGCCTAGCGTCTCGACGCTTGAGCTGTCGTGGAGGCAGTTAAGCGCCCCCATGGCCTTGCCATTCGAAAGCCACATTCGCAAGCCATCCAGCGAGTAACTGCCTTGTCGTGTAACTGCGACCTTGGAAATCTCGACGTTCCGGGGAAGCGCCAGCTTCCTCGCTTGGTGGCCACCCATCGATGGGTCGTTTCCGTCCCGACCGCGAGGTCCACAAGGGATCTTGGTCCCATCTGCGTAGTAGACCACTGCGCCGTCCAAACCACACCCGACACGAATATCAATCTTCGACGCAGCCACCAGGTTGCCCTTGCTGTCTCGCTTCTTCAACATGACCGCCCATGTCCAACTGTTCGAATCGTCGTCTCCTGAACTGTCGCCGCTGACGCATTGCTTCAAAAGTCGGATGTTGGTACCCGGCACCAAAACGCTGGTCCTGCTCCGGAACAATTTCCAGATGTTACCGACGGAGTGCTGCTTGCCGTTCATGCCGGTGATTTCCAACTTGAGGGTGCCGGAACCGAACCGACTCTTGAGCTCCGCGTGCGAGTAGCGGACGGACTTAACCGGGTTGGAAACGGAAGCCGTCTCTTCATCTCGATACTCTTCCTTCCCTTCTTCAAAAAAGACCATCTTCGCAATCCCCGCCTCGCACTTCACCTCCACAAACATACCACCCTCCACCCCGTCCTCCTCGCTCTCCCCAACACCCACTGACGGCGCCGCCTCAGACAGCTGCACATCCCCAGGAATCCAGAAATGCCGCAACACCCGAAACTTCAGCGCATCACTGACCGCCCAGCGAGCCTGATGCCCCTCCTCGCGCAGCACCTCGTACAACCTCTCCCCGCCGCCCATCTGCAAGCGCACGCCACCCAGAAACGCCCTGGGCCAGTCCGGGAAATACCCGCGCAGCATAATGCCCTCGGAGTGCGGCGCGCCCAGCGCGTGCCCGACCTCGTGCAAGAAGGCGCCCTGGCCGACGGCGCACGCCTGCCACAGGGCGTTGCACTGGCCGTTGTCGTTGCCGACCGTGTCGCCGGGCGCGGCCCGGTCCAGCAGGCAGGCGGGCACCTCGTCGAGGAAGCGCGGCCAGGCGTAGGTCAGGTGGCTGCCGAACATGCCCAGCGACAGGCCGCGCGGGTCGTGGCTGCCGAGCGCGGCGTGGGCGAGGATCAGCGGCTTGTTGTTGGAGTCGGTGGTGGGGCTGGCGCTGCCGGCCGCGTCGTAGTGGGAGTCGAGGATCAGGCCGGCGACGATGGGCCGGTTCTGCGTGGTGAAGGGCCCGCCGTGGGCGAGGAGCGCGTTGGTGAAGATGGTGTGCAGGTCGTCGGGCCTGCGGGCCTGGGGGTTTTGCTGGGCGAGGTTGGCGTCGCGCAGCTCGGCGACCGTTTTTTCGGTGCGGATGAGGTGCACTTTGGGGACGGTGCCTGCGGTTGGGGTTTGTTGGGAGCGTTGGCTGAGCGTGTCGGTGGACCATTCTTCCTCGAGACGGAACGAGCGGCGCCCCAGGCCTTGGGCACGGAGGTCCTCGGCTGTGAGAGCTTGCCACATGTAGGCCGACATGCGGAACTTGGCGATGGCGGCGTCGAGACTGGAGTGGGCACTGGAAAGGCCGCCGAACTTTACGGGAGGGCAGTCGATGAGGAGGGGAGAGTCTTTGGCAATCATGATGGCCAGGTGCAGAGGTGGCGTCTGGAGAAGCGGCACGTAGCGGATGGATAGCTGCATATTTGTGAGAAGATGATGCTTGACACCGGATGAAGGTCACTGTACCTCTGTGCGAACCGCATCTTCGGCTGTGATGGAGATCTTGTTGAGGCCGGGCGAGAGCAGCAAAAGGGCCTTGAAGTGGCCATGACACATGGGCCATCGTTGTTCGGGAAACAAGGTTTTGTCAAATCCGTCACTCGTTTCAACGAGGACATGACTATCATTCTGCGCCTGGGCGGACTTGGTGTTACACCTGCCAGACACGAGAACGCATCGTTGGTACACCTCGGTGACTTCAGAGCCGTCCTCGCCGGTTGGGAAGTTGTCAAGTTGGATCATGGTGAATTTGGAGCCCCAGAAGAATTTGAGAGGGTTGGATAGAAGGACGAGATGCAATATTTTCTCATGATGGCGGCGACGAGGAGGGCAACTGTCCGTCTTTAAATATTCGAACGTCTCGACGACAACAAGATTCAGGGGCTGAAGGCTTAACAGCTTACCGTACAGTCACCTCCAAAGCCTGTTAGCAGTCGTTTCCCTTGGCTTTTGGTGCGTTTGCTTGGCAAGCAGGCAGGCAGTGGGCCCTGGGCCATTGTGGGGTACTGGTGCCTGGCTAAAGGCCTTTTGGAGCGGAGTCCAGAACACCACACACCCCTGCACTTCGTATCGTCAACAACCTCACCTACCTTCCATGATCGAAGTCTTGAACCCACAAGCGAGGGACCATGGAACCAGCCGACCTGATGTCAAATTATGGGATAGCCTGAATCGTCAATTAAAGGTTCCATGGAATAATCACGGCGTTGCTAGGCTCCATGGTCCCATTCATGCTTCTCTTCACGGCGAGATCAATGGCCGAAGTCAAGGGTTCCATACCCCTGAATGGACACTCAATGCGTTCTTGATTTCAAGCGAGCCGCATGAAGTCCGAGATGTTGCGATCGCGGGACTAGTCGACCGAATTGCTCCGTTTTTTGAACGTCGTTGCTCACAAATGAACCACGTGAAACCGCAACCGCAGGGCGCTCACTTCCATTATTCCGATTTTGGAAAATATCTGAATGTGTTAGTTCACCCCCGGTTGCCACCCCCCTCACTTGTGCCATGAGGGAATGGTTTCAGGGGGGCTGGACTTGTCCCCCAGATCTCCGAGCTCAACCTTCATTTCAAGACGCCATCGTCCGTGAACTGCGGACGGGCACTGCCCGAGCCTGCGGTTCCACCGATCGAAGGCTCTTCGCCCACTCTCGTCGAGGGGCATCAAGTGCCTTCAAACCTTGATTTTAGCTACCATTGACCAATTTTGGAAGGAATGCAGAAACTACTTCGAAAAAGGGATTGGTGCAAGCGGCCGCCGATTGGGATCAGTTTCGGGGGCACGAAGATGATGCTTGGTTTTCGTTGCGTGTTGTGCTCTGCAGTTGCCAACAGGAAGTCCAGCGCTTCCTCGCCGTTCATAGCCGTTGTTATTTGGGAGAATCCAAGTTCTGCCATGGGACTGCGCGCGATCTTTTGATTCTCACCGTCGCTATCGGCAAGCATAATCGAGAAGAGGGCACTCGCTTGGATCAGCGTAGAAGGTACGGCCGAACCTCTCGATCTGCCTGCACTCTTTCTCCATGTCCCTGGCGTTGTTTATTCTTCCCAGTTGCCTGCTGGAACTATCGTCCTCTCATGTCTCTAGAGCCCAAAAGCCACCCTGGGACGTAGCTCCAATGAAGCGTACTGACTCGACCGGGCCTTGTTCTCGCTGGAGGAAGTCGTGCCACCATGTCGTGTCGTAGGCGTCCAAGCTTGGCCACTATTCGGCCCCGAGGAGTCGCATTTTGGCGCAAATGTGCATCGTCCTCGGCCGGCCCGCACGATGGTAGGGCGGTCTCAAACTGGTCAAGGCCGAGAAAGACAAGCTCCATGCCTGAGCAAGAAAGTGTATACACGCCTGCTGTGCTAGGGAAGCCATGAACGGCAGCGCCTGCGCGGGGCCTGAAGCAGACCGGGAGGTTGAGCTTTTCGGCGTAGCCTTCGGTGATCGAAATAGGGGGGCTGCCGGTTCGTTCGGTCCTATCGTGAGTGCTGGTGGCAAGGCCGGCGGTCGATTGGGAGGAACCCATTAAAGCAAAGGGTTTATTTGCCGCTGGGCGGGGGTGGGCGACTGAATCTAGGGCGGAACATGATGAAAAAAGAGGCATGAACCAAGTTCGTCAAATATTCGCCGGTCAGGAACCGGAGATGTGTCGCCGCCTCAGTTGCGAGGCAGCAGGTTTCTCATCACTCTCGGCAGAAAATCATTCGGCGACTCCAGTTGCAAGAAATGGAAAAGTGCCGTAGGGAGGTAGGTACCTCAGGGAGGTGGGTACCTTGAGGTACATGGGAAAATAACCAGCATCTTGCATCGATGACCATGAGGTTGAAATAAGCTCAATTCAAAGTGGATATCCCAGGCCGTCATTCCAACCGCTCGCTGGTGTTGAAGATCAAAACGGCGTGTCGGTTGAAGTTTTGAGACACGCATCGTCAGACCTGGGCGCCACCTTCCCCGAAATGTAATATTTAGCGAGGTTGTGGAGGGATGGGGACCGGTTCATCTGATGAACCCAGGCACCCACCCCAGGCACGCCCGCCAGGCACAGTGTTTGCCTGTTTGTTGCTGGGCTGCTTTCGGCCGTTGAACATGGTCCCCATTCATGCGCAACCAAAAATCCTGGTGACAAAAGCGCCGAGCTTCATTTCTCAGCACCACGCATTTGCCAAGCTCCAACATCCCAACGCAAAAACTGGGCATCACGCATTACGGCGACCGAGGAGTCTTGGCCGTGGCGAAGCAACCCCAATCCAAGAAACTCCAAAATGCGAGGTTTTGTGTGAGTGGCCACAGGCTCGACAGGCACGACAGGTTGAGGCTCTGCCCCATCCTGCTCCTCCGCATTGCTCCGAGACTTCCGCCACGTGAAACCATTGATTGTGCGTGGCCCAGTTGACCCTGGTTCATCTCCAACGTCCCCATTCTGTCAAACTGCCGCCCAATGATCTCCCGAAGCAACCCAGCCCCCGCCGGGCCAAGTCCCAGCCGCATCCGCCTTGGGCAAAAGCGGTAAGGGTGACGCAGCTCCTCCAAGCCTGGTGATCCTGGGCCGAGAACAGCAACCACAGTGCCACGGCGGAACCCCTGCCGCGGGAAACTGCCCCGTATAAACCATGACACCCCCAGCAATCGGCGCTGGCATGGTCCGCGCTTCACCCTCGACCTCCACCCTCTGGTGATTGTCCCGTTTCCTTATCTTTAACTTCCTTTCCCCGCCAGTATTGACGCTGGTGAGACGGGACGAGGCCAGCATGCTTCCGGTAATTCTCGCCGCGTCATTATTGACGCCAGCGGCCGCCGCTGCTTCCGAGCCTAATCGGATCGTCACGCGAGGCGACGGCATCATCCGGTCCCCCGTTCGACCGATCGCCGGTTCGGGTCCGAATCTGCGGGCACGACAAAACGAAGTGGAGGTGCTCAACCAGAGGTCCGGGACAAGATATGGAGTCGAGATCGAGATCGGGACACCCCCGCAGACGTTGACTCTGATTCTCGACACGGGTTCGCCAAACACGTGGATCAACCCTGTCTGTGAGACAGCGAACCTCCCAGCCGACTGCCGCGAATTCGCGCAATTCGACTACGAAAAGAGTAGCTCCCTGAATGTCACGGATAACGTCGATGTCCTCCGCTACGGTATCGGAAATGCGACAATCCAATATGTCTACGAGACGGTGTCGATAGGATGTAAGACCTCCAATGGAGCCCACACAATCATCTCTGGCGGCCATGCTGACGTCTGCGCGTGAATTGTAGCTGCAACGATCGAGAACCAAATCATTGGCATCGCTATGGAGTCCCACAGTATCCCGCTCGGCATCCTCGGGGTGTCCCCGCCCATCCAAGGCGTCAACGAGTACCCCTACATCCTCGACACGATGGTCGGCCAGGGCCTCATCAAGAGCCGCGCCTTTAGTGTCGACCTGCGGGGTGTCGACAACCCAACGGGCGCCATCATCTTCGGCGGCGTCGACACAGGCAAATACATCGGCGAGCTCGCCAAGCTTCCAATCATCCCCCAGGACCAGACCCCGAGCGGCGCGGACCGCTACTACGTCACCATGACGGGCGTGGGCCTAACCCTCCCCGACGGCTCCATCGTGCAGTCCGAGGAGCTGGAGGTGGCCGTGTTCCTCGACACGGGCGCGACCCTCTCGCACCTGCCGACGCGCATCTACCAGGCGCTGGCCGCGTCCTTCCCCGACGCGCTGTACGACCGCGAGTCGGGCTTCTACATCCTGCCGTGCGACTACACCGAGATGGCCGGGTCGATCGACTTCTACTTCGCGGGCAAGACGATCCGGGTCCCCCTCAACGACTTCATCTGGCAGAACGGGCCCTTCTGCATCCTGGGCGTGACGCCCGAGGACACGGAGCCCATCCTGGGCGACACCTTCCTGCGCGCCGCCTACGTCGTCTACGACCAGGACAACCGCAACCTGCACATCGCCCAGGCCGCCGACTGCGGCAGCAACCTGATCGCGATTGGGTCCGGGGCGGACGCGGTGCCCAGCTCGACGGGCGAGTGCACCGAGCTGCCGACGCCGACCGGCAAGGGGAATACGCTCGACGTGACGGGCACGCGGCCGCCGCCGGCTACTTTCACGGGCACGCTGCCGACGGGCATGGAGGGTGGTCCTGGGCCGGCGCAGAGCGGTCCCGGGGGGACGAGCGTCACGGGCGGCACGCTCCAGCCGACGGGCACCCCGCAAGGGGAGAATGCGGCCGGGAGGGGGGTCGAGGTTGGGCTAGGCGCGGCTGTGGCGTTGGCGGTGGTGAATCTACTGGCTTGGGTAATTTAGTTCGGTTGGGCTGGTTGTTGCTTCAGTTCTTGATACCTAGTGAGATGGCCTGCGAGCGTTGATATGTACAGCGAGTTGAATCATATTCGGAGGATTTGGGTTTGCACATGCGGCGTTTTTGTCTTGGATGAGTTTGGAGCAGATGTCTGACCGTTTGCGGCTTGGGTAGCCATGAGGATAAACGCGCGGGAGCTAAAATCTCATACAAATAGAGCCGATACACTTTAACTTCTAGCGATGACTTGCACAACAAGGTGTTGTTGTCTATACATATGTGGGCATGAGTGAACTTGGGATTGGCGCGTTTCTGATGTCTACCACTCCAAACCATCCCACCTTGCAGCTCATGCGTCATGCCGGTGCTCAACTTCTCCACATCACACACACCACCACGGCTGGTCACATGCCGCCACTCCGGTGATGTCAATGTCGTATGAGGGAGAAGATGGCTCAGGAAGCAACCTTTGTTGCAGGAGGTCCCACGGCCTCTGAATCGTTACGCAAAGGCGCGCCCGTCTGAGCAGATGGCTGCGGTCACAACCACCGCGAAAAAGAGTCACTTCTGCAAGTGCTAAAACAGAATAAAATTGCCCGCTTGCCCTTGAACCCCTGAGACGGCCAGAGCCTCTGACTACAAAGACTGCCAACGCGGAAGAACTGAACGGAAGAACGGGAAAATAACAGGACCCTCCCTCTGGTCAGAGCGCCCAGTAGCCAACGCCCCAATTCAATGGCAGCGACCATCTGGGGCATTGCCCATGACAGCGACTGGAAGCATGCTGACGCCAAAGAGATACCCCCAAAACAGAGCAGGAATTGCCACCCAGGCCCATCGTGTGAGCCTTTCGGTGACAGCACCCAGCTGGGTGTAGACTTCACCTAGAGTCTCGCCCACGAAGTTGAAATAGTGGGTGCACAGCTGCTAGAACTCACGTAGAGCTTTAAACAGGAAAGAAAAGAGAAAAAGAAAAAGAGACGGGGGGAGAAAGACAAAGGAGGGAAAAAGAAAAGTAAGATAATAGAAAGTAAAAAAAAAAAAAAGAGGAAAGGAAAGAAGAATTATAAAATAATAGAAAGCAAAAAAAGGAAAACAAAAGAAGAAGAGAACTTATGAAATAGAAAATACAAAAACGGACAGCAGAAGGAAAAGGAAAGAACAATTGTGAAATAGATAATAAAAAAGGAGAAAAAAGAGAAAGATGCGGGAGTGGGTGATGGTGATGTTGCGGACATTCACCTAGGTACCCAAACCCTTCTGCTCTTGCGTCATTTGGCCACCAGCTTGGCCCTGCTGGTCCTAGTTAGCCACTCTGCCGGCATGCATTTGGGCGGCCGGGTCTTGCTCTGGTCGGCGGAACCGAAGCTGAACGTTCTCCGGTCCGCGGTTGATTTGCGGTGCCGGGTTGGCTTCAAGAATCCCGCGAACCAGCCGCTCTGGACGCATGGGCCTGGTGTATGTTACCAAGCCGTTCGCGAGCCGCTCGATGCGGTCATCGCAGGTACGCATTTGGTCCCGCGTGGCGGGGAAGGCTCCAGGGAGGATTGAGGGCTGCTGGAGCGTGATGGTGCCGTCGGGGTGCACCGTATAGTTGGGTCGCTCCCGTTTGTATTTTGGGAGGTCGTGGCGGCGGACGTTCGGCGGCATGTCCGGGGTGTCAACGGAATCCACGGGTCGTCGGGGTTCCCGGGATTTTTAATTCGGCGGCCGGTCTCTGATAATCGTTAGCCCGAACAAAGTTCTTTTCTAAGGAATACCCGGAACAGAACTGACGGTCCCAGATGACCGCCGGCTCCAGCATCCACACGAGCTGGGGGGCTTCGCGCTGAAGCCGGCGGCGAATAACCGGCATGGGCCTGAAGTATATGCACCGAAGCGTATGGATGGAGAGGAAATTTGGAATTTGCCTCTCCCGGAGTCTTAGATCGAACCCGTACCGGTAGGTACGCTGGTTCGAGCAGGTCACCCGCATATCGTGCCCGCGGATGGCACGTTCAATCTCCTGTCTTGCCCAGGCAGAGAAGTCGCGTGGGATTACGCGCGTCGCCTCTTCCATTAGGAAGAGGCAGATCGCCTCCTCGCTGTCGGCTCGCTGCGGTGCCGTTATGGCCATGAGCCGTGCGATCGGGGCCGCGTCTCTTTCTTGGTCAGCCATCGTTAGCTCGGTCTTTTCGATGATGATCTATCGGGTGTGTTTGATTAAGAATGGGGGACAGTGAAGATGGTGAGGAGGTTTGCGATGTAGTGCGAAATAGAGGACGAAGGATACCTAAGATTTAAGATGGGAGAGTTGGGGCTTACCGGAGGAAGAGAGGGTTGAGAAAAGCGAGATAGCTTGTGAGGTAAGCCGAACTTTCCTTGCTTGAAGGAAGAAGCTTGTTCAATATCAGCCCCAAGTCGCCAGATCAATTGCGTTTGAGCCTCACCTTCGACAGTGTCCTCGAAGACATCAAGGTCGCGGCGGAGGAGGAGCAACGTCAAGGCGGCTCAGTCGGTGCGGCCTCCTCGTCGCAATCTTCAATTGATGTCGTTAATGACATCCTCCAAGCTCGGCTTGCCACGCGTGAGAAAGAGCAGCTGGGCACGACTTGAAGAATGAACAGGTGTATTTTGAACGGGATCAATCAATTTGAACGGATAATGAGCGCTTCAATCAAATCAAGCGGCTGCTTGGAAATGCGGCGTGTTGAGGAAAGTCGGGTGTTGAGGGAAGTTGGGTGTTGAGGGAAGTTGGGTGTTGAGGGAAGTTGGGTGTTGAGGGAAGTTGGGTGTTGAGGGAAGTTGGGTGTTGAGGGAAGTTGGGTGTTGAGGGAAGTTGGGTGTTGAGGGAAGTTGGGTGTTGAGGGAAGTTGGGTGTTGAGGGAAGTTGGATGTTGAGGGTTCCTTCCCTTAAGTCAAACTTTCCCAACTTGTTTTTTTTTCAAGCCCCTTCAGCTCCCCAACCGCCCCACTGTACCGGGCAAGGGAGAGTGGGTTTGGTTGAACAGAGCTCGTGAAATAGAGGAAGAAGGATAAGATGAAAATGGGGAGAAGGTTAAAAGAATAAAGAGGAGGTTGACGATGCGGTAGGTCAAAACAGTTTGATGGGGCGAAAAAGGTTTATTCGGCGAAATTTCTAAATTACAGCTATGAATACAGACGCCTGGGAGCAAAAGGCTCCTGCGAATAGAGTTGATACACTTTGTCTTGTAATTAGCGATCACGGGCACTGGCACGGCAAGGTGTTGTTGCACCGCGCACACATGTGGGCATGAGTGAACTTGGGATTGGCGCGCTTCTGATGTCCACCACTCGTAGCGAAGAACGCCTCTGACATCCCACATCAAGTCTCTTGTTCCAGCTTTATCCTGCTGCAGAAGGACGTCAAGCAGAGCCGATCCGCAGTTGTACATATCTCTTGTGTAACGTGTGGGTGTGTCACTGTGTGTACTTGTACGGTATTATTCTGCGCCGTTCGGAGTTGGTTGCCGCGAGCTGCAGTTGTGTTGACAGCCAACTCAGATGCGGGGTCCGGCAGCAAGCCACTCCGAGGGGCTGTTCCGTCGCCGGTCCCGCTTCTTGCTCCACGGCCCCGGTGTAAGACGGGGTAGAGCGGGGGAGGGGCATTCCTTAGGCACAGTCCCGCAGCCATCCACGGAGGATCTGCGCCCGACATGCATCGTCCTGGTCATCAGTCAACCTCATAAGTCAACACGGGCTCACCATCCCGCGCAACCCGGACTTGTCCTCAAACAGCGCTCATCCACAAGCCACAAGCTGAGCAGAGTGATCTTTCGTCCCTCAACCCACCCCGCTCACCAAATCGTTACCACCCCCCGACCACCCCAAATGTTCTTCCAAGACGACAACCGCCTCATCTACGCCTACGACGCCGAAAGGCTCTGGATCGAACCATGGGGCCCCAACGCCCTGCGCATCCGCGCCACGCACCTCCGCAGCATGCCGACCGAGGACTGGGCGCTCCTCCCCCCTCCCGCTCCCACCACCGCCCCCGAGATCACCATCTCCCCCACCACCACCACCACCAGCGGCGCCACGCTCACCCACGGCGCCATCCGCGCGACCGTCTCGGCGCGCGGCAAGCTCACGCTCACCAACACGCACACGGGCGCGCTGCTGCTCGAGGAGTACACGCGCACGCGCGTCGACGTGCGCGACCCGAAGTGCAGCGCGCTCAACGTCCCCGCGCGGGAGTTCAAGCCCGTGCTGGGCGGGGATGGTGCGGCGCACCTGACGCTGCGGCTCGAGAGCGTGGACCCCAACGAGAAGATCTTCGGCATGGGCCAGTACCAGCAGCCGCTGTTCGATCTGAAGGGGGCCGATCTGGAGCTGGCGCACCGGAATTCCCAGGCGAGCGTGCCGTTTTTGTTGTCGTCGCTGGGGTATGGGATGTTGTGGAATAACCCCGGTGTGGGCAGGGCGGTGCTGGGGAAGAATGTGATGAGTTTTGAGGCGTATTCGACGACGGTGTTGGATTATTGGGTGGTGGCCGGGGAGAAGCCGGCTGAGATTGTGGAGGCGTATGCGGGGGTCACGGGGACAGTGCCAAGAATGCCCGAATACGGGTTAGGGTTCTGGCAGTGCAAGTTGCGGTATCAGACGCAGGAGGAGTTGCTGGACGTGGCGAGGGAGTATAAGCGGCGTGGGCTACCGCTGGACGTCGTAGTAGCAGACTACTTTCATTGGGACCTTCAGGGAAGTTGGAGTTTTGACCCGACGTACTGGCCCGATCCGGACGCCATGGTCAAGGAGCTGCAGGAGATGAACGTGGAGTTGATGGTGTCGATATGGCCGACTGTTGACAAGCGGTCCGAGAACTGGGAGGAGATGGTGGAGCGCGGGCTGTTGGTTCGCGTGAACCGTGGTCTACGGATAGCCATGGACTTCCAGGGCGAGACGGTGCACTTCGATGCTACGAACCCCGAAGCCCGGAAGTACGTGTGGGACAAGGTGAAGCAGAACTACTACTCCAAGGGTATCAAGGTGTTTTGGCTCGACGAGGCCGAGCCAGAGTACTCGGCGTACGACTTCGACAACTACACCTACCATCGCGGTTCTAACCTGAGCATTGGCAACATCTACCCACTTGAATACTCGCGAGGCTTCTATGAGGGTCTGAAGAACGAGGGCCACGAGGAGATCGTCAACCTCGTACGGTGTGCTTGGGCAGGTAGCCAAAAGTACGGGGCCTTGGTGTGGAGCGGCGACATCGCATCGTCGTGGTCGAGCTTCCGGAACCAGCTTGCGGCTGGCTTGCACATGGGTATCGCCGGCCTGCCGTGGTGGACGACTGACATTGGCGGGTTCCACGGTGGGGACCCGAACGACGAGGCGTTCAGGGAGCTGTTCGTGCGGTGGTTTCAGTGGGGTGCCTTCTGCCCCGTGTTTCGCTTGCATGGAGACCGCGAGCCGCACCAGCCGCAACATGGCACGACGGGCGGTGCGACCTGCCTCAGTGGCGCGCCAAATGAGGTGTGGTCGTACGGGGAGAAGGTGTACGACATCTGCAAGGTGTACATGGAGATTCGAGAGAGGATGCGCCCGTATACCCGGGAGCTCATGGAGGAGGCGCACAAGAAAGGCAGTCCGGTGATGAGGCCGCTGTTTTACGAGTTCCCCGAAGACCCGCGTTGCTGGGAGACGGGTGAACAGTACATGTTTGGGCCCAAGTTCTTGTGCTGCCCGGTGATGCAGGCAGGAGTGGACAAGCTCAAGGTGTATCTCCCGGCCGGGCCTAAGTGGAAAGCCGTCGATGGTGGTGAGGAGCTTGAGGGGGGTCAGACCGTTGAGGTCAACTGCCCACTCGAGTACATGCCCGTGTTTGCGAGGGTGGATGGATAGGGGCTGCTATCAAGATCGTCTTTTCAGTTAGTATGATGATCGTTATGCGTCTGGGACCTTTTAGTCCAACTTGTACCGTCGAGACCTCACACTTTCCAAAATAACATTTGTTCGATTGTGACTCGACCTCTCGAAGAGATGGCGGTAGAAGACCAACGAGGCTACCTAGACAAGTGCCGTTGTGTCAAGTCGGTTACCGAAACGGAATTGACACTTGGTCGGGCCGAACGGCAAAGTCTTTAGACGATATTATATTGAGCGAGCCGGTACCCGGGCTTGCACGACATGCCCTTCTGATCTCCGGAGGCCACATTGGATTTGAGCCTTGTACTGTGTTACGGTTCATGAGGGCCAACAAGACAAGGCCAAGCGTTGCACAATACATATCACACATATCATAGAGTAAGCACGGCGTCATAGTTGGACGTGAAGCACGCTGCCTGTACCCCCATCACCCCGTGTTGCCTTGACGTACCCTTGCAGCCCGCTGGACTCGACATATAGCCCAAGACCACCAACCTCCAGTTGCCGCCTTGGAGGACCGAGGCCATCCTGTGAACTTCGGCATCATTCTCCCCCACCACGGTCCCCAACAGCATGGCTATTACCGCAGCCGCAGCTACTACGCAGGGAGGAAGCTTCCCAGCACCTACCCAGACCTCAGACACGTCTTCTGACCGCACCAATTTCGGACCACTGACAACAGTCTTCATACCATCACCGGGATGCGAAAAATGCTTTGCCGCAGCGTCGTTCGAGGGCGAGAGGTGCCAGCCTTACTACACCGACTGCCATGGCCCGAGACCGTGCATGCCTGGTGATAGCACGTGGGAGTCCTACGCAATATACTCGCCGGGGTTGGTGTGCCCGGCCAGCTGGACCACGGCGACGGTGATCACCGCGAATGTGGGTGACTTGCCCGCAGCCCGTGATGCGATGATAAGATTAAGAGACGGTGAGACTGCCGCGTTTTGCTGTCCCACGTAAGCCCACGTCCTACCGTTTCCCTATCGAGCATATGTTCCCTGCATCTGAGAGATTAACTCGGTATCATTTTGTGTCTAGGGGCTTCCGTTTCAACTACGCCCGGGTCGATAATTGGACATCCGGGGCTATCTTCGAACCAGATTGTTTCTCAACCGTGACCGAGGGGACCTATTCCTACTGGGCATGCGGAGCCGACGGAAACGAGGAATTCCGCGAGGTGGCAGTGGGAACTAGCATGGTCACCTCAACGGTCACATGGATGTCAGCCACAGTAGTGACATTCCAGGTTGGGGACAGTTCATCGTGGAGTACCATAACGGATTCCTTCATTCCGCTGTCTTCGACAATCACAACTCGGGCCCAACGTAGTGCGATAAGCTTCGTCGCCGCGGTCGAGTTAGTGTGGCAACCCAGCGATTGGTCGCCCGCGGCGACGCTTCAGACCTCTGGTTCGCCCATCGCCACATCCTTTCAGAGCTCCGGTTCACCCATCTCCACATCTTCGGTCCCGGCAAAAAGTTCGGTTCCGAGTGAAGGAATTCCTCTCGCAACGGCCGCACTAGTTGGGATCACAGTTGGGGCGGTAGTGTTTGCTGTTTTCCTAACGCTGGCCATCACCTGGTATGTTAGGAGACATCGACGGAGTGGGCATGCCAAAGTTGCCAATCGCACCATGGGAACATCCAACAATGAACCGCAACCGATGAGGAAACCCGAACTGGATGCTACACTTGGTACGACGCAGACAACCGGAGCAGGCGTGAGAAGAGAGGAGCTCCCCGTTGTGACCGTCAGCCCACTGGTCCCTGTGGAGGTTGAGGCGCAAGCAACCGAGTTGGACGCGGCGTCAAATGTGTTGGGGAGTGTTGCAGTCGAGAAACAGGGGTTCATATTTCCCATCAGCCAAACCACCGCCCCCGACTCAACCGTAGGTGCTTCGAACCCTGTTTCTCCCGTTTCGGACCAGGCATCGCGACCACCGCATACGCTCAGCCCACCGTCGGTATTATCAAGCGCTGGAAGCCATAACGGGTACACGGCAGAGGGATGGAGGGGCTCAATCCTTGATAAGTGACCCTTGGCTTTGTAGGTTGGCACTATCTGGCCAAAAAGAGCCGAACTCGAAAGGAAAGCAAGAAGTCAAGCAAAAAGAACATATAAAATTAAATCGAGAAAAGCAAATCAAACCAGGAAAAGAGGAAAAGAAAAGGAAATGGAGTAAATGCAGTTTCTTTGGGACTTGACAATGGTTTTCGATTTGTTCCTCGAGTTGAGACTCGAAGTTTCCTCGACATCTGGACTTGGAGTTCGGGCTTCGATAGGTAGGTACCTAGGTACCTACGCCCAACTCCAGGAAGAAGATCGGGACTGGCTGAAGCAGAGTATTGACAATCGGAAGTTCGCCCTCCGACGTTACTTCGGCTTGCCCCCCTCGCAGGCAGAGAAACTCCTCCTCGGATATACCTTTTCCAACACGGACATCAGATAAGGGAAGACGATAAGGAAATAATACGCCGCGCTATGCGAAGGCATTCGGATCCACCCAGACTCGGCCGAGCTCGCGGAAACTTCCGAAGGAATGACGGACACCAGGCATCGTCCAATCGTTCAGACAGTTATAGGGACAGGAGTCGCAATCTTACACCCTTTCGTAGACGGAGCAATCGTCGTTTCCAGGGCTACGTCAAACGAGGTGGCCGTTCGTTTCGTCGCTATACGTACAACGGGCAACGTTTCCAGCGTTAGCGCAAGCCAACCCGGGACGGGCGATCCTATCTTATAGAAGAGATCGACGCTGACAATACAAACGTAAGTAAGGTCGTCGAGGACTTAGCCGTAGAGGGATATGTTATGTTGGAAGAAGTCGAGGAGGAAACAGCTTCAGAGTACGAGTCCGTTGACAGGAGTGTCGACGGCAACAATGACAAGGATATCGCTTACTCGTTGACCTGTGACGTGACGAAGGTAGGTAGCTGGTCTATCCTCAGCTTTATGCTTCCGCCTCCAGTCATAGCAATTCGAGCACCGTTGCTCCTACCCATAACCCACACACCGCGAACCCTCTTCCGGTCGCATGCAGGCCTCGTTCTTGCACTCTTCTGATTTGCGGATAATCCAACGTACACCCCAACATGGTAGCTGTTGCCGTTGCGTGAGATGGGGGGTGTGCTGCTTGGCTGTTGCTGGTTTGAACCTTCCTGGCAGGGAGTGCGAGGTAGGAACCCTCCCGATCGGTGCAGTTCAAGCCAAGTCCTGGAAGTTGCATCAGGTCGGCGATTCCGAGTTTCTTTCTGCCAAGAATGGCCTTCACCTTGGTGGGCACGAAAGAAAGGAGCTGCGGCCCTGTGACTGTGTCATCCTTCACGGCGTTGAACCAGCCTGTCTTCATCGGCGAGCTGAGGTACCCTGCTTCTTGTAACTCGCTGAGCGAATCGACTCGATTAACCCAACTCTTCATAAACTTGACCACCTTGAGTATGTTCATTTCGAATCGGGCAGTGTCCTCCTCTGTCGTTGTGTCGTGAAGGTCATCTTGCGGCTCAGCGGCAGCATCGGTCTCAGGGGTGAAATCTTGGATATCGAACAATTCAGGGGTAATGAATGTGTCAGGGTCGTCCTCTTCGTCGTCCTCCTGATACTCAAAGAGGTCCTCTTCACCCTCGTCATCACCGAAATAGTCCGTACCATTGTTGTCATCGTCATCTCCTCCAGGGTAGTCATCAGTAGTGTTAGAACCCTTCTGTAGTTGCTGGTCCTGGTCGTCGAGAACATCGACCCTAGCATGTTTCATCGGAGAACGGCTACGGGTACGTCTGCTTACGCTAACATTGTGTGTCGGAGAATGGCTGCGTGCACATCCAGTTCTAGATCGGGTGGTAACCATGGTGTTAGAAATAGGTAATAGTATAAAGGTCTGATGTGGTGGTCTCGCGACCAGGTTGAAGACCGGCCAACCGTCCTTGAAGAACAATCAGTTTCGTACGTTGAATTGTGCCCACGGCAAGCACAGGAAAGAAAATGGGTTTTCGGCGAGTTCATCGCAATCATGATTAAACTAGGAAAGAGCAATAGAGAGCAGTAGCAAGCTGGTCTTGTTGCCTGTCACTGCCGTTGACGGCCGAGTCTCACAAGGGGGGAGCAAACCGACCCGGTACCATATGGCGCCCGGTGACGGCTCCATCTCGTCATCACTCACGTGGCCGTTAGCCGCGTCAAGCAGGTGTAGAGGGTCGTGTTTGATAGGACTTTCGACCTTTATACGCGTGTGCGAGCTAATGCTAACTATGTCGCGGGCTGAAGATATCCGTCCCCGTATTGGTTAGCACGTCAGGGCTGGCACGATCGATGTTATCCTCGGGTAGGAGGTTAATTATAACGAGCAGATAGGTACAGTATTTGTTAGTTTATATATATTACGGTTTTTAGCGAGCTCTACTCCCGTCATCCCCAACGACAGCCCGGTTAGCCCTCAGCGTAGCCGCATAAATGAGAGATGTCTACCTTATTCCTATTTGTTTACTCGCCGGTCGCTGAAGCGGTCCAGCCAGAGCTGCCGACTACCCTAGCAGCCCGGTTAGATACATTAAATCAATTTACCCCCATCAACGCAAAGAGGAAAGTGAGCTTCGCGGAACCTGTTGCCTCCGACCTGCCAACCTGGAAGGCAGTCGACAACACAGCGTACCTATGTTTAGGGACTTCGCCGTCCTTGACGGGGATATGACTGGCCTTCGTACCGGGCTTGCAGTATCAGCAGGTGACAGGTCGAGAAGCACGGCAGATCGGGCGACTGAAAAAGCCGACATAGACCACATCCCAACCAGCTGCTCTGCCAGCAACAACGAGGATAGCGGTATCCTGGCCGATATAGAGGGCTTTATCAACCAGGCGCCAGGTTGTTCCCCTACGCGGGCTCCGTTTACAATATGGTCTCGCAACATACTCAGCTCGCTACATGTACGGAACTTGTCCAGCACAGTGTTTTCCGACACATTCGCCGGCGTCTGTAGTGGGAGTTGCAGTCGTCAGCGCCTCGCTGGCGACACGCATGGGGGCTCGGCCACTCGGCGTCGGTGTTTCGACCCGTGTCCGTCTAGTGGGGAGCGCTTCTCCGCATCCTTGACGTCGGCGACCATATTGTCTAGCTTGGTGGTCAGTGCCTGTACTTCCCGCTGGAGGAGTTCCTTGTCCTTCCTTGACAGGAGCCCAGTTAGCCCGAGCTAGAGTTGAAAGTGCCGACCGTAGCCCCGTTAAACTTTGAACGTGCGACACTACCATGGCCGAGTATCGAGCCCAAGCTAGTTAGACGAACTAAGGCATCAAGGTGAGGGCCAGAGACGACCGCGAGCGAGTAAGTTTTGATAGCCGACGGCCGTCGAAGGCGCTAGTGCAGTTGCTCGGAAACGTATGGTCAACCAAATCCAAGTTCAACCTGGAGTGAGACGGGTATTCAAACTGTCCAAACATTCCTTGCTTTGACTAAAGTTTTAGTAATCCAGGTAATACCTAGGGAGTAGGGTAACCCACAACAAAGACATACAGGCCTAGTTGGCCACTAACCCAGCCAGATTCTACAGGCCATTCTGTTGTCTTAGTACCCGTATCTGGAACAGTAATGTCATAATCATGTTCCAGTGGACATGCTCATTCTACCCAACAAGACGGCTTTTTATGACGCTGGTAGCCCGATGATAGCGGTCGGGCATATGCATCAACATGGACGTGGCTCTTTGTTTTTTTTACGACATTAATTACGTACGATGGCTGTCGCTATCCGCACCGCACAAAAGTTCTCACACTCCCATTCCGATTGCCATTTCATCCAACACTGACTGGACACGCTCTAGCTTTCATTCACATTGTGGTCATGGCAAACACCGGCTATCTCTCGTACAAGCGAGATACCAGCCAGCTATTGTACTGGATCATCCAAACGTCCAACGACATCATCAAGTCGACAACCAAACGTGGCAAGAAGGTAGAGCAGGTGAACACGACGGGCCAGATCACGGTTGCGAATCTGGTGGTTTTATCTCGTCTTATCGCGAAGCATATCAAGACTGTGCCACCCCCTATCCTCCGTTTGTTTCGTTCCGTCATCGACGCTCGCACTGCTGCCCGCGAAACCTTCCAGCAAATCGTTGCCGAGAATCCAAACCCGGAAATTGAGAGGAGCAATGTGAGCCACGGGTATTTCATCGACGCCTTGACCGAGGCGTTCCACGCACTGGGAGGGGAAAGTTGGAACCCGAACTGCACAATGGACGACGCTGCTATTGACGCCAATGCCCCCAATCCCAAGGACTCCCTCGACCGCCTTCTCCTGACCAATCAGTTTACTGCCCTGGACTTGGGCAATACTGCCGACACGGATGAAAGAGCCGAAGGATCGGATGATGAGGCCACCTCCGATGGGCAACCCCGAAAGCGCCCTGACCTTGTTCAGAGAAGACGCCGACAGGCAAGACTAGGCAAAGGGAAGAAAGCCAAGCGGGCTGGAAAACGCAAGGAACGGCCGCAAGATGACATTCCTCTCGAGAGATACCGGATCATCGACGATGTCCAGGCAGCCACCACACTGGCAAGCCCCGAGTATATGATGGCTGTTTGCACCATTATGTTGGAGTGGGTCGACCTTCGGATGTACCTCCAGGACGTATGGCGCGAGTGCGCTTACGATGGCTTGAACACTGCCGTTGCGGCCGCTGTTTCCCACATAGCCGTCACCATGATCCAGCGATCTGCCGCCGAGATATTTGTCGACTTCCCCGGCTACGACTTTTACGAGCTGATAATGATCACCATCACGCGGGGTAAACCGGAAAGGACCGAGGGCCTGTTTAAACACACCGTTCACGCACCCGGCGGCGAGGGTAAAACCGTTCAAGCCATCTTCGCTGATATCAAGGAGGACGTTATGATACACACATACCACGACCTGATCGACTTCATCGAGGACGCTCAGAAGACCCGCTCAAATAGACCGACTAAACGAATGCTCGGTGAAATCCGCGATTGGGACCCCAATTTCAACCTAGAGCAGGCAACCGATGAAGAGAGAATCCGGTGGCGCCGCTGCTATACCATAAACTGGCTTTACGACCTAGTCAACGCCTTCTCGTCTTTCCTGGTAAACGACAATACTGAGGGATACGTCTTGGAAAACATCAATTGGTCGCCGACGGGGCCGTGGGCCAAGTACCGGAGGGTCCTCGGCTTGAACGAGTTTGCCGGTTTCGTCACGTCCCTGGCGATGCAGAAGCCAGGAACAAAGATTCTGGGACGCATCCTGCCACATCACGTTTTCCAGCTCCAGTGTATCGTCGACTCCCTGATGGTTTCTCGCGGTTGGTCGCACAGCCCTTCGAAAGGCCACAAACTCAAGCCACCACCGCCGAATTTCCGACCTCGGCGCGATATCGACCTCTTCCTCGACCGGGAGCATGAAAGAACAGGCCGTGGATTCCTTGAAGCCGTTGCTGTTCTCAAGGATCACTGCATCACGGACTCCATGCTCCACCAAGATCCCGGGCGGCATGGACAAACCGGGATGATGTTGGACCACTTTCGGCGCGAATTTGCCCAATGCCTCGGTACGTCGAGCCTGTCGAAAGATAGGCCCGGCATTCCCATAGTCACCGATATCCCACCCTCTCGCTTCTCCAACACCGACGCGAACGGCCTATGGGAGTACTCGCCCTTTCTGTGTGGCACCGGCCTTATGGAGGCTCTGGAGTTTGCTTACCTATACGGTGTGTACCTGTGGGACCGGTTCCCCGAGCCCCTGACAATCCTACACCTACACAACATGCTTGTCAAGAAGGGGTATCTCAAGACGCCCGTCGGGTTGTTCGACGCACTTGCGCAACTCTTTGCCCAGGCCATTTTCATCGACGGTAGAGTCCCTTCATCCAACTTCACAAACGCATACAATGCCCGCATGCGGGCTGGATCTTCCGCAGGCAAAAAGGGGCGTGACGCGCGCAGGAACGCCCAACAAGGTTACGACTACCACAGCACCATGGCGGTCGAACACAACCAGTTCTTCAACATCCAATCCGGCCTCTGCCTGTTGCGGCGCCACAAGTGGAACCTGCACACCATCCCGGACGCCGAAATCCCCCTCCGATCCCCCCTCTTCATCGCGCGCATCTCCCAAACCAACCGCACCCTCGACCCGAAAACCCAGCAACTCCGGCTCGACGACACGGAGCTGGTCAGGCGCGCCCGCGCCGACGGCCTGAGCGACGACGAGATCATGGCGATGGGCGCGGTGCCCGGGGACACACACCCATCATCATCCTCCTCCCGTCCCTCCCACGTCACCGTCATCGAGAGGAAGGGCGGCACCAGCGCGGGCCGCACGAGCACCCGCCGCTTCAAGCGCCCGGACGAGGCCGCCGGCCGCCACCGCCTGCTCGCCTACGCCAAGGCGCACGTCATGGGGGATGTCGCCTGCTCGCAGCGCCCGCTGTCGAGCCTGAACTATGTCGCCGTCGCGTGCTCCATGATGATGCTGTTCGAGAGTATGGAGGAGAAGTTGTGCGAGCGCCGGAATGCGGTCTATGTGCAGGTCTATGAGACGACTGATACGTGGGCCGCCTCAAAGAGGGTTGGCTTGGTGCACGAGGCGATGGCGGGCGGGGATGAGGAGTGTCTGGAGCTGATGGCGGAGGCGTTTGAGGAGATGAGGATCTCGTTTATGGTGCATGTTTATTGGGAGAAGTTGCCGCCGTTTGAGGAGTATGTTGCGACGCTGAACTACGAGGAGCTGGAGGGTGTGGAGTGGGACGGGTGTCCGATTATGTGAGTTTGGCTCGGGGGTTGGGGGGGCAGATGGATGGTTATTTGTAGGGGCGCCCCTTGGGATGCAGGCCCTGGTACACCTGGGTGTGCTTGGGTAGGGGTTGGCTGCATGCCTTTTCGTGTTGACTTTTGGGAACTTGTTGAGCACTATCTCTACGTTTAGACTTGCGATGTCGGTCACCCTGAACACCTTGGTTTAGGATCGACCGGGGAAGATACCAGGTAGGTAGGTAGTCCACATCTGTTATCGGGGGGCAACCGTCATTGATCGGTACACGTGTGGCATGAGTAAATCACCACTGCTTTCGAATTCTGATTAGCACTTCAGGGGCGATGGCTGATTTATACCAATGCTGCTAACTTGAACTTACAGATACATGTAGAGAGAGTACCAACTTGTCCACGTCGCCGGCAGACAACACAACATTAACACTACCTAAGCAGCTCGAGACAACTCAAGCAATGCCCTCATACCTTTCCAACTCTGCCTATCCTTTGCACTGTCACTGCAGTTGACAAGTATTCCTATCACTATTTAGCCCGCAAATACAACTGACTTCCCATAACGTACATTATCTCCACCCAACGACTCGCTACTCATCAGCCCACGCTTATGTTGGGTTCGTGGATGCAAACCACCCTGTCATCCAGTTGATGCGATTCAGGATTGTGTGATTCAGTCGTAGTCGTTTCAGCGTATTCGTCATATAACGAGCTACGAAAGATAGAACAATCATGGATGCATCTCATGGTCTCAGCAGTTCCCGCCCGCACGCCCGATGGAGTCAACCCCCTGCAGATGGCGGTGCAAGTCGGCAAACTGCGCGTCATTCTTGAACACCGTCTCCTCCACCCTCTCCAGCGCCTGGGGATACTCTGCCTGGAGCAGTTCCCTCGACTCCTTGCGCGCCTTGGCCACGGCCTCGGGGGCAAACTTGTCCTGGATGAGCTTTGCAAAGATGGCGTTGAACTGGGCGCTTATTTCTTGTGGAAGAGCATCCTGAATCCCGTTCAGCCCTCATTGTGCGGTAACACAAGTTGATGACGGGAAAAAGAAGGGAGGGGCAATTTTTACCTGCAAATAGCTGCCGAAATCCAGGCTCGGCACCCACCACTTCTGTTCGAGCTTGAAATCGGCCGAGGGGTCTTGCTTTTGAAGCTCCTCCACCCGCGCGGTCATGGCGGCTAGTTGCTCCTCGCGCGAAGGCAGCTTTTGCTCAGAATTCGTGGCGCAGCGGGAGGGCGCGTCCGCCGCGCCGCTGGTTGTCGGGGCACTCATGTTGTTAAGAAACTGACGAGAAACAAAACTTGAAGGGGAAGATACAAGGCCAAGCGGGGAGGATGCTGAGCACGACATGTATATGCTAGAGTCACGTGGCCGTGTGGCACGGCGCGGGTGAGCACTCTGCCTATTCGCCAGACGTTCGTTTGCAAAGTGGTATTCCTACGCTGGATTACCTAACGACTGGCGCGTGTCGAGGACGATGGGTGTCTCAGAGTCTTGTCATCGGCAAGGTTGAGACTAACGCGGTTGGTTGGGCTCACAAAATTCGCAATGGCGGACACGATGCAGCGTTCCTCGAGGCAGCCGGGCGGCCAGCTGACCATGCACGTCTCGGGAGGGTGGTCCTTTCTGGATCCGAGCTTGTTAGTGGGATAGGATGTCTCGAGGAGAGAGTTTCTTGGTTACTTACCTATGTAATGCAATGGGCTACTCCAAGACATGCTGCGCTTGATGGTCAATGTCGGCCCACGTGGCAGAATATCTAAGTCGATGATGGCTCTGGGCACCTATCCCGAGCTACTGAGATGGCAGACATGGTACGCGGCTTCGTCTAGACCGAGATGGGATACTAGGAGATTGTGATATTCTAAATTCATACTTCATAATACCGACAACTGGCAAGCGGCTCTGCCGCCACCCGCCGGACACCGCTCTTCTCATTGTTCTATTGCTCACATTCATCACAGCTATCGTTTTCCTCTGCCACCATATGTCTGTCACTCGAAGCGAAATTCAAGCCCGGTATCCCCGACCCGCTCCTTGTACAACCGATCAAAGGCCTCGCTCTGCGCCACAGTGAAATACTCCTTCCACGAGCCGATCTCGCCTTTGCGAAAGAACTTGCTGAATTCCTTGACATCCTTCAACCCGCTAAACTCGGTCTGCTGCATCTGGTCGAAGCCAATCTTGCGCTCAACATCGCGCAGCTGATCATCGCTCACGGTGAGGCCCAAGAACTTGGCGATCTTCTCCAGTTGGCCGCGGGTGTCGACTTTGAGGTCCTCGAAGGTGAGGAAGAGGATGTTGTCGGCGTCGCGATGCTCCCACCAACTCAGGGCGTGGTCGAACCAGTCGCCTCGCTGCACGCGCCCGCTCGTGAACATATCGAGCCAGTGGTCCCAGCCGCCGTTGTAATAGCCGGACCAGCTCTTGCCACTCTCGAAGTAGTAGTAGGAAGCGCAGACGTCTTTGGGGTTGCGGCCGATGTAGATGTACCGGCATGGGTTCTTGGCCGGCTCGCCACCGAGGGCCATGGAGTACGGCATGTGCGATTTGAAGATCCGCGGTGCCGCCGCGCGCTCCAGGTCCTCCGCGCTGCGCGGGTATGTCCAGCTGCTCTCGACCCAGTGCAGCGAGTCGCGCAGCGTCGCGCCCGAGGGGTTCGAGCCCGTCGCCAGCAGCACGATGATGTACGACAGCCATGTCGAGCCCGACTTGGGGTACGAGACGAAGCAGATATCGGAGGGCCGCGTGCTGACCGTCCGTGACAACGCGTACCGTTCGGGCGTAATGTATGGCGGCATCACGCGGCCATCCACCAGTCGGTACTTGTATCCATGCTCGCCAATGCGCAGGTCCTCGGGGCGCTCGGCGTGGATCTCATCCGAGTACTCGAGCACTTTGAAGGCTGCGCCGTCGGGGGTTTCGTTGGAGCCCATGATGAATTCGAAGGTGCAGAGAATGGAAGAGACTGGGAATGGGGGAGACTGCGTGTGGGGGATGAAACAATCAGAAGCGCAACCAGAACGACGAGTCATGGAATCTTATACACACACGTCCGTCTGCCGCCCATCGGATCCTTGGGTGCGCTCTTCCACCCTACTCTTCTTGAACAAGCTCAACGCCGGTTGCAAGCGCAGCCCTGCGCCAGACAGAATAAGAGCATCTGAAGAGAGCCACGGCCAATCAGACAAACTAAGGCAGCGGAAGATGCCGGCCGGATGTCGAGAGAAGGACCATTGTGCTGTCACTCCGATGTCTCGGAAAGGCCCCTGGTCTCAGCTGAGACGCGGTGTCGATCCAGTCGCTTCTTCACCTCTTTTGATGGATCGACACACAGTTCCACCGCCAGTCAGAAAATTGCAACTACTTGGTAGCTGGCCTTCTGAACACCAAGGCCTGGCGCAGACCGTGTTGGGCCGTAAAACTTTACTGGATTCGGCATTGTCCACGTCTCGCAGCGTGTCAAGCAGCTGAGACAGCCTCATCTTACTGGAGCTGAAAGACACCTGTTGGATGATCGTTTTGGTGTTGGCCGGGGATACTTAACTTTCCATCCTTGGCTGCCCTCGATGCCGCGAATGAGGCCAGACTCTCAATGTGCATACCCTACCTACTCTGCGCATCAAAGAACCAGCGGTTCAGAATGTTTGAGTCCGTTGGCGCATGTCTGGCTTTCCCGCAAGATCCTGTCCTGACTAGACTTCTCGCTTCGTCTCACCACAAGGCCAAAAGTTCGGAAACCATCATCTACGATGTTACTCGCGGCTTTCAGAAGAGTTACCCCGAGCTGCTCGGCGACATTCTTCGAACGGCATATCTCATCAGAAGAGCATTGCCGCAGTCAATGCTAAACGACCAAGGCTTTCTGAACGACGGTTCCTCCCCGTACATTGGCATCCTAGTGCGGAGCGGCTACGAGTTCATCGTCGCCTTCTTCGCGATTCGGGCTGTGGGTGGCGCATGCATGCCCATGGCGTCCGGCATCCTCCCCGAAGAAGCACATCACATCATCTCTAAGTCCAAAGCTACACTTCTCCTCGTAGGCGACGGCTGCACGGATAAGGCAGCAAGCATCTCCGCATTCGTCAGAGGACAGGGAAATAGCTTTGAGTGGGCAGCTATCTTCAGCGAGTCGAGCGTGAAGCTCGACCGAAATCTGATCAGTATCGACGCTGAAATTGACAACAGCTTACGACTTAGCCCAAGAGGCCCGGGCATCCTCCTGTTTACGTCGGGAACCACCGGTCGGCCCAAAGGAGTCGTTCTCCCACGGTCATGCTTCGGCTTTCCCGACAGAGTCGGAGCTTCAGCGAGCGGTGTCGTCGTGAGCCACCGGGCCTGTCACTGGATCGCCGGAACCACGAGCCTGATCTCACCCATCCTATCGGGCAAGACGCTCCACATACTCGGCGAGAACACCACGTCAGAAGATATTCTAGACGCTTTGTTGCGCCTCCATCCCACCCAAATATGCTTCACTCCGACCATCTTGCGCGAGATGAAAGCCTTGGTGCTGTCGAGGGGAGGTCCGTTGGAACAATATGCGGCGGGGTTCCAGAACTTGTCGCAAGTCAGATGTGCGGCCGCCCCCATTGAGCCTTCACTAAGGGAGTTTTGGACCGGATTGACGGGCTTGCCGTTTGAGAACATCTACGGCTGCACAGAAGCAGGGGGTGTTATTTGCCGAGCGGTGGATAAACCGAATGTGAGTTTCGACTAACATCTGACCATGTAGAGTACGGCAGCTGACTGTATCATCCTTTTAGGGCTCTATTGGCGCACTGCTCCCAGGAAACGAGTTGAGGCTCTCGGAAGGACACCGAGGGGAAGTCATGGTAAAGACTCGGGGCATGTTCACTCAGTATGTCACTGTCTGTTGACATTCTCTTCCAATGCGATGGAAGCAACCAAGTTCTAACCAAGGGCTCAGCTACCTCGGGGACGAAGAGAAGACAAAAGCCTCGTTGGATAAAGATGGTTTCTACAAGACAGGCGACACCGCTGAGCTCAAAGATGGCGAAGTCATTTTTACCGGCCGAGACACCACTGACTGTGAGCGATCTCCTTCCTCGCCCTTGCATGGGAAGGTACCTGCTAATACCTCGATAACACAGTTATATTCTTTCGCTATTTCCAAATCCCAGCGCTAACTGTTGAGGCTTGCCTGATGGAGCTGCCTTACGTGGCAGATGCCTGCGTTCTAGGGGTACCTTACCACGAAGCCCGCCAACTCTGTGGTGCTGTCATCCAACTGCGGCACGATGGCACGCAACGGGCCGTCAATCTGGCCAGCATTCGAGCCGACCTCGCTGGCGTCTTGCCTGCGTATATGTTGCCTGTTGTGCTTCGTGTCTTGGGGGATGGGGAGCAGCTGCCGCGAACGCATTCTGGGAAGCCGGTCAAGAAGAAAATACTCAGCGAGCTATTGGGCTGTACTGAGTGGTTCCCAGCGGATAGTTTACCCGAACGTGTGGAATATTGCGGTTCTTGGCCGGTGATCGATGAAAAGACCGCCAGGCCGTGGGACTTGGGGGGGATGCAGCGCGCACGGTAGGGGGTTAGTTCTTGTTGTGCGGGGGTGCAGGGTAGATGATAGATCAGTATCTGTGGACTTTTATGCTTCATGTTGGGGCTTCGTACATGATGTATCTCGGCCTGCCATGGCTGCCACCGACATTCCCACTACGATAGCTGAATTGTCACATTTCTCACACATTCTCCCTAGTGACATTCTCGCATACCTCTCTTGTATTCTCGCACCCCCATTTCGTGTATGCACCCTTGAAACGTCGAGGATTGTAGGTACCCAAGGCTCTAGTTCTCCTCCCTCCATACATCGCTCGATCGTCGCAACCAACTTCAATGGCGTACCTTCATCAATCAAACACAGCGCGCACAAATGGACAGCGTCACAGAAGAGCAAGCCGCTTTGCTCCCAGCCGACACTGGACCAGTGACGGTCAGCGAGGCAGGACGCCCGACTACCGTATTTCCCCTTGCGAGTGGCGTCACGACCCCTTTTCCAAACCGGTCACCACCCCCTGGCATGTCCCCATCCAGCCCGACCAGCTGCCGCTCCTCATCCTGGGATTGAAGGTGAGATAAACCCGCCCTCAATCCCTTACTTGTCCTTGGTTGTTCTGTGCAAAAACTGCAGCTCCCGCCCCTCCTGCTGCGGCAGCCAGACCTCCAACTACCTGACCAGCGGCAGCAACCGCCCCGACCCCATATCCCCCCATGGCGGCGCTTTGCATGGTAGCAAAGAGACCTCCCGCAGCAACGTTTGCAGTCTGAACAGTTGCGGCGATTGTTCCTGCGACGAGGATGCCTGTCAGAATCGCATCCCCAAACCGAGCAGACGGGGAGAACCTACCAGCCGCGGGCCCCACGGGAGTAAAGCCGACGGCGGACAGCGCAGGGGTCGTGATGACAGCTGGGGCGGCGACTATGGCCAAACCGCCCAGAGCCACAACACCACAGGCTGCGGCGGCTGGGTTCGCGGACGCGAAAGCCCATGCAGCTTCGCCAGCATCGGCAGCGGCTGCCAGAGCAGCTTGTGCAGCCGGGGCGATGGCTGGTTCGGCGGATCGCAGGGCGGCTTGTGCGGCCGGGGCGATGGCTTCCTCGGCGGACCGAAGAGCAGCTTGTGCGGCTGGGGCAATGACATCTTCTGCGGACCGCAGAGCAGCTTGTGCGGCTGGAGCGATAGCTTGTTCGGCGGATCGCAGCGCAGCCTGTGCAGCTGGAGCAATGAAGGCGAAGGCGACGTCCATTTTGTTTGATTCAATGTCAGAGGTCGGGTGCCAGTTCGCTTGTTTCGGCCGCAAGTGGTAAGTGTTGAAGAGGAGAAACAAGCGCTGAGAGGTGAAGAGCGCGGGGAAAGAAGTCGAGATGAGTGGAAATAAAAACAAAGCATGGAATTCTCCGAGTCGGTTACCCGAAACAACCAACGCATCGGGTATCAGGTTGCCCTTATCGAGGCACGGAGGCCTACCACTAGGCTACGCACAAACTGCTGTGCAACATCTGGCAGCTGGTAATTGCCCAGTGTTGTTGGATCCCGTCTGAACATTGGCCAACAGCGTTTGGCCCTGCCTCGCTATTCGTTTGCTGCCGTAGTGCTATTCCGAACCCGGCCATTTATTTGTGTTGGTTCAAAAGAGGGGCACGCTGTCCCTCGTATCTGAACTGAGTTGGGATGGACAGTACCTACATAGGTACCTAGGCAGCTTCAAGTTCGCCCTGAGACAGCCCGAATTGCATATCATCAAGATTGCATTCTGAGTACCTTGGCAAGTTAACCGAGTCCACGGTCCACCAGGAAGTCAGAAGGTACATACCTGGTAAACATGCAACTGGGAACAGGTTTGCCCGGCTAACCAGCAATGTAGAGCACCTCGTCTGAAATGACATAGTTACGGGGTCAGGAATTTGGACTTTATACCTTTAAGGACCCACACCCAAGCCATCGCTGTGAGTTCTTGACCTGGAAAAAAGTGAAAGCATGGTAGAGATATATAAGGGGTGGTTAGGCCCCTGTAAAACATCGGGCCAGAGGCGGAACTGTCTTCGTTTTTTGCTACCGTGTTGGAGCCTTCCATGGCAAGATTGTTCAGCTATCGTTGAAGTGTGCAGAAACCCTATACCACGTTTTCTCGCTTGTCACTTTTACAGTGTACCAGTCTCAGTTATTCTATCAGTGACCCAGACGCTTCGCTACATCGAATAATGATAAGTGAACCTGGGCACTCGGGGGACAACCTGGGACGTGATATGGTTCGTTTATCAAATAGAACCAGAAATCCGAACACAAGCTGACTCGTCACAGTCCCCGTCCCATTTCCTACACCCCGACTACATGGTGGCCCCGAATACGGGCCTTAAAAGGCATCGAGCTAGCATGAATACCAACTCGTCGGTATCGACGGCGTTCTTGGGTGTCGACCTTTCAAAGAGACCGAAGTTATCCCTTTCTATTTTCGACTCCCGTTCGGGCGTGGCTCCGAGTTCTGCCAGCACCGCCCCGTCTGAAGTGAGCAACAATGGCGGCCATGCTTCCTCAAGCTTGTATGCCAAAGTCCGAAGAGCCAAGAGACCTTGCATGGGATGGACAAGTGGGATGACGGATATGTTCCTACCCGCCGACGAGACCCAAAACCTTATTTGCGCCGAGACGGTTCGAGGAGGAGCTCGCTGAACATGGCTATCCGGAGGACGTTCTCTTGCGCATTGTGCCGGACCGAAGGAAGCTGTTCGCCATTCTGACACTGATTGACAAGGGCGATTTGATTATCAAGCTCGTCCAGGAGGGCATCGACGACGGCCATCTTCCCTTCGACGTGGACCCTGTCATAGGCTCCCTGTCATGTCAAGTCAGAGGGGATGAAGGGGCGCACAAGACATACGAAATCAAAGATTTTGCATTGTCTCCCGGAGGAGATTCGTGGTGGAAGCCGCGCGACAGCGACTTGTTTTTTAACTACCAGTGGCAACTGCTGGCTCCGCACTTCGACATGCTCTGTCCTTACGACGATAAGTGTCCGACAACCAGACGACCCACAAACTACAGATTCAGGCCAGAAGAAATACTGCCCTTCATCAAGCCTATTAGTGAGGAATGGGAACCAGTTGAGCAGCCCGGTGGCTTTTCTGTGATGAAAAAGGTGCATATTCACCCGGCTCATCGAAGCTACTGCGGACTTGAACGTTGTGTAAGTGACCCCTTTCTACCTAATCATGACTGTCGCACTCACCCATGTCTTCACAGAAGGTCGCGTCTCTCGAGACCAACTATGCCGTAAAGTCCATCCACAAATGTTACAAGCCAGCCGACGTACAAAGCGAAATCAACAGCCTAAAGCGCTTTGACGGGAAGAAACACCGGGACCGCCTCGTTCGGCTCCTCTGCACTTTTGAGTACAACGAACAAACCCATCTGGTCTTCCTCTGGGCCGATGGCGGGAACCTGGAAGACCTTTGGCAGAAGCATTTCCCTGATATCAACAATCCACAGCGCAGCTATGACCTCGCCAAGTGGGTTGCTGGCGAAACTTTGGGTATTACCCAGGGGTTACACCTCATCCAGCACCCGGGCCCTTCTTCGGCAACCGACGAGCAAACCGAAGGGGGGGACGGCGAAATCAAACCCGAGAACATCTTGTAGTTCTCTAACGATGGTCCCAACATGGGGACACTTAAATCTCAGACTTTGGCCTGGCTGACTTCCACCGCAAGGCAAGCGTGTCCAAGGTCTGAGCCGACACTATCGGCCAGACGCCAACATACCGCCCGCCCGAGTGCGAGATACAAGGAGGCTACGTCTCCCAGTCGTACGATACCTGGTCACTGGGTTGCGTGCTTCTGCAGTTTGTGAGGTGGTATGTTGAGGGCTGGGGGGGGGGGGGTGGATGAGTTTTCGAAAAGGCGTTCAGAAGCCTCCCCTCCACGCCAGGTTCGTGACCAAGATGTGCCTAGGGATATGTTTTACGCACTATCACAACCCCCGACTCTGAATGGAGCTGTCGAGAATGTTAGTGGCACCAACCTACCGACAACCACCCCTTTTACCACACCCGAACAACATGGGACTTGTGCTGATAAACTCCAAACATTGTTAGCTATTCCTTAGGCTTCGACAGCATGAGAGGTGCAGCGACATGTTTGTTGACATTCTAGAGTTCATCGAAACCAGACTCCTCCTGATCGACGGCACACGGAGGGCAAGGTCAGAGGAACTTGTCAACAAGTTTGAAGAAATCTACACGAAGTGCTGTGAGAATGAAGCTTATGGCATTTCAAGGTGAACTTCATCCCTCACTCTGCTCTTGACTCACTCATTGCTAGGCACTTTGGCTAACGCTAGCACAATTAGAACGCCACGTCTTGCTCTGCGTTGTAATTTGGGTGTACGAAGTATTTTCCAGACGTTGAATTGTTGTTTCTAAACATGCCGTTTAACTCTTTGTTACATTACCTAGGTACCTACATAGGTAAAATAAGGCACATACCTTTATACCTACAGTGGCACGCCGGAGGAGCCTTGGAATGTGGGGGTTGTCAATCGAAATCCTACTCTCCCCTCCACCGTCAAATGCCCATAAACCATTCCCACCTCCTTCAACCCTTCAAACGCCCCAAGAGCCTAGTCCTAACAATTCCACACGGCACTCTCATCCTTCACAATGCGCACCTCCTTCAACATAACACGGATCCTCTCTACCACCATTCTATGTTTAGTTGCACCGCTGTGCTGCTGTGCTGGGGAGCCGAAAATAGATTCGAGGTTGAAGAAAATGTATTTCCTGGACTTTGGGAGCTTTCTCGAACTTACTGCTGCCCAGGACTGCCAAATTCGGCAGCCAGAACAGCAAGTTGTACATTAAATTTGTATTGCATTTTGTACAGTACCTGTCTAGGTAGGTCGGTAACTTTCATTTCGTCACGCACGCCTGCCTTTATTTCCTCACCGACAGGCAGTAGTGAGTTGAGTTGTCCCTCAGAGATCACCACATTGCCGCCGAATAGTTCTCTCATCCTGCCACCGACATGGTTCGAACACCGTCGCGGTATTGGGGGTTGCAGGTTCGAGTTTCCTTTCAGTCACCGACATGTAGCCAAGACAAACATACAAATGCAACATGATGTGGAACCGGGGCTTGTTGATATCGATTTGGGGGACTTCCCCCCATCTTGAACGCCGTCAAAAGTTCCTCGAAACAAACTCAACATCACTCAGCTCCTTTCCAGGGCAGGACTCGGTCACGAATCGGGGTAGTATCGATCCTCAGGTCCCCCAAAACCAGCAGAGCTGGAATTGGACAATCAACAACCGCCCAATCACAACCGGGAATGGGACCATGTGTGCCAGACATGCAGGCAGCTCCACTCTCTCGGCCCGCAATGTAACACTGGAGGGCAGTGAGGGAGAGTCAATAATGGAATGGTTGGTACAGAAGGCAGGAAGCGTTCTCGCGAGTTGTGAACCACGTGCCTGTGCTCCAAGTTTGGAATTACGGCTATCAGTCTTATAAGACCCCTCCCCCCTTCCCAAATCTCTATGTTGTGTCAAGATCAACAGGTGAACTCCCTTGGCTTCAACTACTCAACCCGCTCCTAAATCCGACAAAACTGCGGCACTGTTGTTGCCTTTGAAGTTGGAAAATGGTGTCCTTCAAGTACCTGGCAGTCTCGGGCTTTGCCCTGCACGCCGCGGGCAAGTCCGTCAAACGAACCACATCGCCGGTAGCGTCCGTTTCTTGCAATGGGCAAGCCTACTCATACGACGGCCTGGCCGGTTATGGGTCCTTGGAGTCGGATGCGCGTGACCAGTATGGTGACACCATCAGCATCGGCTCCGCCATGGCCGTCAAGGATTGGAAAAAGACGGGCAACCGTTACACGGGCACTATGTACGGTCTTCCGGATCGTGGGTGGAACACAAACGGGACCCAGAACACCATTCCGAGAGTTCACATCTTTCAGATTGCGTTCAGCCCGACCTCGGAGGCCACTGTTGCCAACCCTTCCGGTCCGAACCTCGAGTTCCAGTATAAGCGGACCATCCTCCTCTCTGGGCCCGACGGCAAGCCCATGACTGGTATCGATCCCGATTTCACGGGTGGCCTCACCTACCCGGGGTTCCCCACCATGCCGGCCGCGACATATCCGGGTGATGGCTTCGGTGGTCCGGGCCCCGGCGACAAACGCGTGGTTCTCGACGCCGAGGGCTTGGTGGTGGAGGAAGACGGATCCTTCTGGATTAGCGACGAGTATGGCCCGTTTCTGTACAGGTTCAACAAACAGGGTCAGATGATTGCCGCTATCCAGCCCCCGGATGCGATCCTCCCCATTCGCAACGGAGAGGTCAGGTGAGTAAAATAATCTATGTGGTGTGTGGTATGACGCGGTGGGTTTGTGGTAACTGACCATTTTTAGCTACAACTCCAACACGCCCCCCATTTACAACAACACCAAGGTTCCTGACCCGGAGGACCCGCACCATGGCCGCCAGAACAACCAGGGCTTTGAGGGTCTGACCATGAGCGCCGATGGCAAGTCGCTCTGGGTTATGCTGCAGTCGGCCGCCCAGCAAGATGGTGGTGCTTCCAAGTCTACGCGCCGCAACACCCGTCTTCTCAAGTATGCTCTCAACAAGCAGAACAAGGACGACGTTGAGATTACATATGAGGCCGAGTTCGCGGTACCGCTCCCCACCTTCACCAACGCGAAGGACAAGACCCGCGTCGCGGCGCAGTCGGAGATCCACTACATTTCCGACACCCAGCTCATGGTCCTGGCTCGCGACTCGGATGCCGGCCGGGGACAAGATGATGCTTTGTCCCTTTACCGCCACGTCGACATTGTGGATCTCTCTGGGGCTACTAACATCAAGGGGCCCAAGTTTGACGATATCCAGAACGGGAACATCACCGTCGGAACGGACGAGGATCCTTGTGAGTTTCTGTTCTACTCGCGGAAACATTGATTACTGATATTCTTATCCGTAGCCGACGTTCTCGTTTCTGACATCACCGCGGCTGAACTGTGCCCGTTCATTGACTACAACATCAACACGGAGCTCAACAAGTTCAAGACGGCCGAGGGAGACGTCGTCCACAACGGCGCCCCGGTCGACTTCGGCCTCTTGAACGAGAAGTGGGAGGCTCTGGCTCTGCTCCCCGTCCATGCGGACGAGGGAAAGAAGGGCAAGGGCAAGGGGAAGAGCAGCAGCTGCGGTGGGAAGAACGAGGATGAGTACTACCTCATCACGCTGTCTGACAACGACTTCATCACCGACAACGGTACGTCCCACTGTTGACTCTGGTATTATGTGGGCTTAGTGCTGACACGGTGACTGATTATAGGCTATGCCGACTTTGGCAAGATTCGTTTCGTGGATGACTCTGCTTCGGTTCCCTTTCTTCACAGCCAGGCCTTGGTTTTCAAGGTCACTCTGCCGAAGGGCAGCAAGCCCCTTGTCGCGTAGAGAACAGATCAAGGGACTGCGATATCAGTTCATCAATACCTAATAGTTACTTGTCTTCATACGATTCACTCGATTGTATTGCCCCCATGGTCGATATTTGTCTGTGTGGTCGCTTGGTAAACATATCACAACTGACCTTCACTCACCTTCATACCTCGCTGCCCTCCTTCTGCGACGTCTCACTGCTGGGGAAGGGGCCTGTGCTTATGGTGGTGAGCGCGGAAAGCTGCCTATCAGAAGAGGGCGGCCGAAAAGCGACAAGCTGCCGACCCCAAGGCGGTTAGATTGACGAAGCCCTGCCGACGGGGCCTCGAATTGTGACCAGTCCCCGTCCGACATTCCAGTCCGATCCAGCCACTCGGGCCGCTCAACGTCACCTCAGCGTCGCAGCCACGAAACGATCCTCGATCAGGCACCAGGAACTTTGAGATTGAAGATACTCGTCGTTGCTCGCGCATTACATCCCTTTCTTTCCTCCCTTCAGACTTCACCATCCGTAAAGTCGGATTGTAATGCATTGAATAGGGCAGTGACTTGATCATCACCGTTATGGACGCCAACGCGATGTTCGACACGCTCCCCGCGCTCGTCGCTCGCGGCCTCGAGACGGCGAAAGCCACGCCTCTCATCACCACCGCTATAGCTTTGGCCCTTGGCTTTGTCCTCCTCCAGTCCGTCGGACCCCGCGTGGACCCGCACGAGCCTCCCCTCGTGAAGCCACGGCTCCCTCTCATCGGCCACATCATCGGCATGATACGGCAGCAAGCCCAATACCACATCACCCTCCAGCGCTCCACCCGCAAGCCCATCGCCACGCTCCCCATGCTCACCGGCAAGCTATACGCCGTCTGGGACCCGCACCTCATCGCCGCCGGCCTGCGCAGCAAGTCCCTCTCCACCATCCCCCACGTCCTCGACGCGACCCCCGGCCTCGCCCAACTCAGCCCTCACACCACCGCCCTCCTCCGCGGGCCCGGCGGGCCCCCCTTAGTCGAAGAAATGATGCACCACGTCATCCCGACCAGCCTCAAAGGCGCCGACATGCAGCACCTCAACCGCACCGCGCTAACCTCCCTCGCCGCCCAACTCACCCTCCTCGCCCCGTCCCCCACCACCCCGACCCCCATCCCCAACGCCTGGCTCTGGCTCCGCCACCTACTGACCACCGCAACCGGCACCGCCATCTACGGCGCCCACGACCCCTTCACCACCACCACCACCACCACCCCCAATCCCAATCACAATCACGCCCCCAACCACAAAGTCGAAGACGCCCTCTGGACCCTCGAAAAGAACCTCCTCCAACTAACCCTCAACCTGCCCTCTTTCCTCGCCCCCGCCGGCCACCGCGCCCGCCAGGCGCTCTTCGACGCGCTCACGCCCTTCTACACCGAGCGACGCGACCAGGATGCTTCGGCATCAGCATTTGTGCGCGACCGCGCGGCGCTGCTGCGCGCGGCGGGCATGCCGGACGGGGATGTCGCGAGGTTGGAGATGATGCTGCCGTTCGCGGCGCTGGCGAATACGGTGCCGTTGCTGTTTTGGCTTTTTGGGCAGGTGTTTTCGAGAGAGGGTGTGGTGGGGAGGTTGAGGGGGGAGGTGGAGGGGTTGGTTGTCAGGAGGGAGGGTGATGGGGATTGGAATGGGGGGGTGGTTACGGTGGTGTTGGGGATGGGGGCGGGGGTGGTGGAGGAACGATGTCCGTTGTTGATGAGCTGCTATAAGGAGACGCAGAGGATGACGGTGCATCAGGTTAGTACGCGGACGGTGGTGGAGGATACGGTGCTGAGTGATAAGGGGGGGAGGGAGTATTTGCTGAAGAAGGGGAGCGTGGCGCAGTTGGTGATTGGGGTGGGCCATGGGATGGAGGAGTATTGGGGGGAGGATGTGGATGAGTTCAAGCCGGAGCGGTTTCTAGCTCAGGCCTCTAAGAAGGGGGATGCTGGGGAGGGACCTGGCAGTTCCAAGGCCATGCGCGCTGCCTTCCAGCCGTTTGGCGGCGGTACGCATTTGTGTCCGGGGCGGGCCTTTGCCTTTGCTGACATGATGGCTGTCATGGCGACGCTGCTGCTTGGATACGAGATTGACACCCTGGACGGGGGTGAGTGGAAGCTGCCCCCTTTTGCGACGAGGTCGGTCATCGATGCAGTGACAAAGCCGGCCAAGCATGGCGAGCGGTTTGGCGTGAATATCAGGAGGCGGCAGGGCTGGGAGAATGTACAGTGGAAGTATGAGATGTGAGTTGTCTAACAAGGAAAAGTTAATTTCCGGTGGTTAATATACTCTGCTGGAGGTGGTCAACGCAAACCAATAGGAGCAGTGTCATTCTATATATCTCCACGGGTCTGAAGGGACCACTAAACAACTCCCGCTCGCCCACTGCCAGATCCGATCCCCCCAAATCCTTACCACAGAACCCCGACCCCCTATTTGTAATAACTCTCATCCCTCGGCTCCAACTTAGCATACATAGGCGGCAAAACAAAGAACTTGCTCGAGTCTAGCTCCCTGCGATGCTTAGCATACGGGTCGGGGCCGCCGTTCTCGTCGCAGCAGCTCCACTTGTACAGGGCTAGGGCGTGGGCCACGATGGTGATCTGCTGCAGCTTGGCCCAGCGGATGCCCGCGCACGGGTGCTTGCCTTGGCCCCAGCCGAGGACTGTAAGGGGGTAGCGTGTTAGTTTCTCGCGGCTCGGAGTGGGGGGTTCAAATGAGGGGACTTACAGCCATAGGGTTGCTTGCGGAACTCCTCACGCCCTTCGGTGAAGCGCTCCGGGTCGAACGTAGTGGGGTTGGGGTACAGCTCCTCGCTGAAGTTGACTTCGGAGGAGTTGTAGATGACAAAGGTGTTGCCGGGAATCACTTGATCGGACCCTGGGATAGGGATCGGGTCCGACGAGGTGTTCAGCCGGGTGACGCCGAAGGAGGTCCACATGCGGATCGTCTCCTTGAGCACCAGGTCGAACGTCGGGAACGACACGGTCGACTCCCAGATTTCGAGCGGGATTTTGGCGAGCTTATCCACGAGGGGCTCATCACGGTTGTGCGAGTGGGCATCGCCTACAGCCTTGATTTCCTTGTACACCTTCTCTTGCCACTCCGGGTGAATGGCCATGATGTTCAGCAGCTGCCCGGCGATGACGTGGGCGTTGGTCGTGGAAATGAACATCACACTAGCGAAGAACTCGATGATGTGCTCCCGCTTGTCGCCGTTATCGATGAGCTCCTGTACCGGATCGTCTGCACGGCAGTTGGTCCTCTTGAGCCGCTCATCGACAACCTCGGTCGCTAGATTCACCAGCTCCCGACGTGCAAGCCGCCGCCGGATGTATGAGGGGGCCGGCAGCCAGGAGAAGAGCACGTTCCAGTGGCTGACGGTATGCAGGAGCGTATCGACGTTGGACACAGCCCTGCGAAACCGCTGTGCGTCGTCCGCAACCTGGTTGGAAAAGAGCAGGCGGACGTTTTGTTTGAACACGGTACGCCAGATCTCGGGCGGCTGGATGACGGCCTTCGAGTTGTCCACCATCAGGACCTCGGAGCCCTCCCGGGCGTCGCGAACCAGGTCGGGGAGCTTCTTGGCGAGCGGCTCCGTCTTCATCATGTCCACCATGCGCCGCAAGAAAAAGGTGTTGCTCCGGCCGCCGTGGAAGCCGGGCTTGAAGATGTCGTGGATGGGGGGCCAAAAGTGGATTCCGAACGGCAAGATAATGGCTCCGCTGACAAAGTCCAGAGCAGGGTGGTCGTAGAACATTTTCCGGGCGGCGTGGCCGGTGATGCCAACAATATGGCGCCTGCCGAGCCAAAAGCTGAAGTGTCCTGTCTTGGACTCCTTGAACGAGTTCACCCAGAAGGACCTATGCGTATTGTTAGCACTCAGAAAAATGTAGAGACGTTGGGAAGTCTGATATCAGTGGGTAGGAATAAGGCCTGCTTACCATGGTCGGGTTGTGAAGCCTGTCGCCCCGAGGAATGTGGTCATATCAGAGGTAAACGCCGGCGCCTTAGGATGGATCCTGGGCGAGGACGATACATAGATGAGAAAACTGAAAACAAATGCTACCAAGGCACTCAACCCGATCGTGAACGGCGACTGAAAGTCCAGCAAGCCATCCTGCTGTGCCGCGGTCACGTTGACCTTGGGAGTAATAAAGTCCATGATGGAGAGGATCAAGAATGAATCACGGATAGGTGGATGGGGAGGGCAGTTCGCCCACGAGTGCGAGTTTCCCGAATTTCAGGCAAATGCGTCTTTGATCGCGGTTCTTTTTATTGTTTTGCTCGATTTCGACGTCTATATCATCATGTTGTGACTTGAGTCCAAGATCATACCCCCTTCCCAAAGCCAGGTTCGGGCATTTGAGAGGAACGGTGACATGGGGTCCAATCCCGGCCCGGGTGTGATTTCGGGGGGTTGTGGTCAACGAACCAAATGACCAAATAACTTCCATCCCGAATGCATCCCCGAACCCCGAGGCCGCAAGGAACGGACATGAAGGGCGGCGGGCTTGGCGGCGTAATATTCGGGCTGACCCCCTGCCGTCCCGCGGCCATGGGCTGTATGCTGCTGCGTGGAGAACTTGGGCGAATTTTGATTGATTTACTACCCAGGTACCGGCTCTCTGGTTCCAACTCTGCCTGACCGGGGGGCTGGTCGGTGATCCTTTGCTCTTTTTTTGTGTTTACTTCATTTCCGAGTCACTTGGAAGCTTTGGATGCTACGTTCTTCCCAGCCCCCCCCCCCTTTTGTCCGCCTCGCCTTTGATGCTCCAATGGGCAGGAGGGAAAAGATGCAACATGGATTTGGAGACTATTTATATTGCCTTGCTCAACTTTGACCCACTCATGTTCTTGAATAATTAGTAAAAACGCGGCGATGCGTGGTTGTGAACACTTCTTGACGCATGAACTAACTGGAACACACCCCAACGATGGGAAGCCTAGTGAGATATTCGAGCTCGATCAAGACCCCGTCGTAGCTACCACACATACCCATGACTTCCATGATTTATGCCTCTCCCCTTGCCTTCAACTGGGCAACATACTCGTTAATCTTCGGGAGAATGTCCTTCATCACAACCGTGTCAAACATTTCCTCGATCTTTTTGACCTTCTCGCCGCTCTCGTCAAACCACAGGAAGAGGGCGTGCTCATTCCGGTACGGCCCAGAAGGCGTGTCCGCTTCGGCGAGGGCGTAGATGACCGCCTTGCCATAGGTCGTATCGTGCACCACGTTGTGGATCGTGAGCTGCTCACTCTTGAGTCAGCCCGTGTCAGTGTTAGTGAAGTGACTAGGGCTGACCTTGAAGTTCGAGAGGTAAGACATGAGAATCGGGAAGAATTTCTCCACGTGCGGGCGATCTCGAATCGGAGCATCGAAACTGAAAGGAAGCGTTCTCTGGGTGCAGTCGTCGGACCATGTGGCAAGGAAGCCTTCGGGGGTCCATCCCATCCAGCCCTGGATGAACCTTTCCAGCGTCGCTCCTTGGACTTCGGGTGGTGCCGGCATTTTGATGGTCGGTGGGTCGGTGGCCGGTTGGTTTCGTTTAAGTGAAGGGAAGGGCGTGCGTGTGTTGGTTATGTCCGGGCCGAGGTTGACGCTGGGCAGCCACTGTTTATATCATATGCTTTAACAGAAAGGTGCGGAGGAATTCGGGGGGTTGATGCGGCCACCCAAATCCGTGCACAGTTCAACAAGAGATTCGCCCGAAACACGTCTCAGGCTTCAATTGACCATACTGGGTGGTGAGTCCGAGTGACAGACGTAGATATGATGGCCGTAGGCGGGTACTGAGTTCTAAGCCCCTTTTCGAACTCGTCGGGCTCATGTGGGTATCGTTTCCCTCAGTTCCATCTTAATACCCGGTTTTCAACGCAGTGGAATGCAGTGAGTAATTACAAACAGTTTAGCTTCAATATACATGTGTTTCTAACTTTTCTGATACTTGAGCTAAGAAATAATTGCTAGTCATGAGAAGGTTCCGTCACATTGCCATATCTCGGGCCATCTATCAGCTCGCATACAACGTCCAACCCAGGAAACGTCCCTCATGGCCCCGTGTTCATTGGCAAGTACGGGTGAAGAAACGGAAAGAAGTGCCTCAGCAAGCCCATCAGAATGCACATTGGAGTGCCCGCCGGAAACTTGGCGGCGCCGTTGGTGTTGACCACGCTGACGTTCCGGTTGTCATAGCGGCCGCTGTCGTCCGTGGCCGCCTCGATCATGGCTGCTGCCAAGTCAAGATAAGACACCGGGCTGTCCTGGTCGGTGAGACTGAGGGCGTGCCCGCGCTGGACGTCGACCGACAGAGCACCCGGCTTGATGTAGATAGTCGTTAACCAGTCCTCATGTTCTCGGAGCATCTTCTCCGTCTCGATGAGGTCGTGGTAGACGTGGGAAGCCGAGCGGAGGAGGATTGGTTGCAGCATGAATGGAACATGTCGGGAGAACTGTTTGTCGATCGTACCCGAGGAGAGTAGAATCAGCTTGGGGGTGACAGCATGCTTGGCACCGTGTCCATGGCCGTTTGACTTGCTCTGCTGCCGGAGCCGTTGCAAAGCCTGGACAATGGCAGCGGCAGTGTCTTGGCCGAGACGACAACCTGGGATGTTGTCATTGGTGGAAACAACCAGGAAAACGGCCCGGCAGTCGCGGATGCACGATGCTAGGAGGTCGATGTCTTGGATGCTACCTTCGAAAATGTTGACTCTACCCCCCGACTTGACGTCCGGAAACCGCCGCAGAAGCTTCGCCGTGTTTCGGCAATAGGCGTGGATTTGTGTCTCGGGAGACTTCAGGAGATTCTCGATGAGTGCAGCGCCACAGTTGCCCGTGGCACCGAGAACAGCGTAGGTGCGCGTATGGCTAGCCATAGTATTATTGGGTTCAATGGCCTGTTTCGTGAAGTCTCATGAGTGTGAAGTTGTTGAAGCCGTGGTGTTTATAAAGAAAATTTGGGAGGAGGCTCACATATGGTCAAGAGTAGCCCTTTCGATCTGCACTACTCCCATTAGTTTGAGGTGGGAGAGAGGGGATTCGATTTCAAGGATAGAGGAAGGAAATGCTCATTTCCGCCGGTATAATCAGCAATGGCTCTTCGTCACGTCCCCACTCGGCATGGACTGGTCTCGGGATATTGCCACCACCCCTCCTCGCCCCTCCCCGCCCTCCCCGGCATAAAGCTTAATCTCTGACTCGGGTGATTGGCCTGCATCGTTGATTACCCCTGAGATAGTCCGGGCTTGCCGGATTGGAAAAGACAAGGCACAAGCATAGTTCCTCGGTGATAAGGTCAAGTGCTATTTGGTAACTCCGGCCCGACTGCTACCCCTGGTGTCCTCCGTGGCCACCGGCAGTGGCTTGTGCCATGAGATACTGTTGAAACTTGGGGAATAGATCCCGATAGAAGGCCGTATCCACCATTTCCTCCAGCCTAGTAATTTTACTCCCGTCCTCGGAAAATGACACAAAGATCGTGTACTCGTTGGTCCACCTCTCTCCCGGGATCGGCGTATCCGCTTGGGACGTTGCGTACACAGCTGCAGTACCCTTTGGGGCGTCGTGGACGATCTCTCTGATTTCCAGCTAGATGCATCCCGCAGGTTAGAAAGGTAGTTATGGAGGCATGGAGAAGAAGAGGCAGCTAACCTTCCAGTTCGTCAACAACTCCATAAGCTTGCCGTTCATGACCTCGGCCTCGGCACGGGACTTCACGGGGGCTTGCAATGACAAGGGCAACAGCCTCTGTTTGAAATCATCCGACCAGAAGCCCACAGTGTCTTTGGCATTCTGATTTTGCCATGCAGTTAGGAACTTGTCGAGGGTTTGGGCTTGGATCGGGGCTGGCGCAGGCATTTTGTAGGCGTTCGGGTGGAGTTTCTTGAACCCTTAACGATGAGGATGATCAACCGTAAGGTAAGCGATTTTAATGGAGGTCATGGCCGCTATATCATGATGTAATGGGTGTTCCAAAAGTAACCCTTCACTCCCCACACAGCGGTCACTCCCGGCGCTGGTAGCGGACATGCCACCCGGAGCTCTCGTCGGACTGCCCCTGGAAATCCCTTTCCCGTATCGCCCCGGATGCGGGCTGAGACACTCGGGTGATCTCAACCCTCCGACGTACTTTGGGCCGGTCCTCGGTCTGGGTGCACACCAGAGACGCCACCCCTGGGCAACTACAACTGAACGATGTGATGATCACGAAGTCTCTAGCTGCAAGTAGCTGCCAAAAACCCTCATTTGACCATTCTTACGCATTACTACTGCCAGTTGCAGAACCCTGATTTCTTAATCACTTCATCTCACACCAGTCACCTTCATCAACACCATGGGTTCCAACAGCAACGAGATCTTCGCCCAGGACGACAAGTTCTGGGACAACTACCTCAAAGGGCGGCCGCGAGTCCCAGACAGTTTCTTCACCCGCATCTTCGACTACCACCAAGCCAACGGCGGAGCCTTCGGTACCATCCACGACGTCGGCGCCGGCAACGGCGTCTACGCCCTCCGCCTACGGTCTCGCTTCTCCCACGTGCTCGTCTCGGACGTAGTCCCGGAGAACGTCGATCTCGCCCGCCAACGGCTCCGCGGCACACAAGGGTTCAGCTTCCGCGTCGCCGCGCTCGAAGACTCCGCCAACATCGCGCCGGGCAGCGTGGACATGGTGTTCGCGGCCAACGTGATGCACTTCCCGGACCCGCAGGCGGGCGCCATGGCGGCCGTCGCGCGCCAGCTGCGGCCCGGCGGCACCTTCTGCGCGGCCGTGTTTGGGCCGGCCCGGTTCCGCGACGCCGCGCTGCAGGACCTCTGGGCCCGCATCAGCGAGCAGGGCGGGCGCCAGCTGCTGCTCAAGGCCGCTGATGACGCGGCGAGGGCCAAGACTATTGGGGTCATGGCGCGTACCCAGGGGGTGTATAATGTGGCGCCGTTGGATCCGTCGCTTTTTCGGGCTGGGGCGAAGAGGATTCATCTCAATATGCGGGAGGGTGGTGTTCAGGGGATGTTGCCGCCGGAAGAGGCGCATCGGAATACGGAGCCTGACTACGCGGGCCCGGATGATGTTGAGGTGCATGAGACGGATGAGGGGTGGGATTTTGAGGCTGACCTTGCGGGGGTCAAGGAGCACTTCAATTCGTTTCCTTTTATCTCGCAGTTTCCCGATGCTTTCAAGGATTTGTACGAGGAGTTGGAAGTCATGGCGGAGAGAGCCCCTTTCCAGGGGTATTACCCAGTCAAGATTATTCTGGGAACGCGGTGTTAGGGGGCTTGGGCTTTGCGTTGATCTCATGCTTAGTGTTACGGAAATTGACGTACCTTAGGTAGTTGAATCTCAACCTGTCTGTATGACCAAAAGATTATGGATACCCAGGTTGTTTTGTCATTTGTTTAACTTGAGGCTGTTGGTATCATGCGGAGCGTGACTAGGTAGGTAACACGGAAGTCTCCTGACAACCTGCTCCCACCTACCAGGTTACCTGGTCGTTTAGGTATTATTCACCGGTCAATGCATTGGTCACATTCGTGAGCTTGGCTAGGTACCTTCAAATCCGAGACACAACCCACATTGTTCTTCAGCCCTACAGTCTAGGTAACTATCACGAGCTATCGGTCTCCGATTCACGAGTCATGAAGCGAGACAAGGAACGTACAAAAAGAAGGGCCGAATCTGCCCGCAGTCTTTCTCCGCCGAGACAATAAAATGCAGCCAAGAGCAAACTTCAGTACGGTTGGTGTTTCACGGCGAGGGCCAAGATGAGGCCCTTTGGAGAGCGGAGCTCGTTGCAGATAGCGAGCTTCCCGGTCGTATCGCCCACGGACTCGATGATAGCGAGCAGCTCCGTCATCTCCATCTCGCCATCATTGGTCAGCTGGAGCATGTTGAGATCGCGGGTGCGGGCGACGGCCTCGACCTCACGGTCCGGTATGCTCCCCGGGTCGGGAAGGAGGCGGGTGGTCAAGATAAGCATGACGCCGCCCGTCGTTCGTAGGAAGCCGAGATGGCCCTGCAACTCGGCCCGGATCGCCACCCCCACGGCCCCGCTCGGGGATCTCGGGCCCGCCACGGGGGTGTGGAGAACGTAGACGGCGGCGTCTGCCACGGGCTGCGGCATGCCTGGAGTGCGGTAGCTCACTGTGATGCGCTCGCTCAGCCCGTCACTGTCCGTCTCGGCGTCTGCGTCGGACGGACTTGCTCGGTCCATGCTTGCTGCTGCTGCCCCGCATGGTGCCATGGCCCCCTGCCACATGCAGTCCGGGTTCACCGTCGTGCCATGCGTCTTATTGATCTGCACGACCAGTCGTAAGCCCGGAAATCGCCGCGCGAGACGTCGTGCGAGGGAAGTCGACTGTGCGCCGACCTGCCGGATTTAGTTGGTAAGTGAGTCGTACTTCCAACAAGGGGGGTAGCCAAGCGAAGGGGGGCGGGTTTGCATTGGAGGGGCGGGGAGGGGATAGCCAGGGGAAGGGAGGGATGGGAGGGAGGGATGGGAGGGGGGCCAAGGGAGGGGAGACGGGGCCAGGCCCAAGGGGGCTTGCTTGCCGCGGGTTTAAGCTTACTTACCTCGACGATGCAGGCGTTGCCAAGGTTCGCCCAGCTCAGCCGCGAAAGTGCGTCGACGAGGGCATCTTCTTGTTGCAGACCGGCTGCATGGCAAAGATAAGCCGACCACTGACGGTCGAGCTTGGAGGATTCCTGGCGAGCGACATGGAAGGGCCGCACAGTGCTCATAGCGAGGTTGTAAGCACACTCGGTCGGGCTGCGCGTTGCCCCGAAGCGTTGCGTTGCTGACGCCATCTGCAGCGCTGCGGGCGCTACTGACTCGGCCATGAAGACGACGGCATCGAGGAGCGACTGCTCCGCCGTAAATTGTGCCGACAGCGGAGTGTGTGCCACGAATCCAGGTTTCGGTTCGCGGAGGAGTCCATGTGTCGCAGTTAAACGAGTGACCCTTGAGAGTTGCTGTTCTGGGATCCCGGTAAGGTCCGCGAGATCTGTGATCGGCACGCTAACCTCAGGCGGGATGCAGGCGAGAATCTGGAATTCAGCTAGCCACCGAAGACAGGCAACGATCTCGACCTATCGTTGGGTGGGGAGGGGAGGATGCCAAAGTTAGAACTTCTGTGCGTCACCCGGGAGCGGGGGATTAGGTGGGGGGGAAGCGGGAGAGGAACACGAGGGATAAGAAGTACTAACCTGGCTCGCGAGGTGCTGGAGAAAGTCGATCGGACTCCCAATCAGGGCTTTGATGCCACCCACGCTGGCTAGGATGTTGACCCGCGCTTCGGTAACGTTTTTGGGAGTGTCGGAGGCAGCCAACAGTTGGCCTAAAGAGCCTTCGCCGCGGCAGTGCTGAGCTAGTATCTTGACGGACGCCGTGAGTTGTTCAGCATAATCTTCCAGCTGTCTGATTCCGTCCATGGCGAGGTGGACCGTAGGTAGAGACGGGTATCGCGATCGAGGGGACCTTGGCAGCGCGGGAATGGCTATCTTGGCTTTCTTGGCCTCTTTATAGCTCTCTTGGCCTCTTGGCACATCGACGGCGGGTTCAAAGTTAAAATAATCTTGAAAAGTTGACTGGGGCCTGTCTATTTAGTGTCTTCAGCTCGGTCTGTCTTCGAGTCTTGTCAGCGGAAGAAAGGGATCTGTCCCGACTCGTACCTGAAAGGCTACCCGTGTTGCATCTTTCTGGAAGCGGCGAGCAGTCCGCAGCCGTCAAGCCAATGGTGTGCAATGGGTATTGCGGCATCTCCTGCGATCCCACCTCCCTTTCCACCCCACCTCCAAGCACGCTACGAAACAGGGGTTGTTATCGACGCGGAACGACTCATGCCCAGCCTGCATCCGTGCTTACGGTTCCGTAGGAAACCCGAGGAGAGGGAGTGTCGAAAGAGGATAGAAGCAAAACCGGGGCCAGCCACATGGTGGGCGATGCACCGTCACGTTGCATATGCGCCGGGGAGGCAGAAATTAAGTTGGCAGGACAGGTGTAACCGTTCACCCGTCGGGAAAGAAAAACGTGCTGGTACAGTTCTCAGCCTCCAAAGGATGGGATGAGAAGGTTCTTTCCCGTACAGGGGGAGGAGATACGTTTATCGAGACCCTTGTGACGAGCACGTGTCAGTTGTTTTCTTGCAATTGCCATCCCAGCAGGGTTCCTCTTCAAAGCTCACTTACTACACGCTGATAACGCCGATGCGGGCAATCATATCTACTACATCAATGCCATAGACCCTGCTGGCGTCACGAGTAGAATCTTACCTTCCCGAGAAACACTCTAATTCGAGACCATCCACCAACCACCTTTCACCAATTCTGCCCCCCCCAAACCTGGAAGACAATGGCCAACCGAGAGTCGCACACGGAGGCACAGCAGGGGCCGCCACCGGCACGCCGCAGCTCTGGCGGGACGAGCTCCAAGCTTCGCGATAGCTGCCATACCTGTGCGGTATCCAAAGTCAAGTGCCCCAAGGAGAAGCCGACATGCTCGAGATGTGAGAGCCGCGGTACGCCTTGCCAGTATTTCCTCACGAAACGGCCGGGCCGTCGTCGAGAGAGCGAAATCAATGGCAGTCGTGCTGGCAACAACAGGTCCGGTACGAGCGTGAACGGCTCCAACCAGAGACACGAAGCCGATGGCGACGGCGGCCGCTCTAGAAATAGGGAGAGGGATGGGGACACAATCCGAGCTGCACCGCCATCTCTGAGCGACCGGTTTTTCTCACGGAGCACAACACCTCCCAACACCAGATCTCCCCAGAGGGACAGCTACCCCGGCACACCGACACATCCAACCTTGCCATCACCGCCGCCGCTGGACCATGTTCTGGTGGCGAACCCGTCCGATATTTTCTCCGCTCTCGGAGAGGATGGGCTCTTCCCCGACTTTGCGGATTTCAACTCGGACGTCAACGACATGGACTTTGTCATGTCCGGAATCGACTCCCCGTTCGGATTGCTTATGCTGGATACTGGCGGCGGCGGGAACATCGCAGTCGCCGGACCGAGACCGGACATCGGGTCCCTGCTCATGCCGCTCGAGAGCAACGGCAACGACCTCACGGCGGGTTCCGAAACATCTTCAACCGGGGACGCCCCGAGCGCGTCTTCCTCCGCAGTTCCGTCCTCGCTCGAGTCCAGCGCCCAATCCCTGACGGCCAGTCTCAGCAACGTCCCCCGCGCCATCGAGTCGCCGTCATGCGGCTGCTTGATGCAGGGCCTCGATTTGCTCAAGGTCCTCAGCTCGACCCAATCAACGCCGCACACCTCCTCCAGCGGCGGTACGCCCGAGCCTTCCCTGGGTATCGACATCCTCAGCAGCAGCAACAGCAGTACGAGCAGCATGATCGGTAGTGACAGTCTAGCTCGGGCGGTCCTCGAAAGGAACAAGCAAAGCATCGAGGCGGTCAACCACATGCTCGCGTGTGTCTCGTGCACCGGTGACAGCTTCCTGCTCACCGTATCGTCCATGATCGTGCTCAAGGTGCTGGAGCGGTATGCGTCGGCGGCACGGGGCTGCCGGAGCGGGATAGGCGAGACAGACCTCGGCCGGGTCGCCAACATGATGATGGCGCATGGCGGCGCCTACGCCGACCAGGGCCTCGAGCGCCGGTCGGCGCAGGTGGTGCTCAGCGAGCTACATCGCGTGCAGAGGGTCGTGAATCAGCTGTCGCCAAAGCTGAAGGCTCCGCTTGCCGATGGAGGTGGGCAGGGTATCGGTTCGGAGCTGGACTTTTGGGGCCAGGGTCACCATATGACGGTGGGGGTCGGGCAGAGGAGGGATACGACGCCCGCGTCGTTCTCGACGGATACGTTGAATCGGCTAGAGAAGGATGTTCGCAAGAGTCTGAGCTCGCTGTCTTCCGACATTATCGAGGTGCTGCGCCAGAGCTAGATCAGACAAGAGGGGGCGATTGGAAGAGATGGCAAAGACTTAAAATCCGCAATAGAACTTGGGGAAAGGAGGCAGCAAGGGGTTTCTTTCTTTGTAATTGGGTGGTTAGCCTTGCCTTTTGTGCGTTTGGTATTGACATGGCACCAGTTGGTTGGTTGAAGGTTAAATCATGGTGGTTGTTATGGTAGAGTGGAAAGCAGAGAGAAATTCCCTCATGACGCCCCCTCCTTCCAGTATTATTCTCCCTAGAGATCGTTCTATGGGATGTTCAAGCTCACCGCCCCAGAACCGAGACATAATATCCACTCTGTTTCTGTTTGCTTGGGATCTGCAGATGGCACCGTACCAACGCATTTCCTTTCTCTATTGATGATGCGGAGCCACTTATTAGATTCAGACTGAAGGTGACATCTGCAGCAGAGAATGGCGCGGCAGGACGTCCGCAGTGGAGTCTTGCCTACCCACTGGCACATCAACCAAGAGGGACTGGGTCACACAGATGACGCGGTATGATGAGACAAGCAGTTTGAGCACTGCCGGCATGCGGTCAGTTCCCCGCAAGATCTTCGGTCTCACTCTCCGCCAGCAACAGCTCCTTGCCATGTGATGGGTCGTGCAAACCGGAGTCATTGTGAACCCTCAACGAGCGGGCCGCGTGTGAACTCATAATAGCCCCTCGTACATGTGCTATGGCACTCTTTGCTTCCAAGTTGCGGTCGGCAGTTGGGCAGTAGCGGTAGGGATGTTGGGAAGCAAGGGAATCCGGCTCGCACTTCCATCGGGGCATTTGTGGTTGACAGTCCGGGTGAATCTAAGCATTTAAGGGGGTTCGGCTTCCCGAACGGACCAAGGCCGAATGCCGTGAACATACGGGTTACATAGACCAATACGCCCGCAGACCCGAGCCTGCGGGTTTATAAAGCTGTTATCGTCTTGCAGCTCTGCCAGCTATTCGGACTTTGGTTGTCCGACAACATCTCGACCGCCGTTCCAACCAGTAATTGTCATCCCTCCCATCCCACTCTCCCACCACGCAACCCTCCCCTTCCAATGGCGACTGCAGTAAAAGCGGGCTTCGCCCTGCATTCGGACAACGTCGGTCTAGCCCGCGTCGAGGCCAGCCCGGCCGGTTCGGCCGAAGTGGTCAATGATTTGTTGCAGAAGAACCACGAGAAGTGGCACATGTACTTCCGCGACGTTGCCGGCCACAACCACATCCCGCATGCCGTCCTCAGCACCCTCGCCATGGGCGGGGGTCCGCAGGAGCTCCGGCGGGCATACGACGACGGCGAGGACATCCAACGGCCCATGCCGCCGGTGGACCCCCAGGCCGTCAAGGAGATGAGCAACCCAGCCAAGTTCCGCGAGCGCATGCAGACCCTCGACGAGTACCCCAACTTCCTAACCTTCTTCAAGAACGAAATCGCCGCCAACAATGGCAACTGGCAAGATGTCGTCAAGACACACTGCTTCGCCCGCACCGAGCTCGCCGACCTCATGCTGGCCCAACTGTTCGAGGGCCTGTACCACCCCATCATCCACATGGGCTTCGGCGTCGAGTTCGAGCTCGCCCCGCTCGTGGCCGAAGGCCTCGCCCAGGCCGCCAGCCACGACCCCATGTACATCGACGTCTTCTTCCAAAAGGCCGAACAACTCGCCGCATCCGGCACCATCCCCCCCGCCCCGCTCGCCGCCCTCTACCGCGAGGCGCGCACCACCGACGCCATCCGCACGGCAGCGCGCCTGCCCGACGGCCCATGGAAAGTACGCGACGGCGTGCTCGGGCGGGCGATGGAGCCCGTGGTGCAGCTGGCCGCGCGGTTCCAGGTGCCCGCCACGGAGCCGGCGATCGAGCGCGCCACGGCCGAGATGATCAGCTGCGCGGCGTGGGCGTGCGCCGCGGCGCACCAGCCGGGCAAGCAGCGCAAGATCGACTTCTTCATGATGCACGCTGTGACGAGCTCCATCTTTGTCAGCGTGCTGAACCGGCAGGGCTGGTTGAGACTCGAGGATAAGGCCCGTGTGGTGGAGTGGAAGACGCGGCTGGATCTGGTCTGGTATGCGGCGAGCGCGGCGCCGGAGCTGCGAGAGGAGTATATGACCGCGTATGAGCCCACTCTGAGCAAGGGTATGGGCTGGGCGGAGCTGTACCGTGCTCTGAACCAGCATCATGATGATGGTCATGTGGCTAAGTTCGTGCGTGCTATCAAGAATGGCGAGGAGGCGGCTAGGCCGTTTGAGGAGGAGTTGGAGCAGCTTAACGGCAGTGCACCTGCTGACTCGCTGCCGGTTAGGGGTGAGCTTTGGTTAAAGATTGCTCAGATGTGTTATGACTCTACTGTCATGTATGTGGATGGCCAGTCTAAGTGGGTTTGGGGGGCTGGTTTCCCGCCCATGTGGGACAAGGTCGCTGCTGAGTGAGGTTGGAGAGGGCATGTTCCAACTGTACGAGTTCCGCATTTCTCTCTGTTGTACGTCCGATATCTAGCCAAATCTGAGAAATATGAAAAATAGAAGAACATGGGCTGCCACCAAGTGACGAGCCCCGGGGTACGTTTTCTCAACAACAAGCAACCACCACCAATTAACAATTGCGTTTAAAGTTCCCCGCTTTGTGGATTTGATGAACAGGCGATGACGACGCCATACAATGATCTTGTCTAAAGATACCCCTGGCGCGTTCGATATCCCGTCGTTGGACTAACTCTAGCCCTCCTTGTCTGCAACATTACGCCTCTCCTTTCGCAGCCGCGGCGAGTAATGCCCAGGGACCCATGCGCCCTCCATATCTGGCTCGTCGAATTGGCCTCGCTTGCGGATTCTCCCACGACGACGATCCCATCGCCGCTTCGGCCTCCTCCGGTTCCCTGTTTGTCCGTGGTGCAGGGCGTGGCCTCGCCAATCTCGATTCCCAGACCTTCTCTTGGAGTTTATATAACTGGGGACGCGGTATTTCGGCAACGTCGGACTCAAAACCCGCGGGCGGCAACTCTATGTCATAGACGTCATCTTGGTCCGCGATGTCCCATACAGAGGACAAAGTACGACCGTTATCGAGATGGCCATGAAATGCCCGTTCCACATACGAGTCCCCGGATGACCGTTTCTTCAAAACTATGCTCCTCAAGGTAGCACCACATCCTTCCAGATCATACAGCCTCTCTAAGATCTCGTGTACCTCCTCGTCAGTGGGAATCGGCGCGGTTTGGCTCTTTTTGATGGACCTTTGTATCGCTTCGACGTCTTTGGCATACTCATCCCGTGCCATTGCCAAAGAACTGATGGAACTGGACCTGCTTGCTTGCCAGACTGTGTCACCGGACAGGTTGCTTTGCCCCGTGAGTTCCGCGTCCATGTATGCCAGCGCCTCATCGTTGTAGGGAGCGATGGAGTTGTGTTTGAGATAGCGACCGAATGCAGCTGAAGCGTCCATCAGCTTCGACATTTCGGCCTTGCGGCTTTCGATCTGTTTCTCGAGGGCCTGAAGGTGGCGGGCTTGTATCTCGGCCTTGGAGCCGTTTTCATCCACAAGGCGCTGAACATCTGGGTCTATGCTCTTCTCAACTTTGGTCCGGTAGTCGTCTTTGATATGTATGTGCAGCTTCCAAGAATGGTTGCAGATGGCGCATGTCGTCCTCAGTCCGTGGTTGAATACGCCACAGGCCAGCAACCACCTGGAAGGTTCTCCCAAATGCTCGACTCCGGGGGGCATGCGGCACATGTCATGGCAGACGATGTTGTACTCGTAAAAAGGCAAACCTTTGCCATCCACCTTGCGGGTTCGGCAGTCCGCATGCGTGCAAACAGTCCTTGGCTTGTCGAGGACCGAGTGTTCGAGGACGATGGTGCTGATGAAGAGCCTCGACTCCAACTCCTTCCACGTAATTTCCGCCTGCTGGAGAGCTTTAGCGTCTCGTTCATTCTCTTTGATGCTCTCCATCGCCATCTCCTCCAACATAGAGAGTGGTTCTCGAATGGCAAGGATGAGATCCCTCGCAGTGTTGAGACTCAGAGTGCTTTTCACCCTGTGGCCGCGGAGGGTTGCCCAATGTGCTAGAAGGCGCTTGGACTCCCGGACAGATCGGTCCCAGCTCCTCTCGAAGTCGTTGAGCCCGGGCATCTGGGTCTGCGTCTCCGACAGAGCCGCGAGAAACCGAAAGCTTTCGGAGTCGAAGCAGTAGGTTGTGTGTGTACTTAGCGAGATCTTGGAGTTGTTGTACTTTTCCAAGAGCGCTTTCAGAGGTACATACGTATCCCCCGGCGTATAGAAACTGCCCCGCGTATTGGTGAAACCAAAGCAGAAGTTACTCGCCGCGTCTTGGTGCAGATGGGTCAACAACTCGGTAATGCAGAAGCGGAACATTACATCCAAGCGAGAGTTTGTCGGCTTTAGCAAGATGAGAATGCCATGGAGTTTGTCAATGTGCCGCAACGTTGCAAGGATGTCTTCTTTGTTTAACGCATCCTGCTGGATGCCCCGCGTATCGCCGATCCCGGGCGTGTCAATGAACCGCAAAATGGTGGTATTGTTAAGCGGAATGCGATGGACTGTCGTTTTCCTGGTTGCGGACTCTCCAAGGGCACTGGGTTGCAACGACGTTAGCTGGTATATCAGAATGACGGAGGGGTTGGGGTACATGCCCGTGATGTTCGTCTGGGCTCGTCCCGACCTTGATGTCGAGGGGGTTGAAGCCTCCATTGCCGTCGGGGTACGGTAGCGAGAATGAGTACGGCACGACATACTGTGGCTTTCTGGCCTTGATGGCCTCTTCAAGGCTGTCGTATGTCAGGTAGTTGACGAATGCGTTGATAAACGTCGATTTGCCTACCCCGGTTTCGCCTAGGATGAGCACGTTGATCTCTTGCATCGTCAGGGGCTGAAGACTTTTCAGCCTGACTAGCAGCCAAGAAGGTTTCGGCGTCGTAAACGTGCCCTCCTCATCATGTTGGTTGCATCGAAAGCGGCACTTGTCGTAGGGGAACCGACCGCAGGAGCAGTAGAGAAAGGTGTCAACAACTCCATACTCCACGGACCCCTTGCAGGTCTCACATATCCAGACACGCTTTGTGCCCCGGCAGCGACGCCCTGGGCATCTGATCTTTACCATCCTCCGCTGAGCCGGTAGGCCGTTTTCGGCGTGGTTGAGTGCCGCCCGGTCGTAGCGGATCACACAATGGCCATCCAAGAATCGACGGACCTCGCTCAGGTCTTTGACGATAAGTTTCCCGGCTCGGTATTGCTCCACGTATGGCATGGCAATGGGTGTTTTTCCGAGGTCACAGTCGAACATGATGACAAAATCATCGCATTCGGATTCGAGAAGTTCCAGGATGAGTCTCCTGTTGTCATCCCAGCGGGATGGCTGCGTCGCCTGCACGGCATCGTTGAAGTAAAACACGTACGCGTCATTTCTCCCTTGTTCCATGATGAGATTGTTGAGGGCATTCAGACCGCCGTGTCCGACGTAGCGCGCTCCCTTCTTAACCATCGTGACGGCGAACTTTATCTTCTCCTCATGGTCCCGGATTATCGACATGAGGTTCTCGGGCGATGAGTTGTCACTGCGCGACTCCTTGAGAAGGCTCCACAGGCAGTTCGGCTCAGACTTGCCGCGCCTCACATTGGAGAGGGCGCTGGCATATTCTTCCTTCAGACGCGCCTCGCCTGCCTTTGCCTGACGAAGGCGATCAGATGCTTCCGCCAAGTGGCTGTCTGGTAGGCAAAACCGATACTCCTTCGCGTCATGGTAGTAGTCGTTGAGGCTTTGCCGCACTGTAGTCAACTCATCGAAGAGGTGGACAAACTCGTCTAGAACGTCGTGCCCAAGACGCTTCAGCGAAATATGAGACTCGATGGTGAGGTCGTAAAGCATGTGGAGCATCTCGACAGGAACGAGGGTGTACACCAGCGGTTTTCCCTTCCCGCCATTCGAGGCGGATATCGCCGAGGGCATGGTCTTGATGTAGTTTTGCGCGCTCTCAAAGTCGTTAGGAATGTCCATGTCGCTCACAAAGTCGCCATACACCTTGATGGCAAATGCTGTTTCTGAGAGCCCCTTTCCTCGCTGGACTCCAAACTCTGCTCCTACATTGGCTCCAGTCCCAACAATCATGCTCAACTCAGCGAGACCGACATCAAGCTGAGTCTGAACATCTTTCTGGTTACCAGAGTTCTCAACCTTGGACCTGGCCGTCACAACACTCGATGCACCCCATTCGATCTCGGTAACAACATGCGTGCCGCCTCTGCCTCGCAGGGCATCGAGATCCAGAAGCTCTTGGAGATCCGGCGTCATCATGAAACAACCCAAGTTGAGCTTCTCGTGGACTGTCGTGATTCTGTAAAGGCATGAGAGTTGCACAGTCCGGAAACTAGACCGCGTTTCGGTAAGAAAACGGCCGACGCCGTCAACAGATATCATGTTGGAAAGGATGCTGGCGCCCAGTTCAGCGCCGACTCGGAGGCTACGTAACCGCGTCTCAAAGGTATCTTCCTTGGTAAAGTCCATCTCGGTACCCGGGTTGTCGGTGCGTCTCACGGCCATCGGCGGGGCAGCGGCCTTCAGGAGGGAGATGGACGAAAAGGTGTCGGTGACAGCATCGTAGAAGTCGCCAAGGCCTGCAATCTGGCCGAGAGATGGGCGCTTTATCGCCATGGCCACGAGGTCTGTCTAGATCTCCTACCAAAAGAAGCTTATTAGATCTTGAAAAGAGGGCAGCTAACATGAAGGCGTACGGACCTGTTTCACTTTTGCACACAACTTCGTAAATTGTCCAACGTCGCAAATAGACGAAATTGTGAAAAACCAAGTATCAAGCTCCAGCTGGGAAACCTTGAGGCCCTGTTATCTCGGTGTCCTCCCAGCCTGATGGCTTTGGGCGTCATTCTAAGTCGGGCATCAACAGTTGAGCCTCGTCACGAGACCACCACATCGTCTTGAACCATCTGAAAAGCCCCTCAGCTCCCCGCACTCTGGACTTGCATCAGTTTACTCTCGCTTAATACTGGTGGAAAAAAGAGGGGTGGGACGTACTCTTCTTCGAGTAATGGAACCTTGAGATTCGGGCGCGCAGGCTGGCTTGAATCATGGAACTGTTAAAGAAGAAGCTTTCCCTTCGTCATATACATGGCCTTGTTAGACTTCCGCATGTCGCTGTTCTTTTATGACTAATTATTTCCCTAGGTAATCTAGGTACCGAACTAATAACATGGTGCCGTTTGGTCATGATATTTACCCAGAATTTCAACAGGAAAGTTGCAATATCAAGGAACTCTGCATCCAGGACAACACGCTTGGGTTCTTTTGATATGTCTTACCATAGTGGCTATTTATTTAACCGACAAGATGCCTGTGGAAACTAAATCCTCCTAACCCCTGAAACCATCCACAACTTCACCATCCCTAACAAATTCCTCGACCCATCCGATTGTCATCCTTATCATGTCAATATTTTACCCAATCTACAGAGGCACGAGCGAGCGAGACTTACATGCTTCGCTTTGTATCAGCAAATTGTTTATGATCGTCATACAAGTGCTCCTTGTACCACGGGTCCTGCTTGAACCGCTTGTAATCCTCAATGTCTTTGAAGATGACCTGACTGAAGCAGTCAAAGTCGGCAATATTGGCCATCTGCGGGTCGAACAACTGGGGCATCAAAGCACGGGTTGCGCTCTGGTTGTGGATCTGGGCCCGAGTTAGTTCGGGTTAGAGGGAAAAGGGCAACGAAACAGTGACTCGCTGACCTGAGTCCATCTCTTGATACCATACTTCACCATGAGAGGCTTAGTCATGGGAGCAGACACGTTGACCATGTGGTTGCGGTAGTCTTCCTCACTCATCCCCGGCTTCCGGTAACCACAGATGGTCAAGCAGAGATACTTGCCGGCTGTGGAGTCCGGCTCCCGAGTCTCTGCGTCCCTGGCCGCGTTCATGTTTGCACTTCAACGATTGATTGGCTTTGGTAGACTGGAGAGGAGATCGCGTCTGGGCTGTGTCGGTCTTTTACGGGTAGAAGTGGAACGGGGAGATGTGATTCCCTGGTGATCGAGCCATGGTCGTCAGCCTGTTTGGATTTATCGGGGAGATGTCATTGCCGGGATCCGGATTCGGGAGTATGTCTCGGTTCGCCCCGGCGATACAAAGTACATAGGAGGGAAGTCCTCGGACCTGTCATGGGAAAAGGAAGGCCAACACAAGGCACGCCGCGAACCCCGTGGACAGGACATCCAACCATCGCTCAACCGCAACCGCCCGTAGCCATGGCAGTCAAAAGGCATTCCACCGTATCTCTCCCGATGCCCAAGATCCAAATCCCGGCGACCGCCGTGATTTCGGGGTCATTTTTGTCAGGTCCGTGAACTTGCATCGCCACAACGATGACGATCTTGGCTGACCCTTCGCAATCACGGTGCGCAGGCGCGATGATAAGCCTCTCGGCTTTTGCCGTGCCGGTGTTCCTCGACACGAATAGGAGTGCCGACCATACGGTCCGACAGTGGGTACGCTTGTACCACTACGGACACATCTATCTCCCGGCCTTGTGCGTCGCCACATGCGGTCTGTACGGGTATGCCGCTGTGACCAAACGGGCAGGCGGGAAGAAAGAATGGACCCGATATGTCCTCGCGGCGGTCTCGACCTTCGCAATGGTTCCCTTCACCTGGCTCATCATGACACCCACCAACGACACCCTCTTCGGGTTGGAGGCATCGGGATCAGCGCAGGATCTGGACCATGTTCGTGGACTGGTGGTCAAGTGGGCCTGGCTGCATGTAACCCGGTCCCTGTTCCCCCTCGTCGGCGCATTCATCGGATTCAAGACCCTGCTGCATGAGTGTACCATAGAATAAGCTGCGGGTGTGGTTGTCCCGCTCGGGACGGGGCGAGCAGGGCGGCGAACCGATGTTGGGGATCCGTCTTGGCCGATTTAACCGTTCGCGGCGGACTTTAAAGGGCGCAGGGGCGGACTCGAAAGTCCGTCCCATACACCGCAGGCAAGCGCGGAATGCCGCTCGCTAAACACCCCCTTTGTTTAGGATAGTCTCAGTTAGCTTACCTCCTTCTTCACGCCACCGTTATTCCCGTGAAGTTCCCTTCTGCCAGCTGGGGGCCAGGAGGAGACCTTAGCATGGCTTGGATGGGCAAACAGAGCGAATTAAGAGACTCCCAATGTTTTCACGAACGGTCCAGTATCATGAAATTTGAGTTTATTTTTCTCTTCGTTTGTATTCATGTAAGATGAGGGATAATTCTTGTAAAGTTAAACGAAAACAACACAGTCTCCCAGTAAGGTATCCACCAACATGACAACTTGAAGCTGTCCCTGGTCTACACAACAGCAAACCACTTCTTCACCCCCCCCCTCATATCAAATCCCACCATACCATCCTCAGCCAACTTCCTCAGCACCTCATCCATAAACGGCTCCAGCGCCAACTCCCGCACCCCATCATCCGTCGACGCCCCATACACCGCCGTAACCAGCTCCCGCACCGTCATCCGCCCCTTACACACACCCCCACTAGCTCGCGTCCCCTGCAGCACCTGCAGCGCCTGCCTCTCCCTTCTCATCTTACCCATCAGCTCGCCGTTGATCTTGCCCGGCAGATCAGCAATAACGGCGCCGTGCGCCGGATATCCGCGCGCACACCCGTGCGTCTGCATCTGCCGCAGCGTGGCCATCCACTGGCCGAGGCGCTCGACGGCGGCCGTGCCGTGGCCGAGGACATTGTCACCCGTGAACATGGCGTTTTCTTCCTCGAGCACGAAGCACATGTGGTCGTGGGAGTGGCCGGGCGCGTGCACGGCGCGCACGGTGGCGCCCTCGACGCGGAAGATTTGCCCGTCGGTGATGGGCTGTTGGGTCTTGCTGGGCGTGTGCTTGTAGATGGCGGTGGTGAGGGAGGGGTAGGCGGTGATCAGGTCGGGTACGCCGCCCGTGTGGTCGCCGTGCCAGTGGGTGAGGAGGACGTGGGAGAGGGTGAAGTTGCCCTTGCTCAGGGTTGTGGAGATTAGGTTGGCCCACTCCGGGATGCCTTGGCCGGTGTCGATGATGAGGCGCTTTGAGCCGGTGCCGATGATGTACGTGTTTGTGCCTTGGAGCGTGAACTGAGCGACACCAATGTTAACACAACCTGAACGAGCGGGAGATTGGCTTGTGGGTTTCTGTTACCTTCCCTGGGTTTTGCCCGAGTACACGAATGACTCGTGGGCTTATTTGTTCAACATCGAGGAGTTTTGGTAGGACATTTTGTTGACCTTCGAGGTAGTCCTCAAACGCACAAACATTGAACGCCTTGTTGATTTGGCGATAGCCCCCAACACCAGGTGCCATGGTAAAGACAGGTTCAAAATGTTTGTGCCACTTAGATTGTAACTTTTACCGGCAACGATGGGATTGGGTGTCTGTGTTGCTAGGAACAGCAATGGATAATACCCAACGTAAAGAGGAAGAGCAGAGAGATTTGCTAGGGAAGCGGAATGGGTTCAAACCTGGCGGGCAACCTTCGGCGAGGAGAATAGGAATAGATACTGAGGCTCGAAGTATTGCCATTATCCAAAGCTAAGATACAGAAACATCTATTGTGCCGGGAGATAAGCATGACGGGGCCGGGACGATTGGTCACGGAATCTCGTCTCGCCTCGCGTGACGTTAACCTCCCGATCGGAATTCGGGTTCACGGCGTTGCTGGTTCCCTGATCCCTCCCGGGATTGTCTCACCGCGCCGACGGCGTGTCTTGCTATCTCCCGCACGGCCAACACCACCCGCGGTATTCTCGTGTTTCGGCCCATCTCCATCTTCAGTAACTGGTGTGATGGGAGGTAAGCGTAAGGGGTCGCCGAGCTGATACCGAATGGCTTTAGTATTACTTTACTCCAGTACTCCATTCAGCTTGTCTTACTTGTCTGACTTCACGGCTCCAGATTTCATACGACCGTGAACCAATTGGTATACTTACCTTGCCAGCCTCTTTCAACAAGTGTATTCTCCTTACGTTCATTTTTCCACATTATAATTCGTACCGCCACCCACTATATCTCCTGTCATTACCCTCATTTACTACAACCATGGAATGGCCCGCGACCGGTCCGTCAACGGCATCAGGCACTCCAACGCCATCCACCAATGGGTCCCTAGTTGAACCTGCCAAGATGAAGATTGTCTACTTTGGCAATGAGTTCCCCCATGATGATCTCAAGGACCTCTTCCGACGGCTCCACTGCCACAGCAAAGACCGACAGCATCCGGTACTGTCTCGGTTCATTCACGAGACTACCCTGGCCATCCGGGAGGAAGTCAGGTTGCTTCCCTCCCCGTTGAAAGGTCTGGTTCCCGCCTTTGAGTCAATTTTCGACTTGGCAGACCATGTGGATCTCCGGAAGGGACCCCTTGGCGAGTCCATCAATGGAATGCTTCTCTGCGCTGTCCAGCTGGCGGCCTTCATTGGGTAAGCGATGAAACGCGATAAGTCGGGGAAAGGGGGCTGTTGCTGACCACATACTCGGGCTTTAGATACTATGAGAACAGCGCCGAGGAAACGTTTGACTACCACCAGGTGGATGCTTCCCTTGCCGGGTTGGGCACAGGCCTCCTCTCGACGGTTGCTGTCTCTCTATCTCCAACCCTAGCCGACATGCCGGAAGTTGGTGCCGAGGTAATCCGTGTCGCCTTCAGACTCGGAGTGCTGGTGGATGGTGTCTCACAGAACCTTCATCCGCGCCCATCTGACGGCAGCCACGGCGACAGTTGGGCCTATGTAGTCCAGGATACTACCGTCGATGAAGCGCAGACTGAGCTTGATGTTTATCATGCAGCCGAGGTAATTTTCGGCTTCTCACATTAGTACAGCGGAAGACAGAGAACTGACAGTGTCACCAGAAACGGCCGGAGCCTTGTAAAATCTTCGTCAGCGCCATTAGTCGCACTTCGGTGACAATTAGTGGCCCGCCTTCACGACTGAAACATCTTTTTCTGATGTCCGACTTTTTCCGAGACCGCAAGTTTGCTCCCTTACCCGTCTATGGGGGGTTGTGCCACGCGAAGCACATCTACACCAAGAAACACGCCGAAGAAGTGATCCAGATCCCCTCTTTCGAAGTACTGGATGCCAAGTTTACTGGACGTGTTCCCATTTTCTCCACCAACACCGGAAGGCCGTTCCCCGGCAGGACTGCTAGCCAGCTGTTCGGCAACATTCTCGAAGAGGTTCTCACCCAATCGATCAAGTGGGACAATGTGATTTCCGGCATCGTTCACCGAGCCAAGGCGGCTACGGTTTCCGAGTGCAACGTGCTCATGTTCCGCAATTCTCTTCCGGTCCGTGACCTCGTTGAGGCGCTGAACCTCGAGGAGGCACAGTTCAAGACGAGGACCAAGGATGTCATACCGTGGATTGCGAATCCTGGAACGGTGCCGCGTGGGCCGAGGGGCAACCAACAGGCCAAGATTGCCATTGTCGGCATGGCCTGCCGGATGCCTGATGGCGCCACCGACACGGAGAAGTTCTGGGACATCCTCGACCAAGGCCTTGACGTCCACCGCAAGATCCCTGCAGACCGGTTCGACGTCGAGACGCATCACGACCCTACAGGCAAGCGTGTCAACACCAGTGTCACACCCTATGGCTGCTTCATCAACGAACCCGGCCTGTTCGATGCGCCCTTCTTCAACATGTCTCCCCGGGAGGCATTGCAGACAGATCCCATGCAGAGGCTGGCCATTGTGACCGCTTACGAGGCATTGGAACGTGCTGGCTACGTTGCGAACCGCACACCTTCCACGGATCTGCATCGCATCGGCACGTTCTACGCACAGGCAAGTGACGACTACCGAGAGGTCAACACGGCACAGGAGGTTGGCACCTACTTCATCACCGGAGGGTGCCGTGCTTTCGGCCCGGGGCGGATCAACTATTTCTTCAAGTTTTCTGGCCCTAGCTACAGCATCGATACAGCGTGCTCCTCGAGTCTGGCAACGATACACGTAAGTGGATATATTCCTTCTCCCAGAACATTAACACACAACAGCGGCTAACAAGTAATGTTTAGATTGCATGCAACTCGCTCTGGAATGGCGACACAGATATGGCCGTGGCCGGCGGAATGAACGTGTTGACCAACTCGGATGCCTTCGCCGGGCTCGGCAGCGGGCACTTCCTCTCCAAGACGCCCAACGCATGCAAGACCTGGGACTGCGATGCTGACGGCTACTGCCGCGCGGATGGTGTCGTCTCCGTTATTATGAAGAGGCTCGAAGACGCCGAGGCCGACAACGACAACATCTTGGGGGTTATCCTGGCAGCGGGCACGAATCACTCAGCCGAGGCCATTTCCATCACGCATCCTCACGCGGGACACCAAGCTGACCTCACCCGCATGATGATGAATCAAGCTGCCGTGGACCCCCTCGACGTTAGCTACGTGGAGATGCACGGGACCGGCACGCAGGCGGGAGACTCGCAAGAAATCCAGTCCGTCACAGAGGTGTTCGCCCCTATTACCGGTACGAAACGCCGGAGCTCCAAGCAGCCACTGCATATCGGCGCAGTCAAAGCAAACGTGGGACATGGTGAAGCCGTCGCTGGATCTACAGCCCTTCTCAAAGTCCTACTCATGTTTGAGAAGGAGGCCATCCCGAAGCACGTTGGCATCAAGACCGCCATCAACCCTGGTTTCCCCAAGGACCTGGACAAGCGGAACCTACACATCCCTTACGAGAAAACGCCCTGGCCGCGCAACTCCGAGAGGAAACGCATCGCCGTGGTCAACAACTTCAGCGCGGCCGGCGGCAACACCAGCGTAGTGCTCGAAGAACCACCCCTGCGACCAGCCAGCGAGACCGCTGACCCACGCGCAACCCACGTCATCACCGTCTCAGCCAAGAGCAAGGTCTCCCTCAAGGGCAACCTCGAGCGCATGATCGCCTACCTCGACACCCACCCCACTGTCTCACTCCCCTCCCTCGGCTACACGACCACCGCCCGGCGCTACCACCACAACCACCGGGTCGCCATCGCCGCCTCCGACATCCCCCACCTCAAGCGCCAGCTAACCACCTACCTCCAAGCCGCCGACACGCACAAACCCATCCCGTCCACAGGCGCCCCGCCCGTGGTCTTCGCCTTCACAGGCCAAGGCGCCTCCCACCGCTCCATGAACCTCTCCCTCTTCCACCACTCCCCCATCTTCCGCGCCCAGATCCTCCACCTCGACGCCCTCTGCCAATCCCAGGGTTTTCCCTCCATCATCCCCGCCCTCGACGGCAGCCACCCGCAGGACTGTGCGCATTCCCCCACCGTCACCCAGCTGGCGCTGGTGTGCGTGGAGATGGCGCTGGTTAAGTACTGGGAGTCGCTGGGTGTGCGGCCGGACGTGGTGGTGGGGCATAGTCTGGGTGAGTACGCCGCGCTGTATGTGGCGGGTGTGCTGTCGGCGGCGGATGCGCTGTTTTTGGTGGGTTCGAGGGCGAGGATGTTGGAGAGTGGGTGTGAGGTGGGGAGTCATAAGATGTTGGCTGTGCGGGCGTCGTTGGCGGAGGTTAGTGCCAGTGCGGCGGGGAAGCCGTTTGAGGTGGCGTGTTTGAATGGGCCGAAGGATACGGTGCTGGGTGGGACGGTGGAGGAGATTGAGGTGCTGGCCGGGGTGTTGGAGGCGGCGGGTTATAAGTGCTTTCATCTGGATGTGGCGTTCGCGTTTCACTCGGCGCAGACGGACCCCGTGCTTGAGGAGCTGGAGGAGACGGCCCGCTCCGGTGCGGTGTTCCTCCCGCCGAGCTTGCCGGTCATCTCGCCGCTGCTGGGCAAGGTGGTGTTTGACGAGAGCACCATCAACGCCAACTACATCCGGCGTGCCACGCGGGAGCCTGTCAACTTCCTGGCCGCTATCGAGACGGCCAACCGCATGCTGACGGTTGATGAGACCATGACGTGGATCGAGATCGGCCCGCACCCAGTCTGCATGGGATTTGCACGGTCCATCATGCCGTCCATCAACGGGGCTGTCCCTTCCATTCGCCGCGGCGAAGACAACTGGCACACCCTGTCCAACAGTCTGGCGGTCCTGCACGCTGCGGGTGTCCAAATCAACTGGAGCGAATTCCATCGTTCCTTCGAAAGTGGCCTGCGGCTCTTGGATTTGCCCACGTACGCCTGGAACGACAAAACACACTGGATCCAGTACAACGGCGACTGGGCACTCACAAAAGGCAACACCTTCTACGACGAGGAGAAGAAGGCGCAGGCGACCGCCGCGAGCAATCCCCTTGCTGCGTTGCACTCTGAGCTGCGAACCTCCTTGGTGCATCGGGTGACTGAGGAGGTGTTCTCGGGAGCTGCCGGGAAGGTGGTCGTGCAGTCCGACATGATGCAGGCCGATTTCTTGGCTGCGGCATGGGGCCACAAGATGAACAACGCCGGTGTTGTGACTTCGGTAAGTCAGGGAAAGATGACGGGCATTAAGAACCAGAGCTGACCACTTTCCTCCAGTCCATCCACGCCGACATTGCCTGGACCCTTGGCAAGTATCTCATTGACAAGCTCAAGCCCAAGAGCAAGGTGACCATGGCCGACATTAACATCTCCAACCTTGTCGTCCGCGAGGGCTTGGTGGCACAGAACAACACCAACGTGCCTCAGCTCATCCAAGTCTCCATCGCAACGACCGACATCGAGTCAGGGGTCGCTCAGCTGGAATGGCACACTGTGACCAACGACGGCCGCTCCCTGGTCGACGAGGAGCCCATCGTCACCGCCCAGGTCGTGTACAGGCACTCAGCAGACTGGTTGTCAAGCTGGTCGCCGCTGCAGCACCTCATCCAGGGCCGCATCGAGGCGCTGTCACGGCTAGCGGATGAAGGGGTAGCCAACCGTTTCTCGCACAACATGGCGTATCTCCTCTTCGCGGCCAACCTGGTCGACTACGCGGACAAGTACCGCGGCATGCAGTCAGTTGTTCTCAACGGGCTGGAAGCCTACGCCGAGGTCACCATCAAGGAGGGCCACGCCGGCGGTGTCTGGACAGTCCCGCCCTTCTTCATCGACAGCGTGTGCCACTTGGCAGGGTTCGTCATGAACGTCTCCGACGCCATCGACACGAAGAACAACTTCTGCGTCACGCCCGGCTGGGGCTCGCTGCGCATCGCTCGCCCGCTCGTTGCCGGCGGCCGCTACCGTTCCTACGTCAAGATGATCCCGACGGCCGAGGACCCCGGCGTGTTCCTAGGCGACGTCTACATCCTGCAAGGCGACGAGATCATCGGCGTCATGCAGGCCATGAAGTTCCGCCGCTACCCCCGCGTGCTGCTCAACCGTTTCTTCTCCGCCGTCGACGTCAAGAACCCAGCCTCCGGCGGCGCCCCCATCCCCACCTCAACCATCACCCCAGCACCGCCCAAGGCCGTCGCACCCACCCGCCTCCCCACCACCACCGTATCACCAACTCCCATCCAGCCCGACCCCAAGCCAGCCCCCGCAGCAACCCCCCCTCCCGCACCCGCAGCCCAAGCCCCCCAACCAACCACCAGCACCACCCCGGCGCCCGCCTCAGACGAGAGCGTCGCCGGCAAGGCGATGGCGCTGGTGGCAGCCGAAGCGGCGCTGGACCCGGCGGACCTGCACGACGACGCCAGCTTTGCCAACCTGGGCGTGGACAGCCTGATGAGCCTGGTGATTGCGGAGAAGCTGCGGGACCAGCTGAACATCACGGTGAATGGGAGTTTGTTTCTGGAGTATCCGACGGTGGGGGATTTGAGGGCGTGGTTGGTGGAGTATTATAGTTAGGTACTGGTAGGGGGGGTTGATGGTGGGGGTAAGGGGTTGGTGTTTCGTTTCTTCTTTTCTTTTTCTTTTGTGGTTCTCTTTTTGGATAGGGAAATTGGGAGATTGTTGCGGTGGGGAGTGAGGAGGCGGGGTTCGTTGACTGTCTCTTCGGTTCAGCTTTGCCCGTGGAACTTTTGTCATGTTCTGAGTTTTACACTGTATTTAGATTCCGTACTATCTGTTCAGTTTATTACCATCCCGTTGCGCACTCCTATTCCCCACTCTACCTTCGTGTGATCCTGTGACTGCCAACCATCTCCACGGTATCGCCACGACGTTGCATGCACGGACAAGGCAATCTAGCTGTTGAGATGCCAGGCCTTCAAGCCGGCTCCGAATTGCTTGCACGCCAAACGAGTGACTCAGGGATGGTCAACCAGAAAGGCTGACACCACAGCCCCGACCAAGGCCACAGCTCCCAGGGTCCAGAAGGGAATCTGGGGATAACCGGTGTGAAAGCCCGCCGCGTATACCTTCCCTATGAACAGTGGGCCAAGTGACTTCGCAAGCCAGACAAAAGATGCTGCAGCGCCGTTGATCTTGGCAAGCGCCTGGCTCGAGGGGGATATCTTCGTGATTCTGTATCGGGGTAAAAGAACAACGTCAGCAATTCGAAGTCCACGCCACTCCTAGGGGTGCGATGTGCTGATCTGACTTACAAAACGGTAGAGGACATGTACCCAATTGACGAAAGGCCCAGCTTGATCCACATATCAAAGGCCAACAACCAAACCATGGGGCGTGTAGGTAGCCTGGGCAGAAAGGGCGTGAAGATGTACATCGCCGGATACAAACCAAGAACCAATCGAAAGGCCCGCCGTGCCCCTAGCGTTGAGACGACCGAAAGGATTCCGTCAGGGTGGATGAACACCCTGAACATGGCCTCCATACACAGCACCAATCCAATCATTGGCGGGGTGAGGCAGAATTCAGTCGTGGCCTGGGGGGATGACATGCTCCGGGGCCCCGGTTCGTCCGCACGCTCGGCGACAGACCCCAAAGCGAGAAAGGCGACCATAAGAGAATCCGAGGCAGCGTGATGTAAGGCAAGCAAAGAGACTGCCAAGATTTGTAGGATGACCAGGAACGTGAATGGTGAATCCGAGACCTTTTTGGTGGTGTTCTCTTGGGCTTCAGAGTCGGCCAAGTCCTCCGGCACTGGAACGTGTGCAGCATTGTTGGTTCGGCCAAGGGCAATGAGGAGCTTCTTCAGGATTTGTGAAACAGACAACCCGGCGAATTGTTGCGCTGGCATCTTGGGATGGGTCTCCTCCACAATGCGCGCCGCGAGGATGAAGGTGACCACATGCAGCAGGCAGACGGCGAGATTTGGAAGTAGGTGTGGGTAATCGGCCCAGAGGGAGTTTTGAGAGAATGTCGATGGGTACGAGAAAGTTGGATATGCGAGGAACCCTCCGAGAATGGGCCCAAGGACGCCTCTGCAAGATAACAATGTTAGACGGACTGCGAAAACCGACGGAGTCGTCATTAGGGGAAGAGCTCACCCCAGGGATCGAATGTAAATGACGAGGGTGAATGCTTCGTCTATTTTATGATCAGCAAAGGACGTCAACATAGGTATAGCCAGCAGACAGGATCTACTCACGTCGCTGCTCCTCCCTTGCCAATTCCTCGGTGCACGTTTGGACAAGGCCGGCATTTGGGTTGAGCAACCCGGCAAGCGCTCGAGAGACAATGACAACAGTAAAAGACTGCGATAACCCAAGTGTAAGGGACGTAATGAGGCCGCAGAAGATGCCAAACAACAAGGTTGGCTTCCGTCCGATCTTGTCACCGACGCGGGTCCAGATGGGGCCAGTGAGGAATTCGCCAGAGGTAAGCACGGTTACCAGGGCGCCGGCGTAGAAGGCTATGTCGTGCTCGGGGACGTCAAACTGTCGCATCATGGCGTAGGTGTACGGGATCATGCTTGACCACGCGATGGCTTCCGTGAAGCGGACCAGTCCTGGTTGATGTCAGTTCAGGTCCGTCAGCCATGGATGCAAGAGATCCAAGGCATGTATATGTAGGTAGGTACCTAAGACGCATAGCTGGAGTCGAATACCCGAAAGGGGATCCATGTTGTGAAGAGGCACACGATGGCAAGAAGGGTTGCTGACTTGAAGGTCGAAAGGTTCAGGTTCATGTGAAGGTGCGTGTGTGCGTTTGTTGATGTTTTGGTGCACAGAGAGAACTGGGCTACGAAGAACACAGCCCCTCAGCAGGTCGTCCGTTTGCTATACCCCAACTTGACCAATCTTGTTGCAGGCTTCAGCCACCCTTTCCCGCCTCGATTAAGCACATTTAAATAGCATTAATCCTGCTTGTGGCTGTTTCACAGTGCGAGAGATAACCCACACTTCTCATCGATGTCCAAACGTTCGCCGTTATCCCGCTTTGTCTCATCTTGTTCTTCCTTTTCGGCCCCCCTGTTTTCTGAGTGAGTGACAGAACAACGCAAACCCTGGTTTGAGTGGAGGAGTCCGTTGATCAGACTGCTCTGCAGGGCAGACAGATCGTTCGGGAAAAGCTTATTGCACAACATCCTCATATTCTCCTTGACGCTGCGAGTTGTCAGCATTACGGGGGAAAAGAAAAGAAAAAAAGAAAAAAAGGAATGCTGATCAGACCACCTAGATATGAACTCACATTTGACGCTGGCCGCAGGGAATGAATTACAATAGCAGTCCCGAGGTCAAAGCCGAGAGAGTACAGTAGGTTTCGGTTATCCCATTCCTCCTGTATGCCGATGAATACTTGTTAGCCCTAAAGTTCTTGCTATATCCGATGTGATTACGTTTACGGAGCGAGGGGTGCTGCTGGCACCCAGAGAAGGAGAGGTGACGATTGTCAGATACTATAGGACGGGGTTGTGAGAACATACCACCCGAGATGTAATCGAACGAAGTTGTCAGGGTGGGCTACATGTACTACAAGATCGATCGTACGTGCATAACCTGATCGGCCTTCTAATTATAGTGAATGGCAACAAACCAACCATCAGTTATCTCCCTCTAATCATGAAAGATCTTATCTAACTCGTGTTCGGCCCACCGAATGTCAGGCTCGAGGCCCGCCAGCTTCCAAACACCATCTACATTTCGGTACTGGATGGTGGCCTTGCCGTGCGCATGGCCCTTGTTCACGACCTCTGTCAGATCATCGTCACCGTATTTCTGATGCGCCACCCGCATCTGATGGTAGCCAGTGATCTCGCCCTCGGCAGTCTGAATCCATTTGCCGGCGCCCACTAAATGCTGCGTCTTGATGCGCTTGTTGCCAAGGAACTCTTGGCTTGAGGCTAACGCGAGGAAATCCGCCGCAGGCATGGATTCCCACAGCTTCCCCATGACGGTGCTGTAGTCAATCTGCACTACTGATTAGCAAACAGAACAGATACTCTAGTAACCGGAGAGGCACGTACCCGGAGCGTTGGCGCGACGCATTTCCCTAACCGTTCCCAGTCCTTGGTATCATAACTCTCAGCCCATTCGAAAAGGGCCGCCTGGCAGCCAACGATGTCTTTGAAACGAGATAACGTCAGCTTTCTCCTGTGTAAGTAGCAGAGCCGAGGGATCCGGGGGGTAACTCACCCCCAGGGGTGGGCGTAGAACCGGTAACTTCAGCCATGGTGTTTGTTTGGAGCAGCAAGTTTAGCAGTCAAGACAAATCTTTGACAATTGTTCGATATGCCCACGAAACACTTTCATCCCTGGATTGGTGTTTTTCATTCTTCCGGCCCAATACAAACCCGCATGGCCCCGAATAATACCCCGGAGCTCCCGGCAACCTCCATGTCTCGGCGTTCGGTTGCAATGCACCGAGACCCGATCCCCCCTGAATCCGAACGCGCCAGGACGTGGCCCGGACCGGAGCAAACGGTAACGGTGGTGCGGAACTCGGGATATCGTGAACGGGGACTCGACTGGTGGGAATTCCCGGCCAGGCCTCCTTTGACTTCTTCCCCCTTTTTTGCGATGATGAGCCCCGTGGCTCTTGAGCAGAACCAATAACACCTGCCCAACAACATCCCTTTTTTTTCTTCAATCATAACATACAAATCGAGACCAACCAATGTCTCTAGACTTCCTCTTCCCCAAATCACAAAACCAGGCCAAGCACCAAATGACGACCCCTTACATCCCCGGCCGCCTCGACGGCAAGGTCGCCCTGGTGACTGGTTCCGGGCGTGGAATCGGCGCGGCCATCGCGGTGCACCTCGGCCGACTAGGCGCCAAAGTAGTCGTCAACTACGCCAACTCGGCCGAGCACGCCGAGAAGGTGGTGGCGGAGATCAAGAGCCTGGGCACCGACGCCGTGGCATTCAAGGCCGACATCCGGCAGGTGCCTCAAACGGCCAAGCTCTTCGACGACGCGGTGGCGCACTTCGGGCGGCTGGACATCGCGGTCAGCAACTCGGGCGTGGTCAGCTTCGGGCACCTCAAGGACGTGACCGAGGACGAGTTCGACCGCGTCTTCAGCCTGAACACGCGCGGCCAGTTCTTCGTCGCGCGCGAGGCCTACCGCGTGCTCGCCGAGGGCGGCCGCATCATCATGACGTCGTCCAACACGTCGCGCGACTTCAGCGTGCCGGCCCACTCGCTCTACTCGGGCTCCAAGGGCGCCATCGACTCCTTCGTGCGCATCCTGTCCAAGGACTGCGGCGACAAGAAGATCACCGTCAACGCCGTCGCCCCCGGCGGCACCGTCACCGACATGTTCCACGCCGTCTCCCAGCACTACATCCCCGGCGGTGAGAAGTACACCCCCGAGGAGCGCCAGGCCATGGCCGCCCATGCCTCTCCGCTGCACCGCAACGGCTTCCCTGAGGATATCGCCCGCGTGGTGGGATTCCTCGCCAGCAAGGAGGGTGAGTGGGTGAACGGCAAGGTTTTGACGTTGGATGGCGGTGCGGCGTGAGCAACGAGAAAGGCATGGAGGTGTGGGTAGGAGAGGGTCGGGATTCTGTTTGTATAAACTGGAGATAGAAGTAGGACAAAGTTAGGGAAGAAACTTTGCGCAACTGGATATATCTCCGAGCCCAGAAAGAGAGCATGGTAGGTGTATGTGAACTGATCGGTACCTACAACCTAGCGTCGAAATGTTGCATTTAGTCGCAGGCGTTCTGTCCTACTGATGATTAAGAGCATACCATTCAATATCGGAGGCGGGTTGTGCGAGTCCGAAACCCGTAACACCACAAGTAATACATATATGACACTGAGATAAAACCATAAAAGCCCAACCACGTTTCAACTGCGGAGATACTGCCCTACGTCCAATCTCCATCCAACAAGTCCTCCACCCTCTTCCCAGCAGCCATCTCCTTCTGGATCTGCTCCAGAGTCCAATGAACAAACTTATGACCCGGCGGAATGTTCGTATTGCGGAACTCAGCACCAGCCACCAAGTGGGCAAAAGCCCGGCCATACTTCTCATAGACGTAGCTCTCCGGGTCGTGGAGGAATAACCACCTCGGGTAGCGCAGGTGCACCTTCTCGGGGTTCCGTCTCACCGCGTCCCAGTCCGTCGTGTGCCCGAGAGCCTGCGAGTTGACAAACGCCATCTTCTGCGTGCAGCTTGCCCGCTCGTACCGCAACAGGTTGTACACCCGGGTGCCCATCGGGACGCCGGCACCAGCACCGGACCATGTGGGACAACCGGGAGAGGCAGCCAGCTGCAGGCATGACGCCAGGGTTATGGCATCCTCAAGCGCCAGCGTGCCACCAGCGGCTGAAGCCGGGACAGTGGAGTGCGCAGCATCGCCGATCTGCACGACACGGCCTCCTTTGGAGATCCAGTCCCGGCGCAGGTCACGCCAGAGCAGCGGCCAGTGAATGAGGCTGCCACGGGGCGCGGTGCGCACAAAGGCCTCGATGACGGGGTGCCAGTCGGACTCACCATCAACCCCCGACACCCTTGCGCGGCGCAGCACGTCAACGACCTCCTGCGGGTCGACGTTCGGGTCCCACGACTCACGCGCGACCTTGTCCGGGGCGAGGAATGTGTCGCGGGGGGTGATGCCGAAGGCGACCATGTCGTCGGAGAAGTACAGTCCGATGTGCATGCCGGAGCCCATCCAGAACTCGTACGTGTGCTTGCCCTCCCATCGTGCGCGGACCTGCTCGTCGGCGAAGGCGAGTGCGGCGGGGAATGCGGTGCGGTATACCGTCATACCGCTGGATCGTACAGGGGCGTAGTTCCCGGCGATGAGTAGCTCGGATCGCGAGCGGGAACCGTCAGCTGCAACAACTGTAGGGAAGGGCAAGAGTCAGTAACCGATAGTTTACAATATCGGAATGCTTGTCAGGGGTACCTACCGAGGTGGGCCGTCCGGATCGAGCCATCCGTCAGAACAACTCCAGCTAGCCCAGCGGCTTCGTCCTCAAAGTAGTTCTCCACGCGCTTGCCATAATCCACGGTGAACCCCAAGCGAGCCACCTGGCGAAGAAGCATACGATAGAACTTCTGACGAATCTGCACAGCACCCACATAGGGGAAGCCCCCCGGCTGACTCTCCCTTGCGGCGACATGCTCCGGGGCGTTGAAGTTGGGGTCAACAGGCCCGTCGATCAGCTCGCCGTCGTGGCGGTGGTAGTACGTCCCCACCGTGACCTTGTCGTGCTCAAGTTCGCGTCGCATCTGCGGCCAGTGGCGCATAATATTCATGGCCGACGGCTGGATGATGATGAGGTCGCCGCTAAAGTTGGGGCCCTCGCTCCGCTCCAGGATGCCCACCACGTCGTGGCCCTTGCGCCAGCACTCGAGCGCAGCCATCAGCCCGGCATAGCCGGCGCCTACAATGAGCACCTTGACATGGGTTTCGGGGTCGCGTTTAGGGGGCGGTAGGGCCTCCTCGCCGGCGTACCCGTTTCCGGGTGCTGTCCACCGCTCCGGATCGAACTCATGCTTGTCGCCCACCACGAAGAAAGGCTTCGCTTGCGGCTTGGGCTCTGGTAGTGTGTCACCCATTGTTTGAATGTGTAGTGTTTTGACCGGGATACTTCGGGGCAGTTCAGGGTGTCGGTGTTAATGCCGGAGCCTTGTGAACGGGAGAAGGAGTCAGGAGAGTAAACACAGACTGATGCCCAAACGTCCATCACGAGTTGGATTCTTGGTGTTGTGTTGCCGTCCACGCCATTGTATATGACTGAACCCTTCAATGAAACGTACAAGTCAGGGTCCCATCCCTGATCCAAATCCCCGGCAACCGCCCGATGCATCATGCAGGCCGGGCAGCGTGGCCAGCATGGCAAACCCGATCGGGTCAATTCGAGCCCCGAAATGGCGGGACGCTTAATTGCCCGAAGGCCCCTCTCACCCCTTGCTGAAATCAGCGTTTTCTTCTCTCACAAACCGCGATCAGGTTTGACGGAGCTGGTTGGTATTGTGAGTGGGACAAAAAAGATGCAGGTTTTGGTGACTTGACAAGAGTTGAGATGCCGTACTGCTATTATGCGAATAATACCCGCAACGGAGAGGAGAAGCCACCCAATTCTTGCACCACCACCCCTTTACCCAAAGCTCAAATATCCAACCAAATATGGTGCTGCTCTATCCCGAGTAGTCTTAGAAATGGTCCATAAACATAACATCGTAACCCACAGTTCCCCCCTGACTGTCCCATCACCAACCCTGCGCGCCCGTCAACCACCCGCGATCCATCTCCCCCCAAAACGTATCCATATCCGCATCAGTAATACTCTGCCCTGACACATCCGGCAATTGGAACCCGCACCCGGGCCCCGGACCACCACCTCCAAACCCTTGTCTCCCACCCATGCCACCGCCGGGAGCATGCCCGCCCAAGTCCATCGGCAACGGCCCCATCGCCGTCCTCTGCCCATCAAACAACCCCATCTCACAATCCACCTCCCCCCCAACCTCACCCTCACCACCAGTCCGCGCCGACGCCGTCAACCCCATCTGCGCCATCCGCCTCCTAATATCAGCCACCAACCGCGGCGGCTGCAGCCCCCCCTCCCCCGCCTCCGCAGCAAGCGCCTCCCTCGCATCCCACGCCTGTAGAATCACCCTCGAGAAAACCAACAGAATCCGATACACACCCTGCTGCTCACTCCCCGCATGCGGCCGCAGCCTCGCCGCCAACGCCTCATAATTCGCCGCCAACACCGCCCACGCCTCCCCCGCGCGCGGGTTATCATCCGCACCACCACCACCACCACCACCACCACCACCGCGCTTGCGCATATCATTCAGGATATGCAGGTAGCCCATCGCGGGCGGGTGGAAGTCGACGAGCCAGAGGTAGGGTTTCGTCAGCGGGGAGGTGCGCAGCTTGGTGTCACACTCCAGCATGGTCAGGGCAGAGGTGAGCGCGGCGCTGCGCTGGGCGTCGGTGGGTCGGTTGTTGGGCGGGTGGGCGGTGGAATGGTTGGAGTAGTGCTCGAGGAGGCGGTTCTTGGCGAGGAAGCCCCGCGTGGTCCAGATGGTCATGTAGTGGAGGGGGTCGTCGGGGTTGAGGAAGGCGAGGTGTTTGTCTTGGATGAGGGTTTCGAGGGTGAGGAGCTCGTTATTGGTTTCGGGGGCGGGGCTGGTGTGGCGGGAGGTTTTGAGTTGGGCGATGGCGTTGAGGGTCGGGTTGACGAAGTTGAGGTGGAAGCTGCTGTGGCGGACGAAGTTGGCGACTTCGCTGCGCACGACGGCGAAGAGGGCTTCGGTGGGTTTGTCGTGTGCTGTTGGGGGGTTCTTCATGTCGGGGCGTAGTTCGAAATCGCTTACGTTTAGGGGTGTCTTGCAGTCCCATATCGGAGTTAGTGTGGTGGTTCGGTAGTCGGCCACTTCGCAGATGCGGTGGTCGAAGTAGACAAGTGACCACCAGAGTCTCCGGCGCATTTCGGCCTCCAATACCGTGTATCCGGTATACGAAGACTCGGTGTGCATTCCCATCCGCTGTGCAACGCGGATCGCCACGGCAAGCATTGATGAGAGTGCCCGCACGTCTGTCTGGGGTCTGACTGAGACCTAAGATTGTGTAATTAGCACACCCAAGAACGTCCAATTGCCTTGGCAACATGGGAATCGTGGGCTCACCAGGTACAGATACAGCGCCGTCAACCCGTCCAGATCAGGGGAGCGCCAGGCACCGCACTTCCGAAGTGCTTGCTGGCATGCGAACTGGTAACGGGCCAAGAGGTCCTTTCGTGAAGACCGGAAGAAGGCAACGCATTCTTCTTCGGCAACGCTCACCACTGACGTGCAGTAGATGGCAAACATAAGGGCTTCCAAGGAGGGTGCAATATTGGTGACATCACTCGCGGCATCGATGATACGTGATTGTAAGGTGGGAGTGTGGGTGACCTTCAGGAGGGGGTTGACGTTGTCGAGGTAGATTTGCCACAGTCTAAACATATGCACCTGTTCCGGGTGCGAGAGGGACGAGTCGATGTTTTCTTTGGGCGGGCCAAACAGGAGGTGGTCGTTGCATTGGTCGTCAACTTCGCCTTGAAACCTGTGAGTCCATGCTTTGTCGGTAACACGGGGACTATGGTGGCGGCCACGGCGGCTGCCATGCAGGGAAGCTGTGCCGGAGATCTCGTCGCCGTCACTGTCGGCCTCGGTCTCCCCATCGACCTCGGTGACATCTTCGCCCTCCGCATCGTCATCTTCTTGGTCAAGAGTCTATGGGATGGAATAGTCAGTGGGATTCGAGTTGTGGAGCAAGGTGACCGGGGTAATTACCGCCCGGCTTATGGCACGCCAGAGATCACTGGGAGGGGGGGTGTTAGCCTTCATGTTCACTGACCCAATAACTTCAGACTCCAAGGCAAGCTCGCAACTGGAACTCTTACAGTGCTTCATGGGGCTCATTGGAGCCAGTCTTATCCCCTGTGACAGTGAATTCTGAGTGCGCCCCCTCTCGGGAGTCGGAGGATGCCCTGCCGTCTTCGCTGGGGGAAGCGTGCTCAGCAACCGACGGCCCGGAGGTGACCCAAGGCTCGAAGCCGACGCCATTTTGCCGGAGGAGGCCCTCATAAAGACGGAGACGCTCCAGAAGCTCGCGGTCCGGAAACCGGGGCCGGCGCTGGTGAGGGTTGAAAGGGTTGGCGGGGGTACATTGTGCGCCTGCCCGGACACAGTTGGCGCACGGGAATTTGTGGTCGCACTTGATCTTGCGGCGGCGGCACAAGGCGCATGCAAGAACCCGCTGGGACTTCTGTCTTGGGACGGGCGTACGGGCGGGTTCGGCAAATGCGAGACTCTGCTCCTGCTGTTGCTTTAGGTCGGGCGGATGGTTGGCCGTCGACATGCTGAGCGAGTGGCAGTTGCGTGGCAGTCGTGGCTGCTAAGGACCGTAAGGTAGGGGTTCGCAAAATGGGGCAATCCAATTTTCAACTGCCGGTTACCTAAGTCAGTCAGTGGTTCAATGGCAGATGGTGCGGATGGTTCGGATGGGAGAGCCTCTGAAGCGGCAAGTCAGTGTGGTGGGCAGCGGGCACACCTGGAGAGAGAGTCGGCCTTTGAACGCCGCCCGCTCTTCGGCCCGAAGCGGGCAGTTACGGACTTCAACAGTCCGCTCGCCACAACATCACGCAAAAAACACGGCACCAACCCCGGTCTTTTGCAGCGACTACCCGCAATTCAATTCAGATCGCACCGATATCGACCATGGAAACGACGGTGGCAATCCCGCAGTGCGCCGTTCACGATGGCGAAGTTCCTCTCTCTCGTTCACAAAAGGGTTAACAAACTCGATCATCTCGACTTTTCCAAGTTCGGAATGTTCGATTAACTTTCCCATCATCCATGAAACTACACCGCAAATCGAAGCCTGTTTAGCAACTCCTTAGCTGTAGTGCCGTTCATTTCTTTCGCGGGCCGTCTGCCAACTCTGGCCATCGATAACCCCTTGCGTCTTGAGCCAGAGTCTCGAAGCACAACACAAGGTTATAGCGTACCTCCTACCGTACCATGGCGACTGTTCCACCAGCGGCCGATTCGGCAGCTGAGAGAGGGTCACTCACGACAGATAGCGAGCAAACCCAAAACATGGCTGCCAAACCAACAAGCAACACCGACAATCCGCAGCCGACACAGTCGGTAGGGAGCCTGGTGATCCTCATGGCCTCGATCCTACTCGCTATGTTCATCGTGGGCTTGGACAGGACCATCATTGCGACGGTCAGTATGGAGGCACTCCGTCTGTGTCCAACAGACAGCGCTAATGTCCTCTTATCAGGCCATGCCCCGGATCACCGATGAATTCAACTCCTTCTCCGACCTCGGCTGGTACGGCGGCTCGTACCTCCTAACATCATGCGCCCTACAGTTGTTGTACGGAAAGGTCTACACCATCTTCTCCATCAAATGGGTCCTGCTCGCCAATATCCTCTTCTTCGAGGCCGCCTCTGCCCTCTGCGGCGCGTCTCCGAATTCCCCGGCCTTCATCATCGGGAGATCATTCATGGGTGTCGGCGCCGCTGGAATCTCGGCTGGTGTTGTAAGTCCGCCATCAAACTGGTAGTTGCGCGCGCTAACCTTGGTCTTTTTACCTAGCTGATCTGCATCGCCTACACCGTGCCGTTAGCGAAGCGCTCGCTCGTCCAGGCCCTTTTCGGTGCCCTCATCGGGATTGCTGCCATCGTCGGCCCACTGGTTGGCGGTGCTCTCACGACCAATGTTTCGTGGAGGTGGTGTTTCTACATCAACCTGCCCGTTGGCGCTGTCGCGATGCTCGCCATCATCTTCTTCCTCAAAGAACCCCACCGCGATACCACACAAGGCCCTCTCGGGGAGAAGTTGAAGCAACTTGACTTCTTCGGGACAATCCTCCTGGTGCCCGGAGTCATCTGCATGCTGTTGGCCCTGCAGTGGGGTGGCCAGACATATGCTGTAAGTGCAGAGACCACGGTTGGTATATCCCATACGCTGACATGGTATCCTCTAGTGGAACAATGGGCGCATCATCGCGCTGCTCGTTCTGGCCGGTGTTTTGTTGATTGGATTCGTGGTCGTCCAGATCCTGTTGCCAGAGACAGCAACAGTCCCGACCCGGATCCTCAAACAGAGGAGCATGGCCGCCGCTTTCTGGATCACGTTCATGTTGAACTGTGGAAGTTACATTATTAGTATGTTCATCTTGTCCCTCAGTTAGCTTTCTCCGTTGCAATTTCTGACCACCGCCACAGTCTACTTCCTGCCGATTTGGTTCCAGGCTATCCAGGGTGTATCAGCCACGAATTCGGGTCTCCAGATCCTGCCCGTAATGATCTCAACAATCCTGGGGACCATGGGGGGTGGCTTTATTAACATGGCCATCGGATACTACACACCGCTTGCGATAGGCGGAACTTGCGTCATGGCCGTAGGGTCTGGGCTGCTTACGACACTTCAGCCGGATTCCGGGATTGGGAACTGGCTCGGTTACCAGGTCGTCTACGGACTCGGCTTCGGCTTGTCTTTCCAGGTCCCCAATCTCGTCGCCCAGACGGTGCTACCTCAGGACGACGTTCCCACCGGATTGGCTCTCATGATGTTCGGGTCTCTCATCGGTGCCTCCATCTTCGTCCCCATCGGCCAAAATGTCCTTGCCAACTTGCTTGTTGATAAGCTTTCCTGGATCCCCGGCTTCGATCCCGATCTGGTTACATCCGGCGGCGCCACGTCACTTCTTGCCTCGCTCCCCGATGCTCTCCGGGAAACCGCCCGTGACCAATACAACCAAGCGCTTCAGAGGGTGTTTCTCATCGGGGTGGTTCCTAACTGCCTAAGCGTTATCGGTGCCGCCTTTCTCGAATGGAAGAGCATCAAGCAGGAGAAGAAAGAAAAGAAGGAAGCACCGGCCGAAGATCCCGCATCAACAGAAGAAAAGAGCGCCGAAAAGACGAGTTGAGGGACAACGAATGGTCCGTCATGATGAATGTATCCCTGCTGTAATTTAGACCTGATCACCGGAGTGATGGTGATCGTATGATTCCGTTGCCTGTTCGCTCTTTGTTATGTCATAGACTCCACCCGATAGACACTAGAACTCTACTCATTTTGACAAGCACGACAGTTAGCACATGCTGTTAGTTTATGTTATCATCTCGGTATGTTCTTCAAGCTATTAGTTCGCAACAATCTCCCACATAAGAGCGTCGGAAGCCTGCCCAGCTGAGAGCATCCCGAGGATGCACCTGGCGGGGCTCGGGGAGGTCGCACCCGAAAACGGAAGCCATGGCAAATGCCCCGAGGTATATACCGACACACATTTATTGGGTAGCCCTCTCTTCGTTGCGGTCAGTCCCCGCAAGCAGCAACCCAAACCAAATCTGAAAGGTCACCTACCATGTCTTTATTCCAGACCATACCGCGTCCCACCAAAACATACCACACCCAGACCTACGACCGCATCGCCAAACACCATGGCTTCGACGGCCGGGGCAAGACCGTACTAATCACCGGCGGCGCAACCGGCGTCGGCTTCAGCATCGCCAAGGCCTTCGCAGAAGCCGGCGTAGCACGCATCGCCATCGTCTCGCGCTCGCCCGGCCCCCAAGAAACAGCCAAAGCCGACCTCCAAGCGGCCCACCCGGCGGTGCAAGTCCTCACCTACAGCACCTCGGTCACCGACAGCACCCGGCTCATCGAGATTCTTTCCGAGCTCGGCACAGTCGACATCCTAGTCCTCAGCGCAGCAGCCGCCCACCGCCGCGCGCCCGGCACCGAGATCACAGAGCAAGAGGTGCGCGACGCCTTCGAGACCAACGTCCTCGCAACCTTCACCCTAGTCCGCGCCTTCTTGCGCATGCCACCCACCACCACCACCGCCCCCGCCGCCCCCGCCCCCGCCAGGACGATCATCCACCTCTCCTCAGCCGCAATCCAAGTCTCGGGCCAGCGCGTAGCCTACGGCCCCAGCAAAGCAGCCGCGACACAAATGATGCAGCAGTTCGCGGCGGAGGTGGACGCGGCGCAGGTGCGCATCTTCTCGGTGCACCCCGGCGCGCTGTACACGCCGGGCACGGCGCAGCTGTTCCCGCGCGAGGCGATGCAGTGGGAGGACCTGGCGCTGCCGGCGCACTTTGCGCTGTGGCTGGCGGGGCCGGAGAGCGCGTTCTTGCATGGACGGTATTTGTGGGCGCAGTGGGATGTGGATGAGTTGTTGGGGCTGAGGGAGAGGGTGGCGGGGGATGGGTTCTTTTTGAAGATTGGTTTGGCGTTGTAGGTCGGGATCTTGTATACCTACATACCTACCTAGGTGGGTATCCGGGGGCGGTTGATGTGGGATCTGGCTTGTGGTTTACCGTTTTAGTCTGTGACGTGGAAGTGACTTTGAGTTCTCTCGGGTAACCACCGCTTTCATCGGGCCAAGATCGTCCAGCTTCTATGGCTTCCTCTCAAGGTGCAGTGTAGCACTCCTCTCCTGTTATGTCCGTCGGAGTTTCGAAATCAACGAGCGGCCCAGACTCGGACAACTACCTCCCCGCATCAGACCGGATCCGTCGTCCAGGGGAGTTCACCTGGTCCTCAACATCTCGAACTTAGAATTGCAGCCCCCTGCTTCAGCAAAATACGATATACGATGTTGAGTAATCCTCCCGTTTCCCGAGACTTCAGGCCTCTTCCTCATTGGCAACCTCGAGGAAAAGGCAACAGTTGTCACGGGATCGCGCGTCAGCGACGTGAAGGCCAAGCACGTGGCGGCCTTGGCCTCCAGGCAGCGACGGGGACTATCACGAGTGATGAATGGTTCCGAACTCGCGTTCAACCTTGGCTTCTTGGCGACTGATGAGGTTGGGGCCGGAACACTCAGACCACGACGGGACGCGCGGGCCCCGGCGCGCCGAATCCCCAACATCGCCGGAAAGGGGGATCGAGCGATCATCTCTTGGCCGCTTACGGGGAGACGGACGAACAAAGAGCTGGGCTTGACGACAGTATGAGAGTTCATGAATATAAGTATGCCCTCTCTCACCCCGCTTCAAAGACCAACCTCTCCACCATCAACACCACAACCAATTTCACCCTCTCACCAAACCGATCAAACCACACCAGCAACTTCACCACCGCCGAAAGAACCACCACCAAAATGTCCACCCCCACCGACCCCCGCCCAACCTTCTTCCTCAACCTCCCCACCACCTCCCTCCCCACCGCCACCACCTTCTACACCACCCTAGGCTTCACCCCCGTCCCCGCCTGGAACGACGACAGCACCTCGGTGCTCCTCCTCCCGGCGCCCAACCAGTCCGTCTGCCTGATGCTACACACCCACTCCCGCTTCGCGCAGTTCACGCGCCGCGGCACCGCCATCGCCGACCCGCGCGCTGCGCAGCAGGCGCTGTTCTCGATTATGTGCAAGGACAAGGAGGGGGTGGATGGCTGGTTGGGGAGGGCGGAGGGGGCGGGGGGGAAGAGGGATCCGTATGTGATGGAGGGGTTTGGGGAGGGGATGGGCATGTATGTAAGGAGTTGGGAGGATTTGGATGGGCATGTGTGGGAGGGGGTTTGTTTGTTGGCTGGGGTTGGGGGTGGTGCCGGGGAACAGGGCAAGGTGGAGTAGAGAGGAGGAGGGGGGGGGCCTTTGCAGGACAACGAGGTTGTGGTGTTGGGGATGAGGGCGAAGGGGGTTTGTTGAAATCGGACTCAGGGGAGCACACTGCACGATCTCTCAGCTGTTGGCCTTCCGCGGGTAGTCACCCCATCCCGGAACAACGTTATTCTGATTCCCCCGTCCACTTCAAGTTCATTCCTTCCGAATCATCGGGGTTCTGTCAATACATTACTCTAGAAGCTGATGGGGGAGTCTCCGCTTGGTTCTGTTGGGGACTCTGCCCCTGGATCCAGCCCGGGTTAGTCGACTGGATCCCCGTACCAAATCCATACTCGGTCCCTATTTGCGCCCGCCTCATTGCGGCCTCCATCTTTCGCATGTCAGTGTATCCCAATTGCGAAACCGAGCTGAGTTTCCTGCAAGAGCGCGCACTCACCTTGCGTTGTATTGAGGCCTCGAAGTCGTTCAGGCTAGCAGAGAGGTCGTTGCTACCCCCTACCGTTCGCGGGTTGAAGTGCATCAGAAAGACCTTTTCTTTTCCCTTTAGGACTACTCTTCTCCAGAATCCCCGAGGCACAAGATTCATTGTCACCGCACCAGTAAAAGGTCGATTCACGCAACCTCTTCCCACGACCCCGACCTCCATCTTGGGCACACCTCGTGCTTTCTCGTAGTGATCACCACGCGTCCATGTCCATGTCGCCGAGGTGGTTGGGCTCGGCAGATCTAAAGAGCCTCGAAACCTCCAATCAGGAAGCCCTTTAAAAATGCGCTCTCTTTCAATACCGCCGATACTGGCACCGCCGAATGGTGTGTCCGCGGACGGGTTGAGGCTGTATCGTTCAATATATTCTCGCTCAGAAGTCTGCTGGATTTCGTTCTCCGGCGCGATGTTGGTGAGTTCAACGCCGGCTACGGTGTCTGAAAAGTCAAGCCTGACGTCTGCCGACTGGATCTCACATTTCCCGCTCCTTTCGTGAATATCGAAGCCGAAGTAAAGGACGCAGATTTGGTCTGCACCGTGTTGGCCCCATTGAGAGGACGACTCGTAATACTGGAAAGCGACCTGGACGTTATCGAGAGTGATGCCGTCCCGATTATGGGTGTCCAGGCGGAAGCCAGACCTGGCTCGAGAGCGAACGCCGTCCATGAGAACCCCAAGAAGGCTTGCGATGTTCTGCGCGGACGAGAGAGAGGGATGACATTTGCCCCGCAGCAAGACATTCCAGAGTGCGAGCGGGGTTGGGCATCAGCGTACGCCGCTGAGTAGGTACCTAGGTACCTTATGCAGGTCACAGTAAGCCACAGTACCTAGAGCAAAGATCGCATCCTGACCTGAGTACTCGTACCACCACGGAGGTCGTCAACTGCGGGGTTCCCCATGATCAGACAAGGTTGCGGACCAAGGGTGGTCTGGGGCGTGATCGAGAGAAACTCTCCCTGCCGTCAATTCTCAACCTCCTAAGGACTGTTCTCTTTTACATGCAACTTAGGAGATCGACAAACCCCGAACAACGTGATGGACTCCACGGACATGGATATTGACAACCCTCGCCCTGGTGAAGACGCCACCGAGGGCGGGACCGGGTCATACAACTTGACCTTCAAAATAACTACCACCCTTCAGGATGAACTCGACGCATTCGTTCGATACAGCCGACTAGGACTTTTTCGGAGAGCCCAGGAAGTTTACGCCGATGTCTTGGAGGGCACGTACGACACTCTGTTCCCTGTCACGGCTGAACTAGCCGACTCGCTTCTCGAGCAAGGCAGCTTTCACCGTTTATCCAGGTTGATGGATTCCAGGCTCCGTCGGGTGGAAGAGCTTGGATTCGAAAAGGGTCAAGTCGGGTTGCTTCAACTTTTGAAAGCGCTCACGGACCTTCACCACCATGGAAACCTACGCAGTGCACTGAGTGTGGCCCGGTCCTGGCGAGAGCACGCCGCGACCTTCATGATCCCGGTGACTCTCTCTACCGTCGATGTGAGCTTGAGACGACAACTCCTCTCTTGTAGAACCCATATTCATTATTCTGACTTTGCAGAAACTCTCCCTCGCAGCGTATCTTCGCATCGTCGCCTTTGCATATACAGCTTCGAATTGGCTTCGGCCGCACGACATGCAGCCCCCCTGGCAAAATTATAGCGCCGAGCCGTGGTTGGGTTTCTACCATTTGTTTAGGAGACTGAGTGGAGAGCCCGCGGATGCCTGGAGCGCAAGGAGTCTTTTTCGGCCGCTGATAGCCTCGCTCTCTCTGCGGGAGGCGGCTGAGCTGTACGAGATGTGGCTCACTGCTAAGAGGGCGCAATCACCCCATGAGACCGACGAGGAAGAACTCCTAGCAGACCTATCCATCACAACTAGTTACGGTCGCAAGCTCATTGCCAGCGGAAACACAGGCGACCGGACGATTCCCCGTCGTATCAATGAGCTCCTTGGCAGATCTCAGGGACTGCTGGGCGAATTGACCACACTCATCCAGGAGGTTGACGACCTCACGAATATCCGGATCCGACCGGCTCTTGAATTGGACTTGGCCAGGCTTGAGCAAGTAGCCGCCACAGTTGGGAACCCACAAACCTACGACTTTTTCCTCAACAGCGGCAAGCAAACATGGCTGTTGGCCCGCAAGAACCACGACCTTGTCACCCAAATGGATTGGTTCCGGATACAACACATTCCCGCGGCCTTTGGTGTCCATACATTAGAGGGCGATATTTTCGGTGACTTGCGAGACTGGAATGAGGACATGCTGGGGTACGTAACAGCCATGGCTGACCGAATCTTATCCGTCCCCGAAGTGGCCACAATTTTGGCCTCGTCACCAAAGCTGGGAGAAGAAAGGACGGAGTCAGACACCGCGGCCATGCAAGCGTTCAGGAACCCGTTATTGAATGTACTGGACAAACCGTGGGGCGTTGAGGATTTCGAAACATGGCTAGATTCGAGTGCAATGACGATACCAATGGTTACGTTCAGGGGGTCCGTGGCTCGCCTCCTACTCGCCCAGCCAACAGAGGTCAAAGGGAAGGTTGCAGGTGCGAAGAGAAAGATCCTTGAGGTCTGGCAAGACATGCAATGGCCTTTGCATTGTATGGTGGGCACTGGGTACATAGGAGGAGTGCAGCTTCTCCTTCAACATGGTGCACGACTAGACATGAGGGACTCTGAGCAGCAGACTCCGCTCTACCTTGCGGTAAAGGTCCGGAATATCGCTATGGTTGATTTCCTACTCCGGCATCATGCACCCACCGACTCGGTGGACGTGGATGGCCATTGGTCCCTGAGTTGGGCTGCTATACAGGGGCACGAGCCGATTGCGCGGCTGCTCATCGACCGTGGCGCCAACAACAACGCAGGGGGTACATATATCCAGACACTGTTATCGTTAGCTATCGAGAATGGGCACGAGACGATTGTGAGGCTGCTCCTCGACCGTGGCGCCGACATCAACATAGAGGATTCTCGCGGCCAGACACCGCTATCGTTAGCTATCGAGAATGGGCACGAGGCGATTGTGAGGCTGCTCTTCGACCGTAGCGCCGGCATCAATGCTCAGAGTCGTTCGAGCGGCCAGACATCGCTGGCATTAGCTACCGGGAATGGGCGCGAGGGGACTGCGAGACTGCCCCTCGGCCGTGACGCCCATATCAATGCAGACGACACACACACTCCAGCTGTTCAGAAAGGCTCGCCCGCCACGCCATCAGCCAAGCCAGCGATGGCGGCGCAAGGAAAGGAGAAGATGTATGGTCCCCGGTTTGGATTGCCCCTCGGCCCCTTTCAAGGCGCGTCGCTCGTGTACATTTCTAATGTCCTAAAAGTGAGCAAGACGAGGGGGACTTTGTGTTCAACCAGAAAGACTATCAGACGCCCAAGGTTGCGAAATCGAAGAAGGTAAGTTCATTCACCAGACCACGCTATAGAGAATGCGAGCAACTAACAATGTTATATGCCCAGGCTGCACCGAAGTTCATGGTGCATGATACAGTCATGGTCACGCTACCCGGAACAGAAGACCCGGAGGGGCCATATAAGGTCAGTGACGTTGTGCTTGGCGGGTTCAAGCTCTGTACCCTGGAAGGGGATGTGCCAGTCATGGAGGGCGAGGTAATCGAAGGAAAGTACTTGAAATGGTGTCAGCCTTATGGTTAGCGTACCTCTAGTTTTGTGAGATCGCTTCCAGATTATTGAAGGAATTGAAAACGTAATCGGGATGATGTCCCTTCCCATGACTTAGCAATCACTAAACGTAAAGTCGCCTGCTTTAAACTCAACCCCATTCAATAGCTCATAACGTCATGCAACCCAAAAAGGAAAAGCCAAGTCTAAATGCTCATGCATGCTCAACGCTCAAATCTACTAATCCCAGAAAGTCATAACGGTATCGGACTCTCATCCTTCATGATATACATCTCTCCGATTAGCACCACGCAGCCGACTGTCATGGCGATGGCGATGATGGGCAGGTTGACGGTGGCAAAGTCGAGCCGCTTGATGTGGATGTGCTTTTTGCCGAGGATATCCCGCCACAGCAGACCAGCCAGCGAGGCGCTAATGGCGGTGCTAAAGGCGCCGAAATTGACACCCAGGGCCATGGTGTAGATGGTGGCCGAGTGGGTACGAACCGATATGTCGGTCTCGTCGAAGTGGTGGATCACCTCCCAAGCCTGGATCACGCGAGAGAGGAGGATGGTCGTGCCGATGTTGGTGCCCGAGAACTGGGCACGAATTAGCCACGCGTCGAGTGAGCCGGGTGAGGGGGTAAGCTTACATTGCATAGGATGACGGAAAGGAAGCCCATTCCGCCAACGGCCCCTATCGTCCCCGTCTTTCTCACCCAGGCGTCCCAGCCGAGAGCAAAAATCCCCACCCAACCCTTGCTTACCAGTGCTTGAACAAGGACGAACATGGAAAAGGCGAAGGGTACCAGGGCGAAGGGTAGGTGGGCCATCACGGCCGTTGCCGTCGGGAACGTTTCCTGGGACCACGTGAAGGCGTCCTTCATCAGCGAGACCAGAGTCGTCTGTTGCGGCCGCTGTGAACGGTGTGATCCCTGAGGGGTCTTGATGCCAGCGTTCTTCTCCCGGCAGCCCTCTGCCACGCCGATCTCTTGCGTGGGTGACTTCTGAGGCGTGTTACCAGCCGTGGTGAGTTCGTCGTCCGCGCTCGCATTGCCAAGTTCGCTCTTCCGAGACCTCAGCCCGGCATCCGGCAAGTCCATTGGCGCGGATACGGACTCGTCCAACGACGCAGGCCTCAACCCCTGCGCTGCAAGCGCTATCATTTCCTGCTCTTCTCGCAGCTCCCTTTCCAGCCGCAGACGCTCGAGTTCCTCTCGCCCTTTGCGGGCAATCTCGCGGGTTTCGTGTCGATTGAGCCACCCAGATGACACGTCCCAAATGAACATGATGACAGCGGCCGGTAGGGTGATGTAGAAAACATGGGTTTCCCCCGTGCTCTGGGCCGCGGCGTTGAATGCCAGGACGGCGATGAGCGTTGCTGCCATGAGGACTGCGCCAAATATCGCGCCTTTGCGGTCCAGAAATGGGTTGACAATCTCCTCGAGGGACAGCAGCTTGCCTTGCTCGCCGGGTGCGTCCTCCTGCTGCTCCGCGGTCCCTCTAGCGTGAGGAATATTCGGGTTGACTGGCTTTCGACCCCTTGCCTCCTCGGGGAGCTCGTGCATCTTGATGGAACGCGGGATGAGCGACTCATTGTTGAAGACGATGTAGAGTAGAAATGGGAAGAGGACGATGCCAGTGATGATGACCGGAACAATCATATGCGCCGTGTAGTCAATGAACCTGATCTGGAACGCGCCCGCCAGGACGAGGTTGGTCGGGTTGGAGGAGACCAAGATGGCGGAAGCGAGGTTGGCCACGGCGAATTGGCTATAGATCCAGGCCCGCGGGTGCACAATGTTGCTTGAGACACGCGTCATGTACGCTAGGAAGGCGGTCCCCGAAAGGATTACCGGGTCGTTCCCTACGAAGCTGGTGAGGCCGAACCAGAAGGCGTAAAGGTAGAAGAACAGGCGGTGGCCGGCCTCACCGCCCCATTGTAGCACTTTGAAGGCCAGGAATCGGATGATGCCGGACGCATCGATGGAAATTGCGATGTATGCTAGTGAGATGAAAAAGAGCATAATGTCGAGTGGTGAGATGTTGTCGGCGCCCAACGTTCCCTCCCTAACCTCTTTGGCCCCGATGGCTAAGATGGCGAGCAGAAAAAGGTCGGAAATGAGTGGTGCCGTAACGATGTTCATGGGGAAGTCCAAGCGCACAAAGGCCGACCGCTGGACGGTAGTGAGGGACATGGCGTCTCCATATCGAGATTGGTTATCTGCGTCAACAGCATCGCGGTGAGGTATGATGCGAAGGGCGCTCAAGGTATCGAGAAAAAGATTGCAAATCTTTCGGGGAACGTATATCGGAATGTGGAAAGGGAAGAGAACGACGACATCTGCGAGGCTCAGTGGTGAGCCGTGGGATTAAAATTGCGGGTGTACTGTGCCGGGTTGATGGGCCGATGGGTAGATGGATAGCCTTGGGAGTCGGGACTTTGACTTACTCGCAAGCACAAAGACCACGAGGGTGACGATGGACCTCCACTCCTTGATTGCCAGCTCATAATCCGGACGCTCAACTTCGTCCGATGAGCCCCCTTCCATGTCGTCGACTCTTTTAGGCCGTTCCAAGTGCAGCGCGACGGCACATTGGATCTGGGATGTCGCGCGAGCAGTCGGTGTTTCATAGGCAAGATCACGATCGTAAAACCGAACGGTGGAGGTCCCGACTGCGGGGCAAACCAAAGAAAATCCTCGTCTCGGCGGGTTGGCCGAGAAAGCCCCATGGGTCTGGGTGGTGGGGCCGCAGGGCAGAGCAGGGGTCCACGTGCGAAACCTGGAGGTGCTCCGGCTAAGTTCATTTTGGGCCCAAGCCTGCCGCGCCTGCCCAGCCTTTCTGGGCTCTTGGGCCAACCTCCAGACCGAGCACTCGTGCCAACCTCCGCCAACGCGATTTGGACACCGACCTCCCAAACATGACGAAGCTTCGCACAGCCTCAAAAATATGCATCGTCCCCGGAGTGGCCAAGGGTCGCTCGCAGGACGACCAGAGAAGGACACGCGCGAATAACCACACGAGACGCACATCGGTTGGGTTCGGGGAAGGAATGCGGGGATCCGAGGTGGTCAGCATTAAATTGTGGCTGTGCCCATCGCTTTTCCTTCCTTGGGCTCACCGACTTGCCCGATTGTCGAGCTTGGCACCAAGCCGTCCGTCACCAGGGCTTGCTGGATGAGGCTCTACTCAAGCCTTTGGCCAGCCACCGGGGCTCGCAGTGCCGATCCTGGGCAACACCGCCATCCTCATTTGTTACACCTCGGAATATCGACCTGTCAGACGCTGGGTCACCCACACTGGATTTACTTTTGGGCGAGCGGCACGTGTCCCTATTCTGCTTCCGGGCTCCTTTGCGCGCGAGTGCCACTGGTGACGAGGCCGCCTCTTAAGGTTTGAAAGAGGCATTTCCGGGGGTGGCTGACCTCGTCCCTATCAATAGCGTCGCCCTGTTTTCAATGGATGCTGGCCTCTTCCCCATTCCCCGTTCCCCGTTCCCCGCATTTATCTTCCCGATTTCCAATTTGTTTGACCGATGCGTCCTCAACTTTAGCCCGGTTGGATTCATAATCCTGATGCGGTGGTCGAGACAGAAGAAGCCATATCTTTCCCCGTTCCTTGCTCTTTATCCAAGCGACCGAGCTCGTTCCGCCTCTTTTCCAATGCAAAGCCGTGTTGTTCTTTTGATGACACTCCCCAAGAAGTAGGGGCCGCCCTCTTTAAACCCTAACCCGAATGCCGGCTCTTCTCCCTCCCAAGCTTGTCTTCGATCTCGCCGGCCGGACCGTCGCCAATTCTACGACCCTTGAGCCTCTTCAGGTTGTGTGTAGTTGGCCATTAAGCGGGCAATACGGTGTGGGTTCCAGACTATTGTTGGTTTCTCTGGGATGGAGTTCGCTATATGGTCCGGTGGCGACTCAGGGGCTAACCCGTCGTCGCAGGTATTACGTCTTGGTCGCGGCCTGTGTGCTCGCCCGGAAGTCGGAATGGCTTCGAAATGCTTGTTTGGCAGCTGCCTTGATCCTCCCCGCTATCGCTGCTATTCACGCTATCGTGCTTGCGGCGCTACACGTCGACGGTATGTTGCCAACCCCCCTCTCGCCGCACAGAACCAGAGCCATGCTAACACCATCCTAGACGCGATTGACATGGACATCTACGGCACACTACAACTATGCTCCATCGGCATTCTAACCGCCCCCGCTTGCGTTAGATTATCAAACACCTATTTCAACTCCAAGGGACGGAACGTTCTGTTTCTCTGGACTGTCCTCGTCCTTGCTGGTACGTATCCACCTGGCCGCCACACGCAAAACTCCAGATGCTAACCTCGGACGTATTTAGGGCTTCTGGCCTTGACTGTTGAGTTCTTCCGTTCTCACTCTCGTCCATGTGTCGACGGCTCCGGACAGCCGATTTATCGCGACTCCGACTTCCGTTACGGCAACACGACGTGCGGCTTCGAGTGCACAGTTGAGAAAGGCCCATACTCTCCTATGAGAGATGGCTCTGCGGACAATATCTACGTCGTACCGGCCCCGTACGTAGTGAGCTTCGGTGCCGCGACCCTCGTGGCGGCTGCCTCATGCATTCCGGGTATCCTATCGACGGTGTCGATATGGAATAAGATTGTGAAAACCAACTCGGTAAAGCGATTCGGCCCCCCCAACGCGGATGAAGTCATTGAAGGAACAAACGGCGCTACGGTCCAAGGAATGAAGAGTGTGAATGGCCTGATCAGGCGGCTCCTCGGCGTTGTTGAGGTCCCTGTTGTAAGTGAGCTCCGGTGAGACGGAGCACGAATGATGGGGGACGAAATTGCTGACATCCTTTGTGGTACAGTTCGGGGGTGCCGTACTCGGTCTCATCGTTTTCGGTGAGCGCAACTTCTGGAGCTGGCCAGTATACTTCCAGACAGAACCAGCCCAAAATATCGGACAATGGAGCAACATATGTGCTTCCGCTTTCGCCGCCGGTGGTTCTCTGTACATGCTGTTGGTGAAGTATCTCGAGAGGGTGGAGGAGGAGGGTTCGATGAGCGATGACTTGAGCCACTGCCATTGCACATGTCATGGGCATGGTAGCATTCGCCCTCACTCGATCAGCGATGTCTCAGAAACCGCCGAAACCTCACGGCCCCCCCCCAGTTATGATGCCGGAAGCCGACGTGCGAGCCTATGGGCATGAGACGGCGGCACCTTACATGTTGTCGCCCACTCGCACTGAGACATACCCGGACAGCGTCGATGCGATGCGCGGGCTCGGCATACATGCCGTGGACACCAACTCATCCTCTGCAGGGAACGGGAGCGGGGGTAACAAAGGCGTTGATGAAGATTGCGACGTCCTTGGGCACCACCTCATCGGACCGATTCGACGACCACGCCTTCAGACAAGGCAAGGTGACGGGATTCCCCGAGATTCCAGGGGAACTGAATCGAAACATCAGACTGAACCAAATTAAGCAACAATGGGGAGAGCCTAACACCGACATCGAAGACGGCCTGATACCCCGTGGACGGCGTTCTAGAGCAAACAGCTTTACCGGCAGCATATCGAGAGCCAATTCAATTGGACCCCGGGCACGCTCTCCTCAGCCGCCACCGAGGTCGCCGACGAACGGTCCCGGTACATCAATACTCGGGCTACCAACCACACACAGTCCGGAAAGTACCTCCGAGGCCATCTTTCCATCACGGCCGTCGGCCGAAGGAGACAAGCCGAGGTCTCAAGGTACCGTCGTCACCCTCCACGAAGGACCTAACTCGCCAGCCATTGTTCTGTCATCAGACGACGAACCCAGCGATGGTCCCGATCCGGCAGCTATGATGTCAGCTGCTGTTGAACAAACCTCCGAACAGGCCGAGAAACCAACGCAGACCGGTGGGCTCAGCGTTCCAACAGAGATGAGGGGCGACGGATGCGGTGGGACAACACAACACAAAATGACGGAGCAACAAGCGTCGCTGCCCGCCGACGGCCAATCCACAGAGGTTCAGAATCCTCCACCAACAAACGAAAACAACAAATGAAATTCAATGATTTGGGGACATCTCTTCCCAGAAATAACCTTCCTTACTAGAGATACCACGATTATGAAATGATTGTATGCTTAGAAGAGCGCAATGGTTGGCGAAAGGAGACTGTTTTTCGCATTTTCAGGGGTTTGAGAGGGTTATGCAACACGGGTTCGTTGGGTGGTAGTTCATGGAGTAAATGGAACTCTAGATAGCATGTAATATAGAATATTGAATCATTAAGAATCTTCTTTTAACCTGCACAGTGCTACATAGAACTTGTGTTGTTTTTACCACACCTCAAGCCCACCCGATCGGCGCTCGGTCAACCTCCGGGTGGGTCCCGGCCATCACCGGAGCTCCGGACCAGGAGAACTTCATTGGTTCGAAGAGTGCTGAGCTCAACCCCACTTTCAACACGTCGTTTTTGCACTGACCACGTCAAGATTTGGTCACAGCTCGAGCACGGTTACCTCAATCAACCTCGCCTTGTCGGCCCAAGCGACAGCCTGCAAGGCCAGCGGCTCTTCAGACCTGAGCACGCGACAGCATCAATCGACGACCCTTTTGCTAGGCCAGTCGCCGACCAAAACCATTCTTTTGATGGATCCCACATCACCCGAATTCCGGCCGAGGTTACGGTCCGACTCCATTGAACACAAGCCACCGGCTAGAAATGACCCGCAGTGGCGGACGACGTGCCGCACCTGCGGGGAGGCATTCACCTCACGGAACCAGCTCATGAGGCACCTCTACCGAGCTCATCCCGGAAAGCCCGCGAAATCCAAGACCCCGGCAAAACCAACCCAACCTCTGCAACCGGCCCCCACGCCACTGACACCACGCCCGGCTGCGCCTAAGCCGCTGCAGTCCCAGTCCCAAATCCACCCCTTCACGCTTCTCGCCGACCAAGGAAAGCTAGCATTCGCAGGCCAAATCATGCTCGCCATCTTCGCCGTCGGTCTCAAGCAAATCGAGGAGGAAGAAGAAGAAGAAGCAGCGCAGCAACGCGGGCAGAGCCATGACAGGGATCAACCGGCACATCCCCAGAACGCTTACGCCCCGGACTCCAGCAGCCCACCACCACCACCACCACCACCACCGGGCCCGCACATCGGCGCGAGGCCTGCGACCGCCCCGCACCAGACGTGTCAGGGCGGAGGAGGAGGAGGACGAGGGAGGGACGGGTCAGAGTCGGAAGACGCTGACTCTGAGGACGGTGGTGGTGCGCCGCTGGATGGGTCGGAGTATGAGTTTGAGGGAGAGGTTTCTCCGGCGCTGCTCCTCCGGGACATGCGGGGCGGGCTTGACGGGTTGGACTGTCTGATTGAGGATCTGGACTGATATGTAGTAGCTCTGTAGGTACCTATGTTATCTAGCAACTAGCTGTTACCATTAGAGGTGCAAGCTCCCGATGTGGGCGCGGATGTACTCAAAGCTGGCCGCCCTGGCATCACCATCTATGAGCCGCGTAGATTCAGTCCCAAGTTCCAGCAGTTGCTTCCCGTCTTGCCATGTCGGCCAGGCTGTCAAGTACCCGCTAGGAGTGGTGCCGGCCGCGTAGTTGTTGGGGTCCAACGAATCCACAAACGAGATGTACAGCGCCTGGATAGCGGCGCTGACATCATCCGTCTTGACGAACAACTGCGGCACGTCGGTGGTGTGGTAGGTCCCCAGAATCGGGGTCCCGCTTTCGTATGAGGCTTGGTATGACCACGCCGGAACGGTGGCGGGGAATGTGTCCAGAAGGAGGCGCGACATGAGAATGAATTCCCAGTCGCCCAGGATGGCGGCCAGCCGCTTGAACTCGGCGTAGGTGCTGTTCGACGGGCCCACGCCGCCAGGGCTGTCGGGGTTCTCGGGGTAGGTGGCGACAAGGCCTGCGACCTCCTCAGGTGTGGCGTGTTGGAAGAAGATGGTGTTGAGGTAGGAGACCAGGGCTGCTTCGGTGGTGATGTTGGCTTGGAACAGAGCAAATACCGTTCCCTAGAATCTGGGTTAGTTTATCACGACTCAATAGACAGCTTCACGACAGGTTGCGTACCTCGTTCTCCTGATTACCGATGATGATTGGGACTTGCGCGTATTTCCCTGTCTGCGCAAGGACTTCCGGGCTGGCAGTGAGAGCCACACCGTCTTGCCGAGGAGCGTAACTCAACGCCAGGGAATAATAGCCTAGCGAACCGGGAACACTGTTCGATGCATTTACGAGCGTCTCGTAATCGACCCCTCGCAAACATTCGACCTTATCCGAGTCCGCCGCTGACGCGCACCCCGCCGCTTCGACTACCGTGTCAAAGATCCACTGGGGCTTGACGCTGTCGACCGGCTCCGTGGGTGTGATGCTGCCGCTGTTCATGATGGCCCCTCGGAACAAAGGCCGGCCTTTGTAGGTGTTGTCGCCGTCAAACAGGGCAAGCTGGTCAAACACACTGACAGCGCCGGCGCTCTCGCCCGATATCGTCACTGCATCGGGATCACCCCCAAACGCCGCAATGTTGTCGGCCACCCACTCCAGCCCCATGCGCTGGTCGAGCAGACCCAGGTTAGCCACCCCCTCCGCGAACACCTGTTTCCCTCCAAGAAACCCAAACGCGCCGAGCCGATAATTGACAGCCACCAGGATCATCGGCTTGCCCTGCGCCACCGACTGGGGCACCAGCACCGACCCGTTATACATCTGCGCGCTGCCGGACGAAAAGCCGCCCCCGTGGATCCAAAAGAGCACGGGCAGCTTCGCGTCGGCGGCCGTGCCGCGCGGTCGCAGGACCGAGATGGTCAGGCAGTCCTCCCCCAGGCCGCCCAACGCCGACCCGAACGACAGCGTCTCGGCGACGCCGGGCAGGGCGAGCGCCTCGACCCAGAGCGGCGTGGGGTCGACTGCTGTGAGCTGGGCGCACGCGGGCCCGACGCCGGTGGCATCGACCGGGTCTGGGCCAAAGCTCTTGAGGGGGACGGGGGGTTTCAGTCTCAGGGCGCCGGTTGGGGGCTGCGCGTAGGGAATGCCCCGGAAGTATTCGACGTCATGGTCGACGGCGCCTATGACAGTGCCCGCACGGAGTTCGATTGTTGGGTTGGTCGTGGCGTTGCACTCTGAGGCAGCAGGGGCGACAAACAATAAGCCGACCAATGTGGCTGCGAGAGCGGGTATGTTGGTCCTCATTATTATTGTGTAAGGAATAATGATGAGAGGATGGGTTGATGTGGAACTTCAATTCCAAGGGACCATACCTAGGTACCTAATCACGATATCTCTTCCTTCCAAGCTTCCCCGCTGGCCGCTGCTGGTATTCTGGGTGGGTGAAAAGTCGTGCTTATGTAGATCTTGTACCTCAATGGAACTGCACCGGAAATCCCAAAAACAGCTAGTGAAGATGAAGAAATATTATTGTCTTGGCTTTGAGCGGACGCTAATTGCTGAGCACGTTGCAGCATGGTGGCTGGTGTCTGCATGTTCGGGGTGCGAAAGAGGTGTCAGGCAACAGCATTCGCTCCAAAAAGAAATTAATTACTTGACATGGGAACCAAGAGCCAACCCGTCCCGCCCCCACTCATCCCATTCTCCCAAAGTCCCAACCACCAACCACTCCCATCCTCAATAAGTTACGTACGGGGAGCTACCACGGGAAGAAGCTCTTAAACAATACCTAATGCACGATTCCTCTTGGCAGAATCCAAAGATTCACTAGCTCCGTCTCTTCTTGATTCCATCACTGATATCAGCAACAACGAACCATGGCAAACAAACCGGGAGTGAAGTCGGCGAAGAAGCATGGCACCGAGAACGAGACGAAGGTGCTTCGCAAACTGGGGGTCAAGTAAGCGCCCTTTCACCTAGCCTCACATACAAGTTATTGGCATGATATCTTAGAATATCTTAGTTACGTACTAACGACCATGCGTCTAGCGAAATGTCCCAGCTCGCCATGTATACACTGGACCAGTACCGCGGTACCACTGTCTCCTGCCGCTATGAAATCCCGCCACATCTTGCATCGGCAGAGTCAAGGGCCCAGCTGGAGGATGCAGTTAAGGTTGCTGTCGTTGACACGATTATGAGACATCCGATGCTGCAAGTCGGCATCATCGATGCCACTTCCAAGACTCCCTCGTGGATCCAGCTGGAAAGTCTCGACTTGACCCAACATATAAATTGGCTTCATCTCACCAAGCATGACGACTTTCAACACACGGTGCAGGAAACCTTTTGCACTCAGCTCGATGACCATTTTCCAGACCTTTCCATTCGACAGCCTGGCTGGAAGCTGACCGTCATTCGACACGGGAATGCTCCCATCATGGAGGCTCTACTCACTTGGAATCACCCCCAGTTTGACGCCATGGGTGCAAAGGTGTTCCACGAAGACTTGCTCACCATGCTCAATGCTGACAGCGGGACACACGAGCGGACCGGCTTGGATGACCATGTCCTTAAACTACCTCAAGCGGCCCCTTTACTCCCAGCACCAATCGAGGTCTTGGAAAAGCTCCCAGTAGATCTGAAACACCTCGCCAAGGCATTCTGGGAGGAAACTCGGCCCGAGTTTCTTAACCGGGACGTATCGCGGGCAACCTGGTGCCCGATCCGCCTCTCTCCGTACAAAACCCAGTTCCGGGTCTTCTTCGTCGACAACACGTCTGTCCTTACGCTTCAAGCCCTCTGCCGACAGAACCAGACCACCATCACGGGCCTGCTGAACGGATTAGCGCTCATCTCCTTCGCAGCACACCTCGACACCGCCGCTACCCCAGCCTTTCAAAGTTCCACCATCGTGGACCACCGCCGCAATCTCCCTCCCGCCCCGCCCGACGCTCCCTGGGGCACTTCCGACCGCGCAATCAGTAACTACGTGACGCAGTGCCTGCACAAATACGACACGGACCTGGTGGCGCGGATCCGCTCCAAGCTGCCCACCAACACGGGCAGCGACGAGGGCGACATGGAGGGAAACAGAGCCCTGTCGGCCGACCTCGTGCGCGAGCTCTGGGTGGTGTCGGCACAGAACCGGCGGGAGATCGCGGCCAAGCTGGAGGCCGGGCTGCGGAACGACCTGGTCGGCCTGTTCAAGTACGTCTCGGACTGGCAGCAGACGATGGGCGGCATCGCGAAGAGGGCCCGCCATTTCTCGTGGCTGGTCACCAACATCGGCGTGCTGGACGGCGGCGGCAGCACCGAATCGGGTGACGGCGACGGCGACGGTCAGAAGTGGTCGATCGGCCGCGCGCAGTTTGGTCTCAGCACCGAGGTCCCCATGGCGGCTATCGAGTTCTCCCCCGTCAGCGTTGCTGGTCGAGGCATGTGCGTTGGCGCTAGCTGGGGTGACTGTGTAGTGGATGTGACGCTGGCGGAACGCATCATGGCTGATTTGGAATTGTGGCTGGTCCAACTTGCGGGCCAGTCATGATGTGTCGGAACGCTCCGGGGTCTTTCTGACCCCCCAAGCGGTCCGTGGCTTGCACCATTGCCAACCTTAGTGTAGATGTACCGTAGATGATAGGCCGGGTCCAACTACGTTTCTACCTGCCGACCTGTGTGTGCGCTCAGCGTCCTGTGCTCATACCGCAGCGTTCCGAACCAAATCTTTGCTTAGCAGTAGTACTTAGCAACAGCAGCAGTAACAGCAGCACCAGCAACGTCAGCTCAACGCCAACAGTCACACCAACAACGTAGCAAATGTCAAAGCGCACTACTAACAGTAACGGCTCAACATCATCAGCTTCGCAAACCTGAGCATGCACTGCTCGGCCCAGATAAGATGCCCTCGTCCGAGCCATCTTCAGGGCAGCGACAGGGGACTTCCAGTTGTCACTGAGAATTTGTTGCTATCATCGTCCGGCAGTTTGGGCGATTATGAGAGCAGGGGGCAAGAACGAAGAGAAGAATCCAGGTAATGCACACTGGAGCCACCACGTAGCGTAAAATATCGCTACGAGGCGAATTCGCCTTATCAGATTACGTATCACCCTTCGAGGAGAGAATCGTTGAAGCTTATGATCTTGACGTCTTCAAATGCACGAGCCATCTCCGCTTGGTCCTCCTGAACTCGTGTGGTGTCAAGCTACCTAGCAAAAAGGAAGAAAGACAGTAAATCAGAAAACATCGAAATGCATTAGATACACCGGATGAGAATACTAATAAGAGGATAGACATGCGCTATTAATTAGAATGCCTCGGAGAATGGCACGTCCATGGACATCCTCAAAATCAGCACCCGCCCTGTCCGACAGCCGATAGCAATTGTCGATCCATCTCTCGAAACCTCGAATACCTCAGGTCGGCAATCATGTGGAAGCCATACACATCCTTGGCCTCGCCGCGTAATCCAGGTGCCATCGCGACTGAGACCCCACCCTGACTCTGTCCCGCTCGATCGTATCTGCGGATCTGAAGTTAGCTAACCGTTATATTTAGTCATGTAAAAGTGCCACCAACAATGCTGCAGCTGTCATAACTGCTAGATCCGCCATCTCCGAGTTTGATATTGTCAAAATCGGTTCGAAGCCACAGTCCGGAATCGCCTAAGTCTTCAAAACGAACACTATCGGTGGAATGACACAGATCTACGGAGCGTACTTCCTTGCCAGATTCCACATCCCAGATGTGGATGGTGCGATCGCGTGATCCAGATGCGATTCGCCTACCGTCTGGTGAGAATGCTAGTGACCGAACCCAGGTGCTCTGGACTCCAAGCTTCTGTACCTTGCCTGATTCCACATCCCAGATGCGGATGGTGCGATCGCGTGATCCAGATGCGATTCGGCTACCATCTAGTGAGAATGCTAGCGAGTAAACCGAGTTACTATGGCCTTCGAGCTTCTGTACCTTGGCTGATATCGTATCCCAGATGCGGATAGTATAGTCGGCCGATCCAGATACGATTCGGCTACCGTCCGGAGAGAATGCTACCGAGTGAACCAAATCGGTGTGGCCCTTGAGCTTCTGTACCTCTTTGCCTGATATCGCATCCCAGATACGGATAGTGTGATCGGCCGATCCAGATACGATTTGGCTACCGTCTGGACAGTATGCTACCGAGTGAACCCAACTAATGTGGCCTCTGAGTGTTTGCACCGCCTTGCCTGATGCTGTATCCCAGATGCGGATAGTATTATCGCCCGATCCAGATACGATTTGGCTACCGTCCGGAGAGAATGCTACCGGGTGAACCAAATCGTTGTAGCCGTTGAGCTTCCGTACCCCCTTGCCTGATGTCACATCCCAGATACGGATAGTGTCATCGGCCGATCTAGATACGATTTGGCTACCGTCTGGACAGTATGCTACCGAGTGAACCCAACTAATGTGGCCTCTGAGTGTTTGCACCGCCTTGCCTGATGCTGTATCCCAGATACGGATGGTACGATCGGCTGATCCAGATACGATTCGGCTACCATCTGGAGAGAATGCTACCGAGTAAACCGGATCGTTGTGACCATCGAGCTTCTGGACCTCCTTGCCTGATTTCGCATCCCAGAGGCGGATAGTGTGATCGGCTGACCCAGACACGACTCGGCCACCGTCCGGAGAGAACGCCACCGAGCGAACCGAACCACAGTGGCCCTCGAGCTTTCGTACCTCCATACCTGATGTCGCATCCCAGACGCGGATAGTGTGATCGGCTGATCCAGACACGATTCGGCTACCGTCTGGAGAGAATGCTACCGAGTAAACCGGATCATTGTGGCCCTCGAATGTTTGAAGACATCGATTCCAGACCTTCTCCACTACCGGCTTCGTTAGGACCCAAGAAGGCTCTTCTTTGGCAAACATTCGACGGATGATACTCCCAGCCGGAGCAAAGAGCAATGCCGATATGTATGTCTGGAGTGGCGCCTGTTCGATAAGCCGTCGGTTCAGCAGAATAAACCGATGTGCGTCTTCGACAAGATTCGTAAAAGCGTCTGTCCTTGCCTAATCTCGCGATTTAGTTATCTGTTGTTCGAGAGCAGGGAGTCGGAACTTACTTCGACAACGGTTCTAAGGCTAGAAAGAGAGTGGACCACATTCGAGATGACGCCGAGGAGGCTCAAGGCCTCGAGCCAATGTAGAAAGTGGCGGTGGAAGAACATCCCAATCGAGTCTCTTATTGGGATACTCTTGTTTGATCTTGCGATGTGCCGCTTGAGAGCGTTTGCTAGCCGGTAGCGTCGAGAGCCTTGCAAGTCGGCCTTGTCCGTTTCACAGACGTGGTCGATCCAGTATGTACAAGAGTATCCCACTCCGAGCAAGGGGTCAGGCGTAGGTAGCTGCGCCTCCACGTCACGGGTGAGCGCTCCTGGATGCACCAGCTGATACACATCTCGCCGGAGTGTCTTCTCCATCGCTACTACTGATCTATCGACGATGTTTCGTTGAACAGCGTGTTTCCCAGACGGGAAAATCTTATCGACGGCGGTGTCACTAACTAGGTAGTCCTTGGCCGACTGGTGAATCGGATAGACGGAGTTGTCCACCAGCGTGAGGAAGGAACCGCACATGTCGACAATCCTCTCCAGATCAGCGGTTTCGTACCTCAGCCCAGCTACCGTTCGGAGCTCGAGGATGTGGAGCGGGCGGTAGGCTAAAGTTGCGACTGAAAGCACAGCAAGACACGAGTCTCGGTAGTGGCTCGCAAACTTGTCAATATCTCCCATCATCCGATGGTAAAGCGCCGGTAGGCCTGGCGGTGTCTCGTCGACACGGCGAACAGCATCGTCGGCCAAGACAGTATGGATGGATCGCAGTACGAGATCGACCCATAAAAAGGTACCCTCGGCGTTCTCGAGCAGCTTTTGTTGAATTTTGGTTCGCTGGACAGGGCTGGATCGAAGTGATGGGACTTGGGCTACCTTGTGAATGATGTAAGTTTCGATCGCCTGGGACACGGCTTCCGAGTTCACCTCCAGGCTCAACTTCGCTCCCGGGTCCTCGAGCGCGAGGTTTCCGTCGATGTCAGCCCGGTTACGGCTCGTTAAGATCCACTTGACATGATTTTCTTGGAGGGCAGTTTCCCTAACCAGGCTAAGGAGATCCGGCAGCCCGTCTTCGCATTCATCGAGAGCGTCAACGGCCAAGTACACAGTCTCCGGCCGCGAGTGCTGGATCATCTGCCTGAACACATTGGACAGGGCGTCGAAGGCGTTGGCGCTGTTGTTGGTGACGTCGAAGATGCCCTTGCCCATCCTGTCGAAGTCACTCTTCAGGTACGAAACGAGACTGATGTCCTGGACCAGCAAGAGGTATATGAGCCCTTTGAGGACGGCGACGGCATTGTTCAAGCGGTTATCGGTATTCTGGCAAAAGAAGAACGATACGGACGAATTGGCGACGGGGTGGTCAAGTCCGATCTGAGACTGGAGTTGCTTGGTGACGGTAATTAACAGCATCGTCTTGCCCTTGCCGGCAGCGCCCTTGATCCAGAGCAGCTTAGTTTCGCCGTCTCGCCACTTCTGGTAACTGGGGTGGGAGAGAATCCAGCTGGACGAAGCTTCGTGTAGCCCACCCTTTGTCCTTTCAATGCGTAGCTTGTCGATGGTGGGATCGGTCCACTTTAGCTCCTTGAGTAAGGCGTCTCGTTCGGTTTCGCACTTAGCGGACGAGTGAATGCCTGTTCAGTGTTAGAGGTGTCTTCAAGGGTCGATCCGGGGGAGATAATACCGTCTGGCAGTGATGGCGGAATTGCAGACACTTCTTCTATCGCTTTCCGCATCAGCGATGCGATACTAGCCTCTGTGGCCAGCTCCATCACGCGACCACTGGCCAAAAGCTGGACATCCTCCAGTACGCCCTTCATAAGCGACTCCACCGTGCCTCCTTTGGCCAAAGTACGTGCGGCAAGCAGGTATCGCTCCATTCTTGAGGCATCAGCCTGCGGGATAACATCCCTAAATACTTTCTCTAGCTGTGTTGCCCTGTTCTCACAGCGCTGCAAGATGGGGCTTATTGCCTTGCAAGAGTCCTCGTCGGGGCTGTTGGTGTTCAGGTGTTCCGAGACGCTCTGAAGGGTTTTGTGGACAAGGGGAAGCCGCGTAGCAACATCACGGAAGGCTTCTGGGAGGCCCGAGGCGTTGTTGGCGGCGGCGTAAACCTTCGCAGTGGCATCGACAATGGCGATGATGCCAGAGATGAGGCCGATGATCTCGGCGCCAGACATGGCTCGGACTCTCAGACTCTCAGTTTCTACCACAATGCAGTTATACTCTGAGAATCACGATGGTGGTCTGGATTGGTGAGGGGGAGGGGGTATGGCCCATGGGCCGCAACATCAAACATTTTGGGCGCCATGACCGCCCCGCATTTGCTTCACATGCTTGAGCCGAGAGCCAATGGAGAAGCGCAGTGCGAGCCGCTGCTGCGCTTGATGCCCGACGAAGGTATTGGTCGGGGAGAACTGCCATTTGTATGTGCAGCTGGCTGGCTGACTGGGGCGAAGGCTCGACATGCGATGGATGAACATCCGCCCACTTGCATCCACTCTTCTATTGAATGGAAATTGGGTAGGTTCCCTAGCGCGTTATCGCATGAGCGTTGGATAACGCCGTCCATCAAGGGGCAACGCATCCATCATGGCTATTTCAAAATGTCAATAACGTAATGGGACGAGCAAGCCCGACTCAACTAACTCAACCAGCTCGCCGAGTCGGGGGGGGGGGGGGGGCGTTTCGGCCGGTTCTTAGGTAGGGTGCTGGACGTCGGGTGTGGCATCAGCGGGACCGCCCGATATCTCGCGAATGAACGAAGCTGCAAGGTGACGGTCATCACCATCACCAACAGCCGGCACCAGCTCGAGATCTCGCGCGCGCTGACGGACTCGGAGGTGGTAGGGACGAAGTCTCCCGGCCATCGCCACGACGACCACCGCCGGCGGAGTAGGGCAGCACCAAATTCGTGCAATGCCCCGGGGCCGGCGCCGTGCCCGTTTTCGGGATTGTGAACGGCCATTACCCGTTCCCATAGTAACGGGTATACATAGGCCGGGACGTGGCGGTTGGCACGGTGCGGCGGATCATGGTCGTGCCTGGGATCGGGTTCAAGTGCCGTTGCGGATTGGCGGGCTTCGACCAGTCGGGGCGGCAGTACTTGTTGCAGTCGTGGTAGCTGAAGAAGGAGGCAATGCCTTCGGGGCCGAGGTCGGTGACGCCGAAGTCGCGGGTCCGGGACAGGATGACGGGGTCGGACAAGACGATCTCGTGCCGGTAGATGCCACCCTGCAGGTCGCAGAGCACGTTGTTTCCACCCGAGATGTGGTAGCTAAAATCTGTCAAGGAGAAACAATCAGTCACACCTGTTTTTCTATCAGTGTTTGGGTTGCACCTACGGCTCAGCGCCTGCATGACCTGCGGCCACGGACCCAAATCGTCCGTCCAGCCGGTGTTGCTGTTGAACTTTGTGTAGTTCTGAATGAAAGGCTCAACTAGTGCTCTCTGGCCAGCCTGGGGAGCCGGCTTGTCGAGCACCCACACTGCGGGCACGTTGAATTTGACGGTCTTGTTGATAATGTTCAGCCCGTTGAAGCGATTCACAATCTCCAGAGCTCTGCCGACTGCCTTGATGTCTAGAGCAAAGTAGTCAGCTTCGAAGACAGCGCCCTTCTTGAACCATTTCACAACGCAGGCCTGGCCAGATCGCGGGCCGGCGGTGTAAACCCCTCTGGCAACCCAACGAAAGGAACCGGATTCGAAAGGGTTGTCGAGCGCATGGCTGTCGAACGAGGCAGTAATAGAGTGATTGTACCGGCCGCTGTCGGGTTGTTGGGTAGCAGGAGTGTCGGAGGAATGGCCGTGAACGCAGTTGGGACATCGCGAGAACCCCGAACCCTTGTGCCACTGGTTGGAAGTGTACGACGCGTGGAGAAGGTCACGCCCGCAACCGGCACAAACGCGACCCATCGTGGAGGAGTGCCAAATGGTGATTGCCGAGTAGGCGTAATAACGTTGTTACGGGTGAGGATTGGGGAAAGAGATGCTCGCCAGACCGTGGTTTCCGCAGTTGTTTAGGTAGGTAGTACGGGGTGGAAGTCAGGTAACGACCGGAGAAGGCAGCTGCAGCTTACTGCCGTGGCTTCCATTGCGTGGCCTGGAATCGAGGCCCTGCCACTGCTAGCTCGCGGCTTCCAGGATCATGGATTCAACTCCCCCTTATCCAGGGAGCACCGACCATTCCAAGCTGTTCCATAGGTAAGCTGCGCGGACGCCATCCCCGTCCCCCGTCAACCATTGGCCAAGTACTTCCATACCGAGGCAACCGCCATACCGAGGGAACCGCCACACCGAGGCAACCTCCATACCGAGGCATACACTAAGAAGTGTCGTTCGTCATTATAGGCAAAAAAAAAGAACCCAGCATCCTGGCGTGCCTGGGCCTAAGATGCAAAATATTATGGGAACTGTGAGGCTCGAACTCACGACCTCAGGATAGTTTCGATTTTCACACCGAATCATACAAGCGTATGAGACCTGCGCTCTTCCAACTGAGCCAAGCTCCCTTGTGATTTGCTGGAATTTGGATTCAAAGGAATAATTTATGAGGGTTGCGGTTCTGGGGCTCGAAGAGTCGCGACCCGTCATTTCAGGGCGCGCTCGCGCTCAACCAAAACAACACCGCCCGACACTGCCGTGAACGATGACAATATCCCCATCGGCCGGGAACCAGGACACCGCATACGCTGTCCCTAAAAGTACATACCAAGTCAGTATTAATATCATTAACTGCCCGTCCCCGTATTATCCAAACCCATTCCACCAGGCACCAAACATCGCCTCCCTGCCCGCAATGCAATTATACAACCAACGCACACCCCCAACCCACAACCCCCGAATATGCATGTACAGTTGCAGTACAGAATCTAAACTAAACACCCACCCCCCGCCCCCTCAAAACCCGCTGCTTAAACGACTCCGGCGAGAACCCGCCCCCCTCCCCACCACCACCACTCCCACTCCCACTCCCTGGACCCCCACCCTCCCCATCACCACCACCCTCCCCACAACGCAGATGCAAATCCACCGTCCGAATACTCAACCGACTCCCCCGAGAAAACGCCGCATGCGCGCGTGACCCCTGACCGGCGGCGGCGACGACGTCCGGAGCCATCCGTTCATTGCCGCCACCTGGGTGCGCCACATCGGTGCGGCGGCGGTGCTCCTCCCATTCGCTGTCGTCGTCGTCGTCGTCGTTGGCGAGCTCAGTCTCGGCCTGGTGGTCCCCGCAGGCGCACGGCTCGGCGGCGCACGCGTCGCACGGCATGCTGATGCCCGAGTCGCGCGAGTCGCGCGGGTTGGGGTCGGGGTTGGTTGAGAGGGTGGTGCGGGCGCCGCCGTGGGTGTTATAGAGAATGTGTTGTTCGAGGGGGGGTGATGCGGCGGCGGTGGTGCTTGCCGTCGACCTGGGTCGGTGCTGCTGAGGGTCCGTCCGGCACAGGAAGGACTGCTCGCTGAAGGGACGGTGTGCGCGTTTGTTGGCGGTGCTGCTGCTGATGTGGGAGGTTCGGCGGGATGCAGGGGCCGGGGTTGGGCCTTGTATGCTGCTGCGGTGCATGTTCTGGAGGAGGGTGCTTCGCCGGGATTGGCGGTTCGGCTTTCTCGACGCGCTTGGGTGCTCAGCTCCTTGCGTCTTAGATGGTTGCGCTCCGCTTACTGTTGAGCAACAGCGACCCAAGGACTGTTTCATGACGTTGACCTTGTGTGTCTCGAAGACTAGCTCGAGCTGCCCCGTGAGGAAGCTGAGGTAGTCCGCGTCGAGGGCCTCGGGAAGCAGCAGTTGAAGCTTCTCTCGTAAGCTTTCCTTGAGCACATCTTGTCCCTCGTCAAACGCTTGCTCCACCTCGACGAGCTCAGCGACGGGGTTGAAGTCTATGATATTGTAAGTTCAACGGCTCAAGAGTTTCAGGTCCTTATTCGGCGGTGTGAAGGGTACCTGAGTCTGGCACTTCGGGGTCGTCAGGAAAGAGCAGAGTCCAAACCCCTCCCCAAGTCCACGTTTCTTCGGTTGCGTTCCGTCCGTACAGTAGGTTCCTTGCCATCTCCTCTGTTATCCCATCTTCATAATCGACGGGAGATGCTTCCGTCACTTCACAGATCTGATCTCTCGGTAGCAGTAAATGATCTTCAAGCGCGATCTCCGTCTCGAACTGTTGTTTGCAGCGCCGACATTGGTGTCGGGCGAGAGTCGACTCCTTTCGGTGGTATGTAACGATATGGTGCCTGAGTGCTGGCTGTTAGCAACATGTCACATTAAATGAAATGATGTGTCCTCACTTCAACCCGCGGATCGAGTCGAAGGGGGCTCTGGCGCAGGCCTCGTGGTCGCGGATGTTAAACCGGGTCGGGTTGCGTTTCCTAAACGGACAAGGGTAGGTTGCCATGTCATCTAATCCGCTGGTTTGATCCAGCAATGTCTCCGTTTCCCATTCAGAGCTCTGACGGCCGTAGGTCGATGATCTTGATTGTCCCCAGAACTCCGATCTAAAAGGGGTTGAGCGTGGGGCGGTGGAGTGCCTCGCCACCTCCCCAGGATATTCGAACGACGTAGCTCCAGCAGCTGCTACTGCGTCATCGGAAACCTCGGGCACGACGCCCCGTTGATCGATATTCTTCAAGATCCTCCCGGTGCCCTTCGGCCCTAGCAGGGGAACTGGGCATTTCTGGGCATCAAGTAGGACTCCCGCCCTCATTTCTCGCCGTGTTCCATGTTCGCGAACTCTGGCGGCCCAAACCCCGAAAGCTTTCTCGGCCAATTCGCGCCGCCTGCTCAACGGCGATAGTCTTGGCTGGCGGTGGAGGACATGCTCATTCGAGGTTGGACGGTCTGGCCGGGACATGGTGGGTGGCGTCGCGTCTTGAGACTACTAATTCAACAGGACCTGTTTCCAGGGGCAGGTTCGCCGGCCATGTGTGCAGTGGGAGCAGGAAGAGAAGCTTCGGACAGCCTCCAGGTCTCAGATGAATGGTTCTTCGCGTGATTCTTTGGCTTTCCGGCGTGGACTGTCGACTACAAGGGCTTCAAAAAGGCGTCAGAAGAAAAAATAATCATCAGGATGGCCAAAACGGGAGAGAAAAGAGAGAAGACGTGTGTGAATACGCGGGGATTCCCGCACTCGAGACCGGAACCGTGGCTGTGGGTCAGATTCAGGATTCGGGATCAGGAACAACTTGAAGTGCTGGTTGGGACCGGGGTTGCGCGGAAATCGAAGGCCATGCGCCGCCCGCACATCTAGGCGGCACGGCGGGTATGAAGACATTCCGCAAAGGGCGAACGATTACTCGTCAAGCGCCTTGAACTTGACGCAGTGTGCCGCCATTCGCCGCTATTTGTTCTCGGGATGGTGGAGTCTTCGCGTTCAGGGGCGCCCAAGACCCCTGTTGGGAGGTCGATGGGGGCTGTTATTGGCCAATGCCTCATTCGAGCTTTTGGCATATCAGCGGCTCGGAGTTGCAAGGCAAATGCTGATTCGGCTTGGCTGAGATGGACCAATTTCTTGTGTGGGTGACACTGGAATGCTTGGAATTTAGCTGGAAGTCAGCTGGTGCAATTGTTTGGTGTCTGGGTGGTTCTGTTTTTGATGATGTTTTTCTTCAAATCCACTGCACGCCTCCATCTTTCCGATGTGCACGACACACGGCAGGCACGGCTTTGTTATCCCAGTCTTCTGGATCATTTGGAAGCGACGAAAAACTTTGGGGATTTCTTGCCTGCTTGGCACAGCTGAATTAAAAATCCGGTGGCAGTTTGTCGACCAGTAAAGCCAATTTGTGAACCGGCCCGGGCCGCGTCGCCGCTGACTCTGTACTGTTACACGACATGGAGGGCTCGATTTCATGCAAGACGACCCGGACTTTCCCATTGTCCCTTGATTGCTTGGAAGACCCCTCAGGCCACTGATGCATTCTCAAAACACCGGACTCGTTATCATCAAAGAAGAGGGGACTAAGATGGCCGCGTTTGTTAACGGAGTGAAGTCCATTGACTGGTTCGATTCATGTTTCCAATGACCGTTTAGCCCACGCAGTGACGGCCATCTTGAACCCGGTGTGAGCTCCACCGAGTTGACCACCGCCACTGTTGCGTATCAACGGGGGACATCTACAGAGGCACTGACAGCATGCGTTTGACAACTCTTTCAAGAGAACTGGCTTACAATACTGTCAGGCAATGGAAGTGGGCGAGGGCCGGCTGCAAGATGCAATGTGTATAAGATCAGGTGTTCGACAGGTGGTTGGCTTCTGGAACCTTCTAGTTTCCCAAGCAATGCAATCCTTATCCCACCAACTTCTTCCCAGTTCACAAAGATGCTCAACAGGCATGGTGGAAAACGTTATCGGAGTTCTCGAAACCTTCCTCGGCGTCGAGAAGACCAGTTGCAGTCTTGGTTAGAAACGGGTTCAACGCCCAGCCAAGGCAACGGAGGGTAAGGCTCTCGCAGGCTATGCCATCAAGGCATGTCCTTTGTTCTCAAATTCACCCCAATAGCAATCGCAGGGGGCGGGTGGGAGTACAGGAGTTTCAAATTTGTTGCGCTAAATACTAAATCCCAATATACCAACAGCTTCAAAATGTAAACCAGGTCTCAAAGCTCGGATTTCGGAGTTGTTGGAGCCGTGGGCTTAATAATTCGATGGGCATGTATTTGATATAGCGAATGAATATAAGTGTGTTATTCAAACTTAGCAAGCCGAACGCGAACAGCCAAACCTTCAGTGAATAAGGACCGGGCCTCATACGAGTCCTCGGACCGCTTCCTTTTCTCCCCTTGGGGTGACTCGTGGGCTTTCTCATCGGTGCAGCCGCACTGGATGCAGACTTTGGACTCGTAGGCGACATCTCTGGTATAGCACGTCCCAACCGTCGCGCAAGTCTTCTTAAGTTTCCATTCGACGTCCAGGATCCGGTCACAGTGGACGCAAGATTTGGTTGCCTTGTCGTAGGAGCACATTTTGGGTTACTGGAAGGAGATTCTGGATTGGAAAGCTTGCGTAAAGCTGTGTGGTGGTACGTGGATCGACGCGCTGCGGGCTGTTGACAAAAGCTGGCCAGCACGAGCAAGAGCAAATACATATACCAAAATAATGGGATTCCTTGCCCATTTGCCATGTTCCACCAACTTGCGATGACCACGCGGCCGTGACTGGCTAACCACATTGTTCTACGATATCGCGCGTGTGAATTGTAAGGGGAGGTTCCATTGTGTTGTCGAGCGGCGTCGTACTATGAGAACGATACCGTGTTCCAACTTCCATACTTTTCATGCATCCCATCTTCCACCGAGCACCGGTGGGCAAGACCAGGTAGTGATAGGAAATCGGCACGTGATTCAGTAACTAAGTCATGGGAGAGCCAAAGCTCACGCGTTGCATTCTCATGCGCATCCTACTAGTACCACATGTCCAAGCACAACTAATTCCAACAGACCCCTCTACGCGCCTTAACGTGTACATACAAATGGCCTTCCAACCCCCTTCACGAGCTCCTCGGCTTCAGCTTACAAATAACGCCCTTGGTGCGGTAAAACCACCTCGAGCAAGTCCACCACTCCTCGTTGGGATCCTCGAGCGCGATATCAAAGCTGGCCAACAGCGTCGGCACAACCTTGTACACCTCCATCATGCTCAAGTTCCTCCCCAGACAAATCCGATACCCACCGCCAAACGCGAGCAAACTCTGCCCCCAGCGCGCCATCCTCTCCTTATGCTCCTCCTCACTCTCCCCCTCCCTCTGCAACCACCGATCAGGGTTATACTCTTCAGCATCCTCCCCAAACACATCCTTATTCCTGCCCACAATATACGGGTTCATGCCCACCATCTGGCCCGCCGGCACCACGCTCCCATCCGGCAGCGTCAGCCCACCCTCGGGCACGATCCGCTCCATGATCATGGACACGGCCGGGTGGTAGCGCAGGGTCTCCTTGACGACGGCCTCGAGGTAGGGCAGGGCGCGGGCCTTGGTGTGCGGCGCCGGCACGAAGGGCGCGAACTCGGCGCGCACGTCGGCCTGCAGGCGCGCGAAGACGCGCGGGTTCTTGAGCACGTGGTAGAAGAGCGCGCGCATGGTGATGGCGGTCGTGTCCGCGCCGGCGATGACTGGGAGGGGGTTGTTGTTAGCGGTTTTGGGGTGACTTGGTGGCTTGGGGGTTTGGGGTTGGGTCATGAAGGGAGGGGGATGTGCTTACGGTTGAGGAGCAGGTAGCCGATCACGCTGCCGTCGTTGACGAGCTCGGGGTGGGTCGACTTGGACTCGATGAAGTACTGCAGGAAGTCGGGGCTGCCTTCGGTGAAGTTCTTGTCCTCGCCCTTGAGGCGGGCCGTCAGGTTCTGCACGGCAATGCGGGTGACGTTGCCGATGTTGGGCGGGCCGATGGGGTAGATGGGGTTCTTGTCGAGGATGTAGTCGGTCCAGGGCATCTGGCCGCAGAGCGCCAGGTAGTCGATCGACTGGTCGGCGATGGCGAGCGTGCCGTCAAAGTCATGGCCCTTCTCCATGTAGCCAAACTTGGTGCTGAAGGTGACCATGCCCATGAAGTCCCATGCGTCTGGGGCCTGTTAATAACTTGGACAAAACAAACAGAGGCGAGGTGCTTACAGTAGCTCAGCCACTCGCCAAACTCGCACGTCTTCTTGGGCTCAACATAGCGCTTCTGCAGCGTGTCGATAAACTCCTGAATGATGGTGTCCATCAACGGCTCCATCACCAGCACGGCGGGCACCGAGTAGTGGCGCACCACAGGGCGCTTGATCAGGGCATGGAGGGTGGGGTCCACCTCGGAGAACATATGGTAGGTGATCTTGCCATCGATGATGGAGCTGCTGTTCTTGTAGAAGTCGGACTTGACCCATTTCCCGTCGGTGCCGTAGATGACGCGGTACAGCTCCGGGATGTCAAGGTCAAGGAGGTTCGGGCCGATGCGAACGATCGGGCCGTATTTCTCGTGCAGCTTCTTCATCCGGGGCGCATACTCGCCCGAAATCACCTGCCACACACGCCAGAGGTTTGTCCATCCTGGTTCTCACGTCAGCAGGGGATCTCGCGCAATGGCTTGCCGCGAGCTTTGACCACGTACCTGCGAGGAAAGGACCGGGGTATTTCTTCAGGGGCGACGTCTGATAAGCGACGAAAAACCACAGGAAAACAGCAACGGTCGGGCCGAGGACAAGGGCGCTCAGCTTGTTACCCCAGATTCCTGCGAGAAGCGCGGTCAAATCAGATCCCTCCGTCGGGAGGATGCCGCCATCGGCGGCCGGAGACGCGGAGGCCATGGGTCAGTTTCGTGGGGAAGTTGACTGCCGGTTACACAAAATTATTGACTCCCACAACCACGTGGAAGGAAGGGAGCCGCACTCCGTGCTGTTGGGTGGCACAGGAGACGGGAGAATGGGGAGAAAGGTGAGGAAGAGGACACGGGAAGAGGACACGGGAAGGTGAAGGCGGCCCTGATCAGACCCCAAATTGCAACAGCAGCCAGGTCCCGTTATGAACGGTGTTGGCATGCGGGTGGGGAGGAACTCGTGGTTCTTGGCTGTTCCCATTGTGTTTTAGCGGGTTGATGGTGCATGTTACAATGCAGGCATGAACGAGGTTGGGATGGTGGGCTCCAAAGCACAAATGCAGATGTGCACCTCTCCGCAGTCGATCTTGGAAACGAGGGCCCGTCGCTCATGCGGATCGCAAACGATAGTGGCTTCTTGTAGAATGAGATAGTTATATGATGGCGCGCTCTGGAAGTTTCACCCTTCCTTCCGACCCCACTCCCTCAAGGCTTCATGACCTGACATTGCGTGATGTCGTCGATCTTTTTGGCGGGACACCTCTTCCTTTTTGTCTTTTCCGGCTGGGCGGATTTTGAGGGCGAATTTGCCCAGCTCCCCCAAGTCCCAGGAGAACGCCCCTGGAGCCTTCAACCCGCCGACTTGTTCCTTGTTGAAAAGGTCTGCAGTTGTGTTGTCACGCTGCGCTGCAACCTCTCGGCAGCAGTTCAAACAGACGTGCTTCTCGGCCCCACATACCGCCCCGTTGGCGCAAGGGAGAGGAGGGTGAGGTGGGCGAGGTGGGTTTAAGACGGACCAAACAGAGACCAAAATGACCCCCACCGTTCCCGTTCCGCATCAGCACTAACCCGCTCCCGAGCTTGTCCTCTCCACACGCTGACAGAATCGACGGCGCTCATTCGTCCCGAAAGCGTCCGGGTTCTCCTCTTTCCAACCTCGAATCCTTTGAAGCGCAAGGGGATCGGCCTCGGCCGTCATTCCCGGTGCTGGGTTTCCCGTCGGGTCATGGTCGTCTCCCAGCATCATCCTGTCTTCTTGCTCGTTGCGCGGGCGCGGCGGGGTTGCTTTGCCGCTTTTAGATCCAGAATTGGCGATCATCTTTCTCGAATACAACTTCATTTTGCCAAAAGAAACATTGTGGTGTCGGGAAGGTGGCGTGGGTGGGAAGGGTGTCTCGGTGTGAAGGGCATGGGGGGGCGAGAAAGAAGCTGGAACTGATACCGAGGGAAGGACATATTCGTAAACCCGGCAGTTGACCAAAATGCAGTGTGACCAACCGCAGAAAACGTGCCAGGCAGGTGCAGCAACTGTAACCTTGCAGTTGAGGTGATACCAGATTCGGGTTTGTGGCACCCAACCAAGCCCTTCCCTCCAATTTTTAAGTTGGCGAGGTGGCTTGAAATTCCAGCGCGCTGGGAATTACCCGACGCAACGGGGCGGCGCTGCTCTGCTGCCTCGCCGGGCCGTTCTTGCCCGGCTGAGACATGGCTGGAGCCGAGTGAATCAGCAGTCGGCAAGAGCACTCTCGGGGTTTTCTTTGCCCCACGCCCTCGATTCCGAGCCCCTTCGAGCAATTGAAAGCCAAATGAGACAGACTTCGCTGGATCTGATCGGAGCGCCTCTCATCGGCAATCTAGGCCGCTGTGTCTCAATTTCTCTCTTAGTTATCAGTCGAGTTTCTTTTTTCCCACTTTCAAGCCTCCGAACTATGGCGGCGCTAGCTAATTAGCTTACTTCAATTGCGCCAGTTGACGGCGAGGATGGCCGCACGATGGGGATGCGAATCTTGCCACCGATCAGGAAAGTCTGCCAAGGGGTGAAACCCCCATCCCATTGTGTTCGACACCGTCCGGTTCCTTCCCGTCGGGTTGCCTTCTTCTTTTTTGGCTTGCTTGCGAAGCCTCCATTCAAGCTCGAGGGTTTATTGGGAGTCGATGGAGAACAGATCGATCCCTCCTTGAAACTGGCCTGGGCATAATGGAACGCTGCAAAGACCAAGGATGCTTGCTCACCGCTTCCCCGCGCCTCAAGACGCTTGACGATGGCGACAACGCACACATGCCGGCTGACCTTGACGGTTGCGACCCGGTGGCCTTTGGTGGCTTTTGGTGGCTTTTGGCGGCGCGGTGGCTGCAAACGCAATCGTGGGCGCCGCAGTCATTGTTGTTTTTTTGGCCTTGACGGCACGATTTGGTTTTTCTTATTCCCTCATCTCCTGTTTACTGGGCGTGGGGGAATTCTGCAACAAAAAGAACCTTGGCGAGTGAAACCTTTCCGTATTCATGAGGGAGTTCGGACTCCCCAGCCAGTGAGATGCCTCCGATTGCGCGCCCCGTTCCTGCTCGGTCCCGGCGCAAGGGTAGCGAACCGCCTCCGACCGGGGCAGAAAGCCTGTCCTCGACCTTCCCCCTTTTGTTCGATGCGACGCCGGAGCCATCCCCGGCTTGAGCCCGGAGCACCCCTGCTCATGCTGCAGAAAGCAAAGATGATCAGCTCAACGTTGCGGCACGGACACAAGAGTTGGGAGCCTCAGTCCCCTCGGCGGTTTCAGAGACTCGATGGCAGAGTCTATCGAGTTTGGCCCTCAACTCAACCCTGACGAGGCTGATCGACATCATTTCCTTTTGTCACTGACCTCGGCCTGACGCCTGAGCTGAGTCCTGTGTGCTGTGTACATCCCGCCCTCTCTCCGGAGCGCCCTGGCGCCCCAGCAGCCTGGTCGCCTTCCTGGGGTCGATTCTTTAACTCTCGCTTGTTCCCGCATCGGCTCTTGTTTCGACGTCCCATGATCATTCAGCACCTGCAGCTTCTTTCAAAGGCAAGCACTTCGACGCCTGCCCACCCATCGACTCCCGGCACTCGACTCGTTCTCCCTTCAACAAGATGGTGGCCCCGGTGGGTATCAAGGGCGACGGCCCTTGGGCGTTGGGCGTCATGTGGACGTTGACCTCGCTCGTCTTGTTCTTCCTGTTGCTGCGGCTCTACACTCGCGTCGTCTGTCTTGCATCATACGGCCTCGACGACCACGTTTACCTTGTCGCCTTTATCTTCCTCGTTATCTTTACCGTTTTCACCACGTTGGCGGGCACCTATGGCTTTGGGCAATCGATGGAAGAAATAGGGAGAATGGACGCGGTCGTCCAGGCGACACTATACGAGTGCATCGGACAAGGCTTCGCCATTGTCGGCATGGCCATTGCCAAGGCCTCACTGGGCTTCTTCTTGCTTCGTCTCGTCACCATCTACTGGCACCGCATTGCCATCTGGTGTGCCATGACTCTGGTCATGCTAGCTTCCATCGGTAGGTCGACCCTGTGCTTGCGTTCTAGGCCTCTATCCTGACTCGTAGCAGCCCAGGTCCTTTGCTTTTGGCTCTCCTGTGTCCCCCTCGACTTTGTCTACGACCGCCGCATCCCGGGCGGATACTGTCCCATCGACACACGGCCGACGTCGTACATTTTGTGCAGTATGTTACCCCAGCACCCGCTCCGCTGGTGTATGTTAACCGGGCCTTGAATAGTTTCCACCATCTTGGTCGACTTCTTCTTTGCCATCTTCCCGTGGATTATTGTATGGCCGCTTAAGATGCCGCAACGTGAAAAGTACACCATCGCTGGTAGTATGAGTCTCGGCTTGATGTAAGCGCAGTTAACTCGGCCCCCTACCCATGAACCATAGCTAATGGCTCTTGCAGCGCTGCGGCCGCCGGCATCAAACGCACCACCGAAGTGGAAGGCCTCTACACCCCTAACTACCTTAGTAAGCCCCCTTTTCGACCATCCCCCTCCCCTCCGACCGCTGCTAACCACCTTCGGTCCCAACAGAGGACAGCGTTGGTTTAATCGTATGGTCCTCAGCTGAGATGGCCATCACGCTCATCTGTATCGGAATCCCCGTCTGCCGCCCCCTGTACAAGCGGGCGTTCCGGCGCTTGTTCGGCGAGACGTCATCGGCCGGGTACCAGAAGCAATCAGGCAACGACGAGAACAGCAACTCGGTTCCGCTGCGCACCATCGGCGGCGGGCTCGTTGGCACCGACGGAAAGCCCATCGTCGGCTCCAAGCAGAAACCCAGCGCCAACAACTCGCGCAACAAGTCCGGCCTGGACGACACCTGCCTCGACAAGACGGCCAACGGCAGCAACGACGACATAAGCTTCAGCGACGTCAAGCTGGGCGTCAACGGGCCCTTCACCCGCACCACCGCCATCGGGAGGGGGAGGCGGGAGAGCGGGGACAACGCGTCGGAAGAAGAAATCCTCGGGGACGAATACCGGCGGAGCCAGATACAGAGCGCGCGGCGGTCCGACGAGGAGCGCGACGTGTCTACCGGTGGCACCGGTGGGGGGAGAGGCCCTGCTAACGGACAGACCGGGCACAACGGGATCGTCGTCACGGAGTCGTACCGCGTTGAGAGGTCTTAAGCTGCTTGGTTGGGGGTTATTGCATTTCGAGGGGTTTGGAACTCGGTAAGAGTGACCACGAACTCGCCATAAATTTGGATTTTGGGATCTTGTTCAATAGAGGCCTCGGACCGAGGTTGCTTCCTGGACGGTTTCAGGATTGGAGTTTTGTCTTTCTTCTCATACCCGGCTTTTCACCAAGGGGCATGTATGCTTTATTATGTATAATACGCAAAAGTTACGGACGATAACGAATTAACATTACCTTCGACCTTATCCAGTAAGCAAGGTGTCTTGCGCATGCATCTCGTCGAGGCTTGGGGATCTGCCCCCAATCCGAACTCATCTTACACTCGGGCTTTTGAGCCTGGGCTTTCATATTGAAAGCATGTTGTTGTTTTTTACTCATATGCAACGACCTCGCCCTCATGGGCCGGCTCTTCCCCGATTGTTCATTAATAAAGGGGGGTAATTCCTTAACCACTTTCGGACTCAGCAGCTGCAACCCGGCATCTCTTGATATCTTCCGCCACCCCGGCGGCCGAATCATAACCCCCTTGTCAACACTTTTGAATGGCATCCCCCACACACCACTCGAGTCGGATACTGCCCCTGCTCCACGAGCTTTTCCACAGCCCCCTCCTCCAGCCCACAGTACACTTCCCTCCCAACAACAACCTCATACATCGTCGAACCCAGCGCATGAATCTCCCCACAAACACTCGGCTCCCCACCGATACTCACCCTCGCTCGGATGCCGGTATTCCACCTCCGCACAAACGGCCGCCTTCTCCCCATCAATCCCCGACCCCCCAAAATCGCACAGCATAACCCTTTTACTCAACCCCAACCGGCAAGTTCCGCCCAGACAAATCTGCATGCACAAACCCGCTTCCCATGGACATACTCCAGCACCCACGCAACATCCCCACACCACTGCACCCTTTCCTCCAGCGTCACCTCCCCACCCTCTACGTTGGTGTTGTTGAACTGCCGCAGGCACCCGTGCGTCGCACGTTCCAACCAGTTTCCGGTCAGTTAGCTACAATTGTGGCTTTTGTTGTAAATGCGCGCTAGCAGATCTTATCAATCGTTGGGATGAGGCGTCGTTAAATCTCGGTAACGAGATCGTTGTGCTGTTGGTGGCGGCGGGCAAGCGAGACATTCCGCAGTCTCGGTTATTCAACGGTTTCCGCCACGGGCGGTATGTTCCGACCACATGACGGCGAGAGGCTCAGATCCACGCACAAGTTGGTGCCTCAAGAACAGGCAAACATGGGTTGAGCGAGCCCTTTACTAGTACGGTACTCACAAAAGTAGGTAGTGCACTGGCCTGATGGGGTACAACATAAAGATGCATCTAACTAAGTCCTGGCCGTATTTTTAGAGTATTACAATAGAGGAACCCCCATTGACAAGGTTGACTCACTTGCTTGCTAGGCCACGTAATTTACACTCACTCCTTAGAGTTTTCCCCTTGTCTTAGACCTTCGCTTCTGCTAGGTGCAATACACTACACAATTCTGTAGTTTTGCTGAGGATATAAGGATCCCCGCCTCAGTACATGGAAGAGCATCACTCACAACCTCATAATGCTCCCTTGTAATAACGCCCACCCTCATGTTCACCGCCCTAGTCCCGGCATGCCTGCCACCTACAACACCGAAGCCAGTCCCTAGTCAAGTCCCAAAGCAACCCCAACCATACCCCAGACCCGACGGCCAAGGCATACCAACACAACGCGCAACGTCTCAAGCAGTCAGCGGCCGGACGCCAGATTCGGCAACATTTGCGACAACAAGTCCATCTCAAGGTCGGTGTCGCTAGTGGTCCCCATTCCGCGGGCGGATAGGGAGGCTGAGGACGGGGAGGGAGTACGTGTTGACGACAACGTTGCCGCCCTCTTCGTCTTCATCGCCGGCATCGTCACCCTCCTCGTCGTCAGCATCGTCACCCTCCTCGTCGTCAGCATCGTCACCCTCCTCGTCCTGTTGGCTTTTATCAAAGACTAGGAGTGGGACAGAGTCTAGTAGCGCCTCATCCTCGGGACAAAGGGGCGCGCGACCACCGCGGTTGATGGGGGGTTCGCATTGCGTCGGTCGTTTGGCAATACGGAAGCGGGAATTATTTGCGGAGGCACTCGGTAAGATATTTTGGTTTTGGAGGCTGTTTCTGATCTGTTGTTCTCTCTTCTTCTTTTTGGCCGCCTTGCGCTTGAGCCGCGCGATATCGGCGGCATCGTCCTCGCGGAGGTCGATGACCCTCAGGGGGGCGGGGGCATTCTTCTTCGCCGTCGATGCAACGCCACTGCTGGCGGTGCGCCTAGCAAGCGAATCAGCCTGTCTCGCTGTTGTCAAGGCCTTTGTAGTGGCAAAACCGTACGCGGATGACTTTTCTGTAGGCAAGGAGCAACCGCACTCCATGCAGTCGGCGCAGAGGGTGCGGGAGCGGTAGTCTGTTGGGAGGTGTTAGCTGGGTCATGCGCTTTACTTCGCGTCGGGGGGGTGCATTTACGCTCGTAATCCTTTCCTAGGATACCATTGGGGCAGTTGGGCGGGTTGGCATACATGCTGACGGTAAAATTGGGTGAGCGAACGTAGTCATCACACCAGATGTACGCGTTCGTGAAGACCCAGCGAGTAATGATGTGGCCTTTGGCCTCATCTGGGAAAGCATCCCGTGTATTATGAGCGGGGATATCCCTGTTGAATGCGTGCTTCTCACATGGGCTATGACGGAGTTAGTCGTGCTTGTCAGGTTTCTAAGTGAAGTGATAGCGTGTTTATTGCGTTCGTGGGAAGACAGGATTGAAGTACGTACCACACAGTGCAATGAGACTATGGACACACATAGCGACTTTCTCCCTTTAGTGTCGGTCGAGGTCGATGTGTGTTCCTGAAGGAAAATTTCTAGGTGATGTGGGAGAGAAATATTCGAGCAGGATACTGGGGGTCGACAGGACTAGAAAGGCTTCGAGGGGTATTTTGGCGGCCATCATGTTATTGCTTCACAGGTGGTCAATTTATACATGGACCTCTGAACAGGTATGGTGAATCATGCAGAACATCTGGATGTAAGGAACAGTTTGTGATGACGACGTCTGTGGATCAAAGAGGTAGGTACCCATTGTGTGCCACACAACGAAAGGTCTCCCGTACTTGAACGTAGCCACGCGGCTTTTGAGAAGGAACTGAAGCTCAGTAGTTACAGCAACAAGCAAATAGCAAGTACATTGATCTAGGGGTAGTATGTCGTAGTGCTTTAATCGAATTCCGGATTCCCCATTCGGCCGGGATGTGGTTAACAAAGTGCTGATATGTGAAGCCAGTTGCAGGAGCAACAGAGTTGAGAGGTATTAACTGGGTTCATGTTTTGATATGTTTGACGGTATTGTTGTGATCCCAAGACAACCTGAGATAGTTGCCTAACAAGGCTCTAGTCTTACATACACACATCCACACCAACCGACCAAACAAACCAAACTCCCAACATCTATCCAACCGATCTATTCCCAAACCACCATGCCCAACCCACTCACCCCCCTCCCTTTCCACCCACACTCACTCCGCCGGCGTCGCGCCCACGACACCACCCCCCGCCATAGCCACAACGGCCGCCGTCGCCGACCCCAGCGCCGACATCATCAACAAGTTCGGCTCACCGGGAGTATTCTGCGGGAAGCGCGAGTTGAAGCCAATGACATCACGGGCCTTGATGAAAGAGGCCGGCGTGACCCCCAGACGGGCGGTCGAAACATGCCAGCTGACGCCCTCGGAGCAGGGCGGGGTGGTGAGGGAGCCGGCGTAGATCTGGAAGGCGTTGGCCTTGAGCAGGTCGACGACCTCGGACATGACGAGCGGCGGGGTGGTGACCTTGGTTCCCGGCACGGCGATCTGGTCGACGACCGAGAACAGGGTCTCGAGCAGGGTGGTGGGTGCCACGGCGGCGCCGCCACCGGCGGGCGGGGGCGTGGCTTCCTGCCGGCCGAAGATGCGCGAGCGCTTGACGGCGGGGGCGGGGGCCGCGGCGGCGCCGTCGGCGATGGCGATGTAGGCGCCGACGACGGCGATTTCTTGCGCGGCCGACTGGAAGACCATGTGCATCTCCACTGAAGAGGTGTTAGTAGGGGGTTCCATAAGACGTCACACAGTTGTGAGCAGGAGTGATAGATGACGTACTGGCTTGGCTTGTGCCGTTGTCGAGATGCTCGCTGGGCAGGTGGAAATGGAATTGCTGGAGCTCGAATTGCTTGTCGGCCACGGCCAGCGAGCCACCCTGGGTGATCACCTCAACTGTCGTGCCCAGGTTCTCGAACTCGGCGCCGTCGGGCATGTCGTTGACGGTCAGCTCGATATCAGACCCCTGAAGGAGGCTGAATACACCCTCGACCATGTCGATCGGGGACTGGTTGGTGCCGGTGGCGCACACGCCGTTGGCCGGGGACTCGAGTGCTGCCCAGTTGAGGGGTCCCTGATGTTTGTGTTAGCCGGGTGTCTCCGTCGGGAGGAGCCAGGGGGGCGTACAATAGACCCGGTATATCCAAACGTGGCGACCTCAACGGTCCCGCCCTCGGCGCGTGGCCGGAGGAATGTTCCATGGGCGCATGATGCGAGGGCCCGCGTCGCCGATGCCGCCAGGAAAAGAGCTCTGAGTGTCAAACCCATGTTGAAAGAAGAGAAACAAAAGAAGGGAAGGATATCCAAAAAGGGAATGTGTTGCAGGGGTTAAGACAAGACAAGAGAATAGGTACAATAGAAACGAAGAGGGTCCCAGACCTTCAACCGAGCCAAGAAAGACGAGAAAAGAAGAAAACCGTACGACCCATGATTCCATTAGTAACGAGCCGAGCGGGAGGAAGCTGATCTTTGTATGCCCAGAGGACACGACCAGGCCGGCGGTATCGACACTCAGGCCGTTGGGGGCTGACCCCGTGTTTGGGCCCTTGGGGTCTGGGGGAAGGGGGCCGCAACCTCGCACTCATCTCGATTTTCACATTTCCCCGGAGAAAAAGTCGAGTGCCGTTGCAACGTCGTCGTTATTACAAGGGGGCAAAACCTCCTTCCACGCTTTCGTTGGCCAAGAGGGCCCAGAACTCGTCATGATCAGACCATATTGTCCCTTGAACCCCCTAGCCAAGAAAGGGGTGGAGGAGTTGCGACTGCCAAGCTTTATGTGCTGCAGGAGTCTGAAGCTTGGCCTGCTTGGCGGGTGTGTGGCGGCCCAAGCAGGCCTGTGGCCAAGTCTGGAGACGGCCGGTTTTCGGGTTTTGAGCGACAGGCCAAGCACCCAAGAGATGCGGCTCTGTTAAACTCGCCTGGGCATTGTTTGTGAAGCAGAATAAGCTTTGTCTGTGGTGCAGCTGTCGTAATACGGTCTGAACTCATCGCATCCCTTTTTAGGGAGTGGAGGGAACCACGGAACGTATCTTAGGTAGACTTGGAGGACGGTGTCGGAGTCTGTTGACGTCGGTTGCCCGCTTGCTTATCTCGAGGCCCTGCGCCTCCGGGAGGGAACATGCCCGAAAACGAGAGTCAGGCGATTTTTTGCGTCAGGTTCCCTAGCACAGGAGGGCGACTGACCCATGCACTTTTGGCTGTCGATGGGTGCGAAACGAACTGCCCAATCGGGGTGACAGGCGCGCGACATGGAGAGCACCTCGCGCTTCTGCCTCGCTGAAACCGTTGAAACCGCGTTCGAGATTGTTTTTTTAGCTGCAATGGCCTGCTCGGGCGAAAAAGAACCGGTCTGATTTGGAGCGCCCGATTTTTCGGCGCATGAGAGAGGAAGTCGTAGCCGAGGAACAGGTCGTAAAGGAGGAAAGAAGAAGCGGGCGTGTTCCGCTCCGGGTTGAGACGAGGGATCCGCCAATCGGACGGAGTCACTCTAATTGAACCATGCTTTCGATCGGAGAGGCTCGCCAAACGGCCGGACCACCGAGACCCCCTTTTTGTTTCAACGCATCAGCCACTTGGCCCTGCTAGGTATAATAAGCTGCAACCGAGGGCATGGTGCAGTCGATGGCTGACAGTTGACCCCGGCCCGTCTTGGTTCTGAATCTCAGACGCTGTTCGTATGGATTGCCCGCGCGACGAATTGCCCCTTTTGGGCAGCCGGCCTTCTTCTCTCATGGATCTTAGTCCACTTTGTTTTTGCATCATTCATGGACCCCACGATCCGCTCAGCCGACTCTACTTTTTGCCAACTTTTACCGCGTTAACCAACCATCAAAGGTCTGGCACTAAAAATAATCGCTGTGACGTTGATCAAGCTTTTAGTTGCAATTATGGCAGGTTTTCCCGATTTTCCTCAAGACGGCCCAGCCGGATCGCCGTGCGACGGCCCTCGGCAAGCCAGGTTTGGCGGAGGAGCACGATGACTGTGGCGTCCTGACAGTTCTGGAGAAGGAGGAAAATAAACGCGCCTTCGATGATCACCGCCTACATGAGACGATATTCATTAACTTATGCGGTACCAAGTAGTGTACCTCCTAACCAAGGAGCATGATAATAATACCAGCAACAGCACTTCAGGGGTTCGGTCGGCAAAGCTTCCCCACGTAGGTTCTTACTAACAGCCCTTACGAAGTCCCGCTTTCCACCCACCACCTAGAAAGGTGAAAAGGGCGGCATGGTTACCACAAGAGATCCCCTCTCCGCAACTTTGGCCAGAAACCCCACGACGCCGAGACCAATGCACTACATAGGTACCTACTAGTTGACCCAACTCGACCGGAGTTAATGGGCCTTAGGCCGCTTGAAACCTCCCCGCGCGATTCCCGCTAAGATTGCATCACCACAGGTCCATTACTTACAAACTGGACCTTCGCGACGCCCCCACCCTTTACGCCTCATCTTCGTTGATAATCACTTCTCTTGAGAGCCAATACTCATGATTGTTGCGCCAGCACAGCTCTTCTTTTGTTATTTGGAGACCAGCTACCAAATTCTAACCAAATCACAAGACCTGCCCGAATAAAGGCTCCAGAAAGTCCAATTCCTTGCCACGTGGTAGTCGAACCAAGATATAAACCGACACTGCACTTATTGAGGCTGCTCGGGCATATTAGCAAGATAGAACGTAAAGAATGATTGCAAGGCCACCCAAAACTTACCCTGTTAATCAAGCACACGGGGCAAGGCCTGTCAAGATGGCCCGTTCCATTGCATCGACGGCATCTCTCTGCGGACCTCCATTGCCATCTGCCATTGCATGTGTGGCAAGTCTCCCACCGCCTTAGTGCAGGCGCCCAGTATCGGCCTTGTCTACAGGCGGCATCGCTGCAAGTGGCAAGGATGCGGCCGCCGTCGCATTGAGTGTTATCGCAAGGATATTGCACCCTGCCGGTACCGATGGGGTTGGCACGGCAGTTAGGGCAACGAGCCATGTTTTGCTGTGAAGAGTGGTGAAACGCGGGAATGTGAATTATGTGATGTAACTTGAAATGTTGTTGCAATGGTCTGCCTCCTCACTCCAGGAACCTGGGAGATTCTTGACACCTTTTATACATATACGTGTCAGTACTTGAACACAACTCTGACTTAGGTACATACGTCGACGGACTCTAGCATCGCTCTTCAAACCCGAAGCCAATCTCGGCCGTGAGGTCCTCCCCTCGGATTCTGGGCCTGGCAGTGATGTTTGTATCACCGTTTCAGACTGAGGAAACGGCGTAAACCGGTCGTCACGGACGGCATCTAAGGGGGTAACATGAATAGACGTGTGGTTGCACGAGGAGAGAGGAAGTGTAAGCCATAGTGGCACAAGTGGAAGGGAAATACCCTCTGTGTGGCCCACTCGGTCCAGACCACTCCTGTGGACCCGATCAGGCAACCCTCGAGCACTCAGGACAACCCTAACCCTGCTCTACACCATGGCATGGGGATGGCTCGCGGAGAGATCAACTTTACACACTTGCATGATTTCTCTGAACATTGGTTTTTCTTTGCATTTCCTTCTTTCTCCATGCACTTAGGAACGTAGGCGATCAGCATAAGCGGAGAGCAGTTCTCCTACCTTGGAGGAGCCGCTTGCGTCGCGCCCGCTACATGTAGCTGATGCCCTCGCCGACTCGCCTGGAGGGTGAGGTCCAAACAAACCAGCGAATTGAGCTAACAGTGATCCTCTGCGCTCCCGAAACGATCGATATCTTGCAGGACCTCGAGTCTCGAGATCCGGGGGCCCGAGACGGAGGAGGCATTTGCGAGGCTCTTGGTCGCTATCGCGGGCTTGACGTTACCCAGCGGCGGGTACAGACCCTGCAGGGAACGATGCGGCCGTGCCGAAGAGGACCTGCCTGATACTGTTGTGACCGCTGGCCGGACCCCTTTCTTTAGCTACAAATAATCGTAAACCTTGTTTCATTTATTTCCGGGCAGCAGTAAATTCTGGCACGGAGTTTGAGTGTCTAATCCTGCGGCCAGTGGAAACAGGAGGGCTCAGAGTGTGAGGGTCGTACAAGTAGGATTCCTGAATGCATCTGACAGCCGCTCTGCTAATTTTGTCAAACGCTGGCGCTAACCTGTTGTATCAGCTGTCTCTATAAGTCCGGCTGCAGCCTAAACTAGTCCGAGGCCACCTACAAGGCCGGTATTCTACATTCCTCGGACTCGACGTTCCCTTCCACGGACTCGTCATCACCCGAAGTTCATCAAGAAAGGAATCGTCGAGGAGTTATTCGCTGAGGTATGGAAACTGTTCCGGGGCGTCCATCTACCAGAAGAGCTCCTCCTTCCTCTGGGAAGAGAGTTAGCCCAGTCTTATTTTATTGTCTGGATAATCGCAAACGAGAAGCCGTACAGCTACTGGACAAGATAGCACATGGTCGGAAGCCCTTCGACAGCGAGTCCCCGCCGATAGACTCCGAAGAAGAAATACATCGCGACAAGTCCCGACAGCGTTGGCCCAGGGTGACACTGTTGCCAGTTCTCGACCTACTCGAGGAGCTGACTAACCGGGACGTTCATTTTGACGACGACGAAGTGGAGATCTCATCAGCTCAGCTGGGCTGAATTCCCGCTCCGGAATATTTGCGGCGAACTCCTCTGCCGGCGAGCCGGCTGCCTCGTAATCACCATAAGCAAAACGGAAGAGCCCTGACGTCATTTCCTGGTCCGCGAGTTCGAACTCGGCTGTCACAGCCATGCGACTAGATTCCATCAGAGCTCTATCGACGAGCGTGATATGGCAGGTTGTCATGATTATCAGATGGCCGTCCCATACACTGTCGATGGCATCGAGGTTAGGACACCAACTACCTACCTATCTTGGTTAGGATCACATGAGCGCACACCACTTACGTTGCTAAAGTCATACAAGTCTAGATATAGAGTGAAGTCGCAATTACCCATGCAAAACCTCAAAATACCTCAAATATTCCCCACCTGGTAATGATACTTGCTCACCGACGCACCATACTCACCAAACCGCACCGGATCATACCGCCTCGGGTTCTCGTCACTCACAAACCGCGACAGCGTCGCCACCGTATGCGACGGCGCAGGGCTAACAAAGAACGGAATGGACCGCCTCGCGGGCACCCCCGTCTCCTCGTCCACCATCTCCGCCTCCGGCACCGACACCCTATGCACGGCCGACCTGAAATAGCCGTTCGTAAACCGCTCCAGCATATCCCCCACATTCAGCACCAGCGCGCCCCCCTCCGGCTGCGCGCGCAGAAACTGCCCCCCCGTCTGCGGATCGCGCAGCTCCAGCCCGCCGCTATCCCCGTCCTGGAACAGCATCGTGAACGTGGCCCAGTCGTTGTGCGCCGGCATGCGCGCGCGCACGTCGTGCCGCAGGCGCGCCTTGGACACGGCCGGGTAGTGCAGCAGGCGCAGCTGGCTGTGGCGGTGGGAGGCGAGGTGTTGGAGCGCGTCGTGCTCCTGGGCGTCGAGGCCCAAGCCGAGGCCGATGGCGGCGAGGAGTACCGATCCCACGCCGGCGAGCCGCTCGTAGAGCGAGGTTGCGTAGGCGCGGAAGCCGGGCAGGGTGTCGTCCGGCAGCCAGATGTTTTGCTGTTGGTCGTCGTGCGCGCTGCCGACTTCGAAGCTCTCTTTGAGGTCCGAGATCTTGCGCGTAGCTTCTTCCCCGTCGGGAGAAGTGGAGGTGTTGGTGTCGGCGCGTGCGTAATGGTCGATGCCGGAGTAGCCGCGGTGCGGGAACGGTCCGGGTGGGTGAGGAGCCTTCATCTTGTCGGCGTAAGGCAGGTCGAACAGAGTCTTGTTCCATTGGAATGCTTGGTTGATCTCGTCGGCGGTGAAGCCGTGGCCGATGACGTTGGCAAATCCATACCGGTGCAGCACCGCGACGAAGGCTTGTCCGGCGGCGAGCCGGTCGGCGTCGGAGTGTGTTGAGGGCGAGCTGAAGGAGGTGAGATCGACCGTGGGGATGGGGTTTTCGGACGTCATTTTTGCGTGAGTTTGTGTGGCAGCGATAATGGGAGCTTGAACAAAACTGGGCTATACCGGCGCAGTATAAATACAATCGAACGTATTAGTTATGTGGCGGTTGAGTGCGAGGTGGCGATGCGAGTCATGCGGGGAAATGGAAATTGACAGGCGGAGATACGAAGTCTAAGTCCACACCCATCTCACTGCATGTCACGTTGTTGCTGTGTCGGCTTCCACACCTATCGTGCAGTAGCATTCGCTGTCTCCCCCATTACGTCCTCATGTGGGTGGCTGTCAGCTTCCATGTGTAACACTGCAACCACATCACATCAAGCGCTAGTTAGAATCCGCGGTTTTGGTTCCCAGGGAGCGAGTTGGAATCCGAAACCATGTTTTACTGGCCTTTTGAATGGATAGTTGAGTCCGAGAAGGCACTGCGTTCGCATCTTATATCCCAAACCACCTGCTTACCAAGACTCAAAGATGAGGCCATGCGCCACAAGTAAACTACAGGCCGTTCGCTTCTCCTACACGGTAGGTGGATGGATGTCTTGCAGTCGCGAGACAAACCTGTCAAAGCGCTCCGTACCTAACCAGTTCCGTATACTTAATCCGCATTAATGTGAACAAGCTAGAGCAAGCCGTGACAGAAAGGGCCAGAGAAGGCGGGGTTGGTACCGGCGGTGCCCAAATTGTTGCTAGATCTTGTGCTTGCAATGTGGCATATCCGCTCAAAGGATCCGAGAGAGGGAGAGCCTTAAAATAGTAGAGCTGACGCAAGCGCGGGAGAATCCCGGGTTTGAATGACTACAACGTTTCGTATGACGGGTCGTTGTTGAAACACTTTTGAGCATATTTAGCAAACAGGAGTACATAGTTCTGAGGAGACATGGAAGCTGAAGGGGCCGAGCAACCCGGGGGTTGGGGATCCGCTCCTCCGGTATATGTAATCTCCCAAAGTCCACAGCAGTCCTTGTTCAACATGTCTTACCCTCGCACACTCTTCAACTGCTTCAGAAAAAGCGGGCACACATACGTATGCCCAAAAAGGTTCAGCGTGATCCACGGTCCGTTGTGATGGAACCGGAAAATCTGCCCCAGATTCTGAGTCACTGTCCTCCCGGCTACGAGCGCGAGCGGTGTGAGAAAGAACTCAACCATGGTAGACAAAACCTCCTCGCCATGTACGGGATCGCCAGGCGCCCCACCCTCCTTTTGTAGCTGTCGGCGGAGCTCTTTATCCACCCCCATAGCGCTAGGGATTCGATTCTCGATGTCGTAAGCCACCCACCGCGACGACAGGCGAATCATGCGCACTTTTTCGCTGGCAAGGACGTTACCCAAGACGCGGGCGCTGGGAATGGTGACTCTAGAGAGCAGCTGGCGGTCTTGTGAGAGGAGGTGGAACACGGAGGACCCTAACGCGCCGGACATGGCTGCAAACATGTCGAGGAGGTGAAGAAGCAGAAAGCGGTTTGCTGTCCAGTCGGCTTCGGAAAGACCGTACTTGGACGGTTGCCGGAGGAGGTGTAACTGGAGCATGGAGAGGGTGTCGCCTGGCATTGCCCAGAGGGAGTCTGTTGTGATGTCTTCTCGGAGGAGTCGGGAGAGCTGCAGACGTGTGTCTTGCGTGGCTCCAGGTGGTGATGATGCTGTCTTGCATCGCAGCCAGGCGAAGTACTCGATCAAGTCATAGTCGATACTTGGTCGGCTTTGTGCAAAGTTGGTGATCATGCTCTGGGGCTGGTAAAAGCTTTGGTTGAACCCGTCGATGTTTGGCCCGAAGCTTATCAGATAGCGTGGCCAGGCGAAGCTTGCTTCTTCCTTTTTCTCGTCGGAAAGGTCGAGACTGGCAGGAAACCGTGGAATCACCGTCTCAAAATCCTGGCCAGCTAGCAGGCGCATTACCAGCCACTGGCAGCTGTTGTTGTATGGGTTCCAGCCTCGTATCGTGCGCTCATCGAGTAAAATTCTGGAGACGCGGTTGAGGTGCTTGTCTACCTCTTTTCCGATGTAATCCTTGAGTGCGGTGGTAATCTTGTCGGCGGCCTCGCCAAGACGCTTCCACTTTGCTTCTACTGCCTTTGAGCTTGCAATGGCCGCATATTCGACCGCTTCGGCGACGAACAATTCGATCACCCTGTTTTGGCGACGGCGCGTGGAGTTGGGATACCCGGAGAAGGCGCCTCCATATACTCGCTTGACACAACCAAGGATCGGCCGCTGACGGATGGGCATGGGCTTCGTCTTGTACTCTACCCTTTTGCTGCCTCTGGCTTGATAGAAGTACGGGCACTCAACTTGGTTCGGTCGGCCCAGTCTCCTGGGAAAAAGGTGTGGTGGAAGCCGTGGAGATACTAGAATGCCGCGGTAGGTTCTGATTTCCAGCGGTCAGTTGACATAGCCGTCGCCTTGCTTGCCTTCTTCACATAAGGTTAACCGGGTACGGAGGTCTGTAGCTTACTCGGGCTGTCCGGACTCAAATATCAAAGGACCAAGCATAAGGCACAAGTGGAAGTTTCCTGCAGGTGCCAAATTCCCCTTGAGCATCAGAGCACATGTGCGCAGGGCTGATTGGGCCGCTAATCCGTCCCGTGGAGTTGTCCACTCAAGCACCTTGAGGGCGACCCTGTCTTTCTGCGGCATCTTCGGGACATCCTTCCCTGATTTGAGCTTCTCTTCCTTCTGCCTTTCTATCACATCCAGTTTGTGCAGTTCAATCCGTAACCGCCCAACATCTACGCCTACTTAAACAGTCAGGAGCCAAAAAATGGTAAGTAACACAAAAAGGGTAAGTACCAACCGTCAACCCAGGGATCTTCATACTGAGCCAAACCTAGCACGCGGCCGTTGTTGCAGCTGTCGGTAACGTTCTTGCACGGCGCACAGAGGCGAAAGTGAGAACGGAGACGCAGGGAAGGTAGAGACCCGGAGCTAGATTCGCACTGGCAAGGCCGCCAGGCGCTCTTGGAAGAGTTTTCGCCCTCGGAATACTCGTAGAAAACGCCGGAGTGACAGGTTCCCTCGCAAACGCACTCGTAGAAGATATTGGACCGGATGAGCCGTCGACACTGGGCACACGACATGCCGATGAGCTTCCTGCGGAAACCTGTCCCATCCCCTGTTTCTATTTCCTCAACTGGAAAGGGACTTATTAGCCATGCGTTTCATATGTGAAAGGGACCCAGCAGAGGGTTAATACGGTTGGGGAGATTTGGCTGCACGTTGAGATGCCGCTGAGACATTTGCGTAGGCTCATAAATAATATCGATGTCAAGAAACCCTTCTTCAGTTATCAGTGGGATGTTCTCTGTGATTCTTGCTGTCAGATACTTGCCGGAAGATTGAAGGATAAGGCGGGCAATGCGGTGATCGGTAGTTTCCGCTTCTGTTAAGTATTCTGCGCATAATATATGGCGTGTCAGTTTTCGAATTGAACTGTGTTTAATCGTCGCTAGGAGCTAGAAAGTACAATACCCTTGGCTCTTCGCATCGTATCGTTGAACAGGTCTGAGGAAGATGCTTTGCCGAGGCTGGGTTGGCTTTGAACTACGGACAAGTTAGCTACCACCTAGGTAAGGTACCTACAGTATGTCCTCGTTCGCAGTGAGAGAGTGCTGACACCACACACAGCAGTGAACTTGGGAAGGGTCCACTCACTCCAGACAGCAAACATCTTCTCGAAGTTGGATGAGTCGAGACTACTCGGAGTCTGGGGGGGGTCGGGTGCCTCTTTTAGCACTTTGTAAAACTGAATCATGTTCTGAACCTCCTTGTGAACCGCTGCCCAATAGAGGTTTTGGAGCGTCTCGGAGACATTTTTGACCGTTGCGGGTTGTCCAGGCTCTTTCTTCTTTTCCTCGGTTGTGGCTGCCATCGCGCCGCAAGGTTCCACCTCTGCTGGAGTGTAAGGGTTCAGAACCAAAGGGGTTGTTGGCTTCCAGGTTGTTGTACATAAATGTTAGTCAGCTACTGGGGAGAGGAGCATACGACTAAAGACCGAATTTCAGACTGGACGAACCTTTTTCAACGTGTCAACGTGTAGGTAAGATAGCTGTGGCGACCCATGGAAGCGATGGAGGGCGGAGTTCTCGTCGTTCTAGAAGGTGCCATGATTGGGTATCCAGTGGAAAGAAAGCACGTTCCCCAGTCGCTAGATTTCAGGTGCCTACCTAACAAGCAAAAACCTGGAACCTAACAGCCCGGTTCTGAACAGTCGTGCGGCCATGCAATTTCACAACCAACCACATACTCAAGCCGGCCAGCTCATCAATCCTGATTTGGTAGGGCCGAGTGAGGCGGCAAGACATTATTACCAGTAGAGCTGGGCCACATCGCTGCACAGTTCACATCTTGCATATCTGTGTAAGCAAGTAAAAAACCCGAAGCCTCTCAAGATGGCACTTTGCGCTGACATTGGCTGATCCAAGAACTCGCATCCCCGGCGACCCCGGAACCCAAACGCGCCCAAACCAGCACAGCTGAACCCAGCCCCTGTTCCCCAGCCCAGCACGATGCCCCCTTTTCCCCGATGCTATATTAATGAAGGCCTGCCTAGAGATGTAGGGACTACCAAACTTGTCCGCATTCGCCCTCAGCCTCATAAAAAGTGACATCTCTAGAGGTCGACTTACTGCACTCTACTCCTATCAACGATGGAAAAGCCGCAAATTCCTGGGGAACCTTCGAACGCGTCCGATTCACCCTCTGAGATGAGCACGCCCAAGGGAATACTACCTCGGTTCCTCAGGCGCTTGCTTGATCACCCACGGGAAAGGAAAATGGTAAAGATGGCGTCGAAAAGTAGTGCGGCGGTGCTGGATTCCGGGTCAGGTGGTTCCCTACAGCACTCTGCCGGCGCATCTAAGGCCCTGAACGAGGCTTCAGGGTTCCTAGACACACTTCTAAGGACCACGGGCCGTAAGCCATATTTTTTATGTTATCGGCTCAGGCGGAACACATTCCTAGATTAACACAAGATAGCTCTCACAGCGGCGCAGCAATGCGAACTCGAGCACTACCGCTTCGGGGTTGAGAAGGTCCCAAATCACAAGATCCAGGAAGAGGACAATGTGGAAACTTTTGACCCGTAGGTTTTAGCCCTTAGTTATTATAACGACCTAGATTAACTCGCGAGTATCAGGTCTAAGGATACGCGGAGGCTCATCCAACTCGCCGCCGAAAAGTCGGACGATACGTACGCAACTCTGTCCGAGCCCCTTTCCAATTCGATAACTTTTGAAATCAAGGCCGTTCTAGACAGGAAGAAAGTTCGAGGGACGGTGGTGGATAATATGCTAGTCGTTGCCATCCGAGGCTCGGTCACCTTGATGGACTGGATGGTGAATGGGAATGGCGAGCCGGTCTCATCACAGGATATCGGCACGCCACCCGCTCAGTTCCATCGGGGCTTTCTAGCCGTCGCCGAAGCCATGCAGGAGCGACTCGCAAAACACATCCAGGCCACAGTTGAATCATGGAAGGCTACGCAGACGTCACCATCATCCAGCCAGCTTGACCTGCTTCTGACGGGCCATTCGGCAGGCGGTGCCGTGGCCCAGCTGCTCTACGCCATGGCCGGGTCCGCGTCATCACGGCTTGCCTTCACCGCCGTCGTCCCCAGTACGTCTCGCTCTTGACTCTTCAGTCACCCTCTCCCCAACAAGACAATTTCCGACCCAACTATGCCGCTGACACCACTTATAACTACAGATTTCCGGCAGGTGCATTGCATTACTTTTGGTGCCCCACCCATCACAACCATACCCATCCAGCCCCCGGCGCGGGACCCCTTCCGGTCGGGCCTGTTCCTGAGCATCATCAACGAGGGAGATCCCGTCCCCCTAGCACAAAAGGAATACATCGACGCGGTAATACAGGTCTTTGTGCTCAGTCCAGAGAAAGCCGAGGAACTGTACCACGACGGGTACCCGGTCCCACGCCCCGTCTTTCGAGCAAGTGGGACCTGCGTTGTCCTTCGCGACCAGGATGCTTCAAATCTCGCTCTCAACCGTTGGACTGCCGTTCTGATTCCGGAGGAGCGGCTCCACCAGAAATTGTTTGCGAACGTAGCCGTACACTCCGGGAGCGAGTACTTGGAGAGGTGCAAGCTCTTGTTCGCGCGAGGCGGGTAAAATCGATGGCTTGGGGACATAGGATAATAGACGTAGTTTACACGCCGGTAAAATGGCCAAGGAAATTGTGCAGCCGAGTCGTATCTACATACGCTAACTGGAGAACTCCCAGTGTTCTCTAGTAACTATATACGATCTATCTTAGAGCGATTAAGATGCTTATGATCCTGACGTTGAGCAACAACCTGGGCATTACGGATGTCCCTACCAAAAGGATTAGCTCACCGCCTTCCGGATTTCAGTGGTTCTGCTTGGCAGAAAAAGGCCCAGAGGCACTCACAGTTTAATGAGCCGTGGAGCCAATTCGTTTGGAAGGAACATGCGTACATGTTTAGAGTGCTTACAAGTAAGTCCCTTTTTGCTCCTTGTAAGCACGCTCAATCCCTTGGCATAGCCCTTCCTGAGCGTACGACGTCCTTGCGTCCCATTGGTCGTATGTTTTTCTTCAACGATTGGTCCAGGTACGTTCAAAGGATCGCTGACGGATGCCGAGACGGGGACGTGGAACGTTGCCCCATTCCGACACCCAATTTTAGTGGGTTCCGTGTTTGGGCTGTTAACTCCTAGTCCCACTACGCCGTGGCACACGCCATCGAGGGCGCGACATGGGTTGTGTTTTGGGCTTTGGTCCATCCTACGGAACAAAGTTAACTCCTTGTCCCACTACGCCGTGGCGCACGCCATCGAGGGCGCTACATGGGTTGTGTTTTGGGCTTTGGTCCATCCTAACTACGGAACAAAGTTAGCTCCTAGTCCCACTACGCCGTGGCACACGCCATCGAAGGCCCGTTACAAAGCGGCGGCCCGAGAGGGCAGAAACGTAGACCAAATCCCATCGGTCGCCCCGGAGTCTCTAATTTTAGCGTTTTCCCCCGGTGATAGCCCCCCGGTGTACGCGTCTACGCGGTATGGCGGGTCTCGGTCAAGATTCTTGTTCCCATCTTAGGAAAGGTGATTTCGATTTGAGTCGTTCCAGATGGATTCAACACCAAACGTCGCCGCCCCCGACTCAAACGCAGACCGGGCCGCGCCACGGTGGGCTAGACGATGGCGATGGCGATGGCGATGGCGATGAGCAGAGGATGAGGATGGCCCAACCTGAGACGGCCTCGGCGAACCAGTCCCGCCCTTTTGAACTTGAGTCTTGACGAGAACCAGAACAAGCATATAAGGGCCAAGTCGCCATCTACCAGGAGAACTGACTTAGACCATCAACACACTTCGCCTTCAGCACACTCCGCCTTGCGTTTTCCACTCCACATCCAACAAGCTCACCATCGTTCGCTCTCTTGAGCACATTCCGCGCCTTTGCAAAAGACTCGTTGCCCTACTCATCTCCAAACCCCCAAGTAAGTTTCATCCCGAGACCCCTCGGCGTTCTCCCCAAGATTAACAAATGGCAGACAAACCATACAAGATGCCTCGCGGAAGCAGCGGTGGTTCCAGGTCGTCCTCCGGCAGTTCTAGCGGTGGGCGCCTCCGCCCAGACCCCCATTGCGACTATTGCCGCGGCAGAGGCGAGTACACGACCACGGTGACCCAGGATGTCACCTGCCGCACGTGCAGGGGCAGTGGCACGATGTCGACAGGCTCTATCCCATGCAGGTCCTGTTACAAAGGGAAAACAGGACCTGGACGCAATGCACCGAAATGCAGCCATTGCCGGGGGTCGGGGAGTATTGCTCAGTCAGGCCCGTGCAACCGTTGCGCGGGCTTGGGACACAGGCGCGAGAATGTTTCAAAGACGGTCAAGTGCGACTGCGCGGGATATTATTGATTGTTGGTAGCGGGTTGGGGAGTTCTCGTCTTTGTGTGTTGGGTTCGTTATAGGCTGGTCCCATAGGGTTACCCGAGTATGTAGACTTGGCCCTCGAAGGGGGGTTGTGCTTGAGCTAGCTGGGCTAGAGGTCTGGAAGGTCTGGTACCTTTGAATAGAGTTCACCTTTAGCTGGTCTAAATATTTTTAACGGCGCATGTGCCGAGCATTTTGGAATACCGCTGTGATTTAGCGAGTCCGCATCTTGCAATTGGGTACCCGGTACCTAGGTATATACCGCAGCCAGGGCTCGCCACAACTCAAACAAACCAAATCCGAAGGCGTATTTGAATTGATTGGGCCAAAACTTGATTGCGTTTGATTAGAGTTGATCTGTTTGACAGGAGTCAACAAAATCCATACCAAATATAACCCTAACCCCCATTACACGCTGATTCTCTTTCTACCTTAACAGCCATTAAATACCTATACGGAACTACCTATAAAAAAATGAACCCGAATTAAACGATCCTACTTCATCTCAACACCATAGTAGGCAGGATATTACCTAGCTCTTATAGATAGTTGGATGCCTGGTTTTGTTGGTCCAGCGAAAGTTGTGATGTAAATATCTGTAAAACAAACCCTCTTGTAGCGCCAAGTAACAGGTTTGGGGTGCCACAGGGCATCATGTGAGTTGTGGTGGCTGTTGGGGTGCAGGAACAATTTTGAGATCCCCAGCAACCTTCTGTGGCTAGTAGTGGCGAGTTCAAATAAGTCAAATGGATTTGATCAAATTTGCGATCTTATTTGTTTGACTGGGTGCTCGATTTAGTTTGTTTTGTTTTGATTTGCGGCGAGCGTTGAGTCTTTGACCGCAGCCCCCTCTAACTCTCTCGGCGGTCAACCCGATCCAACGACCCAGTCTAGGGGTGGCCCTCTTCGGGCTCGCGTTGTTGTAGCACGAACGTTGAAAGATGCTCGAGTCTCGCCCAAGCCTCCGGTGGAACCCGTAGCTTCACCCATTCCGCCGCGTCAGGATAATCCCTTGCAAATCGTAGTAGCTCCTCAGTTAAGCCTAGGTTACCAAGCAACGTCTCGTACAGGATCCATCGCTTTATACGTATCTCCTCGGTACGGGATTTGTAAACCCTTGGAGGTGGCTGCTTAGGGTACTCCTGAATAAGGACGCGGTTGACCCGTTGGAATGGATAATACCGGAGCTCACGACGCACCCTACTAGGAAGCGGGTCGCGCACCATTACACTGCCACAGTTAGTTAAATAGCTACGGTGGTAGGTAACCTAAGAGATCAAGACAAACAATTCTGTTCCGGTCCATCGATACCATACAATCGGCGGGTCTGGCGGCGGACTCTCGTCCGGGCCGTGGTGGTCGACAAGGAACCAGCACTCGACGTTATCCAGGGCAAAGTGGCATTGGTAGTTCCAGTGGCGCTCGCGGAATTGGTCGAGCTCGCGCTGCCAGACGTGCTGGCCGATCAGGCTCAGCATTGCATCCTCTCTCTCCGCAAAGTCGGTAGACTTATCGCCGGGAACGAGGTGCGTTTGGGTCTGCACTAATACCCGGACGGCACTGTCAAGATGGGGCGTGTTGGCGGTAGCGGCAGCGGCGGCCTCGGTCGAGGCGGGGTCCGCCACATTGGGAGTGTCCATTGAATGAGTATCGACGCGATGATTTAGAATTGGGGAGTCTTGCAAGTTTTGCTTTACCTACCAAGGTACCGTAGGTACTGTACCTACCTAAATAAAAGTGGGAGTAAAGATGGTGCCGAGACTGCATACTGCTTGACGGGCCCCGCCGGCCCTGGCCTGCCCCACACCTTCACCATTCCAGCTCCCTCGTGTGTGGCACAGCTTGACTTGGTTACCACTTGGCCAATGAGTTAAGGCTTGTCTAAAATTAGCCGTTCGTTACACGAAGTTGGCCGATGGCCCCTGCGGCGTGAATCGCGTCGCACGTCGGGTGCCGCACATGTCAGCGGCGGGCGTCGTAAGTTGTAACCAACTTGGTCGTAACGTCGATGGCCTTGACGGCCCGGGGAGCTTCGCCTAGGAGGAGCTGCATGGCAGCGTCGTTGACGCTGTCAACCTGTGCGAGAGACGAGGTGAGCCGCGAGAGTTGGCGGACGACCGATGTGGTCCACTTGCTGGTGCAAAACGCAGCATACAGGTTGGGCACTTGAGCGGGGAGGTCCTCGACCTCGTCCTCTCCGGGCTCCCAACTCGGACGAGCTGCTCCGGGATCTAGCGACCACCAGTTTGTAGCACCATTCACACCAGTGAGGGCATCGCGCTTACCTATCTTCAGTCTCCCAACGCGGTGTCGTCTTCTTCCGCTCCCAGGACAGCCTCACGGATGACCTGCAAAAGGAGCTGTTCGGCCGGCTTGGCAAGTTATCTGGCAAGCCCGAAGCGTCCAGCTTGCACACTATCCACCCGGTCAGCAATGCCGCCCGCGAACACGGCGCAGCGACATCGAAATCACCGTCATCTCGTCCAAGCAGTCCAAGAAACTCTACGCCGACCGCCTCCACGGCGCCTCCAGCGGCGGCAAGCATCATCAGACCGGCAAGAACCAGCGGCACCCCGACATCACATTCGAGGCAGTCCCCAGTGACCACGCCCTGCTGCGGCTGACGCAGCTGCCCCAGACCGGCGGAGGTACGTCCCCTTAACAGCCAACCCCTTACCCCCAACCCCAGAAATCCACCCAACCCACCGCCAGTTCCCCACCACTTAACACCCCCACCCCCCCAACTCACAGCACACGCTCCGGGTCCCTGGCCACAAGCTCCACGACCGCCGTCTCCCCGACCCTCCGCCCCTTCCCCGACACCCTGACAGTGACAGCCACCTACGCGCAGCCGCTCTTCAACGAAGCCGCGACGCCGCAACAACTTCACCCTGTACGCCGGCCCGCGCGGCGCGCCCGACAACGCCGGCGACACCCTCGACGCCCGTGCACCCCGTGGTGCGTACCAACTCGGTGACGGGGTGGCGGTTGGTGTTTGCGGTGGGGTGTGCAGAGGGTTCATGGTTTGAGCGAGGAGGAGAGTCGGCATTTCTTGGAGTGGTTTGTTAGGCTGGTGATGGGGAATCGTGATTTGCAGCTGAGGTTGAGGTGGAAGGAGGTGAATGGTGTGGCGATTTGGGATACTATGAGTGTGTACCATGCGGCAACGCCGGATTATATCTTTGAGGAGGGGCTGGGGGAGAGGAGGCGAGTCGGGCGGTTAGTTTGGGGGACGCGCCGTACTTTGATCCGGAGAGTACGAGTCGTAGGGAGGCGTTAGGGACGGTGGTTGCTTGAGGGGTGGTGGGGGGAGGGGGGGAGGAGTACGTTGCCTGGTAGGGGGCGAGTATTGGTTCTAAGGGGATATCGGCGAGAGCTGTGTCGATTACATGACATATTCGAGTCACTTGCACATGCAACATACCACAACACTCATGCATAGGTGTAGGTATTACCTCCTAATCAACCACAGGATCCTCCCATGATACCGTACTCCCATATTTCCATCCGTAAACCACCGAGGCCTAGGACTATTTCCCAGACCCAATGCAATCGTGCCACGTTCCTCTTAACTCCCCCACGGGTCTTCTAGGGGGTTTGGAAAGCCAAGATCCTGCCCCCCTTCGGGTTCCTCAACTTGAGCTGACTGCCATCCGGAAACAGGTGGGCCGTACAAGTTACTGTATTCTCCTGTGTCGTATTCACGAAATGAACTGAAATGCGGGTCGGCAACGAGGTCGAGGGGGGTTGTCATGTCTTTGGGTTCCGGGACCGAGCTAATAGCCGTGGTAGAACCTGTATTCTGGACAGGTTTACGCAACGCAGTGCTGTTTGCAGAGGTAGCGACAGAGGTAGTTGCTCCCGTGTTGGTTACCATCGTAAGCTCTGGTGTTTCAAGGTGGTCGTCGATGGGGTCCAAGTCAATGCCCGTGGTCCAGTTCATGGTGGGATCGGGGAACTGGCGAACGGAAAACGGGTTGGGGGTGTTAATCCCATCCGAGTATGAGTCCCAGAGCTCCAGGGGCGGGGGCGATGATAGTTCATTTAATGCTGAGCTCAGATCTGCCGCGTCGTGGTTCAGGCTTTCTGTCGTATCCTCCGGGTCCTTGTGTATGTCCTGACTCCCACCGGTCGTATGGCTCGATGACGGCGTCTCGATCAAATTGACGAATTGAATGTCTGACGAAGTCTTTTGCTTGATGTCTTCAAAAACCTCTGCCGCGGCGACCATGTATGCGATTGTGGACTGATCGGCGCCTCTAACGAGGTGACCAAAGAGCTCGCCGGTGGTCTTGTCGATTACGGCGGACCCACTATCTCCGATACGGAGAGAGCTTTCGAGATGAACAGGGTAGAGCCTCTGAAAATGGGGCAGTTTCGCGTTCCGTAAGTACACGACGGTGGGGAGTAAAACGCCGTGGACCACACCGCAGGAACCGGCGGCAACGACCACTTCTTTTTCTTTAGTTGGGATGATTGCTACCCCCTGAATATTCACCATTCTCCCATCACTCAGGATGATGGAGTTCGGTAAGAAAGCCAACTGCCCGTAGTAAGGGGGTATGACGATATCCAAAGGAAGCAGCGTATAGTCGAGGCCGGGATTCGGGCCGTGGCTGCTATCATATTCCAGGTGCCTCGGAATGGAAGCACTTTGCGGTATGGGGTAGTATGGCGGCCGGGGCTCAGTCATTGGGCTTTTGTTGGACTCTTGGCTCGTGTGTAGATCCACCTCGTCGTCGTCTTCACTCATGTCGTCGAAATGACAGTCGTTGAACCGGTTATCAAAATCGGAAAGAGATAGAACCGGGTCGTCGTCAATGACGTGGGAGACGGTGAGTTGGTAAACACGGCTTCCAACTTGTATGATGGCACCTCCTGTTGCGTGTCGAGAACCGAGGTAGATGCGTCTCCCAACTGGGCGAGGGGTCTCGAATAGGTCAAGAGCCAGGTTGATCCCTTCCCCGTCGAGAGTTGAACTCTTTGGGGGCTCGTCATCTTTATCTCTTTCCTCATCCCGCTTGTGACTCCGGGAGGGCCGTGGTCGACTTCTAGCCTTATTCTTCCCGCTAGACGTGCCCGCCAGTGCGCGGACTAGACCAGGCTGTTCCAGGGGCAGCGCGCTTGCACCGAGGGCGAACTCGGGGTACTCTTCCGGAACACGGCTCTGGCGGATTGCGTCTTCGGCCTGCGTTCTGACCCGAGGGTTGGAGCAGCAGACCATGATGACGGGCCGCGACGCTTCCGGGCTTCTCCCGATCATGTAAAGCCGCAGGTAAATGTCAGCGTCACCAAGGTCGACGTTCTTCAGCAGCCCCTCGATTTCCGCCACGATTTCGTTGTCGAACTTCTCCATGGCGGGCCCGCAAGGCCACCAGACCCGTTTTCGAAGACCGCGGCGGGAGACGTCGATCTCACGGGAACAGGACAGCTCGGAGCTTTTCCATTTTTTCCGAAGGCCTGTAACTCTGCGAAGTTGCGTGCCGGCCGTTAGCCGGAATATGGTTGTTGGATGGGGCAGTGCGCCGGGGTTAGGAGGGGGCATGCGGGCGATATGTTCCGTCGTGAGCGTCATTTGAGCTTGGATAATTCATCGGTGCTCTAGGGGTTGAAAATCGGGATGTATGGATGGGCCAAGGTGTCTCTTCAAGTGTGTTCGAGTTGGAGAAAGGGGGGTAGACCCCTGTATGTATTACTGAGGCACCACAGCCTCGTCGGTGGCGGAGCACATGCAGCCCAAGCTGGAACCAGCACTCGTTGGGCCATCGTCATTCGTCCATGCATCAGCAGTGGTGGCTGGCTGAGTTAGGCGAGCTGCAAGGTGGACTAACTGGGCGCGGAAAGAATCCGAAAAAGCGCCTCTTCCGCTCTCTGTTTTGACTCGGTCGGAACCTGCGAACAATGATTGTACATACAAATACTATCGGAGGTCCCAAAACGGAGATCGGTTCCCGTTGGGGGACCTGCCGGATCTGTGTACTGATATACCCCACTGCCACCACCCCCAACAAATACATATCTTTATTTTGTAGTTACTGGCTTGTCGATTCGGCATGGAACTCAAGCCATGTTGGGTGACTCGATCGAGCTGCTAGATGCCGATGCATTACAGGTTGTCGGCTTGCTCTGGCAACCCTCTTTATCCGGCATCAGAGAACTCTTCAATGGTGACAGAGAGAATAAGCTCGGCCACGAAGCTTACTGCGACTACTTTCGACGTCAATGGCACATCCTTGCTCTCTATGGTGACGAGCAACATGCTGGGTCGAGTTCGCCCCAGGCCATTACTCGCTTAATGGCACATATCCAGAACGGACAAACCCGAGAGGAATTGATGCATCCCCTGCAAGAGGCCGGTGTAGAAGAAGAGGCGTGTGAACGATCTCTCAACCTTGCAGTCCGGCTTCTCGTCATGATGCGGTTCGGGATCGCCAAACACCAAGTCTCACCACGGCGCTTTCTACGATGGGAGCAAGGGACACTCCAGGCTTTTATTCATGTGTTGTTCGAGGAGGTTCCAAAGCTCAGCTGCGAACAAGTTAGACTCCCAAAGTCGTTCGATGCGTGGTCGATTGCGAACATTGCCGGCATCGAGATCGCCTTCACCGACAACATAGCCGACCACCTCCTGCTTGTCGACGACGATACCAGGTTACTCATTTTTCACCATGCCTCGTTTCTCGAGTACCATCGCAGGTGAGGGATTATGGCTAAGCCTTCTCCTACTCGTTTTCCCTCTTCTATCCAGTGGCTGTCGTTTCTTACCCCTTCACTCCCTTTTCATTGCAGCGCCGCATCGGTTCGAGCGTTTGTCCTCATTCCCGGTGCCTCTCCTATCACCTCCTCTTCTCACCCCTTAACTACTTCCAGCACAATGAGAACCCTCTCTTAACCACAGCCTCACTTTAGCAAGACCTCCCTCTTCCCAGGCGACTTAGTCAACGAGACTCTACGCACGCTGGCTCTCCTATTCCCTCAAGCAGAGTTCAGCAACCAACGACGGACCCGCACTCCGCGGCGGAGATGGCTCCAGAGCCTGCGAGTGAAGCACCGGGAGACCGAGCACACCGTCATCGACCCTCGCCTGGCTCTCTGTGGAACACCCCAAGGCGAAGACCGACAAATTGAGCGCTTCCGCTTCTGGCGGGACCGCCTCGTCATCCTAAAGCAAGCATACGACGATGCGACGCCCCAGACTCTCGGCCAGTGGTGGCACGACAGACGGAATGGTGTTCAGTGGTATACCTTTTGGGTGGCAGTGTTGGTTTTGGTTATCACGACATTTCTGAGTGTGGTGCAGGCTATTGAAGGGGCGCTGCAGGTTTACAAGGCGTATCGCCCTACTGAATGATTTCCGGACTGAATTTGTGAGCTTTACTATCAGGTACTGGGTCTCACGGAAGTTATGCTGCGGCTTGAGGTTGTCACAAAACTAACCCGGCTCGCTGGGGCTCCCTCTAGTGAGCTGTCCGGCAATGTCGGGGCATTCTCATGGAACCTTGAGTGGTTTATACGCACATATAATTACCGTCTTCAGAGCGTTATTGAGGCACCTCGCGAGTAAAGGCCAGTAACCAACACTGTCTTGCTGTCTTGAGAGCCGCTCCGGTGTCCCCCGTCCATAGAGTTGCCCGACTCCCAGATATTTTCCCACGTACTAAGCCAGACCCCTTTCCACGAAACCGATTATCACATTCCGCTATCCACATCGCGCCCTCATTCTTTTCAAGCATTACGCACGAATGTCGAATGCTGCTCGGTAGTGCGGCCCAGCCGAGGTAACATTTTCAATTAAAAGTTTCAACACACATTTACCCCAGGTTCCGTGAAACGTTGCCTTTCGGTTCAACGAAGACATGCTCCTATAATTACAACACGGTTCCCCCTCGACTCATCTCGTTCAGTACTATCCTCAACTGCCGGCCGAATGCAACCAATGCAACCTCAACCCCCTGACTGATTTTGCTTGCACCTCAACTCGAATTCACACGCCGGCGGTTCATTGGCCGGAAGTTCTTCAACAAAAGGATCTGCAAAGATGGCAAAGATTATTAGCCATGTTGAGGCATGCATTCCCGCTCCAATGGCGGAACGGGAACGTCCAGGGGCCCCTAACTAAGACCGTCCCTGTCCCTAAAACCCTCAAGACATATTAACTCCCGCATATTAAGGTGATAATGTACGCGTAGCTCGTACCTGACGCAATCGTTCAGTCCGAATATGGAGGTACACTTCCATATGCAAAGTAATTATAACGGGCTCGGCAGCCCGCCCGCATCATGGACGGCGTTCCCCGGCCGTCTCCGAAGTCAGCACATGAGTGACGATGCGTTTGTTTACTTCCACCCTCGTGGCCGTCGGCCTGCTTGGGTTCGGCCTGGCCCAGCTTGAGGTCTCCCCCGACGGCAGTTGTGGCCCCGAAACCCAATACTCCTGTCTTGGGTCTGAGTATGGCAACTGTTGCTCTGAAAGTGGCGAATGTGGTGGAACGGACGAAGTCTGCGCTGGTGAGGGATGCCAAGCAGATTTCGGACTATGCGGTCGTGGTGTTGGCGGACTTGACCCTACGAGCGGCACTGAGGAACCCACCACAAGACAGACGGAACTTCCGACTCCGACAACTACTACCACGAGGCGGACAGCCCTTCCCACAAGTGACCTCCCGCCGACCCAGTCACAAGTGGTGTCAACAATTTATGTGACGTCCACCATTCTTACCACCGCGGTACAGAGCACGTTGATCACGGTCACCTCGACGGATGTTGACCATGTGACTACAACCATCCCGACCACCGCAGTTCAGACAAACACGGTGATTGTGAACACCACATCGACGCATTTCACCACGACGACTGCCACCAGCTATTCTATCGTCTTCGCCACGGTGTACAACACCATCAACGTGACCAGCGTTTCAACCACCTGGGAGACCGCTACCTCGACTACGACACGAACGTTGGACACGACGCGCTACTTCAACCAAACCCTCACCTCGACATTCACCCAGCCCATCACCATCACCTCATACACCAGCGTCGACATAACCCGAACCATCAACGCCACATCAACAGACCTCCTCACGCAAACGACCACCGTCCCCTTCACCATAACCTCCACCGCGACGCGAACGGTCAACTCCACCCTCCTCACCACCGAGATAGGAACAACCGAGATCCCCGTAACCATAACCGCCACCTCCACCGCCTTCACCACCCAAACCGACCTCATCACAGCCACCACCACGGCCATCACAACCGCCACCCAAAACATCACCCACGAGTTCAACACCACCTCCACCGCCGTCCAGACACAAACCCAAACCCAAACCGTCACCGCCACCGCGTTGGACACTGCAACGGTCACCGTCACCGAAACAGCAGCACCGCCAACAGTGCCACCGACCACAGTCACCGTCACGGTCACGGCTACGGAGACACAGACGCTGACGCTGGAGATACCGCCGGTGCAGAGCGGGGGCACGCTGACGGTGGGGCCGGGGCCGGGGGAGCCTGATCCTACCCCGACGGGAGATGTATCGGGGACTGGGGCGGGGACGGGGAGTGGGAGTGTGAGTGTGAGTAGTGGAGCGGCGACTTTGACTGTTGGGGGGCCGTGAGGGGGAGGGGTTAAGGGTTTGTATTGGGGATTGAGAAAGGGTGGAGAGGGGAGGGGGTAAGAATTGTGGTACGTGAAGTGGAGATAGTAATATAGTGCGAGTTCTTGAAATGAGTTGCTTGTGATGAGAGATGGGAGTTGGTGTGTTGGAGGGGAGGAGATGTCGATGGTCTTGGAGCTTGCGGCACAAGCAGAGGATGTCCCTCGGCACCGAGAGTGGCCGCTGTCACGAGAATGGGGGGCTAGAGACCAGGGGTATCACGTTCTATAACTACCTCTCCCCGCTAGACGCAATGCGAACCCGTAAACCAAACCACCCGATACCCACCGACCCCCGTCACAGCTTCCTAAACACCGTACTGAAAATCTCCCTGCTCTTCATCAGATTCATAACCCTCAGCCGCTCATTATCCAAATGCGCGGCATCGCTTGCCTGTCCGCACGGCAAATGGGCCGCCGGCGCATTGAACTCCTTCTCCAGGTACCTAATCGGCGGAATAGACCCTCCCTCACGGATATACAACGGTTTCCGTGCCTTGGGCTTGTCCTCCCCATCCGTGGCATTCGGCGGCAGCGCCACGGCAACCCCCTCAGCACCAGTAACCCCACCCCAAGCGCGCATGACAGCCTCCTCAAGCGTGCGAAAGATATAGTTCCCCGGCACACCGAGCCACGGCTCAGCCTTGTTGTCGATGCGGATAGTCAGGGTGTTGTCGCTAGCAAAGGTGGCGTACTGGTCGCGCAGGTAGCCCCGCAGGGCGTCGATGACGTCCTCGACCTCCTGCCCCGGCACCAGGCGCACGCTGACGTTGGCCGTCGCGTGGCTGCTGATCAGGCTGCCGTCGGGGCCCGACACGTTGTAGCGGTGGATGGTCAGGTTGGGCTCGCGCCAGCGCGCCATCAGGCTGCGCTTGAGCGCCTCGACCGGCCCGCGCGACGGGTTGCCGCGCATGAGAATGCCCGCGATGTCGTCGTACCGCTGGTCTTCCTCGCTGGTCAGTGGGAGGATGCCGTCGTAGAAGCCGGGGATTTTGACGTGGTTCTTGGAGTCTTTGAGTTTGCCGAGGAGGAGGGTCAGGTCGGTTAGCGGTTCGGAGAGGAGGTTACTGCCGTCGACGCCCGAGTGGAGGTCTGGGTGCTTGGAGTCTACGCAAACTGTCGCGTGGAGAACGCCGCGCAGGCCGTAGGTGAGACAGGGCACTTCGTCGTCCAGCCAGTAGCTGTTGGCCAGGAGCACGTAGTCGATGTGGCCGATCAGGTCTTTGTGTGCCTGGATCGTGTCTTCGAAGCCGCGCGAGCCGGACTCTTCTTCGCCTTCGATGACGAAGATGATGTCCGAGTCGAGGACCTTGGCTTGGAGGAGGTCCGAGACTGCGTAGATGGCGGCGATGATTGGTCCCTTGTTATCACTGACGCCGCGGCCGTAGAGGTACCCGTCACGGCCCTCCAGTTTGAAGGGGTCGGTCTGCCAGTTGTCCCCCTTCATATCCGCCGGGACGACGTCGTAGTGGCCGTAAAACAGGATCCGCTTTCTCTTCTCCGATGGCTCGAGCTTGCCGCTGAACTTGGCGCAGACGATGGGGTTGTGCAGCCCGCCGGTGCTCAGCATCTCTACCTCGGCGCCCAGTCGCTTGAAGAGAGAGGCGAGGTAGGTGGCCCCCTTGCGACAATCCTCGGTGAACTCGGGGCGAGAAGAAATGGTTTTGAACGAAACAAACTCGCGAAGTGATGTGATCATCATGTTCTCGGATCCATCGATCTCCTGCTCGGCCTGTGTCGGCATGCCGTTAACACGCCAGACGCGGACCGTGTTGTCGTTGGCCCCAGTGATGAATAGCTGGTCGTTTTGATGATTTGCCACCGCTGAAGACAGGATCTTGGCGTCATGGGCCTTCCACCGACTAAGGCATTGGTACTTCTGGCTGACATTCTGCGGCAGCCCGTTCTTGTCTCTGCCGTAATGAACCGTGCTGTGTTTCTGTTCCGGCATTAGCTCACGCCTGGCGGAGACCAACTGAAGCGCTTACCGAAGCTGACCCTCCTGTAGCCCCACTCCATAAGAGGCCGAAACTCATCCTAAGAGTGTTGACATTCCCATTGTGAGCTTTGATGACCCGCAGCTTCTGCTTCGTGTCGAGGTCCCACAGTTCGATGATGCCCTGCAGCTTGCCGGCGTAGAGAAAAGACCCGTCCACGGCCATGGACATGATAGACTGGCTATCGTCATCGCCCAGGGTCATCAGCTCCTCAATATCCCCCAACACACCGTCGTCGTGGTCTGGACCATCGTCGGACAACCTCCACAGCTTGATTGTGCCGTCTCCGCCCCCGGTAACCAGTACCTCCTCTTCTGGGTCACCAAGCACGGTAGGCCCCTTTGCTATCAGCATGCAGAACACCCAGCCGTAGTGCGCATATTGTCGAATCGCCCCCGAGTCAATCTCCAGCACCGTTGTGGCCTTCGGTATGAGATTGTAGTGTTCTTCCATGCGCCTAGGCGTAGACGTCCCCCCGATAGCGCGCGAGTCGAAGAAGCGGTGTTGTCGCTTGTCTGGGTGGTTCGCAGAGTCGTGGGGTACCTTCCTCGAGGGGTCCTTCAAGCTGATCCATTGTATGTCTTGCGTCTGTGTCCCGAGATAGAGCGTTTCGCGCTGGGGCGAGTAAGCAACGCTGAAGACATCGCCAACGTCATAGGTGCTATAGATTTCGTAAAGACGGGTAAAAGTCTTGGGGCACCAGACGCCAATGATGGGTTCGCATGCGCTCGAGAAGAGGTACTTGTTGTCTTCGGAGAGGAGCAAGCAGAGGACGCTTCGTTTGTGGGCTTGGAGGGTTTGGACGAGCTGGTAGGTGCCGAGAGACCAAATGGCGATTTCTCCCTTACTTGTACCCGCAAAAACGTATTTATCGGAGACGGCGATGGCTAGAACGGAACCGTCGTGACGGAGTTCTTGAAGTTGATCGGGAGCGGTGTCGGGGCAACCGTCGTCGAGCTCGCGGCCCTGCAGGCTCGTCGTCATCGTCGGAGTTGGTTCTGGTGGGCGTACGACTGTTAGCATCGAATTGAAAGCAACAAGTAGATTTTCCGCGTTTCGTCGTCACCTCGAACAGGAGGCTGATGTGAGTTGGGACATCTTCACCAGACCGCTGCTGACGACATTTTTGGGAAGCATTGCAACGCTCCGTCTCAGCCCAAGCCCCGCGCTAACGAGTCCAGAACACCCGCGGCCCTTGCAAGGGTCGTTTCCCCACGTTTCAGGGCCTGGCGCTGGGAAACTCCACTAAAGAGGATTCTGGGCCCGCGAAAAACACCCCACGGAGCACGCAGCGTCGACCCCAGTGTCGCACACAGTCTTCTGCACCCGGTCCATCTTCCGGTACCATTGAGCCGGGACGGAACGCGCCGCTCAGGTGGGGGTTTGCGGCAGGAATGTCAGGGGAAATGACCCGATCGAGATAAGGAGGCACACGTGAGGGAAACAGACGACAACTTACCAGGCGGGGGATCATGGGGTGGCTGCACAGCTGCCGCCCTGGCTTTGGGGATCTTGTTGCATCCTTTACAACGCTCCTCCTGCCCATCTCGTTCCTCTTCCTGGGGATCGTGCCGCCATGGATCGAATCGCTCGCGGAGGACGGGCACACCCACCGCCATGTCGCCGTCCACGACGTCGTCTGCCGAGCTCGTTGAGCTGGTGCGCCGACCAGCAAGACGCCAAACAAAGTTCTGCGGAGCAAGACGTGCGCGGCTGGGAGGGTCTTGGTTTTGTACTTCCGGCTCGCTCGGTGCTCCGAAATCTCCCTCTTTGCGCGACATCTCACCGGAACCGAGACATGACGCGAGATCAGGGGCAGCGTGCGCCATTGCAAACACTTTCAAATTCTGGGGCGCACAGGTCGGAAGAAGAAGGACGGAGGCATCTCACCGCTCCTACGGGACCAAGGTAGCAAACAGAGAGAAGAGCTGACACGGTGGGTTCTCAAGGACGGATCGGCAGAGGGAACACTGGGCATTTGCGCGACGAGGTTGTCGTTGTTCATATACCTCATTGGCAGCGGGTTCCGAATCGGCGACAGAACGGACGCCACGAAGCATGCTAGACAAAGCCACGGCTCGATTTCGCGCTTTGATGGTCACAAGGCACCAGGGGTTGAGATCGATTCCTTCTTGGCGGGTGCTGGAATGGCTGGTAGGATCGCGTGGCCGCGGGGAGGAGGACACCGCATACCATCCCTGTGATTGTGCAGAAGGACGAAGTCGCAGGGAGTTGACGCCGGGATGCGCGGTTTGCGGCAGCCCACGGACCTACCAACTAAACTGCGTAAAATCTCCTCAGGCTTTGTTTGGTCCCACAAGGCTTTGGTGGCGTTTGGTTTCCGCGAGGAAGAAGCAGGCCAAGAAAAGATCTCCCCGACTCACAGAAACGATCAACTCTGAGGAGCCACCTGTCTCTCATACTGTACGCAAGTATCAGGGTGTCAGGGTAGGAAAGGCAAGCTGCCAAGCTCTTATCATGCCTTCTTGATAACCCAGATCGTGATTTTGCTGATTGTCGGTTCTCAAGCCGCAGAAGGCGAAATCGGATTGTGCAGGTCACCGAGAAACTCCGACCATCGGCCGTGGACCGGATCCACTCCCGGTCAGGCCTTGTACTTCAATGTGTATTGCCTCCACCGTTTAACAGCCAGACAAAACAATGGAATGTTATGGGAGGAAACAAAAGTGGTAGCGGATAGGGGGTAAGTATTGAAGTTGGTTCAATTGATCCACTTTTAAGAACCGGGAATCGCAGGAGACACTGGGGAGACCCAAACTCCCGGGCAGCCGACCATCGACCTCGGCTCCAGTGGCAGGCGAGCGCTGCTCCCGCTCCTGCCTTCCAGTCCCATGGTTGCCTCATTTATTCCACCTTGTTCTTCGACCTACTTGTACCCTCAGGCGCGGCCGCAGCGTCTTTCTGCGGCCTCTTCGCTACGAATCGGCCTCTCAGGGCATTGTACCAGACATCAACGCTTTCACCAGGTTTGCAGGTGATTTCGGCGAGACGGTCGGAAACGGTGCTAAGAATCCAATGTTTAAGCTCTTTGTGGGCCTGGTCTTCATGTCGGTATATCGCAAGGCGAGTGTTGAATAAGACTAGGTCTGCGGCATAGGCAGCTCTGGAGTTAACTGTCATTTCATGAGCATTGTTTGGACACGCAGCAGGATCGACGATAGTCCCAGCCTCGATACCCTCAGGCGTAGTGCTGACGACAATCGTTGCTGAGTCCTGCCCCGGCATGATTCTCTTGTCGTATTTAGTCGGATCGGGTGCTACTGGCATGTCTTCAAATGGCTTCAACAGGGAGTTGCCGGCGTCATCCAGGTTGTCGGGGTTGATCTTCTCGTGCCAAAGATGGGCGGCGTCCGCGCGCAGGATAAACTCGCGATTCCAAGCAGCCCAATGAGACCGTACGGAGAGTAGCTCCAGAGGTGGGAGGCCGATCACCATGTCGAACGATGATTGCGTCCGGGTTGAATGTCGTTATAGTCAGTATTTCCCTCGGGGACCTCGTTTCTCACCAGGCATTTTTGGCCGTTGTTCGTGCGTGCGCCTGTCTTCAGATGCATTTAAACTCCCGTGCTTTGGAGCTGCCCTGCTTTAGAAGAGGCAAGGCGCTAGCCTTCTTATGGCTTAGCGCTTGCCAACCGGACAGTGGCCCGTGCACCCACCCCTGCCGCCGAACAATTTTCTTCGGTTTCTGAGATCATCGAAAGCCGACTTTGCAGACACCACCCCCCGATAACGACGACTTTGTCCACCCATCGACGATAACCGCGCACCGGCAAAACCCATTGACAACGGGGACCACCAGCTAGAACCGAACATCATAATCTTCCCTGACACCGTGTTTTACGATACCGCCACGCGCTGGGCGCAACCCAAGTCTCCTGCTTTTCGCTCGAAACCCGTAACCACAAGCCAGAATGGATCACACCCGCGACCCCTGTCCCTGGGTCATCCTCAATGATTTCGGCGGCGCTTTCTGTATGGGTGTATGTATCCCTAACCGCTGTTCGGACATTCCCTTGCGACGCAACTGAGTTCCCGAGCCCGCCGTCGCCCGGCTTCGAACTACGCCACCCGATCTCTCAACTAACCTCTGGTACTAGGCCGTCGGGGGGACGATCTGGCACGGCGTTAAAGGTTTCCGGAACAGTCCGTATGGCGAGCGCCGGCTAGGCGCCATCACAGCGATCAAGATGCGCGCCCCGGTATTGGGAGGCAACTTCGGCGTCTGGGGTGGTCTGTTCAGCACATTCGACTGCGCAGTCAAGGGCGTCAGGAAAAAGGAAGATGCGTATGTTCCCCAGACCTTACTCCGGGATTTCGGATGACCACCGGCTTGTTCGAGCCGGCGGTGGTCCGATAACCCATTAGAAGCCACAACGAGCTAACAGAATGACAGGTACAACGCGATTGTATGTAACCCGAACACCGATCGTACACGGCTGATACTGACGGGATGCAGATCGCTGGGTTTTTCACAGGCGGCTCGCTGGCGATTCGAGGCGGATACAAGGCGGCGAGGAACGGTGCCATCAGCTGCGCCATCCTGCTCGCCGTCATCGAGGGCGTTGGTATCGGGTTCCAGAAGATGTTTGCGGGCACCACAAAGCTGGAGGTAAGTCGGCAGGACAGCCATGTTGCATGCGGCAGTACTGACTTTCTGAAGGCCCCGCAACCACCGCCGTCGGGCGAACAGATGCTCGCTTAGAATAACGACGACTTTGGACCGCGAGTGACGGCTTTTCGACACACCCAACTCTTCTCCGAGCTCTCGACTGAGCCCGGACGTGTATTTATGTATGCATTTATGACGGTTAGCATATTGGTGGCGGCGTTCTGTACCATAGAACCGGTCGGTTACGCTTTGCCACGGGCGAGTGGAAGCCGAGCCCAACCAGCGGAAAACAACATCTGCAAAATAATATCCATCTTCAAGCCAAAAACGATCTAGAGCCAGGGACAGGGGCCATATACGCATGAATTTACACTCGGCAGACGTTTAACCTAGTTTCTCACCGAACCATAGCCGCGGGTTCTCCGGCTTGCCTTCGCCAACATACGCGCCAGACACTTCCTGGTCCTCTCGAAACACCCGAGCGACTGCGACCCCGCGCTGATCGACCCAAGCCCGAAACATACCGCCGCAATTGTAATCTTGGAGCAGCTCGGACCGAGCGTCGACCACGCGACCCTCGGCCTCCTTCACGACGATACACTCGATGCCGATCATGCCGCCCTCACCTTCGCCAGTTTTACCCCACCGATCCCCGGCGCTCTTCTGGACCTCCCCGCCTGGTCCAATAACTCTGGTCACCGCGGCCGCAGAGGTGTCCCCGGCGAAGCGCGCAATTGAACCCACCGTTCTGGCGGCCGCTGTCCGAAGAAAACGAGTCGCCATTGCCAGTACCAGAGACGGCAACCGAGCGAGTTCTCGTCAGGTTGCCCGAAGCGGCCACAAGTGGGGTGTAAACCCACGGCGTCGGCAAACACTCGGCCATTATCCCCTTCAAACCCCCCGACAACACCACCGCCGGACCATGCTTTACCCATCCAGTCCCCGAACCACCGGCATCCTCAACCCATTCCTCCGCCCAAAACCCCGCCCCCACTGTCGGCGTATCCCCAATCCTCCCCGTCAACTTGTTCGTCAGCCCGCCCGTGCTCGTCGCAACACACACAACACCCTCCCCATCCACCGCCACCGCCCCCACCGTCCCCTGCGGCACATACTCCTCCCTACACCACGTCCCCAGCCCACCCCCCTTCTTCTCCCTCTCCAACCCCCTCACATGCTCCTCCCACCTTCGCCTCGTCCAGAAATACCCCTGCTCCACCATCGCCAACCCGTACCTCTCCGCCAACTGCTCCGCCGCCAGCCCATGCAGATGCGTATGCCCCTGCGCCCCGGGTACATCCAGCAACCCGTCACCCCCACCCCCACCCTCCCCAGCATCCATCCCCCCCATCAAACCCGACGGGCGGAGATCCCCCTCCCCCCTCTCGAGCAGCTCCCGCGCCAGCCGGATCGGGTTGCGCACGCGGCGGAGGCCGGACACGCCCACGGCGCGCTTGGCATGGCCCCGCGATACCATGACTGAGGCTTCCAGCTCGTGGGTGCCATCGCGCGTGAAGACGGCGCCGTGGCCGGCGTTGAAGAGCGGGTTGTCCTCGAGGAGGGTGACGGCGTGTGTTGCGGTGGCGAGGGCGCTGGGTAAGGGATTGGGGTTTTGGGTGGTGGTGGTGGTGCTTGCTAAGGTGGTGGTGGTGCCCCCAAAAGTGGTGGTGGTGGAGGAGGGAGGGAGGGGGGTGGTCATGTAAGTGTGGGATTTGGAGATCTGGGGATGCGGTTAGGTTGGGTTTTGGGGGTTGGATATGAGTTAGATATGGGGGAAGGGGTATGGTATGGGTTGAGGATTAGGGAAAGGGGGGACGCACGATGGTGAGGAGGGCGGTGCGGAACTCGGCGTAGCGCTCCGGGGTTAGGGTCGCGGGGGTGATGTTGCCGGCGCCGCCGTGGATTATGAGGCGGGGTTGGAGTTGAGGGTTGGGAGGCGAGGTGGGTTGGGGTTTGTACTCCATTTTTACGGGAGGCTTTGCAGTTGGTTTGTGCTGGTATTGATGATATCGGAGTACGAAGGAGGTCGAGGCACCGTGTGTTGCGTGACGGAGGGAAACCGTCTTCCGGGTTTCAGCAGTTCCGTCCGAAGTGCGAACTTCCTGTTCCGGTTTAGTCCACTTGCTCGGTGTGGGTGGGTCCCGGCGCTCTGCCGGTGTGCCGGCATGTATCAGTGTCGCGTGCCTCATTTTCCCCATCACCTCGGATATACACGAAAACTGGGATTCTAACGGCGAAGCCCGAGCCAATGCCTCGTTACAGGGTCCGACTTCAATAGCGGGAGGATATGATCCGTTAACATTAGCTCTCTATCGTCGTTAGGTTTGAAACCTCGGCTACTGTGGACGCCCTTCATAGGGTTGGTGAAACAGAAACCAATTTGATAGATTGCAATTTTGTGCTAACTATCACACATGAACTACCATTATACTTAGGATTATTTCCAAGGTCATTAGTTCCACAAATTCGTCACTTCTCCCACCGGACCCGCACCAAGGCTCTAAGCCAGCAGCACCATGGCCACCGACAACAAACCACCCCAAATAGCCAGGGAGCCGCTCCCGACCATGCGGCCGGCGGCGTTGCGATCATCGTCGTCGTCGTCGTCGTCATCGTCATTGTCATCGTCATCGCCATTGCCGCCATTGCCGCCACCCGGGCTTTGCGTGTCGTTGCTAGCCGTAGTCAGGTCCATGGCCTTTAGGCACGTCAGCTGCGCGACCGTCTCGGTAACCAGGTTGTCGGAGTCGGTATCATCGCCGTCGTCGTTGTCGTCGTCGTTGCTGGGGTACCAGACGGTCAGGATCGGGGTGATGCCGAAGAAGTTGTCCGTGAGGGTAGAGGCGTCATAGTTGCCCTGTGACGGGTCAGTATCATGCGGTTGGGGGAAAGGGGGTGTAAAAGGCTTACAGTGGTGCTCACAGAGTCGACAAGGGTAAGGTCGTCGCTCTTGGGGAGGACCGGCCAGCAGTTGGTAGAGCGGTTCCGTCCGTCCTCAATCTCATCAGGGGCGCCGTCGCCGGTAAGGGCCACAGCCCTGATTCCGGACCAGTTGCTCCCGCTGGCAGCGTTGGAGCAGGCAGAGTCGAGGTTGTCATTAAACTCCTGCTGCAGCCTCTCGCACGCCCGTCTTCCGCGAAGACCGTTAAAGTCGACCCTCCTAGCGCGGTCCGTCAGAGCCGACACGCACGAGTCGGACAGCGCCTGGCCGCAGGTGCCCTGCGAGGTGCGCGGGTCCTCGTCGCCAAACCTGACGCTCTCGCTGACCTCGGTGAAGAAGACGGCGCACGCGCCCGTGTCCTCGAAGTCAAAGTCGTCCGGGGTGCCGAGGTAGAAGCTCTGGTCGAAGGCGCGCTCCTCGGTGCTGACGTTCCGGGCGCCCACGGCCTTGACCCACGACAGGCCGCGGAGGCGGTCGACGTCGGTGTCCAGGCTGGTGAGCCCGATCGAGTTGAAGGTCTTGTCCCCCACCGTGCAGGTGGCGGATGTGGTGCCCTCGGTGACGGGACAGTCCACGTCGGCGCAGCTGAGGATGTCGGCGCTGGCGCCGTGGACGCTGGCCAGCACTGCCGATGCAAGCGCGATGAAAGTGCGCGAAGACATGATGGGATTGATTGGTGTGAGCAAATTGTAATTGTTTTGTTGGCTTGCCCGGGATGGAGATGGAGGCGAAATAGATTGATAAACAACAGCGAGTCAGATCTCTATTATATGGAAACCTTGCCAGGGAACAAGGGGTTTGAGATCCGAGGTGACGAATGCCGAGAAGCTGGGCGGCGGGTTAGTTAACAGGCAGTGCAATGGGCCACGCCTCATTCACCGTCAGCTGACAAGCAACAAGCAATAGGTGCTACGGTTCGATGTCATTTAAAAATACCACTGAAGCGGAAAGATCGGCTCATCGATTCTGGTCTCGTCGATCGAGCTCTGGAACACTTTTGCTTGGCATCGTAGAGTCGCGCCACTGGGACTGGGCACACCAAGACATCCACCTTGCCAACACCAGACGTTCACCGCCACGAAAAAAGAGCTGACGCAAGCGCGACTTGGCCTTTATCTCAGCCACGCCAGACCTTAGCTAGCTCCTCACCATGTTACCGTAAATCGTCGGTATCTTGGCTAGCAACTTGAGCTCTCCCCTCACTTCCCGAGCTCCCAACAGCATCGCGCCGTGGCACACACGTGTTACACGAGAGTGGGGAACTGTGACGGTGCCAACGGCTTCGAGTGGGCTAACGATGTCAGAGATTTATTGTCTTGCGTGTATAGAGGCTGTGCTTAAGCCAGCTAGGAGGCATACCACGCCCTAGCTCCACTAATAGCCTAGTACAGAAGCATGAACACTAAGGAACACCAGGCGCAAAGAAATCCTACACCACTAGTGAGTGACCCGAGGTCCTTGCCCAATCCCCTAATATCACCCACCTTCGCAGAATCAAATAATCTCCGCCCTGTGACATGTACAGATGTACAGCCGTGGATCGAAGGAGCAGAGTTGATTGAGGGTTCGAACTCAGTTGGGTGAAGAATATGGACAGGGGTTGAGGTAAACTCGGCGGGTTTCGGGGACTTTAGAGCTTGCGTCTCCTCCGTTTGCCGCTGCAAAATGAATTGTCAGTTCATTGCTTGTCAGAAAAAGAGGGGTCTCAGAATGCACTTACCAGCCCTTAGTAGGGGATGCGCTGGAAGTGGCTTCGGTTGAACTGGCTTCGGTGGAAATAGCGCCGGTGGAGGTCGCACTGGCACTCGTGATCGTAACATCCGGTTCAAGGGTCTCGCTGGTGGTCACTGTGGGTTCGGGCTCGGCACTCGTGCTGATTTCCGTGGTGGTGGTGGTGGTGGTGGTGAGCTCCGGATCAAGACTCGAAGTAGAGACAGTCGTCAGTGGTTCGGGTTCGGCTGAGCAAGTCTTGGTGGATTCGGCGTTGCGGCATTCAACGGCAGACATGGCGGCGCTCTTGATCTTGAAAGTGGCATCATTGGGATCGTTGCGCCTGGTTCGTGGTTTCCCTATCAGCCTTCTGAAAACACAACGGCATGGCTATCCAGTACATACCAGGTAAGAGTCAAGAGAAGGTCACCCGACTCGGTGGGGGTCCACGTGGGGGTGTTGAATTTCGCCCATCCATCCGTGTTTCCAGTGTAAATAAACGGGCTGAAAAGAATGGCCCGCTGAGACAAGGTTCCGACGGTCATCTCGATCGTGTTGGACAAGCCACGCACACCGTCCATCGAGTATTCGAACGAGAAGTCGTACGTTACCCCGGCTTGGACAGTAATAACCTGGGCCATGTAAACTCGGCAATATCCGCTATGCGTCTTGGGGCTTCACTAACGATGTTAATCGCAGTTCCTGGGTGGAGGCTTGGGGTTTTTCTCTAGGCTCAGATTCGGCAGGCTTGCCACGGAGCATGACGCACCAAAGATTCCAAACGTAATAGCCATCTTCTGGGTCGTTTCGAAGCTCGAGTTGGCCTTCACCGTTGGTCGATCTTCCAAGCAGCCAATTCCCGGTCTTGGATGGTTGGTAGTAGTTTCCTTGGGCAAGGACGCCGTTGGACCAGTCCGAGTTGGCGAGGAGAGTGGCTTCACAGTTGACACACGAAGTGTTCTCCACAGCTGTAACTCTCCCCGACGCCGCCAGGCCCCACAGGCCGAGAAGATGCGACCTCATCCCGGCAGCACAGGGCAAGTCGACGTTTGTCGATGCTTTCTAACCTTTGAAAAAGAGTGGACGCTTCCCAAGAGAGGCTGTTGAAACGAATGACAACTGGTGAGACTTTCAACGGGAGGGAAAAGAAAGTGACAGGAGAAAGGATATAAAGGATCTTTACCAACGGTCTGGACCTACTCCAAGTTGCCACGAGAGCGCGGCATTCGGGCATGGGCTGCTCCTGCGAGACTCACTAAGCAACGCTCCACCAACCCCTTTTCCGGTCACAAATCTCACGGCGGGTTGATGCCGTCGAGAATGGACGGTCTAGATTCGGCACTATTGGTTCCTTTCCCAGCTCTCCTAAACTGGGCATCCCTGTAGGCCACGAGGTTGATTTGAACCGCAACCAAACGTGGTCTGGACCCCTGGGGGCCGCTCTGGAGACACGGATGGCAGGTTCGCAGACTATCCTAGGATGGTCGATCAGTAAAGTTATGGGTTCGGTGATCTGTTGTCCCGAAACTCGCTCTCCCACAGCCAGGCTGCCTCATGCCATCGCCGACGTTCGAGTCGGGGCTGTAAGACTCCACTTCCAGCTTCCCCCCTTGCCAGCCTTGGCAAGGCCTAGAACCCATTGAAAGGGGAAAGGTTTGTGGTGGAGATGCATCAGCCCCAGCGGCCGGGGAACTTTGCTTTCAAGCGACGCCATGGAAGCAAGGTACCCTTCCGGCTCGCACGCAGCGAAAGTTCCCGGACCGGAGTGGGGCCGGTCTCGGCGCCGAAGCGGGGCCGTGCCGGCTCCCAAACAGGCAATAACCTGTACTTAGGCGCCGGCACCCTTCCACCACGTTCAGCACGATGAACAAGTGACCAAATCTTAGTTCTATCGCCCATGTTGCCTTACTACGCCCGGCCTGATGACGTGCCCCTTTTCCAAGAAAGACTGCCCAAGGGATCAAAGAAGGAGGGAAATCGATCCAGTAACTTCAAGCCGCTGTTCAAACACCTGGGCAGGATGGCAGGATTGTTACTTTCCGACTGAACCTCGTAGGGAACAGAAAATGGATGTGTATGTGGACGAGTATGGCATTTAATCTCTGATCCGTATGGTCCGGTTACAATCTCTCTTTCGTTGTCCGTGTCCAAACCTACGAGTTTTCACGCCAGGTCCTTGGTCATCCCAAGATGTATTATCGACATCAGCTGAAAATACTACGGCCACGTTGTGCGTGAACCGGTTGAATACTAACTACAGGCCATGTTCAAGGACTCCAGCATCGATTGGGCCCAACCGGTGCTGTCTTCACACCGTATATTCTCAACAGTGAAAGTGACATTCTTCCACTGAGCCCCGAGGGTTGTTTTCTGAACAACCCAGGGATTCGCTACCCAGAGTTTCACGCCACAACTCACTTTTCACGACGGGTATTTCTTGGATTTCCTTACCTCCCCTGCATTCAGCACGCAAAAAAAGAAACCCATCAAGGCGCTATCCGGCACTATCACAAACCATGGCGAACTCTACCCAAAACCCCAACGACGGGGCCGATAATAATATGTCGGAACTACTACAAGCCATGCGAAACCCTAGCGGCGAAGTCGATGACATTCCCGAGGCGGCTGAAATCATTCGCTATCTGCGACAAACCGCTGAAGCCGACGAGAAGTTACTAGAGCTCGCCGAGGAGTCGGTGCTAGTCGCCGAGATGAGGACTCTGGAAGAGCAAGATCGATACCAGGATTGTCTGGAAGACATCTATGCCTACGAAGAGCTGATCGAGGCCGTCATCCACCATCTTCTCACCCTTGCGGCGCAGTACAAGCAAGTACCAGAGGAGCTCCAGTATCGCCTAGCGGACATGAAACGGGTGCTATGCGATACTCAGAAGATGGGTCGGGCGGTACAAGAGGCCCATGACAAGGCTGGAGCAAGCCTCCTAGAGATAAAGGAAACCATTGAGACGATCCGCATGGAGCAAGACGCGAATAGGAGGCACGAACGCTTGATTAGGAGCGACACGTGCTTCATCAAGATGCTGAAGTCCTGGCTTTCGCTACACTAGGTGCGCGGCATCTTCCTCCCCATGCGAAAGCCGAACGCTTTAACAGGCTCGGTCTACTGTTGGTGATAGGGGTAGCGCAACACCTACCTGGTGTTAACCAAAGTACCTTGTAAGTTCAGCATCATCACTGGGGTTGTCCGTGGGATTGGCATACTAACTGTTGATGACGTAGGCTAGATACAATGACGAGGGTGTTTATGACGACGATAATGTATTATCAGAAGGGACATGGAAGGGAGGGGGAGCTGGGGCTGGACGAACGAAGACCAATATGAAGGATGCGAGAACCACAATCGGCGACCGGTACGGGGGGCGGACTGGGCCCTGTCAGAGTCTCATTAAGCTCTATTTCATCATTTCTCTTTACCAACGTCCTCAGCTACAAGGCATAAGCAGGACGTGTCCGAGGCGTTGACGGTTGCCATAGCCAGCTCGCTTTCCCGGCGCTCGGTTGGAATCCCGCCTTCCGTACCCCCGTCTGGGCCCGGTCGCCGGTTCTTGATGTTGCGGGATCGGGTCATGCTCCAACGGCGAGGTCGGGGCGGGAGTACGGGTTGATCGTCCGGGAGTATGTGCTTCCAGGGGTTTCACCCTCTCCACCCCAGTTATAACTTCGTGGGTACAAGAGCAAATAGGTAGCGTGGTAGATCTAGAAAGTGATAACAGCAAGAGCTCGTCTCAGACGACACAAATGCCACTATGGGAAACGGGCCCGATTACGATAACGACCGATTCAGTGATTCTTGCTGTTTGAAGCGGGCACGGGCTAATTATTGGGCTCATCTTCGCGGAGCATTGCAGCCAACTATTTGCGCATTCCTTTGGGCCGCGACGGTCTAGTAGCCGTACGTCGTCTCCATTAGGGCATTTGGGGATTCGACCCCTTTCTGCCGAGAAGTTTGGTATCGGCGCTTGGACGACGTGTGTTTGAGTAACAGCCTCTGAGTCTGACCGTTCACCGCACACCTACCTCCCCTGGGTAGCTACCTATACTGCACAACAACCCACCACCCCTTCGGCACCACCCCCTCCACCTTCTCCGGAACGATCTGGACGTCCCATCCATTCGTCAGCTCCTTGACATCATCCGGCCCCATCGCTTCAAACTCCTCCTCTTGACTACCTCAGACCTCTTCTTGCGTGGTCGCCCCAATGGCATCGCCCGATGTCGGCAGCAGAAAGTCGCTCGGCTGGACCTTGCCATTCGAACCACGGGCGCCCTCGAGCGTGGCGGGATCCGTGCTCGCGAACGAGCTGTTGGACCAGGAGCCCGACTGCCAGGAGTTGCCCGACGCAGAGACGTCGTCGATGAGACTGACCTGCGCGCTGCCGACGTTGGACACGGCGATGTTTCCCCGTAGGACAGACGACGAGCTGCGCATGTTGAAGCCCACGTCCCCGTTGTTCCACGCCGTGTTGCGCTCGAACGTCAGCGAGCCCGGGTTGCCGTTGTCGATGAAGCCCTTCTTGTAGTTGGCAAAGGCCATGCAGTTGCGGACGACGTGGTTGGCGGGCGGGTTGTCGGTGATGCCGAGCTTGAAACCGTTGCCGTCGCCCTCGAAGGGGGTGAACCCCCACCGGTTGTAGCCGTTGCCCCAGGCGTAGACCTCCTCCATGACGACGGGGGAGCCGAACATGAACAGGTCGAGGCCGTCGTCGACGTTGTCCCAGAGCCGGGCGTTGCGGAGCACGTTGCCCTCGCCCGAGCCGCTCTTGCAGGCGAACCCGTCGGCGCTCTCGCCGTTCTTGCGGGGATCCCGGTTGCGGTACGAGTCGAGGTTCACGACTGTGTTGTTGGAGGAGGCCCCTTCGAGTTGGAAGCCTGTCTCGTAGTTGTCGTGCGTCGAGAGCCCCTCGTAGTAGTTGTGAGAGGCATCACGGGCGTAGATTCCATAGGGCCCGTTAATCAACCTATCGTCATAGTGTGAGCGGCTGAAACTGCCAGGGGCCAGGTTTTGTCATACTCGAGGTTGTAGAAGGCCCAGTATTCGGCGTCTTGGATATGGAAGATTCCTCGCTCGGGATTGGGCAGTGATTCGTCGAGCTCCTTGGGGGTTCTGGTGTGTGTCAGAATGCGCTCAGCTATCTCTGCTCGTGGCGCACGCGCACTTACCCAGGCATGTTATCCCCATCGATAATCACCTTCTCATTCTGGTAGGGGCGGACTGAGATGGGAGCTGTCCTGCTTCCGCTCTTACCGACCTGAATGTTGGCGGACGGTGCATATGTGCCTTCTCGAAGGAAAATAGTGTCGCCAGCGGCAGCGGCGTCGACGGCCGACTGGATAGATCCGTAGGGGTTTTCAAGTGTCCCTGAGCCTTTGCCTGTTGGGGAGACGTAGAGGTCCTTGGCTGTAGCGCTGCTCAGGACACTAAGGGCAACGCCCAAGGTCTGAGAAACTCGCATATTGTTAAGAGTGAAACAAGTAGGTTATAATTCCAGCGCAGAACACCATTCCCGAGTTGCCGGTATCATTGCAAGGAATTGGGGATTTATAGCTTACCCTATCTAAGGTAGTTGACCCGTACTTCGTTATTCCACATACCGAATCACCGAATGAAGGTCGATTCCGCCGCTTGTTTTCCACACGCCCTACACGAGGCGGCGGAAGAGGCAAGAATGTTCCCAATTAGGTTGGACCCCCGGAACCTGGCGAAGATCTCCGAGTGGTGGACTGGATCACCCCGGAAGCAGGTGCTCCGCCATTCGCCAGGCCACCCCGGCGAAGCTCTGTAACGGCCGCCAACGGCTGCCCCAAAATCTTTGACTGTTTTTTTCAACAAGGGCTGGCCGCTGCCCGGAGCGTGGGGTTCGTTCCCGTGTGAATGTGAGCATTGGGACCGTTCGATGGCTTGGGTATGTATGTACCTGCTGTGTATTATAGGATCCTCGGGGTTGGAGCTCGTCAACTGATATCCCGAGGTTTCATTCTCGTTACCCAGGAATTGACCAAGGAGGCTAGCCAAGGCATACACTCTCCACACTGTGGAGTTGATTGATGGTCTTTTACTGTGTACGGCGATGAAACCGGTCAAATTTCTTCTTCGAAACAAACATCGTCCACGTCCACGAATCAACCGTGGGCAGATGGCCAGGGTGTGTGCACTCTCCGCGTATCGAAAGAATCCCTGATACCTTCCATCCCAAAGTCTCCCACCCCAACGCCAACAAAGCATACCAGGCATTAGCAGTATATGTACCATGTGCGCGAACCTCTGCCTCCTTTCCGTGTTTTCAGCCGGACCTGGCTAGCGACGGCTGGTGTTTCTTGAGCATCAGAACGACTGGTACAAAACACTTGGAGTTCCCACTTCTTCCCGGCAGAGTCAGCCAGTCAACCCTTCACCGTACTCGCCACCATGAAGAACCCGGTATTCGCCCTCGCTTCGTTGGCAGGAGTGCTTCACGTATCCGCCAATCCAGTCCCGCTTCCGATCGCGACCAACGTGTGCCGTTTCGATGAACATCCCGACGCAGCAGGACATCTTGAAGCGGCAACATCCTTATCCAAGCGTCAAAGTTCATGGAGCCCACCCTCAAACCTTGTGACGCCTCTTCAAGAGGTATGGGACCACCAAATGTCGACATACAGCGACCCACTCGGCTTCAAGAACTACGGTTACGACCAGATAATGGCCAACGAAGGCTATCTCAATTTCTGCGTCCGCTGGGAGAGCTCACAGCCCGTCACTGCTGCCCAACGCGCCGATGTTGAGGCGGCCTTGCAGCAGTCCGTCAAGAAGTGGATGGACAAGCTCGTAGGCTTCGAGGGGTTCCCGTACTCGTCCGTGCCTGTCAAAGTGGTCGGATGGGCGGTCAGCAGCACGAGCTTGCTGCAAGGTGACACGAGTGGGATTGATGTGTATACCACGAAGGACGCAGAGGGAATCCCAGAATGCGATCCTCGTTGTGGACGCTTCTTTCACCAAGATGGGAACTATGCATCTTGCCCCGGCGGTGCTGCTAGACACTATGGTGAGTCCCAGACATCGTGTCACGGGGGTCTAATCCTTCCCTTGAACTTGCACATGTGTTCGAGCTAACGACGGGACTAAAAATCAATAGACCAATCACTCTGGCTCACTGAAGGTTTCGAGGGGGGCGCAGGCGGAGATTGGGGCCAAAGAATCGGCCGCTCCTATTTCATGGACAATCTCAACGCTGATTCCATTCATATCCTTCTTCACGAGATCGGTCATACGTTTGCTCTTGATGGTTAGTTCGATCCTTGTCCACTCCCCAACTCCACAGTTACATTTCCCCTTGACGATCCTCGGGTGTATTCCACTACACGGGTCTTCAACACTTGTAACATATTAACTGATCATCCAACCGCAGACTTTTACGACTGGACTCCCACAGGACTTACCAACTTCATCATGCTGGCTGGATCTTCCAGTGTGATTACCGAGTTTGATTTCTGGATGATGAGGGACTGGTGGAGGAATCTCAAGTCAAGGTATGGCCTATAAGCTGTAACCTGTACATATTTTGTTTCAGTGGCCTCAGTGGCCCTGGGCTCTTGGCCACGTAAGTAAACTCTAGAGAACAACTTGAAGATGCAGCGTCTGGCCTCCAGTAGGAAATTGTTGTCATGTTGACTAAGATCGCACATAAGAACCTGGAAGTCTTAACATTATTCAACCAGGAGACATCACTTTACTGCTTCTACATTCCTTTGCTTCTCCCCCCCGTCCTTCGTATCCCTCACCTTTTCAACCTTGTCTTCCCTCTTCTCCGTTCGCGATTGAGCATAGTGAGCACTGAGGTGTTCTTAGTAAAGGTATAGCTATCTACCTTGTTGTATATAGAACTTCTCGATCTTGGACAGTGCGGGTATGAGCTGGGTTACTGTTGTTACCGGCACTTAGAACAGTCTTGTCATCCCGTTTTAGAGCCTACCTCCCTAGCCTTTGTTACCGCGTTAGGTAGCTGCCTCGTGTCTCAGTTGTGTAAAAGGAATAGCATCTGATGCGTGATTCGATCACCGAGAAGGCTGGAGCCACTTGCTACGACGGGAAGAGATGACGATGATCGGGTGTGAAGTTCCACGCAGCGGAAGTCTACTACCGTGTTTGCCCTGGGTGCAACCAACGGTGCATGGGGTTTCATTACCAGCCACCGGGTACACAGTACGAAGTACATACATGTCCAACTGAAGTGCCGCCGACCCCGGTAAGCTCAACACCAATCCAAATGAGGGGCACTCCGGTTATTACATATTACAGTCAAAGCCCCACCCTCCTCCCTCTTGGACCGGTTGGTTGTTCTTGAACCCATTCTAACCTTGTTTGTCTCAGACCTGCCCCCTTTCGCTTGAGAGCATCATAACGCGATTCCCGTGCAGACCCGCGCTCACCATGGCCAACCCCAAGTTTTGCCCCTTCATGCGCCTGCCTCTCGAATTACGGCAGCAGATCTGGGAGATGGCCATCGATCCGCGCGAGGTCGTCTTCGGCAGATTGCACGACGACCAGCAATGCCAAGTAGAATGGTCACCGCCACCGCCTGTCCTTGCCGCCTGCGCTGAGTCGCGATGCGACATGCAGAGGTTCTACACCAAAGCCTTTCTCCGGCCCTTCCCCTACTCCCAAACACCGCCCAAGTACTGCTGGGTCAACTTTGACGTCGACACCATCCACCTCGTGGACCACCAGCTCGAGGGCTTCAGCCACATCCCGTCGATACGGCAGCTAGTCCTCGAGACCCGAGGCGGGGGACACTTCGAGCGCGGCTACAGCCGGCCCTTTCTGCGTGCGGACCTCTCCCTGGAGAAGCTCACGATCCTCGACCTGGGGGCCGCGCCGCCGGAGAGCTGGTGGTTCTCGTGGATCTCGTACATGGAGCTGTTCTATTTCGGGTGCGACGCGGTCAGCTTCGACACGACGATCGTGCACGACGGGCTGGAGCTGACCCGGGACACCTGGCTCAGCGTCGACCGCGCCTGGCGCAGGAAGATGATCCAGCAGATCTTTGGGGAGTATCTGGACCACCGGGAGTCGGATGACGGGGTCTTGGCCGCGGAGGATGACCCGAGGATGAGCATGTGTCGGCGGACGTGGCGGCATGTGGAGTGGTGCACTTGCCCCAATAAGCCGGCCCGGAGTGAGTGAGGTTGCATGTGGGTGAAGCTTGGGTTGGTATCGGAAGGTCGGTTGGACAAACAGGTCCAGGAAATGACTACACTGCTATTCTTCTTGCGAGACAAGGTTGCTTTCGATGGTTAAATTTGGTCGCCGGTACTTTGTCATATTAATGTTACTGGAGTTGGACAGCGTTTTTCAGGGTTTGCGTATTTACTACACATCTGTATCACAATCCAATGCTTAGATACAATCTCATTACTACCACATCCCATCACATCAACCGGATCTCGTTCAAGTTGCTCCTCCATTGTCCGAGGGAAGGGTGGCGAATCAAGTAAAACTTTGCCCTTCAGAGCATGGCCGGTGGCCCAATTTTTACCCATCGTATCTATTGCCTAGCATGCGGAGGATTCGTGTTTTTGTTCCCTCAGCGCGAAACCCACGGCCGAACGTTCGAGGGTCGATAGGTAGCTTACTGGGCTGGTCCAGCAGGGGGTAATAATAACTTCAAATACAATATTGGTTCGACCAAAGGCTCGGGAGCCGGTCTCGGAGGGCGTGCTAGAGTACTATTACTGTTAGGGTAATATCGAAGACCGACGCAGGTCATGAACCTGTAAAGAAGTTGCTCCAATTCCGGTGCTTTTGGTGGAAGGTCCAGTGGAAGGACCGAGTACCTGTCGTGGGAATCGTTCGCCGCTTTTTTGATCGTTTCAAGCGCGGCGGTGGCCGGAACCACGCTGCCCTGGGCAAAGTGTGTGCGGTAGAACAGATCGAAAAAGAAGAAGTGGCAGCGAGCCTGGGCGACGAAGTCTTGTGCTGATGTATGATGTATGACGCAAGGAAGCCTATAGGCAAGGAGTGGCCTCCTCTTGGGGCAGCAATCCTCTATTTTCCAAGCTCTCTTGACCTGCTGGGTAAGATGCAAGGTGATCATATGATCCGTGGCATCCATGAGATGTAGAAATGGGAGGATTTCGTGCCTCAGAAGCGGCTTCACATCTCGGCGGAGGAAACTCTCGTATAGCTTGCGCACACATGGACTCCCATTATAGCAGCCATCTTCGTGTTTGTCACAGCGAAGCCAAGCCAACCGGAGGCTAGTAACGGCCGCGCACATTTCGACTGTCCCTTCGCCAAAGTCGATCTTGCCAAGTCGCTCCTGAACGATGGAAAGGCCAGCTCTCTGAAACAATTCCCATAGGCGCCGTGACGTGCGAATGGTTGCGAGCAGGTCGACCGCTGAGTGAAGATAGGAGATGATCTCCAAGAGGAGCTCGTTTGGGAAGTCGAACAGCAAGAGAACCATGTTAACGGTTTGTTGGTGGTTTGGTGGTCTCTTGGGTAGGAAGAAGAGGTGTCGTCGGTCAGGAACGAAGGCTCGGAAGGTCTGAAGCCGAGCAGGACACATTAAGTAAGTACAGAGCCTGGGTTGTTCTTTTTGTGAACATCACGGATCCATGAGCCCACTGTAACAGCTTTATTGTTCTCAGCGCACTGTTCGGGATAATACAAACACCCTCTCTATCCCTTCCCCATTCCCGGTTTACAAAGCCCGCCCTCAGTTCTCAGTTCTTTTACGCAAGAGCTGCAGCTCCAGCACCTCCCACAGCGGCAACCACACCTCCAACTACCTGACCAACGCCAGCAACCACCGCAACGCCGTATCCCCCCATGGCGGCACTTTGCATGGTAGCAAAGACACCTCCAGCTGCAACGTTTGCAGTCTGAACGGTTGCCGCGATTGTTCCTGAGACGAGGATGATACCTACCTGTCAGCCCCGCATCCCCAAGCCAAGTACCAACCCAAGCCAAGTAGCAAATGGGGAGAACGTACCGGCAGCAGGACCAACCGGGGTAAAGCCGGCGACGGCTAGCACGGGGCTCGTGATGACAGCTGGTGCGGCGACGATGGCCAAACCGCCCACGGCCACAACACCACAGGCGACGGCGGCTGGGTTGGCGGACGCCAACTTGTAGGCGGCTGTGGCTGCGCCGACGGCCGCTGCGTTCGCTAGACCTGGGGCGATTGCTTGTTCGGCAAGTCGTAGGGCAGCTGGGGCAGCTGGGGCAGCGATGGAGCGGGCGATATCCATTTTGTGTGGTTGGCGGTGGGAAGTAGCTTGTTTCGGCTGGCTGTAAGTGGAGTGTGGGTGTTGACTCGGAAGAGAAAAAGAGAGTGTTGAGTTTGGCCGAGGGCTTGGCTTTAAAGGGATAAAATCCGACGAGGAGGTGGAAAGAGATCGAGATGGTTGGAAAGAAAAGGAAAACAAATTTCAGCCAGCCGAAGCAAACGGTCTTATCGAGGCAGTGAGGCCTACTACTAGGCTGCACGGCACAACCCGCTGTGCGACCTCTAACATCAGGGAATTTGCCCAATATCGTTGAACCCCCTGTCTGAACACTGCCCAACAGCGTTTTGGCCCGGTCTCGCTATTCGTTTGTTGCAGCATTGGTTCAAAACAGAGGTGTCCCTTTGTGGTCCGTCGGATACCAAATCCAATCAAAAATGACCAAACCCCCAGGCACATCAGACCTTTAGGATGACGCCGTACGTGTCGGGTTTGTTATTGTTAGTTGTCGACTCGGACCGTAGCGGGATCGCTCGTCCATCGAAAGCGTGGTGCAACAAACTGCGGCGCTAAACATATCCCTCTGTTGGTAACACTGCTTTATCAGACCATCAGATCAACCATGGATCCTCGACAGGGACCTTGGCGCAGGAGAAACCCGCCACACTTAAAGACAAACGCTCCCACCATGATTGACCGCCACAAACACCGGCCGCCCCTTCCCCAAGACGGCACCACTAGCATCGCCATCCACCGACCTCCCCTCCCCCAACCCCCTCGAAAATTTCACCCCCTGCTGCGTACAAGCCCACTCCAGCGCGCCCAGCGTCCTCAACACATCAGCCGGGTCCGGCACAAACGTTCCCCAATGCATCGCCAGAGCAACCACACCATCCCCCCTTTCTCCATCTTCTCCTCTACCCTCCTCACCGTCCCCATCCCCACCCGCCTCAGCTTCCATCCCAGCCATAACCCTTACCACCCTCACCGCATCCCAAGGCGGCATATGATTCGCCCCCGTCACGCCCGCGCTATGTCTGGGAAACGGGCTCAGCCAGTCCGGCAGCGGCACGAAGCTGCGCAGGTAGGCGAAGGTGGCGCCGACCGAGACGGGGAGCAGCAGCAGGTTGGGCGGGCCGAGGCGGGCGCGGATTTGCGCGAAGGCTGGGCATGGTGGGAATTCAGAATCAGAGTCGGAAGGGGGTTGAGGGGTGGGATTGGCGGGGGAGGGGGGCCAGTGGGGGGAGGGGTGGAATTGGTAGCCTGTGTCGCCGGCGAAGAAGACGCGGTATGGGGTGGGGGTGGTGGTGGTGGTGGTGTCTGTGGTGGTTTGGTGGTGGGGGGTGTGGGATTCGAGCAGCCAGCTGGACCAGAGGGTTGTGTTGGCATCGTTGGTGCCGCGGAAGCTGTTGTGCTGGGCGGGGGTGCAGTGAATGGTGAGTGTTCGGGCGTTGTCGGGGCTGCGGGGTGTGGACGGGAGGGTGAGTTGGACCGAGTCCCACCAGTCCATCTCGGTGATGCGGTCGTCGGGGATGCCCCATTCTAGGAGGAGGCGCTTGTTCCCGAGGGGCACGAAGAAGCGGACCGAGTTTCGGCTATGGCGCCAGATGGACATGAGGGAGGTTTGGTCCATGTGGTCGAAGTGGTTGTGGCTGATGCATACCACGTCGATGGCAGGGAGGTCTTCTGCCTTGCACGGTGGTGGGTAGGAGCGGATCGGCCCTGCGAAGGAGCCCAGGGGCGAGCAGCGATCGGAGAAGATTGGGTCGAACACACAGCGCACAGGTCGGCCATTCTGGGGATCCAGCGAAGGTAACTGGACCAGAACACCGGCGTGGCCTAACCAGGTTGCCTTGGCCTTGCTGCCCTCGGGAAACGAGAAGTCGGGGCCTTCTATCCGCAGCAACCGGGCCGCTTTGGCACCGAGGGAGTTTGGCCAGCCTTTCGGGTCGACGAAGTTGGGCAGTTTGCTCTTATGTGGTGGTCTATCCAGCGCCGGGCTGTTGGTGAGATGCGATGCGGCGAGTTCGGCGCATCCATCATTGTCCTCTCCCCACTGGAAGCTGGCATACTTCTCTGCGAGGGTCGGTCTATGCCATGACGGCCAGGGGTTTCGGAAGCCTGCGATTTTGCCGTTGGTCACAGAGGGACGAGTGCGCCCGGGAGAAGGTCCCCATGACGGGAGATATGAGGCCCACCCGGAGGGAGCCAGGGCGGGGTTCACCGGAATAACATGGTGTTCAGGGGGTTCAACTGTAGAGTTGGAAGTCGTTATGTTGCTGATGGCTAGCATGGCTACGCCGGGTTGGTCCGGGCTCCGAAGAAGGGATCGGGTGTGTTGCGGGGGGTTCAGTTGGCGTTTGAAAGCGATGATGAGAATCTCAGCAAAGTTGTTATAATGAGCTTCAAATTGAGTTACGTGGCCTTTCCCATCTGTCAAGACGTATCCTCGTCGTGATTTCGTGGCTTTGCAAACCTTGCCCCGTAAGCAACGGACGACTTCAAAACTTCCCCTCGATAAAGCCGGCACCCCTCGAAGGCAATAAGTGGGTATCCTCCACGAACGGGTATGATGTTCGGACGCCACAAATATACTGTCTGAGGGGCTTCAGCTCTGCTCAGCTACCCTAGGTAGGTAGCTACCTTCCAAATCTCCAAGTTAGGTACCTCCTTGTTTCAATGAATGGGGATAATCTAATCATTTTGTGATTTAAATGGAAAAGAACTGTTCCCGGAAACATCGAAGAGTCGTGAACTCCCCGCCGCTGAGAGGTCTGCCAAGCCGACTGCGCCGCCCAAGCCAACCGCGGCGGGCGGTTCGAGGCGAGGCGCAGGGGCTGTGTCGTGCAAACGCCTGGACGTCTTGGCGTGCGCGCGCGCGTGGCACACCGCCGCTAATTTTTACAGGCGCGCACCCAGGCGGTAAGAATCCGTAGACGGCGCTATCAAACGCCTACAACAGGCCGCAATTGAAGCAATTTACATTGCTGTAGCGATTGATCTTAATCTTTTTATTATTATATCTGTTTTTTTAAATGGAAATTAGTGCCCGTGTGTGTATGCCCCTAAGATGGTCTGGTATCTCAGCTGCGATTAACGTACTATTATCTAACTGATGCTTGATGCCGGTGAGCCGGCCGTTGATATCGCTAGTGTAGTTAGATGCTTACTATACTATTATTAGAGGTTGAAACAACGATATAAGATATCTGGGGAGGTATTCTATTAAACGAACAGCTGCTTCAACGTAGTTATATTGGTACTATAGGTGTTAGAGGTTTGCGCCTGCCTCTAAATTTGCTTTGGGAGATGCCTTTTAAAACTAATATAACTATATATAGAAGTTAATAGAATATTTTGAAACGAAGTTGGACTTATTTATTAACGAAATATAAGTCTTCTTAATTAAAGAGTTTTAAATATTTATTAGTGATATAACGATTAAGAAGAGATTTAAATAAGTGGGTTGGACTAATAAGAAACTTATATACTACCTATCTTAATATAGCGAACTACTCTATCTTAACTAGTTATAGAAGGTTGTACAGTTTATAGCCGAGATATTTATATTTTACAATAAATCCGGGATGGATAGGTATAATGGGATACGTTATACCGGGTAGGTATGAAAAGGCGTTGTATTATATATAAATATATTAATAGATTGTAGTAAGTGCTTCTATATCCTTCTGGCGATCTTTATAGATGGAATACTCGATATCTTAATCTTTAAGGGATATACCGATTAAGACAGCTTCGTTGAGTAGCTTCGACTAGGTGTATTACCGAAGATAAACCTATTCCCCGGCCTAAATAGTATCTTAGTAATAGATAACGCTTTATAGTATTATAATGTATATATCTACGAATTGGTGAAGGAGTATAGTGTATTGATCTGGTATCTTCTACTATATTCCCCTAACTTTAATCCTATCGAAGTGTTTTTCTATAATATTAAGGTATATATCCGATGCGAATATAGATCCTTTAGTAGCAACGATTCAATGGAAGCATAGTTTAAGGAGTTCCTCTATTAAATAGTCAACGAAGTGGGTAGTAGGAAGGGTATGCTATATAGGCATTACCGAATGGCTTCGCTAGCGTTTAGAGAGAGTAGTTAGATTGGAGATAGTTTTATTAATTATATTGAACTATATATTAAATAGCTGTAGGAGCTAAACGAAACGGGTACGGTAGTTTGAGTATAGTAAATTGAGAAATCTATATCTCTAACTGTATATTGAATTGCAGACCCTCTTGTTAAACTTATTGCTCTCCTTCTAGACTACTAATCTATAACTCGGAAGCTTCGGATACCGTTGAGATCTCGTCTTCGAGGCGTTCATTGTTAATACTATCTTCGTTAACGCTATTGTTATTATCGGAAAGGAAGAAGTTATTTAGAAGTATATTAGTTAGATTAGGTAGGGAGGTATTTAGATAGCTATATAGTTAGCTATATAGGATTAAATGGAGGGAGTAATATATATTAAGTAGTATATCTGGGTTAAATAGATAACTTGGAGATAATAAAGTTAAGGAGGGCTGAACTGGTTAATCCTATTAATATTTACCTTTGTTAAGAGAAGCTAGTTTAACTTCTTCCTTTAAAAAGGTTTTAACTAACCCTCTTAATAGTGCTATTAAGAAGCCCGGTAGACTATAGTTATTGAAAAACACCTCTAGTAATACCTTCAACGCTAGTAAACTATAGCCCTTATTAATTAAACAACATTTAACAGTACTTAATACTATATATATTTATTTATTATAGGTACCTATTAAATATTAATATATAAATTAGTAAGTAAATTCGTTGATTAGTTTAGCCGTTATTTTGCTTATAGGGGGGGCTAGTAGCGATGAAGATCGAATAGGGATATTAAGTGTTCCGCTCTAGTAGTCTAGTGTCACGATGTCACGGCCACTGAGCTGGAAGCACAGGAGTGGGGCGCGGGGCGCCCCGGACCAATCATTAACATGACCAAGGAGCAGTGTGCTCAGTGCGCTCAGCGACTGAGCAGGGTGAGCAGTGTGCTCAGTGTGCTCAGCGACTGAGCAGGGTGAGCAGTGTGCTCAGTGTGCTCAGCAACTGAGCAGACTGAGCACCTAAGAATTAGATAGGTATATAGTCACTCGCTCTGGAGAGCTCTGGGAGTTCTCCAGTTAGCAATCACAACTACAGTTCGCTACAAGCTCGAGAGCCTACTGTTGAGACAAGTCTTTGTTGTGCACCCTTTGGCTGCACCGAACCTAAGCACCCTTGAGAGAATACCTTCGACCGATACTGAACCCTAACAGGACGGGTCCAGAGACAGGTTCGTCACACGTTGCTAACTCCCTTTAATCTGTTACAGTTCAGGTTCGAAGGTAAAACGACATGGCAACTCAACCGACGCCGGGCCAGATCACGGCCGCGCTTCAGAGAGTCACCGAACGACTCGACGAAACTGAAGAAGAGCTTGCGAAGACCAAGGCCAGCAACGCGGCATTGGCAGCCCGACTTGCGGCGACCGAGGTCCACACCAAGGACCCGGCCAAGACGAAGGTCAAATTGGAGCAACCCGAGAAGTACGGGGGCGACCAGGAAGCCTTGCCAGGTTGGATCACGGAGATGCGGAACTATCTCGACCACAACTCGCACCAGTTCGCCACTGAGGAATCCAAGACCAGATACGCCGCCACCCGACTCAAGGACAAGGCCCTCAAGTGGTTCACGGGAACACTGAGTGATTTCCTCGGCGGAGCGATCCACAAACCCTTCACCAAAAAGGTCTTCGAGAACTATTCTGAGTTCGAGAACGAGATTCAGAAGGTGTTCGGTGACAAGGACGAGAAGCTGCACGCCCAGGAACGGCTAGGACGGCTGAAGCAGACTAGGTCAGCCACCGCCTACGCCACGATTTTCCGACAAGACTCCATGAAGGCAGAGATAGACGACGAGGGGCTGATGCACCTGTTCTACGGAGGGCTGAAGGAGGAGGTCAAGGACGAGCTCTACAAGGAGAGCCGACCCGACACACTCGACGAGTACATCGCCATGGCTGTCAAGATTGACGACCGACAGTTCGCCCGCAAACAACAGAAGAAGGGCAGCGAGGTACAGCGATCCGCAGGCTACCACAAGCCCAACGACAAAAAGAAACGCCAGCACCAGAGCACGTCATACGGCACGCACTCGGGACCCATGGACGTCAGCGCTGCCCAGGCACAGTGGGCAGGAAAGAGAGATGGTGCCAAGGACAAATCAGGCATCACTTGCTACAATTGCGGCAAGAAGGGTCACTTCAAACGTGACTGCCGCAGCAAGAAAGAGTGGAGACCGGTTCCAGGGAAGGAAGCCGCCACCATCGACCAAGACACGGTCGGAAGAAGAACCCGATTTTTGGAGGTCGCAGCCGCCAGCTACACGCAGGACGACCTCGAAATCGACATTGACCGAGTCATCGAGCAGGACGATGAACTCACCGACTCGGATCAAGAAGACTTGATGAGCAGCAACCACCAGGAGGGAAATGACACCGCCCATCACGCTTTCATCGAAACGGATGACGAGGGAGAACTGGCTCCCCCGCGGCACATCCGACAAGTCGCTGAGGACTGGGGCATCACCCTGGTTCAGCAAGAGGACGGGCAATGGCGAACCCACGAGGGTGAAGGAGGAGTCAGCCCGAACCTCATTTTTCTGCAACAGAAGGTCCTAAGCCAACGGCAAAGGATCGAGGAGTTGTCAAGAGAGAAAGAAGAACTCGAGCAACTTCTCCAGAGAAGGAACGACCAGTACGGACGACTTTGCGCGGAACTCGATTTCGCCAGGGAACGAGTCCAAGAGATCACCGAGGCCAACAACAGGGCCGGGGATCACGTCGAAAAGACATTAAGAGAGGCACAGGCCTTGCAGGACGACATCCGCCAGGCACTTCCGCACCACACACCGTGGGATGGACCCACCGAAGAGGCGGAAGGATACGAAAACGGAGTACGATACCCCGAGCAACTTTTCGACTACGCACAGGAACAGAATGCGGCGAAAGGAAGAAAACAGCAGAGCTGGGAAGAATACTGGACTCGACATCAGCACATCGTGCGCACCGGGCGACAAACCTCCGACCTTGAATGGTGGGGTTTCCGGGGCGAGAACAACACGGAGGGATTCCAGTTGTTGCCAGAAGACCACGAGCGGGTGAACCCACGAAAAGAAAGTCACATCTACCTGCCCTGGTTCCAGTGCATCGCGCACGAATGTCGGTACCACTTCCAGGACAAATTTCGCAACAGTTTCTGGCCCACGAGGGAAGAAAAAGGAATGCAACCCCTACCCATCAGATGGGTATACGACAGCGGCGACGCTCCCGCAGGCATGTTGTGGGACACCCAACGCACTCACGAGGGCAGGCTGAGGGTTAAACCCAAGGCAGCCTGGCCCCGACGCTGTATGGCGGGCGTAGGAGTCAACGAATGCCGAAGCGCAGACTGCCTACCACACGCCGACGAGAAAATCTGGGGATACATGGAACAGCAATCCCAGAGGAAGCCACACCAGAGGACGAGAGCGTCCCGAAGGAACGAGAGGCGCCCAGTTGAGGCATGGGCGGCCCAATGGCTCCAAGAACACCAGACGATTGACGCCGCAAGCCAAGGTGCGGACAGGGACGCCTTGAAACACCACGAGAGCTTGGGAAACGGCTCAGGGCCCTCCGAGGG